CCCCCCCCCCCCCCACCCCCTTTTTCAAAGGCTTTCCTCTTCCGTTCGCTCGCCCTTGCCCTCGCTCGATCCGCAAGAACCATCCCGCTTTCTCCCCTTTCGCGGACGCCCACGCGTTTCGCTCCGATCCTACAATGACAATCCTTCCAGACACACTCACCCACGCTCCTACTACCCAGCACTGCAATCTTCCTCTTTGGTCTATGCAGCGCCGCCCCCGTTGTTCCAGCCGGAGCTGATGCAGATGAAGAAGCCATGTATGTGTCCGTGTATGTGTATATGCGCGCGCTTTTGGCTCGTTCGGCGGAGCTGGTGAACCTTCAGAATCTGGCACAGCGTGACAGGCGTAAAGCGACTGCAGTGCGCTTGAAACGGAGCTTGAGGAAAGAAGGATTTACAGAATATGTTGCCGAGGAACCTGCGTCGACCTCTACGCTTGGTAATGAGAGCGGCGAAGTGGAACGACTCCTTGCCGTCGTAGATTCCTCCCTGCAAATCGTTTGGCCAGGCAAGCGCTGGAGAGGTGTGCAGATGGGAGTGCCTGTGAAGTGTGGGGATCGTGTATGAATTGGAAGTGGGCGTGAATGGTGAGGTGGGTGGTAGGATGAGATGATGCTGTACCGTATACATACAGTAGGCACGACGACGCTCCTGCTCCTGCAAGGACACTCACTCGATCTATACATCACCCGACCGACCACGTAGACCGAGCTTGCCCGCCGCGCCGCCGTGTCCCGTGAAACACACACGCGGCAGCAGGGAGACAAATATGTGCTTGCTGCACGCGCGCGCATATCTGCACACACACACGACTTTCCCGCCCGCGATCGAGCTCAAATCCCGCCCAAATACAACGGCTATGGAGAGGCAGGTACCGGTACGGCGACCGCGGTACCTAAATGAATAATCACGAATGAATGCGGCCAGCAGCATGCAGCATATGCACAGCGTGCAGCCCCAGCCAGATATATGAACCGGCATAATACGCGATAGAAACAAAAACCAAAAAAAAAGGCCCGCCTGCACGCACTGGATCGTGAGTCGCGACAATTGATTTGTGATTTGTTGGGCGGGTGTTGCGGTGCGACGCCGGCGTTGGCGACTCACCGACAGACGCATGCGTGTCTCATCTCAATTAACATCCATGCAGAGTTCACCCAGCAGCTTTATATATACATCAGCGTAAGGTATATACGCGAATCCGGATCACGAGCGCAGCAGCAGCCAGCAGCTGAATTCGTGATTGTGAGCTCCCATCTGGGTATAAGCGTGCGGGTCAAATGGTATATAGCAAGCCAATGATTCGCGAAGGCGAGATCGAGCTGCTCCGCTCTATACCGAATGGCCTGACTGTCATTTCTAATTGCTGATGTGTGAATCACAAATGGGTATTTTTGATGGGTTTGTTCTGAGCTGTATGTAGCCAACGCGTATCAGCCAGTCACTCCCGGGAAATTCACCAGTCAAGTGGTGACGTGAGTGTGCCATATGGGTGAAAGTGTTAACTGGCATGGAACGGCTAGCGAGGCTGCATGCGTTTCACTTCGGTGCCAATCGCAGTCGGGAGTGACACGGCTATGTAGCTGCTGATGGATTGCTGCCGCAGCACGAGTACACAATTCACCGACATGGGACTCTGCTGATCGATCCCGATCCACGGTTCACGATTCACGATATAGCCATCAGCATGGTGTATGGCGCCGCTGCGTGCTCATCCATCGCCGCTGTCTCCGACGTGATGCCGTGGGGATCGGGTGCCCTGATCACAAAAGTCACGAGGGCAGGGCAGGGCAGGGCAGGGCAGGGCAGAGGTCAAAGTGCACGCATGATATCGGCCTAGTACCGGCCATGCGATCATATCACAAAAGTCACTCGCGCTCAAGACTACTTGTAGAACCTCGACTCTGAAGAGCGTCAGTCAACCTTCCAGCATGACTTGATTTGCAAGTGAAAAGCACACCGCACCGCACATGCAGCGCGTACGCCGTGAACTTTTCCCGTTCACACTTCGGCGTCAAGACGGTCGACGGTCGGTCTCATAGTAGATCGCGGGCCGCGAGGCAGGGAGACAGGGTGACAAGCAGCAGCGAGACGAAGCATTCGCGATGAGTTGGGCGGGGGCGGGGGCGGGGGCGGGTGTGAGGATGTAGGTGCGGTCAGCATGCATGCAGCTAGCTGATTGGTTTGTCCCACGTCGTGCCCAATGAATGTCAATGATAATAATGAATGATGATCAGCGCACGGCTCAGCGGCGAAGGTGCAGATCCATTGTAGCGCGTCAACGTGAACAATGAGTCACAGCATATAGACTCATCGGGTGATCGACAACACAGGGCTCGCCTCGCCTTGCCCGGTCGACGATCAGTATTGCGTTTCGGGCAGACGTACCTGCATGGTCCAGTCCTGAATTTGCCAAGCTGGCAGTCACAATCAGGACATCGTCTCTGCTCGATCGTCTCGCACCAAAACCCGCCATCTCACCCCACCCCATCATCGATGCGCTTCGCCTCGCTGCAAAATGACCCGGAGCATCGACGAGCAAATTCGTGCCCTCATCCAATCCGCTCACGCCAGCGATTTGGTGTCAAGTTGCGGCCATGAAGGACGAGAGGCACCGCTTAGCTAGCCCCTTCAACTCCCATCCTCGTTGGCCCTCAGCAGCGAGCATGCTCCTGTTTCGGCAAGAGATCGTGGGCGACGCGGGCATGAGGCGCGGGCGGCCCCCCTTTGTATCTATCTGCTTGGCTCCGCTTCCACACTGATGAACATTCGATCCAGCAGAGCAGCGACGTCGAGATGTGCGGCCCGCATGGATCTGGCTCAGCTTGCGCCGGAGTAATCACTTAATGTTGCATGTATGCGAGTCTCGAGGGTCAGTCATTCGTGATCCCTGGGGGAAATGAGGTGAAGATAGGTCGGTCATGAGTCATCAGAGAGTCACCAGTGTGATCGGCGTTGGGAGTCTCGAGTCGAGTCTCTTGTGCGTGGGGCTGCATACTTGCTTCCCACTATTGTGTGACTCAAACTCACTCGTGACTCGTGACTGCTGCCTTTTGACTCGACTGCAAAAGCCGCGTTCCAGGTGCCTACCGCGCGAGATCACGTGCTCGTCCGCCCTTCCTGTTCTCATAATAAACTTTCGGTGCTCCCATCATCCTGACAGCAGCCAGCAATAGAGAATGGTCATGAACGGGTGGGTTAGGCATCCACATCACCTTCCTATCTACCTTCACCCCACCCTTGTCCCGCGATGCACGAGGTCCACTTGTATTGATTCTCACGCCCCACGCCTCCATCCTTCCGATTGCATCTCGCACCGTCGATTCTTTTCACCCGGCCAGGGCGCGGTTCCCAACGCCTACCAAGAGGGAGCACTTCGCCCTCTCGCCTAGCATCTGGTCTGAATAAGGGGCGGGCGTGGAGCGAAGATGAGGACATGCGAATGGTGCAACGATGCACGAGCAGCCCTACGTCGACCCAAGACCGGAGCATACGTCTGTCGATCTTGCTTCTTTCATCTGTTCGAGGAAGAGATTCATCTGACCATCACCAAATCCGGCATGTTTCAACGTGGGGAAAAGGTTGCCATAGGAGCTTCTGGCGGAAAAGACTCGACGGTGCTGGCGAGCGTGCTCAAGACCCTCAACGAAAGATACAACTATGGCCTCGAGTTGCTGCTGTTGAGCATCGACGAAGGAATTGCCGGGTATAGGGACGACTCTCTGGATACTGTAAAGAGGAACAAGGTCCAGTATGGTTTGCCGCTCGAAATACTCAGCTACAAGGATCTGTACGGCTGGACCATGGACGACATTGTCAAGAGCATCGGCAACAAGAACAACTGTGAGTAGCAATCGCATGGCATGAGAATCAACACCCATTTCGTCGTCTCACCTGTGCTGCATCGCCACTCTATCCCATCGCACAGGCACATTCTGTGGCGTCTTTCGAAGGCAAGCTTTGGATCGAGGTGCGCTAGCAATGCGTGTGGAGCACATCGTCACGGGTCATAATGCCGACGATCTGGCAGAGACTATCCTCATGAATGGTGAACACTCGCACCCAGCCAAGACTACCGACGCAGAGCCCATCTTGCTGACGCCTCACAGATTTTCCTTGCCCTCTTGCAGTGCTGCGAGGCGATATTGCTAGATTGGAAAGGTGCACGGAAATCACTACTTCCGGCCCTTCGGACGCCTCGACTTCTGCTGCGGGAGGATGCGGCAGCGGTGGTGGCGATGAGGAAGTCGACGAGGTCTTTGGAGGCTCGGGCATCAAGCGCAGCAAACCTTTCAAGTATGCGTACGAAAAGGAGATTGTCATGTGAGTGCAAGAGATGCAAGCGCTGTGCTACAAGCGACCACCCCGCCCGCGCAGGCGGCAATGTGGTTCTATTCACGATTAGCCTTGTCCGTCTTGCCTCGCTGACAAAATCACGCAACACAAATTTCCGCTTGGAATGTAGGTACGCCTACTTCAAGAAGCTGGACTACTTTAGCACAGAGTGCACCTACTCTCCTAACGCATACAGAGGCACCGCCCGAGCGTACCTGCGAGAGCTGGAACTGATCCGGCCAGGTGTGGTGCTAGACATTATACACTCTGGCGAGCATCTCAAGGTGGATGGTGGCGTAATCAGGAAAGCTCAAAGTGAGTCTTTTGATGCGCAAAGCTGCGAGTGCACTCGAGTTCGCTCACAGGCCTGCTCCTTCTGGCGCGCCCGCAGAAACTTGCGTCAGGTGTGGCTACATGTCATCCAACGACTTGTGCAAAGCGTGCCGTGAGTGGTCTACATCAGCGATGCTGATGCTGGACTTGCTGACATGGCGTCTTGCCCTCCCTCGACGACAGTGCTTCTGGAAGGATTGAACAGGGGACAGCCTAGTCTTGGTGTTCGATCAGGCAGACAGGGCCGCGAAGCGACTTTTTCCGCCTTGAGCAACGAAACGACTCGGCAAGAAGATGCTGGAATAGGAAACGTCATTCCTCGCTGGACTCGTCCAGCGAGACCAGCTTCGGAACTTCCAAGCGCTAACAATCTAATCGCGATCGAACGCTTTAAAGAACCTGCATCTCTTCGGCAGGACCCGGTCGAACACTTGACTCGAGCGCTAGAGAACACTGCCAACATCGCGGCATGAAGTGCCTCTGCTTGTCATGTACAACGTACCGCCTCCGCCATTCCCACACGCGCACACTGTAGCATAACATCCAAAATCGCTGCTTTTGAAAGCTATCAAGTGTTCACTTGCTTGAGATGGAAATGGCTGGGTGCGTGATAGTCTGACAGGGGGACGAAGATAGCAGACCCAAGGGCCATTGTTGCCAGGGTTTGCAAAGGACGCATCAGGTGCTAGAAGAAAGAGGGGAATGCGGAATGATGAAGACAAAGATGTGCGTGGATCTGATTCAGCATCAACACCAAGCTTGTGCTGGGCAACGTCGTTCGCGCTCTTAGGTTTGCGAGAGAGCAATCAGCTCCGAGCAGCAGAGCCAGAGCCAGAGCCCGCGCCGGGTACGAAGCTCCTTCTGATCGGAGCGCTCGCCCCTACGGCTTGTCCAGGCTGCAGTGGCTTGACAGTGACTCCGATACCTCCTGGCAAAGTGCTGAATCTAGATCTTTGGGTGCGAGCCGCAATGCGTCCAGATGGAGCGGCAGAAATGGCCGCACCGATGCCGATGCCGATGCCGATGCCGCTGCTGCTGCTCTCGCTTCCACTACCATTGGCCGCGCCCGTGATAGCAGCAGCTCCGGAATAACGTCGACCAGGCGAAGGTTTGGCTGCAGAAGTGTCTAGCAGAGAGCTTCGACTTCTCGTCATGCCCGAATTTGCCCCGTCCGAGTTGCTAGGACCGGAAGCAGCATTAGCGGCATCTCTCTCCCTAGCAAGCTTTGCTGCGCCATTGGTAGCTGCGCGAACCAAATTCGTCTTGCCGCTTGCCCCTCCATGTCCATTCCTTCCCGACATGCGACCCTCGGGTATGCGCGTAACCTTGCGCAAAAAGGGCGAAGGTAGGTCCGGATCGTCATCTGCGAGATTATAGTTGGGCACAGCGCTCGTGCTTTGCGAGGCTGGCGCTGCTTCTTGCGTAGAAACCGCCCCTTCTCGACCTTCACTGTCGTTCTGCATCGCTGCAATTGTTGTTCTCGTGGTCAGTATCGGACGCGCAGCAGCGGGCACGATAGCATCGCCACGCTTGCCGGAAGAGTAGGAATGCCGAGCTCTGCTAAGCACACTGTTCTCCTTATCAGGCCCGTCGCTGCTCGTGTGCATATCGTCCCCCGAGCGGTCTTCGCTGCTTGGAAATCCCGCATTCGCGTTCTGTGCCGATCCTTGGCCAAAGAGGGATGCGCGTGTCTGGCGAACAGGCGTAAAGGCAGGGTGAAACCAGCTTGCGTCGCGCATGGACACGTCCGACGTGTCGGCTGATGGTCGAGGTGTGTACATCCTCGCGGCAGACGGAGGTGCAGCTCTGATAGCGCTGATGCTGGCACGTCCCGTTCCTCTCGAAGTGTAGGCTTCTCTTCCTGCTGGAGCTGCGCTCTGAGGGATATCAGACGTAGGACCTGCTATGTTTTGAGAAGCGCGCCCACGACCGTTGGACAGTGAAAGATTGGCGACAGCAGCAGCAGCGTCCTCTTCCACCCATTCGTCGCTGCCCTCGCTCTCCTGCGCTCGGCGAGAAGAAGTGCGCAGATCAGATTGAGCACCAGCCGCGCTTGCGCGACGTTCCGCCCGTTGCTTGAGTCGCATTTGCCTTTCGCGCTGAGCTCGCGGCGTACCCAGACCTGTCATGCCAGCCCTGATCATGTCGACGCTATGATCATCCAGGTGAGAGGCGCCGGCTCCTCCTCCCGAGGTACGGCCGCCAGCGGAGATGCGTCGCGTAGAAGGTCTGCTTGATAGCGCCGAGCGGTGCTCAGCGATGCGGCTGGATGCTGAGCTAGGCAAGGGTGGTGGTTGCTCGCTCTGTGCCGAAGCGTCTACTGTTGACGACCCTCGACGAGCCGTATTTCTGGCCTCGATGCTCTGTCTCTTCCTCTCGATGTCTTCCAGCTGGGCCTGACAGTGTTCTGCGAATTCCTGCTTGCTCTGCTCAAGCTTTTGGCATTGTTCATTGAACCACTGCGTGTACTCCTCTCTAACTTTCTCGGTGTGGTCTTCGCTTTGGCGACAAGCATCCTCCCTTTCTTTCACAATCTGCTCTCTTGCGCTGAGGTGAGCTGCAGCATCGTCGGCATGTCCACCCTGCTGCTGCCTCTCCCTCAGTTCCTGCTCAGCGCTAGCAAGAGCAGCTTCACGTTCCGCCAATCCAAGATCTAATGCTTCTATGCGAGCACGTTCCGCTTGTAGGTTGCGCGACAGGGCGCTCAGCTGGCGTGTTTCAACGACGAATTTGACTTTGGGATGCGTGAGAATCTGTCTCGTCGTCGGTCGATCCTTGGCCTGCTCAAAAAAGCAGACGAGTTGTGTGAGAAGATGTCGCTCCGTCTCGAAGCTGTAGTACTCACGCTCAGATTCAGCATGGCGCGGATAAGGTCTCCGAGGTCATTGGAGTACCCTCTTGGCAGCTTCGGCACCTGTCCTTGCTTGATCTTTCGTGTGAGCTCGGCTTGATTTTGAGCGTCGAAAGGTGGTCTAATAGGCAGAGGCCGCGATACTCGTGTCAGCTGGTGCTGTCCTTCGACCCACGACAGCAGAAGAACTCACTGGAGGGCGCATAGCTCATATGCGATGCAACCCAGAGCCCAGACATCGCATTTAAAGTCGTACCGTTGATTCGTTGCAATTTCGGGGCTCATGTAGTACGGAGTGCCGACGTAGGTCGAAGCGAAAATTTGCCCGGTAATTTGCTTCGAAAGTCCAAAGTCTCCTAGTTTGACATTGTCGTCTGCGTCCAGAAAGATGTTCTCGGGCTTGAGATCTCGATGAAGGATAGCGGCGCGCGGAACGACATCGTTGGCGCTGCAATCCTTGTAGTGAAGAGCTTCGAGCGCTTGAGTCATCTGTGAGAAGTAAGACCAGACTGTGTCTTCTGGTAGATACGTGCTGCGACAGGGGGCGGTCAGACAGCATCTATGCGCTTCAGTCGAGCTGCACATAGGGAGGCGACCAGTCGAGAACACTCACTTGTTCTTCCTACATTTCTTGATCACTTCTCCCAGATCTCCTCCACCGCAATACTCCATGATGATGTACAATGTCCTACGCATGTATGCAGGGGATTGACGTTCGATGAGACGCTGGTCTCCCTGCGCGGAAGCCTAGGCATACACTCACTGCGCTTGAGAGTCTACAAATCGCTCTTCGTAAGCGACGATGCTTTCGTGCTTGAGGTTTCTCAGAATGTTGACCTCGGCAACGATCTGTTTCCTATCTCTGTCCGACATTCTGCTAAAGTCCATTTCCTTGCGAGCAAAGATCCTTCCATCCATCCGCCTCTTGACCTTGCGGATGACCCCAAAGGACCCCTTGCCGATCTGATCCACCACCTCGTCTATACATCAGCGCGTTGTAAGGCCAAGGGGTGTCAGTCAGTCAGTCATCCTCGACTCGCTTCACTGGCAAGGTCTCGAATGCTCGGAAAGCTCGTGGCTCACACCCATCTATCACCGAGGCGGCGGAATTCTGCTGAGATTTTCGGGTGGCCATCTTGGCACTCGCAGAGCCCAGTCTGAATGCTGTGGTGCTCGAATTAGTCGGCCAGTCTCCGAGAAGCCTCCGCTTCTGATTCTCAGCTCCTCCTGTGGAGCTTGTGGATATATCGTGTGGTCGTCGCCGATGCGGACACGCAGTGTCAGGAGGTTCGGAAGTGGATGATGTTGGTAAGGTGAGTCAGAGGAGGATCATTGATGAGGGTGAGGATGCGTCTCGATGCTGAGCCCTGATCCTTTCTCTGGCCGCGGCTTTGCAAGTTGATTGAATATATGCTGATGATGTTGAAGCTACACGTACGGGTTATGATGTGTGTCAAGCTGCACAGAGGATGAGACATTGACACGTTGCCTTATTCAAGATTCCAACGCTTCAAATCAAGCAATGAACTTCTCATCGCTCGATCATTCACGATTCGCGCACGGACATGCAGTCAACAGTGAATTGCGCTCAATCCAGCATGTACCACCGTCTCCATGCAGCCACCAAAAAGATGGGATCGCTCAGACCGGCCACCCCTGCTTCGCTTCTACCCGCAACGAATTGAGTGCAGCGCAGCTCGAGCCCAGCCGGTTGCTGCATGGTGGGTTGCGGTAGAAGTTGAAAGGACGCGCCTAGCTATGATCACTCAAGACTTCCTCCATCATCATCAGCATATGCTGCATGCACACGCATGCAAGCAGCTACTCACGACTGTAGAGGACATCAGCCGCGGCGCGCAAGACTTGCTGGATATAAGTGTTGCTCTCGTTCGTGCATGGCGTTTTTTGAAGCGCGCCTCGGTTGTCACGCGCCTTGCGCATCACGTGTTCAAAAGCATCCAATGTCTTTTCTTGCGCAGCGACTATTCTCGAATTTGTTCCGAGGCTTAGGCGGGTCCTGGCTCAGACTCACCGCACTCAACAACCTCTTTTGACGCGCATAAAGGCGGCTTGATGCCTGGCATTTCGTGGCGGAGGTGCTTTGCTGAAAAGGGCGGATGAATGTGAATGTGGGTGGATGCGTCGAAGCTATTAGGTGAGAGCAGCTTGCAGTCGCAGTCACGAGGGATGGCGCGAGATGTCATTTCGATTGCGAGACATGGACAGATGCGTCCCAAGCCTCGACGAGCGTCTGTGACGATTCGCGACTCAGGCATTTTCAAGTTGATGGATGAGATGGTGCACTCAAGATTGCGAGCAAGATGTCGGTCCTTGCGGCTCTACGCAGTCCCTCTGCCTGCAGACAGAGTCGTGAGTGTGCTTGACTCGGATCAGTAACGCAACGGCCGAAAGGTAGTCGCGAGGCGAAAGTGTCCCGATCAAGTACGCGGTAAGAGGTCCACTTAGCTCCGAGATGCCTTGGCTCAAAGCATGCCCTCGGTCACAGTCAATAGTCGTCCTATTCTCATTCAGCAGGGACGCTTGTAGGTATCAGCGGGCAACACGTTCAGGATCACGATTTCAAGATGAGCATCCTCGCTGCAGGATGATTGCAATGCCACTCATTGTACTCGTAATTCATAAAGAGTGCCAGTGTTGCCTTGTCGAACAACATGTTGCCACCCGCACACCATTTGCGCACACTAGCACCGTCCCACAAGCTTGCTCTCCCTGAACCGCAATCGCAGACCCAACAGCCTGCGCACGGCCGATCGGAACCGCAGCATGTCCGCAACCACTACGACTCAGACCCAATCATCTGCGGGACCTGCAGCGGGTACCGTCTCCCTGGCTGGGCTTCCAAAGATCAAAGCTACGATTGAGTACTTGGACGCGTCCATCGCGAAGCCTTACCATCGTGCACACCGCAACGAAGGTGAAGACCTGACCAATGTGGTGCACGAGAGCATATCCGTCGACGTAACCGATCTAGCATCCACCACGCTTTCGGAGCGCGAAGCATTCGGTCTAAACACGCACGGTGCAGGGTTCGAGATAGTGCATGGCTTCGGTCAACAAGAGACTGAAACAGGGTGGAGCGAGGAAAAGTGGAATGACGAGGAATGGATCAAGCAGGCTTACTACAAAGATGTGGATCAGCTTTTGAAGGATAATTTGGCACAGAGAGGTCAGCATGTGCAAAGCACCTTCATCTTTGACCATACCATTCGCAAAGGGCAGACCAAGCATACACCCGATGATCCCTTCAACCGAAAGCCCGTTGCTCAGGCTCATTGTGATCAGAGCCGATGGTCCGGCGAGAATCGCATCAGGAAGCATTTGGGTGAGGCTCGGCGTCTTGCCATAGACAAATCTGCTCGACTTTGGAGTTTGGCTGACCTTCTATCCGACTTTGCGTAACAGGCGACGAGACGCTTGCCAAGGTCAAGTCTGGCGAGCTAGCGGCTCAGCTGATCAACGTCTGGCGACCTTTGCGTGGTCCCGTGGAAGAAGATCCGCTAGCCGTAGCCGATTCCCGCACAGTAGGCGTTCACGCCGACGGTACATCCGACTGGGTTCAAGCCGATCTGATTTTCAAAGATTGGACTGGCCAATTCCTGTTGATTCACAAGAATCCGGTTCATAGGTGGTACTATCATTCGAGCTTGAAGACTGATCAGGCAATCTTGCTCAAGTGCTACGATAGCGAGACGGAGACTAGGACTCCCCATACCGCCATCGTCGACCCTACCTCGCCCAAGGGTGCGAAGCCTAGATGGTCTATGGAAGTCCGTGTGCTGGTTTTGCTCGATCCAAAAGCTTCGCAGTAGGCGTCTACACCTTCAAGTCTGCTGCCCGAGAGTTAGGCCTCCTTGACCCGCTCGTTCCAGACTGTACTTTGACCCTTTTACACTGCGTACCCTGCTCCCTCGCAGCGTGGCATGCCACGTGGTGCGACTGTACTTCGCATGCTCATTCCAATGAAGAAGAATATCGCCAATTCGATGTTGAAAGTCATCGCGCCTGGACGCGGACACACCGCAGCAGACGGCTATCGTCGGCACGCTGCAAGCTTCGCCGATGGCGCTCGAAGCTTGCCAGCACATCTCGTGCATAAAGTGACATTCAACGGCTCGCCGTGGGCAAAACAAATACACACCTGAGTCAAAGCGGCTGGCGGGTGGTAAAGAGGTCCAAAATCTCGTGCGGCGCATCAAATGCGGTAGATGGTGCCTTCGTCTAACATAACCTGACCATCATCGTGCATGCGCTGGACTGCCGAGAGCGCCTCGCTGCTGCTAAACAGATCTGCCGCAGGCAATCCCTGGTTGATGATGGGCAGCACGTCGTCCAGGGTAAAGGTTTCCTCCTCTGCCATAGCACCTCCGGAGGCCATAGCCATCGCGACTCTTTCCCTAAAGTTTTCCAACCTCGAATCGCTCAGCGCCGCTCCGGACGCGGAGCCTGGTGCACCAGCCGCTGCGGGTGGAGCGACAATGTGCGGAGCTGCTCCATGGCCCATCTGATCTGCTTCTCGGATCGCCTGCATAGCATCTTCATCCTCAAGCGGCTCGCTCGCGTCACGTCGTCCAGTCGGAGAGGCACCGGCAGGCACGCTAGGCGAAGCTTGTTGATTTGTGCCCCGTGCTGCTCCACGAGTCGCATATGCGCCCGTACCAGAGTACTCGCCCGCCGCCTTGGCAGTCGTAGCGTCGTCATCCTCCTCCTCATCGCTCTCTTCATCGCTAGCAGGCGAACGACTGCCTCTTCCAGTCCTCTGTCTCTTGTTGTTCCGCCTCTGCTTGATGACTTCTTTGAAGAGAGCGAAGCGCAAAATTTCTTCCGCAGCCTCGGCATCGCGCTCATCGACGATGTGACTCAGTCGAGACTTGGCGTGCGCAGTGGCAAGACGAATGAGCGTCTCGAGCGTACGCGCGGTCAACGGGCTGGTCTTGCGCTGATTGCCGGACAACTCGTCGTTTCGCAGATTAGCATACACGTTGACGATCCAGTCTGCAGCAGGTTGAGAAAGCTTGGGGTGAATGCGCTGCTTGGCATACTGGATGTACTTCTTGACAAAGGCGATGGACAAGACTTCTTTCTTCTTTGCTTTGCCGCTCTCCGTGATACCGGCGTGCAGTAAAGGATTGTAGCGCTCGAACGGGTTGGAATCGCCGACCAGCAGTGCGCCATCTGCATCGGTGCTGTCTGGCGCGCCCACATTCAGGACCTGATCCAAGCTGTCGGCAGCGGGCTGGCCTTCGTCCAATCCAGGCTGCAAGTAGCGGTGCATGCGAAGAACATGCTCGCTGATCATTCTGTCTCTTTGCTCGTCCACATCGTCCGTCACGACGAACAGCAAATCGAAACGCGAGAGCAGCGAATCCGGCAAGGCGATGTTCTTGTGTGGGTCCTTGTGAACATCGTACTGTTCAGGATGAGTGGTAAATCAGCAAAAGGTTCGCTTGACAGACTAGCTTGGAAAAAAGCCGCTCACCTGGCCATAAATCGGATTGGCTGCGGCGACTACGCTGCATCGCGCATTGAGCGAGGTGTGGATGCCAGCTTTGGCGATTGTCACAGTCTGTTGTTCCATGACTTCGTGAATGGCGACTCGATCCACATCCGACATTTTATCGAATTCGTCGATGCACACAACACCTCTATCAGCAAGCACCATGGCGCCAGCCTCGAGGCGACGATCGCCTGTCTCCTTGTCGCTTGTGACAGCAGCAGTCAGACCAACGCCTGAACTGCCTCGACCGGTAGTTGCGATGGCCAAGGGAGCAGTGTTGAGCACGAAACGAAGCATCTGCGACTTCGCTGTGGAGGGATCGCCCACCATGAGGATGTTGATGTCTCCACGAATGTGCGTGCCGTTTGTGAGATTCTTTTCCTCGCCTCCCAAAAGCAGGAGCAGGATGGCCTTTTTGATGTAGTCGTGGCCGTAAATCGAGGGCGCTAGAGACTGGGACAGTAGCTGGAAGATGTTCTTGCGCTTGCCAACCTTGTTGATGTTGCGCACGTCTGTGTCGGTGATGTGAGCCTGAGCGATGCCACCGCCCGCTTTGGAGGAGAGCAAGTTGACATTGTTGCCAATCATGAGGGTGCTGGAGATGACGATCGCAGGGAGATGCGCGGATGTGAGCATGGTTAGACAGTGTCGCGGCGTTGCGAACCAACTCGACTCACCGGAAAGTGGAGCTGGTGCTTTGCCCGACGCGATTTCCCAGGCTGCGGTACATGCCAACGAGCTGAAGGCGATCACCGGGTTTGCATACGTCAACGAGATCGTCGTCCATGACCACATCGACCGATCTGGGCAGCTGTCCCGGCGGAGCGCGTTCAGGCATCTCTTGAATACTGATCATCTGATGATCGCGATACAGGCTGTGCCCATACTCTGTGGTCACTCGGTTGCCATTCCCGTCGTCTGTCGGGTAGGCACCGCTGGAGGGCGGCAATGTGCCGTACATCGTCGCATCACGGTATTCGCGCGCGTGATGCTTGCCGGTCGCCTCGCAGTAGTGGACTGACTTGAGGACCTTTGGTCGAACAAGAGAGCCTGCCAGAGAGTTGCGGCACCGTCGTCAATGCGCGACTTGTCAATCGCTAGCGCTTCGGCAAGTCGACTTACACTTCGTAACGATTCCCTCTAAACTCATCAGCTTGCCGAGATGTTGACTGCGAAGCGTCCTAGGGTTGACGTGATGATCACCGAAGCTGCCCCTCAGACCGATGTAGTACTGCTTGCCCTGCACGTCGTCTTTGAGAGGATCGTGAAGCTGATCGACCATGTTGCGTAGTGCGATGTCGAAAGCTGGCAAGAATTCATTAGGAGAATCGAGCAGTCCAGTGGCCAAGTCTCGATTGTAGGAACGCAGCTCGTCGATGTTGACGATGAGCCTGCGATGATCTTGGTGCAGCATGCGTCTGATAAGGTCGGCATAATTCGTGCGAGATGACTGCAAGTTCGGGGCAAGGAAGGCAAGGTGAGCTTTGCGGAGAGGAGGTGATACCCCGAACGAGGGAGGAGAAGACTCACCTCGTCTGACAGGAACTCGCCAAAGACGCGAGCACGATCGCGCTGCTCGTCATCCTGTGCAAAGGGCGAATCGAACGTCGTTTGCTCCATGTTGGGCGACGCTTGAGGGAGCTCCTGTTGACGAGTCGTCGACAAGCGTTTGGCGAATGGTCTATTGTGGCAGAACGAGGAGCAGTGAGGCGAGAGGAGCTGTGGGCGGAGCACGCTTTGAGTCTGAGATGAGAGTGAGGAGCACACTGAGACTGATGTTGCGGGCGTGCGAGCTAGTGGGCCTTCCACAGGCGTCAGGAGGGCGTACTGCCATCTTCGTGCATCGCAGGCCAGCCCACCTTTCGCTTTTATTGATGCCACATCTAAACAGCTTGCAGGGACAAAGCTTGCTTCTCGAAGACGCGTCTTGACCAAAGGACGTGTAAATTGACGCGTTACTCCTACCGCACTCAAGACTGCCTCGACGCGTCGTACGCGCGTCTCATCTCGGCGTGAAACACGTGACAAGCTCCTTGTACTGATCACGTGTCTTCTACACTCTACGTTTCTAAAGTCACGAGTCCGAATCGAGGCCATGCAGCAGCTTCACCCAAGGAAGCATTCTTGATTTCACGCTCAAAGGTTGATGTAAATACTTTGACCATACCAAAATGCGGACGAGACCCATCACATTCATTGCTATACCACTCAAGCCCCATCCAAGTCTCTGACGCCCTCACCACGCGCGCTTCTTGCCATCTCGCTCGAGTCCGCTCCCGCTTCGTGCACCCCCAACCCACCCCGCCGCCGAAGCGTGACAGTCATCTATCTGGTCTCAGACAACTCGGGCGTTTGCGTTCGTGGTGGCACTTAGACTTGAAGGGCGCACACATCCAAGCCTCGAGCTGTACAGAGCAATCAACACCTTGGTCTTGCATGCTGGTTGCGGAACGTGCTGTCTCGTTGCATGATGTCGCGACCTCAGGAAAACGGTGAGTGGACATTTGACCTCGTCGAAGCTGCGCGGTCTTGGTGCTCCTTGGCCCTGGGTCCAGGCTCTGACAGTCTCGCTTCTCTCCTCGCACAGACCGCAATCAAGAAGCGACGTGCTACGTTGGCAATCTGGATGATCGGGCGTCGGATGCGTTGCTTTGGGAGCTGATGCTACAGGCCGGTCCAGTGCACACCATCCACATACCAAAAGACCGCATCACCTCGGCACATCAAGGTTACGGCTTTGCGGAGTTCGCGACCGAAGCAGACGCAGAGTATGCAGTGAGGATCATGAACGGTATCAAGCTATTTGGAAAACCCTTGAGGGTCAATAAAGCTAGCAGCGATAAGAAGCAGATCGATATCGGTGCCAACCTGTTCGTGGGCAATTTGGACCCCAACGTAGACGAGAGGTTGCTGTGGGAGACTTTCAGCGCGTTTGGAAACCTCACAAATGTGCCCAAAGTGAGTCGCAACCTGTGCGAGCAGCTGTAAGACACTGCTAAGTCTCCGATACGCTCCGCAATTCCGTCTTGGCGTGGACCGCACAGCTCGCAAGAGACCCCGTGACCAACGCATCCAAATGTTACGCGTTTGTTGCCTTTGACGCCTTCGAAGCATCAGATGCAGCAATTGCAGCATTAGATCAGCAGTACCTCTCCAATCGCACCATCAATGTAGCATATGCAATCAAGAAGGACGGCAAGGGAGGAGAGAGGCACGGCACAGAAGCAGAGCGGTTGTTAGCTCGTCAAGCCAGAAGGAATGGCGCCTTGCCGCCTGTTCGAGCTCCCTTGTTCGGAGCTGGTGCGCCGCCGGGCGGGGCGTATGCTGGTGTGCCAGGGCCAGGTCCACCCATGCCCTTTGGTCAGCCCGGTCCCGCAACGGGTCTGGCCCCTCCGCCTCCCCCGCCAGCCGGTTTCCCAACATACTCAGGCCCGCCTCCATCATCCGGTACCCCCACACCTGGCTTCCCGCCCGCACCGCCACCCCCCAATGGCTATGCCGGCCCTCCTCCTGGCGTCCAATCTGCTCAGCAACCACCTCCGCCGCCCGGCTTTGGCGCACCCCCGCCAGGAACAAATCCGGCAGGACCCCCTCCACCTGGTGACCTGCAAGGTCCCCCGCCTGCATTCATGACAGGCAGCAACAATGCGCCCTTGGGAGCAAGAAGATAGTCTTGCTTGTGTGGATCGCGATCATGAATACAGTCATCCCGAGCTCTCGCCATCGCCAACTTGTGCGATTGTGCGATTGATGCAGACGCTTGCGCTATCGCGCGCTTCCAGACTTCCATCGCCAGCATCGAGTCGCATCTTCAAAACGAGACACGCTGCGTGCTTGGCTTTCTGTGGGCATGACAAGATCACAAGAGCATCGCAATTCATCTCGTCTATCCCGTGGCGTATGCTTGTGAGCATTGTACAAATCAGGGCCGGCAAAAGCATGGCACAGAGCCAGTAGCACGGCTCGACGGGAAACGGTCTGCAAAGGTTTTCTCCTGTGGGGACGAGTCGGAGCCCACGTGAAGGGTGATCGCGTGGTAATGACAACATAACTGTCGAAAATTTACCATGCGAATCTAAAGTCGAGTCGCTTGTTACCCAGAGCTTTGCCGTCAGCACGTGACATGTATTCCAGCTGCTCTTCCTTGGTCATCGCATCCCACTTCTTCGACCTGTGTCGATTGACCAGAGTGTAGAATAGCGAGATTAGGGCATAGATGCTGAGCGGAAACAGAATCAGGAAGGCGTAAGTGATGGACCATGAGGTCTTCATCGAGGAGATACAACGATTTGAAACCTCACTCACCAGATATTCATGGAACAGATGGCTACCAAGGTACGATTACCACGGCGATACTCTGGCTCGTCGTCCTCTCTATAAATGTTGCTGTAAATGACACGACCGAGCTGGGTCATCATGTTGTCTGAGAAATATACGGAGAGAGTCAGAGTCAGATGCCGTAGCGGACGAGCTTGAGCATGTCGGACGTTCTGATACTTACAGACGCAAGCGCTGATGGCTCGAGTTCTGACACTATTAGAGTTCTGGCTGCACCAACCGACATGCACTGGATGAGGGCTAGGGAAGCTGAGCAGCACGGTGAGAATGGCGAATTTGCTCCAAGGATTGGCGCCTGTTGGCAGGGTAGCAAGGGCGACCAAGCACGGAAGCATCCAAATTTGGGTCCACACAGCCACGAACGCTTTGCGCGATAGGACGATGGAAATGTAGGTGAAGAAGAACATGCTCAAGATGGCGCCGACTTGAGGTGGAATGGATAGCAGATTGGATTCGTTCGTGTCGAAGCCGAGATCGGTCAGGATGAGCGTGAAGCTGAAAGCCAAATGTTCGGCAAAGGGGGTCATTACAAGAGTTGGACACTAGCTATCATCGAGGCTTGGACTCACTATTGGTCTGGAGGTCCAGCGGGCATCTCCCAGATCAAACCACAGACATACAGCGGCCACATGTGCCAATCCGACAGAGCCTTTAGGAGCATCCTCGGTGTGACGGGTTGACGGTTGTGCAAGTCACCTGTCGGATGCGCAATTGGCATCAGTGGTGGCTACGCGGCTTGGAGCTTGCTGCACTGGAGCTGCGCACCTTTACTGGGATCATCCCTCAAAACTCTCATTACGAGAACCTTTTCCTCTTGTTCGTTGAACCATCCATTCGGTCTGAGAAACTTGTTCTTCGTCTGCGTAGCAGACGCGACCATGGTGCATGCCGAGTAGATACCGATGATAAGCATGATGATGCCCTCCATCACTAGCGAGACATCAGCGAGCACGGCGCAAAGTCAGCAAGTGCTGGTGGAAACCGTGGCACAGAAGCGACTTACGGAACAGCCATCTCCATCCTTCATATCCCAACACTCCTCGCATCTGGAGCAAGCCGAGCGCAAGCAATGGAGCTACGATATCTGCGACACGTCGCATGGCCCAGAAGATGGCCAATCGCAGTGGCAGCTCGGCGGTTTTGAAGAAGTAAGTCTGAGTGTCTCGTGCAATAGTCAGAGACGTGTCCACAGAAAGCATCCGTCGTTGCACTGTCGAGGCATGGACCGCTCACCAGGTATAGGACGGCTTCGGGAATGAAACCTCTGCACGAAACACAAATGGCCTCGTTAGCGTCGTCGAGAGATTGCCTGACGTAGCTGCTTGAGCTCACCCTTGAAGCAAGCCGAGAAGGCAACGAGTGACGAGGAAGCTAGTGCGGCCCGACAAGAAGAATTGAGCTCCGGAGACAATGCTCCATGCAATCTACGCTTGCAAGAGGGATAGCGTGAGTGATCAAACCGCGGGAGTCTGAGCACGAAATTCACGACTCACCATGATGAAGGGGATCCAGCGATCAGCTCCCAGTCTCTTGCTGATCATCTGACTTGGAATCTCGGCAAGCAGGAAAGAGACTTGGTAAATCGTATTTCCCAGATTGTAATCGTTCCTTCTCATTCCGAGGTCAGGAATGAAGTTGTCCGTGTTGGCTTGCGAGAGGTTGCCTCTACCGAGGTCCAGAGCAAAGAATGCCAGACATGCCCATGCGGTGATTCTCCAATCCAAACGTTTAATCAAGCGAGATTCTTCACCTTTGGTCCAAGTGAACGAGGGGTCGAATCGGTGCAGGTTCTCGTACCCTTTAGTAGGGGTGAAGAATTTCGAAAGATTCGGATCGTCATATACGGATGGCTGAGTGGCAATGTCTTCAGGGTTAGGCTTAGGTTTGTTCTTGTTGCCAATACCAAAGGCCGAAAGCAATTGCGAGATGGTCGTCTCATCCTCTTTAGCAGCGGTCACATCATGAGCATTTCCGGCCACCCTTGCCAGATCTTCTCGCTTGGCATCAGGCTCCCTCGCCAGGGCTGCGATGACGCTCAAGTGCTCCCTTTGGATTTCTTCCTCCGTTCGAGCTTCGATCGCCTTCTTTTCTGCATCTTCATCGCTCGAAGCTTCGCTTGCTGAGGCGTCAATGTCGATTTCCGTTGACGCTCGACGTACCGTGTTGGTGCCAGGTGCGACCGTGTCGGTCCTCGGGGTCGCTTCCGCAGCGTCGCTGCTCGGCTGCGTCATGTCGTTCAGTGGAAGCGGTGAGGTAGACAATCAAGGAGCGTCAAGAACCGTTGCAAGAGGTGGCGACGGGCGGCAAGAGCTGAGCTGTGTCTGAATGTCCTCGGTCTATTTAACACAAAGTGCTCCACAATTTGCAGTTGGAGCAGAGTGTCCCGAACATCAAGGCAAATGCTTGGCTTATATTGCACCTTTCCATCTCTGTGTCTTGATCATACATCTCGTTCGCGAGTACCTCATGGTGCCACGGTCATCCGCATTGCCACAGAAGTTCCGCTCGCTTTGCAGCCGCCACATGTTCCGGTCCTATTTGACAAAGCCTATCACTTAGGCCGCTTTGCCGCAGGTCCTGCCAGCCACGCTTTGGCCGGCGAAGGCTTGGTCATGTCGTCACATAAGGTCGATGGTTCCAGGACTTCGCTTTCTACCGTCTAGACGCGAATGTGTCCTGAATGGCGAGTGAACTCATGAAGGCTCGGCGATGTCGTGATTGATCCACAAAAATAGGTGATTTTGCCGAGACCGACGGGAAGAGCGGTTCGGTCTGTTGATTCAAGAGCTTGCCGTTGAGGCTTGAGCCAACTTTCAGCGAGGCTTGCAACTCGTGTGCCGGCTTGCTCTTAGCGGCATCAGCACGGGACTGAGCCGACCAGGTAGCGCTGCTAGCAAAAGCGCAGCGGGCATGGAGTAGAGCCATACACCTTGCACGCGGTGAAAAGGCTCGATGCTCGACGGGAGGACGAGCCAGAGGCCGCATGGAGCGCGAAGTGATGGTCGATAAGAATGCCAAGATCTGCCGCAGCAAACGCAGGTACTTGCCCATGCATGCGTTGAACGCTCGCCAAGACGAGCTACTTTGCGCTTTCCGGCATGTGAGAAGTGCTGGCAAGCCACTCCCACGCGTCAGAAGGACTTGTCCACTTTAGCTAAGGCTATTTCTATTCGTGAGCAAGGGACCCCTCTCGACGACGGTCTGACTGCTTTGTGCGAGTGTCCATATGAGCCTTGCTGCATCATCAACTTCTGCTCCCTGTTTCATGACCTGTGAGCACCATCGTCCACGCGTGCCATAGAGTCACGGTCCTTTTCCTCTGTTCTGCTCGACGAAAAGGCCAGTTCCAACCTGCTATCTGGCAACATTCTCTCGAGGGTGACTTGGGTATCTCAACGACTTGTTGAGGTATTCTGGGAACATACTGTGCGCAAGACTCGATCGACTCTTCGTTGCTCAATCAAGAGTAGCTAGCTGTTCCAATGCCTCGCATGGTGTGAAGGCAGAGAGGATGAGAAAGCAGGCTTGCAGCGCCGAGCCTTTGCGCCAAGACTTTCCATCCGCGCGAGCGCGTGCACGCTCATCCAAGCAAGCAAGCGCAATTAAGTTTCGAGACCCTCGATCCTGACGTTTGCGCGCTGCCCCTGCTAGCTCGATGAGGGTGCGTGCGTCAATATAGCTGTCAGTCCATCCTCTTCCCGCGCCACTCTCCTCGATCGTACTCCAACGCTGCTCGGGGAGTAATCAAATGACAATTGTAGTCAGACATCAAACCTTCTAGATGACGTGCTCCCTGCCAAGCACACGAAACAACGACATTCAAAAGTCTCAAGACGCCTCCAATCTTGAATTAAACATAATCGGAAAAAAGCTCGCTGCTCTCGAGAGCTTTCTGGGAAAACCTCGTGCACGCATTTCCACGTGACTGGAGCCAGAAGAAGCTATAGCATCACGTGTACCAACCTTCCTGCCGCGGCTCAACTTGCATGTGATCACGCACGATGGCGTGAGCGCGCACGCGGTGACTCGAGCGCGTGTACAACCTTGAATTTATTGCACTCAAGACTCAAGACTCACGACTCTGACTGATTGATAGCTGAGCGTTGATCGGTGTAATCGGCGCGTGTTCTATTTTAATGTTGTGTATACTGTACCGTACCTCCGCATGCACCCAGCACAGCCCGGCCGTTGCTTAGCTTGCTTTTTGCCCCGCAAGACGGCCAACTTTTCTGACTGCTGATAGTCGAGTCAAAGTGATGGATGTGCGAACTTTGAATGCGATCGACTTCTTTTGCCTGCTTGACTGCTGGATGGACACCCACTACTTGAGCCCGAGCATTTGACCAGTCAATCTTGAATCCTGACTTATCTCTAGGCTTGTATAATCGTTCAAGATTCAATTTGAATTGCAGGACAGGCGCCGATGCAAGCCATCATGAGAATATCTTGCACTTGAGGTGACTGTGGTCATATGGTCAAGTTTAGCACATCTTCATCCACGATTCGTACCCTTCAACAGCTGGATGCAGGTCAATGGCGATGCGTATCAGCTATTCGAATGCTCGGACCACATCTCTAATCCGTCTCTCAGCACGCCCTCCCTTCGTCAGAGCACCCCTCGTCTGTAAGCTACGAGGTGTGTATGCCCGTACGCTTCATCGCACCTAGCCGTTTCTGACCTCCATCACCATCCGCTCAGCTTCACACCGGACAATCACCGCGCCCCAGGTCCGACTCTTGCACGTCTCTGTCAAAGTAAACATGGTGCCGCCAGTCGCATCGAACGCTCCCTCATCCATGCCGGAGTCTAGGGCAGCTGAGCATGGGCCTTCGTCTCAGGCTATCGGGAAGGCGGCCAAGACTAGCCACGTGCTGCACATGAATCTCAAGCAGGCTCCTATGAAGGCAGAGAGAGCTGAAGGCTGCTATATATACGGACCAGATGGCAAGAGGTGGCTGGACGCTTGCGGCGGTGCTGTGAGTGGTGCAGCGCTCGCGTAGCTCCTGCGTGCTGCTATGTCGTAAGGTCTGGCCTGGACTACCGAGTATCCTAAAGCGTTGAAATTGCGCTGCGCTCGACATTGACAGGTATCATGCTCTACGTCTTTGCCCTTCCCTCAACTTCATCTCAGGCCGTCGTGACAGTAGGACATGGCAATCAGAGAGTCGTGTCGGCCTTGTGCGAACAATTGCAGACGGTCAATTACTGTCACAGCTTGAACTGGACCACGGACCCTTCTGAAGAGCTGGCCAACTTCCTTTGCAGCTCGGCTCCCAAAGAAGCCGAATTCGAACGAGCCTACTTCGCTTCTGGTGGAAGCGAGGCTCTGGAAAGCGCCCTCAAGGTGAGCTGCTGCCGAGTACGAGCGGGTGTTTGTTCGCCTGCTGACACTTGCACGTCTACTCCACACCGCATCAGCTTGCAAGAGAACACTTTTACAAGAAGGGCGAACATCGTCGCATCAACTTTGTTGGACGGCAACAAAGCTATCACGGTACTCTGATAGGCTCGCTGGGCGTAGGGGGCAATGTACCCAGAAGGGCAATGTACGAAGAGATGTTGCCCAGCGCATTCAACCATCACGTCTCGCCCTGTTTTCCATACCGCTATCAGCGTGACGGTGAGAGCGATCAAGCGTACGTCACACGGCTCGAGGATGAACTGGAAGCCAAGTTCCAGGAGCTGGGGCCTGACACGGTCGCTGCGTTCGTCGGCGAGACAGGTGAGTCCAACATACTGCTGGTGGGGCGCACAAGGACTCGACGCTGAACATTTGCGATGTCCTGAATAGTTGTGGGAGCAACGACAGGTGCGGTCGCCGCCGTTCCTGGCTACTGGCAAGCCATGCGCCGAGTGTGCGACAGGCACGGCGCCCTTTTGATCATGGATGAAGTGAGCGAGAGTCGCGGGAAAGACAATGCCGCGCTACAAGCTGACCGTGTGTGCATCGCTCTGCAGATTATGAGCGGTATGGGTCGCACGGGCTATTTGTGGGCTTTCGAGCACGAACACGTTTATCCGGATATTGTTACCATTGCCAAAGGTCTCAACGGCGGGTGAGTCTTGGGGTGCTCGATGAGGGGTCTCAGTGCTGATCGTCGTCACTCCCAATCTCAGCTATGCGCCGCTTTCGGCGGTCTTGGCCAATAGAAGGGTAGTGTCGACACTTGATGCAGAACCAAGAGGTGTCAGCACCTTCTTCACCTACTCCTCTTGGTCCGTAGGAGCGCGCGCGGCGCTCGAGGTGCAACGCATCATCAAAGAGGACAATTTGGTGGACCAGTGCAAGAGGCGAGGCGTCTTTTTGGAACATGCGCTGAAAACAGTTCTGGGCGATCATCCTCACGTTGGCGACATCCGAGGAGTGAGTCGAATGGCGACCATCATTGCAAAGCCAAACACAATCTGATGAGGTCGACTCTCTGATTCGCACAGAGAGGACTCTTCTACGGCGTCGAGTTTGTTGCCGATCGTAAGAGCAAGGAGCCATTCGCGCCGCAGCTTGGAGTAGCACCGAAAGTGGTCGAAGCGTGTGAGTCGCCTTGGGGGTGACCAGATTCGCACTGGTCCGTGGTGAACAGCCAATTGACATCTGATGACCTCTTACACAGTAATCAAGTCAGCCACATCAGAAAACGCTGGAATTGTTCTCTATCCCGGCAAGGGCACTATAGACGGTGAATGTCAAATACGATCTGCCCTCCTTGAAAAGCTCGCACGAGGCAACATTGCTCACTCGTGACGTCCTCTTTGACGTACAGGAAAACGAGGCGACCACGTCCTCATTGCGCCTCCCTACACAATCGAAGAGGCCGAGCTGACTTATGTCGCCGAGGGTATTCGAAAAGCTCTAGATGCAGTGTTGCAGGCCATCCAGTGATGAGCCTGCTGGGACTCGGGCCGAGCCAAATGTAGGTTCGGCCCTCCTGCTGACTCGTTGACCCAGTGAACAAGGTGCAGGCCTCTTTCTGATGACGAGGAAAAATGAAGAAATCTCTTCATACGAAGCTGGAGACAAAAGAATAGTTGTACAATTACATTTCAAGCTGGGAATGATCAGCAGTGATGCGTGCGATGAGTCGTGAGACGAGCCATTGAGACGAGCAATGCTGATCTACCTGCGGCAAATCATGCTTGAATAGCCATGCTGCGGTGGCGCACAGCGACGCGCATCATGCCTCTCGATCGCTCTGCTGTCCACTGGCGCTCCGCCTGGCCTTTTTGGTGCTAGGCAACCAAGAAGGTCTTTTGAGCCTGTTTGCCAGCCTCTTTGGTCCTGAAGAGGGAGGCGTCTGCGCATCCTGAGCGGATGATGTTGAAGAATAAGAGGCGGAAGGATCAACGCCATGGCCGTGTGGAGTGGTGTGGATCGAAGAGCCCCTGGAAGCTGAAGGAGGAATGGAAGGCCGAGAAGCCAAGTCTGTCGATCCGTACGTGGATCTCGAAATTTGGGCGTCGGAGGCAAAATGACTGGCAGATCCTCGCAACAGCCTCTTGCCTTCTCCAGTAGGTGTTTGGGATCGCGAAGCGTTTCCGGACGCGGGCGTGCTCGTCGCGTTGGTCGGACTTCGAGAGAATAGAGAAGTAGCACCTGCAAGGCTGTTGGAGCTGATCTTTCTCTCCCTCTCGTATTCTCCCCTAGCCCTCGCAGCATCCAATCTCCTCTTCGATTCTTGCCTCGACAACCGTCTATCGTTTGGATTGATATCGACAATGTCGTCCGGATCCAATTCGCTCTCCTCTCCCTCCTCCTCCTCTTCGCCTTCTGCGGGACCTTGCGCCGGGAATCCGAGGGATGGTGGTGCTTGTCTTTCGAGATCGCGAGAATTGGAGTGAAAATGTTGAGCATGCATGGGCGAGCGAACTGAACGCCTCGAGATGGACGCGGCTGGAGAGCGAGGCAGAGGTGAGAGCGTATCTTGAGGTGGAGAGGTAGCCAATTTTGCGGAAGGTTGAGTGTAATGGTCCAGGGGCGAAGTGGGTCTGGAGGGGTCGTGTGCCGACGTCGACAGGTATGAGGAAGGACGAGCAGCCTTGGGTGTGCGTACCGTGTCCGTGCAAGTCTCGCCACCGTTGTCGACGCCCAGATCCGCTTCTGTGGCCTGCTCCGTATACGCTTCTGCGCCTGCTTGTTCTCCCGACCGCCCTTCATACAGACTTTCCACTTCTCCGTCCCACCTTTCTGCTGCCAATGCCTGTTGCCAGCGTCGAGCACCTGCTGCATTGACCCCGCCTGGTGGGACGCGGACGCCCACAACGCCTACAAAGAGAGCCCACTCGAGGAGGGTGAAGATGAGTTGCTGACCGGAGAGGTACGCGACGCTCAGGCGCGGAAGCTCTTCGAGATGATGAGGAACGCTAGTCAAAGAGGCTCCGATACCGTCCATGCTCCGCGCCTTTGCTGGCAGTAGAAACAAAACGTTGGACACCGATACAATGACTAGGATCGACACCTGTCCTCAGAGTGCAACCGAGGTGGTCAATCATTCTCCTCTTGGTATCCTCACACATCTACGCTCACTGCGCAAACGACTCACCAGGCAAATAGCTGCCACTGCGATGGTGAGCTCTCTTACTTTTCGCGAGCAGCCGATCACTCCCACAGTCGTAGCTCGAATGAGACCCGACGCTGCTAAAGCAAAGATCAGCCTCCTCGTCTTTTCCACTTTTGCCTGGTCATCTCCTCCTCCAGCCGGGTCGTCGGAGGATGGGCCGTAGAGAAGTAGCGCGGTGAGTGCTGCGCAAATGAGTATATCCAGAGTAGCCATGATTGGCAAGAATACGAAGAAGCGAGGTCTACCGAGCGGCACTGGCAGCACGATCGGCGACGCAGCTGCCTCCTCTTGACTTTCCGCAAAAAACTCGTCATTTGCCACATCGGACGGGACGCTCTGCGAAGCGCGTTTGGAACGACGCCCGCCAGACGCTCGGCCCGCATGTATGGGCTGATCGTCCCCGATGAGGATGTATGAAGTCGGTCGGAGCTCTGGAGAGGTCGTCGTCGCCGCCGTCGCTTCCGCCATGATCCCGAGATGCGCTTGGATCGAGTCGATTGCTGGACAGGAACAGCTTCGAAGCAGGCAGCTGGATAGGATGTCGTGTCGTCGACAGCGGCCCAAATTTCGCAGAATCGATCCAGATGATGGAAGCAATGACCAAGAGGTTGAGGTTCAAGTCACCTTTTGCTGGCGCACGACTCGCTCGGTGAAAGCACCGCACTGCGCGTTAGAATTGAGCGCGTCAGGGGTCACGTATGCGGCGCGCGTATAACGCGGCTACACATGCAGCAGCAGCTATTAGCAGCCAGCAGGGGCCGCGGCGCGCGCGCGTTTGCAAGGGGAGAACATCGGGAAAGTCCGTGCTGTGCAAGCATGGCGTGCACCTCCTCCTCTCTTCCCTCTACCTCACCTTGATCCTTATCCGCGCATGTTGGCACAATTCTCCTCACAAGCCAAACAAGCCGAACGAAGCACGTGGCAATCGCTTTCAGCTTATGCAAATACAAGCAAGTATACAAAGATGAAGTATTCGTGTCGAAGCGTGCCAGGCGCGCTACACGGCGAAATACAGTGTCGAATCTCAAAAAGACGCCGGCACTCGAAAGAGCTCACTTTCCACGTCCCTGACCGTAAGCCTTTGAAGCGTACTCTCCATTCTCCACGATGATGTTGGCAGGAGTCTGGATCTTGCCATTGATCCAGTTGTCAAAGATTTCCAACGCGCCTTCAGCGTACCTCTTTTGCGCAGAGATTGTCGTTCCGCTGTAGTGAGGCACCATTCCGTTACCGTAGGAGCTGCCGGATGGACCGCCGGGTCCTTGCATAGTGCGCCAAGGGTGGTCCTCACGAGCCGGTTGCTTGTCCCACACGTCGCCTGGGACGTGGCAGCACCGGGCGAGAAGATGAGGTGAGCACGACGAGGTGTAGAGAAGAGGGCACGACGAATGCCACGCAGAAAGAAAAAAACTCACCGGCATATCCGCGCAAGTGTCCGCTGTTGACGGCGTCTGCAACGTCGTCTGCCACGCAAATGGCACCACGAGCAGTGTTGACCAACCAAGAGCCCTTGCGCATCTTTGAGAGCTTCTCCTTGTTCATGAGACCTTTTGTGCCCTCGTGCAAAGGAGCATTGATGGTGACCACGTCGCACTGGCTCAAAAAGTCGTCGAGGTCTTGAACGCGTCTAGCTCCCACCTCTTTCTCCGCATCAGATGGGAGGTTTTGGTAGTCGAAGTAGAGGAGCTCTTTGCAGTCGAAAGGTTTGAGACGTTGAAGCACTCGGAATCCGATACGTCCAGCTCCGATCGTACCGACAGTCAAGCCTTCCAAATCAAAGGCATTCTTGGCAATGTCTGCAACGTACCACTCCTTGTTCCTGTACACTTGGGCGTGACCGACATTGTAGTTGCGGACAAGTAGAAGAATGGACATGACGACGTGCTCAGCCACGGAAACGACATTGGAGCCAGTCACTTCGGCAACTGTGATCTTGCGCTCATTTGCCTTGTTCAGGTCCACATGATCCGAGCCCACGCCGGCGGTGATGGCGAGCTTGAGCTTGGGTGCCTTGTCGATCAGCTCAGCGTTGATGTAGCCAGGGTGGAAAGGAGTGGTGATGACAACATCAGCATCCACAATCTCCTTGTGGAGCACACTGTTGGGTCCCTCCTTGTCATCCGTGACCTAGCAGTGCATCGAGGGAGTAAGACACTCGCTTCAGCTTCCGATCCTCGAGATCACAAACATTTGCGTACACTCACGATAAAGGTGTGCCCATTGTCCTTCATATACTTCTCCATGCCAAGCTTGTTCTCAGTCGTACCCAGCAGGCGCGACTCTTCTTGAGCGGCAGGACCGCCCTTGTACAGCACGCATACGACTTTGACCATGTTGGCAGGTGAGGAGTAGAATGGTCTTTGGGAAGATAGAGCAGATGGCGAATGCCTCGGAATGGCTGATAGAATGGCGAAACGAGATCAAGGCCAAGGAGGCATGAGGTGTCAATAATGCCGGGAGAAAGCAACAGGAGCGAGCTACATTGTCGCTATTTGAGGACAACGGTGCAGACACGTAAGATGTTGTCGAGCTGCTGATCAGGTCTTCGTGAGCTCCACATGCAAGAGGCGTAGGGAAGGCAAATTAGCGAGGCAATTACGTGAATGAAAGCTGGCCCACATCAAATGTGGAGAGCGGGGGCGTTGTTATTGCTCGTGGGCCTCAGGTGGGAGGGTCTGTGCTGTGCTGTGCTGTGCTGTACACCTTGCATACACCGTGGATATACCGTCCGTCGTGCACTCTCCTGCGACTGGTAGCGTACGTACGAGCTAGATCGTTGCATGTAGAAATCATGGCATCTCTCCCTATGCCTGATGCGCACCCAACGATGCTGGGCGATATGACGACTGGCGCCCCGCAACGCGGCGGCAAGCAGCACATGCAGTCAAAGTGATCCAGAGGGCAAAGTTGACCCGCGGTCGACACCCAGCATCAGCAGCGATATAGAGAGGATAGCCCGGCCCATGGCTATACCGCCACTGCCGTCTCCATCAGACAAGCGGCGCCCGATCACCTCCACCTCCATGTCGCGCTGCTGCTTCAGCGGCCCAGTGCCTGGGCTCACTGCATCCGCGCACCCTCGCTTCTCTGCTCTTGGCATCCTGAGGATCCTCATGTCCACGAACGGCACGGCAAGCGAGAGGGCAAAGAAAGCAAGTCAGCCAGCCGCTTGCTCCGATTGCATAGCCATGGCGAAGGCGAAAGCAACGTATGACTTCAGCTAGAGTGGTGGAGAATACTTGACAATTCTATTCACATCCGGGTGGGCGATCATGAGAGCATTGCAAAAGGACGCTCGCATTGCAACGTCGCTCATACCCGACCGACGCTTGCACCCTGATTCATATCTCATCAACATCTTCAACTCGCTTCCCCACATCGGCTCGATCAGCAAGCAGCAAGCAAGTCGCGCGTTGCACAGGATCACGAATACTCTGTCAATCAAGTCCTGCTGCATCCTGCATGGAGGCACGCGAGTGCTGTACTTGCACCCTCCCTCCACTTCAACACAAGCGCAGCCGCCGCGGCCGGCGTCTCTGCTAGCTGTGATGCATGCATGCCGTTTCATCCGCGGCGCGCGCCCGAGCACTGATCATCACGCATGCACACGGATCAGACTCAGCAGCAGCCGCGCCGTCGAGTTGCTGCTGCTATACGCGGTCCCACGTACCGATATCGGCCCAATCATCAAAGCACACGCGCGCTTTTTGGATGCATGCATGGCGCTATTGCATAGCGCAGCATGGCATCGCATCGCAGCACTTTCTCTCACGCCGAGGACAGCCGTGAGCGCGAGAGGATGCCTGTGTTGCCGGGTGTATATGGTGTGCTGGCGAGTGAGCGAATGATAGATGGTGTGGAGGCAGGCGATTCATTCAGAGTGTTGTTGTTGCGTCTTGCCCAGCAGGTTGCACATGGTCAGCTGCTGGTCGCGCGCGCAGGCATTCACAATTCGGATGATATCCTGTATGACAGCCGCGAATTCAAGGCAGACGAGGTCAGACGTTGGTCACGAGGAAGAGGCACACACACCATTCCAGCATCGAAAGTTTGGCAGGCGGGATCGCATTAAAATGAATATGATGCAGAGAGACTACTCACCATCACTCTTCACTCGCGACGGATGCGACTCATCCAGACTACTACTTGCTGTTCATCTATCTAGCCGAGGAAATCAAGAATGCAGCCGCGTCTTCCGAGCGAGGGCACGCGTCTCACCCGAATAAATCTGCCGCGCGCCGCGCGCGACGCAGTCTGACGGTCTAGTCACGTGCGCCAAAAGACCAAGTGTTGGTTGAAGTGGATTCTACGAGCCTATACGTTTTGCTTCCATGCTGCCTGCTGCCTGCTGCTACTGCCGCTGCTGCTGAGGTCGATCCATCCATCACCGATACGAACCCTGAAGATCGATCGACCAAACATTCTGATTCACGATTGCAACTCTCACACATCACAACACTCACGACTCCCCTGACTTCCTTGACACGCTTTGCGCGTAGCACTACCTGTGACTGAGCAAGCGTCCCAATATTCCTCGACCTTGACACTCATACAAGCGCGCTCCGATCGGACGGACGCATACAGCCCACGCCTGCTCGCTGAATCGCACAGCATGTTTGGTGCATCTCGGCGTGTCAATGCGACACCAGTACTTGCAGGAGCGGACAAAGAGAATGACGTGCCTGTAGCCTCTCGACAAGCGAGCGGATCTCTGGGGGCAGCCGGTGTCAAGGCCAAAGAGGAGGCTCGGGCGCGCAAAGTGGAAGCGAGACTTGTGGAGGCGGAGAGGGAGCTCATCGAACTGAAGCGATCCAAGGAGGAAGTCGACGTGGAGCTGCGTGAGTGGGAGGGATGGTACGGCGGTGATTGAGCGTGACGCGCATGTGGAGTCGACTCTTTGCTGAGCCCTGTTTTCCTGCGCTTTTGGGATCGACTTGCAGGCTTGGCAGGTCAAAAGAGATTGAAGCTCGAATCGGCCTTGGAGAAAGCAAGATCCTCGTCAACTTCTGGCACGAACCTCGCTGCACTGCGAGCGCAGTTCAAAGAGTTGGAATCGCTGCACGCGACGAGCAAATCGGAGTGGAGCGGAGCAGTTGCCAAAAACAAGACGGAGCGCGATGAGGCAAGAAGCGCGGCTAGACGTTTGGGACAAGAAGTGGAGAGCTTGAGGGTGAAGGTGGAAGATGCACAGACCGAGAATGCCGAGTGGCGAGCCGAGCTGGACAGAAGAAGCGCGGCGTTGAGCGAGGCGGAGCAGCGCGCCGAGGATGCGGAAGCCAAGCTGCAAGAACAGCTCGAGCAGCACGGCGACGCTTCGCAGCAGATGCACAGCCTGCAAGAACAGATCACTAGCTTGGAAGAGGAGGTGCAGAGCTTGGATGAGCAGGTCGACCTGTTCAGAGGTCGCGAACAGGCTCTCATGAAGGCGTCTGCGTCCATAGGGCAGGAACTGCAAGCTGCCAAGCTGGATCGAGCGGATGTCATGCGCATGATGAAGATCTCTACAGCTCAAGGCAAGGCTGCGCAAGCTCAGATGGAGCAGATGGAGCAGGAGAAGGGAATGTCTGAAGATGCTTTGAGCGCTGTGAAGGAGCAAGAACAATCTCTGCGCTCTCAGCTGGCCGAAGCGCAGGAACACATCCAAAAGTTGCAAAGCAGGCCTTTCTGCGAGATCCATATCAGTGCGGAGTCGAGCACGCCTCCTCAGTGCCAACATGCGCCATCCGACAATGTGCAGGAGCTCCAGCTGGATCGGGAAGCGTATGAAGCGGCGATCGCCGATGTGAAGCAGCGAGAACAGCTGATTCGCATCGAGCTGGACGGGATGCAGGACATGGTGACGAGGATGCAACATGAGCTGGCCGATTTCCACGAGCGCCAGCCGGATCTGCTTCGAGAGGCTTCTTTGGCCCATCAGGCCATCGTTCAGTCGCAAGAGCTAAAAAAGCGCGTCAGTACGCAAGAAGCTCAGCTCAGCGCCTTGAACGCTTCGCTGGCTAAAGCGCGGGAAGAAGCGGTGGAAGGATCAAGTAGAGCACAGGCATGGCAGGTGCACAACGAAGCTCTGCAGAAGGAGGCGTGCTCGCTCAAGGAGCAGAACAAGTGTCTCGTCTCTCGGCTCAACAACGCAAAGGCCAAAGAAGATCGCTGGAGCGACGACTGCAACGAGCTGCAGGAAGCGCTCGCCAATGCAGAGCGCTACCAAAGCGCCTACGAAACGCTGTCGAAAGAGCACAAGGTGCTACTCTCTCGCGCATCGCATGCCGAGTCTGAAGCTTCACTGCTTTCTACGCTCAATGCTGATCTAGCATCACACGAGAATCCGATGCAAAAAGTGCACTACATGGATCGACTTCGGCGAGAGCGCGACGAGGCGAAGTACGAGGTGGTAGGTCTCGAAGAAGAGGTGCGGACTTTGAGACAACAGATGCAAGAGATCAAGAGGAAGTTGCACTGCTTCGAAGCTATCGAGGTGCCCCTTGCTCAGAGGCAGAGGACCACGTTGACTCGCGTAAAGAGGTACGCACATCATCGCTCCTCTTCGGCTATAAAGAGTCTGGAAAAGATTAGGTTGAACAAGACGGCTCCTTTGCCTCTGGAAGCTTTGGAAGCTGCTCAGAGGCAGATGAGCTCGCACCGAGAAGCCGAAGAGCCACAGGAGGAAGAGGAGCACCAAGACGAGGAGGAGGAAGACGAGCAGCAGGAGCCTGCGACTTTGAACCAAACTCACCGATCTGAACGCGAACGGCGAGATTCAAAGCGCAGAAGATCGGTCAAGGGACCCACGACCTCCACGCCTTTTGTGCAGAGCAAGCCCGCGGTTCGGGTCCAGCGCGCTGCAGGTCGAACCTCGCTCGTGGCAGCTCGTTGCGAGCCGATGCAAGCGCGTCGATCTTTATTGGCCTCTCTACCCGCCATCCCTCTAGCCGACGAGAGATCCGTAGATGTGCCCTCAGTTGCCCAAGAAGGGCAGCAGCCAGCACGACGAGGACGTGAAGAAGCGAATGTATGGTGCGATGAACCTGTCCCTGCTCCTACCGCAGCAGCTCTTCCTCGATCCCACTCCCTCGGCCAACTCGGTCCGGCTTCTCCGGCGGCCAAGAGTGCGCTGCTGAGATTGAGAAAGGAGGCAAAGGAAAAGGAGGAGGAGGGTGATTTGACGCTGGAGGAATTGGGAGGTGGAAGAGGACGCGCTTCTAGGATTAGAATACATCGACGCTAAGGGGCAAAAACCCCCTCCCCCCCCCTTCTTGCTTTCCTCCCCTTGCTGCCTCGCCACCTCTGAGTCTTTTGATTCTTGGCAAATTTGCCTCGCGCGCAAGTGTTCACAGTCGACCATGTACAGTATCAGTCAGCTTCCCCCTTTAGCGTTCGCAATTCCTCATGACATTCCAGCCTCGACAAAGTAATCGTCAGAACCACAAATCGCAGCAAAGAACACAAAGGGGAAAGGAATGACGCTTTACAGCTTGGCTTTGCCCTCTTCGGATCGTCTAATGATCAGTTTGACGTTCTCCGCACATGCAGGAAATTTGCTGGCGTAGCGAACAGCTTCTGCCGAGCTGGCCTGCAGGTTTTGGGGAAAGAAAAAGTCGAATGCTTAGCATTCGCATCGTGATCGGCGCCATGGGTCGACATTGCTTGCATAGATTGCGCACGCACCTGTTTTTGAGCTACACGAGCAGCGATGCCTTGTGCGATGACAGCAAGCTGAAAAGGAGAAGGAAGGTGGTGGTCAACACGAGCGCCCGGCGCCATTGCATTCGTTGCACTCGCTCGAACACGCGACTTACGCGGAACCAAGCCCATGCTTCGCAGAATGCCCAATTGGGAATAGGGAATGGTCTTTCAACCGCTTGGCAATAGATTTCGAGGTTCTGTTCCTTTGTGGGTACTGGACAAGTAGACTTGTCCAAGCCTCCAAGGGACATGAACATGTCTTCGCTCTTGCCACTTCCTGACTTCTGTAGTTGGTCGAGTGGGGCAGAGGCGATGGATGGGTCCGGGCAATCCAACGAGAAGGGCTGCAATATGTTGCCCAGATCGGAAAGAGGATGTCCGAGCGTGGAAAGCTCCCAGTCCAGCACACCAATCACGCGTGGTTCGGTCGGATGAAAAATCTGAGAAAAAGGTGCTGGTCAGCTTTTTTGTGCTGCGGCCTAGGAAAAGCGAGAGAGTGGGGACCGTGCAATCCAGCTCACCAGATTATCGATCTTGTAGTCTCCGTGAGTGATCTGAGCGAGGTGAAGGAAAGAGCGACTGGTAAGCAGCTGCAACGTCGCCACGCATGCTCTCGACGCACCCCGTTCTCGTCCGCGACCATGTTCTTGGCAAACCAAGTGGTAATGTCCTTGAAGGAAGGAATTTCGCCGACCTCTTTGCCAGTGTCCTTATCCTTCGCCTTGGACTGCATGTAAGACACTTTGCCCAGGCCTTTCAGCTGCCTCATGTAAAAGTCTTGGGTCTTGCCGTACGACTCCAGACCAACGTCTGCTGGTTTGATGCGGTGAAGCGCCGCCAACGTCTTCAAGGCTGACTCGTAGCTGCAAAAAAACATGCGGGCGCGTGATTCAGCATTGCGTGCGGCTAGCTGGACAGCCCCGTCCAAGCGGCCATAGCCCACTCACCACTGTATGCGCTCTTGTTTCGGGATGGTGACCATCCTGGGGTCCTCGAAGATTCTTCCCTCAACGAATTGCATAATGTACCAAGGAGTGCCGAGGATGGAAGCATCTTCGCAGAGCGTGTACACTTTGGGCACAGGCACAGCGTCCCTATGTTTCAATCTCTGATCGTCGTGCGGACCGGTGCCCTTGTCTCCTGGAAGCCTCTCGTTGTGCTCTCCGAGCGCCTTCAGCACCCTGTATTCTCGCTCCACCGCGTGAGCAGTGGGAGATAGCAATGTGCCGGGCGGCTTTTTGCGCAAAACGTATTTCGAAGCGTCGCTGTCGGTCAAGATGTACGTCGGGTTGGACTGCCCAAAGCTGAATTGCTTGGCGGTGACGGGCGCTGCAATGCCTTTGACGTTTTCTGAGGAGAGGCAATAGTGCGCGGATGCATCACAGCGGCAGTGTGGGTGAGCTTCTGGCAGTACCCTGCGTCCATACCTCCTCCTCCAGTCTCGCGTCGCTGGATGCGTTGCACTTGCGATCCTCCCCCTGCTCGAAGTGTTCGCTGCGCACCTCCACCTCCCTCATCACGTTGCAGCTGCACTCACTCTTCAGGTAGTCATTCAGCACATCCAAGTCGATCGTGTTGCGTATCTCGCCATACTTTTGACCCTCCTTCTTTGTCGACCCCGACGAAGATGAAGAGGAGCCAGACATTTCCACTGTCGATGTGCTCGGTCGTGGGGAGGGTGAGGAGGATACTCTCAGTGAAGCTGCGTGTGCTCGTTGAAGAAGGAGATGAGGCCAGTCGTGGTGAATGCGAGGGTGAAAAGTGCTCTGAGCGAAGGGATGTGGAGTCGAAGGATGCGGAGCTCACAGCTGATCCAATAGAAGTCACTTTGTGAGCCAGCCAGGTCAAGGAGGTGGCTGATGTCCAAGCATGTACGCAACAGCTGTATGTGCTGTAGCTCCATACACTTCGGCAGCGCTCATCGGCCCGGATCACAACCGGGCTGGTCCAGCGCGCGGCCGCTGGAGCCTGAGTCAAGTTTGAGTCAGAAGAGTGTGGGGATATATGCATCATGGGAAGAGGTCACGTGTCCCACACGTCTTGGTATTTCGTCTTCGACGCGCGCGCGCGCGTGTGCGTCCAAGTCCTGAGTCCTGCACCAGCAGGTCCAGCGTGCTGAAGTCATTGAGTCTGCACATACGTAAAGAGTGCTAGCGATTCGAGACTTTGAGCGACATCGTTTGGGAGGAGCCAGGAGCGCAGTATCAGTAGGAAGTACCGAATTGGCTCCGAGCAGGCATGACGGGCGGAGGAGAAGCGGTCGCTGCGAACTCGCCAACTTTGAATGAATCTTGAAGTCTGATGAGTGAGCAGAAAGACAGCACGCGTCGTGTACGTGACTCTTGACTCATGACCGCATTGCGTCCGACCTCACGTGAACGCAGCGGTGCAGTGTTGCTTTCACCGCCTCATCGACCTCGCCTCGCGGTGCAGCAGCAGCAGCAGCAGCTGCTCCTGCTGCATGCAGAGGCGGAAGCGCAGTCTCGATCACGATAGGCCTTTCTGTTTGGGCTGCGTGCGTGCTTAATTTGAATCGAGAATTAGGATTGAATCAGAGTCGTTAATAGGTATTAAGGAAACTCACGACTGCATCAGAAGCTCGGCCCGCGCGCCGGCTATGCACGTCGTATTATATAGTCTAAGTCGCATAGGGAATCGAGTGCATGGTGATCGAGGTGCTGTTGAGCGTACATGGTGTTTATTCGTGATCAAAGCTGTGTCGTGTAGAAGCTGGAAGATGCACACGCAGCGGGTGGTGTAACGGTTTCCAGACCCAAATATTGATACTCACATTCACATTCGTGATTTGTGACTCGGGATACCTGAATATCAAGCCAGCAGGTCGAGCGGGTCACTCTGAGGGTGATCCTGCCACCATCATTCAATATTGCTGGCTGCCTGTTCGTTACCCGCCTTGGTGCATGTTGCTGTATGCTGCACAGCGCTGTGCTTCTGGCCATCGAACGACAATACGCCCGCATAGCAACGAAGACGGTGCGATCCGCAGAGCTCCTGTCAACATCTTCTCGCGCTATTACAAGACCGGCCAGCGCCAAGATCTAGAGGGCATCTTTCTATCTAGCGTCGGTCTCGCATTTGACGCTGCCACGATCCTTTGCGAACATTCTCATGACCTGGAAGCTCACAGTCGTGAAAGGCCCACACATCATCACTTGTGACAAAGGTATCCTCGCCGAGTCGGCAAAATGTCTGGCATCCCTTCTCGGCTTCAACAACCTTCGGCCTTCGGTGGCTCACCTCGCAAAAGCGTCCCGAGCAGCAACCCCAGTGACACGACAACGGCGACGAACGAGTCAAAGCTGCCATCTCCGTCCTTGGCTTCCCGCTCGACCCCAGGAGGTGGCATTCCCGTGCCCTCCGGACCTACCTCTTCAGCCGCTGCGGCGCCAGGCACAGGTCGTCGATCTCTTCCTGCTCCTTCATCGTGGCATCACCGAGGTGTCTCAGATGAAGACCGGGTAGATACACCATCACGCTTGAGGCATCCTCAGCTATCATCTTCGATAGCTCCTGTAGCAGCTGGCAAATCCGATTCGCCCATGCCTCTTAAATCTGCGGCCAGTGCTGGGACTGCTTTGCCTCGGACTCCTGCTCCTCGAAGGTCGTTGGCTCCCAAGGGTAGCTTCGGCTCGCGTACGCCCGGCTTCGGTGCCAGCACTGCCCCAGAAGCTGCGGTGCCACCACCGCCCCTGCCTAAACAGTACGAGGCCAGCACGATAGCATCCACGGCTCGGACTCGCGAGAGGAGCAACAGCACAAAGGCATCGGAACCGATCTCCATCGCGGGAGTTGAGCTGGGTCAGATTGCACGCTTTGTGAGCGATGGCCAGACCCTGGAAGGTATCGTACGGTATCTGGGTCGTATTACCGGCAAGAGCGGAGACTTTGCCGGTTTGGAGCTGCTGGGCGAGAGCGAAGGAAAGGGAAAAAATGATGGCATCGTCAATGGGTGAGTCTGACGGCGGAGGCTTCGCCATTTTGCAAGAGGGTTCATTAGGGGCCATGCCGTGTGGCGCGAACGAGGGCTCATTTCCCGCATTGACCCCCTTCCATGCGCGCTTCATAAGGGAGCAATATTTCGCGTGTGGACCGCTCTGCGGCGTTTTCTGCAGACCGCACCAACTTCAAGTGCTTCGTGATTCTGTCAGCAACGAAGCTACTGCCAGACCTCAAAGTGCAATGTCCCATAGAAGTGGGAGATCATCGGTGGCTGGCGAAGCTTACAGCGGAAGATCTTCAACGTCGATGAGCATGAGGAGAGCAGATACACCGGAAGGTCCGCGTGCGAGCAGACCTCCCTCCAGTATGGCCAACTCGCTCCGTCGACCGGCCTCCCGCCTGTCTCTTTCGGCTTCGCGCAATGCGTCTGCTACGCCCCACTCCAGACCTCCGTCTTCAATGTCGCAAACAAGCGCAACCAGCTCAAGACCAGACTCGAGGCTTGCACCTCGCAAAAGCCATGCGGACCTGTTGCTGGACGAAGATGGTCGTAAACGAGCGAAGATAAGCGCAAAGGCCGCAGCGGAAGCAGAAGCGCGCATTCGAGAGGGTAGCAGGGCGTCAAAGTTTATGAAGGCCTCGGCTGCTGACTTGGCTGCGAAAAGGGAAGCGGGAATGGAAGATGCCGGCGGACCGCGCTCGACTAGTCCCCTGAAAGACTCCTTGATGGGACGGGCTCGTTCGAGCCTCGGAGGTGCTGCTGGGGAGGCAGCGAAAGGCGGGGTGGCGGGAGCTCGATGGCGCACGTCTGGAGCTGAAGCACCTGGCTCACCCCACGTCACTCCACGGCCTATGAAAGCTCGTTCTAGCGGTCCCGCTCTCACCGCAGGGGACATGGGTCCGCCCGGCAGTCCGTCTCGCGCAAACGGCGCTTCTTCCCCTCGGAAGAGCGTTGGAAGTCGCCCGACCAGCTCTCTTTCTGCGCACATGGCCAACGCAGATGGTGAAGATGAGGCGCGCACCCCGCTCAAGTCCGTCATGGCTAGGCTCAACGGGCAGACTGCGGCGGGATCGGAAAGCAACGAGCAGGTTGCTGGTCGACGCGGCCACACCGCCGAACGCTCCAGCGTCCATTTGCTTCTGGAGGAGATGGACCTTACTCCTCGACGACCACCCACCACTGATTCCAAGCGGCTCTCCACATCGACCCGCCACGATCCTTCAATCGCTTACCCAGTCAGCAGTGATGAAGCAGACACACGCAGTCCTAAGCGCGAGCGTAGTCGGAGTCGCAGTCCCATCAAAGCGGGTGTGTCTAGCTTTGAGCATGAAGAGCTAAAGATAGAGCTACAAAGGCTCAAGGAGAACATCGAAAAGCTGGAGACGTCGGCGTCTGCTGCTGCGTTGGACCATGCGCGAGACAAGGAGCGTGTCCGAGCATCGACGGCTGAAGAGACGCGCAAAGAAGTCGAGGAGGAGCGCACGGTCGAGAAAGCAGACGAAGCTCGCAGACGACGAGAAGCCGAGGAGCGCGAAGCCGCCAACAAACAGCGAGCAGCACAGGTACACGCGGACGAAATGCAGCGGGTGCAAGCGGAGGGCGAGAGGAGAGTGGCAGACGTCGAGAGTCGCCTCAAGGAAAGTGAGGCGCTGGTCAATGATCTCAAAGCATCCATCGGCAGCTCCGAAAGGGACGGAGAGGCGCTGAAAGCGAAGGAGGCGGAGATCACGCACCTCAAGGAGCGCGCGCAGCGCGTGGAGCAGACACTCGAGGCTGAGCGAGAGAAGGCGAAAGCCGAGATCCAAGACCTGCTCAAGAGCGGAAGCGAGATGAGCGCTATTTATGAGGAAGATGCGAAGAAGAGAGAAGAAGAGGCCGAACAGCGCGTGCAGGACGCTGAAGCTCGTCTGCGAGAATTCGCGGACAGGGCTCAGACTGCTCTTCGAGAAGTGGAAGCTCAAAGAGAGGCGGCGCTTGCTCAAGTGGCGGGACGCGTGACTGCGGCTCCGGGCAGCGCGGCTGCCATCGATCTGCAAACCGCGACGGAGCAGCTCGCGCACGAAAAGGCCAAGGCGAGCGCGCTCGAGGACCAATTGGAAGAACTTCGACACAAGCTGGAAGAGGAGAGAGAGAATGCTCGGAAGAGAAAAGAGCGCACTATGGAGGCGGAACAGAAGCTGCGCGATGAAGGTAGGAAAGCCAAGGCGGATGTGGCACGAATGAAGCAGGACAAGATGGAGGCTGAGAGCAAGGCCGAAGAGCTCGACCATGCGCTTCAAGCTAGTCGTGCGGCGCTCGAGAGCGAGCGCGCCGAGGTGAGTCAACGGCCGAGGTGCCATTTGGCTTTCTTTGCGCTTACAGGGACGACGACTTTTTGCCTGATAAGCTGGAAACCATGCGAGCTGAGGCTCAAGGTCTAGGTGGAGGACCGAGCGAGGTGGAAGAGCGTGCAAGCGCAGACAAAGCTCGGCTGGAGGGCGAAATTGAGAGGCTCAACACTCTTCTGGAAGCAGCGCGTTCTGGCAAGCGAGAGGCGAGCAAGGAAGCCGGAAGGTTGCGCATCGAGATGGAGGAGCTGCAAGCGAACATTGCGGAGCTACAGGGACACTTGCCCGCTCGTGCTTTCAAGTCTCCTGCAATGTCCGCAGCGGCTTCGGCGCGCATGTCTCGAGAGATCAGCAATGCCAGTCCGAGGCCTGGAACATCTCCGTCAGTTGATTCGGGCGCCTTTGCAAACGGTACCGAAGCGGCTGGAACCTCTCCCTCGTTGCAGCACTCTCGGCGTATCTCGAACGCAAGCTCCACTAGTCGACGCTCTCGAGGCTCTCTTGGGCCTTCTGCTCAGTCTGCGAAGGACGAACTCACGGGTTTGCGCATTCTTGTCGGCACCTTGAGCGAGGAGGTCAGCGGCCTAAAGGTGAGCAAACAAGATCTACAAGCTTCTCTCGAAGAGACCCGCCACGAGCTGTTGGCTGCCCGAGAGCAGAGGTCGACGCTGGACCACCAACTTGCAGATCTAACCAGAGAGTTGGGCGCTCAAGGCAAAGGGGACGTGGTCAAGCTTACGACAGAGCTCAACGAGACCAAGGCGGCCCTTGATCGCTCACTCAAGTCCATCGAGACGATGGAACGCCAACTCAAAGAAGCCAATGATGCGCACGAGCGAAGCCGAGTCTCTTTGCAACAAGAAATCACAGGTGCGTGCCGCGGGCTCACGCTGAAACTTTTGGCAGCACGTTGCTCCAACTGACTTTCCTTCGCCTTCTGTGCCCTGCCAGATCTGGAAGCTCTCTGCGAAGCCTCGGTTTATCGACGAGATGAGCAGCAGCTCATCTGCGAGGAGCTAGAGCGCAAGGTGGCCAAGCTGCAAAGACAGATTGAGCGAAGCTCGAGCTCCGCGTCGCTTGTGGCAGACAAGACCGCAAACGAGCCGATGCAGGAGACCAAGAAGGTCAACCCACCGAAGTCTTCAAGAGCGAATGAAGATGATGTCTTCAGCTCGACGAAGGCAGACGCGCAGCAGGAGCAATCGACGAACGGGACGATCGAAACGACGAGAGTTGTCAGAACAGAGCAGCCTGAGACGCCTGCGCCTGCAGCGTCCGTTCCAACTACGCAGGCGACATCGACCAACGTTGACGACGATGACGACGACAGACCATTCTGCGATGGTAAGTAGACGCTGGTGCTGTGCGCAGAAGACGTGAATCGAGTGCTCACGAACTCCTATTCTCTCTCGCGCTTTTCCTACCAGATTGCGAAGAGTATGGGTGCGTTTCATCACCTGAGCGGAGAGTATCGTAGATCTGGACTGACTTTCTTCTTCCATCGCGCTGGTGCAACGCTCCTTGCAGACATACCCTTGAGCGTGAGTTCTGCTTGGCCAACACGATGCGTCATCTCAGCTAAACCCCACCCTCTCTCCCCTTTTTTTCTTTGGCTCTCGCAGAATGCACCATCAATGATGTCTTCTGAGGTAGCGCAGACTCATCCTGCCTTATTTACTATGATTCGACTGTTGCATCATCCGCATATTTGCTATTTCCTTGCGCGCCTGCGCTAATCTGTGCTAGCGAGCTTACTTCGCTGGACAAGTCTCCTCAGACTCCACAAACCTCCGCTTAAGCTGCCTGGACCTTTTGCCTTTATTTATCATGTTATACCTTTTCAAGCGCCCTTGAGGCCGACAACGAGCTTTGATGAAATCATGACGTCCGCATTGCAAAGTTTGCCAGACAATGTAGAGAGCGTGTAGGATGGCGAGGCGCAGCCGCCATCGAAAGAGGGCACGGGGTTTGCGCCCCGAAGTTGGGGCATTTGAGCGGCTACTCCTGCATTTCATCGTCGGAGCTCGTGAGGGGCGCTTCCTCCTCGGACTGGGCATGTCCATTCGAAGCCGAGTTGCCAAAGCCATTGACTTGCAAGCGACCAACTCCTCCATTCCTCGAGGACAATGCAGACTGATCAGCGAGTGCTGAGCCGCTCGACAAATCGGCTGCAGGGTCCACACCAGTCGACCCGACCTTTGCATTTGCCGCTCCACCTGCCGACAGCTTGCCAGCTTGCACATCCTCCAAATGCTTTGCCCTCTTTATCAGTGCCGCATTGAGCGATGTGGGTTGAGGAATGACCTCGTCCAGAAAGTTGAAGCTTGATCTATGAACCAGATTCGACAAATCCTTGTACGTCACCACTTTTCTCTTTTCGGCCTTGGCTCCCAAATACGCTTCTTCTGCTAGCACTTGGACAAACTTCTCGGTAGCTACCGCCATGGCTCGCACGCTATCTTTTGGCAGTTGTTCCACGTCTTCGTCCGCCTGTAGCGAGGGCATGACCAGAATCAGCACTTGGCGAGCTTCGTCCTGTTTCCACTGCCATTCTCTGGACAAGAAATACCAGCAACGGCACTCACCCGCATGATCCGTGCAACTCTGGTCAGAGCGAACAGAGGCGTGCCGCCCAGAGGTGTAGACGCTCCAGCCTGCGAATCCTTGGCCGCACTCGTGGATGAGCCAGCAGCTTTCCCTCCCCCAGCACTCGCACCTCCCGCCTTGTCCTTTCCTTTGCCCGTGGACTTGGCTTCATTAGCGTTTGTGCTGGCACCCTTGCCGACTTGCCCCTTGCCCTTAGGTCCCGCCTTGGAGGCATCCTTTCCAGCACTTTTCGCCGATGACGCTTTGCCCGCACCTCCTGATTTGGATACGCTGCGCTGATGAGCATTTGCTGGTGCGGAGGTGCTCGCGCTAGAACCAGCCTCGTGTTGAAGATTGCCTTCCACCTCCATGACTAAGACTGATCGCAGAGATCGGGCTCTCTGAAGCAACAATATGTCTCGCTTTGCGTTCGGAGTGGTACGAGTGTACAGCCAAGCCGATGGTGCTCGTGACACCGCTCGAGTAGCACGTTCAGCGAAGCTCCGAGCGTAGAATGTTCAAGCTTGCGGTATAGGTGTGTATTCACGATTGTAGATGGGTGTGCAGATGAGGTCCATCAGCAGTCGCAATCTGAATCTGCATTTGCATGGCCGGTTTGCTGCTTAATTGTGACCATGCACGATCCCACCGCCGCGCCTTCCTTTGGCAGCTTCTGCTGCCGATGCTGCAGCGCGGCAATTAACACGCAACGCGCGCGTCCACGGCGCGCACGCGACGCGCCGTGTATTCCACTCAATGCTGCTGTGTGGATGAGGCGAACGACAAATCGTGGATATCACGCAAGACTCGCAACCAAAACCTCAAGCTTTGACAGATCACTCACGGTCACTGATCTTTGGAGCCATTCACGATTGGCACCTTCATATATGCTCCATGCAACCTGAGATTGATATCAGATAGAGAGGTCAACCTGCCAAACCGCGCGGCCAAAGGTGGGTACGCTCAATGGTCCAAATCGCTCCGCTGCCGCACGGAGCTCCATTCCGCAGCTCTGGGTGGGTCCGAGCCACCCTATCGTAGAAAGAAACAAGCAAAAATGGTCAAGCGAAAGCGATCTGGACACGGCGATCGCCTCGCCGTCGCCTCAAATCAGCAGTCAAAGGATGCTGAAAGCACGACTGTGCTACGCCCTTCGAAGCATAAAAGTGCTGATCGAGGGTCGACCAATGATCGGAGCCCCCTCCAGAGTGACTTGGCTCGAGCGAGCCAAGCGCATCGCCTTCTTGGCCGCTTTTTTGTGCGCCAACACAGCATTGAGGACTACTTGACTGGCCTGCTTCCCAGCAAAGCCCAAAGCATTGTCGCCCGACTCCTACGAGAACCATCCACCTCCGAATCGTGCGCGAAGGAACACGACTTGGCTTCGAAGATCATCTGCTTGACGGGTGCTCAAGAAGCTGCCTTCACGGCAGATCAGCAGCGCTTTTCTACCTGGACTTCCCCCGATCCTGCGGAGCTATCAGGCGTCACAGTAGCCGACGTGGTGAAGCGAGCTCAGATCTTGCTGCTTCGTCGATCCGCCGCATCCAGCACTTTCAAAGGTTCGCGACTAGCAAGCAATCTCCTCACACTCGGTTACAGGATGGCAGATGATCGGGCTCCCTTGTCTCACCGTGGCGGAGGTCTGACGAATTTCCAACTCAACACCAACGTCACCAGCATCACTGTTGATACACAATGGTCCAATCTGCTTCGCTCGTTGGGCGCGAATGTCTTTATTCACTTGCTCACTAACGCATCCATCTTCGCGCCGATAGCCCACTCAGATGACTGCTGGATGCAGCTCACTGGCGTTCCCATTTCTGACCTGGAAGAACAAAGCGTCGCTCACCCCAACGAGACTCCCGTCGCTGCAATGGTCCCGCCCCGTCGCCGACGAAAGCGCTCAAAGCGCCACGATGCTGAGCCCTCACTTCTCCTTGTCCAACGAGCCCCCTTTCAAAAGACCGTTTCTCTACCTACTGGTGCCTTTGACAGGCGACCCGCACCGTCAGAGCGCCTACGAGCCTTCAACGGCGCTGCTCTGAAGCGCAAGTTTGGTGGCAAATCGCAAACGTCACAGAAGAGGTAAGTCGCATGTCAAAGATCGACGAGTGTAAAGATGGCCTAACATCGACATCGCTTCTCTATGCTAGACGAAAGCACACAGAAATCACCCTTGTCCGCTCCCGTATATTCTACGCTCGACCAATTCGGACGAGAGCAGGACGCATAGCGGTTGGCTTGCCCATCAATCGTGAGCAGTGGCCGGACAGCGCTGATGCATATAGCTTGCAGCGCTTTCTGAGGATCAACGCCTCTTCTTCCGGCTAGATGTCTTCAATCGAACCGCCAGCGTGCCGGATCTCCTCAAAGCTTTGCGCAGATCTCCGTCAAAGCAAGGAAGCTCCGCCAGCCCTATGCCTGGAGATGAGAGGGCGGATCAACGCGCAACCCAGCTCGGACCGCTCACGCTCGCAGAAAGTAAGAAATACAAGCTGATGCGTGTTCAGCATGTGATGAAGCATGTCTGGCCGCTGGAGTACGGCTTGCACAATGTCTTTACCAGCAGCAGGGACTGGAAAAAGACCAGTCAGCCTTTCCAGGAGTATGGTAATCGGGACGTCGAAATTGCGGTGAGAATACACTGGCTTCGCTTTTAGAGTCATTGCATTAAATTGTCTTCCTTTCCGTGCGCAGGCAAAGGGTCGAATCAAGACACCTCTGCGGCTCAAGAAAGCTCGTCATCTGATAGCGATCATGCTGCACAAACACGACCGCCTGGATTATCGTCGGATGTCAGACATCATGTGTCGAAGCCTCCTACCGCGTCGGCGACTTACCGAGCACGATCGGGACGAAATTGCTGTGAGTGAATTCAAATTGCGGGGTCAGGTCAGCAATTCCTGAATTTCGCCTGCAGTTCAACATGGCCGAGCTGCCAGGCAGCTCGCAATTCGCTAGAGGTGGGTCTCTTGGCCCAACAGCCTCCTCATCACAACTACCACCGACAACGCAAGCACATGAAGATGATCTTGAACCAGCTTCGGGAGCGCCCCAGTCATGGCAACATCTGGACCAGATATCGATGCAGGTTGCCACGCAAGCTAGAGACAAACCCCGCTTCATAAGGTATGCACAGCCCACTGGCCAAGTTGCTCGCTTTGTGTGTGCAGCCATACGAAGTATTGTGCCGATCGATCTGCTCGGTTCACGACTCAACTATGGAAAATTTCAGAGGGGTAAGTTGCATCGCCGAGAACTCCAAGCGACCTTTTGCTCACTTCCCGCTTCCCACTCCTTAGCTGTGCGACAATTCGTGCACGCAAGGCGGTACGAAAGCGTGAACATGCATCAGCTTCTTGATGGTTTGCGCCTTAGTGACGTCACTTGGTTGCAGCCCCCAAACCTCCGAGCGAGCGCCCAGCGCTGTACAGCTGCTGAACATGCGAGACGTGAAAGCCTCTTGGCTGAGGTACTCTTTTACGTAGTTGATAGCCTCGTCATGCCCCTGCTGCGCACAACATTCTACGTCACGGAAGCTGCTGCCTACCGCAATCGCGTTCTGTACTTTCGCCAAGATGACTGGGCGATGGTATGCGCACCACTCTTGAACAGACTCAAGGGCACCGCGTTTGAGCCTGTGCCCCGAACAGAAGCTTTGGCCACGATTTTAGAACGCAAACTGGGCTATTCTCACATTAGATTGTTGCCGAAGGAGACGGGCGTTCGACCCATCGTCAACTTGAGACGTCGCTCGCTGCGCCGCGTGGCTGGCTCTAACAAAAGCGCCTCAAGCAATAGCGGGGACGCTACACTAGGCCGGAGCATCAACTCGGTCATGCAGAATGCATTCCAAATTCTCACTCATGAAAGGACTTCACAGCCACACATGCTCGGCGCGTCCGTTTTCGGGCTGAACGACATCTACACACGCCTCAAGGACTTCGCACCTACCGTTCGCGATCGCCTCAAAAACAATGGCTCGCGTCTTTACTTCGTGAAAGTCGACATTGTGGCCGCTTTCGACACGATTGTGCAAGATAAGCTGATGGCCATCGTCAAATACCTTCTTCGTGATCAAGTTCGTGCAAGATCGAATAGCCTGATCCGTGCGAATTCGCTGACAGGACCGTACCGTGTCTCAGGATGGCTACGTCATTCAAAAATTTACACAGATGGTCTGCGCCGCTGGCAAGGCCAAGAAGACATTCGTTCGGCGTGCTTGCCCCGAAGCGCAGCAAGGCAGCTTTGCAAGCCTTGCCGAAGAAATGGCGCGCTCACTACGCAATGCCGTCTTGGCTGACTCGGTACATTACCCCTATGAGGATCGAGTGGACCTGCTTCATTTGCTGGACCAGCACGTCAATGACAACATAGTCAAAATTGGCAGAGATTTCTACCGTCAGCGCGTTGGCATCCCTCAGGGATCAAGTCTATCTACGATGCTATGTTGCTTCTATCTCGCACAACTAGAGAAGGAGAAGCTTGCGTTCACCCAAAAGCCTGGAAACCTGCTCATCAGATATGTTGATGACTTCTTGTTCATCTCTACATCTAAGCGCCGAGCCACACGTTTCTTTCACACCATGGAGCGCGGCTACCCCGACTACGGTTCTAGCATTTCCCCTGACAAAAGCTTGGCCAACTTTGATCTACGCATCAGCGGCACTGGCGCCTTCGTTCTCAGAACTCACACGGACTTCTTTCCGTGGTGCGGCATCTTGATCAATTCCAAGACACTGTCCGTAAGGACGGACTTGTCACGCTACGCCGCAATGCGTGAGTATCCCACAACAGTGCATTCATTCATTGGGTTGCCGTGGATGCTGCACTGACCTCACACGCAATTGTCATTTGGCTGCAGAGATCAGAGACACGCTCACTGTTGAGCAAGGCCGCAGACCAGGCATCACTCTTGTCCAGAAAACCAAGCAGTGAGTAGGGCGGAGCTTGCAACCCCCATGATGCGACTCTGATGTGTACTGAGGTCACTCGTCGCAGAGCTTTGAAAAGCCGTGCGCATATCATTTACAACGACACGGATCTCAATCCGCACGTGATCGTACATCAGAACATTTACGAAGGATTTTTGGTCGCCGCGATGAAGTTGGTCGCCTACTTGAAAAGCCTCAAAGGCCAGGCGCCTGGTGATCGAGCGCGACTTTGTCTCCGTGAGTCCGGGTCTTGAGATGGGTCAGCGCGCGCCTCAGCTGATTGGTATTGGGTGTGCTTCAGACGTGCTCAACAAAGCGACGAGAACGATGTACAATGAGATCGTTCTGGCGGCGCGGGCTGCAGCGCAGGTCCTGCATCCCGGTTCGGCCTCAAGACTAGAAGCTCTGCATGTGCAATGGTGAGACAATCAGTGCCACTTTGTGACTGAAGACGTCGCAGTGCATATTGACTCATTCATACTGACCGTCCTTGAATCCGGGGTCAGGCTGGGGCTTCATGCCTTTCATTCAGTGCTCTCCACGCGGGTGGGTCACTATGGCACCGTCTTGCGCGAAATAAAGATGAAAATGTTGGCTGGGCATTACAGGAGCGCTCGGCGTAGGCTCGAGCCAAGAGCCACTCGCTACCTAGCCGAGAGCGCCGCCACGCTCCGCCACGTGCGTTACTAAGGCCTCCTGGAAGGCAGCAATGTGGTCTTCGGTCGTTGTCTGGACTTTTCGAGAGCAAGAAGCGCGAAAGTTGCTGCCAGCAAGCGTCGTCCACCTGCACAAGTTGCGGCACTTGTCGCCTCGGCTGCTTGCCATTCCAATACGAATTTTCTGCTTCGCTCGCCAAAGATGGTTCGTTCTCGGCCCCGCTACTGATGGACCAAAAATGATCACCAGCGAGGCAAGGCGTGGTTGCAATGCAGAGCACGACATTATAAGCGAGGTGAGAAACGAGATTCATCGGCCTCCCTCCAACATAAACGAGCCACGCGCCCAATCAATTCCCTGCATGAGTCGGAGTATTCGTAAGAAGCTGACGGCTAAGCGCCGGTTCCTACAGGCGAGTAATTCTCCGGCTTGTGCGTCGATGCCCTCTTACGCGCCTTAAACTATATAGAGTGCCAGTCAGCAGTTGCGCCAGCTCTTGGCAGCCGCGAATATAGAGTCAGCACCGTCCGCCAGGTCCGTGGGGCTATCAGACGAGCCGAAAACGGAATCTTGATCGGCCTCGCGCTGCCACGGCTGTGCCGGCGTCGTACGATCGCTTGTACGTTTGGCACCACCGCACAGCAGTTTAAGGGTACTGGTCCCGCTTGCTATTCACAACGTGGTGCATGCACGTTTGATGCTTAGCCCGATCGTCTTGACAGCGACTAGACTAGCGAAGCGCGCTCATGCATGTGAACGACGAGCAGCCCGCCTCCTATGCAGCCTTCATAAGCGGCACCTGAACCGTGTGGATTTACTTCGGCTACACGCCGTCAGTCGCCCAGCTTGTCTCACGCAAATCTTCTTTGCGGTGTATCGGGAATGTGGTCGCAGCAAGGAGGCTACGTGTGTACGCTGCTCATTCATGATCGTGCAGCAGCCCACACCACTGTGAACCAGTGTCGCCAGCTAAAATCGCCTCCCACGACGGGATTGAGCCGCTGCGCGGCAGACCAACATTAGTGACACAAGGTTACTGGAGCAAGCGCGGATTGCGGAACGGAGATTGACCACTTTCAGCTTGCGGCGGCCAAACGTCAGCAGGTGACAGCGAGGACTCTTTGAAACTCCTTTGGGCGCCTGCGACCGTTCAGCCTGCCGTCAGTCCCACCAATCGTCTACAGTCTGAGCACGTCGCGGCATCGTGCACGCCTGCTGCGCGGCGGGGACCTCGCTTAATTCGCGATGGCTGCAGTCACGAGTCTTGAATGGCATGGCCTCCGAATCCGACGAGTCACACAGAAATGAAGGCGCATGCAGGTCATCGGAAATTTTGCGCCTAGCTGCTACTGCTGAGACCACAACCGCAATGTGAATGTGAGTCGTAGAGCGAGAAGGTGCATTCCAGGCAGATGAGTGTAGAACTTGACATTATTCAAGATTTTGAAGATTGCACATAGCGTCGGGGAATTATTGATGCCGTTAGCCTGTCGGCTTCAACGCCAAGCTAGCTGCACGATTGCAGCGGAAACAGCAGTATAGACGCACACTATAGATGACGTTGTTGTATTCGTGATTCTGTCATCGGAGAGCCGGATGCAGAGGTTAGTCCCTGGCCGCCACCGCGGCACCCAGCTTCCGCAACCCGCACTGTTGGTGGGCCAATCACAAGTGCCGGATCTCCCTGCCAGCCAAAGAGCCGGAGCCGTCCTCTAGGCAATCAGACAACACCTTAGTACGTAAGTCGCCGCATCGATCTAGATCAATGCTGTATGCTCAGTGTACTGAGTAGCACGGAGATGGTGGGCCCCAGTGTACAGTCAACACTTCGAGACTTTCGTCATCACGAGCGCTTGGGCCGCACGGTGTCCGGCACGGCTCGAGGTTCTTCAGATTCTCGTCGAATTTCCCTCGCGCCAAACCGTCGCAATCCATCCCACTCGCACCTTTGTCGGTGGGGATATGACCAGCTTCCAGCTCTCTGTCCAGCGGCTCATCAGCGACTGCGCGCTGCTCTGTCCAAGAGGCGCCGCTCGAAAATCGTGAATCCAGGCCAATCACAAATGTACTCGTGAATGGTAAGGAACAAAAATCTGCTGATTTCGTGATCTTTGATCCGGCGTCATGCGTACGGGACATGTAGTGCATCGATTCTGCAGGTAACAAAGTTACACGCTCTCCACCTCTGTGGCGCGTCTCGCGAGGTACGCGAGAAGTGTGCTGCACCCTTCCACCCCCACGGCGCTGACCTATCATGTAGGCCGTGGAAAGAAGACCGTCGACGGGGAAGGCGCGAGTGTTCTGCTTTCATCTTCCAAATCGCTCGCCAAGGCGGGCTTTGTGCCTTCTTCGTACCGTACCAAGTGCTGCCTGTCACTTACGTCTTGCGGAGCTAGACGGTAGGCAAGTTGCGGGGCAACCTTCCTGGCTGCGTCCCAAGCAACCGGCAAAGCTTCGAGCGATTCTGCTGGTTACCGCTGCGTCCATTCACTTGGGCTGGACTTATCCCAAGGCTTGCCCTACCTCTCCCGTGCCACCTTGGTGCGCTAGACCCTATAGCTTACGATTGACCTCAAATCAGTCGCTCGTTTGGGGCTGAAAGCCCTCCCGGTGCGTTTACATAGCGACACAGTGAGTACGGTGCCTGCCTAGACTCTGGCACTTTGTTGCGCCTGGAGCCCTCCCTCTGGCTTTGCCCCGACTCTGACTTTTTCGATCCCTGATTGCACAAGACGTCGCCGCCCAGTATCTTCAGGGAACTCGTCTGTTCGCATTACCCAAAAGTCTCGCTTTGTGTAGATTGCGAACGCACGACGTGAGTCTAACATCATAGCTGAGGAAAGCGTACTTTCGTGCTGAGGGCCATGCCTCATCTCAAATTCTGTGACGCCGTTTGGGAAGCGTTCTAGACACTTGGGTCAGTGCAACTAAGCACTCCTTCCATGAGCTCTATCCTCCATCTAGCGTGCCCGCACAAATGCACTGTTTGCACTGCCGCTCCGCCCGGAATAGTTGATCAAAACTCATCATTCCAACTGAAACCGCCCCCACTGCAACTTCTGGTCTCTGCTGTCGTGCGCGATCTTCGTGGCCTTTCAGGCCCTGTACGTCGGTGAACCAATTCGCAGCAGCCCGCCCAGACCCTGCTACAACCTTCTTCAACCTACTTCAACATATCTCTAGACGAGACAAAATCAGGTGTTCGCGACCGGTGACTTGCGAGAGAAAAGCTCTGCACGCTGCGTCAGCGGTCCGTGTCGGAGGGGAGCTCAACCCCCCTCGCCGCCTGCTGCAGTATTTCCGTGTACTGCGTTTTTCCATCCTCGTTCTCGGCGCTCTGCCACACCCTCTTGCTACCATCCTTGACATTGGACCGTTGTCAGGCCTCGACTTGTCCAACAAGCGCACGCCACCGCCGCGCACTTTCAGCAAGCAACAACGGCTTTTGGCACCTTTGCGCTCCACCTCCACAACACTCGTCGCCTCTGCCTGCTCGGGCCTTACTCCTCTTTGTGGCCGATCTCTGTCCCGAATGCCCCTTCGCACGCCGATCTTTTCGGAGTCTCTTGGAGGCCTCCGCTATCTGCGGCTTCAGCTGTCCATCGCCCTCTTCCATACACGATCATTTTCGTCTTTGGGCTGTACGCCGCGAATGGCATCGTCAACTCCTCGACATTGTTATGATCCTGGACGACTTGGACTACTCTGCACTCTAGAGCACAAATTCATTCAAGCTTCCTGCTCGGTAGTTCGCTTCGATCAGCACCCAGATCTAAGCTCCTCGCCATTCACGACTGCACTTTCCTCGAAGCCCCAACGACGTTTCGAGGGTAGCATCTGTCCCCTCTAGCGACACTGCACACGCGATCACTGCCGCGGCATACCCTTGCAACCGCGATCTTTACTTCGCCTTGGTCAGGTGCCAATTTCTCGTCTTCATCGCCACTTGACGGCGCTTGATTCTCGACCCTCGCCAGATACCCGAAGAAGCATCTCGTAAACGCGCGGCTGGGACATCGATTTGCCCTTGGTGCCACTGTCACCACCTACTCGTTCCCTGGCCAGCCAAAATCGTCCAAGGTGAGTCCGCGCAAAGTCAAGCTTCGATCTGAGCCGATCGTGATCGAAAGTCAGGGCGCGCCATGCAGCAGTGCCCGGAGTTCGCGCAGCCCGGACCCGAGGTCCCCTTTCGAGGCGCACCGCAGTGCTACGCATCGACAAGCTCCCACGTACAGCAATCGCTACCCGCCCCGGCGAATCTGGGCGTTGCGATCTTTCCCCACTTTGACTCGCTCATAGCGCGGCGGACTCTGGAGAAGCCGTCAGCATTTGATCAATCACGAATGCTTGGGCTCGACAGTTGGGTGCACACGGCGTTCTGGGTCGATGCCTTTGAGCTCCACACCAGCGATGCTCCTGCTTTGACGCGTGGCTTGGCGAGCGAGCCAATGCGCGTCTGGTCAGAACCGTTCGGCGCTTGCATAGGAAGCAACGGGGACCGCGCATTCACGATGGATTACACTGCCTTCGGAAATGGCGTCCGTGTCCAGCTCACAATAGGCTCTCGGCTTGCTGCACAGCCATGCAGATGGCGGAGGGTGGGCGGACAGCTTGTATATGTCTGCGCCAAGCTGCGAAAAAAAAGCGGTGCTGGATAAGCCGGCCGGTGATAAGTGGCGACAGCTAGGTGGCGCCCACCTTAGGAGGGATGGTCGTGCATGGGTCGTCGCTATCGCCAAGATTGCACTTTCGCCTTCATTCACATTGGTCGGCGGTGATGCAGTTGCGGCGAGATCTCCGCGCACTTAGTCGTCAAAAGTCCGACGACTGCCAGACTGGACCAGCATATATGGATGAGAATAGGCGTCGTCAATTGGGTGAACCTTATCACATGTAGCGGTAGGCGTGCAGACTCGTGCGGTCGCCAGGACGAGGAGTCAGGAAACGTACCAAGGACGGTCGGTTGACATACGGCGAATTGTAGCGCAGTAGACGGGAACCCTGGCTGCGCGGCCACCGATCGTAGAGTCGATGCATCCGTATGTCAGCAGAGGCCGTTACTTGGCATCAACGACGGGCGTCGAGGTCGTGCATGGATTATGGACGAGCAAACGGTCGTCAATGCAACCGCCAAAGCGCGGTGGGATCGGATCGGATCAGAGTGGCTTCCTCGTCTTGTCCGCCAGCTACCGCAGGCGTAGACATCTCTCTCGGGAAGAGAGAAGCTTCGCAGTACAACCTTGCTCCTTCTTCTGTCTGCTGAAAATGATCGATGGGAGATTGCCGAAAGCAGGGGAGGAAAGTGTCTCGGCTTCACCGCGCTGGTGTTGTGTCGCGAGGAGAATCGGCTTGATTCTTTCTTTACGCACTGCTGGGCGGTCGATTGGGATAAGGTTCAATACTTGAATGATGACACAGCGACATTTCGGCTCGATCTTCCGGGCCGCGGAAAGCCACGGAGTATTGATCTTGTTGCTGTCGTTGGTTCTGCTGTTCCAAAATGGCTTCGAGATTTCTTTTTCGACTTCCTATTTGCACTTTATATCGCGTTCTGCCGAACAGGGCGGCAACGAGACACGTCTCGATCCCACCATACGTTCTCACCATGGCTGCTTGCGTCTCACTGCGATATCAGAAACTTTTGCGCGAGCGGGCTTCAGCTTGAGGGGGCAGGAATGTGCTGACACACTTTTGAACGATTCTTCTCCCACGCGTGCGACTCACAGCGTCGACACAACGTCTCAGGGACACACATCGCCTTCAAGACCTGTGCGTAAGGTGCTCTTCGCTACCAGAAGGCGAGGCAGCAAAGCAGGTGACAGCAATAGGCTCAGCTGCTGTCGTCTTCTTGTGCCCTCACTAGTACTCGAAACAGCGCAGAGTATCATCACTATCAAGCATGAGCAGCGATACACCGAGTGCTGCCGCACATGTTTCTTCAAGTGCACTTGATCAAGACCACGAGCACCCGGAACGGGATAGGGTTGATACGCCTTCACCAACTGATTCGAATGGTCGCAGACGTCGATCGTCTGAGGTAGCCTCGCGCAAGATGGATGCTTCGCGTAGCTCGGCGGCGCTTGGGATTCGCACTCCAGAACCCAAGCTGGAGCGTACGTTGGACGACCAGCGAATAGACTCTGCTGTACCAGCCGCCGCCGCACCGCCAAGTTCAATGTCGCACGATCTTCCACTTCGTCAGTACAAGCGCTCTCCGCCTGGCAGCCTCGCTTCAGATGATGGCATGAGCGGCGCCTCAAGCGCGTCATCCCACCGAGGCCCTGGCAGTGACACTGTCATGCGTTCACGAGACTCTGGACGAGCAGAGCTTGCGAGCAGTGGCAGAGCGGGGAGCGCAAAGCGCAGAGATGTAGATTCCCGGGATTCACGTGCGCCCATACTGCCACCCGTACGATCAGAAAGTGTCTCAGATCGCTACCGCCTAAGCGCATCTTCAAGATCGCCACGTTCTTTGGAGGGGCGATCTTTGCGCTCGCAAGCTCCACTCAATGCTGAGCTGCCGTTGCCTTTGCGAAGGTCGCGCTCTCCTGGTACAGAAGGGCTTTTGCCTCCTTCGAGGGAACCACGCGAGGCCTTCCTTCATGGTGATCATGATCAAGTCCGCGCGACACAGAGACGGGGAGATCGAGACGCCACCTCGTCTGCAAGCTTGCGCAACAATCGATTCATGCACATCGATAGTCTCACCGGCGAAGCAGGACTGCCGAGCAGCCGCGCTGAGGAGTCGCCCTCCTTGATGCCTTCTTTTCGCGGCTACCGAGGCCCGAGGCCAGAGATGCAGCATCGGCAGCACCCTGCTTACCTCAATGCAGCGTTGCACCCGGGAGCGGCGGGTAGTTCACGCATTGTCCTGCCTCTTCCGGCCTCGGGATTTCCCTATCAAGGATTTTCATCAAAGTCAGATCGTCAAGGTCCCGACCCGTACAGACCGCGACAGCTCCCCGTGCCTAAGAGCCCCACGTCGCGAACCACTGCAGTGGGCCGGCCACGCGCCACTTCCAGCGTCGCGCCCACGCCGGCCGGAAAGAGCGATCTTAGCTTGGCACATTCGCATGCGACGCCGGGCTCAGGACACGGTTCCGACTCTGCCGGTCCATCAAGTGTGCCCCACGCCTTTGCCTCTGCGATGTCCAGCAAGCAACAGCAAAGCTTCGTCAGCAAATTGTATGCGTGAGTTGCTGATGAGATCTCGCTTTAGCGCTGTCGCGTGGCTGTGAGCTCTGATAGGATGTGGAAATTCCAGAATGCTTGAGGACCGTTCGATCAGCGATATGATCGATTGGACACCTGATGGAACGGCATTCAGCGTTGCAAATCCATCAGAGTTTTCTAGGTGAGTCTCGAAGCTGATCTGGCCTAGTACTGGTGCAATTGAAGCCTGACTCGAACACCACATCTCGCAGATTGATCCTTCCGAATTGGTTCAAGCACTCTAATTGGCAATCATTCGTTCGGCAACTCAACATGTAGTGAGTGCATTGTGCTGCGAGCCCACGCATATCAAAGGGACTTTTTCGACCCTGAATGCGCTTTCTTTTCTCTAGCGGATTTCACAAGGTCAATCACACTTTCCAGGGCAATCCCAATGATGAGGTCCAGGTCTGGGAGTTCAAACACAGCCTGTTTCGACGTGGCGATGTGCAAGCTCTAGCCGACATCAAACGCAAAGCCGCTCGACATCGAAATTCTGACTCTCAGTCGCGCAGTCTTGCAGCAGCTGCTTTAGCGTCTGGCATACCCATTGGGGACTACGACAGCTCGAATTTGTATCGCGGAGACGAAGGTATGCAGCAAGATATGGATAGTCCCACCTCGTCACCTGAGATGCCGATGTCGAATTCCTTGCCGGAGACATTGAGTCTAGGACTGCGCTTTTACGATAGACAAGGAGAGGCAATTCGCGTCACAGCGCATAGCCGAGAGCAAGTGCCGCAGCGCGCGGTGCGGCACCGCTCAGACTCCCAGACGTATGGTCAAGCGCAGCAAGGCGCGCAAGAATCTGCTGGACCTGCGCACCGCTCCTCGGGCATCGAAGGCCAAGTGCCGCGCGCAGGACCCGCTGCTGAGAACTCAGCGTCAAGCATAGATCTCAACCTAGTCGCAGGTCGCATAAGTGATGTCTCGGAGCGCGTAGACGCCATCATCCGACACTCGAGCTTTGTGGAGAAGGAGCTCCTCCGCCTCACGGCGGAGCTAGCGATGTCGCGCCAGACCGAAGAGGATCAAAATCGTCACCTCATGTTGCTAGAATCTCAGGTCCGCTTCCTTACAGAGAGACTGGAGCGCTTTGAAGATGCTGCTGGAAGGTCGAGGGACCTCTCCGCACAGCCAGCAACTCTGCGAGATCAGCCTTTGCTCCATTCGAGCGGAGCGGGCCAATCAGCTCGCTCCCAACAGCCCCGGCCCCCATGATCAGGCACCTGGTAATGAATGGACGCCACTGACTAGCTCACAGTCTTTGGCGCAAGACGCTGCACGGGCGAGTCAACCAGCTCCCCGCCGAAACTCCTCTCTCTCTCTCCCCCACACCACACCAATCTGTGCACAACACGATACATCACCCCCCCCCCCCCCCCCCCCCAGAATCTTCCATTACTTGGTCTTTCCGTCACCGTCACAATCAATCAACTCTTTCTCAAGAATTCTGCCCCATCAACAATTTTTCAACAAGAGATGCGGTTTCTCAATCCTCTGCAAGTGCTGCGTGCAGCCAACCATACCCTTCCTTCCTTCTTCGTTGCGTCACTAACCTTCAAAAGCCAGACCATCCGCTAGTCGACAGGTACGCCGGTCCTCTTCAACAATTACTCTTCACACGCCTACCAGCAGCGTTTGCAATTCTGCCCCTCCTCCTTCTTCTCACCGCCCCTCTATCCTCTACCTCAGCTCTTCAACAGCTCATGTATGCCAGATCAATTCGCCTTTATCAGTTTGACTCATAAAGCAATCGCTCAAATGTGCTCAATCCAAAGCTCTATGGTTATGAATTGCGAGTCGAGCGGAGTATGTACGTTTCGTGAGCGGCGTGGATGTGTTGGGGGCCCAAGCTTGGTGAGAGGTTAGGCGGATCTGGTGAGAGTCGGCGAAAGCCCAGAGTAGTCGTGATAGCTACCAGCCAAATTTCTCTGTTGAAAAGGCGGGGCAAACCTTGCTCGAGATGAGAAATGAAAGACGTTGCAGCACATGTGAAGGATCCACGACTCACCCAAATGGAGGGTGATCTGACCGTCCAGTTGTCCTCGAAGGACCTTGCCTGGTTGCACTGCGCGACGAGCCGCGCGACGCACAGCATCAATGAGCCCGACAGGTCCGGAAGCGCCCACCCATACTCTGCCTCGCGCATCTTGGATGACGTCGCGAAGCGCAGCTTCGACGTAGGGTCTGGCGAAAGTAACGGGAGCAGCATGAATCCGGAGTGGAATTGGCCCGTCGAGCTTGCCGGTCATATGAAGCCGAATGTCTAGGTCGATCTGCGACGGTGGCTCAGGAATGTTGCGAATCAAAGCTTGCGCCAATGCTTGCTCGTCCGCTGTGGATCAGGCACGACAGTGTTGACGTTAGCACGATTCGTAAGATGCTTGCTTGACAGAGCGCGTCGCAGCGACTCACCTCGCAGGCTCCAGATCCACACGACACGGCGGACTGATACCTTGGACGGTTCTCGATACGCTTGTTCCAGCAGGCCGAGGAGCATGGTAGCTGTAGAAGGAAGAGGATCGCACACGCTCAGCGGAGACGCGTCATTGGCAGTCACTGCACGGAGAGGACTTACTTGTCCAAGTGGCACCGCTGCCTCCTGCTCGAGGTCAAGAGAAGGGGAAACAATGTCAGCCTACTCAAAATGCTTGTATGATCTCGCAAACACTGACCAGCAAAGAATACAACGGTGTCGTAAGCCGCAGTGATAGGCGGTGCGGCTGAGTAAGGACCGTCGAGAAGCAAGGTCTTGTCGAGTCCACCGTGAGCCGCGACGTGCTTATACAGCTGCAGCGTCCAGCCCGTCCGCGCTCGTATGAAGAAGGTGAGCTGGCCATTCGAGAGTGAGAAAGCGGGCGGTTCGGCGCTGTCGAGCACCTTGAGGGCAATGGAATTCGCATTGCTTCCCCCTGAAGACTCGTCATTAGGAGTTGAGCTGTCGTGATCAGCGAGCGTCGAAGCCGAGCTCTCTTCCGTGTTGTGAAAGGCGGCTTGACTAGAGGCAGGTATGGAAGCGATGGTGAAGGGATGGCTTTGCGGCCAGATTGTGGACGAGCTCATGAAGGGGGCGTGGAGGTAGGCGTGAGACCCTGGCGTCCATGCTGGGAACTCTCTCTGTTCGTCCATGCAACGCCAAAGGAGTCAGCTTCTGTGAGCACGGCATCAAGAACACTGCGCTCACCTTCTGAACAGTGACACGCAACATGTTCGATGAAATGATCTCGACGTGCACGGGCTGAGTCTGAGAGGTGCGAAGCCGCAACAGGCCGTTGAACATCACGATACGAAAGAGACGCGCAGCGCGCTCAAAGCACCAAAGAGCGACCGTTGCGTACTGCGAGGCGAAGGCTCACAGTATAAGTAAGTCCTTCACAAATACGCAGGCGGCCTAAGTGACTTACAAGCCAATTTCGTTGAGAGGGCATGTGGTACCACAACGACGTTAGCAGTCCCCTGAGGATGCCAATGGTTACCCGCATCAGAGAACCTCGACGCTTGTCTGTCGTGCGCCGTAGACTCACACAGCAAGCAAGAAATGCAGTGCATACCAGATTTCATACGATGCGCGCATGGACCAGCGGTGAGAGGTGCAGAGAAGGGCAACGGTCATGCTCAAGCCCGCCACTCCCCAGCGCAGGAAAGGCATCGACAGGCGAGCGCCACCGAGTGCCGACATCTTCTGACCTCCATGGATCAACGCAAGGACAACGGTGAGCCGTCCAGCGTACCTGTGAAAGATGTTCAGACGCTCATATGGCAGACCGGTCAAGAGTATGATCGGGCTGTTTTTGCCGGCAAGAAGGACCACCTGGAGACGCAAGGAAGGTAAGTGCGTCGATTGATTGACTTGGGAGCGGGGAGGGGAGCGTGTCTTTTCAACCTACCCATGGCAGAGATGCAAAGACCATGATGCCTGCCCGATTGCTCCATCCAGGACTGTACACTGGGCGGTTCAAGTCGGGCGCTGCCAAATATACGGCAGATGAAGCCAGTCAGTGTTCTGTACGTACCAACCAAGACGCTGACACAGCTCCTCTCTCACCGTCTCCAAAGAGGATGCCAAACATGCACGCGGCGTAGCTGGTGATGATCAACAATTCCATGATACTCATGTGCCAGATCGGCACCGAAGTGCAGACAAGGTACTTGTGGTAGGCAGCTATACCAGCTCTAAGAAATCTTTCGATCGTGCTGGTCGATGCCCTCTCGCGCTCTTGGCCAAATGAGGCACTCTCGGCCGTCTTCGCAGCTCTCTTCGCTCGCTTGATGTCCAAATCATGGTCCAGGTAGCTTAGCAGACTGCGCGACGAGACGGTCATCCGTCAGCTGGGAGTTGATGGAATGGTTGCGAAATCACTCACTTGACTAGCATGGCTGCTCCGAGCAAGCCAACGAACAGCGCTTGGAATCGCTTGGCCTTGTCTTGCTGCAGGGCGTTCCAGGCCATATACTCTGCCAGCACATCGGGAGGGAGCTCCATAGAGCCCATGATGAAGGTCTGGATGCTATCGCCTTCTCTGCGGAGAAAGGTAAAGGGCGGATCGTATGATTGAAGATCGCGCAGCTGAAAGAATGCACGCTGCACGAAGGAATCTTTGGGTGGAGAGAACGGGAAGCGAGGGCGAAGCTTGGACTTATGAGTGAGTGAGTCTGATGTGTGTATCGAGCCCGAAAGCTGGGCACAGAGGTGAAAAGGAGCAGCTGCACACGGCTAGTCGCGTCGCAGCGCTGGACCTCGAGCAAGCGACGATGTGATGCATTGGCTGGAGCTGCTCACTTGCCATGCAATCATGGAGGATGAGAGATGCGAGTCGAGGCTGTGTCCGAGACAGACCACATCCAAGAAGAACAGCCACAAGTGGCACGGCCTCGGCGTCAAGGGTTGCAATCATCGATTGGGCCAAGGACTTGGCTGTAACGCTGAATGGGGCTCGACTATAGACGCGCACCGCTAGTCCGCGGAACATTGACTGCTTGGCGCCTGATCGCACTTCCACACATTGCCCATGCCCAGCTGCCTGCCTTTAGGTGAAGTTCAGCTTGCCTCGGTGATTGGCGGTAGAAGTTTCGTGAGCTTGCGCTGATGACGGTTCAGAGGGTGTAGAAGCCTGCAACGGCCGTAAAGGCCATGCAGAGCCAGCTGATCAGGTGTCAGCATCAGCAAACACTTCGCGATTGCATGTCAATCACGATCACGAATCACGAACCATTCGCCGGGCTGAACAGGCGCGGCGTTCCCATGCTCGCTCGACTCGGCGTTCCTCTGCCCAAGCAAAGAGTGCTTTTCTTTGCGGCTTGGCGGATGGCTTCATTGCTGCCCTCGTACGATTCGTGTTTGTATAGTGGTAGTTGCGGTCAATTGCTGTGCCAAACGGGCGTTGATCGCACGCGCGTCTTGACTGGCTGTCGGTGCTTGCGACCGGCAGATTCGACGGAGAGCAATGCTGAAGGGGTGTGATGTGTGTGTGAGAGATAGCACAAGTCAGACCAAAAGATTGGCTTATAACCGAGGTCAGGGACTCTGACTGCCAGATTCGCTTGAGCTGTTGTGATGCAGGCTGCAATTAAGCTTGCCACTCGCAGCCGGTAGGTAGCTTCTCGCAATAAGTAGTTTCTGTACTCAAACGATCAAATCGCGAATGCTTTTGATCGGCGCCTGAAGCCGAGAGGCTTTTGAAAGCAAGCTCACTCTTCATGCAATTTCGCATTTCACTACCTTTGTATCATCAACGCCGATGCTCATGCTTAAATCCAATCCAATCCTTACAGACTCACGACTGCAAAGCATTCGAGATCGAGAGCGTCGCTTGTCCCTCATCTCGGTCTTAAGCACCACAGCTTCTGAGGTTCGTGTAGGAGGTGCATATAAGTGCTGAGGGTGACGGTGCTCTGCATGCTGGGTGGATGCTGGATGCTGGATGCTGGATGCTGCTGTTGCTGCTGGCCGCGGTGAGCAACGCATGGTGATTATTGCTATAACGCGCGACTCACACTCACGGACTGTACCGGCATAGGTATTCAGGATTGCATATGCTGTAAGCCGCCTGGTGTGCTTAACGGCGAGGCCAAATAAGCAGATCGAGCTCCGCGCGTCGCACGTCGGGGCTTAATTCAAAATTGGCGCATATCAGACCGGCGGCATAGCGCGGCGGCTTCACAGCAGCAAGCATCGATACGCAGGGCATGCAACCGCATTCACGCGATTAGGTTTTCCGTCTCGTTGCACGTCCAGCAGGGTCCTGAGCTGTTCGATATCCGCCTTTTCGGTCTCTCCAACATCATGCACCAATCGTGGATAGAGCGTTGCACATCAGCAGCAGCAGGAGCTCATCAATTGAGACCCTCTAGTCCAAGTGGGCATAACACGCGCATCGATCGTGTGTGACAATCATAATTCATTATATATATCAGCAGATTCAAGATTGTGCGCCGCCCGGGCCTTGCGCGACTTAGCAGTGACTCTGAGCTTTACAAGTGGTACCAATTTGTGTCAATTTGAATGAGTGCATTCGTCATGCAGTCGATCGTGAGTGCCACGATTCGGCGACCTCTACCTCGCTGATGGGGCCGAATGTGAGGCTGTGCCCATCATGCATCGACTCGACCGCAAGCGTGCATGCAGTAGTCAGTGAGTACACCTTTCGCCGAGTACTACCGCTGCTGAGTACTGCACATGCTTGTCCTCTCCGACGGAGGGGACATCGCCACCTGGAGACTCTCATGATCAGATCCCCTTTCTCGACCATTCGTGACAGCTCGCCCAGTCCTTGCCGCTCCTGGGTGTCTCTTGAGCTGACTACCGTCGACGCGGTGAGCAAAGGCGCCATGCACCGCCAAATTGGATAGACTTAGAGCGGTGGTGGTGGCGGTGATCTGACTCTGGCTCACCCATGAGTACGTACCCCCGATGATTTATGATCCTTACTTCCAACCTTACGTCTCTGTAGCACATTGTTGTCTCCCATAGTCGTGGAGGCATGAGCCAACAGCAGCGCTTGGGCAGAGGGAGTTACTACCGCAACGGCAGTCGCCCCAACTACCACGACCGTCGAAGTGATCTTCATGCGGCAGGCTCGATCGGAGATTGCGATGTGGGTGAGGATTATCGCACGAGGTAGCGTCGTATCGGAGCTATGGTCCCGAACGGAACGCTTCCTTGGACAGGCCACGAGGGTGGACACTAATAAAAGTTGCTGCTGGCTTCAGCGAGATGTTTCTTGGTCCGTTCGAGCCGAGCTCGTGATGACGGTATAGATGGGAGCTCTCTTTGCTTGAGCCAAGTTGGCGAGTCCAGCTCGCTGCTTGATCGCGCCTTAGTGAGGCTATCTGTCAGACTAGGACAGAAGATGAGCATCCATACAAGGCAAAACTGACTCTTTTATGCTTTGTCCAGGGCGAATGATGACGCCCTTCGGAGCGCTTCAAGCAAACGTAAGGCTCATTGAAGGAAATGAATTCAGACACAGCCCCTCGCCGAGATGATAAAGAGTGCTGATTGCGGACCAGCGTGCTTCGCACGGCCCATCGAATGGCCCATCGTTACCTAGCGAACAAGCCCTACAGCCACACTCCGAGGGACATCAGGCACCGGCATAGGACTACCGCAGATCGACCGATTTGTCCCGATCAATGCAGCGTCGTCACGCCCTCATGCAGGAGCGGTATATCTGAAGGAAGGAAAATCGGCTCAACGCGATCGTGCTCACGGTCGTGCCTGTACTCTTTCTCGCGAATTCTTGCGACGCAGCAAAGGGAGTGGTAAAGGCGTCCCCCCCGCGCCAGCTGAACGTGCCTGGACGCCTGTCGCCAAGTCTCCCAGCACCTTTGCCCTTGAATCGATCGCTGCTTGCGCTGCCACCTTGAGCTACAGATGTGCTTGATTCGCCAGGATTAGAGAAGTGTCCCATTCCCACCTCCTGTCTGCTTCGCTTTCACCCGGTGTACGCTTTGCCATCGGCTCGTAGAGCACAGCCCACACCCGTCTCGTCGTGCCTTGGCGGGCACCGGTCTAGGTGATATCGCCTTCTTGGCTATCAGAAGAGAGATGGTTCTCGCGCGCTTTGTCAAGGGTGCAGCTTTTGAGCCAGCAGTCGCAGCTAAGAAGCGAGCAAGGGTCAAAGAGATCTTGAGATCAAAGATCAGCATGCAGGAGCCAGCTTCGTCTGGTTCTTGATTCACGATTCTTGCTGCTTGGGTACGCGTGTCAAGGAGGGCAAAATCACGGAATCACGTGATCAAACGCGTCGCGTGCGAGTTTGGCCAAGCGCGAGGCACGCTGCCATCATGCGTGCGCGCGCGAAGAAGGGGCGAAGCCGGCGTCTTGGCCCGTGAATTCGCAGCACATCGAATCTTAAGTCGTCGTGACTGCTGGGTTGATTGCGAAACATGTCTGCGGCTACTCAGCAGCTGAAGCACCTCCGTCAGCATTCGCTCGCCCCCGACGTCGATGTTTACGTGGCCCTGAGCAAAGTCATAGTCACCAGTCACAAATCACAAATCACACAGTACAGTAGTAAGTAATAACGAGTCGAGCCCAACGGTCATCGGCGATCCGGTTGTCTCCGATCCGGTATTGCAGCTAGCTCGGGCAGCTAGAGGGCCTTCCATCATGATGCGTGTGCGTGTCGGACAGTGAGAGGATAGGACGGTCAAGGGAATCGAAGGCCGCCAACGATTTCACAGATTGCGAACGTAAATGCAATCTTATGCATGCCGGTTATGCTGGACTTGCAGCATGTCAGCTTCGGGCAGAGATCATCACCCTCCTGCCGTGACTCACGACTGTGGGCACAAGTCACTCGTGTCAAACTCTAATCGCGTCTCTTCATTCTGTACCACAAGTGCTGAGCCGTCGAGTAGCCTCAGCGCGCTTCACAGTCATCTCGACGCACCAATCACCTGTGTCCGCTGCTGTGGTGCCCGGAGTGATGCTTGGCGCGTACGTGCAGACAGAGCATTGATTGGGTGAGAGCCAGCGCGAAGCCTCTGTGGACCGCTGCCCTAGCTCAGGCATCTCGAGACGAAAGGCTGCCCAATTCGCCTCGTAGAGCAGCCAAAGAGTGGCGAGTCTCATCAGTGTTATTTGGAGAAGAGCGCTTCGATCAACTTCTCTGCTCCACATATTGCACAGTCATGCAAGAGCAGGGTGCGCCACCATCTCGCTGCGCACATCGCGCGTACTGTATGAGGCTCTCAGCTGGGACCCAAGGCTGGGCTGCAGCCTCCTTTCGGGGAGATCTCGTTTCGCAAGACTCACTGACTGATCGTTGTGACTGCGCGCATTTCTGCCAGGCATCGCCATTCATGCACATTGATGGGCATGCAAATCAGAATCAATCTTGAATCAAAATGCTGAAACGCGCGGTCATCGACCAAAGCGGCCCGTCTCGGCAACCCCTTGGCTTGACACGCGTGCGGGCCTGCGTGGGAAATTTCCATCGCGTGTGTTGATCTCTTGTTCTCATGCCGCGGGGAGGCGATGTACCCATCAGGGGCTTCATCACTCAGACTCGCGACGTGACTGCTGGTGCCCAAATAACGCCGCATGCTGCATGCTGTCTCCGCGCGCGTGTCTGACTCATGCATGGGGGGCTCGCGCGCGCGAAGTCAACGCGCGCGCGTGCTGGAGAAGCGTCACGCGAGGCACGCGCCGGACACGCGAAACGTCTTCTGCTGCTGCTGCTGCTGCTGCTGCTGCGCTGATGCCTGGGATGACGCTGTGCCTTGCGGATTTGGCTCTTGTATAGCGCGCAGTCTGAGTAGCAAAAGTCACGAGTGTTGCTCCATGCTGGTGTGCGCTGGATCTGGCAGGTAGGACGCAACTTTCCTTCTTCCGTGTGCTCTATCTGCAACGGCGTTCGCGCTTTGACATGTCACAACGTGCTATCACTCACTTCACCGTAAGGCCCGCGATTCGCAGTGTTCGTGAACGCGTCCCTTCGTCCTTATCACCACCAACACCGGCTTTCTTTTCTCGCCGCCACGAGCTCCGTCCACATAGCCCCACCCGGTGGCACTCAGGGCATTCTGCCTTTCAGTGCACCTACAGTGTCCGTGGTCTCACCCACGCCTGAGCCCGACATAGTATAGCGACTCCGGCACTTCTGTCGTGCCCGCCCTTTTAACCTCAGCCCCACTTCAGCCTCGACGCCGACCTGAATCCACAGCAAAAGCACCGCAACGCGTTCAAGTCGCGCAGAAAACATCCTTCCTCAGAGATCCCGATGTCTATTTCCTTGTCACGATCCACGTCGTGCTCGTTCTCATCATCAGGCTCGCCCTGCTCTGTGAGCTCTCCCAGACGGTCGCGGACGCCTCGCCACAGACCGCCAGGCTCTCGTCCTACGTCGCACAATCCGAGAGGTTCACCAGTCACGCCGCCTCGATTTGTGCTCGACGCGGTGCTGGGAGGTATCGTGCCGCCAACGCCTCTGCACGTATCAGACTCGCACCTACCATCTGATTTGCGCTCCCCCACTTCAACGCCGGCTGGACGTATGCAGCCTAGACGGACGCGTAAACATGGCATGCTCACCTCCGAGGGCGAAGCATCGAAGCAATTGGACGCACAGCCTGTCCTGGGCATGCTGTCTGCGACAACTGCGCATTCGCAGACTTCAGATCAGATCAGCACCCACGTCAGTGATCGCTGGACACCAAGAGCGCGCAATCGCACGTCCGGCAGCGCTTCTGAGGATGAAAGCAGCTCAGAGGCGACTCGCGATACCTCCCTCGAAATATCGCCACAGCACGCTGTGGACCCGCGCGCTCCAGTTCAGCCCACAGCTTCGAGCTCAGAAGCTGCCGAAGCTTTCAATATGGCTCTTGAGCGTCCCATCGTTTCCCACAAGGGACGCCAGCACTTCGCAACAGCTGCCGGCCCTCACACGTTGGAACGTCAATTCTCTGCGATAGTGAGCATGACGCCCCCGGCTCGGCTAGGTGGTGGTGTGCCAGAGGGCTGGTCAAATCTTCGCAAAGCAGAGATACCAGCCACAGACGGTAGAGTCGCTTTGCAAAAGCCGTGTCGCAATGCTTATCCGCACGAAGCTGTGCAGACTCCAAGCGGACTACCTCGCTCGCATGGGCGCTCTTCTCTGCTTGGGGCGGCAAATCTTCGCATGACTTCGGATCATGGGGCCACAGCGTCTGAACATGACGATGACGCACCAGTGCCTGTTCGTCGTGGTCTGCGTCACGGCTCTCACACTCGAGCAAAGACCGACTCTGCTGCATCACGACCTGAAAGTGCGGTTGCAAGCCGAAGGCGACGGGTGCCAACATTCCTCCAATCCCGACCAGACGCCTCTGAGGGACTCGACAACAATTCAGATTCAGACGCGGAAGATGCACCACCGCCTAGCCCCAGTCCAATGGGCGATCTTGCATTTCCACAGACCACGATGTGCGATGCGCAGGAAAGCGATGTTGGGCTACACTCCAGAGCACGTATGTCGCACGAAAGACTTTTGAGCAACGGCGACGATGGATCAGGAGAGCGTCGCCGCACTCCAGGGTTGGGGCTTGGACTAGGACTCTTTGGGGCCAACGATCAAGTTGCAGGGAGTGCCGCTGCTGGACCATCGCGCTCTTCGACTGGAAGCAGCTTGCGCTCGGCGGCTAGCAGCGCCACCATTGGTGCTTCCTCTCGTACAAGCGCTCGCGATAGCAGCGGCGATCTGGCGGCAGAGGCGTCTGCGGAGAACATGTCGACGAGTACCACACCCTTTAAAAGACGGGCCGGAGAGCGCTCCAGCCAGGAACACCTGCGCAATCGAGCGCACTCTTCAACTTCCGTTCACGAGCGCCCTCCTCTGGGCCAGGACCTCCACGCTACGCCAATGTCGCGCACTGCAATCGGAAGTGCTTCCAGCGAGGGCCGCTTGACATTGGCAGTCCAGCGAGCGGAAAGCCCATGTCCGCCTTCTGGCCACGCAGCTTCGGGGCAAGAGTGCCTGCCGACCAGGCGCACGGCGAAACGCCGCTCTTTAGGCGCATTCGCACACGAAATTGGTACGATGCCAAGCGTGACACCTCAAAAAGGTAAGAGTGCGATGGAGAGCTCGCGAACGGCGATGAGCAACTTTCCAGCCCGCTACAAGCGTACTAGCATGCCTGTTAGCTCGCAGATGCCCCTTCATAGAGATGGCAGGCAGGTACCGCCCTCTTCCGCCGGCCATGCGGTCGAAAGCACCGGCGCAGAGGGCGACGACAGTGGGATCGCCTTCGGTAGTCCGGCAGCCGGTAAGCGTGGCGCTGGCTACCTCGGCGTCACAGGTGCATCCGGCACGCCTGCGCAGAGTGCACACCTGAGCTTTGGCCGTGGCCATACCCGAGATCCACATCCTTTCAGCGTACGTGAGCGGTCAGCCTTGGCCAAGGAGACCAGCCTGAGCGACGGTGTCATCTCCCAAGAAAGCTCACCAGATGCTTCTCAAAGGTCACTACGTCCTGGCTCGGCTAATGAGATGCTCCGCAGCCCAGCGTCACACATCAGCGGGAGTACTCAGCGGGACGGTGCGCACTACACGACGCCACAAAATTTCAAGAATGCTAAGCCTCTAGCCACTGCATTCATGTCGACCGGTCTTGTCAGCAAGCAGCGAAGTCGACCAGCCACTGCTACTGGCGACATTGTCCCTCCGCTACCTCCCAGCTTTGCGCCCTCCGCCTGGTCCCAAGTGTCCGGTGTAAGTGCTCAAGTTGCTGGGCAATCTCTAGGCAACAGCGCAAGTGCGCTTGGGCTGCGGGAAGTCGTAGCCGCTGCCCAGGCGCACGCCGCAGCCAACTGCTCTGCAAATACAACCATGCCTGATACTCCGGTCAAGAGGAACGCGGCGTCTGGAGACATCTCTCATTCAAAGATCGCTGGCCTTGCGCCACAGCCTCCGCCGAGCGTTCTCAGGCCATCGACTCACAGTGTGCTCGATAGAACTGGAGCAGGCGCTCGTGCCCGTTCCCGCTTGAGCCACGGCTCTCCTGTCTTTGACTCGCAATCCAGCTGCAGCAGCGATGCTAGCGCGTGTGGAGACTCTCCACTCCTACAAGACGCATGCGAAAGCCCGACCATGAACCTAATGTCGGTCAGCGGTCCTCTGGGAGATGGTCATCCTCCTGCTGCTTCGCAGGGACAGATTTGGGGGCGCAGAGCAAGTACGTTGATGCCCCCATCGATCCTCGCAGCTCAGGCTCGGACCGGTCCGTCATCCTCAACGCCAGCGAGGGGTCCGCCTCATCACCTCAAGATACCTTCGCCTCTACCGCGGACGGTCTCACCGCCTGGAGGCTTGACACACTCGAACCAGTCGTCTTCAAGCGCTCTTAGCTTTAGCAGCAGTGTCGATCAGACGACCGCACGGTCTGCCTCTCCACACAGAAGCAACTTTCCAGAGAAGGGCTCCTCCGCATCGTCATTCCTTGCACACCGACGCCGACAAACCAATGCACTGCGCGTAAACGCGCCCGATAGAGTCAATACCACCATTCTTGCGGCTGAGGATCCTGCCGCTACTTCGGCAACCGCAAACCCGTTTGCTCGTCCGCCTCTTTTGCGCAGCAAGACTGGAAGCAGGCCAGGGCTTGCCTCAGGTCGCCAAAGCTCTTTTGGCTTGACCTTTGATCAGAGCCAGGGCTGGCTGGGCGGTAGCTCTAGTGGAGCTCCAAGCCCAGCGTTTGGCCCCGGTTGCGTGCCTCAGACGCCCACGCGCAACAACAGTATCAAGTGGTTCGAAGGTAAGTGGCTAAACATTCTAGCTGCAAGACCCTTGACCACAATTGACACACCTCTTTGGCTGCACAGCTGCACAATTGATCACGACGCCATCTCCTTCTTCTAGAAAGAATGCCGAGGCTGCCGTCTCGAAGAGAAGCAGCTTTTCGGGCCGCGTTTCTTCCAGAGGAGTGGCACGGATGAATCAACTGGCAGAGATGCGACGCCGCTCATCTTTGGTGCCGGAGCATTTTGTCACAGCCTCGCGGAAGCTTAGAAATGCTTTGGCGAGTCCTTTGCAGAGCCCGCAAAAGCCCGGCTCTGCCTCATTCGAAGCGCGCTTCATTGTGCACTCCATACTGGGTTCGGGGGAGTTCAGCGAAGCTGTAAAGGCGGAAGAGCGCACCACCGGCTGTATCTACGCCGTCAAACGCATGAAACGCTCCTTCACGGGACCGCGCGATCGGCTAAGACACCTGGAAGAAGTCGACATACTCAGACACCTTTCACAAGCCCAGAATGGCGAAGGCCATGCCAACGTAGTGTCGCTCGTCGACGCATGGGAAGAGGGCGGTCATCTCTACGTCCAGACGGAACTTTGTCCCCTAGGTACGCTTTCCTTTTTCCTGGAGGAGTTTGGCAACTTGGCTGGGCAACTCGATGAGGCACGACTCTGGAAGGTTCTTGCTGAACTGACGGCGGGTCTGGACCACGTCCACTCGAACGGTATCCTGCACTTGGATTTGAAGCCAGCGAACGTCTTCATCACAGAGGTCGGCACACTCAAGCTTGGTGACTTTGGACTCGCTACGAGGTGGCCTCCCGTCGATCCTGCGACCATTCTGCGTGGCGCACGGGTGAGCAACGAGGATCTTGCTAGCTCTGACGAAGCCATCAACGAGCTGTACGCCAGCTCTGGCCAGGCGGTGCGAGCGCGTCAAGCCTCGAAGGGTTCCAAAGTCGAACGCGAGGGAGATCGCGTCTACATGGCACCTGAAGTCATGGCTCGCGGGCAGAGCGGCACCGCCGCTGACATATACAGGTGAGTCGAGATGGTCATCTGATATGCGGGCTAGGCAGTGCTTCGACTGACTTGTCTTCCATTCGGGCAACGTAGTCTCGGTCTGATCATGCTCGAAGCAGCGGGCAACGTCATTTTGCCGGATAATGGAGAGGCCTGGCACAAGCTGCGTTCTGACGATACGTCGGACGTCGATTTGTCTGCATTCAGCGTTTCGCTGGTGCGCTTGATCAAGGCCATGATGGCGTCCGATCCTGCGCGTCGTCCCTCTGCAAAGCAAATCTTGGCGCATCCCGTTGTCGCCGCAGTGCGCCAGAAGATGTCGGCTGGCTTGATGGCATCAGAGCTGGATCAGTTGCCAGAGTTCGAGGTGCCTTTGTCGGAGATCAACCACTCTATCTCACCCAACGGTAGCATTTCAAACCCTACCATCGCGGATCGAAAGGATGCCGACGGTGATAGCGAGATGTCGGACATTGGGAGTCCCTCGTTCGGCAAAGACATGGAACGGTCCTCCTCCGCGTCTTCTGCTCTGGGTCTAGTCGGCTTGCCCGCTTCAGCACCATGCGAGGGAGATAGATCAGCACGAGATCAGGAGCGAGTGTTGGACATTCGCGGTTCGCTGGTGCACGAGCCGGACGACTTTGTGCTCGAGGTTCTCAAAGCTGATCCAGATCCCGAGGCTCGGCGCCTGTCTCCCGACCTCCAATCACAGTGGTCATTCGACGCGGACAGTGTCAATGGAGAACCCATCCTCCATGCTGCTGGAAGCGGAGGCGAGCAAGTGGGCACGGAGTCCCACTTTGGAGCTCACTTTGCCCCTTCGCCGTACGTTTCGAGGATCTTGCATCATGGAAGCGGAGCTTCGCCAAGCAAGGCTGGCCATCAGTCCTTTGGCGAGGATGATGATGATGATGGGCAAGACATGGAAATAGATGTGCAGATCGAAGTCACGACGCCCCAACTCGATGAAGACGACGATATCTTCAACATTTCCACCGCTGCGTGATGCACGCAGCAAGCAGCGCCCACGACGACAAGCGCTCGAGAGCAGGCCCCCATTTCGCAAGCGCAAACGTGACACCTTTTTGGCTTGTTGCGATGTCCAAGTTGCATCCGAACGTGCAACCCTCTCCATCGATTCCTGCATTCTCCCTCAGCTCTCGAATGTCACAAGTCTCGACTTTCTACTCAGACAGCCGCAATTATTCTACTTTCGCACTGTAAGGGTCTTAGATCAGGCGAGCAACCATTTCATTCCCAATAATTAATGTATGTGTAGCAAACTCTCCGGTATCAACGCCGCGCATGTTCATGAGGCCGCACTTGCGCATCCAAACTTTTGTCCTCGACCAAGTCAGACGCGTAGAAGTTGAGACAAAGGGTGCAGCTGCGCGTGTGAGCACCAGCTTTTTACAATCGACTGCCCTTGACAATGTCTGCGATGGATTTTTGGTCCAGGGAGCTGGTCGGGTAGGGCAAAAAAGGACCAGGGAAATTGCGAGCTGCACCATCGACGATGACAACCGTGCCGTTGATGTAGGAAGCCGCTTCTGAAAAGAGGAATACGGTAGCGTTTGCAATGTCGTGCTGAAGCGTTGCAGGAGGGGCAAGACAAAGGCGCAATGTCAGGATGCGCGAGCTTGTCGGCAGTGTTGTGCGCCCGCTTTCTCATCACTCACCAAGTCTCCTTGACGCTGCAACGGGATTTGACTGATCAATCACAGGCGAGCAGTAGGGCATATTGTGAGATGAGCTTTGTGCGCGCAGGATGAAGGAGATTCGATGTAGCTCCAGCAGGTGTTCGCTCACCTAGCTACGTAGTCCTCGGCGCCCTTTGGAGTCAGCCTGTCTGCACCCTCGGTACCCTTGATGATGCCAGGAGCGATGCAGTTGGACCTGACACCCCACGGACCCATCTCCACTGCTATGCTCTGCGATAGCGTCTCGATGGCCGCCTTGGCTGCTGATGCTGGACTCTGCCAGCTGCGTGATGCAAGTGAGCAGGAAGCGAGTGGGCGGAATGGGCAAGTGAGCGTACCGATCGAACGAGAAGGCGAGCGTACCGATCGAATGAGAAGGCGAGCGAGCTGCTTGGCTCTGCGGCTCCTACTTACGGAATACCGGTGTGATGAAGCGTCGCTGTGACGTGAACATATGCGCCGCTGGTGGAGATGGAATGCAATCGCGTCTCGCTTGATCAGCTTTTGCGTCGGCTGGAGAAGCGGAAGAGGAGAGTCCTTGCTGTAGGTACGCCGCATCGATCACTCACTGGGACTTTTTGACCTCGTCGAGAGAAGCCTTGAAGAGATTGTATGTGCCTGCACGTCCGAGGTAGCGAGACCGTGCTCATCCGCGTCAGCTTGCGCAGCTCGCTCTCAATTCCGCTCGAGCAGCTCACCCAGCAGATCGATCTCTTGAATCGTCTTGAAGGCGTTGGACGAGAGGCTTTCCAAGCTGGCCAGAAAGTTGCCTGATGACGGGCACATCAGCAGCGCGCCGAGTCAGTCCCGGATCCCCTTCGCTTCGACTGCTGCTGCGAAGAGGCCCGCTCACCTGCCGCTCCACAGATGACAAAGTCGATTCTTCCAAACTCTGCGATGGTCTATGAGGATGGGGATACGAGGGTCTTCCGTCTCAGTGGCCCTGCTCACGCACAACAAGGCGAAATCTACTGGAGAAGGCTCCTGCATCGGGCAATCGCCTCGCCAGGCCTCTCCTGGCCTCACCTTTTTGACGCTCTCGTTCATATCCTCAATCTTTCTGACATCGCCGGGAGTAGCGATGCACTTTGTTCCATTGCCAGCCTCCTTTTCCAGTTCCTTCGAAGCAGCATTCAACCTGTCCGCTTTCCTTCCGATGATGGCAGCGTTGCATCCGTGCTTCATCATCGTCGCTACCATGCCCTTGCAGATGCCCGAGCCTCCCCCAGAACACAACAACACTTTGCCTGCGAAAATGTCCGATCTGAATACGTTGGTGGAGGGGACTGCTCGAAGCACTACGGGATCGGGCGCTTCGTCGGACATGATGCTGGTGTTGGGCTGTGCTGGACAACGCTCGAGGATGGTATGTAGGTCGGAAGTCGTCAGTCGGCTGCGGGCTGCGGGCTGCGGGCTGCGAGGAGAGCGTGGCTTGGACGAGATTGATGTCGACTGCGCACTTATTTATATAGCGATGCAGGCGTTCGTTTCAGCAGTCAGCTCGTCAAGGTGAGACGGGCGCATCCACTGAAAACGTCAAAGTGCGGCTGAGTGAGTGTGTGTGTGTGTGTGCACAATCCATAAACCAATCCCTTTATTGTGCCAGAAACAGGAACTTAATTGTGCTTGAACGGCATATCGCGACCGCGGCCGGGATCGAGCTCAGAGCTAAGGCCTGCTCGATGGGCGCATCGCGGTCGATGCGATATCCAAGCCGGCTGCTGGTCGGCCCGGATGTCTGGCGCGAGGTGGTCCAACGCGCACGGCTACCGCGTCAGTGATGGATCTTTGCAGCATGCTGCACGGCATGTGTGCATGTCTGCTCGCCTACGCGAGTTAAGTCACCCCCATCCCACTCGTGAATGTCAGTGGGTCCCGCCTCTGCTGACGGTGATCACGCTGCCCCCGCATTTGCCATTCGTGATTCTGGTCTTGATTCAAAATGGCGCGTTCGATTACGTTAGGTAGCCCTCTTATTATTGTTGTTATAGAACCTTGACAGGCGTCAGCTGGCTTTCACGATGTCGCAGATTGACAGCAGGAAGAGCGAGCAATTAACCAGCACCAGCTGAGACACAAGTCCGCTTAATTGCTCCATGCCAAGCCAGAGTCTCATCAGTCGCCAAAGGCTGACTCAGACCTGCTGAGCAACTCCGTGGGAATTGGAGGTCGATCGTGGTACCCCATGCTCCTCACGCGGATCGATGGATTTTGACGCTTGCGGGCATGCACGCACGCGTACGGCTCTGCTGCATGGAACCAAGCTTTGTTGCGCGGGCGCTCTTCTTCTGCATGTTAGAGAGAGGTGCTCTGATGGTGGGACGAGCGACATTCAGATTCAAATCAAGAATTTTGCTTAGCGAGGTGGAGTTGGGTTCACGTGATTTTCTTTTGAGTCTTGAGTGTGGTCCCGATCAGCAGATTCACGTGATTCAAGATTCTTGATGATTCTTTTGATTCAAAATTTCACGATTCACGATTGTTGCGGCCTTGCCAATGCGAACGAGAGGGTCAAGCTTGGCCTGACTTCATGATCACCAAGATTCCAAGGCTTGCTTGGTCGAGCAAACGTATCATTTGAACGTGCGCTACCATGCTCCCAGCTCAGCAGTCTGCTGGGGCAGCATGTCGGATGCGACGACCCGCGAGCGCGTCTTGCCGCCGAGTCTGCGGATGTGCCCCTGTGTAGAGCGGGGGGTATAAATTACCTTGGTGATTGTTGGCTGCGCTCCAGCAGATACAGAGGTCGCACCGCACGGGCAACAGTCACCGTTGAGATGTTGAGCTGAAGGCTACAGAGGCAACCATCACCAGTGTGCTTGAGCAGGCATCTTATTAGTCTACGCCCCGTATGAGCTCATATCCACCGCGCTGATGACTTCTTATGTCGCGCCGGCTGTTCGCGAACGACGATATAAAGCTTGGCGAACCGAGCATTCCACACCGAGACAACAGCGTATTCGTGGCATCATCTCGATTCCGCTCATCTGCCATCCAGCCTCGACACAAGCACAGGCGATCTTATAGCTTGTTCCCATTCTACTTTTGAACCTCGCATTCACATTCACCCAATCTTTTCCCCTCCTAGCACAGCGTGCCAAAATGTCGACGTTGGCATCTGCACACAGCTCGAATCAAGGCGATCCCATCGCCAAGATTTATCGGTAAGTCTTTCGAGTCCAAGCAGCACATCACGCAATCAAGGAGCTGAAGCCACTGCACTGGCACATCTGCAAATACATCGACTCGCAGCATCACGTTCAATTGGATCGAGCCCATCGCCGCTTTCTTGGGCGCCATGGCTGCCATCTTTGCGCCCAAATTGCTCGCTCCCGCCACTCCGAACGCTTTCAAAGCGTACGATGAGAGACTGGTGAGTTTGCTCTGGCGCATCGCTTGTGCCACACTGCGCCGTTACCTTCACTGGCTTCTCGCTTCGACCATGCACCATCTGACGCTTTTGCGCCGCATAAACTTTGCTGCACACTCAGCGTCCAATCTTTGCTCAGATTGGAGGAGGATGGTGAGAGAAAGGGACGCTGTGGTCCTTTGCGAGCAGCCTACACCCACCTCACATCGCTGCCCAACCCTCCCCTTTTGCGCGCGCTCCCTCTCCCCTCGCTCGATCTTCGCAAAAAGGCTCATCATGGTCTTCAACGACTTCGTCACCTTGCGCATCTTTCCGCGCAACATTCTCGTCTGGCGCTGCATCCTCGGGGCTGGCATCTGCTCCGATATCGTCTACATAGCAGTCATCATTTGGGATCTGGGTTGGCAAAGGTTCTCCAATCCCACCTTTTGGACGTGGGACGACGCTTTCACCATCATCTCTACCATTGGTCCCTTTTTGCTCAAGATCGCCTTTCAGCTCGGCATTGGGGTCAAGCAGGAGAAAGCTGGCAAGAAAGACAAGTGAGAATGAGACTGCTCCGCCGCCGGTGAATACGCCTTCGCGACACGCAGGGAGCAAGTGCCCTAATCTCGTCCAGCTTTTGGACCATGTATGCTCTGCCCACGTCTCAGTTGTGCCTTTGATGCGAGACTGAATGACTGAGAATCGAGGTTCACGTATCGTTAAAGAGAGGGACTGGGCTGTTGGTACATTCGGAGTCTTTGGTCATCGTGCCGGGCGATTGTGGAGTGGAAGAGAGATGAGCCTGAAGCGAGAATCGTATGTGCAGGCCTCGAGCCCGATTGAGCCGATGGAGGGAGGGCACCAGCGAATCGATGCGTCAAAGAGCGCCCATCAAAATGCTGACGTCGATTTGACAAGTGTAGTCAGAACGTTGCTCTCCTAGGAAAGGGTGCCGGGTTGGCGGACCACTGCATTCTTGATTCGCGTCCTTATCGCGCGTCCATCCGGTTCTGTGCCACCTCGGCAAAAGCTACTTGAGGGACCTAGTGAAGTAGTTCGAGCGGCCTAGTACGACAGTCAAGAAATCCATCGACTGCATGTGAAAGCAAGGAGACATAAGCATTGCGCTCCCCTCTCCTTTCATTGAGCTCCTACGCGGTCTGTCCATGCGCTAATCTTGCGGGCAGATACAGATCAGGCACTGCCATCTATGTACTCACCCATTCACCGACCTCTAGATAGGCCCTGATAAAGTGCCTGAAGTCGGCAGGAAAGACGTTCAAGTCCAAACCGATCCCGCTGCCTCTTCTGACGCCCGACAGAACCATGCTGAGCAGAGCAGCGTCAAAGGCGAGGTGCATGAGAGAGCCGAACATCGCGCCGAGAGCCGAGCTGCCGTGCAGACGTGAATGACCGAACAAAGGTTATGTCTTTCCACCTTCTGAAGCTCCGAACTACACACGCACAGGGCGTCGAAGTGCTATGGATGTGATGGGTGGGCGCTAAGTGGCCCACTGTCTCGGTGTAAGGTCACACGCAGTGCGGATGCACGACAATGCTGTGTGGTGGTGTGCTGAAGCCAAGCAGGGTGTCGAAGTGCCAACGAGAGCGCCGGATGCGAAGCCCGGCAGAGTATGATAGAAGTCGTGAGTCACAGTCAGAGTTTGAGGGTGATCAAAGTTAAAGCGGAGATGTATGGATGGTGAGGATGAGTGAAAGGCGATCAAGAGGGGTGTGAGTCGTGAGTAGGCCAACTTGATCTGAGACCCTAAAGCTCGCGTTAGACAAGCTCAACATGCATGCGTGCGCAGCCACGCGAGGAAGCAGTCACGTGGTTAGCGTCTACATTCACATACTTTGGTGCGTCGACCGCACAGCAACAGCGCAATCATCCGCCAGGTCTTCGTACTGCACGCTGCTACACAGCTCCCCGCGCGGGGTGAGACGTGTTGGGTGCCAATCGTGAATGGTAAATCAAGAATCACGACTCGAGACGCACGAACGCAGTTTGAGTGCGCTGGTGATCGAAGGATACAAGATCATTCGTGATTCGTCATTCGCGATCGTGCTTCACCACGAACGCAGCGGCAGGCACAACTTCCCTCTCGGCTTGCAATCGCGACGCAGAGGATCGAAGTTCCTCGATACGCAAAGAGCAAGAGCTACTCCAACCGACCGCGTTGGCAGACTGAGCATTCACTTAAGCTACCAACTTGGACCGATCGTATACGCAAAAGGAGCCGCTTCAGTCATGAAGATAAGAGCACGCTCGTGTGGGAGGGGCAGCAAGAGCTTCTTACCCATCGCATTCGTTGCCATTGCAGCTACGTGCGCTTCTCAGCTCACTCGAGCCCAAGCCAAAGAAACATCACACGATCCTCTGCGTGGTGTAGCGCCAGAGCGTGAGTTCAGCCGATCATGAGATCCAGCCCGCACTCTCATGCGAAGCACTGAGAACTTCAAAAGGCTAACTCGACTCACTTGTCTCCCTCTGCGCCCCTCCGATGCAGACCACCATCTTTATGCCACGCCGGCGGATGGTGGAACAGAATGGAAATGCCTGGAGTCAGGTGAAACGATTCCCTTTAGCGCCGTGAACGATGATTACTGCGATTGCAAGGATGGCAGCGACGAGCCAGGTGTGTCTCCGGCTGTATACTCTTGAGAGCCCGAATCATGTGTGCGCTGATTCGCGTCTTCTTGCATCAGGCACATCGGCTTGCCCCACCTCTCGCTTTTACTGCAAGAACGAGGGTCATTTGCCCGCATACCTTCTGTCAAGTCGGGTCAATGACGGCATCTGCGACCCCGAATGCTGCGACGGAAGCGATGAGACGGATGGAAAAGTGTCCTGCCCTGATAGATGCGCCAAGATCGGCAAAGAGTACAGGAAAAGGGTGGCGGAGCAGCAAAACATTCAGAGAGCGGTGAGTCGAGCCAAAGTCTGCAGCATTCGCGTCCACTGCGCGAGCCTCGCCCCACTCACTCTTGAATGCTCCACTTGCACATGCCAGGGAGCCAAAATCAGGGCGGGTTATATTGCTCAGGTCAAGAAGTCGCTAGAGGCGACCGACCTGGAGGTGACGAAGCTGGAGGTGGAGGTTCAAGTGGCCGAGGAGAAAGAGCAGAGATTGAAAGCTGCTCTAGAAATAGCGGAACAAGCGGATGCCGGGGTCATCGAAAGAAAGAAGGCTTCGCGTAAGTCGCTCGCTCTTGGCTACTCTCCCCACATGGTAGAGCTGAGGCACTCGTGTACTGACTTCGCGACCCCTCGTCGACGCGCAGCACTGTACGCTACGCTTCGTACGCACCAGAACGCCCTAGCAGCTCTGCAAGACAGAGATGCGTTGCTCAAAGCAGAAATACAAAGGCTGACGGCGCTGCTTGATGACCTCTCGAGTGGGTACAATCCAAATTATCAAGACATGGCCGTCAAGGGCGTGGTGATGGAGTACCGGAAATGGAGGCGAGGGTCCGGAGATGCTGCCACAGAGGGTGCCGAGGGCGATGCTGCTGCTGAAGAGCAGAACGTGAAGGAGGACACGGAGCCTGTCCGACTTTACGAACTGCTGTACGAGGGCGATTGGACACAGGCGGTGGTCAGAGATCTGGCACAAGCCGAGACCCTCGGTCTGATGGATGATGGAGCTTACGCGGGCAGTTCAGAGTCCGAGACTGGAATACGTAAGTCGTTGGCCGGGGACGACATGTCATATGCAAAGGTTGTCTGGCAGTCCCATGCTGACTCTGGCCGCGTCACGCATCGCACAGTGTTCCGCATACACGAATACCTGCCAGATCCAGTGGTGCCATACTTCGAAGCAGGCGTCGATACGCTGCTGGACTTGCTCACGAAGGCAAATGTCATCTCGGATGTGAAGAGGACACGCAAGTCTGGGGACGAGGCGGAGCCAGAAAGTGAGTCCCTCTACGCGCGCAATTTGAAGGGCCCGTCGTCTGCTGGCACCTGAAAGGCTTTCTTACCACCCATATTGTGATCCGTCTTTAGACGTCGTAGCGGCTCGTGCAGCTTACAACACCGCCTCGTCCGACCTTGAGTCCAAGCGGTCCTCCCTGGCAACTAAGAGAGGCGAGCTGAACTTGAACCCAGAACAGTGGGGCAGAGAGTCGGAATGGAAAGCCTTGGATCAGAAGTGCATCAGCAAGAATATGGGCGAGTACACGTACGAATTCTGCTTCTTTGGAAACACGAAACAGGTGCCCAACAAGGGTGGCATGAGTGTCGGTCTGGGGTGAGTCCAGCTTGGTGTGCTCGAGGCATCCATCGAACCGGGAAGACTGCTGAAATCGGTCGATGGCCACACCGTTGCATCTGTAGCCGCTTCAACAGATTCGAGCCTGTCAACACGAGCTTGACAGTCAGCGATGACGCGTTCTTCCATCGTCAGATGTACGACAAGGGTCAGAGGTGTTGGAACGGACCGGAGAGATCATCCATCGTCAGTCGATAGTCCTGGAGTTTCTACTTCAAAGCTTCAGATTACAAACGTCTGACTGTACCTTCTCCTTGTCGACGCAGGTTGAATTCACCTGTGGAACCGAGAACGAGTTGTTGGACGTTTTCGAGGCAGAGGTGGGTGACAACCTTTTTCATTTCAGCTCTCTGTCTGTGCGACTGAATGCGAGTCTTGGCTTATTCTCGTTCCGATCGGCAGAAATGCATCTACAAAATGAAGGTGAGATACAGGCGCTTGATGTACGTATTCAGCGCCGCTCACAGCAAATTCACCGCTTGGGTTCCATCAACTCTAGGTCTCCACACCGGCAATCTGTCTGCCTTTGGAAGAGAGACACGCGAACGCCAAGCCGAAAGATGAACTGTGACAGTACCTCAAGCTGGACAAAAAAGTAGGCCAGAATGTGCCGGCGAGGGCCAATCAGTCACCAGGACCCGTTCGAGAGTCGCTTCTAGCTGCGGTCCGTCAGGTATCCACTCATATCAGCTTGACGCAAATAAAGAGCAGTTTCCCTGCAAGCTCAATACCTTTGTCTACTTTGCCGCAACCACGATTCTGTGCGCTCGATAAATTTGCCGGAGTCGCACAATTTCCGTTTGTCAGCCATTTGATAATGATTGCAGCGCATACACACACGTGATTCTTTGGGCATCCTACGCCCAGACCCGTCCCCGCCCAGCCAGCGATCTGAGCAGAGACATGGTCTGGGGAGGCAATTGCCCGCTCGAAGCTCCGTAAAGAATGACGGCGGTAGCAGCTCCCAGCGCGCCAGCGACAAGTAGAGCAGCGTGGCCTCCGTTGGGTGGCCGTCTCTTGTCCAACTTGGCGTCGATTCGATCCACATTGTCCTTCTCCATATCGACGTCGGCTTCTGGCGAGCTAGGCGAATAGTCAAGGACGATCCCATCTAGAGGTCCGCTCAGGATGCGTTCTGCCTCTTTATCTCTTGCCCTCCACTGTTCCGCATGCGCTTGCCTCTTCATCTGGTCAAAGGAACAAAGGACCGATTTGGGTCCCATAACACGGTCTGTCTCTGCTTGTGGCGAGCGCAAGGGGTATTTGTTTTGTAGGAGGCTGGCCGAGCTGAGGATCTTGGCGAGGAAGTCTGTAGCAGGACTAGACTCAGGCATGGAGTTGACCAGCTGAGACAAGTGGTGATGCAGCTCTGCGGGATCCGCATCGACTTCTGCAAGGGCTAGCAAAGCGTCTCTGTTGGCTATCAAGAGCTGTCATGCGTGCGATGATTTGTGAAGTGTAGAAGTGCGGCACCGAGGTCAGACGACAACGCCGCAAGCTTGGTTATGAAGCACATACAACTCACAGAGGCTGTATAATAAATGGTGCCTGCCGGCCCAGCGCAGAGAAAGTAGTCGAGTGCCCGAGCGCTTTCGCGTGGTCCAAGGTCGTGACAAAGCATCGAAATGATCCACGAAAGCGCAAAGTACGGCAAAGGAGATGCTCTGCGTTGGATCGGCGATGAACAATTTTAGCGATCATAGCCGCTGATGGAGGAGCTGTGACGAACTCACACCTCTACAGCCTTGGCCAGCTCCGCATCAGCAGCTCGCAATAGATTGCGAAGTACCCTATTAGAAGTCAAGGTAGCGTCGTGGTGAACGTGAGCTCTCTTATTGGCTTGATAGGTATTTGCTGCCATCAACTCACTTCAATGCACCTAGAGCAGGCTCTAGGCCAGGAGACATGAAATCTCTTAGCCAGTGAAGACTGAGCCTGATTGCTGCGTCCTTGACCAAATGACCTTCTGCCGCAGTGCACCACAGGCTCGCACCCTCCTCTTCGGATACGACCTCCGGAATTGTTGGCGCAAGGGTGACGATAAGGACAGATATTACATCGTGATAGCCCTTTTTTTTGTCGTGAAAATTTGGTCAGACTCCGCTGCCGGACCAAATTTGAGAGAGGGAAAGCCTCACTTGGTAGTAGGACAACGCAGGATGTCGCCGCAGCACGTGCGCCACGACTTCTGACAGCTGCTTGCGACGATGGGGTCTTTCGACTAAAGGGACCTCTGCATTGGGACACAAAGAGCGCAAACACAATGAGCGCCACATTGCGGATCTGCAGCACGTCACGCTTTCGAGACACTGGCGCACGACAACTCACTCGAGCTCCAAGCATCACCGACAAAACTTCTATTCACGTCGAGTGCGACTTGAGCCTCATCTTTATGCTCCTTGGCACATCGGAGGCCTTTTACCCCTCTTGGCCTTCGCTTCTTATTTGATGGATTCAAGATCTCCTCTTGACGCGGACGAGCGGATTCTTTGGTGTCGTCCAAAACCTCATTCTGGTTGACCCTTCCTGTTGTGGTGGTGCTTGCCCCTGCACCAAAGCTTGATATCGATGCAGCGGCGCTCCTCTCATCGTCCCTCTCCAGCCCAGCGTCACTCGAAGCGGCTGTACTAGCCTTAGCAGCTCGCTCTTTCCTCTTCTTGTGTCGGGGTAAAGCAGTCTGCCAATCTGATTCGTCGACTGATGCCAATTCTGCGCTTTTGTGGTGGGAAGTGGGATGCAGGCGATGTTCGCGCGGCTCCCATTCTTCGCGCAGCAGGTTGGCAAAATGCTCTTCTAGCGAAGTCTCATCTTTGATTGTGGACGTTGCCTTCTTCGGTATATCGACCAATGATGGAATGTGGTGCTGCAAGTCCAACAGAATCAGCCTAGCGAGGACCACCCGGGGCGATGCGAAGCGTTATCAGCCAAACACCTCTCGCCCGCAATGCTGTCCTCAAGCAACACCACAAGGTTTTCTGCAGACCGACACTTACCAGGCCACTCTACGACTTGCTTGACCGCAATCAATGCCCTCCAATTGAGTGAGTCCGCCATTGCGTGTGCGGCTTTGGCCTGTTTTTCCCTCGGTGGGGCTGTCATTAGAAAATGATCCGCTATCAGGCGTTGCGTGCCCACCAAAGCCACCTGAACTGATAGCTCTGCTTCTCAAGGCGCTGCCAAAGCCATTTTGTGCGAAGAGACGGCCTGAGTCACCATGAATCGAGGCTAAAGCTAAAGACGCCGCGACCTGAACTCACTTACATTAAATCGAGCTTGACGGCGCTAGCCTTGCGCTCTGTTGAGGTCTTGAATGGTGCAGACAAGGTACCGCGCGGATCTGTTTGCAGCTTGGTTTGAGCTTCGGAGCCACTCGGAACGTCTACAACCGCAATGGAGGGCATGTTGACGTGGAGGCGTTGTCCTTCCAAGCGAGCTCAACGAGAAGACGCGAGGGGCTTTCTACGGATGCAATCGTGTCGATACCAGTCGTGGTGTGGGCTGACGGTGATAAAAGATGTTGCATCATCTCGCAAGCCGGTAGCAGTCCGCCAAAAGAGTGTTGCTACACTGACCACAAAGATGACTGATGCTGACGACGGTGTCCATGGTCCGAGTAGGAGGACTGAATAGGATCACAGCAGGGATGGAGAGGCGGTTGCATGCACGCATTAGGCCCGTGCAACTCGGCAGCCCGTGCGAGCGAGCGCAAGTCACATCACCCGCGTGCATGTCGAACCCAGGTCGCACGCGGAAAATCAGTCACGTGCACGACCCCAACCGCCTGACTTTTTTGCCGTTTCGACTCGCCCCGTAGGATCTTCGCGCTCTACTGGTGACTGCATGCATGCTGCATGGAAATCGAGTCAGGGAAGCCAAGAGCTTCCTGCGCACGTCTTTCACAGACTCGACTCGCACCTCTTTCAACCTCCGTAGCTTGCTCGGTTTCTTTGCCTCTTAGTTCCCATAGCACCACACGTACAGACACGACGGCAAGACTACGAACCACGAGGAGGCAAGGAGGCGTGCAAGGTCCGAAGCCGACGAAGGTTCTGAAGCCTTTGCATTGAAATTCGCGTCTCCTCCGCGATCGAAGTTCCGCAAGTCATCAACATGGCAGCGCATGAAGCGGTGCCGGCCCATGGGTCCGGCATCAAGGTTGCCTCCTACCATGCTCCTCCAGCTAGGTCAGCAGCAGGCGCAGACGTACACACTCTGAGATGTCTTGCCACGGACATTCACCTTGGCTTTCACCTGTCCAAGCATATTGCTCAGGTTGTCACCTCCACTCTTGCAGCTAGCACATACATTCTCTTCACCGACACCACTCTGGCCAGCTTGCACGCTCCTGCAGTCCTGAATGAGCTCAGATCGGCACTGCAAGCAAAGGACTCCAAAGCTCGTGTCCTTTCGCGAGCCATTCCTCCTGGCGAAGGAAGCAAAAGCCGGGCGACCAAGGCGGAGCTGGAGGATTGGATGCTGTCACATGGTGTCACCCGCGATGCCGTAGTACTGGCGCTGGGTGGAGGTGTGGTGGGAGATCTGATCGGATTCGTAGCTGCCACTTTCATGAGGGGTGTTCGCTACGTGCAGATCCCAACCACGCTCCTCGCCATGGTAGACAGCGCTGTGGGCGGCAAGACGGCAATCGATACGCCGAACGGAAAGAATCTGGTAGGCGCATTCCATCAACCTCAGTACGTCTTCATCGATGCCGCATTCTTACAGACTCTGCCCGAGCGCGAGTTCAGCAACGGCATGGCTGAGGTGGTCAAGGTGAGTGAACACACGTGTCGAAGTCACCGTGTGCCAGTGCGCCGCGAAAAGTCAGTCTGAACTTCTTTCTTGACTGACTTCTAATTCTGTTGATTCCACTCTTGCCGCAGACGGCAGCGATCTGGGACGCTGCTGACTTCGTCAAACTTGAGAATCACGCCCCCGCAATCAGGTCTGCTGTCTTGGGACCCTTTCCCGAGGATCAGGCCATCGATGCTGGCAGGATCTTGGAGACGCGCAGTGTGGCCCAGACCCTCCTGCTGGATGTCATTCGAGGTAGCGTCGGAGTCAAGGCGCACATCGTCACCATTGATGAGAAGGAGACTGGTTTGAGAAATCTCGTCAATTTTGGTCACTCTGTTGGACACGCGATAGAGGCCGTCTTGACACCCGACATGCTCCACGGAGAGTGCATCAGCGTAGGCATGATCCTCGAAGCGGAAATCGCTCGTGGTATGGTAGGACTGTCCCAAGTGGCGGTTGGAAGGTTGTCCAGATGCTTGCAGCAGTACAACCTGCCAGTGTCGGTCATCGACTCGCGCATCGCCCGCTTGCCCAAGTCAGAGGGTCTCACGGTCGAGAGGCTTTTGGACATCATGAGAGTCGACAAGAAGAATTCGGGCACGGAGAAGAAAATTGTCTTGCTCTCCCGCATAGGAGCGACCGCTGAAGATAAGGCGAGCACGGTCCCGGACGCCATCATTGCTCGCATTCTGAGTGCTGGCATACGCATCGTGCCGGTCGACAGAGCGCCAGTCAAGGCTCAGACAGTGATCCAACCACCAGGCTCTAAGAGCGTGAGCAATCGAGCGCTAGTGCTGGCTGCGCTAGGCAGCGGCTCTTGTCGTATCAAGAATTTACTTCACTCGGACGACACACAGGTCATGATGGCAGCACTGCATGACTTGGGAGCGGCTACCTTCGAATGGGAAAACGAAGGCGAGACGGTCATTGTCCACGGCAAAGGTGGCGCATTAAAGGCACCGGAGAGCTCCAAAGACATCTACTTGCAAAATGCAGGTACTGCTGCACGATTCATGACTGGTGTGTGCTCCTTGCTGACCGTGGGCAACTCTGCAATTACTGTCACCGGGAACGCACGGATGAAGGAACGTCCCATCGGACCTTTGGTGGACGCACTCCGCTCCAACGGAACAGAGATTGATTACAAAGGTAGAATCGGCTGTCTGCCCCTGTCGATTGCGCCCGGCGGCATCAAAGGTGGACGCATTCAATTGAGCGCGAGCATCAGCTCCCAGTACGTTTCTTCTCTTCTTTTGGTTGCGCCATACGCGTCGCAAGAAGTCACGCTGGAGCTTGTGGGGGGTGTAGTCATTTCTCAACCGTACATCGACATGACCATAGCTATGATGCGCGACTTCGGCATCCAAGCCGAACGTCTCAGGGACCCACAGTCCGGCGAGCTGACAGACTCGTATCGCATCCCTCAAGGTGTCTACAAAGCCCCGTCGATCTACGAGGTCGAGAGCGACGCCAGCAGCGCCACATACCCCCTTGCGTTCGCTGCCGCTCTAGGCACTCAGGTCACTGTACCGAATATAGGGTCAGGCAGCCTGCAAGGTGACGCACGCTTCGCTCGAGATGTTCTTGCACCGATGGGCTGCAAGGTGGAACAGACGCCGACGAGCACGAGTGTACAGGGGCCACCCAACGGTCAACTTCGTCAGGTCGGCTCCATCGACATGGAACCTATGACGGACGCCTTCCTCACGGCTTCAGTCTTGTTTGCCATTGCCGCGCCTGGTGAGAGAGGCGCTTCATCAACGCGTATCACCGGCATTGCAAACCAAAGAGTGAAAGAGTGCAACCGCATCAAGGCCATGATGGACGAGCTCGCCAAACTTGGCGTCAAGACTCAAGAACACGAAGATGGTCTAGAAATTTGGGGTGTTCATCCCTCTAAGCTTAGATCGGGTGTTCAGGTGCATTGCTACGACGATCATCGCGTCGCTATGGCGTTCAGTATCCTTTCTGCCATAGTGCCTGGTACGGGCGTGGTCATGGATGAAGCTCGGTGCACTGCCAAGACGTGGCCAAATTACTGGGACGACATCAACGCTACGCTCGGCCTGCAGCTAGAAGGCGTGGACATCCAAACGCCTCGGCCGGCCGCCTCCACGAGCGCTACCCTGAGCACACTCAGTAAGAGTCTTACACCTGTCCAGTACGCCAGGGATGCCAGCATCGTATGCATTGGCATGCGTGCCTCGGGCAAAACTTATTTGGGTGGTTTCGGTGCGGCTGCGCTGCAACGACCCTTTGTCGATGCTGACGTAGTCTTCAATGAGCGATACACCCTCAATAACTTTGTCGCTGAGCACGGCTGGCCTGCCTTCCGCGCCAAAGAAACGGAGATTCTCAAGGAGCTCTTGACCACCAAAGCTTCCGGTCACCTAATCTCACTAGGTGGAGGTGTGATCGAGTCGGAAGACAATCGACTTCTGCTTCAGGAGTACGCACGTACCCGCGGGCCCGTCGTCTACGTCATGCGGGACTTTGAAGAGGTTGTGAAGTTCCTCTCCACCTCGGACCGTCCATCTTACGGAGAGCCTGTTCGCGAGGTCTTCAAGCGACGACGCCCTTTCTTCTATCAATGCTCGAGTTACGAACTCGTTAGCTACTCTGGCAATACCGCCATCATCGACACTTTTGACGCTGAGACGGGCCACAATGCATCAAGCGGTCTCGCGAATGGTCAAGCTGGCGCACTCAATAGTAGTTTGTCCGGACCACCGAGCCGCGCACTCTCTATACGACGCGCGCAAGGCCTCGTCGAAGAGATCGCGAGGTACTTCCGCTTCATAGCTGGTGTTGAGACCAATCAGATCGCGGACCTAGGCAGCCCAGGCAGGCAGACATTCATGCTCAGTCTCACATTCGCAGATGTCACCCCCGCTCTTTCTCTGGTCGAGACGCTGACCGCCGGCGTCGATGCGATCGAGCTTCGCGTAGACCTTCTAAGCGAGGAAGGCGTGCAGCCTCAAACGCCGCGCATTCCCGATGCATTCTACGTCGCGACTCAATTGGCAGCCCTCCGACAACGCACACATTTGCCAGTCATTTTCACCGTTCGCACCAAAAGCCAAGGCGGCATGTTCCCTGACGATGCCATTGAGGAGTACTTTGAGCTCATCAAGCTTGGCTTCCGTCAAGGTTGCGAGTACGTTGATGTGGAAATGCGCCATGCCGAGGACCGACTGGCTGCAGTTCGTGCTCATCGAGGGTACTCGCATATCATTGCTTCCCATCACAATTGGAACGGCGAAATGCGCTGGGACTCACCTGAGACCCTCAAGCAGTACGAGCTGGGTTTGCGCTTTGGAGACGTTGTCAAGATTGTGGGTAGGGCCTTTTCTCCGGCAGACAACTTTGCTTTAGAGGCGTTCAGGGCCAAGGTATCCGCTCGACCGGATGCCAAGCCACTGATAGCAATCAACATGGGCGTGGCAGGTCAGCTCAGTCGGATTCTGAACAATACACTGCTGCCCGTTACACACCCGGCGATGCCAACCTCTGCTGCGCCTGGCCAGCTTTCTGTGGTGCAAGTCAACCAAGCAAGGGCCTTGACAGGCGCTCTCAGTCCTCAAAAGTTTGTCCTGCTCGGTACGCCCATTTCACATTCGCTGAGCCCCGTCTTGCACAACACTGGGTTTGAGCATCTCGGGCTGCCGCATCGATACGCCCTGTTTGAGACCGATGCGGTGGACGGACGCATCACCGACTTGATTCGACAACCTGATTTCGGTGGTGCGAGCGTCACAATGCCTTTCAAGTTGGCCATTGCGAAGCATCTAGACAGCGTCTCGGCCGAAGCGCAGGTCATAGGCGCGATCAACACGATCATTCCACAGCGGCCCCATAACGCTGCGCCAGGAGAGCCGGCGCACCTGGTCGGAGATAACACAGACTGGATTGCAATTACTGAGTGCTCCAGGCGCAACCTATCGCCTCTTCAACTTTCTAGCACCGACTTCACCGCGCTCGTCATTGGCGCGGGAGGATCGGCGCGGGCCGCGTTATTTGCTATGCACCAGCTAGGGGCTAGGATCATTTGGCTTTTCAATCGAACGATCGCCAACGCGGAAAAGCTGGCCGCTGAAGTGCCCAAGAGCTGGAACGTTAACGTGATTGCGGACTTGAATCTTGTGCCGATCGCGCCCAGCGCTATCGTCTGCAATGTGCCAGCCCAGGGCGTCAGCCTCGACCCGGCCAGCGGAGCCGGCGTCGTGCTCACTCCTGCCATTCTTGCACATCCAAAAGGAGGTGTTGTCATCGACATGGCTTGTAAGTCTTACCTGCATGTGTGTCCAATGACGGAGCTGTTGACACTGAACGCGACATTGCCCTGCTTGATCTGCCCTCAGACAAGCCCGTCTACACGCCATTGTTGGAGTTGGTCGACAAGACGAATGCTGCCGCCGTATCTGAGCCCGATCGACACAATCTCAGACAAGGAAAATTGTGGACCGGCATACCTGGCATCACAATCGTCTTGGAGCAAGGATGCCATCAATTTTCGCGCTGGACTGGCAGACAAGCACCGCGGGCCGAGATCGAGCGCGCTGCTTGGGATCATTATCACAAACAGAATGCTGCTTGAACGCGGACATGTAGAGAATGTGACGTCACCGATCGAGAGATAATGCAATGCGTACTGGCACGACTTGCGCGAGCAAATGATGCTCGAGTCCAGCTTGCAAGGTCTGACACGACGCGTCGCCGCACAATCCTCTGACCGCATGTGAAGAGTGTTTTCAGCCTACCTGCAAGTCTCCTCGGTCCGGCTTGTAGAAGCAGCAAGGCCACTTTCCCATCCCTTTGCGCCGTAGAATTGTCGCCGCGAAGAACGAAGTGTTCCTCCTCCTCACATCAAGCCGAGTCACCACAATGACCTGATCGAACACAATCACATGAATGACCTGATTAATATGCATGCGATTGCGCTCCCTGAGAGGCGACGCCGTCGATTTGAGAGACTTGGCCTGGTGCGGCAGAGGAGTGCGATTCGGCTACAAGGCTACAAAGATGAGCATTCGACAGTCTAGGAATGCGGGGGTTCCATCGCCGGGTAGTGCGCTGAATGCGTTGCGCTGCGCTCAGTATGGACTGTCAAAGGTTGAAAGTGGATAGAGGAGGCTAGACGTGAGTCATATCGACGATTAAGAGGAGTTCGTGAATGGAGCTATACAGAGAGATGTGGCATTTGAGTCGCGGGAAAATTCGATGATGAGCGCGCAAAGGCCGCGATTGAGTCTTGCTTTGCGCGAAAATGATAGACGTAGCTTGAAGGTGACGCGAGAAAACGACGGGACGTGATGCAAGGGTGGCTGACAACGATTGGAGCTGATTCCTACGATGAAGGGCGACGAAGTCCCCGAAGCGACCAGGCGGAGCGGACCCACGGGTGGTCGCGCACCTGCGCAATCGTGGCGCGACGATCAGGGTTGACTTCCAGGCAGCCTAGAAGGAGGTTCAGAGCGTCGTGGCTCCATGCACCTTTAGGACGAGTGATTTTACCGCGCATAGCGGCATCTTGATCTGCGAACGGACCCTCTCCACTCAGGAGAATGCTGAGCAGGACGCCAAGACTCCAAACTTCGGCCTGAGGAGCACGATACGACTGTCCTTGCAGAATCTCGCTGCTCGCAAAGGTCATCGTTCCGAAGAAGCGATTGAAGTATGGAGGTGGTTTGCGCGGATCGGCAATGACGGCGGAGCCAAAGTCGATGAGCTTGACATTGAAGTCAGCATCGATGACGCAATTCTCGTCCTTGATGTCTCGGTGAGTGATGCCCATGGTGTCAAGGTGGTAGACAGCCTCGACGATCTGGGCAAAGACCCATCGAGCTTTGTTCTCGGACAAACGCGAGTGTTGCTCGATGCACTCGAAGAGATCGCAGGATGAGCGGCGTTCCATGGGCGCAGGGCGTAAACTCTCGGCCCTTGTGGGCGAGATTGCGGATGCGGGTGAGATCGGCGAGCACGCGATTTCGGTCTCCGCTGCCAGCGCAGTGTCCAACTTGAGCGGCGAAGCGATCTTGCTCTCGGGAGGGAAGATGGCAAAGCTGGGAGACCCCTTTACCGCTGACGGTTGAGACTTGGACGTCGCCATGGGCGAGGAAGTAGGCATTCCTTTAGGAGTCTTCTCTTGAGCAGTGGTTTCGTTGGCGTTCTTGGGTGTCTTGGCGGATGTCGGTTCCGGTGCTTGCCAGGGTGTTCCGTGGTGCTCCATGATCAGATAAAAGTAGGCATCATCGTCGAAGAGGTCGACAAATCTGACAACGCCAGGGTGTTTGACGACCTTCAAAACAAACGCTTCCATGGGAATCACGCCAAGACTGGGGTCGCGCACCCAACCGTGGTTGGGCACCTTGTCCTTGAAGATGAACTTGACGGCGACAGGAAACCCATCGCAAACACGGGTGGCGCGGACGACGAAGCCGAACCCACCACTACCTAGCTCGTCACCCAGTACATATTGACGAGCAAAGTCGGCATGCAGACGGTGGTTCGACAAGTGCCGGGCAGATACGGTGAGCTTGGGGCTTGGAGCCGACGCCGACTTTGTCATTGGGCTCGAGGATGGGATTTTGAGCCCGCTGACGGGAGACTTGAGGTTCTGGCTGACGCTCAATGAAGTTGGGAGCATCAAGGGGCTGTCCCCAAGCGAGGTGTCAGCTGTGCTCTGAGACGAAGGCTGAGACAGAGGCGACGGTGGCAGGTTGAGGTCTTCGCGTTGAGGGTACGGTGCGACCTTGGCCGGCTTGGAAAATTTGCTTCTAGTCGCGCTCAAAGAGCGAACAACAGCGTGGCCAGCATCACTCTGGCGCTTTTTCGACGAGCTGGTGGAGCTCGCTGATCCAGAAGTGCCAGTGCGCTGCATCTTGCTCAATCCGTCTGCAGACTCTCCCGGCAAGCTTCGCGCCAAGGCGATCGGCGAGAAAGGAGGCGTCAAAGCGGTGCTTGTTGATGAGCAGGACGTTGAAGCTGCTTCGCTGCTATTGGTACTGCTCGCGCCGCCGCTACCTCCGCTGCGGGAAAAGGGTCGCCGCTCGGGTCGTCTGATGCTCATGGAGGATGCAAACTCTGTAGACAAGGGCGACAAAGGGCTGGATCCTACTCTTTGGAGACCGATGCGGCCAATATTTGCTGTGGGCGTGCTGGGTGAACGGAGAAACGCAGCAGTTTGGCATCCACCATCCGCGGCAGACCCGGCACCGTTGGTTGCTGGGGACCAGTAAGTGGTGCGCGCGTCCTGCACGGCTCGTAGGGGAGTGGGTGGCTCGAACGGGCTGATAGGAGGCCCACCAGAGACCGCTCCATCGCGAGCAGTGGAGCACAGAGATCCACCAGGTGTCTGGGGGTAGAGAGAGTTGCCGGAAGCAAGAGGCAGTCTGTTGGATCCGTAAGGCTCCGCAGACGGCAAGTTGATCTTCAACTTGTGTGCTCCCACGTGCGGTCCGTCAGATTTTGCGCTTGACTTGTTGTTGCGTCGTTCCAGCAAATTTTCGCTCCAGAGAGGTTCGCGGCTGCCGACGAGCTCGGATTTCGCGCCTTCAAGCGGGGGCAAGCCACGAAGCTCCAAGCCAAGGCTCAGCCCAAGCTGCGAGCGCCTGTCGGCGAGGACGGCTTGCGAGTCTTCTGACGTCCGGCGTGGTCCACTTGCCTGAGCGCTCTTCGAGTAGGCTCCACCGTTGAGATGCTCTTCAGCGATTTCCAGATCTTGGCTCGAGAATGGACCTGCAGCGACCTCGAAGCCCTCCTGACGGCGCGTCGTTGCATTGGACATCTTCGCGAGGGGACCGAGTGGTGCATAGGTGGGTTTGATAGGTGTGCGCAGGTCGAAGCTGCGCGTCGATTCGTAAGAGCGCGAAAGCTCTGGAATGCTCATGTCGACGTCATCGTCGACTTGGCGGCTATCGACGGACATGATGGAAGCGGTCGATGCGGACGAAGCTGAGCTGATGGATTTGTGCCTGCTTGAAGTTTCGTCGAAGCGCTCGGGAGGCCTAAAACTGACGTCCATAATCAGTCCAGTCAGATGCCACACTCGTCACAAGCGGGAGGGCGCGTCTAGGATCGAGTTGTGTTGAAGCTGGATGCTGATCCGTGAGCACGATTGCCGTGAACTCCGCCCTTTAAGCCGCTCGTTGCCTACGGAGGGGGTAGAGGGGGGATGTCATGCAACACTGGCCTCTGTTCCCTTATTGTCGGTTGTGGAGTACAGCGACTTGGATGCGTTGGTCTACAAGTGGGCACGAGTGCAGGGAAGGTTAATTGCAACGTCATCGTCCACGTATACATCATGTGCGTATAGCTACGTCCAAGTGCTGTACTCCGATCCGCACATGTGTCTCAGGTGTGCGCGTGTCGATCTATCTATCGCTTTCGCTCGGACTCATGTGCGACAGAATCACAACCGACACCACCAAAACGGTCTGTCGCAGTCGATCCCTACAGCTGTGACTGAGTGCACTCTTGACTCTGACTGCATGCTCTCTTTGACGCCATCATGCATGCATCGCCCAGGTGCCCTTGATTCGCAGTCACGATCGATCCATGCTTGTAATTCATGGTGTCTGCACAGCGAAGCGTCCCAGCAGCGCAATGGAAGCGATGGAGAAAAGTGCGTCGCTCATACTCACAAGCGCGGCTCGAGGTGAGGAATTGATGCCCAACCTGGTGCAGGCGATTGTAGGTGCGCAGATGGTGTTGCAACGATGTGAGTGTTGGATGAGTACGCTTGCGAAAGAGCAGAGCTGCCGGACGCGGGGAAAGCCAGCGAGAAGGAGGAGATGGTGGTATGCTGGATGGAGTGTCCAAAGCGAATGTTGGACTCAAGACTTTCGGATACGAGAGCGAAGTTCAGTAGGGCCCTCGAATCACGAGTATATGGCGCCATGAAAGAATGGGCTTTTTTGGGTGTGCGTGGTAGGCAGGATCGTCATGGCATTTTGTACGAGTCCCAAGCTTTGGGCGCGTCTTGTCTGGGTTTCAAACCGTCTCTTCTGTGTCTGTTGGAGTCGTGAAGTGATCATTTCGAGCCACATCGCGCAGCTCATGGGTCTCCCTGCTGGGCTTCTCAGCAGGCGAATTGCCCGCATTTGCTGGATGCATCTGCTGCTCCAGCTGCATGGATGTGTCGCGTCGCCATGATCCAAGCGGAGTCGGAGTCGGGGATGTATGCAAGGTGCGGCATTCTGCTGCGATCGTGCCTGCCTACGCTGCTCGGTCGGGCTGCAGCGACCCATGTTCGCTTGCTATGGACACTCTGACCGGTCGTCGCTATCAATCATACCGTCCAGCTACTCCGTCGCCTGGCACCTCGCTCGTCCCGCCCAACCTGAAGTTCGATGCCTACAACATGCGACATCGTCAGCCGGCGCGGGGCTTCCTCCCACCTTTCTTCCATACAGTCGTGAGTACTAGATTCGCATTCGCGATTGCTATACCCGGACGGTCCTTCTGCACCACCAGGCGCCACCGCAATGTGATGTTGATGGCAAGGGGGCGGGCACATTACAGCGTCAACGTGCAATCATGCGACCAGCATCCGCGCATTTGCCCTCGAGGTTCCATGGGAGACGCGACACTGTCTGTCAGTTGACTGTGAATGAGCCTGCGAGCCACAGAGTGCGAAGGGGACGCGATCAGACCCCCCGCGCCATGTTCTCGCGAGCTCGATCGAGGGCCAGATCGAACAATGCTCGAACGATCGCCGTTGGTGCATACGAGGGGCAACCGGCAAGCAAGGCTCGTCATCGCTTACTTCAGCGGAGTTTGCCAGAGTCTCGAGAGTCCGGTGCCAACAGACCCTCCCTGGGCTCGGAATCAAACATGGGCGATCAGACTTCAAGCTAGCGGGTCGAAGAGACCCCGTCGAGATTGTAGGCGGGATGCGCTCCGGACCTCTCTCGCGTGTCTGTTGGGTTCCATCGCCATCAGACGCACAACCACTCACAACAGCAGGCCGCGGTGCTTCTGATTGAGCCCTATAGCTCGTGAGCATGCGCAACACGCAGCACGGGGCTGCATACCGGTACAGTACCTGTAAGCAGCCGGGCATTCAAGCGTCGGTGTGGCGGACTGGAGGCGTGCGAACCGCCATGCATGTCGGTCTCGGCGGTCATGCTACAGCAGAGTGCAGGAAAGGGAGGGAGAGAGGGGCTCATGCCCAGTCAAAGCCGAGCAAGCAGGCTGAGTGTCTGCAATTTTCAGATGAGCCCTGTGGTGATGGCCCCCGCCGGCGGGCCTTGCGCGATGGATGATTGCGATCGCAATTCCCAATCAAGGATTCAGATACAACCCGAGGCTCCCGAGCGCTTCGCTTAATTGCTATATTCGTGATTGTGTTCTGACTGTAGTCGAAGCATATAGCGAGCCTGCAAACGCACGGGCGAGCAGGTCTATGACCTTGCGCTTGCACTCGGCTGCTGGACTGGCTCGAGTGAGATCAAGATCCCGCACGGTTCGCGCGCACTGTCTCATGCTTCGGGATCGGGCTCAAGCATTTGTTGACTCGAGGCCGAGTGGGGTTGCGTGTGTCAAGTAGTAGTGTCATGTGTTGCCGCCTGAATATGGCAGCGCGACTTGCGCTCCGACCTCAGCGGCCGCATGCGAGGTTGCCAGGATCGAGGAGCGTTGGGACCTCTTGCTGTCCCCTCTACGCTCATCTCCTGCTCAAAACTTGTGCTTGCAATCGCCTTTCCCGTTAGCCCACCATTAGCCGGACGCTGTGACCAGACAGAAAGTGTGTTGCGCTGCCCAGCACAAAAGTGGTAATAACCTCTTGTTGCCGTTCTTCCACTCGCAAAGAACGCCACGCGAGATCGAGCAAGCACGTTCCATGGCGGGCTCACCGTGCGCCTTGTCAGCAAACGCCTTAATGCTCCACATATCAGCAATCAACAAATGTTCCTTTGCTTCAGGCGAGACGCGCCATTGATGTCGGCGCGAGATGCCAGCCAAATGATGGCATGATGCTCGGCTCTACAGACATTTCTTTGCACATTGCTGGTCATCGATTCGCAAACGGGAACGCCATCTTGATGACACTCGTACCGCGCGATGCTTCTCGAGGTAATCAGTCGTGAAGAAGAAGAGTCCATGAATGTAGGGTAAACGATCCCGAGAACCTGTCCACGAGGATCGAAGCGAACGGTTGAGCTTGAGGGAACCACCGGTCGCGCCTACCCCTGGCATGTACCCGCATTCGTGATTGGAGCGGAATTATGCACGAGCAGCGAGGAGGGAGGGTCGAGAGGGTGCCGAGCTCGCTGGTCGCCCGGAAGCATTTCCAGCGACGCCATGTGCTCTGCTCGGCGACTCCTGAACACTTCCTCGACATGTCCAAGTATTCTCGAAATGTCGTTCCACGCAAAGCTCACGATTTCCACGAGAGCCAGCTGGCATGCTGAGAAGAGCGATCGCGCTCTATAGAACCATCATAGATCGATCCGCCATGCATAGCGCGCTTGCAAAGGATCGCAAGGTTCGGGCGTGGGAACTGCGAACGCGTCGGCTCGCACTCACGACTTGTGACTGGCCAAGTGCCAAGGGCCTGCTTTGTCGGGTACACTGGCCTGCGAAGTGGCGGTACGGCTAAATTCGCCGCGAGTTCCGTCAGCAGCACTATAGCAGGGTGACTTAGTTGATGGAACGGACGCGACGCGACGCGACGCGTGGCCTCACGAATGCGACACGTCAGATTCACATCGTTGAAACCAACACGCAACACAAGTCTAATTCGCGATTATCGTCCAATCGCGCGTGCATGAATACAAGCAGGGATATGAGGCGCAGAACAGCAAAGTAGCAGTCAAAGTGCGCGGCGCCTGCAGAAAGCTTAATTGTTTGTACTGGTGGCTGTGCCGCGTAGAAAGAATCGGCCGTCAAGTGCTGAGTGCCCGCGCACCATTACGAACACAATTACGACCACTGTGACTGATGCGTACACTCACCAGACTATCCTAGACTGCATGCCAGCCTCCGTTCTTTCACATACTCACGTCGTGCACGAAGGCAGTCACGTTTCTCCCTACCCTCTTTATCGCACGTTTTGCATCTGGCGCACAGTCGCAGTCGTAAGTGAGAGTGCATCATCGCACAGGAGTGGCGCCTGGCTTGCCGCATGAGGAAGGGACTCAGGCTCGATATCAGGCCCGCTCGCCGATGCTGGTGGATATCGTAAAGTTGCCGTGACCGCCGTGGCATACATCTCTATATAGCAATTTGGGTCACGAGTGCACGCGCGCCTCTCCATTCACGATTCATGGATTAGCTACTGCCGACAAAGGGCCATCGGTGCATTTCAGCCACGCACATATATACGAACAGACGCGTCGTATGCTTCAGGCCACAGAAAAGCATCGAAGTACACCCACACTCTGCAATTGGAGCAATCCTTGAATTGCGAGACACGAGCCTGTGGGTACCTGCATCCGCTTGCGTCAAGTTTGGATGGTCCAAGAGTCACAACAGTCTTTGACGATGCGTCGTGGCCAAGCACGCAAGCGCCGCGTGGACATTCAAAATTCAAGATTTGATGCGTGACTCTCGCCAGCAATTTCAAACAAGCAGAAGCAACGAGCCTTCAGCCAGGCTTCTCCGCGATGTCTGCCTTCCTGCATGATTGAGCCATGGTCATTAACAACCTCGAGTGAAGTACACGTGTTAGTGCTTAAGTCAAAGGATACAAATCAAGAATATGCTCATCAGCCGGCGATCCATGACAAGATCAAGTCAAAGTGACGCTTCGATCGGAGAGGAACGTGCTGGAGCGCGACATTCCACAGGAGTGTTCCATTCACCGTCTCTTGTCAGGAGCTGAGCAAACCCAGTCAGGGGCCCTTTTCGCGATCGCGGCCCCGCACAGGGGGTCAGCCAGTCCTGGCGCATACATGATGAGCGACATGGCATCGACGTCAAGTCTCGACAAGTTTGTATCGAAAGTCGAATCAAACGACCCCCCCCCCCCCCCCCCCCCCCCCCCCCCCCCCCCCCCCCCCCCCCCCCCCCCCCCCCCCCCCCCCCCCCCCCCCCCCCCCCCTCCCCCCTCCCCCGACATATCATCGCGGTCTCATGAGCCCTCAAAGCGATCTACTCGGTGAAGCAAACTGTGTTCAAATCCGACGCTTGGGCCGACGTTGATAACTTCGTGTCTCCGAGGACATTTGAATCACCTCAACAGCAAGGGGCCTCCGCGCATGTGCGCACCGGCTCCTACGCGCAACGATTCATGCGGAAGCGAATTTCTGTCAAGTTTTGCCTGAATGTCGAACGTCATTAGATTGTGACCGGCGCAGGGGGTCCTTGTCTACGTAATGCGGCGGGCATTCGCGATTTTTTGATTGTCTTGCCAGGATTGAAATCTGCTCGAATCGAGAAGCAGCAGGAAGCGCAAGCTTTGGTGCGTTCGCCACGGCGCCTTGACTCAGCACTCGCGCAAATTGCAAGCTGCTTGCCACGGCGTGGTGTCTTGAAAGCATGGCTAGGCCTGACAACCTCACGACTAGCAACCCTGAAACCCGCCGCCGATGATCTCCACCCTGACATGGCAAAAACATACGACTGTCTAGTCTGACGCCGAACGGCGATTCGGACACTGCACAATGGAGAAGGGAAAAGGGCCAGGCTCGCAAGGTGAGCTCTGAGCTCCAGCATGCCCGGAAGTACTCGCGATCGCAGCCATGCACCAACGTCGACGGGCTCTTGTCATGCATCCCGCCCGTCGCGCGGAGCTCGACCTCCTCGCGCGCGAGCGAGTTGCTCTGGGCGATCACAATCCCGACTCTGAGCCGAGCCGACTTCCGCCTCATGCGTCGTCCCTAGTATCAGTGCGTCGGCTCAATGAACAAAAGCTGAGCGAGCCGAGCGAAAGGGCCATCTCCCGGACGGCCTCTTTAGTGTGAGGCAAGCCTTATCGTCAGAATCGGCGAGACCCTGTTGGAAGGTTGCGCCAGAAGCACTCGCAGCAGTGCGAACGTTGGGGCACAGGAATATATTGAAAAGTTTCGACGTACAGCTCAAGCCAATACTTTACTTATGCTCTTAACAAATCGTCGAAGTGGCGAGGATGCGCGCTCGCTATCCCGTGGTAATGAGGTGTTTGAATGCGACTTTCCATCGGTCCTCGCGTCTACTGGTGGGCGGGAATCGCAACTGGAGCCGTCAGCTTGTCTGACGAGACCCGTTGCGTGATCCTCCGAGTGGCCATCCAACTCGTGCGTCAGTTGCGAGCCGGTGTCCAGGTCAATTTCCGAGGTTCTGGGGATCCTTGTCTGGAAGACGATCTTGAAGCCAATGTAAAGGACGATGCTGACAGGTAGCATGATGTAAAATACGACAAAATTGATGATGTCGAAAGTCGGAGCAAAAGCGCCATAGCCTTGAATCAAAGCGAGAAAGCAATTCATGATGAGCGCGTACCACGCTCCGACCGGCCAAAGGGGTGCTTTGAAGCGCAATTCCGAGACGCTGCGCCCCTGAACTTTCATCGCACTGCGCATACGAATGTGCGAAGCAGCGATTAAAGCCCAGACGAGCAAGATAGAGATGCCCGAAATCGAATAGATCCTTGTGAAGGTCGTGCTGGACCCTGAGCTTACGCTGAGCAAACTGATCAGGGAGAGTGCGGCACTGACAAGCAGAGCCGGTACTGGGACCTGCGTCTTCTTCGTTGTCCAGCCCAGGAATGCTGGTAGTAGCCTCTCCCTGGCCATAGCAGCCAGGGTGCGGGACGCAACGTACAGCGACGAGTTGCCCGCGCTGACGATGGAAACAATGATGATGGCATTGATGGCCGAAGCTGCTGCCTCGATCGCACCTCTCTGCATCGCAATAGTGAGCGGTGATGCTGCAGCCTTGCTCGAAGCGTTCGCTAGCCGGTCGTCGTTGCTGGGCACATTGAGTCCGATGAAGAACGCAGTGCCAACGTAGAACACGAGAATGCGCCACATTACGCTCGTCACTGCTCGAGGTACAGCACGCTCGGGCCTGCGCGCTTCAGCAGCACAGGTGGCCGTGATCTCCGTGCCAGCGAACTGGGTAGCGACGAGAGTCAAGACGCTTACGAACCCAGGGAAGTCAGTGAATGACCCTGGGTTGCGAAAGTAGCGGAAGCCGATATAGCCCTGACCAGTACCTCCGGTGTTGATGACGATCGAGATGATGAAGAAGACTATCAGAAAGAGAACTGCGACATTTCCAGCGAGGTGAGCGACGTGTCGAACGATACGGCGCATCTTCGTGAGCGCCGTCGGTCCACCCACTTTTGATACTGGCGAGCCAGAACTCGAGCTCGCCCCACGTCGCCACTCCAAGGAGCGATATGCAAAGGAACTTCAAGAAGGGCACGATTAAGAGCGTCAGATGGATGAAGTACCACTGATCTCGGGTTTGCCGCCGCATGTGTTGCTCACAAATACCAGGAAGATGGCTATCCATGCGCCTTGAGGCACTACCCTCGCTCCCTCCCAGAAGGCGAACAGAATTCCGACTGCCACAAGTTCGTTTGCCTGTGAGGCAGAGCTGGTCAGTGCTCGGACAATGAACTTATGTCGACAAGCAGCAGCGAGCGAACAAGACGTACCAAGACCAAGCACCAAAGAGTCCAGTACAGAAAGCCGAGAACGAAGCCGGCAGCCGGATCCAAAAATCGACTGGCAAAGTCGACAAGATGAGATTGAGAAGCTGGAAAAGCTGTGGCCAGCTCGCCGACAGACATCATCGTCGCCCATGTCACACTCCCCACCACCAGGTAAGCCAGGATGGCGCCAACTGGCCCAGCCTCTGACAGAGCGGTCCCTGATCCCACGAGGAGGCCTGGGCCGATCTGTAGAGGCAGGTCACAGCTCAGCAGGGTCAGCATCGCATTTACGTCTACTGAACTTCTCTTTCTCCTCCCCGCCCGGCGGGACCATCCACACGCCCCCACTTGCCTACCAGCTTCTCCCCCGTTCCTCATTTTGTCAACTCACAACTCCACCAAGCGAGATCAACACCAGATGCCTGGCGCTCAAGGTCCTCTTGAGCTGTTGCTTGCTTGAAGCGTCCCTGCTCGCATCAGATGCTTCTTGGGAGCGTGTCTCTTGCGTCACCTTTGCCGTTTCCTGGTCATTTGTGTACGGGGACGCTTTGGAGATCTCGCTCGTCCGAGCCCGAGCCGGCACCACCGGTCCCGCAATGTCGTCTTGTGAATTTGCCATCCTGTGGCTTAGCCTGCCTCGAATGGCCCCTTGCAATTCTTCGATGCTCCGTGGGGAACTTGCCGGGCTGGACTGACGTGGTGGTGGCTGTGATCGCGAAGCAGCTCACCGTGCTGAGATCAGCAGCGCTTGCGAGCAGCTTGGCCATTTTGCGAGCTGATCCGCGACATCTTGGGACGACGTGACTGAGGTTGATGGTGCAGCAGGGCATCAGGTTGCATGCAGCGCCAAGAAATCGGGCATTAGAATTTTTTGAATTTGGATGAAGCCGTGGAATCGTGATTTGAACCTTGAATCGCACCACTGGGTTCGTTCACGTGACCCGTTTTGCGTCACGTGAGCTCATTGATCGATGGTCAAAGCCGACGATCGAAGGATGCGGTGCTAGCCCGCATGTATACATGAACACGCTGATGATGGCTGTCAAGTTTAACGAGCACACTCACCACCGGGACCACAGAATACCCTTGTGCCCTTGACTCATCTGCAACAGAAGACCCTTGACCTTTTGACTCCTCTTTGCAGACGGACACTCCAAGAGTTCGGCAGCCCCGCTCCTCCGCTCGCGTGTGCACATCCTCTCTGCCATAGTTGGCACCCAAACTCCTCGCAACAGCCAGCTAAGCGGCTTGGGATTGAAGCCAGCCATGCGCTGACCGCGATCGCACAGACAGCAGGGTGTCGTCGCTTTCACTCTACTCGGCATCAAACTGAGTCGCCAATCTACTGTGAGCGGCTACCATGGCAGGCGAACCGCCCCATGGAGGCGATCACGCTAGCGACAGTCCAGACCTCATGGCGTCCTCCAGCACGATACACAGCGAACCACCAGCGCCCCTGTTCTACCCGGCCTACGTGCCACCACCTTCAGCTTTGCCATCTCAGATGCTCAATGGCGCTTCCAATCTGATTCCCAAGTTTGGCCTGCTTCCGCTGTATCTGAAGGCGGTCAAGCCATACAGACGCACAGGGCCCAACGATGATCCAAGCAAGTTTCAAAAGCTGCCATTTACTTATGAGCAGTACGTCGAGGATCTGCCAGGTGCGTAACGATTGGCAATCAAGCACGGCTAAATGTGCTCATGTGTTGCCCTTCGATTCCGTATCAGGTCGCGTGAGACCAACAAAGTACCAAGCCAAGCAGCCTCCCGCCCCGCCCACGATGAGGGACATTGTTTTCAGGCCGGAAACGACGCTCCAGCGAATTGTTCCGTTCGACGAGGAGACTCTGAGAACGAGCTTCGCGGTAGATGCTGGTCCTGCCGAGAAGGTGAGTGGTTCTGGCGAGCTGTTGACGCTACTTTGGGAGCATGCCAACCGAATGCCCGCGCACGTCTGCTGGCCTGGCCTGCAGATCAATGTGCGTCTCCTAGAAGCCGATGAGCCGGGCGCAAGAAAGCCAAAGAAGCGAAAGGTGAGGCAAAGTGACCCGGCGCGATACGCGCTTTGTCGAATCACTGAATCAGCTCCGCATTGCTTCACGCAATCCGAAAGCACAAGCCAGGTGGCGATCAAGACAGTCCTCGCAGAGAAGCCAGGCATTCAATTCGACAAGCGCGTTAACGAGAATGAGCGTGTATTGTCTTGTCTCTAGATGTGCAGACGAAAGATGTATGTGCAATGTGACTAACAGATTAAACCCTAGCAAAGTAACATTGTCCCATTAGTGGTAGAATCGGGGAATTAAAGGAAAGATAAGTATGCATAAAGTTTGCGCGAGGTAGTACGCATTGGTTGTGCAAAGCAAGTCTACTTTCGCTCCATGAGTTGATGACAACGACCAAGAGCTTTTGAGCGTAAGCCGAGCATGGTAGCAAAGGCCTCGGGATCCTCAGAGCGGGGCTGAAGAGATGCCCTCTGCCGTACACAGGGCTCAGGCCGCGTGTGTGTTGTTCCTCGAGCAGAGGTCATTGGGGCGCTTTGCCTCTTGCGCTCAAGTCTCTTGAATCCGGGAAAGGCCTGTCCCACCTTACTCGTCGTCATCGCCTTCATCGTCTCCCGCCCCATCATCCGCGCCGTCTTCGTCTTCGGCTTCGTCGTCCCCGTCTGCGGCGTCATCGCCTTCGTCGTCGGGTGGCGCAACTTCGATCGGCTCATCGTCCTCTGGTGGATCATCTGCATCCGGTGCTTCAGCTTCGGCTTCGGCTAGCGCGTCAACGAGTTCGGTCAAGGCATCGCTGACAGATGCCTCGACCGCCTCAGAGATGGCGTCTGCTAGATCGGATATATCTTCGTCCATAGCATCAGGATCTCCTGCGAGCACCATGTCCTCCACAGTCTCTGCCGCAGCCTCTCCGATCGAGCTGGCTAGGTCATCGATGTCGGCCTCGTCCAAGTCGGACAAAGCAATGGGTCCATCGGCACCAGCATCTTCCGCTTCGCCGTCTGGCGCGTCTCCGTCCGCGTCCGCTCCATCAGCTGTCGAATTCGGATCGTCGAGCGTGTCAGCGTCAGCGTCTGGATCGTCGCCATCATCCGGCTCTAGAGGCTCGCTTGCGTCCGGAACGTCTGGATCCGCGCCAGCTGCAGAAGGATCTTCAGCGTCCCCTTCGCCTTCGGCATGAGGGTCCGCATAGCCGCCTCCCTCCGCGTCGTCGCTGGCATCTGGGTCAACAGATCCAGTGACTCCGTCGGCTTCTCCGTCGGCATCGGGCCCATTTTCCGCCCCAGCACTGACCGCTCCATCGAGCCCAGCATCTCCATCGGTATCAGGGCCAGCAGAATCGGGTCCTGCGTCAACATCATCTCCTGCATTGCCGTCGCCAGCACCAGCATCGGCACCAGCGTCGGCACCACCAGGGAGATTGTCACCATCGCTCGGATCGCTGGCGTCCGGACCTTCGCTGTTAGTACCAGCGAGGTCGCCATCAGCCTCAGCACCAGCATCAGCGTCAGCTCCTGCACCGCCGTCAGCTGCATCAGCACCGGCATCAGGATCGCCAGGGGCAGCATCGCTTCCAGCAGCCCCTCCACCGATGCTAGGATCGCCCGGCAGAGTGGCTGAACCTGCGCCAGCTGGGCCGCCTGCTCCACCGGAAGGACCACCAGCGCCTGCATTCGGAGGAGGACCAGCTGCGCCTGGACCTGATCCTGTACCGGCATTACCACCACTCGCCACACCGCTGCCGCCAGTCGGGCTTTGTGCGTTTCCCCCGGCTTGGGGTGCGCCGGATCCTGGCAGAGGGCTAGACGTTCCAGACGTGCTTCCACTTCCGGGAGACGCCGGATTGCTGCCGCCTACGCCTGGACCGTTGGTCGATCCAGGAGATGGTGACCCTAAGCCAGGTCCTGAAGCGCTCGTTCCTGATCCTATCGAGCCCTGACCAGCTCCCAGGGCGGTTCCTGGAGAGCCAATCGGAGACCCAGGATTGGCAGGCGCACTGCCAGTGCCTCCTGCGACCCCAGCGCCGCCGCCAGGCTCACCAACGGTAGGCACTGTATTTGACGAATCGGAGCCCAACGGCGACGCACCTGGGTCAACTTCTCCTGGCTGTCCGACTGGGACGCCCCCTGAATATCAACGGCAATGTCCGAACGCTGAATCAGCTTCGGCGGCGTTTTGCGGGCTGACATACTGAGTCAGGCACAGACTCACCGAAAATAGCCATCTGGACGAGGCGCGCGCTAGTGGAGGCGACTGCATTCGCAAGAGTGTTTGCGTCGGCAGCGGTGACCATCACTGCGTCGCTTGGGTCCGGCAAGGCGGGTGGCGGCGCTGTCGGGTCAATGGCACCATCTCCATCGGCATCCAAGTCGGCAGTAGCGTCTGCCAGCGCTTGTGCATAGTCCTCCGCAGCTTCTGCATTCAGCTGGTCTATGGCGTCAGTCGCAGCCGTGAGCGCTGCTTGTCGAATCTTCTGGGCAACGTAAGCGGCATCAAAGACAGGTTGAGGGGGCGTCGTCGTCGTCGATGGATTGGATGTAGTACCTCCGCCTGCCGGACTTGTTCCGTCAGAAGGCGTGCCCACCACAAGTGGGACCATGCCTGGTGCTGCAGCCGCGCCAGCAGCAGCTTCATCGGCTTCATCGTCGTCTTCGCCGGAATCGTCGACGACCACAGGGACCATGCCTTCTTCTGCATCTGAGTCTGCTGCGTCCGCTGCGTCAGCATCGGCGGTGGGATCATCAACCACTACTGGAACCATGCCCGAGTCAGCTCCCGAGCCTGCAGCGTCGGAGGAGCCATCCTCGGGGCTTGAGTCGTCTGCCCCGTCGGCGCTATCATCTGCGGCGTCTGCATCACCGACGACGACAGGAATCATGCCTGGATCGGCGCTTGAGCTTGGTGCCCCGTCTGCACCAGCGTCACCCGCATCACCCGCATCAGCAGTTGTACCGGCATCGGCATCGCCGACAACTAGGGGAGTCATGCCTGCGTCTATGCCTGAGTCTGATGTTTCTCCATTTTCGGTGTCTTCGGGATCAGCGTCAGGATCACCATCGACAACGACAGGAATCATGCCTGCATCTGAGCTTGAAGCGGTCGGTCCTCCATCTTCGGTGTCGTCTCCGTCTCCGTCTCCGTTTCCATCTCCGTCTCCGTCGGCATCGACACCATCATCATCTCCGGTGGTCGCCGGAGCTATGCCTACGCCTGAGCTCGAGTCGGGTACTTCTTCGCCATCCGCATTGCCGGCGTCGGGGCCGGTATCCCCTCCGACGACAACAGGAATCATGCCTGCGTCTGGACTCGAGTTGGCCGTCTCTTCATCGTCGACATCTCCGGCGTCGGCATCTGCATCGTCTCCGATGACAACGGGGACCATGCCTGCGTCTGAGCTCGATTCGCCTCCTTGACCATCGTCGGCGTCTGCATCGTCCCCTACCACAACGGGTATCATGCCCGAATCCTCATCTGCTTCGCCATCCGCTCCGTCCTCAGCAGAAGCAGGGTCTTCTGCGCTTGGTAGATCAGCTGATTGAGGTGCAACAACGACTGGGATCAGACCGTCAGACGCCCCGCCAGCTTCATCGCCCTCGTCAACTGCATCTGGCTGATCTTCGTCTGGCGCATCGTCGCCAACGGTGATAGGAGTATCACTTGGATCTGTGCTTGCAGTTGGATCCGATGGCGATTCGGGGGTCCCCGGAGATGTGCCGGTGTCGCTCGGACCATCATTAGTGGCGCCCATGCCATCGACCGTACCGACAGGAGTATCACCCGCTTCGGCGCCTGCTCCAACGTTACGCCTCGATGTGTCAACCAGACTCGAACCAAACAATCGGCTTCCCACGAAAGGACTCACCAGATGCTCCGGAGCTAGCTGGGGGCATCGCTGTCGATGCGCCGTCGTCCCCACTCTGAGTCGTCGATCCGGACTCTAAAGGTTCGCCAGTAACAGCTGGCGTGCCGGCCCCAGCCCCACCACTGCCGTCTGGTGAGCCAGGCGACGCACCACTAGTGCCGCCTTCTCCCGCTGCAGGCTGAGACCCGTCTTGGGTCTCAGGGTTGCCACCAATGACGATTGGTACGGCACTCGGATCAGAGCTTGGTACCGATCCGTCTGATGGAGTTGAGGTTCCAGATGTGCCAGCATTGCCAGCATCGCCCGTGCCGCCTCCCTGGCTACCACCGGGTCCTTTTCCCGCCCCTTCGCTATCGCTGCTTGAAGGTGAGGCTGCAGGCGAGGATGCTGTCGACTGGTCACCTTCCCCGCCTGGGCCGACTGACATTGTACCGTCGGACGTGGGACTCGACATTGGACCGCCTGCACTAGAATCAGCTGAGCTGCCACTACCATTGGGTCCTTTCCCTGCTCCTTCGCCACCGCTGCTTGAAGATGATCCGGCGGGCGAGGCTGGTGTGGACTGGTCACCTTCCCCACCGGGACCGACTGAGATTGTACCGTCGGACGTGGAACTCGACGTCGAACCACCTGCACTAGAATCAGCTGAGCTACCACTCCCACCGTCGCCGCTTGAATCCGCGCCTTGTGGCTCAGATCCAACAGGAGAGGAGGAGCCTGAAGTCGCTCCACCGTCCGAGCTTTGCGGCTGATCACCTGCTGCAGGGCTCGTTCCGCTCGAAGTTGGTGGGGCACTGACCGCAGAGCTCGACGTTGCCAAGCCCGAGCTGGGTTGTGCAGCGGCCGGCGTGGTGGTTGACGCGCTTGCAGGTGTAGAGGGAGAAAAAGGCCGACTCGTGGGCCTGCTAGGTGCTATTGTGGGCTGGGGGAACCCTGACGATTCAATAGCGATGGGTTCGCTAGAACTTCCAGAGGGTCGTCCCGTCGCGTGAGACTTCTTCGAGGTGTGGTGTTTTGACTTGTGATGGTGATGGGAAGAAGATTTGTGGTGGTGCGAGCTATGATGATGTGACGTGTGGTGGTGCGAGCTGTGGTGGTGCGAGCTGTGGTGATGCGCAGGCTTGTGAGGTTGATCGGTGCGATGCATCGTGTGATGATGATGCGAAGCCGTGTGATGATGGTGCTCTCGGTGATCTGTCGTGTGATGACTGGACGATCGATGGTGAGTGGGGTGTTTGTGCGAAGAGTGTTGATGCGAGGAATGGTGCTTCGAATGTGGCTTTGCGGTCGGTTTAGGAGCGTGATGGGTGGAGTGACCATGATGGCCAGGCTTGCCATGTCTCCGGCTTGCTGTGTGATGCGAGCTCGTTGGCTTGTGTTTACCATGACTGCTCTTGACGTGCTTTGTGCCGCGGTCACCAGAATGAGTGGCTTTGGGCTTCTTTGCGCCATGAGACCGTGTCTCGCGAGTCTTTGAGGACTTTGAAGAATGGTCATGAGGCTTATGGTGATCCGACTCCTTGCCCTTGGAAGACTTGTGACCTTTCTTTGGGAGGTCCGTTCGCTTCGCTCCATTAGAGGCGGAAGCGCTGTGATCATTATGGCTTGATTTGGCCTTGTCTGAAGATCGATGCGACTTTGAGTCCTTCTTGTGGTCCTTTTCGCGGGCCTCGCCGTGCTTCTTGCCCTTGCGATCGTTGGACTTGTCCGACTTTGGTCTCCCTTTGCCTCGCTTGTCGCCATGCTTTTTGTTCTCCTCCTTTTTCGAATCAGAACTGCGCTTCGACGATCTTTTGATCCTTGATCGAATGGGATTGTCTTTCTCCTCCTTCTCTCTTCGCGCTGTGTTGGCTCGAGTGAAGTTGCCGATCGGCCTGAGAGATAAAGGAGACCTGGCTCTCTGAGATGGATTAGCAATTTTGGACTGCAGGAGTGCAAGACGTCGAAAGATTCGCGACCATGTTCGCGGTTCTGTTGACGGGTCTGTGGTGTTGGCAGACGGCCCCTCTTCCGAGAACCAAAGCTCCACGGCGCTTGCTTTACCATCGCCGGCCTCGAAATGAAGCACTTGAAGTGCAGACGCTGGAACTGGATCTGGACGCGACGGCTTGAGGTCGTGCCTGAATGTGACGAAACACAGTAGTGCGACGATGGCGAGTGTGTGCACTCGCATGCCGTTCTTGTGGAAGCCGGTCAACTCCCATCAAGGAGCCCACCGCAGACGATGGAGAGGCAAGTCCGAGCAGCGTGGGGTAGGGAAGGAAGCAGAGATGCGTGTGAGGCTGTGATTAGGTGATGGCTGTTCCAAGCGCAGTCACGTATCGATGCACTTGTGACTGTGGCACGTATGGTGGCTAGTCACTGAAGTGACTGTAGCCAGGCAGCGTCTCCGGCAGAGATAGAGGTAGCAAGAGAGACGAGTCTGATCAGCACCACTCCGGCGTTCTGTGCCACTCTGCGCTGTTGCCTTCACTCCGAGCAAGAAGAGCCAGACGATGCCAAGCCACAGACATGCCTCGGAGCGACGTAGACTCCGAGCGTGGGCTCATGTGAAGTTGAGTCAACCAGCACGGCATTATGTTGCAAGCTTGCAGGGGTATGAATCTGCATGAACGGCATGTCGAAAGCATCGGAGATGACGCAGAGGTCAACGGTGCTCGATTGTACCGGTACCTCGAAGCGGGCGAAGCGAATGGAATGTTTGCAACGTTGGTCTCAGTGTGCAGCGCCGCTACCTGAAGGAAGACGCAACGGGAAGGCGTTGGGGATTCAGGTTCATGAAAGCGTGCGTGTGCCACGGCGCGATCATGTCTGTACGCCGAAAGAGAATTCGTTCAGCATGTGCGAAGGGCAGAGGCGGTTGTGGTGCTTGAGACCGCAGGATGCATCTTGCTGGTCATTCAGACTTTCAAATCATTTCAAGAATCGTCAGCGACTTCGGGTATTTGAGCATCAAAGCGTAAATGCCACGCTGTTGGGACCTTCAGCGTCTTTCAAACGGGTCATAATGTGGCGATGCACTTGCTCTTGACCACAAGGCTTTAACATAGCTGTGTAGATCGGGCGACGAACTCGACTCAGCTCTATTTTTAATCTCCGCAAACTCGACCCGTCGTTGCTGGCGGCGCCGCTAGGGTCTGCGGGCGAAAGCGCCTGCATAAGTCTGGTTGCACCCGCTATTGGTGATTCTACCAAAACCGCTGCATGCAGGGTGACGGACACTCAAGGTTGCCAACGTGAGGCATTCACTCATCAGCGATTGGTGGATGATGGCTTGCGCGTGGAGCAGGTCCCTCAAAAGTTGGATAGAGTTGTTCAGAAGCGCGCAAGATAGTGCACGCTCTTCATGATCACTGCCAGGATTACAGCAGAGGGGAATGTTACAGTATCTTATTTGAACTATTCTCGGAAGCTTCATTTGATTGTGGAACAATCGCAATTTACGATTTCAGCTCCTACGGTCAAGAGCGTGAGCACATGCAGTCACAGTCACAGTGTATACCGTAGCCGCCACGCTGGAAATTCAGGCATGTGCGCATTGGTACCAAATCGGCGTTGCCCTGGCGCCATCTCACATATGCACGAACTCATGCGCGGTCTCGTCTGCGTGGCCGTTGGCTTGCGCTTTAAGTTTTGTTTGGCCGTTGGCAACGCTTGCAAGGGTTTCATTGGCAACAAGCGCGCGTCATCTGACTGGTCCAAAAATCGGCTGATTTTGTGTTTGGAAGAGCAGCTAGGCCATTCGGGCGAACTCATTCTTGATTGCTCGCTTCGAGAGGCCCTCTTCCCGCGACAGTAGTAGTAATAGTATAGCAGCAGTTGAAAGGCGAAGGAAGTAGTCCGCGTTTGCAACGTCCGTAGCTAATTGTGTCACAAGTCGAAGATGGCAGACACTCAATTAAGGCAGGCACCAAAGAATCAAAAGTCCATCAAAGCCTGTGATTCGTGCTTTACTTTTGCACAAAGGCTTTCCCAGAAAGTCAAGATCGATCTCAGCAACCGGTATATGTATCGAATTAAGGTCTGATGAGTCACGAGTTTGGGCACGCTACATTCCCCAATTGGTACACTTAAAGTGTTCGTTTAGTTACACTACGGCTACCTCTGCATGAGCTGACCGTTGAGCGTGCCCACCGGTCGTGTGACGGTCAAGAGTAGTAGCTAGGTAATCAAGAGTCGTAATTAGAGATCGAGTCGCTATATAATAATAGCAACAGATAGATATAGCCGAATGCGCGCGTGCAGGAGCAAGAACTAGCTCTGTTGATTGGCGGCATTAGAGCAAGGAACCGCAGAGGCTACAGCTGCAGCCAGGCAGGCAGCCTAGGCATCAGCTATAATGCACATGGGCACACCAATGGAGTCATCAAAGGCAAGGCACGAAGAATCTGAGGGCCCGCGAAGAGCCCGGGAGCCATGCATTGGGGAATTGTGCAAGTCGAATTCAAATTAACCTAAATCAGAATTGTATCGGGACTCCCAGTCTGCAAGCGCGTGGTGCAGTCGCAGCTAGAGCATATGTGGCCCACCATCGTGGACGCGTGCAGGGATGATCTTCGCGTGATTGTGATTCCGACTCCCACTCATCACTACTCATGGTGACTATTCGTGCAGAAGAGATGGAAAGACACAGCTCCGCCACGGCGAGTTGCGATTGCGCCGGCTCCGCGGCGGACTACGAGAGCTCTACCCAGCTCCGTATGCTGTGCATTGGGCCAAGTCGCCAGATGCCGTTGGGCTCGGTAAGCCGTTGCGTTTAAACGTGCTTGTGCTTGCGCGGACTTTCTCCTGCGACGGAAAGGTCGCCATCGAGGCAAGCAGCTGGATGCATGTGGAGGGGGAGTTGGCAGCGGGTACAGACAAGCAGCACTTCCTGCGAGCTAGATGCGAGTCCCTCCTCCCTGGAGACTCTGTCGATTGCGCATTGCGATCGCGGGAACGGCCAGCAGGGCGAAGTGTCCAACGGCAGCAAAGCTGGGTGGCTGCGCTCCATGCAGCGGTCAGTTGATACGACAGTCGTCCACACGACCAGGTAGGTACATAGGCGTTGCGCCGCCGCTGCACAGCGCACACGATTCTTTGGGGACACGACACCCGAGGGTCTTCGCTAGCCTGGGCAAACTTTGGCGGTCGGAGTGGGCAGGTGACCTCAACGCGTGTGTCTCATAAAGCAGTGGTACATGTATCTCACAGTCGAGAAGCAATGAAGCACGTACCATGCTTATTGCTCAACGACAATCTCCACCACGCATTCCGACCGCTCAACTTCTTTACCGCTCAGCTATCGCTCGATACATCTTGGCAATGCAAACAAATCGCCGCTCGGGCGCATGGGTGTTTCACGCAATGCCGACTGGTCGGCACTTGACGTTGGATGGACCCTTGCTTCCTTTGGTCGCCAGCAGCTCTTGAGCAGGCGCACAGCTGACTCGGAAGTGCTTCCGCCCGCCGGGTCACTAGTGGTACCGATAAGCCACTACTCGAGTGCTTCGCTCCGTTCCATACTCCAGACGACCCGGCTACTCATCCTCACTTCTTCATCCTCATTTCTAGACTTCACTGTTCTTTGCTTCTCCCCGCCCCTCTTCCTGACTCCTAATCCTTCCTCTTCACCTCACGGTACAAGGTCAGCACAGGTGGCTGGCTGGTCGACCGATTTCGTTTTTCTTCACGCACGCTCTTTATCTCACATCGGTGGATTTCCACCCTTTGGACCTCAGTCAGAGTGCAGACACTGCTTTCTACCGACCAGCCACCTTCAGCATACGTCACAGACACAACATGCGGATCTCACGCCGTGTTGCATGTGTTCTCTGCGCAGTCAGCTGTGCTACCATAGCACTTTGCGTGCCAATTACCGAACATCCAAACGTGTATCGGGTCAATACTGCTCGACACGGTGCTTGGGTCGTGCCACAAAGGTTGGAGACGGTCCCATCGGTAACGCGCCCGCCCCTTCCGGAAGAGCAACAAGTCATGCCACCTCTGGCCGCAGGTGTCTTGTCCAACTTGTCGGGGCGCAAGAACGAGACTTTCGAAGTTTCAGTCATCTCCCCACTCAGCGGAGCGCTGAACAACTGCGACCGCGACCTAGCTTACAGCTTTGACGACGGGCCATCAATCTACCACGGCGAGGTGGAGATGCTGTTCGACAATGCGAAAGCGAAGTACACCTCCTTCGTCAACGGCATGAATTGGTCGTGCATCTACGACGAGAACAACGTGCAGACCCTCAGGAAGGCCGTCGCTGCAGGCCATCAGATCGGCAGCCACACCTGGTCACACGCACATCTGAACTCTCTAAGTCCCGAACAGCAGGATCTCGAGATCGAGAGGCTGGAAGAAGCTCTGTGGAAGATCATTGGCCGTGTTCCTGCCTACTTTCGACCACCTTACGGAGAGTGCGACAAGAATTGCGTCGAGCGTTTGAACAAGAAGCACGGTCTGACCGTCGTCACCTGGGACGTGGACAGCGGAGACTCCGTCGGAGCTTCGCCATCCGCATCCATCGCGACGCTCAACGCGCTCAAGTACCCCCAGCCCCACATGCCGCTCTCTCACGAGACGTACCAATCCAGCGTCGAGACGGTTGCCCCAGCTGTTGTTCCCAGCCTGCAAAAGCAAGGCTACAAGCTCATGACCATTCAGCAATGCTTGGGCGGCAAGGTTCCGCCTTACAAGATCATTGGCAGACCACAGGAGCGAGACGAGACGTGGACTTGCGCCAACAACGTTTGAGACGGGTGTGTCCTCGCAACTAGACAGATCCAGGCATTAGTACTAGCAACCAATCAGAACGAGCGGTCAGTGCGGATCGCAAGGCGTCACCATTCTCACGTCTTGCCAGCTGCTTGCTGACGCCTTGGTATCCTGCACCAGTAGTACTTCTGATGAGAATAAGCAGTTCACGGAGATCAGGCGCGGCCCTGCTCTAGACTCGATGCTCCCCATTCCTAGCCATCCCTTCGCATTTGGCCTCACTGGCAGCTGGTCTGTACTCAATGCAAGCTTTTCTATTTCACGTTCGAGCAAGTCGGCGCTTGCCTTCGACAGTGAATGTGACTGTTTGCTTGCATGTAGTGAGCTACCAACGTAGGGGATGCGGCGGTCTCTTTTCTCTCTGGTCTGCTCTTTCACTGTCCCCTGCCTCGGCCACCTCCATCGCCGCCCCCTCTACCTCTGAACCCTCCCCTTCCACGCCCGCGGCCTCTACCACCCCTCGCACCCCGTGCTCCACCACCAGATCCCTGCAGGTGGGGTTTCCAGCTTCCATCCTGCACGACTGGGTGAGGATAATCTCCGGGTGGCTCGCCCCCAGTCCAAGGATGGTGCACGCGTTCAGGAGGTAAAGAAGCGAGTACCGGAAGCCAAGTCTTGACGTAGTCTCCATTCGCATCGTAATCCTTCGATTGTTTAATCACATTGAATTTCCTATATCGCAGAAGCCATTGCTGTCAGCCCTGGGACCGACAATTACCCAGCTGACCTGTGTGCAATGACTCACCGACCAGCTCGAGGATCGTTACCAACACCAGCAACATATTGCCAGTTGCCCCAGTTGGAGTTGGGATCGTAGTCGGCCAGCACAGACTCGAACCACTCTGCGCCTAGTCTCCAATCATAGTAGAGGTCCTTCGTCAAGAAGCTGGCGACGTTCTGCCTTCCACGATTGGACATGAACCTGGCACAAACAAGGGACGCGTCGCCTCAGTCATCAGATCAGACCTAACATCTGAGCCCGTATCGAGACCCACCCAGTCTGAGCTAGCTCGAGCATATTTGCGTCGACAAGCGGCACGCCAGTCTTTCCCTGCGTCCAACGCACGAAGCCATCCTTCGCATTGTCCATGCTGTCAGGGTACAGCCATTGCTGAGCAGTTTGGCCAGCGTTTTTGGGATTCAACACTTCCTCGATGCCGAGGAGGGTGAAGAGCTTGCTGCCGTATTTGGCTCCTACGAAGTGAAAGTAGTCTCGCCACCTGAGAGGAGAATGCCAGAGTCAGGGATCAGCCGCTCAAGACATTGAGATCAGGACATGATCAAAGTACTCACAAGAGCTCAAAGACGATCCAATACCCACCCCCACCCCTGCTCGCGCCTGTTTGCTTGTCCATCTTGGTCGCTTCGTCAGCCAAGAATCGAGGTGAAATCGTTCCGTGCGCTAGAGCAGCAGAGAACTGCAGTGTGCGGAGGAGTCGTCGTCGTCAGGTACATCGGGCGGGCGCAGGCAGGGCAACGTGAAAGTCCGTCTCCACACTCACCTTGGTGGAGTAGTCAGGGCCCAACATTCCATTTCGGGTCTGCTTGTATTGCTCGCCTGGTTTGCCTCTGCCTAGATAGTACGCAGCGCGTGTCAAAGCTTCCGTCTCTCCGCCATTCTGGGCAAATGCAGGAGCTTGAGGTCGGTCTTTGGACGTGGGTGCCTTTAGAGGCCCGGGGTTGTCTCGCAACGGTTTGAGAAGTGTGTTGATGACATGCTCGGGATCTTTGAGATCATCTTTGGCTGATAAGCTGTACGACCCTGCTGCATCCTCCAACTCCACGTCAGCGTAGGGCTTGAGCTTTGAAGGAGCGGGCAAGGGCTCTCTGAACATGTCGGGCGCTTCCACTCGCTTGCGGAAAGAGGTGAAGACATCCGGCAATTCCGAAACGGGAAAGCCTAGATCTTCCACGTTGACCAAAGTCCTATCCCATGGCTGCACCAGTCGCACACCCAGCTTTGACAATGCTTGGCCCAATCGTTTCTCCGTCGTCACCTCTTCAGTATTGATCTGGGCGGATGAGATGATGGTTGCGGCTAAGCTATGGCTGGAGCCAAGACACAAGGATTCTTATGCAGCGCAGACTCACCTCTTTAGACATCCACACTCCTTCTACCGAGTCGCCACGCTTCTGCAGTGCCTCCACTACACGCGGCACAACCACTTCGGGCAGACCAGCCCAGATCGACAGGTCCGAGTTTCTCGACCGAAGCGAGTCACGCACATCGAAGACGGAGTTTGTAAGGTACCTTTCGCGAAGAGCGCAGAGTGGAGTGAGAGTCAGAAAGCGCGCACGGAAAACGAAGCAAAGGAGCATGCATGCGCCGCTCACCTCGTTCGATGCTCGCCACACCTCCAGAACTGGCCCGTTCTGGTTCTAGCCTCTTCGCCCTTGCCCGCTTTCTTCAACCCAGGTAGCCCTCCCACTTCGATCCTTCCCTGATCAAAGACGTAAATTGGCAGCACATGTGTAATGTCCTTCTTGAAAGGCGCTTTGGCTGGCGAAGGGTCTGAGCAGAGCGAGAAGATGGGGTGGTCGTGGAGACGCAGGTCGTTGCGCAGCTAAGGGTACGAAGGGCCAAGCAGCGCATTCAGTCAACGCTTCTAAAAGCATCAGCGGCTCTTCTGAGCTCAAGCACCGGCTCTTGGGAATCCGACACTCACCACCGCTAGAAGCACATTGCGTGAGCCGCTCATTTTGAGATGGAGAGCTTGTAAGGTTTGCGTTTCAGATGGACGGGTCGGCACGACGATTTTCAGCAGCAGCTATGAGGTGAGCGTGGTGGGCAGAAGAGAGCGTCCCCGCATAGGAGGTGACCATTCAACCTTGATCCTATAGAAAAGCTCATGGAGTTTGCAAGTCTCACTCACGTATACTCGCGTAGACGACACATCATCAGACTCACACTGTACAGTCCAATCGCATGACCATCCCACTTGGGACCAACGCGAATCGTGAATGGTGCGCTTTCGGCCAAAAAGCAGATCGACGCGCAATGTGGAGAGAAGCGTACGCAGCAGCAGGCTTAGTCAAAGCTCGTGCAGCTTGCAGCTATAGCAGCAGCTGCGATCAAGTCAGCCATGCAACGCGCGTGTCCTGTACGGTACCAGCATTCGTGATTGATTCAGGGTCCTTGCTTAGGGCAGGCCGGGTGATGTCAGCTGCGACATCCTTGCCCCTCGTCGTGACTGATTCAAGATCGACCCATGACTCACCACTCACCCCTGTAAAATGATCGAGCTGCATCAGCCGTCATCACGCGAGCACAACTTGCAGACCGATGGATGACAACAGCCTCGCTCGCCCAAGTGTGAGTCGCTTTGATCTTCTGAAGCCGTGCATGCACGTCACGCTAGCCTCGCCTCGCCTCGCCTCTGCAGGCCGCCGCATCGATCGCTGACGGCTGCGCTCCGAGCATCACAGCTTTATTGTCTTCTTCTCAACAGCCACTCGCGACTCGTGACTGAAGTCAGACATTGGGACTTTTGTGAGTCTTCATTCATGATGGTCGTTTCCGATCCCTGATCCCTGATCTCTCCACGAGCAGCCTTTCTGTGACGATGCAAAGCATTCAAATTCGAGTACACGCATCGTACACTCGCGAATCAAGTGCACGAGGACGTCGACGTCCCTCGATCCTCGCGTGCATCGATCCTTCTTTTGACGGGAGCAAACGTTCATGTTGATGGTTCACATCGGAATTCACACCCAATTCTTTCATTCGCCATCAAGCTTGTAGTCGCGGCCCTTGAAAGGATCCGAATTGAATGTGCCACGCAGCCTCGAAATCGCGGATTATTCATGGGGCCTCGAATTGCGGACTCGATCACGAACTTGAACAAACTTGAACTTGGTTCAAATCACGATCGAGGTGTGAATATCAGGAATTAAGAGCCAAGATTGATGAGTCAGTCAAAAGTCTTGAGTGGTGATCGACACGCCAAATCCATCTTCGCGATCCACGTGATTGTGATTCATTTGTGATTTGGTTTCATGATTCTTGATTCGTGATTCAATTGACCTTCACCATCGATTCGTGGAGGTTAATCAAAATTGCACGGCGCCATCCTAATCGGTGGAGCCTGATTTACCTTGCATGCGGGACCGACAAAACAGGCGCGTGTGGAGTCAAGAGTAACGTCTGTGCTGAGGATTCACGCACGGTTGTGGATGTAGCCGTGCGTGCATGGCCGACACTCAAGATGACGTCAAGCGATGCGTCTCGATCGCTGCATGCTTGATTTTGTATCAACCGTAAATTCAAAGGTTACACAGATTTCATTCACATTATAGATTCTTCATTGCGTATGATTCATCGGGATTTTCACCTTAATTCAAACAGTCACGTGATAGATTAAATTTGTGCCCAGCATATCCACGCGATCACTCACTCTTCACTCTTGACTCAGACTCACCGCCTCACACACGCTTGGCTGGCTCTTTGTTGCTGTGCTCACCGTGTCATGCTCGTATTTGGTTTTGTGACTAAAGCGTCGACCTGCAAGCCTCTACTACTCACGGTTCAAACCTCGCACCCCAAAGAAGACTTGGACTCGTGAATTTTGAATCAGAATCAAAATTTCCAATCAAATGATTTCGTTGGAAGTCGATGAGAGGGTCGGAGCTACAGCTGTAATAGGTAGGACATGGCATGCGAAGCCCAGGCTTCTCGCATGTCTTGGCGCCGAGGTCTTGGAACGCGCGCGCGTCTCCCGAGAAACCGCGTGACTTTCCAAGGCGTCGCTTCCGGGCGCAGCAGCAGCAGCCCGCTATACATCCATATGCATGCAGCTAGCATGCATCAGTACAGCCCACTGCAGCGGGGCTGTATGAGTTGTCCTGCCTGTTCACTGGTCACTTAATCTTGAATTGCGTGACTGCTGCTGCGTACCTGGCTGTAACAGGCGCGAACGATTGATTTCGCGTCCGCGTGCGGTGGCTGTGCCGAGATGAGTCAACCGGTTGCGTGGAGGTCTTGCGCAGCGAAACCGCTTATGGTTCTGCTCCTGGATGGCACGCCTACCTGCACGTATATGCACCCGCGTCCGAACAGCTGATGCTCGCAACCTCAAAAACCTCTTTGGCTGCTGGAGCTTACTAAGTCATCATCACCAACTACCATCTCCAACTTTCGTTTTTGAGCGCAGCCATCCAAACACCTCGTCGTTTTCCCCAAGCCCCACGACGAAAAGGCAATACTCAGAGAGTAGTGACCACTCCGTCATCGACACTATGCCTTCCTTGGTGCAGCGCGCGGCCTCTCTGGCCACCGAACAGCTCCATACTTTGGAGCGCAGGCAAGATTATTGCAGAGACAGACTTGGTGAGCTCACGTATCGGCCAGCATTGGCCTCCTAGCTTTTCAGTCGTTCATCGTGACTGACCAGTCCTTGTTTCGCCGCATCCTTAGGAAGGGTGTATGAATGCTCCAGGTGGTCCCGAGGCGCTAGAATCGGTACCGGTGCGTACACTTTTCGCTTCTTACGTTTAACAAGCGAGGTGGCGAGGGCAAGAGGCTCAGGCGCAATTACGTGAAGGTTTTACATATTGAGCAGTCCATCCTTCCCCTCTCCTTTCTTGCAATCGCAGGTATCGGAATCGCGGTCTTCATCATCATCTTGATCCTTCTGTGCAGCGTGGCCGGCAGGAGAAAGCGGCAACAAGGCTATTTCATCCGACCCTCGAACAACATGCAGCAGCAGCCCACATTGAATTACAATCAGCAACAGGGTGGTGGCAATCCGTACGCAGCAGGCGGCTACAACTCCAACTACGCACCTCAAGGTCAGGGAGCAGGGCAAGGATACAATGCTTATGGAGCAGGCTACGGTCAAGAAAACCAGAACCAATACGGATATCAGAACTCGGGCTACCCACCTGCTGGCGGCGCTTACCAGCCACCCACTAGCCCACCCGAAGGTGGCTACAAAGCCCCAGAAGGACCGCCTCCGGGCGACAATGGAGGATCTTTCGCCCCTCCACCCGGACCACCCCCTCCCTCTTACCAGCCAGCAAGCAAGGCTTAGGTGCTGAGGTGATGTGCGACTCAGGAACGTCCAGACAGGCTGCGTTGTGCGGATAGTTGGCAGGCGATCGCAGATCAACCATGAAGGCGTCCCACAACAGCGCCAGCAGCTTCATTCGAGACCTGTACATACCCTTCACGAATCATGCATTCGCGACGATGCAAGTATGAAATCTCATTCGCTAGGATATGTGAGATGCGTGTCTGACGGGTTCGTCTCAATCGACGGCGTGCGTTGCAGGCCGCTTGGTGTGCGAGCTTACGCCCCTACGGCCCGCCGAAGCGAGCCATCCTTCTCGCCCTCATTTCCTGAGGGCTCAATTGCTCTTCCTCCTCCTCAGAATCATCATCTTCGTTGCCACCTTTGGCGCCCTCGAGCGCCTCTTTGGCAGCTCTCTCAGCCAGCTCAGCCCTAGTCGCCTCGCCTCTTTGTCTCCTCTCCTCATCCTCTCTCTCCTCTTCGGCCTTCTTCTTCGCCTCCTCGCGCAACCTTCTGATGCGTCCGACATCTTCGGGCGTGCTGGGTCTGTCTTGCCTCCTCGTCGAGGCGCCTCCATCGTCTTGCCATTCGAAAGCTGACCAGTCCACATCGTCACCCCCACCTTCGACGTCGCGCATCGAGGCGGCCAGTGCTCGTTGCAGATCCGCATCTTCGTCATCGTAGGTTCTATTCGTGCTGGGTCCAGCAGGACGTGCACGAGCCCAGGCGGAAGCTGATACTTCTTCAAATCCTTCACTTCCCTCCGACAGACTATGAAATGCATCCTCGTCATCCTCCTCCTCACCGACCCCAATTTGCCTTCGTTCCGGATTAGAAAGCGGCCCTGTATCATCATCTCCCTCGTCCTCATCATCGTCGAGGTCAGCTACATCCTCGTCATCTCGAGATGCGGCTGCTAGCAGAGGATCCAAGAATGGAGATCTAGGATTAGATCGAGAAATGATCACTTCTTCCTCATCCTCTTCTCCGTCTGAGCCGATCGCTATAGGGTCCTCTCTACCGCCACCTCCGCGCGCTCTTCGTCGCCGTCCACCATTGCCGCGAACACCTGCACCACCGATGTCGATTGCACGCGTGGGTCGAGATGCCGAAGCAGAGGTGCCTGTGGAGGATGAAGTGGAGTTCTGAGCGACTGTCTGCTGGTCGCCTGTCATCGCGCCCAAGCTTGCTTCCATAGCTCTCATAAGCTCTTGCTCGTCGTGATCGATCGCAGCACGGCTCTTCTGGCCTTGGCGAGCCGCTTTGTCCTTTTGATCGGCTCGAGAGTGTCGGCGATTGCCGGCGCTGGGCCGGGCAGCAGAGTCCGTTGGGGCAAGAAGAGTGCTCGACGAACTCCGCAAAGTGTCGTCCGCTCTGAAACGCCTTCTCGACGGCGCGATCTCGTCGACGTGCTCGTCCGTCTCGTCTTGCGAGACGCCACCTTCTTCTTCACTCGCGCTGTTAATACTCCGATTGCGCCGTGTGCCCCTTGGTGCTGCCGGAGATTGACTGGTAGATGCAGTGTCCACTGGTACACTTACCGCGCCATCTCCCTCGCTCGCGTCAAGCATGCTTGCGCGCAGGGCTGCTTGAAGCTCAGCATCCTCTTCGAAATTATCGCGTGAAGCTGAGCTTGCGGATGGACCGCTTTCACTGCTAGGCCGGAGACCCTGCGCTTGTTTGGTGATGGCTGAAGCGGAACTGGCGTTTGAAGCGAGCACTGCATCAGCGCTGGGAAGTGCCTGCGCAACTTCGTCCGCTGTACTTGTAGACAATGGCACGCCCATAGCATCCTCAGCAGCTACGATGGCGAAGACGGAGTAGCCTGCGCAGACATGTAAGCGAAAGTACGTGTGAGCAACGTGATCGAGAAGGGTTACCTATCCCACGTCAACACAAGCTCACCTTCAGACTCCGCCTGGTCGAGCAATGCCCCTAAATATGATGGGCCTACCCACGCTGGCGCATCTATGCAAGAGTTGAGATTGAACCTAACATAGACGCAACGTTGAGTGTCCGCTTCAGCCACTGCCGGCTAGCGAGCGGCATTCTCAACAAGGACTTACCACCAGCCCTGTCCGAAGCGACGTAGACAAAACCAATGCTGTTCCAGATTGAGAATGAAAGCGAGCTGCTTCTCAGGCTCGTTTTGGAAAGCGCTCATCGCCTGAGATCGCCAGCGCACGAGCTGTAAGCCCCATACAGACAGCGCCTTCTCCAATACAGTGGCGCTGAAGAAGCCTGCAACAGGGGTGAGGATGTGGAAGGTTGATTTGAGCAGTTGACCTGGTGCAATCAGCTAGCGATACCTATCTTTTGTCCCCCTTCTGGTACTGACCCGTAGCATCAACGTTGAGACTGCCTTCATCTCCGCCCCGCGACGACCACGCCTCAGAGTCTAGCTGCGCCCGTTCTAGATCATCCATCTGCGCGGCGATCTCTGTGACAGGGTAGAACGGCAAGACAGTCAGCCAGCAAAGCGCGGTCACCGCACAAGAACGCGCGAAACCTGAACACACCTGCCAGCTGAGAGGGATCAAAGTAAGGGCCCTGAAGTAGGGCATTGAGAGCGTGCTGCGCGCACAGCATAGATCCCGGTTCTTGTCGCTCTAGAATGCGTGGCAGGGCAGCACTGGTCAGCGTCGTTCAGAAGCAGGCAAACTAGCTGGAACTTCCACTGACCATGGTGTATCACGCTAAGTAGCGTCTGCGCTTCCTGACTGGACGCCATCCTCAGTGCTTGTCAAAAAGTCGAGTCTCGTGGCTGGCCCGCGTTCAGACCCAGTCGTCCCAATCGATTGGTGTTGTCGAAGAAGAGGCGAGGGACACTGCGAATGGCGTGCAAGTCCCAGCCCGTCTCGGCCAGATCACGGTTGCAGGTCGTCGAAAGTGAGGAATTGGGCTTCTGTGTCATGTGAGCATGAACAACTGGGAGTCGCGAAACTTGGTAGTCGAGCTCGACACCGGTCCGCATCACAGACGCTGGTGAGCGGATCAAAAAACCATGAATCGAAGCGCCTGACGCGCGTCGCTTCATGCTCGTTGCACCGCCTCTTGATCTTGATTTCACGAGTCACGTGTTTCAAAAGAGCTGGGCGAATCTTTGAATCGTGAGTTCTTTGTTAGAGCCCACCAACAGCACACATGCGAGTCATCCCCACCCTGTACCCCTCCTCTGTTCTCCGACCATCATACGCATATCACAGTATCCATCACTATAGAGGAGCTCCACGTCCAGTCATTTCATCCCAGCATCGCCAAGCGCACCATGCTCTTGTCGTCGTTCGCGGGCGCGGAGGCGAAAGATCGGTGCATAACGTGCTTGTCCAGACACTCTGAGCGAACTTGCTGGTCGTCTTCACCATGAACTGGCTCGCTCAATTCGACCCATATGCGGGATCTATCCCTCCATCGCAGGGTGCAAGTAGCTCGTCTCGTCAGCCTCCCTATATACATGGGAAAAACAACAAACGAGCTCATCGTGCCAACTCACCGAGCCGCACCCCTTCTGCGACCACATCGACTGCTTCTCACAGCGGCAGAGAGGGTTCCTGTGGCCCTACACAATCACATTTCGCTAGTACCACTCCTGTCGAGGCGCATTGGACGCCAGCTTCACATACATCTCCCACTAATGCTCCTTTGGGTCGACCGGCAAATGCGCGGAGTTCACCGAATGCTCATTTTGGAGCGAGTGCTGCCAGCCGCAGCGCGACGCAAGGATCGAAGCATCATCGTATGAAATATAGGCCTCCTCCTTTTCCGAGTCGAGCTCCTGCGCCAAGTCGGTCTACTCCTTCGATTAGACCCAAGCCGACCGACTCTGGGTCTTTTGGCGCGAGGCCCAATGCCATCCACCATTTGGGATCGCAAATGAATGGTCCCGGCTGCTCTTCGAATCCGGCGCGACCCCAAATCCACATGAAGTGGCCTGCCAGCCATGGAGGCTACAATCAGACTTCGGTGAGTGGTCCATCGTCACGCAATGGTGCGGGCTGTTGTGGGTGGGTCTGACCATGAGCTCCGTCGGCCGCTCCACGGTACTCAAATTAGAAAGCCGTCAGGGCGACAATCCACGAAGCGGCCGGCCCTGTGCAGCAAAACCTGGACGCCTCGAGAACACGCGAGTCAGCAAATGATGGCGAGATCCCGGGACGTCCCAACACCATTCCGCATGCTTCTTCAAGACCACCACCACCTCCTCCCAAGCCAAGAGTGCCCATTCTTGCGCCACGTGCGCCAGCGAAGAGAGCTGAAGACTACGTGCCGGGAGAATCAAAGACCTTCATTCCGTTACGGAGCGAGAATAGTCCAATGGCTCCGGCGATCAGACTCGATACTGGGCGCACTATTGCAGGTTCTACTCAGCAAAGTATGTGGAAGGCCTTTCAGAGATCCGGTGGCGCAAAGGAATTCGCACCATCACCGCCACACCCCTCCAACTTAGCGCAACCACCAATCATTGCTGCGGCTGCGTCGAGCAGAGCCAAGAAGCACGATGGGAGGGCACCGCCGTTACTCCCTGATGCACCGTTAGGTAGGGGTAGCTTAAATGATCCTCTCGATGCCTCTCGCGATGCTTCTGTATCCTCTTCAATGAGAGCTCCTCGCGTGGACAGCACATCACTTCCGCAAGTCCACTCCACGTCTCTAGGTCCAGATTCAACACTGGCCGAACGGACTGACTCGACAGCCAGCCGAGGTGTAGGTCCACATTCACCAGCTTTGTCCGACTCGGCAGAAGACAAAATGTCTCCACACGGCTCTGAGATTTCGGCCATGGAGCTAGTCAGCTCGGAGGCCTACGAAGATTCCGAAAACAGTATCGCAAAGACCAGCAATGCTGCGCGCCTGTCGCGAACACCTTCCGATGATTGTCTAGAGCAGCAGTCGGCAGAAGACGAAATGTCTGCACACGGCTCTGAGAATTCGCAGATGGAGATTATTGGCTCGAAAGCCTCCGAAGACTCTGAAAATAGGATTGCTAAGACCCGCAATGCTGCGCGCCTGTCGCGAACACCTTCTGATGATCCTCCAGAGCAGCAGTCGGCACAAGACGAAATGTCTACACACGGCTCTGAGGATTCGGAGATGGAGACAGTTGACTCGAAAGCCTCCGAAGACTCTGAAATAAGGTTTGCAACGACCAGCAATGGTGCGCGCCTGTCGCGAACACCTCCCGATGTTCATTTAGAGCAGCAGTCTCTTGGTCAAGAGGTTGAAGCTCAAGCCGGCAGACGCTTTGAGCAGAAAGCCGCCGCTACGGCCAAGGGTCCATTGGTTGGAGGGTCTCCATTGCCAGGGGCTAGAGGGTCGCCCCAAAAAGTCGCTGCAGCTCGACGTGCGGGGGATCTACGCGCTACGATCGAGCCAGTGTCGCCTGACGTCCATGCACGACAAGAAGACGCCCACGACCTAAGGCACGAAGATATCTCACATCCTCGTAAAAGACTTTGCCGATCTTCATCGCGTGAGCCCCCGCCGCTCTTGCCGGAGGAGTCCATGGCGGTGGAGCAAGAGGGAGACATTGATGTATCAACATCTCGCGAGTACCTACCACCGCCGCAGAGCTTGCCTGCTGTGGCCGGAGGTTGTGACGAACTGGCTGTTGAGCGCATGTCAGCTGCGATGTGCGGAGACGACGGTGCTGCTCTCAATCACAATGCAGCGTCGGTCGAAGCGACCTCCAGTGATGATGAACCGCTGGCTACCGGCTTGGCCAGAAACCATGGACGCACACCCTCGCCGAGCGCGATGCGACTGAGCTCGACATCATCGTGCCGGCTTCCAACGCGTCAAATGTTCATGATTCCCCTCGATTCTCATGAAATCGCGCGGACACCGATGCAGGCTGCGCACGCCTTGAGGAGCCGACACGCGTACAATACCCTCGCGTTCGTCAGTCGCCTGGGCAGCATCGTCATGTCAACTCCGCAACACGCGCTTGGGCCGCTTTCCAACTTGAATGGCGGGACTTCGACATCGTCGCCATCGCGTAGAAAAGTCTCTGACGTCAAGCGGTTAGCTCCGAGCATCATGGGCTTTACAAGCTCTGACGCGACCGGTCTCGGTCCGCTGCCGGGGCAGGTAGGCCTTTCGTACGCGATGCCTAACGGCGAGGGTCGCCCGCGAGCCCACTCTGAATGGCTGAAACCAACTCCACACATGGCTGGAGCTACAAGTTTGGCGCCGATCAGGATATATGGCTCAACTGAGGTATCCTTTGCGACTGGGGGCTCGGATGGGACTGTCCACCGCTGGCGCTGGCACGGGCTCAGCACGAGCACAGCAGATGTCGAGCGGATGCACAGAATGCACGATGGGCCCGTTGTTTCCTTGACGAATCTGCCAAGACACCACCTTATGGTGTCGCAAGGCGGTGCCCACTCCGACCAGCTAATCGGTTATCGCTATGATCATCCCGCGGTTGCATTCAAGTGGACGACCAAAGATCCTGTCGCTCATCTTACGCACGCGCTTCACGCGGATCTGTTCATGGCCACGGTGCGGCGGACTGATCATGAGCAGCTCAAACTCTACGACGTCCGTTGCGATGCTGGCGGTTCGCCGCGAACGATCGCAAAGCCGGTGATCGTCGCCGGTTGGCAAGCGACTCGAACTCCGGCCTACCTGGGTCGCCCTGCCTTTCACGCTAAACAGCGGAATCTCGTTGCACAAGGCACTGAAGAGGGGCATGTCCGTGTCTTCGACCTGCGCAAGACAGGACAGCCTCTTTTTGAAGAGCGCATCAGCCAATCCCCGGTATATGACGTGGTGTGGTCACCTCCCAGGGAGCCCACTCTGAGTCTCTACGCCCTCGATACGAGCACTGCGAAACCTCTGTGTCACCGACTCGAATTGACGACGTCATAGGCCTCACTCGACATTCACGGCATTCTCACTTGTTGAAGTCATGCTATCTCCTCGGCACTCTCACGTCATCTGTATTGTAATTCCCATCACGAAATGATCACCATTTTCTACGTCTCTCTGGCTAAAGCTGGCAACACAAGTCGTGAGTGCTGTTGACCAGCTTAGTGCGGCGCATCTTCACCACCTGCCTGCGTTTGTCGTTTGACGAGTCCTTTGATAGCTGCGCGCGCGTGGACAAGTCTGAATCTCCTCTGCTGGGCTTCCAGTTCAGATTGCCAAAAAGTCCGCTGCGATCAGGCTGCAAGGCAGATTGGAAGGGGCAGGACAGGTGAGCAGATACAAAGGCGACTGAAATGGGCTCGCTGAAACGACGCATCTGTGCTGCGTACTTACAGCTCAAGACTGAACTCGGGATCGATGGATTTGTGGAATGCAGGGACCTCCTGCTCGCCCTTTGCATCCTTGTATTTGTCTCTCCAATTGAGGTACTCCACCACCTTTGCCAAAATGGGCGAACTGATCTCTCCGAACCTCATTTCGGCATTGCGCGACTCGGCAAAGCCTTCCTCTTCCATAGCTGCGCGGATCGTCTCGCTTGCTTGAGCCGCCTCCCAGCGCACTTTGAACTTGTCGTCCTCCTGTTGCGCAGAAATCCGCTTGCTATCAGCTGCAGCGGGGCAGAGCTTAGGACCACATCGTAACGCACCGAGCTGACGAGCGTCACAAATTCGGGCCTTCCGCGTTCCTGGCTCTTTTGAGGATCGACTTGAGGTGGAGGCGATCCTTCATCGTCGGTCTGTCAGGGAATTGAGTAACGACATCCGATACGTTAGTGTGACTAGCCCATTTGCCTCGGCCATCGCGAGACTTACCGCAGGCATCTTGAATGATTGATAAGGTGCAGCTTGGTGCAAAGGGCACGTCTAGATAGCGTCTGACAGGGTGGATGTACTGCACTTGCTCGCCTTCGATAGGGATGTAATGCGATATCGGTGTGACTAGCTTGCTGGGGCAGTGATCAAGTCAGGAAGGAGGCGTGGTGTACTGGGCTCAGGCTCTCGACGAAAGCTTTGACTATTGGTAGTGGCAGGTGAGATGCGCTCAGGCCCGATGTGTCGGGGGCCTCTCTCACTTGTGCAGCGTCGAAGGAGCCGTGGTCTGCGTGATGAGGTGCTGTGAAACGCTTGATTCGTGATTGAGCTCAGCTGAGGCGAGATCGAATCACGTGTATGCAGCAACGCTGTCTGCTCGATGGCACTGTATCAACCAACAAAGTCAATCTGTGTCGAAACTTTGTTTCATCCCAGACTAATCAGAATCCTCGTGATCCTGACGGATTGGTTGCTGGATCGCCTTTGCATAGGTCTTGAGGCGCGGCTGGTACCTGTGTGCGCCAATCTGATGGTACGAGCGCTGTGCAGAATGCTGGTCGATGAGGAAAGATGGGAGGCAAGGTGAAAGCAAATTCGCCTCAATCATGGTCCAAGCTTGCATCCGCACGGTGTGTGAGTCTTGATCAGTCTGCCGCAACTTTGGCGGACGAGCGGGGACCGCGTGCAGGCGGCATGTGATGGATCTCCGTCCAGAAACGGATGTCCATGCAGCAACTTTGAAAGGGCATCATCACGTGGTAGGCTGCACCTGTTGGCGATTTCTTCTCGACTCAACTCAAGACCCACGACTCACGACTGTTGACTTTCGGCTTCGAGCATTGGACAAGATTTGATCCTTGACTCACGACTGCCAATTCAAAGTCTAGGGTGAGGCTCGGTCTCAGTCACGTCTGAGCTCTGCACTGAAATCACTCCTTCGAGAGACGATTGCCTTCGACCTTCCTCGCGCTCTGTTTTAGTCCTCTTGCAGCGGAGTGCGAGTCAAGTCATATCGAAGGACGCTCGACCAACACCCGTCGGCAGCTTCGTCGCACACATCTGCCGATCCTCAGTCCACGGCCCTTCAGCAAAATGTCGCCTTGAGCATTGCCAAGCTATTTGATGCGGCTAGGTCTTCACATTGTGCAAGCACTTTGTCTTTGACGAATTCATCTCATCTCGCTAGCAATGTCCGCTCGGCCAATCATTGTGATCACGGGCGCCAACGCCGGGCTCGGATTCGGAACAGCACAGCGTCTCCTAGTCCAGCTGTCGCACGCATTGCCCCCGGACACTCGGCCAGACTGGAGCCTATCTAGCTCTCATTCCTCTGACAGCGAGGCTACGCCGTCACCTTTCGCTGCTCCTAATGGGTGCACTTTGGTCCTTGCTTGTAGGAATCTGAAGAAAGCGCATGCGGCGAAAACCGAGCTGCAAACGCTCTTGTGGAATCTCGCTCGCCTGCCAGAGACCTCCGAGTCTTTGTGCGATGTACCTAGACAGAGCTTCAAGCATGACGAACACCAATTTGCCAGTGGAGACATGTCGGCTCGTGGGGATTACAGCAGAGATGAGAAGGGAAACTTGCTCGAATTGGATCAACGTGAGCCGAGAGCAGCTGCCGCATACAGGCGACGCTTCTGCGAAGGGACGCAGATTGAGGTTGTCGAGCTTGACTTGAACAGCATGTCTAGCGCCCTGAGCTGTGCCAGCGAGGTCACACAGAGGTGAGTGTCTTGCGCAGCTGCCGAGGTCAAAATCAGTGACTCATCCCCGTCGTCTAAATAAGGTATGGCTATATCACGCATCTCGTTCTCAATGCTGGAGGTGCCGCTTGGATCGGCTTGGATTGGCCACTGGCTGTCTGGCAGGTGCTTACCAGCTTGCACGTTGCTGTCACACTGCCGAAGTACAAACTTCAAAGGTCAGGTGATCGCAGCTCAGACGGATACGGATGGGTCTGGCAGGCGAATGTGGGTGCACACTACGTCGTCGTGAGTAGCATGCTTCCTGTCATCACGGCGATTGAGCAGTGACTCAAGCGCACTGCTCCTATACGTGGCGACAGACAAGAGCATTGTTACCCGCTCTGCGGGCCAGTCCGTTCGACACCCCCTCTCGCATCATCTGGACAAGTTCCATCGAGGCATTAGAGCGACACTATGACGCGCGTGACCCTCAATGTCTCGACAGTCAGAGGCGCCACTGCCCTTACGAGTCAAGCAAATACCAATGCGAGCTTGCGTCAATCGGACTCAGCCAGAGGCTTCATGCATCGCTGTTCGATCGCCAGCACCACGGCCTTCAAGTCCACACTAACGGTGTTAAGCGGCATTCGCCTGAGAGCTTTGTAGTCCATCCAGGCGTAGTGGCAAGCAGCATCTTTTCCGAATTCCTCAACGTGGTGCTAGCTTGGTGCATGCACGCCGCCTTCTATTTCGTGCGTGCTGCTAGCAAAGCAAATTGCTCATGGGCTCTTCTGATGGCTTTTGCAATTCCCGAACAGGCTCGATGGACATTTTCGCCGAATCACCCCATTCAGCCATATAAAGGAGCAGTGGCAGCTTCTCACGTGGCTCTCGCACCCCGACACTTGCTCAGCCCGAGCCTGCGGTACGGCTCGTGCGCCAACTTTTGGGGGCAAGAATACGTTTCATCTGGCAGGGTCGACGGCTGGTCGGATGAAAGTTCGGCTTCCGGGTTGGTGAAGAAAGGAAAGGAGGGAAAGGAGGGAGACGTGGTTCGAAAGAAGGCGGATCAACTGATCGAGGCCCTAGAAGATATCACGAGGGATGTGTGGAAGAAGAATATGAAGGGAGTGCCGGAGAATCTGCATGGAACTCATCGGGACCGCAAAGCAGATCACGCGGGAGAGCAATTTGACATTCGGTCAAAGTTCCAAAGCGGTGATGTACGACGAAGGACTCAGGCAGATGAGCTGGCAGAGACCTGATGCAATGCACATTCAAGTGCTCATACTCTTGCCTTTGTGGCATGAGGGACTGCTTGTATCGGTAGTCAGTCACGAGTGGTGAGTTCGCCGACTGCTTGCGGGGCTGCTGGCGGTGCTCATCCGTCCGCACGAGGTGATGAGACTAGCCTAGTCCATCAGCAATCGCTCTTCCAGTCAAGACCCGGGAGAGCAGGGTAATAATTGGCAAGGCGTAGCCTACTACGGAATCCCACATCCACACTCAGACTGTTGAAGAAGCATGCATCCATGCGTAGCACAGCGGCGAGAAGCAGGATCACTGAGGAACGTGCGCTGCGCAGATGCGAGCCCGTCTTGTGTTGGCAAGCTGAATTGTTCCCCACTAGTAAGCGGCGGCGTGCTTGCAGAGGCGCTCACCGGCGCATCGTTGGCTTCGTTTTGCCCTTGTGGTAAGTTGAGATGCTCGCGCTGCTGGTCGAGCTTGTCGCTCATCCACTGTTTGATTGTAACGCCAGAAGCTGGTAACTTTGAGCAGGGAGCTGTCTTTCATCGAGGATGGGGACCCGAGCGTGCATCTTGAGCACTTAGCTCGGCGATGCGTCATGTCGATCCACTCATCAGCATCTATACATTGCGATCCAGGAGCAGGGTTGGCAAAGCGGCGCCGCTACCTTGTGCTCTTGTTTCCTCATGTTCACGTGTCGGGGCCTTGACACTGAACGCCGCGGCTGGAAGTGCAGTCAAAGTGCCAAGAATGTTGTTGAATCAGGAACAGAGTCATTCGTCTTGACTCGACCGACTTGCTTCGCTATAGCGTGCATAGTTGAGTCACAGTACGCACACGGGATGCTGATTGGCCTGGATTGTCTTCACGCGGGTCCACGTTCATCATTAGGAGCCAACGGCACGAGGTAAGCTTCACGCCGACTCGGACTGCCATCCATGCTACTCTGTTCTTGCGTGACTTCACCCATCAGGTCACTCCGGGCCGCCGCCCGTATTTGACTTGGGCTGAGGAACGTCAAAGACCTCAGCTTGATCATCTCGATGGTCTTTGTGCAATTGCTGTCCAGAAATCTCTTCTTCACGTTCTCTACACACAAGTTGCTTGGCACCATTGCAAACCTCCCACCTACGTCGAGCTCGACCCCTTGTTGCATTGCTGACTTCTCACAGCAGTCGTCGATCGCCATGCACGTCGTGAATAGCGTCACAGACGATCAGCTCATAACCAAGCGGGCCGTTGTGCAAGTCAGCCCTCCATCGCCCTCGCAAGACTTGCGCCACAGATGCTCTTTGCAAGTGCCTTGGATGTAAGTCTTGCCTGAGGCGCTGGCTGGTTGCAAAGCGCCGATCCTACTGCTACGCTGGGCGCTTCTACCAAGTAATCAGAGCCATGTCGCGGCGAAGTCCGACACAGGATGTGGACATACCTGCGTGGGTACACTGATTTACGGCAAGATGCCCATGCAGCGAAGGTATAAGAGGGCACCCATCGTCAAAATCAGTCGCGACCGTCTTCTCTCATTCAGTCCAGTCAAGCCTTCAAATCTCTCAATCGATCTCATCAGCTGACAGCTGGCAGGCAAACAAACGCAAACGCTCAGAGCAACGCAGAAAGCGCACTAAACTCTAAAGCACACAACCCGAAGTCTAGCACCCCACGTGAGCATGAGAGCTTGTTTGGAGGCAAGCTTGTTCGCGCATGATTGGCTGACGCGTTGCTCCATACTTTTGATCCGAGGAAGAGCACCTTCACCATGAAGCTCAGTATCGCTCTGATCACGCTCTGCTTTGCCATCGGATGCGCAGTCGCTGCACCGCACATGCGAGAAATAGACATCGGCAGGAACCCGGGACTCAAAAAGTTCGCACTTGCCGACCTTGTACCTCTCACGAAGGGGAAGCATCGAGAGCCTCGCAAGGTTTTCGTCAGCAAACCGAATGCCAAATGGGTGCATCTAGTGACGGACGATGTGCCCCCTCCACGCGGCTGAGGTGTGCACGCTCGCGGCTGAGGTTCAAGAACAGGTGGTTCACAAACAAGCGTGCCCTTCGTAGTTCCCCATCACGAACACAAGCTGCAATTCCACGGTGATCGACGGGGCACGCGGTGGAAGCGAAGTGGTATCACCGTGCTTGGGTGGACATCTGGGCCCTTTCGCCCACACGTTAGTCACTGCTTCTGGACTAGGGCTACCCAAATCCACTCATTCGTGCACACTTTCACCTCACCCAAGGTTGGCATCGGACAAGGTGGCATGATTGTCCGTAATAATTAATCACTAGCCCCATTCACTTGATTGATAGATCGATCACCGATTGCGCAGCGCTTAAAGCGTGTTCCTTCAGCTGCGTGAGATATTTACGGTAGGAGTCGTGCGAGATTCGCACTTATCCCGGCCGGGCTCTGCTCCAAGGTCTCTTACGCAAATGGTGCGACGCACCGTCACAATTGAGAACAATTTTGGGTGCGCAAGACCACAATGCCCCAATCGTGAATGAGCACGTCACCGGAGTGCTTAGGGCCTGATACCACGTGGGTGCTTTGCTTCTCTTCGGCTATGACAGTCGAGCTCGAGCCATGCCTTATATCAGCGACTGCCTCGACTGAGAAAGGAAGGCTGCGATGCCGTCCGATATGATCCTATCGGCGACGAGCACTGGGGTACGCCAAGCCGCCGTAGCACGTCTTGAAAATGCGATTGAAGGCGTTTAGAGGGTAGACGGTACTGATCCAATTTGGTAAGCTCAGTGAACTGCACTGGCTATGCGTGCATCGATGCGGTGGACGCTCGGCCAAATATACCGATACGCGAGTATCCCAGCGTGCCTCTTTCAGCCCACGATTGCGCCGCGTACCGGTAGCACTTCCCTTGGCGCTCGTGGAGTCGTTGTAAAAGCTAGACATTGGAAGGATTCAGTCGAACGGCAGTGTCGTAAAAGGCTGCATCGCTTCTGAATATCTTTCTGGGTCCACATGCAGGACATCACTCACCTTCACACCAATCACAATTGTCCACCTACGTACTGAGCAGGTCTCGGTGCGGCAGGCATCCCACACCTTTTGACATTTCTGCCAGAGCACTAAGCGAATCTTCGGCTGGACCGCAAGGCACCTCTCTTAATCAAGGTGCGCTTGCTGCGACCTGTGCATAGTTCCTGCTGCATCGCTTGCTGACGAGCTAGCCCCCTTGCTACCACCGATCCGCGATTTCAAGACCCTTACGCAATACGATGAGAGCATCCATCTCGATCGCGTACTGCTTCAGCATCGGCTCGGCATTCGCACTGCCGCTCATCTCGTCGCCAACCATCGACGGCAATCCCGGACTGGACAGGCATGCATTTGGCACTCGATGGGACGAGCCCTTGACGAACTACGCGAGGCCAGGGGGCACACCGAGTCTCACAAACTCGCTGCTCTTGCCGCAAACAGCCAAGATTGCGGGGTTGTCTGGTGGCTCGCGCGCTGGCCAGATGGAGAAGAAGAGGTTGCAGAAGTACGCTGATAGCCTTGGGCAGCCCGAGAGTAGACTCAAGAATCCTGAGCACCATGGCCATCAAGGCCACGCACAACAAAAGGAGCATCATGGCAATGGGGAGAACCACCAAAAAGCTGAGAAGGCGTCGAAAGAGGCAACGAGCAACTCCAGGGTAGAGTTTGGCGGCGCCGGACGCTGGGGGCTTGGTCCCTTCTCGCACAAGCAAGGAGCATACTTTGACGAGCCACGCATCGTGCATGGCAAGTGAAATCATCCGTACAAGTGTGCTCTAGACTTGCAGGGCAAAAGTGCTGTAGCGACCTTCTCACCATATGGTTCGCTCTCGTGCATACCGATCCAAGTTCATCCTTAGCGACTTGTGTCCAGCGCACGCGATTGGAAAGCCAAAAGCGAAGAGAAAAAACCAAGAGATGCAATACGCTCATGAGATTTCTGCTCGCCTCAATCTTCTGCCTGAGCAGCGGAGCGGATTGTGATGTCGAATGCTCACAAGTGCTGGTACACTTATTGTTTCAGCGTTCAGCTCGCCGTGCCACCTGGTAGCTATTGAGAGTGAGAGGTGGCAGGCAGGCTAGCAGCGGTGGCGAAAGCATGGCGGAGGTGCGACCATGCATGTGAAGCGTGATTCGGGAACGAGGAGTACCTTGCGGCGTTCCGCGTACGCCCTCATCGGCGGCTATACGCCCAAGCAATTGCCAGGTAGCCAGGGTCCCGGGTAGAGTTGATCGAGTCAGAGCGCAACAGACATTGCTGCCAGGCACGTATGACTTATTGCGGGCCCGCGTGCACAGGTGGCGCCTGGCCGCCTTTGCCTTTCTTTGCCATTTCCTGCACGTCGAATGGGTCGATCGATTTGTACCGGACCGTTGCGCCAAACAAGATGCCGATTTTGGCGTCATCTAAGCCACGAGTGGCGTTGACAGTAGACCAACGCCAGCTCGAAGCGCTGTCTGTATCGTGGCGGCCAGCACAGGAGTCATGCATGTGGCCTCCGAGTTCTTGGCCGGCGTGTATCGAATCAATTTGACCGTGCGACTTCTCCACTTTGGTGCCTGATAGGTTGTCTACATGCCGTGCTCGCACCCTTGCTTTCATTCCTACAAATGTCCGTCGAAGAGCCGCTGCTGATTGCGTGAGGTTGCCGGGGACTCAACACCAACTCACCTTCTGTCTCACATCAGCATTTCACTCCACAATCGTCGTAGATCTTAAAGTCTAGGCAGAGCTGGCCTCTGCTCGACGAAGACCCTTGAGACATTCCTCGATCAACAACCTTCCATCCTGCTAATTCGTGCCTAGCGAGAGCAGGCTCTTGCAGGTCAACTTTCGACCCTTCGAAGCGCTCATGCGTCAATTCATCGATCTAAATTCTATCCTTTTCCTTCTGCACGTGCTCTTCTTGCCCTGCCTGGCTGCTCCTGGATATGCAGGGCCGTGTGATGGGATCGTAACGCCTTGTCGCGCTCTGGAGCCCCGGGCTTCGCAGAGCGGCGTCAAATTGCGAGAGATGCTGGTGCAGAGAGGAATCCTAAGCACCCTGGGCAAGGTTTGGAAGAGCACGAAGAGTGGGCTGCGTCTCAAGAGGAAGAGCTCTTCTGTCGCATCGCACTCCTCACCTACCCCAAGCTGGAGCAGCTCATCAAGCTCCTCTTTCAGCATGTCGGATCGCTGGGCACCAGGATTCGCTCCTTCGCCTATCCGATCGCCCAGCCAGTGGAGTCCAGCCGCATCCGAGATGCGTCCGAAGAATGGAGATCCACATCATTACCCCGAAGTCGTTCCGGAAAAGTCGAGAAGAGGAGTGAGTGAGCGAGCGCAACCTCGGAGCGCAACCTCGGGCGGCCTTGATCCGCGGCTCGTATCCGGCCTCTGAGCTTTATTTTGATGCCCTCGCTTTTCCCTCTCTTAGAAGACCGAGTCAAACCCGGACACGCCAGAGACGCGTAAGTCGAGCGATTCTTCGCTGTTCTCGCTGCCCGAGCACTTGCTGAGGAAACCAATAACAGTTTCGCGAGCAAGCAGCATCAAGAGCGACGCCAGCACCATACCTTGGGCAGATGGTCGCCATCATCCCGAGACTCCACGATCACCATTGTGGAAATCTGCCAGCCCTTCACCTGCCTTTGTAAAGGCAAAGGAGGCAAGCCCTGTTGCGAACGCTCCAGCATACGAGAAACTGATTCGTCAGATCTCTGGACGTATTAAGAACCCTCAGCCTGGATGGCCGCTCAATCTTCCCCAGCTGAAGCGCATGGCGAATGGAAAAGTTCGACCTAGGACCGATTTTGAGAAGGCGCTCACCGAGCAGGAGAAGAAGCGAGGTTGAGCAGAGCAAATCTGTCAGTCCTGAACGTTAAGGTGCACTACCCATGATTCGTATTGCATTGCAGAGGACAAGCTCAGAAGGGCAGACTGCATTAGCTTAGCTTCGACGCGATCGGGGAGGCACAGGTTCTTCAAAAGCGTGCCTTCCAGCACGCCCCGAAGATTGTCCACTGGACTTTTGCGCTGGCCAAGCGAGCCGGGGCTCTGGAGGGAGCGATAACAGTCTTCAGCTATTCGGCTTCCCATACAGTCTGCACTTCGATGCTGACATCGATGTCTTCCGGCTTGAGCTCAATATCTGGAGCCTGGGGCTGAGAGCCTGGAACCGCTCCTCTTGCCATCATGGGCGCTCCATACGTGCGCGCCGCTCCCCACCCGGGGCTAGCATTGAAGTCGCTCACCTCCACGCATTTCAGCGAAGCAGTGCAGCCCAGCGCGGCGGCGTAATCCTCGGCTTTCACCCTCGCATTTCCCGCTGCTCGTCGACGCAGATCGCTCTGCGAGGAATCTCGCGTAGCTTTAGTCAATTTCCATCCTACCCTCTGCAAGGAGACGTGCGGAATGGCAGAGACTGTCGTGATGATGTCTGAAAGCTGTCCAGTGTCAGGGAGCGAGCAACGCGATGAGCGTTGCGCGGCGTGCTCTCATCAGAATGGTAAATTTTCACAAAAGCGCGAGCGCTCTCACCTTGGCAATGTCCCGAAAGGTGGCCTCCACCGCAGTCTGAGCTACAGACTTGCGCTTCTTGCGCTTTGCCTCATCGTCATCGATGCCATACCAAGGAAGGGTGACTGTCAAGCTCTCCATACTCCACGCCGCGACCGGCGCGGTTAGAGCAATAGCGCCATTCGGATCCTTGGGTGCCAGATCGGAGAGAATGCCGGAGAGCTGAGCAGCTGTTCTTCTGACTTGAGCGCTCGCCTGAGACAAGACCAGCAGCTTGGATCGAGTCAGTAAAGCCATGCGGCGCAATGTGAGCAAGCCAGACCTTGGCTCACCTCCTCCTTGCTGACGTGCTCGTAGCGGATCTGAAGTTTCAGCGTTGCCAATTCAGCCTTGTGCGTGGTCTGAGCTTGACCACTGACGCGAATGGTCGTCGGCATCTGGACGCGCTGCTCGCAAAAGTCACAGCTGGAGGTGGATGGACGCTTGTCGGCGTTGTCTATCTACGCTGTCAAATCGATGGCGCAGCTCTCGAGGGAGTCACAGGCCGCAAGCGCGTGGAGAGTAACGGTGTTGAGCGACTGGTGCGATAAGCGGATGGTCGCTTTCGTCCCCGATGACACTTTCGCAAAAGCTTCGCAAATGAGAGCATCACCTCGTCGTCATCCAATTCTTTTGGTTGTCAGCTGTTAAGACGAGGCTGAGCGCCATGCCATGCATCTAAGACGAAAGAATCGGCTGATATGACGAGCGTACCCCGCGCCCCCAAAGCTCACTCATCGCGCACAACGCTCACCAGCAGCAGCGTCTCTGATGTTCCTGCGCTGGTCTTGGCGCATCCACAGACAACTCAGCACAGCCACACTCGACGAGTCTCGTCACGATGCAGTGATCGAATGATGCCTGCATGCGAGTAGTCGCCCAGCGCCTGCATTTAGCTGTGCATGGGTGCATGCGGCCATGCAGCGGAAATTGAGCGGGCTGGTCGCAGCCGGACCACGAGTTGAGTCAGAGTGTGAGTGCACGAGGCTCTGCTCGCACAGACCACTCGAGCTAAACTCGATCGAGACCAGACATTCACGATTCTATGTGCCATAATAATAATAATAATATAGAATACAGCGTGGCCGTGCGCACACTCCGTCTACAGCTTCGTCCCGCACTCGCACAACCCGCGACGACTCAACTCTTGGCTCTTTCCTCTGTATGGAATCCTCTCTTGCATGCTGAGCAACCATCAGCATGATGATCAGCACGCGCGATTGCGCCGTTTTATTTTTACCATGTCGTCCCCGCGTGACGTGCATGAGACGCTGCGCCGGCGTGCAGCAGCGTGTCGTTTATAGTGGAACAGAGATGCAGAGGTTGTTTGCTGCTGATGTTTGCCTGAGATACATGATAGTTGCCGTGCGCATGAGAGCAAGAAAGCTGCGAGTAGAGTTGCTCCTATATTTTTAAATATTCACGATTAAATCTGTACTCTTGACTCAAACCCACTTCGTTGAATGCTCAGCATGGCGTCATAGCTCACAGAGGTGCATATATGACATGCTATAGCACACAGCAGCACTCGACGAATCGAAACCTGTGCGTCCACGCACTTCCTTTCTCCCCTCAAGCTCTGTATAGCACGATAGCTCTGACAGCATCTAGACAGCAGCTGGAACGCAAAAACCTTAAATAGGAGCCAGAGGCGAGTGGCTTGGCCCGCACGTGCGCCCACAATAATCAATCTCCGCCTTCCTGTTGCAGATACTCTTGACTCAAGCTACCTGTCGCAATTAATTAGTGACCTCAGTCAAACAGAACGAGACGCGTGCACGAAGCGCCCTTCACCATTCACGACTGGCAGAGATGAGCGGTCAACGCAGCTTGACAAAAGGCAAGAAGCACTTGCCAGATCCCGTGGGCCAATATGTCGGACTATTGGCTCTCTACTCGCGGAAGAGCACGGACGATCCAAACGAGTCAAAGCGCGGAGAGGGCGAATCGACCAATGGCAGCAGTGGCAAGGGCAAGTGGAGAGCGATGCTAAGAAGAGACGCATCAGAAAGCGAAGATGCCGGCAACAAGAAGCCTGTGCCCAAAATCCACGCAGACATAGCCAGAGTGTACTTTCCTGGACAAGCGGTCACCGCGCAAGTCGAAATCGATGAGAGGGCGCTGGCTGCGGACTCGGACCTCGAGCAGCTAACCGTCGAGCTCAAAGGAGAAGTACACAGCTACGGTGCGTGCAACGTCGGTGCTCGTTCCCTCTGACCACGTCGCCTGCTGACATCGCATTCCGCATCCTGCCAGGCTACTCGTGGGATCAGTATGGCAACCGCTACACCAACCCGCATACAGAGGCGAGTTCAGCTGTACATAACCTTTGGATGCCTTTAGCTGACGCTTCACCCGCTCGGGTCACAGACCATCTTTGTGCGGCGAGCCGTCCTTTATGCGCGCGAAGGAGCAAAGACAGACGCGGTCGAAGAGCATCTCTTGACAACCGGCAAAGCCAAAGTGGATCGTTCTGACATTACCGCGTGGGATGTGAGCAGCATCTTGCCAACCACTTTCGAGACCAAGCCTGGCAGCGCGAAATCGCAGACTTTGGCCTTACCGGCTACATTCAAGGATACTACCAATGGCTATTTCGACGGCACTGCTACCGTCGTGTATGGATGGAAGGCGGTAGCGAAGCGTTCTGGCACTTTCAAGAGACACTCGAGGTGAGGCTCGCGAGTACTGACCTTCATGCTCGGTACTGACCATTCTTGTTGCTCTACTTTGTAGAGCCTGGCTGCCACTGCTAGTCTCGGCCATCTCTGAGCGCAAAGGCGAAATTCCTAGTATTGAAGAGCTGCCAGCCAACCTCAGCGCGGTGCCACCTGGCTGGGTCAGAGGCACGGCATCGCAGGCTATCCGCAAGAAGCTTCTCTTCAGCAAGGGCACCGTGGACGCGGAAGTGAGTCATAGCAAGTCCCTTTGACGTCCAGGGTTCGCAGATTGTTCGCTCATCATGTGGCCGCGCCTTTCCTCTACAGCTTTTCGTTCCCATTCTGGATGCAGTCGGTCCAGACTCTGTCTTGCCGGTAGTGCTAAAGCTGACAGCCAGCGCAAAGAATGCCAGCGATCTGACTGGCCCAGACGCGTCGCTTCCTTCCTTGCCTGGGACAAACGCTTCACCCTCTTCTGGCAGCGGCGGTGGGCCCCCTGCGGACAAGCTCATTCCGCGTATCAAGATTCGCAGAAAGATCGAAAACAGCACCAACAGCAAGGCCAACGACTTTTTCCTGGTCACGAACTTCGAACACAGCTTCTCGGCTCGCGTTGCTTGGAGCAATACGCATCTGCAAGGGCAGGCTGGTAGTCTAGCTCACGGATGGACTGAGCCTAGCAAAGCTTCCGCTCTTTCGTCTGGCTACAGCACAACAGCTCAGCTGGTTGGACAGATCCACCTGGATCTGACTCCCAACTTGGAACTACCCACGCTCAAGGTGCGCTACACGCTCGTGCTCAAGGTGCCCATCCCCGGCCTAGGTTCGTCGCTCGTGGCCAAGCTGGAAGATTTGCGGATTGCGCCATCGAGCGGTGTGACGGCTGAAGACCTTGCAGCCCACGGGAACGACGTGGACTATCTGACAAGGGCAGTGGCTGGTCGAAGACAGGCGCTGCTACTGATTGCAAAGGACCAGTTCGTCAAGGCTCCCAAAGACGATGAACAAGCCATGGACCAGCTCATGGCGGATCAAGTCTTGCCTGCGTACGAGGATGACGATGACGATGACGACGATGACGACGCAGACGAGAAGGGTAAGCTTTCGAAGAAGAAACGAGGTGAGGACGAGCTGCCTAGCTACGACGATAGCGGTGCCACGGGCAAAGCGCAGCCGTCCGAAAAGGCTTGAGAATACTTTCACATTTCAGGTGCGAGTTTGGCTGCGCCTTTTTTGTCTTCGACTTTTCCACTGATTGTCGTTGTAGCGCTACGAGTAGCTTGCTTGTATCTATACTGCGCCCACCATTGCCAGCTCGTCGTTGCCTTCCAATTCACCTTCTGTTGACGCGCGAGCACCTGTTCTGACTCTCAGACCGGCTAACGCTGGAGTAGCGATGAGGCCGGCGTTGGGAAGATGAAGTGCCTCGTACACCATCAGCATACCAGCGACGGTCATACGTGGTCAGCTGACCAGTTTGTGACTCGTGTGACTGTACGTCGCCGATCAACCAACCCTCTGCGTCCTCGAGACGAAGGCGAGTTGTTCGGCACAGCGCGCCGCTGATTCGGCGTCAAGGCGGAACTCCGCGGAGTCCGATCGCGTCACAGCAGCTAGGCAGTCGTGCACTGCTGCATATACCGTATGCCGTACGCACGCAGCCTTGACGGCGAAACCTCGCGTGGTGTTGCCGATTCTTAGACAACGCACCCACGGTATGCTGCTGCTGACCAAGCGAAGTCGAGCACCTCGGTCGCCTTTCGAACACCGACATCCACATGTCCCTTGGATGCTTGTGATTACAAGTTGGCGAAGCGGACGAGATGCGAATCAGCATCCCATCCATACCTGCTTCGAGCGAGGTGGGCAAGGCCAAGCATCAGCACACGCTCCAGCAAGCTGCAGAGGCGGTGTACGAGTTCTTGCAAAAAGGGGTCACGGAGCAGCAGCAGCAGCAGCAGCGATTGCAAGGCTCGACGAGCTCTGCAAGTTCGAGATGGACCGCGCAAGGCAAAGAGCAATCCTCACTAGCCGATGAGAGGCGCTCTGGTACTGGCGCGGGCACCATCTTGATGACGGGTGCGGGCGTATCGGTGGATTCGGGCATCGCACCCTATCGAGGAGAAGGCGGTCATTACGAGGTGCACAAGACCTATCGACCCATCTTCTTCCACGAATTTGTCGATTCATCCGAAAAAGGCCACATCGCGAGACAGAGGTACTGGTCCAGGTCCTTTTTGGGTTATCCACCCGTGCTGGTGGCCAGGCCGAACAAGACTCATTACGCTATTGCTGCAATGCAACGTCTGGGCGCCTTTGCAGACTACATCACGCAGGTGAGCACAGCGGGTGTTGTTGAGGGCTGATGCGCGCCTTGGCCCTGGGTCTCATCTCAATGTTCCCTCGCATCGCGTTCGCAAGAATGTCGACAGTCTGCATCACATGGCCACGCCCAGCCCTTCTCTAGCTGCTTCCTCCATCCTCGAATTGCACGGTAAGCAGTCTTGACAAATCTAGCTCCAGCGCGAGCCTGCTGCCCACGCAATGTTGCTCCACTGGCATCCTTTGATAGGCACCTTGCAGCACGTCTTGTGTGTCTCGTCACCTACGCCCGGTAGCGCACCATCGAGGCCGAAGGACCCGACCTTGCATTCGCACCTCACCCAGTCACATCTCTCGGGTCCGCGTCTCCGAGCAGAACCTCGACCTTTCAACACTCCTACGGGTCAAGCTTATCCCAAAGGTTGCGGCTTCAGGGGAAGTAGATCGGCCTACCAGTCCATACTCGCCGAGAGGAACCCAATGTGGGACGAAATGGCCAAGGAGATGCATCAACGGGGTACTCAACCCAAAACCAATCCTGATGGTGATGTGCGTAGAGATTCGTCGCAGACGGCCCCTTCTTCCGCCTTCACCGTCGGGCTCACGCCTACTCTTCGATGCTGTCTCATCGCCATCTTACAGGTGGAGCTTGCAAGGAATACGGACTACAGCTCTTTCCACTATCCTGCCTGTCCGAGTTGCGGAGGGGTTCTAAAGCCGTGAGCGCACTCGCAACGCCGCAACAGCAACGCCGCAGGCCCCCACGAGAGCTGAGCTTCTCTCTCGCATCTCCCCTTTCGCCTCGTGCCTGAAGCGGCGTCGTCTTGTGAGTCAAGCTTGCATGCTGAGCACTACTAGCTTCGCATCGCTGACCGAATGGTCTCTCCTGCGGCTCAAAGCTTTGGAGAGTCCGTTCCGGACGCGCTGCGGGACCGCTCCTTTGAGCTCGTCCGAAGAGCAAGTCAGATGCTCATCGTGAGTCCACGCTTGAAAGCTAAAGTCGAGGGATCTGAATTCTGAGCTCCGAACCACGCTCCCGTCCAATGCTCAGGTGGGCTCCTCTACCGCAACATACAGCGCATATAGGCTAGCAAAGACCATGCACGAGGCCGGTGGATCCGTCATGATTCTCAACAAGGTGAGCTGCATCTCTGTTTTTCGCTACGTCTCCCTCAGCCATCATACGCACTCCTCGCTCTGCCCATCACAGGGACCTTCGCGCGCAGATCCTTTGGCCAGCGACAAGATCGAATTGGGAAGCTCAGAGGTCCTTCAACTTGTAGCTCAGAGGTTGGCAGGTACGGATAGGAGAAAGAAAGACCCCGTGCTTGATCGTCTCCTCACCTCTGGAGGGCCGGCTTTGGTGCCAAATTCTGGAGTGCGCGTCGCGGCTAGCTGAATATATACGTTCTCATGAATTCACCCTTCTGACGCCTGATCATCCGTGGCACTGCCACATCAAGACCAAAGAATAGACCTCCAAACAAGCGTCCTCTGATCAGTTATTTTCGAATCGTCATCGCATTGCTCACGTTGTCATGAACTGTTGTAGAGACCATGTGCTGGGCTGAGTAAGAGGCACATTTCGGGGATCAGCTAACAGGGGTTGACATGGCCTTCGAAGTTTGGGAGCGAGGGTATGCTCTGACCCGCTGGTCTATGCAGAAGCATGCTGACGACGGGGCTAAGAGTGGCTGGCTGTGCTAGAGTACAAATGTGGGGTAAATTGAGACGCAAAGAAGCAAACCGTACCGCTGATCTAGATCTCAGTAGCAAAAAGGCAATGATGGCGCATGGTTGAGAGCACATCGGCAACCGTCATTCCGAATGGGTAATGTGATCAGGATCAATGCTGGTGAGAGTGGTGGGCAGCGTGAGACTGCCCAAAGCTCATACCGAGCGAGCCGACGTTCATGTTCGGAGAGAAGGAAGATATGGGAGGAATCTGGACCGAGTGCGGATCGTGCTGTTGTTGGTGGAAACCCATGAGGCTGGGTGCGTTGGAAGCAACAAATTCCGAGTGTGGACCACCGCTGCCCGTGTGGGCTCCGAATCCGCCGTGGAGAGGCTGGTTGTTGTAGTTCATGGGTGAGGTGATGTAGTCATTCGTGTAACCTCCTCGCGGAGCCCCGTGAAATAAGCCGTGGGATTGCGATTGAGGGTGAGAAGGGGACGGAGCGGTACCAGTCCATAGAGACTGATAATCGCCTAGGCTCGCCACTCCCGGAGATTGGTAGTGGTGTTGACCGGTGGGTGGCATCATGCTGAGCCCGCTGTCGGTGCTACCCATTTCCATCTTCGTGGAAGGGGGAGTAGGATTCGACTTGATGCTCCCGGTGCTACTGATGCTGACGTTGCGAGCATGCATCTGCGGAGCACTCATGACACCGCCTTCCAGCACGGGAGAGCTACATGCCGAGTACTTGCTTATGATCTTCTTCAACATGTTGGCGAGCTGGTCCCAGGCGAACACCTTGACATCCTTCTCAATATTGCGAGGTTTGGGGTTCGGGAACGACATGATGAGCTGGAAGAAGGCGATGCTCTCCTCCTTGTTCCGCGTGCTCTTTGAGATTGTCTGAGGACGGAAACCCTCCAAGTTTCGACGAATGCGGTTCTTCTCTTCGACGGTGAACTTGGTACCGACCAAAGCTTCGAGGAGGTAGATGGTGTCGACGCTCGTAATGTAGCACTTGTTGTTGTCCGCGCGGAAGATGCAGGACACCACTATCGAGCTCGACTTGTACTCGTGCGGGTGGATCGCTTTGCAGTAGGTCATGATCGTCGTGCCCTCTTGACGGCGCCAAAATTGAATCAAACGGCGTCCCGTCTGCCATTCAGCATGTGACCACCCAATGGCTAGAGCGTTGAGATCACTCTGGATCTCGAGATTGGCGCGAAGCTGCGAAGGTCCCCCGCGTGGCGAGCCTGATGATGAAGACGAGTCAGGACCTCTCGATGGCGATGATGCTTGCGCAGCGGACGAAGTACTAGTGCCGCGAAGCGATAGACTGGGAAGTTTTGTGCGAGGTGAGGCGTGTGTAGGGGTACGAATCAGCGAAGGTAGATGCTCGGTGGCGGAGCTGGCAGATGGCGGGTCGGAGGTCGTGTGGTGGGCAGCGTCTGCGGCGAGCTCACTGACGCCACCGCCAATGGGAATGCTATTACGGCGAAGGGGGTTATTGGACCAATTCGGCGGACAATACGGCAAGTGCTTACCCATCACGCCTCCATTCTCGAAGGTGCTTGTGTCGCTCAATTGTCCAGCCGATGAGGAAGACAAAGTGGGTCGATGTTGAGGAGCGAACGGCGCAGCGCCTGTGCGTGCTAACCCGATCTCGCCCACGCGACTCAAGTTCCGATGACTGATCGAGCGTTGCGAAGGTACTTTCCCGATGGACGATGGGATCTGATGGTCGAAAGACCCAACCAATGCGGGGAAGCTTGCAGGACGTCTGAGCCCGGTGGGTTCGTCGCGAGATTCCGCGTCGCGTCGCCAAGCGTCGCGTGGTGACGTTGGCGGATAGATGAAATCGGCGACGTCGACGCCACTGACACAGAGAGCATCAGCCGCGCTCAAAGGCGAAGCTTGATCCGTGATGTCGATGTGCGCTCGGACGTGCAAGGTCACTCTTGATGTACTCCAACGTGTGTCATAAAAGCTTGGCGCAGATCCCGAGAGGTGAATTTCCAAATCTTCCGACCTGGCGGATGCCGGGGATGAGATCGCCCCACTGGTGTTCAAGCGCGTCGCTTGTGTTTCTACTACGCAAGAGCCAAACACCAGGAGCAGTCGTGTCTGAGCCGGGGTGCTGGTGCCCATCGAGGTGGTGCCATCTCCGATTCGCGAACCGCCCACGAGCAGTCCAACGTTGCGCGCCCAGCTCACGTCGACGTTGACGATGACCTCGCATGGAGAACCGGCATCTCCAGTGAATGTGTTGTATTGGTGGACGTAGACCGGACCAACAGGACGTTGAAGGAGACCACCGGGGCGCATCGAGCGGAAAGAAGATGCTCCACCAGTCGAATGGGTGTAGGCGCCACCCATAGTGCTGTCTCTGCCGGAAATTGCTGAGTCATGACCAACGTGGCTTACAGCAGAGCCAGCACCCGGACCAGTCGAGCCGCTGGGCGACATCATGGAAGGATGCGCCGGCGTCGGCGAGGACAGTCCGTACTCGCCAGATGGCGAGTGCAAATGACTCGGCCTGCTGGCTGGTGGTGTGGACAGTGCAATGTTGCTCATCGGAGTCGGAAAACCACGGGTGAGATTCCGAACCGCGTTGCGCGATCGCGGTGATGTGGCTCTTTTTGGCCTAGTAGACGTCCATTCGCTACTTTGAGGAACGATTGCGATGCCTTTGTTGCCTGCTGTTGCAACGACAATCTCTCGATGTTCTGGACCAATTTGAGGTGAAGGCTGCGTCTGAGCGGGAGAATGAGGAACGTAATTGTGCTGAACAGACCTCGAAGAGCTTGGCTCGTAGAAGGAAGGTGTCGCAAAGGTTGGCGAGCCTTGCTGGCCCAGAGCGAATTGAGGCGCGCTCTGTGGAAAAGGCACGGTACTGAGACCGAAGGTGCTGGTGAATGCGCTCGGCGAAAGTATCGGCTGGTCGAAAGCGTGCGAGTATTGCTGTTGGGGTTGCTGGCCAGCGGAATGCTCGCTGGACCCGAGCACCGTGTGCTGCGGATCCGTGGTGAACCCATCCATTTGAGCCCAGGACATGTTGCCAAGAGCAATGTCGAGGGGAGATGGTGATGCCCAAAAAGCAGATATGAGATGTGAAGATGTTTGCGAGACAGGTGTGAATGTGTGAGACGTGAGACGTCAAGATGAAATCCGCCGGTTGGTTTGGTCGAGTTGATAGATGGTGGCGATGATGTTGATGAAGAGTGAGACAAGAAGTGAGATGTGGACCAAATTTGTTGTGGGGTATGTTTTAGATGGATCACAGAAGGATGGCCAAGGTCGAATCGTCCGATCGGTGCATCCACAGTGCAGAAAGTCCCAATTCAAAAGCGGAAGAATTCGAAGCGGGAGCAGATTATCGCCGAGGTTCGTCAAGAACACAGTGGCGAGACAAGCGAGGAAGAGTCGAGAGGAAGGTGAACAAGTAAGAGGGAGGAGAGTGATGGAGCCACATGGTCAGCGAAAAATGATAGCGGATGCGAAGCGACAAAGGTCTGTATGCTATCACAAATCTAGAGCGAGAGAGGTCGGCCATCGTGTGGGCGCGAGGTCCACAGCGTCAGTCGTGCGTCTTACGCGCGCACTATACTGTCCGCTTGCATTCGTGATTTCTTACCACCGACGCATCCTGAGGCAAACCGCTCAACAAGTGCTGAACACGAGCTTCCCAATAATCTGAATCACGGGTGAATAATGCTGGAACCGGCGTCGGGTGCATGAGCTTGGCCACATGCGGCTGCTGGGCTGCTTCACCATGCTTCGCTGCGCAACGCTTTCGGTACAAGCTGCTCCGAACATTCAAGAGCCGCAAGCGACCGGTCTGACTTTCCTTAGCTCCCGCGTAGTCGAACGAGCCAAGCAAGATTTGACTGGCCGACCGGACCCCTAGCTGGCCGCAAAGGAGCCTAACGAGATTGAAGCGACCCAAAGCAACGGTGACACGACCCGCGCCCGCAGAGCGGGACAAAGATGCACGCGTGCATGCGAGCGTCTTGACGCGTCCGCGTCCGCGACCTGTGCCGCCGCCCGCCCCGGGCCTGCCTGCATCCTCCTTGCATAGATCTCACGCGCGCTTGCCCAATGCGGACGTTTACGTGTGGCAGAACTGCATGCGATGTTGCAAAGCAACAAGACGCAAGGAAGACATCTCTGCAACCGGACAAGTCTGCAGGCCACGACGACGCTCCCGAAGCGCACCACCATCTCCAGCGGGATTGCATCCCAAGCGGAGCCGTCGTCGTAGCCCGATGATAACATACGCCACGCGCATGCAGCCGTGATCGAAGCAGCTTGCTCTAGATTCGAGCAACAACGAATCGCGAACGAGCGCCGCTGACGAGCGAAAGAAGGCGCCACGAAACCAGAAGGGACGTTGCGCAGTATAGAAGTACGCATCCATGGAGGGCTACTCACCAAGCGCGCGTCAATGACGCCAAAGGCCAGTAGGAGATGCGTACGCTACAATCGTAAGCGCAATTTGAATGAGATTCGCCGGATGTAGCAGCGAGGGTCGATTTTTCGGAGGCGCTGCAGAGGCAGGCGGGCTCCCACCAGCGCGCTTGCGACGCTGCTCCTCGCTGCAGGAGGACGACTTAGCGAGGCGCTGCACATCATCGAGAGATAGAATAAGCATGATATCAGCCTGATGACCACGGACATTGACTCCGTTGAACCCTTCTGCGTCTCCTTGCTTCGCTGTGGCTATGCCCAGAATCAACCACAGCTGCCACCAGAACGGCGCCTGCTCGAGACTCCATTGCGACTCACTCGCCGATGGCAGAGCTTAGAGTCCGATGCCGATAGCCTTAACAGCTCTTCGGATCCGTACGACTGCGAAAGATCTGTGTTCGAGCGGAGAGCGACTGAAATCAAAGTCAGCACACTGACGCGAAGGCCGAGGATGCAATCCGAGCCAGAGAGCGAGGCGCTACACGACGGTTCGGGGCTTCGGCTCCGCGAGCGCCTCACGGCACGAGCTGCAGTCTGACTACAAGCGCCATGGGAGCCGTGGGCCAGCAAGGATGTAGAATGATGGAGCGAGCTAGCAGAGCTACGTCTCCGGCACTGCATGCATGAATGGACCACTGCTGACACGCCAGTCTTTGTTGAGGGTCGTCGAAGATGTGGCTCTATGCAAGCGGCTTTTCACCCTTGCAGCCGCAAGCCAAGTCTGAATCAAAAGCCCGCGTTGCATCTCTGCTACAAGGTTTGAGACATCGACTGCATTGAGAATCCAGCTTGCTCGATGTAGCAGTGATCTGCCCTCAGATCGAGGGTCATGAGTGGCTTTGCAGGCCAAGCCCAATCCGATTACTGAGTGGCTCCCATGCTTCGGCGGCCCTTGGGCGAGGCTTCTCGAGGCGCTGCGAATGTCTCGCTGAGATAGACAAGGTTGTGGACGAATGTAGCGAGCTGAAGCCGATGTGCAGCAGCTCCAATAAGATGCTTGAAGCGGCAACATGCTTTGCGCCGATCGCGATGTAGCAGGAGCGCAGCACGCAGCGCTGCTTTCTGCAGCTGGTTTTGCCACAAAAGGTGGGACGCAACTCCGAGAGCTTAGTCACGAGCTTTACTCACCGTCTCTATCAGTGAAGATGCAAGCTTGAAGCTGTTGCACGTGAAGCGAGAAAGGACCTCGCAGATTCTAGTACCAGCCGAGAGCAGCACTTGAAGAACAGCGACGGCGATTCGAATGGCTGATCCGGTCGACGAAGGCGATGCTGACTGTCGTGAGTCGTCTCGAGAGCTTGTGTAGGGATAGTGATGGACGCATAGGACGCCAAATTGATGTAGATTAAGACGTTGCCTTTAAGACAGAGAAAGCTGCTGAACGTGCTGTTTTACGCCAATTGCTTTGGTAGTGAGATGGCCAAGGGGATTTATAGCAAGCCAAGGAAGATCGCGATTTGTGACTCGCGAATACAACATGGACAAGCGCGGTGCGTTGGGGCATGCCGAATCCATCGAGCACCGCGCAGGCGAAGAAGTATGAAGAGACCTGATGCACGCAGCTGCCTTCTGGCACAAATGAGAGACGTCGCCGTGTGCTATAGCTGAAAACATAATTCCAAGTCGCCAGTCGCGAGGTGCAGAGCAATTGTGCCCGTTGTAGGGAGACCGCACTTGTCACTGAAGCAGCTTGCTCGACGTGTTTGCCTCGTCGATGGTTGCTCACGGTGCGGGCGTGACGCGGCTGAAGCTGGAGTCGTAAGTCACAGCACGGGCCTGAACAGGCAGGGCAGAATGCCGACTGCTGTCGCGCCGAGGTACCCTGGCTCGCCATGGGGAAAGCTGCTGCGCGTGCTTCGGCAGGGGCCCTGCGCAACGATGCATCGCTTTCAGCAGGAGCAGACCTTGGATCAGAGTGGACGGATCTTGATTCGTGATTCGTACTCACGACTCGTGAGTTGCTGTGTGGGTTGACGCTACCTGCGATGACGCAAGATGCGGCTGATGAAAGGTGTTAGGGAGCCGCGGTTGTGGAAGCACCGTCGTGAGTATACTCACAGTATGGCTGTAAAGCGGTGCTACTGCAGCTGACTCGCCTGCGCGCACTGCTCTCTCGATCGGTCATGAGGATGCGTGAGGGCATGCATCTTTGCACGTACTTCGCCAGACCAGCAGCAGCGACCAATTGAAGGCCACGCAGGACCAGCACGCGGTAAGCAACATGAGAGCTGCAGACTCGAATCCGTATGTCCCTCAGCAGAGCAAGAGGCAGTAGTGGTAGTGTAGTAGTGCTGCCACAAATTAGGGCTGCCCAGTCGGCCCTCGCGCTGTTGAGGTGAGTGCGAGTCAGGCGCAATGTTGTCCATGCTGATGCAGCGGCAGTCACAAGCGCAGCTAGGCGAATCCATGCTTGAGTACCGGAAATCTCCCATCTGACACGGCAAAGCTGTCGCTTAGTACCATCCGCGGCGCCCAAGCAGCAAATTTTCAAGTAGAAAGCCAGCTCGGCGGAACCTCCTTCTGTTGTGATCATTGTGTGGCGCCATGGCTGCGCACACACGAATTCCATCTGGATGACCTTTCCAACTACACGCACCAAAGCTCCAGCCACGCGAAAAACGCTCGTCTCTTGCAATTGGCGGCGCCGATGGCACCGAGCTCATTGCTCGTGCGGCGGGGTCTGTCCACGTTCGCAAAGCATATGTGAGAGGCTTGATGGTCACGGCTTGCGGCTCCGGGTGGGTTGTTGCATCATGCTCGCCACCAGAGTTGAGTAGAACAGGGCCGGCAGCCCGGCGTTTCCTTAGTCTCTTCGGCAGGTATATGCATTGGACAAGCACGCACGATTGAGGGCGAAATGCTGCGCACATGATCTGACGGTCCTCTTCGTCTAACTGCCAACAGAAATTGCGCCGCGAATTAAAGTTTGACAGAGTGAATGAGTCAGTCAGCGCCCGTCGCGCATTAATTACACAGCTAGCTCAAGATGCTGATGGCAGGGCGCGTGCGCAGGCCTTGATACTGCTTCAAGATTCTTCATTACTTGCTAGTCGACTCCAAATTGCTCAGGTCAGAATTGCGCCTGACATCCGTTTCAAGATCCCCCATGAGCAGGGAGTGGGAGCGAATGCCACTGCTGGAGGCTAGACCCGCGCTTCGGCAGTCGACAGCAGCAGCAGCAGGTGAGTAAGAAGCTGTCTATAGTAGTACTCCTGGGCAATGTATGGCATGCTCAATATGCGACCAAATTAAACGCCACCTTGGCATGGCGGTGGAGACGATTTCGCGGCGCGTCGCGGTTCAGCATTGCCATATCAGCTTATCGATGTCGATACCTCTCCAGCCCAGCCAGCTCATCAGTCATGCTGAACGGCGAAATCAGCTTGATGTTGTGCATCTGCCAGGCTACGATTGTCCTCTGAGATGTCTTTTTGAATCAACGACTTCATAGGTGAGTGCATGAGGTCCAGCTCGAGTATGCGGCTGCGAATTTAGGTTTCTAGGTGTATGGGCGTCAGCCTTACTCGCCCGTGCAGCAGCACTTGTAGCACACGTAGCACATGTAGCAAGGGCTTGCGGATGCTGCTTCAACATGCTGGAGCACGATTCAGAAGTGTCGATCGTAAAATGCGAAGGACTAAAGCAACTCTTGGAGGGCCCAGGGTGCATCCTCTGCAGCCATAGTCAGCTGACTCTCGCAGCTGTGTAGCCCACGTACCCCAACATGCATCCAGATATGCCCCGAAAGACGGCTCAAGTTGCTTAGTTGACCCATATAGCTGCAACCGCAATTTGTCGGACGAACCAAGCATGACGCAAATTGCACCATGAGGGCGGGCTTTGGGGACATCTGACCCGACTCTAAGATACGAAGACAGGCACGGCACTCACCCGTAATATCAGCGATTAGCGAATGATGCGAGCCTCCGTAAAGTGGAGCCCTCTCAATCACGAATTCAGAGCAACTTTCTCCAACATGGTATGGGGTGTCGCGTGGTGACACCATCCCATGCGACGGCATAGCTAGATTGCGTTATCTTGAGGCGCCATGCTATGCTCCGCGGGGTCAGACCAAAGACGAAGTAGGGCCAGCAGGTCACAGCTAGGTGAGTGATGATTCGGCGATAAGGCAGTTGCTCTGGCTGAACCATGCATTCTTCGATTAAGTTGACTATAGACCTTGTTGTGCTTGATTGCCATATATAGCAGGGCTGGCTGACACGAATTGCAACCGGATTTTGGAGGGGCGCTTGGTATAGAGGCCGAGAGCATGCTCACTTAGACGTGTGTGATGATGGTGGATTTCAATTGAAAGCGCGCTGAGGTATCGTGATGAATGCAACCGAGGTTGAGCTGGGAACGTCCTTGACAGTCAATGTGGACAAGCGACTCGACTTGATTCTTTCGCACCAAGCTCGTTCGGTCGCACCCGCCAGCAAAGGGTCACCTTCTGCAAGCTTCGCGCCTAGTCTAGGGTGTTGATGCTGCAGACACCAGCCCAGCCATCTAGATGAGCAGCATCAGCGCTGCGCAGCAACAAGTCGTGTTGCCAATCAGGGCGGGACACAGAAGAAACGGACCCTAGGAGAGCAAAAGACTGGACAGGACCTCTCTACCCATACCTCTTTTGCCCACAGCATTCACGCAGAGCGAGCTGCACGTAGGAAAGTAGAACTTGAAGATCGTCACATGCAGACGTCGGCCACGGTTCCGAAGCTCTGGACCTATCTGCTTGGCTAGCGCTGCATGGCGGAGCTCGCTGGCGCGGGCTTTCGCGACTCGCGCAGAGCAGCAGCAGCAGCAGCTAGCATGCAGCTTCATAGTCATCCTTGTCATGCTGAGTGCAACTCCATCGCGAGCATCCAGCATCCGGCATCCAGCACCCAGCTAGGGCACCTCCGCACTGCATCGGAAGCGCGGGGCAAAGTACCGAGAAACGGCTCCGAAGCAGATCTTGCAGACATCAGACCGAAACGTCCGCCAAAGTCTGCTGCAGGCACGGCGAGCGATTCGTTACGTGACACTTGTTGACGGCGAAAGCATGGTCTTTGGAAAAGTCCTCGAAGTGATCACAGCGTGTGCACCTGAAACACGGTCGCTGAATCAACACGCGTCTGCGCGACAGAGTTCACGCGTTCGAATCACTGCGCGGACGCGCCGCGGCTTGGATCTCGCGTGACGCACAAGCGCGCTTGCAGGGCGCAGCACAGATCGAGTACCTAATCCAATCATATATATTCGAGATATTCACGATTGACAGTTAGTCACGCGAGTGAGCTTCGTTTTGTTCGTGATTCCTGATCGTGATGCTCGGGGATTGATTTCTGGATGAGAATGGTGTATCTGTACCATATATGAGCTCCCAATATTCATGCTCAGCACGCCACGCTTGCCTTGCACAAGTTTGCTGAGCTGCATGGCAACCAGCTCGAACGGCTCAAGATCGATGGCCCATGACTCATGCACGCTGGAAAGCAGCAGCGATGAGAAATGATAGGCTGATACACCGCGGGCATTGTGCCTCACTGCAGAGCTCTCTCTATATCATTTCGGCGAGCCTGCCACGGGTCCTTTGTGCGCGCGGCAAGGAGTCAAGTCACGACCTTGAATTGGGTGCCTCACTCAGGCACCGCCACGGCGAGCCTCACGCCTGTGTTGCTCTGTCGAGCTTAATCAAGACGCCGCAACGTCTGCATACATCTGGGCTATAAGATGCACTTCGGCTTGGTCCCAGTGCGTGGATGTCTTGCGTAGACAGCAAATAGCAAGTCACGGACGGACGGTATAGGGACGGGCTCGGCTGCTGAATGCCGACGAGTTGTATTTTCAGAGTCCCTTTGCCGAAGGTTGCGCACATCGCCATCGGAATGCCGTGTCCTTCGCTATAGGGAAGGCGGTGATTTGAGGGTGATGAAATGTGCTGGAAGTCATGTCGGCATCTTCCACCCCAAAGTCATTTTGATTCCCTGATGGACATGAGACCAAAGTAGGGCTGGCAGCGAGACTACGAGTATCACAGCGGCTACTCAACAGCTCACACCACTAATCGCCAGCAGCTAACACCACTACTACTCGCTAGCTGAGCTTCACGTCACTGGGCATTCTCAAAGATGCAGAGTGGATGGCCATCTGCCCAGACTGCAGCAAGGAGACGTAGACATTAGTAGTATATCGCGCTGAGCATTCGACGACAGCGATGTTAGGCAGCTACGGTAAAGGACGCGCCTTGGTTCTGAGTCTCATCATGAGGGCTACTTCGGGACTCGTGCTGTTGCTGCTACTCGCACATTCGAGTTCAGGGACCAAGCCAGCCCACCATCCACGGCGAGCCGAGCAGGTAAGTCCAGCCAGTCAATGTCAAAGCAGTTGTTGCTTATCACAGGTCCTTGGACAGCAACATCTCCGGCGTCGCGACCCGAATGATCACTGTTGGCACCAAGGTCAGCTTTGGTTTTACGCGCTGAAGCTCAGAGGCGAGCGAGAGGCAATGCAAGCTAGGCTCCGATCGACTAAGCAAGCTCGTGAGTCTTTCCTTGACCAGTGAAGATATCGATCTCCATGTGCATACGTCATCTTACTCTGCTCACCTTCAGGGAAGGACGTGCTGCTTGGCCAATGCGACTCTGCCTGCACATCGCTACATCTGAGGAGTGGCGCTAGAAAGCTCGCACTGGGCTGCGATGGCACTCCGGCAGTGCCGCTGGAGGACGAAGCGGCACCTCAGGCCTGGAGGGAGCGATTTCCATTCAAGACGGGGACCTGCTGGGTGGATGCAGGACCGGGTGCAGAGCTGAGTGCTGTTCGAAGGACAGCAGACGTGAATGATGTCTTTCGAGGAGACGAGGTCAGCACGTGGAGAGCTGTGAACGCCATGCTGTCTTTCAAACAAGTGCGCAACACGGCAGGCCATGCTTGAGCGATCGCATTCTCGGTTTCGCATGGCTTATGCTTCGTCTTTTCCCTCGCAGGCTTGCGAAGAAGCAAAAGGCTACTTCGTCAATCCAGCTTTCGCGGCGTGGTGAGGAGGGCGTCTGACAACGAACGGCAGGAGCGCATGCCCCGAGCCCACTCTCACAGTCCATCCTGTGACTGGCGGTCTATATCGATCCATAGACGGACAGCGCAAGCGCCGGCTGATTCTGATGTAGAGGAGATTGGCCACCAAAGTCGGGACCGCGTGTGTGCCTTTTAGGCTCTAGATTGAATTCATGTCCTTCGCCACAGTCTTGTGTGTGACTCGAATCCTTGCGCTCACACCCGATGGGCACTGAGGCTGGCCAATCACGGATCATGAATGGCTGCTTTGTATGCCGCCCACGCGTTCTTCTACAACTCAAGCTTCTGTTGACTTGCGCACTGGTGACTGGCCGCTTATCGGAGCCGAATCCTTACGAGGAGCGTGGGAACACCTAGCTTGAGGCGCGTCCAACTCCATGTTGGATGAGTGCATCAGAGGGCGATCACGTGAAATCAGGGTTCTTCGCATGTACGTGCAACACGAAACCAAGACGATTTCGATCTTGATTCGACTTTTGGCTGGCAGCAAAGGGAAGGCGACTGAGTCGAGTCGAGCTTGCTCAAGAGAGCCACACCGACGTGCATTCCACCACATTCACCGCACCCCTCGGCCCAATCGCTCAGCTCTTCTCCTCTCGCCTCATAGCTTGCCGTCGACTCCATGCTTCACTACTCGACTCTGCGTGCTGTGCGCAGACGGGCGGAGAAGGAGCTACCTCGCCTCTCGCAGAAGAGCCTGCAAGCGAGTCGTTTTGCCTCAGCTACGCCAGGGAGTAGTACTATCTTGAGCAGCGCGGCATGCCTCACCCGTAGAGCGCAGATCGATGCCGCATCCACCAGCGCCACGCCGGCAGGGAGTGCATTAGAACGTGTCCAGAGCTCAGTGCAAAGCAGCCAGCAGACTGCCAGCTCAGATCCGCATTCAGGGAAAAAGGCGTTCGCACCGCGCCTCACCTTTCCATTTCCTACTTCGATTCCATCATGGTACGCAGGGCACATGTACAGGGCAATGAGGTCTTTGCCATCTCTGCTCAATCGATCGCCACCGCCACTCATCATCGAAGTGCGTGATGCTCGTCTGCCCCTAAGTAGCGTGAACCCTGCTTTTGAGCGCATGCTCAGGGGAAATAGCAGCGCCAAGAGTAGGCAGAACAAGGGGAAAGGCAAGGAAGTCGAATCTGCAGATGCCAAAGGTGCTCAAGATGAATCTAAACGAGGCATTGTCGGACCCAATCATTCCCTCGAGGGTCTTGCGATGCGCCGCAACTGGCGGCAAAGAAGGCTGGTTGTGTACGCCAAGAAGGATTTGATAGCATCTGAGCTGCAAGAAGTACGTCACGATGCCGTCTTGACCGTGGTGTCATGAGGGATGGCTGAGGGCTTTCACTGATCTGTCGGTCCCTGTGTGCAGCCCATACGGCAAGCGTTCGCGCGACACGGCGAAGAGGTCCTCTTCGTGGATACGAGGGTCGACGGGGACGTGCGGATGATTCTGTCATGGGTGCATGGTGCGTGCAGGCGGAAGCAGAGCTACAGGGGCGGGGTCACACGAGCGAAGCTGATACTTTGCTGACTGGCGAGTCACAGCTAGAGCCGCTCTGGTCTCCCACTTTGGTGACGACGCATTGCAATCATCCAGCAAGCCGAAAGGGAAGCACCTTTCAGGAGCCTTCAGGCACACACCTACACCCGAGAATGGAGCCAGGCTTATCATCGTCGGAAGTCCCAATGTGGGCAAGAGCAGCTTGCTGAACGCTTTGCGCCGAGTGGGCACCGGCAAGGGTGAGAGCCAGACTTTTGTGACGCTGCTTGCAAATCTGCCTTTCCTTAGAGCTGACATGACCGTCTGACGCAAAAAGGCAAAGCGGCGTCCACAGCGCCGGAGCCAGGCCATACGCGCAAATTAACTGGCACGGTGCGCATAACGAAGGCAGGTCAATCATCTCTGCGCAGACCAGAAGCAGAGACGCAAGAGGCCAGCGCCAAGGGCCTCTTTACGTTGGGAGGAGGCGGGCCTGAGGGCGCAAGCGAGCTTCATCAACATGCTGCCGACAAGCGACCTGAGCAAGTGCCAATATACGTCTATGATACCCCAGGAATCATGGTTCCGTATCTTGGCAAAGGTGTCGCTGGCGCTGAGAAAGGCATCAAGCTTGCCGTAGCCAACGGAATGAAGAGCTCACTCTTCGATACGCGAGGTCTGGTGGACTACCTACTTTTCCGTTTCAACTTGAAGTTTGCTTTCGCTCAGCATCAGGCTAGCACAACTTCGCCTGTCACTAGTGCAAGTGAGCATGCAAAGCTTTTGCGGTCCCTCGTCACGCGTCTTAAGCTGACCAGCGCCCCACTATCTATTTGCTCCTTCAGAGGCACCATTGCCGGTCTACTTGTCGCAGCTGCCACTCGCCGCGGTTCCCGAGCCAAGTCAACCTCCACCTGGCCCTACGAACTCTATCGAAGAGCTGCTGTATGCCGTAGCAGCGAGAGCACCGGGCACGATGAGCAAAGGGGGCGAGCGCGATCTTGACGCCACAGCAACCTTTATGCTACAGCGATGGCGGGAGGGCAAAATGGGCAAAGATTGTGGAGAGTTGGACATGGGGTGCGGCGAGGTTCCCACCCTGAATTTCGAGGGAGCCGACAGCGTCGGCACTGTCCAGGGTAAACAGCAGCTGTCGATCACTGCTCTTCAAGCGCAGGCTTTGAAAGTCGAGCTGCTGGAGCGAAGTGATCATATCCGGCGCATCAACGCGATGGTAGATCGGCACTTTGCCGAGTTGCATCAGGCTGAACAAGCTGGTGTCGCCACTTCCGCTAGACCTGCCCGAGGCGCTGGCAGACGAGACTGGCTCGCTTCTAGGAGTAGCGCTCCTGCTTCAGCTCACGCTGCTTCAGGCGCAGCTCGCGCAGTAGAGCCCGCCTCGACCTCCGTCGCGCCTCGACTGCAAACGATCGATCCCTCCAACCCTCTCATGAGTAGACATCAACGGAAGAAACAGAAGAAGATGAAATCTTTGAACAAGTTCAAGGAAAGATATAGGACGAGGATGTCTGGCAACGCCAGCGCGTCGTCCAGCACGAGTCAGTCCAGAACACATGCTATGCGAAGGCGGCGGGCGATCAGCAAGGGTGCAGGGGCTGCGGAGGCCGACAGGTGAGATCTTGGGCAATCGTTCAAAGAGCCGCTGTGATGCAGGCATCTTTGTTATGAATTTCGTGACCACGTTGTCGGGTCAGGTGGCACGTGAAGCATAGAATACAGATGGCATCTCTGCGCTGAAATCTCAAGGAGCCCTACGAGGCAGAAGTGACATGAGAATGTGGCGTCAGCTTGAAGTCAGCAAATCCCTCATGATTGAACAATATTCACAGGTACTGGTACTCGAATCTGTGCTCGCCAAAACAGACGGGAGATCGTGATAAGTCGCGTGAACAGCTGCTTGAACGCATTCAAGCACGGGCTCACCGGAATGTCTGCTTTCTCCTTTGCTGCCATGAATTCTCAAAGTCGAAATAGATGCTGAGATGAGGCATCAAGAGGAGGCAAGTGAGTCGAAGTCAAAGAAGCCTGCTCATCGCTTTTTTGTCACGCACTAGGACCCTTCCTCGTAGTCATCGTGAACAACCTTGGGCTGAGCATATCTTTGGAACCATGTGCCAAAGCGCAGCGACTGTCGTACCCAAAACGACTGCGAGTCAGGAATAGATCATTCTGAGAAGACATCTTTGATGCTGCTGGACTCACGAATCGCCAGGATTGGCGCTTGAGCTCGTTGGCGGCAAGGTACCGATGGTATTCCCTTTGCGAGTAGTAGAAAATCTGTCACGGCGACGAAATCGAGGTCAGCAAGCGTACAGGCGAGCTCGCGCCGTGCCTTGGCAATGCGAGACTAACGAAGAAGAGAGTGTCGTCTTCAACTTTGCTGTACAGCGCCGGGTTGTCGAAGATGCTCAGAGGCTGCTGCGGGTACCAAGAAGGTGACGCCCAGGGATTTTGGGGTCGATAGTATCGCGGCGCATCGCTGTCCTGAGGTTCGGGAACACCCAGCGCACTTGCTTGGAGAGTCTTGTGGAGTTCGTCGAGGTTATCTCCCCTTTCAAGTGACTTGTGTTTCGCGGCGTCGAAGCTGGTGACCAGGTCGCTCAAGCTGTTTGGCAATCTGGGCTCTGTGCCCTGCTCACGCTGCGCAGCGGCCTGCTCGCTTGAGGTGCCAGCTCCTCCGCCGGAAGGCTGGACCAGACTCGCAGCGGCAGAGCTCGCCGCCAGTTGTGCAGGCTGATATTCACTTGTCTCCTCCTGTGGCACAGCTGAGTCGTCGGTGTATGCGTTCCTTTGAGCGCCGCCGCTGTTGCCTTCGACGGGGGCACCCGGAGCAGCAGACGTGCTCGCGAGAGGAGATGGCGCCGGTTTGATGGTCGCGTGCCTGGGAGCTGGAGAGTTCTTTGCGGATCCATTCGCAGGCCGCGCAGCCAGACCGGGCGGACCGTTGGTAGCACTCGCAGTGATTCCGTCTGCAGTAGGCGCTGTGTCGGTGGAAGGAGCGAGAGACGGAGCAGGCGAGGATGCTGCATCTTCCAATGCAGCTTTCGAAGACGACGGCGATCTAGAACCATCTGGGAGCTGCGATGTTGTAGTTGTCGGCGAGAGAGACGCTGTGGGAGCAGGACCACCAGATGATTGCGCGACTGCAGCAGCGGCTGCGGCTGCATATCGAATCGGAGGTAAAGGGGCTGCTGCTGGCTTTGGAGGAGAGGTCATGGAAGCTGTAGCGACAGGCGAATGCGGGGGCGCAGCAGCACTCGTAGGAGTTGGTGCTGCTTTGGTGACCACGGCCGGCTTGCTATCTCTACTGACATCCGAGGCTTTTCTGGCCGGAGGTTTCTTGACCACTTCCTCTTTCTCTTCTTTCTTGGGCTTGACAGCAGGTTTTGGAAGTGGCGCTTCTGTAAAGTACACAGACCTTGTGCTCAGCGGACCGAAGCATCCGGTCTACCGCACCAACCGACTCACCTTCCGATGCGGAGTCGTCATCGCCACTTTCGTCTTCTTCATTCTCCTTGAGTCCGAACGCCTCCTCTTGTTCGTCAAGGTTGAACTCATCATAAATGCCCTCGTCCTCTTCGAAATCCTCGTCCTAGTCAGGCAAAGATTTGAGAGTATGAGGTTTGTATGCCCATACAGCTACGACCTGCGAGGAAGACCCCATGACTCACCGCGTTAGATTCGACAAAGTAGGCGACGTCTTCCTTGATACTCGACACCTGTTCCGTGTCTAAGTTACCATTCTCTATCAACCGCAAAATCAGCTCCAGCTTGCTGATGTGCCATGTCCTTCTCTCATTGAGTCTTTCCAGCTCTGCAGAACGCTCAGCTGCCGCGCCTCCCGCTCCTTTCTTCTTTTTGCCTGACCCTGCCAATTGCTCCACCTCAGCCTCTGCAGCTTCCATTTGATGTGACAGCTCGTCCACATTGTTGGTCAACCACTGTGTGAGTTCGAGCTTGGCTCTTTCTGCGGGATCCAGACGAGCGGCGGCTATAAGACCTTCTTTTGAGAAAGCTTTGGTCTTCATCTCTTTCTCGCACTGCTTGAACTTCTCCATTTGCTGGAGCAGGTCAATGGTCGGAGACGAGATTCAGCCCGCATCTTTCTCGACCGAAAGACTCGACGTGTTACACACAGATCGAGCCCAGGGACTGTATCTGGCGTCACTTACCAGCTCGATGAGTTTCCTATTGTCCAGCAGTGCCTTTTTATCCTTGATGTCATTGCTCTGCAACCAAGTCTTGATCGAGTCTCTCATTCTTTGCAACTTCTTAATCTGCGTCTTTAGATCAGCCTCCATCTTCTCCTTTTGCCCTTGATTCGTGGACATTTGCATTTTGTCATACAAGTCTTCGAATGCCTGCACACCTTCCGCCACCTTTTTGAGTGTGCGGTCAATCTCCGCTGCAATCCGAGAATGCCAAAATAAGAGGCGATGGCAGCGCAGACAGTCGGGCATGGTCAGTATGGAGCTGCACAAAAGCGGTCAACTTCGAAGCCTCACCAGCAAGCTTTCTGGCTGCCATATTGACGAAATGTATGCGTGTGGACACGCTTGCTCAGGTGACCAATGCTACAAGCTGAGCCTCCTGCGCGCTCCTACAGAGTGTAGACTTTGCGATCAGGCGCACTGGGGGTCGTGCTCGCGACCTATGGAGCTCAAGGGGATCCAGCAATGTGATCTCAGATGATTGTAGTAGTGATCACCAATTGAGCGAGTCGTAGCAGTTGCAATCGCTCCTGTGCGACCACTGCAGTCACGACTCAAGTCAAAGTCACGAGTGCGAGCAGGCTAGTCACGAGTGGCTACCGCACCTCGATCAATTCGACTTCATGCGCGCGCCTGCTATGTTCAAGGGTGGTCGGAGCGCGCGCCACGTGGCTGGGCAGGTGTCCGGGGTCCTGGAGTTGAACGTGTGGCGCGCGTGGAGGCGACGATTTCATGCGCCCCCGTTAGGACATCCGCGTCCGTGCGCAAAGATGTCGACGACGCGTGGACCACAACAGAGATTTAATGACTTCATTGACCATTCACGATTGGCATGCTGCCGCACGACCGCATCATTCGTGATTGCTGAGGCCACGCAGGTATGCATATCGGTTAGTTCTGTTCACTACCACGACATACTGCGCACACACTCTGCGTAGATTTCGGTAGCAAACTTCGCGCTCGCTACTTCGAAGACGCCACTGCCTTCTAGTGACCACTCAGCATTTCCAAAGCGCTTAGACGCCCGTCGAAGACTTTACAGCTCTCGCACGCCCTCTTGTGCACTATGAAGCTCACAATCAAGAGTCTAGGCGGCTCCAACTTTCAGTTGGATGCTGAGCCTTCGGACACAGTGAGTGCGGCCTCTTTGCGCATGCCTCTGGTTCTCTCATGCTGATGAGGACAATCCGCGCATCATAGATTGCCACCATCAAGTCAAAGATTCAAGCTTTGCAAGGTCATGCGGTGGAGCAGCAAAAGTTGATTCACAGTGGCAAGATTCTGACAGACGGACAGACAGTAGAATCATGTAAGATGAAGGAGAAAGACTTCTTAGTAGTCATGGTGTCAAAGGTGAGCAAGCCGAGCGCTGCACCGGGATGATCAATTGAGGTTGCCGCCAACATTTATGGCACTCGCTGGCTTGATAGAGGTCGCGTTCAAAATCTCATTACTAAACGCTTGCACATGCTCCCTGCAGCCAAAGGCTCCGAAGCCTGCAGAGACCGCTGCTGTGCCTCCCGCAGCTTCGGCTGGCTCAGCGTCGTCAAGCTCTGGCCTCACCACGTCTGTTCCTTCCGCAGCAGCGCCGTCTACTACCTCAGCCTCCGAAGGCGCGACCTCCACTGCGTCCGACCCGTCCACCGCGCCCGTCGGTGCGGCAGGATCTCAGACTTCCTCTGGCACTGCTACTGGACCCGGCTCTTCCTTCCGTAAGTATGCCAATTCCTCGCAGTAGATGCAGGCACCTGATCTCACACTCCGGTCGCGTGCTATCCTCTTCAATTAAGTCTCGGGAGCTGCACTCGAGGCCGCGATCACAAATATCACGGAGATGGGGTTCGACAGATCAGAGGTGCAAAAAGCGTTGCGCGCTTCGTACAACAATCCTGATCGCGCAGTAGAGTACCTGATGACTGTGAGTGTCAAGTTTAAGAACCGCAGTGCGCGCATTCATTTACGCTTAAATGTATGTGCAGGGTATCCCGGAAAATGTTGGACAACAACAAGCACCGCCTCAGGCACAGCCAGCCCAAGCTTCAAGCACCGGTGCAGCCGAGCCACCCCCTACTCCTGCTGGACAGACTGCCGAGACGGCCAGCACAACGGGTGAACAGCAACCAGCAACTGTAGCCCCTTCTGCCGGGGCGGCCACGGCGACAGCGCCCCAAGCTCGCCAGCCTGCTGCTGGCGGTGGTAACTTGTTCGAGCAAGCCGCTGCAGCGGCCCAAGGTGGTAGAGGTGGTGGTGCTGCTGGTGCAGGAGGCGCAGGTCGGGGAGCTGGCGGCGCGCCAGGAGGACTTCCGGGCGAGTCGGACGGTCGTGGCGGTCAAGTGATCGATCTTGCAAATCCCGCCATGCTTCAACAATTGAGGCAACTGGTGCAGCAAAATCCAGCCGCGTTGCAGCCTTTAGTGCAGGCGATTGCGCAGAGCAACCCTCAATTGGCCGAGGCTATGGCTCAAGATCCTGAGGGCGTGCTCTCCATTCTGGCGGCTGGAGGCGGTGGTGCTGGCGACGATGACGAACAGGTCGGCATGGTAAGTATTGCGACCTGATAGCAGCCTCAATTACGTCCGTCGACCAGCCGCAGCATAGTGACACAGTCACATCGATCGCCCTTCGAAATCGCAGGATGAGCTCAGTCCAGAAGACCAAGAGAAGGTACAGCAGGTAAGTATAAGCAAATGACCTGAGCAGCTGCCGTGTCTGGCACATCTGACCTCCTCGGTCCACTTGCAGATTTGCGCAATGGGCATTCCAGAAGACAGGGCCATTGAAGTGTTTTTGATGTGCGATCGCAACGTTGAACTAGCGGTCCAATACTACTTTGGTAAGCGCACCTGCACCGAGCTGACACGATTTGCTCGAACGCTTGCAGCTGCTCAACACCTGCTCTGCCCCTTTCCGATCCGCTTTGTCTTCTCAGAAAATCCAGGTAAGCAGTCAGCTTTGGGAAAGAATAGGCATGACCTCCAGGCCATCACCTGCTGACCAGGAAAGTTTTTCCTTTGCAGGCGACTTCGATGACTAATGTCTGCCGATCCTTACCAAGCCGTGGTGATTGCTCGCGCTTCGTCCCACTCAACAAAGCACCACACGCCTAGGCTCCACCCATTCGTGTCTTGCCAAGCGTAGCCAAGGAAACCCCAGGCTCGCTCTCTGAAATTTCATTCAGCTACGGAACGCGACTGCGTAGAGTTTGACAGATTGTGTCATGGGCGCTAAAGTTGTGTGGAGTGGGCTCACCACGAGCTCGTAGTCTGACACCCAAGACTCACGACGCTCGAGCGCCCAGATGCGCCGAATGCAAGGTCAAGAGTTGGTGGTCATGCGACATGCCTGACTCGCCCATGTCCCCCGGCTGGTGAGATCCGTTGGTAAGATTTGTCCGACGGTCCATCTCCCAACACGCATTCCCGACGATTCTGGGCTGACCACGAAGTGGCAGTCGTCATGTTTGCATGCCAAGCTGGTGACGGATGCGTTGTGTTAGGAAGCAGGTGAAGAGTCGAAGTTACGAGTGGCTTTTGGAAACGTAGATACTACGGCCCACCTCGCGTGTTCTGCGTACCACTTCGCGGTTCCACCAACGCGGGGTACCGCACGGTGGGACGTACGTTCGACCTGCCGAGCCTTGCGCGACGGACCGAGAAGCGCCCTTGCTGCCACAGGTACGTGTTAGGTGGGGTCCAACATTTTGTGTCTGGCGGGATGAAGCGTCACTGCTGCGCCTTAGCAGTCCGCAGAGCGTGACAGAGAGGTTTTAGAGGCGGCGCTCGTCGTGATGAGAGCCGCACGCTGCTTGTCCAGCCGTATACTGTAGCTGCCATACGATGCCGCCGTAGATCGCGAGGGCGCGTGCTGCTGGCGGGTAAGGCGGACTCGTGGAGGTTTACCCCGCGCCTTGCTCGCTTCTTCGCTCCGTCTTGCTCGGCTCCTGCTGCTGAGCTGTTCCTGCCATTGCATGACGAGTGACGCGCGACGCGCGCATCTTCTATTTTTGGGCTGCATGGTGCTGCGCGGGGATAGAGTCGTGAGTAGGTGCGCCTCGTGGGTCTTGGTATAAGCTGGACGAGTGATCGTTACGCAGCCTCATCGAGCTGAATGGTCCTTCAAACCCTCGACGCGGCATCGAGAGGACTGCCAAGGTCTGGCCGGCAAGATGCGCAGCAATTAAGACAGGTGGAGAAGGTGCTCAGCAATAATCGTGATTGCGTGTAGCTTTGGGCAACGCAATCGGCAAGGTGCAGCAGAGTCGACGCGGGTCATTCGTGATTGATGCACATCAGACGGTGGATGCTACGGTCCCACCAAGAGCAGACCAGCATGTGCAAGCAGCATCAGATGGTTTGTGAAAGCTGAACACCGCGCACACCCACGACTCGCGCTGACCGCGCCGAGCGAATGTGGAGTGCGGGGAATTTTGCAGCTGCAAACCCGATAGCTGCTGTTTGTGGTGCGCGCTTTAAAACCACCCTTTATGAATCGCTCGTCCCAGACATTTGCTCCTCTGCATACCTACCCATACCTGTGCCAGCCAGCAGCCCGCGCGACCACCTGATTCTTCCTTCGGTCTCACAAGCCTTTGGTTGCGGTCTCCTTGCCCTAGCCAGAGCAGATCGACTGCAGTCTTCGCCACGCCACGCCATCATGACAGCCAGTATCTCTTCAGCTTTGCAGGCTGTCGAGTCTTCTCTGCCACATTGGGCTGCTCCCCATTTCGCAACTGTGCTGGCCCTCACCTCCAAAACGGCCAGTCATCTGCGTCAATATGTTCTCGTGTACGTCGTCTTGCTCGTCTCGGCAATCTTCTACTTTGTGTACAGATGGTGCCTGTATGCGCGCTTCTTTAGCCCTCTCCGACACATGCCAGGCCCAGAGTACGGTCATTGGTTCTTTGGACAGACGATGACCATCATCAGAGAAGAGACTGGCGTGCCTCAAAGAAGCTGGCACATGAAGTACGGACCGCGCATTCGATTCAGCGGTCTAATGGGTGCTGAACGCGTCTCCTTCACCAACTACAATGCTCTCAGACAGTTGCTCATCGAAGATCCCTACAACTACACCAAACCCAGCTTCGTCAGATCGCTCCTCGGCATCGTAGCTGGTTATGGCCTGCTCACGCTCGAGGACAGAGAGCACGTAGACATGAGAAGGTTCATGAATGGCGCCTTCGCCTTCAAATGGGTCGAAGCGCAGTTCGAAGCTTACTATAAGCACATCAACGGCCTGGTCGACATCCTCAAGGAGAAGATTGACGAGGCGGAGAAGTCAAGAGGAGAAGGAGAGGGAGTGGTGATGGAGGTGACTCAAAGCATCAACAATTGCCTGCTCGATATTATCTGCGACACTGCTTTCGGCTATCAGACAGACCACCTGCACAATCCAGAGGAACCGCTCGGCAAATCCTTCGAGACGCTCGTCAACATGCAAGGAGGGGCAAACATGGCGGTCATCATACTGTTCCTGACCCTGCCTGGCGGACCAAAGATTGCCAAGTGGGCTACGGAACAGACCTGGACCGGACCATTGTTGCAGCGCATCGCCGACTTCTTCCCCTTCGGCATCGGGGCGCTGAGCCGCGTGGCCACTTTTTGCACGAACCTCTCCCGCATCAAGCAGATCAGCCAAGAGATGCTTGATCAAAAGCTGGCCGAAGCCAAAGCTCTTCGAAAGGCTGGAGGCAACGAGTTCGAAGCTAGCGGAGGAAAGGTCGACGTCTTCAGCTTGTTGGTCAAGGCCTCTCTGGACGAAAAATCGAGCTACCGCATGAACGCAGAGATGATACAGAACCAAGTGCTGACATTTTTGGGTGCAGGACACGAGACTACCGCTTCAGGAGCGGCCTGGGCGCTTTGGGAACTCGCGCAGAATCAAAGGGTGCAGAATAAACTTAGACTGGAGTGTCAAGAACTCATTTCTCGTCGTGCCAATCCCGAGTATCAGGACATCAAGCACCTCAAGTACCTCAACCACGTGGTCCAAGAAGTCATGCGACTTCGACCGCCCGTACCTCACACGGCTCGACAAGCTCGCAAGACCTCGACCATCGATGGCGTTCTCATTCCCAAGGGTACGCTCATCTACATTCCCAATTGGGTGTGTAACACGGACCCAGAGGTATGGGGACAAGACGCGCTGGAATTCAGACCTGAACGCTTCGACGAGCTGAGCGAAAAGTACAACAAGACATTTAGCATCTTGACCTTTATCGCTGGCGCTCATCATTGCATTGGTCGAGTCACGGCAGAGAATGAGCTAAAGGCTTTGCTGTGCACTCTGATTGCCAATTTCGAATTCCACAAGAAGGATCCTGAACAGACTGTCAAGAGGACTTCGGCCATCACGATGAAACCGCAAGGCGGACTGGAACTCCTGGTCAAGCGGGCCGGACCCGCTCGAGCAGCCTAATTTATGCTCGTCCTATGACCTGCAGCCTTTGCCACCCATAATGCTGGGTTTACTCCTCGGAATCTGATGTATCATGAGCACACGCAAAGGACCTTGATAGAGTGCGCGCGAGTGAAAGCCTATCTGATATTGTTACAAATGATGAAGGAGTGGCACTGGCCTGTGTCTGCAGAGAGTGGTCGTTCATACAGGTTCGTATCCTCCACGCCCGCTGTTGCGATTTCCCAAACCAAGATTTGAGAGCGTAGCAGCAACGTGTCGAGCGAACTCTCTTGCCTGCAGGGGTTGTTTGCTAGATCAGTATCGAATGAGGTAGCAGGAGACGCTGCACATCGAGCACACTCACCAGGTACGGCGCCTCTCGAGCCAGGTCGGTGGCGGCTCCGGGCAAACGCACAACGCCGTACTGAACGATCACGACGCGAGCGGTTGCGGTCATAAGCAGGCGATCCAGCCTAACGCAGGTCTCACTGATACAACTCACCTGATTGTAGTTGTGCCAAGTTCCAACGGCAAGCCAGCCCACCGCACCGAGAAGAGCCAGAACGACGATCCACGTGAACCAGCCCCAGCCGCCTTTCGATCCGTCTTCTGTCTCTTCATCTGATGCAGGGTCCGTGTCTGAAGGTGCTTGCGGCCCCTTGTCTTCGTCCGGCGGAGTTGGCAAGGGATCCGGAAGCGCTCGATGAGCGCATGCAAAAGGGGTGTGCCAGGCGAGCGAGAGGTTACCAGCTTGAATGTCGAGAAATTTGAGAGTTGGCTTACTCTCCTACAGATAAAACAAGAAATGGTGCGTAGGACGGCTGTAAGTTGGAGGGCGTGACAGACAAGCTCATGCGCGGATATCGACTTACCGATTCAGCGTCGGGATCGCAAAAGAACTCAATGTGAGTGTGTTGCTTGATGCCCGCATACATCTGACCTGCTAGAGACAGCATCACGCTCCTCTCCACATCTTTACCGCTACCGATACTGAGCTCGTGTCCCAGCTGTGCGCTCCACTCCACCTCTCCCGCTCCTCCGACCGATCCTGCGCTAGACAGAATGTTGGTCACTCTCAGATTTCCATCTAGCACGTTGGAGACTTTGGTGCAGACCCTTGTGTCTGGTCCACAATGATTTTCAGCAGAGCTCCTTCTCCATCTGTCGCTCAAATGGTCAGGTAGAGAATGGCATAGACTCAGAGCTATTTCTGTAAGCGTGGTGGATGGAGGTGTGGCGGTCTCGCTAACGATTTGAATGGGCGAGGGCAAGAGGGTCAGATCGTACTTGTTCGACTGGCCAGATGCATCTGAGAGGGACAAGTGACAGTTGAAGTGACCGTCCGATCTGGTATCAAGAGTTGTCAAGAGTTGAGCTTCGATGCGTTGGACAGTCGAGATGAGCGCGGCAGAAGCGAGCAGGAGTGGAATGGTGAAGCAGAGCGATCGCATGATGGGAAAGGAGGCCAGAGTATGTCCTACGCGGAGTTTGGATGGAGCGGCTTGTGCACCAGGCTTAGTGAGACATGGAATGAGGCCAGTATTGCTCGTTCAAACGAGTGTAATGCGCCCAAAGAGGGTCAAGGCAGAGTTACTCGACGATGCGTGATGGTGAGTCGAGTCGTGAGCGTGTGTGTCAAGCAAGCGATAAGCGCGCAGCAACACGCCGTACCGGTCCAACATGCAGGCAAGTCTAAGGGCCCATACGCTCGTTATACAGCAGAGCGTGGCTCCTCCACACACGCGCGCGCCGCACGCAGGGGGAACCCGCTCGGGTGCGGGCGCGGGGAGCAGGCCCTAGCTTCATCGTGAGTCGGCACCTCACTCACGATCGCAACTCTCGACTGGCACCACGAGCTACCAACATAATATTTCAACCAGGGACGGACGGCTCTCGCTGACATCAGAGCAGCCGTCACAGCTCACCGTGGCAAAATGGATTATTGACGAGTCGAGAGACGCAAATACTGTGAACTTACGTTGTTGTTCAATCGAGGCATCTGTATGCACAGCCTGTTGATCGTGCACAAGCGGAGATATGGCCTTGATGCAAGAAGAATGCAAGTTCACAAGATCATTGAGTGATCGTATATGTTTGAAGCCTACAAATACGTGACTTGTGTGCCCCTGTGATCAGTGCCGGGATGTGTTTCAGCTGGAAGCGCTAATCTCAGCCGGATGCGAACAGTGTTACTCACATGCGCATGGTATCCCAAAGCTTAGCAGCGGCCAATCGAACCAGTCCAGGTCTGCTATTTCCGCCGCCTCCTGATTGTGGTTCGGTCGTGCTGCCTGCAATTCTTCTCGCGGTGCCCAACCTTCCGACGCCTCGGAGCGAAGTTGCATAGGCAGCAGCGTTCCGAAGTATGCTCAGTGCCACCAGGATGACACCTACCCATCGAACAGCAGCCATCGGATGAGTCTTTAGCATCTGTGCAAAGCGGTTGAAGAGCTGCAGGATGCCTGATCGAGCGTTCGTGGACTGCGAGCTCGACAGAGATCTGGAGCGATCCAACGTCGAATCCCGCTCGTGACCACGCGCGAGATAGTCTCGCACAGAAGATCGTCGAGCTGCAAAGTCGGAAGAGGATGTTGGCTTCGCCACGGCTTTCTGCTCAGCCCTGCTCGCACCGTCTTGGGACGATGCGGATCGCTGTGGCTGAGGTCGCCGTTCTGATGGACGTTCGACGTCCGCCTCGGCAGCAGAAGAGCGCGCGCTGGCCCCAGATGAGCTACTCAAGCGCCTCACCCTCCTTTTGCCTTCGCCTTCGCCGGCAGCTCTCTCCGAACGAGCTCTGCTGGAGGACGCACTAGCGGATGAAGGCATAGAGGCAATGGCAGCAGTAGCTCCCGTAGCAGCAACAGCCTTCGACTCTGAAGCTCGGCGCGCCTTTTCCGCTTCGTATGCTCGTGTCGCTGCTTCTGACGCGATCCGTCTGCGCTCCGGGCGAGAAGCTATGTGGTCTTTGGCCGCATAGAGCCGGTGCAGCAGTGCCTAGTCCCCGTCCAGACGGCATCGGAGCAGCATCGTCAGCTCCGAGAGCAAATATATGCTGACAAGTCCAGATCTCCGACCTGATCTGAGCTTCACTTTCCAGCTGGCTCACCTCTTTGCTCTGCGAATCTCCGCCACCAGACAAGCTGATAAGCTGTTCAGCATAGTCCCATTCTCCCGCTCTGGCTCCGAGTACATGCAGGGTGTACAGTTCCAGAACGCGGTCGTATTGTTCCTGTCTCGCTTGGAGAGCCTTGACGCTCATAGCACTTTGCTCATGCCCTAGCAGGGGAGCAGAGTGGGCAGCCAGAACCCATTCGCAGATCGATCTGGCTGCTTTCAGACCCGAGAGCGAAGCCGCATTTGTGGAAGCCATTTCTTTGCGCGAAACGACTCTGTTGAAGTTCGCGCTCGGTTCGCTATCTGTATGAGCGCCATCCACCCGCAGCGCGCTCATGATGGCAGCAGCAACCAAACCCCCCGGCAGGTCGAGGGGTGAGCGCAGCGTGCTAGGCGAAGGATCCAAAGAGTCGAGCTCGCTCCAATGCGAGATCAGATCAGGATGGTATGCCTTCAGCGGCTCCTTCCACAGCTCTAGCAGAAAGTCTTCCACAGGCAAGCCCAGTCGATGTTGGAGCTGTTGCGAGGCTTGGGAGGACTGCCGTTTTAATGCCTCGAGGATGGGAGCGCCAGAAGGATTGCGCGGCTCATACAACGTGGCAAAGATTGTCAATCGCAAGATCAACAGCCTTTCCAATACTTGTGTCAATTCTGCATCCCGCGGCGACTCTGTACCTTCGTTGAGCAGGTCCAGAGCAGCTTGGCTGGTCAAGAGAGCACTGGCGTGGCTGCGCTGCAAGAAAGCTCTCGCTGCTCGAGAGTAGAGAGCTTGGGCCGAGTCCGAGGCATTGTAAAGATCACGCGGTAGTAGAACAGTGGACGAATTTGGGGAGAGCGGCGCGCCGGGCAAGGAAGATATGGATGAGGAGAGCGAGCGCAAGCCATGCTCTTTGGAACGCAAAGCTGAGGTGGTGGGTTGCAGAGTCTGCATGACTGCCGGGTCTCAGCCGTAATGTGTGTCGTGGGGAAGCTGAAGGTGATGGAATTGAACAGCAGAGCTTTCCCTCTTGAGCTGCAGAAGGTGGTGTGGTAGAGCGAAGTAGAGGCCGGCATTCGGTCGGTGAGATGTGCGCCCGCTCCACCAAGGTGGTTCGCGAGTTCACGCTTTCACCCCTCGTCATCCATCAACCTTCGACTTTTGACGCTTCTACCGGGCCGAGCGGAGCGGAGCACCACGCGCGGGCAGGGAATGCAATCACGTGCGCGTTAGGCTGCCTCCACTCAGACTCTTCATTGACTTGGGCCTGACCAATTAAGTGATCAGCTTGCATCAAGATCATTCACGACATTCACGATTGCACCAAATCGTGACTGATCTTGCCTACATGCGTATACTGATTCTCGAATACTTCGTCTGATGAGGCTGTTGTTAGAGAGAGAGGCGCTTGTGGGGTGCCCAGCATTCCTTCGCTCTCCAGCCCTCTAAATCTATGCTTCCGTCTGTATTCAGGCGAAGCTCCATCGTTCAATCAAACTCACTCGAGGCGGCTTGTTGCCGACTGCCGCTCTGGACGAGAGCATACAACAACAGCTTCGAATGTCAACAGTGCATCTTCAGGCTTTCCTTCTCTCTCTAGCATCACTGCAACATTTCATCAGTTGCGCACAGTATGCCGGCTCAAAGTCGACGCTCTGCCAAGCTTCAGACAGCGGCCCCGACCACAGTGCAAGAAGCCTCTGCAAGCAAGATCCCGACAGCGAGCGATTCTTCTGCTACCACAACTTCAAAGGCAAGCGCGACCTCGTTCCCGCTATCTCGTCTTCCGGATCTTCCATGGTCCCGAATCGACGTTCGCAAGAATCCATGGCTATACAGACCAGCGCGTGGCGAGCAGGGTGTTCTTCAGATCGAGCCGTACAAATCCGAGCTCCTACCGCTCTGGGCTTTCAAGGACGAAGAGACAGCTAAAAGGAGCTCAAAAGATCTCTTGAACATGTTTGAAAAGTACAAGGGAGAGGATGACTTTGTAGGGTGTGAGTGCAGTGTGCGGCGTGTACACTCGTACAAGCGTCGCAAAGAATCGCTCAAATTGGCCATCGCAACACCTCTTGCTTGCACAGGCGACATGGCGCGCAAATACATCCAGGTAAGCGTCGCCCAAAAGTTTGAGCGACAGGTTGCATCCACCACAGCACTCTGACCGAGCGTAGTGACCCATTGTGCAGATGGGCTTGACTCGCGCGCGACGCTATGCGAATCACGCGGGGGGCAAAAAGTACTCTCCCAGCGGCGTAGAGCTTCCCAGATCCAACGCCGAAGATCCCATCAAAGCTGCCTCGGCCCTAATCTTCCAGAAGGTGCTCGAAGAGCGCGTCAAACCGGACAGAAAGTACGCAGCCCTGCGAGCTGCCTTTGCGCGAAGGTATGACGGAGGTGAGATACCTGAGCTGAGCGAGCTCACGAGAGATGGTATCGTCCGGCCGCCCACAGACGCCGAGGTGGAAAAAGAAGGCGCGCAGAAGAGGAAGCGGGAGGACGACGAGGAAAAGAGGCAGCTGAGACGCCAGGTACGGAAAAAGGAGCGCCAGACCGGCCGATCCGCTGTCTCCTGATGCGCCTCGTGCACTTCCCGAGCTGCTCCTCGGCGTACGTCCCCCGGTTCTCCAAGACAAAAGGTCCCTGAAGCATCATATTTGGTGGGGAAGCCGTTCTGCAGCGGGTGGTTTCAACCGCCGCCCAGGCTGCGCTTTCGTTGGATGTCTCTCCAAACGGCTTCCGCCATCGTAGCAAAGACGCGCGGCGCTGAAGGAGCAGCTGCGTGTGATTCGACCGAGGGAGAAGGGTTTTGCAGCACTCCAGGCTGGCCTCTATCACCACCCGATGCGATGCTGGACTCGATGGGTATTCTGCCAAGAACGGGTACTTGGAGCTCCTGTGCGAGCTTGTCGAAAGACGCGGAGGATCCAAACACTTCGAGGGGAGCAGCGCTTGCCATCCCGGTTTCCAAATGTGACATGTTCAATGCCATTCCAGTAACCTTGGTAACAAGAAGGATGCGTTTCGTCAGCGTCCAACAGTCCAGCGAGCGCCCCTTTCTGAACCCGCGACTCACTTGTACGCCGCACTTCTCGAACATCCGCACCCCTCTTCGTGCATCTATGAGTGCAACGTCTTGCGGCGTGCTCACAATCACCACAGAGTCAATGATCATTAGCTGAGTAAGGCTGAGCAAGACATCTCCGGTGCCAGGAGGAGTGTCTATGACGAGCACATCGAGCCCCGAGCCACCGCCTGCGCCTTCCTCAGCTTCAGGTCCGCCTTGCTCTCCCCTCCAGTCTACATCGAAGAGCAGCTGTTGTGTGGCCTTTTGTACCATTAGACCTCTCCATACGATGGGTGCATCTGATGCTGAGCCCGTGTCCGGCGAAGGTGGCAAAAGGTAGCCCATGGACATTGTGGGGATCCCGTGATTGGTCAATGGCACGAGCTGACCATCTTCATTGTTGCAGGTAGTCGAGGGTGAGCTCGCTTGATCATGGCATGCGCAGGATCGCCTTTTGCGTTGCTCGTCACTCACTCTTGCTCAGTCTTGGCTCGCCAGCTTTGTCGAGCCCCATGAGCTTTGGAACACTCGGCCCAAAGATGTCCAAGTCGAGCAGGCCTACGCGCAAGCTCCGTCCCAAACCTGTACTGCCCGGGCTTAGCTTGGCGAGACTGAGTGCGGTGCTGACAGCAACTGTGGATTTGCCAACCCCACCTTTTCCCGAAGCAATGACCAGCGTGGACCCTACGAATGCTGGACGCCTTTTAGTCGGGGGTCCGGATCTGCGCGGCATGCTCGGTGGCGCGTTGGAAGATGGTAGACCTAGAGGATTGTCATGGCCTCGCGCGCGGCTTGAAGACGTCAGCTTGGCGATATTGCTGGGTAGTTGTGATGGTTCAAGAACCTTGTGAACGAATGGTTTGCCACGAGAGCATACATCGCACCTCGCCTGTGGGGCTGTTGCTCGTAGCAGCTGCCCGAGGCGTGGCCTACACGGCGTGATCGTGGCGTGGGGCATTTTGCACCGTGAGTGCGAGCACGGCTGGTGCGATGTCAGGGCGGTCCAGCGCTGTGATAGAGGCAAAGCGATTGGGGATCAAAGTCAAGAGGTAAGAAGGCGATGGCAGCGCACGAGCGCGCGTGTACGTGCTCGCGAGCAGGGATGAAGGTCCGAGGGCCGGGTACGTGGGACCCTTCTTTGGAAGATGATGCATGCCTCTGCAGCCCGCGTGGCCCGAGCGCTTTCAGTCCCGCGGTTGCGTTAGAGCTAAGCTCGTGATGCTTTTTTGTGGCGCGTGGTGTTGCGGGCGCGAGCCGTGTGTCGGTTGCAGTCGTGAGTGTCGTGACGACCGCCCACCGCTCACTTACCCGCATCTATACCCCAGCAATCCCGCAATCGGCATAGTCAATCACCACCAAATGAGCTCTTCAAAAGCCAGCAATTCCTGTGTGACGATCTCAACAAGCAGCAAGCAAAGACGTCCAGCTATATTTCGCGTGGAACCTTCGGGACGTCTTAGACGCAGCACCACCATCCCATCCGAGGAGTCGCTTCCACGCAAGCACCCACACACCTGCTGAAGAATCGGCAAAGCGTGCTGGCAATAGACAACATCGTCTTGCGCAAGACTGCGCGGCCAGTCTTCACCCGCAGCGTAACCTCAAATTGCTGTCCAAACCCTTGTCCGCCAAGTGACGTGCATCTACGTCACCTTCTGGACGAGCGCTTGATCGTACAACAGGGTTCGGCGACCAGACTGCAAGGGCTCGTGGACTCAGACAAGCGGAACATCCTCTCACACTCACTTCTGCGTCTGTCGGAGCCGTCCAAGCGCCAAATCGCTGGCTGAAGGTTGACACATAGAAAGGTGCAACACCAAGTGGGAGGCAGTCTGGTGGGCCACCCTGCACCAAGGTGGACTCCAAGGGGTCATACTGTTCGGCATGGCGATTCTACCCACCTCGCCCCTGCGGCGACGAGCTAGTGGCATCGTTGGCAATGGCAGCAATGGGCCCCAAACCAACGGCGAAAATCCTTTGTGAGTCTCCTGACTGAGCACATTCTGCCTTGGCTGCATTCACGCGCATGACTCCTTTAGACAGCGTCCCGACCATTCCTAACTGGCCTCGTGACTACGACACTTCTGAAACTGACACTTTGACGCCTTCATGCTCAGTCGGTGGGGTATCATTGGTACTGGACCGTTAGCTACCCGCTTCATAGCGGAGATCAGGGAGCGCGAATCGGCGGTTGGCAGCAGTTCACGCAGGTGAGTTGAGGAGGACCCCATAAAAATGGCGCCCTTCGCAGTTTCTGCAAACGAAGGCACAAGGGGAGAGATGTCTCCCCAGCAGATTTGCACCAGAGTCTAAAATAATGCGATGCGAAGCTCCTCCGCTCGACAGTTGCGCATATACTCACCCACTCGTCCACGTCGCAGCCAACTAGCCCACAAAGTTCTCGCAGTCCAGGCCGCCTCAAAAGTCCTAATGACTTCATTCCTACATTCCAACTTTCCCCCTTCGACCTCAGCGCCCTCGAGCCACTCGACCATCACCGAAATGCTGGCCTTGTCTGAAATTGATGCTGTCCTGGTCGCAACGTCCAATCAGAGTCAAAGAGGCGATCAGGCTGCCACTGCCCTCAGGGCTGGCAAGGCAGTGTTGCTCCCCAAGCCTTTGGGTGTTAGCGCCGCCGAGGCTAAGGAGCTCTGCGCTCTCGCTACAAAAAACAGAGCGTGGCTAGCTATGCCGATGTCGGACGGCACAACGTGAGTGCGGATCGGAAGCCCACACGGAGGAGAGTTGTCATGTAACAGCAGCCGAGATGAGAAGCGGATTCGGTCCGCATCTCATTTATCAGACGCGTGGCACTGACGCGATTCTACTGGTCTGGTCAATCCCGATAAACGCGCTGCAGACTAGTGCACGCTGCGGATCACTGCTCACAAGGCGTCCAAGGGAAAATTTCCGAAACGCCTGCCTTGGCTTGGTCGCAAAGCTTAGCCGTGCTAGAGGTGCGTTGCACGCCAGGCGTCCCCGTACTCGCAATTCATTTGAGCACGCCTTTCCCGTGCGCAGATTTTGGATGACCTTCGGATACAAGGCAACTTGCCAGCACCTCCCGACCAGCCACCTGAAGAGCCAGCAGAGCCTCTTCATAGCGCCAAAACGACGTCGGCCCGATCTATTGCAGTCCCAGGGAGCGCGGGCGCCGTTGCCTTTCCAAGAGACGAAACGTCATCCAAGGGAGATGATGAGACCTGTTTGAGCGGCCCGCGAAGCGCACCTTTACAGACAAATCGACCTTCGAGTCGCTTGAGCACCACGAGCGAGACCAGCGTTGCCAGTGGGAGCGCAAGTCATGGAGATGCCAGCGCAGACAGAGGTATGTCACTCATGCCCGCACACGCCGAGCAAACGCTGATGCTGCAATCAACGCGCATCTCGTCAATCCCTGATTAGGAGCTTTGCGGGCTCAGGTGCAGGAGATGAAACACATCATCAGGCAGCAAAAGGGCGTCATTGCCACGCTGGAGCAGAAAGCAGGCCTGCAATCTGGTGCTTCTTCGTCATGGGCTGCGCCATCGAAATACAAAGGTGCGCAGGGGTCAGGCGTGGGTATGGGAACGCCTCCCTCTGCGTATAGCAGGCTAAGAGTCGTGAGCGGTGCTTCCGATCGAGATGGCGTCACGTCGGATCGGGAAGGCGTCCGCAGTGCAAGTCCGGCCGGCAGCATCTCGAGCGTTGGCCGTCGTCGGCGCCGAGATAGTGGAACTGCGACAAAGATGGATCCTGCAGTTGTCCCTGCAGGCGGTGCTAATCAACTGGGACTAGCTGCTGTGAAGGAAGCCGGACCTAGCAATCTGGCCCTGGGAGAAGGATTTTTAGCTCCAACAATAGCATCCGAGAATCGGCGCTTGGCAAGCACCAACGGCGCATCCACCGATAGCGCACAGAGTTCAAACGGCATCGTCGGAGGTACGGCAGCAGGAGGTTCGTCTGGCAAAGTCATCCAACAGCTTACAAGCGAGCTTGCCGCTGCGCGCAGCGCGCTGGAGGAGACCAAGGTCCAATTGAGGGCTTCGCAAAAATCTCAGGCTGCGACGCAGCGGTCTTGGGACGAAACAAAGGCTGCTCTGAATAGATCACGAGCGGAGAACGAAAATTCAGGAAGCATGCTCACTCGCAAAGACCGGCAAGCATCGGAAGCGCTAGAGAGAGCTCGGAAAGCTGAGAAGGAGGCCAAGGAGCTTGGTAAAGCGAGCAGAGAATGGGGTTCGCGGGTGAGAGAGGTGGAAGCGGAGCTGGGGGAAGAGAGACGACGCAAACAGAAGACCGAGGCAAGCTATGAAGCCTTGACGAGCGCTTGGAAGACGATGCGAGAGACGTGGGAGAAGGAGCTTGGAGGTTTGAGAAAGCAGTTGAAAGACCAGATCGCTGACAATGCGGCACAGGCCAAGAAGATGACCGACACATTCGACGAGGCCAAGCAGGCTTGGTTAGGTCGCGAAAGCGAACGACAGAGTCTCGATACGACTTTGACAAGACTGCAAGAGGAGAGAGAAAAGGCGAAAGAAATTGTCACCAGGCAGGTCGAAGAGCTGGTCAAACAGCTGGTCGAGCATGAGAAGCACACTGGCAGTCAAGACGCCATCGTGGAAGAATGCGCCTCTGCCGTCCGACGAATGATCCGTTTGGCCAGGGCAAACGATACAACCACGCCTTTCTAATGCGCCAAGCATCTTTGCTGCACTTTGCGCCTTCTGACTATATGCTGGACAGCACAGCACGGTTGACGAGAATCCGACTACTACATCTCATTGTACCCTTTCACTTTTTCCCTACGCCCCCCCATCTCTGGACACAACGCGCCTGCCCCTTCGCTGGACGGAGCAAGGCTTCGAGACGCTTCAACTTGCAATTGCACTTTCCCATCTATTCGCTTCAGATCAATCACAATGCACATGGACACTTGTATCTCAATGTCATAAAACCTGACCTATGTGCGAGCAGCCAGCGTGACGCTTGTTTGACTGGTGGTGCAACGACGTGCCATGATGACCCATGCTGCGCAGCAGAAGTCACGAATGCTGAATCACAAATGTCGACGCCGAAAACGCGGGCCGAATGAGTCTTAGTCCCAGCATGCAGCAGCGCGGCGGCGCGTGGCTGCGCCTGACGGCTCTGCGCATGCTGATGATGGCCCTCGCGTCGAAGGACACGTAGGCTGTACTCAGACTTGTATGGGCAGATTCACGATTAGCGTGAAATCCGTGATGTTCGTGGCGATGAAATCTCCCATTTTTCAAAGGCGCTTGACCACGATCACAACAGACCTTAGATCGCTCCCTCTGCCCTCGTTCACTCGATTACCATCTCCCAACGTGGGCGCCTGCTGATCCCTCGACGTTGCTCAAGTCGACACCCGTCTGCGAAGCGTGGGCTGGATCGGATTTGTTGCACCGGGGGCTTGGCTCTCGCTCCCAGTCTTCATTTTTGCTAGCTGCAGCAGCTCGACCGTGAGGGCTACTTCCGCCAACTACACTTCCGGCAGCTCACTTGCGAACCCTATCTGCAGCCTTTTCAAGTCTTCCGCCCCCTTGCTGATTCCGCGCACCACTGCGATTTCGTAGGATTCGAGTCAAGAAGACGACGCAGCAACACCATCCACTTGCACACCCATCATGTCTAGCAGCATGAACACGACGCTCAACAGGCTCAACAGCGTCACTGCTTATGCCACAACTGTCCTCTTGGCAGTGCTGAGCATCGTGGCTTACTCGGCTTACCCCCTGAATCCCAAGCCGGATCCGAATGCCTTCTTGAAGGTGGACCAATTGGAGGTGTGAGTGGGGTTGCGCGGGCCGGGCAATAGATGGCTCGAGAGACAGCTGTGAAGCGATCCAAGTGGGATGGACATGACAGCTCATTGTGCTCACTGCCTCACTCTTGATCGTACGCTGCAGCGTGAGAGCAAGAGCGACATGGCATTCGGATCGCAGGCTGCAAGATTATCTAAAGGTCCAATTCTCAGCCGAGCTGGATCTGCGTCCTCTCTTCACTTGGAACACAAAGCAGATCTTCTTGAGCTTATCCGCCCACTACGCTTCTCGAGCAAGCGAGGACAATAGGATCGTCATTTGGGACAGGATCATCAGGAGAAAAGAGGACAGCAGGATCTTTATCGAAGATGCCGTCAATCGATACGCTTTCAGAGAAGTCAGCACCAGCTTTGCGTGAGTTCGGGCATCGGTGCAGTATGCAAAATCACTGTGCTAACGCTCTCTATGTCTCTCCACCTACAGCAACGTCAATTCTACGTACTTTACGCTGCACTGGAACGTCATGCCCTACGTCGGTGTTCTCGCATACGGAGACGAGCTTTCGACAGCGCAGCTACCCGTGCCCAAGCGCATCGAGGGCGATTCGAAGAATGAGGAGAGGGTGTGGTACTGAAGGGAGAAGCAGACAGGGCAGAAATCACATCGAGTCATCCCTGGCGTGGGCCATCCGACCGCAGGTGTGAGCAAGCAGTCACCAGTCAAGAGTTCTTGAGGCAGGAGCCTGAGCAAGATCGATGGTCACAAAGTCAAGTGGTAGTCACGTTAATGCGAATCTCGTCGCCAATCATTACATACACCTCGCTGTGGCGTGTCGTCGTTCACTTTGAGCGATGCGTATCCCAGAAAAGGAGATGCACGGCAGCAAGCCTCACTCTGATAGGTTTCGGGAGAAGATGTTGGCATTGCAGCTCGTACACGTGCTACCTGCCCTTGGCGACCTCTTCAGGAGTTTTGGTCCTCAGGCTCAACGCGTGCAGACCCCTCTCGAACTCGGGGGCCATGAGCGCATTGATGGCACGATGTCGTGATATCTGAGACTGGAGAGGATGTTAGGTCAGACCCATGTGTCAGCATGCCCTCGAATGGGACGCATATGAGTCGCAGCTTTGCCAAGATAGTGTCCTTTGAGCGAGCCGACACAGTCAGTCACGGATGTCCTTTCAAGGTTTTGACTCACTTTGCCCTCAAAGGCCGGCGAAATCACTTCTACGTAAAAGTCTGATGAGCAATTGTGACACGAGACAAGGGTGATGAGCTGAAGCGAACAAATGACGACAGGGGCAGGATCCGCCATTGTGCCCAAAAGCACCTACGCACGCGTCTCGCCATTGCCACCATTCTGAGCGACCATGGCCGCATGATGTGCGTGCTTGGAAGAGCTAGCAAGTCAAGAAGGGGGACGTCAGCATCGAGAAAGAAGCCTTGAAAGATGACAACGATACGTCATGAACTGCTTGTTGGTGCGTGCGAATCCAAGACTCACTCGTTCCTGATGGTGACTTGGGCAGGTGCGAATTCCTTTTCCAGCTTGGCTCTCATGGTAGCTTCGACGGACATGCTGTGCAGGCCTGCGGAAGTGTGAGCCTGCCGTGCGTGCAGAGTAGACGTGGAGTGGCTGATTGGAGGCCGTGTCAGACTGGCAAGTTGGCTGATGGGACGAGGAGGGGCAGGCAGATGATTGCTGACAGATGGATGAGGAGAGCTTGACCTGCAGACAAGCCTGGAGGTAGGATTGCCGCTGATGCTGGTGCTGCTGCGATCGCGGCAGATACCTGGCAAGTGGGTCAACGTGCGTTGAAAGCTGCTGCGCATCGTCCAGATCGATCTGTGCTGCTCTCTGCCACTGGTGACAATGGCTCGTGAAAGGTGTCAGATGCGAGATGACTGTGGAGGTTGGGATACGTGTGAATCGTTTTCGTCTGCATGAAGATCACGACTGATTGACTGAATGCACGTCGAAGTGGCTTCTTGAAGCTCGCGACTCTGAGTGGAGTCGCTTGCATGTCGCACGAGAAAGCCGCATCTGCTGTCGAGGCTTCTCCAAGGGCGAGGCCATGGGCTCCACATGCCAAGATTGATTACCTGTTTCCAATTTCTACTTTCAGCTCATGCGCCATCATCACCACTCTCTCTTCCACTCCACTTCTTCACTCCTCCGGCAGGCTTCGATAGCGTCCATCTAGCAAACTCCTACACTGGTTCTCGCTGCCTGAGACATGTCCGTCCTACCTTATGCTACGCTTCAACCCACTTACCCTGCCGTGTTCGATGAGATCGCATCGGCTTCGATTGCAACCGACAAGGTGTGGCTGTCACTCTACGCTTTGAATGCGCCTTCGAGCAGCATACATGCGAGAGTCTGGCTGGAGCCTTGTAAACCTGCTTCCGCCGAACAAGCCAATACGGAAGAGGGCACTGAACGGGCTGCGGGAGTGAGAATAGCAAAGGTGGACGGCAAGGTGACGGTCAAGAGGGTCAAGGGCAGCTCGGTGAGTGGCGCTTGGCACCGCGCGCTTTGGACACTGACGCATTTGGCTCACTGACCTGCTCGCCTATTGCCTTGCTTTTCTTTGAAAGACGGACCTGCTCGTCTCAACCACTTCATCAGAGTTGAATTCGAGCACATCGGCAAGGACCGCTCAGTCCCAAGTCTTATACGCTCCCACCCTGCTGCGAGCTCCACGAAAGGACTTCGGGTCTATCATCAGGGGCCACGAAGGAGCTACAGCTCTAGATGTAGCGTCCTCGACGGCTGTTCCTGGCTTGGAGCGATATGTAGCAGGAGGAGCCGATGGAGCGCTGAGAATCGGCGTGCTTGATGTACCCAAGGAAGACGAAACCATCGACGAATCGGTGAAGGGAGCCGATGAGCAAGGCGAGATCGAGAAGTTGGCGCAAAGGAGGATAAGGGAAAGGGCGAGGCAGTTACAAAGAGAGCAAGTGATCCCATGCAAAGGACATGTGGGAGACATCAGGTCCGCCCAATTCTTTCCCAGCGGTGACGGTGAGTAGCAGATGAGGCGCTTCGAAGACAAGCGGCCTTTCGCTGTGTCTTGCTTGCAGAGACAGTTGACGCGAGCAAGGCTTTTCATCTGCAGTGATCCTCAGCACTTCTTCAGATCACACCGCCAGGATATGGGATGCAAAGGATGGTACATGCGTCAGAGTGCTGAAGGGTCATTCCAGAGCTGTCCTTTGTGCAGCGCCGATCGGACGAGGCAGACAAGTCGTCACAGGAGGAGGAGACGGCACGCTGCGGATATACGACGTCGGCGAAGACAAACAGATAGGCTTGATCGGTTCCGACAGGTACAGCAGCGTCAACGTGATAAGTCTGCGTCCGGAAAGCGTCTTTCCCACTTCCGATCAACCCGCACAGTCCACCTCTGTACCCACCTTGGCAGCTGGGCTAGCCTCGGGCAAAGTCCAGCTCTTTGACCTCAAAAGCAAGAGCTCGATAGGCTTGATAGATACGCACTCTTTTCCGCTCGGCTCGCCTCCCGCAGCGACTGACACGTGGGCCCAATTGTCCAAGAGTGGCGGGATCACTGCTTTGGCATGGATCGACCAGCACACGCTCATCACTGGTACTACCGAAGGAGTCTGTTCGCTGCACGACGTCCGCAAGCTGGGCCCTGGGTCTACGGAAATCGACGACACGACTTCAGATGCATCAGTCAGCATAGAAGGACTAGAAGCGAACGCAGGACCGCCCTGCCTGCTAAGCACTTGGCGAAGGAATGGAGCTGCGATTACGGATATACGTGTAGACACTTCAAAAGCCTCGCTCGGACAAGTCGACGTGCTCGTGGCTACTTCTGACGGACTCCCTTATCGAGCCGACATATCCAAGCTCTTGTTGGGAGCAGCAGGGTCCCGAGCGACTGCGCCCAGAGTCACAGTAGAATACACGGGCTGGGAGGCTGAGAACGTCGGTACGATTCGTCTCGATGGGAAGGGCAGAGTGCTCTGCGCCGGCGCAGAAGGGATGCTCAAAAGGTATTGATCTTTTCAGTCACGCCAAACTCGCGCTCCAGCGCCTGGACAGAATACACATTGCATTCGCGTAGCGCGCTACTTGTTTCAGACCACCGCGTACCTCGCAATCACAAGCGGGCACGACGCCTGGCCAACGTGTCCCTGGGTCTGTTCGAGATGAGCGACCGGGCATGGCGGATTAGCGCGACCTCCTTCAGCCTCTCAGCTTCGCCTTATGGATTGCTCACCTCTCTGAGCAACGCACACTCACGCGCGACCGTATGTGGCATCCGGCTCTGGCTTGTTAGCCAACACCTAAGGTTTGCGGGGACAGCAATCGGAGACAAAGAGAGGAGATCATGAGCGAAATCGTGTCCGTCAAATTTCTTCCCGGCGCTCGATGAGCGCGTACCTTTTCGATCTGCTCGTGCACCTCAGGGGTGAGCTTAGGCAGAATGTCGAGAGCCTTGAGGTTCTCGAGCACCTGTTCAGTTTTCGAGGCGCCAAGAATGACCGTCGAAACATTCTGACGAGAGGAAAGGCGTGCAAGTAAGACAATCAGCTTCCATTCGCCGTCTCGACCAGAAATTGACTGAACTCACCGGGTTGCTGGCAGCCCAAGCAAGCGACAAGATGGCGACGCTGGTGCCCAGAGACTCGGCAATCTTTGTCAATCCCTTGACCTTTTCAATCTTTGCCTGACCCTCTGGAGTCTTGAGCTTGGCAATGGTGTCTGTGAAGGTGTCCGCCTACGCACCACTTGCGACGTTAGCGATCGCTCTGGGCTCAATCGCGCCACAGCCTTGACGCACCTTGGTCTGGTAGCGAGAACCGTCGGGAATCTTGCCCTGTGCAATGTCGTTGTACTTGCCGGTCAAAAGACCGCTCTCGAGCGGCGACCAAGTGGTCAAACCATAGCCGTACTTTTTGTACAGTGGGGCATACTCCTTTTCGATCTTTTCGCGATGCAGAGCGGAATACTTGGCTTGGTCGGCCACAGGAGGAATCAAGCCCAACTTGTCCGCCACGCCATGCGCTTCCTCAATCTGCTGCGCTGTCCACTCGCTGGTTCCCCAGTAGAAGCATCTTCCCGTATCGATGAGATGATTAAAGCCTCGCACAATCTCGTGCATGGGAACGCTGACGTCAGGTCGATGTGCCATTATGACTGTGGATGAGCACAGGGGGTTTTAGAAGGTCAGTCAACAGCCGCGCTGGAGTGTACATCGGTCAATTGGTCCACGATAGTATAGCTCATGTCGCGCACGGCGCGACCGTGTGTACCTAGCCACGACAATCACCACCTTTGAACTCATCTGCGCCACTAACCATCCCAGTACTTGAGGCCAGCGCGCTCCAACGACGCATCTGTGCCTTCCACCTGGCAATGGAAGATGTTTGAGAGCTGGTGAGCAATGTGCCTCTTTGAGAACAGCGCCGGAAGACAAAGACTTACCAAGTGCTTTCTGGAGAGGCCCCTGCCGTTGGGATCCTTGCTTCCGGTGCCAAAGAAGATCTGCAGGCACACGACCAGAACAAGAGTAAGTACAGAGCTCAAACCACAGCCCAGTCCACCTGCTCTGCAGTGCTCGCCTTGGTGATGAGTACAACGTCCGATCTCCTCCAGCCGAGCTCCTTGACCGCTTGTCCCATGGCGACTGGGAGCACAGGATCGCACCGAGCACAGTCAGCTTCGACAGCATCACAGCTCAAACATCACCTCTCCTCCTATTGCACTCACTCTCGCATTCGCCACCGCTGTACACTTCTGCGGTATCAAAGGTGCTGATGCCATTTTCAAAAGCGACCTTGAGAATCTCCTTGGTTTTGGCCGTGTCGACTGTTCCGCTGTCAGTGGGCCATGGAAGGGAGAAGTGTCAGAAGCAATGTGGAGGTGCAGTCGACATGCTTGCGCACTCACCCGTACGTGAGCCAACCACCGAGGGAAAACTTGCTCACTCGCAGACCAGAGTCACCTTTGGGGGTGTGTGTGTGTTTGTGTGGACCGGGTCTACCGCGGCGTGAGCCTCAGTCGTGGATCAGCAAGACTTTATGGGCCATGTGGATCCTTTGCTCACCCAGACGCTGGAAGATCATGTTCTTGGGATCATAAGTAGGATGCGACATCTTGACGAGAGTTGATGAGCGAGCTGTTGCGAGTCCGATGGTGCGAAGTCTAGACATATCCGGCAGATGGTGTTGCGAAGAAAGAAAATGTGCGATGCACCAGCTAAGCGTTCCTTTCAAAGTGAGCGCCTGCCTACAGCACCCCCCTCAACCGTGACTCTTGACTGCAGTCAGTCCCGTCAGAGCGCTGACGCAGCTATGATTTATTTCCCGATGCCGCGTAGGCGTGTGGAGGTTCGAACGGGCATGCATGCTTGTCTGCCCCGCCGGAATAACCACCACGAGATGAAAATCAAATTCGGCTCTCAGGCGGAGTTGCGAGATTCAAATCACCACACAGCTTGATCTATATAGGATCATCCTTTTGTATACAGCTTGCAACTTCGAATTGAACCTTGAAATCCAAATTCAATTAGCTCTTGTCTGACAATTAAAAGCTGCCCATCTTGATTTTTGTGTCACTTAAAGGCGCAAGCTTGCATGCTTGCATTCGTCCGATACAGAATCCTAATCTCCTCAGCCCTCTCTCTCCAATAAGGTATCATCAAAGAGAAGAGGCGAGGCAACATGTGCACCAGACTCTCAAAGCGGATCTGCTTCGATCAAAGCGCGGGGCGCCACAGTGGGCCGCTCTCTGCGACTGCTGCTGTCTGCGCGGTGCATAGGCGCATGGCGGATCTCCTCCCATTGATGCTTCTACATGGCTCATGTGGATACCCCTTACACACCTCACAGAGCGGGAAGGTACCAATTGAAGCAGACATTGACCGAAGCTTCCATCCTCCTACCATTGAGTTGCCCCTCCCGTGAGCTTGGTGCAGAAGAGGACCAGAGCATGGCTCGAGGCGGCTTCTGTTGCAACATCAGCTCTCGTGTTATGCTCACCTTTGGGGGGGGGGGGGGGGGGGGGGGGGGGGGGGGGGGGGGGGGGGGGGGGCAGGCGGCAAAGGCAGCTAGCTGCGTCAGCAAATCGCCAAGCACGGTTATGGCCAGCCGCGACTTGCGCTCGTGTATGTCTGACATCGCGGATGCGAGGGTCCGAAGAGGCCAGTCATGTATAGCGTGAAATGGAAGTCTTGGCCTCAGCCTGCTCTTGGTATAGCACTCAAGAGTCTTCTGAACATCTGCAGATCACGGCGAGAGTGGAGATCGATGGAACGAACGAACGATCGATGAGTAGGGAGGACCATGCAGCAGCAGGGCAAGCATACATATACAACTCCGGGAAGAAGAATTGATGAATCACAATCGTAGAAAGATTTACTACTGTTACTCGTCACTTGAATTTGCATGGGGCAAAAAGTCTGCGCGAGTCGAATCACGAATGCCTTGTGTGTATGTTATCGAAAGTGACGATAGCAGCAGCTCACAATTATGAGTCTCGATTTGAGTGGGTGCGCCGAAACACGTCCACTGACTCCCCACGGAGTCCCGCGTGCGGATCCGCAGCGTCACTGCTCAATCTTGAGTGGATGGTGAATCCTATATAATGTGAATAGTTGGATTGTCAAGAATTTAAAAAGTCAATTCACACATCTGAGACTTGTCTGCTCAGCATCTCACGTATTCATCAGTCAAGAGTCTTGATTGGACTCGTGACTCTGCATATGGTGAGTGGCGGGCCTTCCGAATCAAGAATCAAAGCGGATGCGTGAGTTGAGTGACATCGATGTGAATCAGGATAGCAAGGCGTTCATCTCACGTACGTTGGGTCGCGCGTGCATCCGCTCAAGTCGCTCATCATCGTCTCAGAGCCAAAAAGAGGTACGTGCACTTGGGCTCGAGAAGCGAAGCGAAGCGTCATATAGTCGTGAGTATATCTAGATGGTGCAGAGGCCGCTCTAAGCGAGTGCCGGCCGTCATCAGTCGAGTCGCTCACCTATTCCCCCGCCGAGACGGCTGCGCAGCTCTTCCTGCTGCTCTCCCCATACGCCATTTCACCAGAATTCGGGCTCAGCGACGCAACGTCAGTCTTGAGTCCTAATAGCCGGTAAGGTGGAGATCTGGCTGCCCGTGATGATCAGCAAAGGTGAGGGTGACAATCGCAAACATGGTCGTCGGTCGTTCTTCGCTTCACGAGCTCGAACCTTTCCACTGCCCTGTTGATTTTCTCCGACGATAGGTTTTCAAGCTCGTCTATCGCTCTCCTCGAGGATTCATGAGGGTCTGCCAGAGTCGAATGTGAGAAAGAGCGGCGAGGTCGACCTGGCCGCTTTCTCGCCCAAACTACGCCGAGAAGCGCGTTCCAAAGTCAAGCGTGGTGCGGTGTTCCTGGAGGGAAGGCAGGACATCACGTTGCTATTTCGGCATGTGGGCAAAGATGTAGCCAACGCTTCGGATGCTGCCAAGATGCCGGACATCGCAGCTGTGCTCTTGCCCTCCCCTGAAAGCTCGACGGCAAGCGTCGCTTCCCGAAGTTCCAGACAGGGATCAGTCATTCTTGAGCGACCCGACCATCCCCCGCAGCCGTGCTTTGCTCTTCTCTGCATCGACCATTCGAAGATCATCATTTCTGGCGCAACGATGCAACAGGGAGAAGCTTACGAGTCCCGCATGTTGAGGATGTTGCCCAGGACGTGGCGCTCCTCGCCACTGCTCGTGCCAAGCGAAGCTAGAACGAGTCGTAGTCTGCAAACAACGCGAAAGGCCGTAGGAGAGGAAGATGGGATTCGCGCTTTTGACAATGGTGTTGCTGTCCAATTGAAGAAAGCAGACTTTCATGGTGAGGCCCAGCGATCGAAGCGCGCTAGCGGTTCAGGAAGTTGATTCCCTTGCACGCCTGTAGTGAATGACCGCCAACAAAGACGTGGCGATCTCATCGGCACCATAACTCTTCATCTGTGGACGAAAGAGTCCATCAAGGGTGTCAGTAGGCCTTACACGGCTCTGCATGTCCCGGACGTCATTTTGTGAGCGGAGTAGAGAGAGATTCTCCTCGACAGACATTGATGATGTAGCGTCCTCTCCACCAGCCACTTCGATCTCCTGGAAGCTGGTCGAGACGTCGGTCCGAAATACGCCGAGCCTCGCACCACTGCCGCGATAGAGGACTTGACGAACCATCTAGGGCGTCCACTCACGGTGCAAGGCGATCAAGCCCCAGTCGGCACGATAAGGAGCTCTGAGCCTCGACAAAGAGACCTGAAAAAAGAAAGTTCCTCTTCGACTGATTCATCTCAGTCCTCTCATAGATGCGGGTGCGCCGCATGCTCGAGAGCCGACAGTCATACAGGTGTACAGCAAATGAGTGGGACTGCAAACGGCGATGCGAAGGTCACCGAAAATGTTCCATCAAAATCCCCCAAGTCTGTGTTGGCAACACGAGAGCCTGCAAAGAAGTTGGCAGAGGGCGGCAGCACAGTTCATTCAGAAAAAATTGGCCCAGCATCGCATCCAGAACTCAGCGATGGCTTCGACAAGCTATCCAAACCTCTGGTAGGATGTGATGGGACGATGAGGACCCCACAAGATCCAGGGCAGCAGGTCGCCGTGAAGACACCGAACGACCAGAGTGCACCGGGCTATGACCATCATTCGTCATCGGTCCAGCAATTATCCAATATTGCGCCTAGCTCGAGTGGCAAGCCAGCAAGTACTGAAAGCACCTTAACAAGCTTTCCAGCATCGCCACTGGCCATGATTCCCGCTACCTCGGCAGAGATCGAGTATTTGATTGACGACGAAGCGACCGTTCAGGCAGAGCTTCGCGCTGCCATTTCAGACTCTGCGGTCGAAGGCGGGGACGTTCGTGACAACCGCCAATCGCTGCCCGTCGCGAACACGTTGAGACAGATTCCGGGATCAAGACCGCTATCACTCACCGAAGCTGACATCTGGTCAGCTCGTCGAGGTCTCGAGCAAATCAAGGTGCGCGAGTGGGTTCGGCCATTCCCTCTTGCTCTTGCTGACTGCCTCTTGGTATTCTACTTCACGCCATACAGCGCCAAGCGAGAGACTTGGATCTGCAAAAGTTCCTGCTTGAAGAGAAACTGCGGGAGCGTCTGGTGGCTGCCATCGAGCAAGAGCGTCAGGACTGGCTGCAGCAGGTGCAAGAGAAGCAGCAAGAGGTCGACAGGTTGAAGAGGCTTTTGGAAGAAGGCACCGAGAACGGAGTCTAACTTCTTCTCCATCGCAAGACCAGACAGAGCCACTCCTTTCGCCAAGTCGTTCGCTTATTTGTGCCTTGCCGATCCTCGCTCAACAACCGCTAGACCGATGACACTAGTGGGGGCCCAGTGTACGCACAAGAACATAGACGTTTCAGATGTCCGCAACATCGAGCGCTCCAGTCCGTCCAGTTTCGACTTTTCTCTGAGTTGCATGTCTCGTGCTGTGCCCACTCTAGACTTTTCACATCGGCACCGCGCGTCGACGGCAAGACCTGGTTCTCCAGTAGCAATGGATGCCGATTTTAAAGATGCCACCGTCCCGCTTTACCAAGAGATCACTGGACATCAAGGCGTTTCGAGAGCTCAATCTCAGCGTAGATTGGTCCTTCTTCGCGATTGGCGGATGAAGGCATGGCAGCGATTTTGGATGAACAATTATGAATCACCACAAACTTTTTTGATTGTGATCGGACTCAGAATACGATTGAAGCGTAGCGCATTGACCATCAGCGAACTCCATCAAAGAAACCGCGGCGTGGCAGGGAGCTCTCTGATGAGCTTGCTCCGCGGAGCTGCTTGACCTTCTGCGTTTGCATGCAGCCATTCTGATTCAAGATTATTCACGATAGCGCGTCTTGATCAGAGCTTGAAATGTGAGTGAGTGCGTGCACGCCACGTCACTAAACAAAATTGGTCTCGATTTCAATTGGGGCTTCCAAGATAAAAAGGGTCGGGGAGGATGCAATTATTGACCGGGGGGCGCGGATTTAAAAATTGAGTGGTGCCATTTACGACGCTGCTGCATGCAGAGGCAGCTCCAGTCTGAGTTGAGTTGAACGATGGAGTCTCATAAGAGCGCTCCGTGGAAGCTTGTCGTGCTCCGCCCGCCAGCGTCCACCCCAAGCATTACTTCCGACCACGATCCCTAAACCTGTGCACTTGCATATCCCGGAAATGTGCTTTTCCTTGATGCTGCTCTGTTCCTGAGACCACAGCAACGCCGCTGCACTGCACCGCACTCCCAGCACCACAGCAAGACCGCCGGCGTCCAAGACGTTTCTTTTGGCCAAGCACATCACGATCCTTGCTTCCAGTTGGGCAAGTCTGGGAACAATCGGCTCCGACGCTCCTCTCGACAGCTCCGGTCAGCATGAGGGTGCATCGATTGGCTCTACTGGCTTCGCTCCTGGTGGTCGCAGTCATGACCACCATTCCCATCGTCTCGGGCGAAGCTGTGCCCGACGCAGATGGCAAGACAGCCTCTCAACATCTCAAAGAGGGAGTGGCAGCGCTGACGACAGGTCGCTACACCTCTGCACTCGCTTCTTTCGATGCGGCCATCGCATCAGATCCCGAGCACTATCTCTCGTACTACAGAAGAGCCACCGCTCTATTGTCTCTCGGCAGAACTTCGGCCGCCTTGCAAGACCTGGATGCTTTGCTCAAGCTCAATCCTTCCTTTGCTCAAGCACACCTCGAGAAAGCAAAGACACTGGCCAAGGATGGAGAGTTGGACCAAGCGAAAGAATCAGCAAAAGAGTTTCTGAAGCTGAAAAAGTCAGACGAGCAGGGACTCACTTTGCAAAGCAGTATAGATGCGGCTATCAAAGCTCAGCAAACACTAAGGACCACGGCGGCCAACGTCGACAAGCTTGTAGCGAAGGATGCCAAAGATGCAAAACTTGCTGCTCAGGCTGAAGCTTGTCGCAAGCATGCCAGTGTAGTGCTCGAGACTTCGCCCGGAAATTTGGAAGCTCGAAGGCTGAGGGCAAATTGCGCACTTGCGCGAGGTGATCTGGACGATGCCGTTGCAGACTGGAGGTGAGTAGAGCGATGGACAGACAGGGATCGGACCTCACGCTTCGGTTGAGATCCTGGCTGACTTTCAGCTCTTCTGACGCGCGCAGTCGCATAGCCCATCTGGCCCCGTCTTCTGAACTTTTAATACGATTGTCATCCCTCTCCTATCTCATACTGGGCGAAGAAGGCTCTTCGCAGCAGGAAGCAGGTTTGCTGCATCTTAAGAATTGCCTCAACTCGGATCCCGACAACAAAGCCTGCGCGCGAGCACATCGCCGATTGCGAAACTTGAACAAGTCGCTCAAGAAGGCTCACAATTTTGCAGATGCGGAATCTTGGAGAGCTGTGCTGTCCGCGCTCAAAGGTCCAAAGATAGGAGGGCCGACTGTATTGCAGGAAGTGGAGAGTGCGATCAAGGACGATCTGACCTCGAAGGATGGCAAGGAGCCCGTCCTGCCGGCCCTTCTGCAAGATGCTGTCGAGAGGAGTGCACTGATGCACGAAATCCGCTCTCTCACGTGTCAAGCCCACCTGGAACTGGATGAGATCAAGAAGGCGATCCCGGCTTGCGATGCGGTGTTGAAGAGAGAACCAGAGAATCCTTCGGCGCGAGCTACAAAGGGAGAGGAATATATGCTGGATGAAAAGTACGAGGAGGCCGTCAGAGAGTTCGATGCTGCACTGAAGGCTGCGGGAGGGCAAGATCGATCCCTCTACATGCGCTTGCAGAAGGCTCAGAAGAGACTGAAACTATCGAAAGCCAAGGACTACTACAAAGTCTTGGGGGTGGCGAGAAGTGCAGATGCCAAGACGATCAAGAAGGCCTTCAGGAACAAAGCGAAGGAGCATCATCCAGACAAAGGCGGAGACGAGAAGAAGATGGCACAGGTCAATGAGGCATTTGGAGTCCTGGGCAACGATGAGCTGCGGGAGAGGTACGACGCGGGAGATGATCCCAACGATCCCATGGCTGGTGCACAGCAGGGTCATCCCTTCCAGCAAGGAGGCAACCCCTTCGGTCAATTTGTGAGTAGTGCTGTTCACGTCCTTAATCACAAATGAGTGGATGCACCTCGCTCACACATACTTTCCAACGACCGCAGTTCCAGCAGGGTGGAAGTCCCTTTGGCTCTCAATTCGCTCAGGGTGGTCAACAGTTCCATTTTAGCTTTTAGGAGATGACAAAGTGATTGTCATTGTTTGTGTCCATTGCAAGTCACCATGTTTTAAGAAGATGCAGAATTCCGATCCAATGAAATCTGAATCTACCGATCAGCGCAAGGTCGAGGCACGTCTCCCTCTTTGTGCTTGCAGGCCTGAAGGCCGCAACGTTTCGGCTGTGCCTGGACGGCGACAAATCTAGCGTGACCGGAAAGCCCTGGAAGGGCATTCTTCAGTCACCAGTGTGGTGAGGGCAATCCTGCTCCAGGCCTAGTCGCCATTCCTGCTCATCCACAATGTCCGCGACTTTTTCGATATTCTGAGCCGGCATCAACCACTCGAGCAATCCCAAAAAGAGCATGTCTACGGCAACGATGATGCAGAAAATCTTGCCAGCGACGAAGCCGCCTGCGTAGTATCTGTTTGATGGCGATTTTGATCAGCATGTGCAGAGAGAGCGCTCGGGCGACGTCGCACATCGAATGCCCATCCGCTTCGACTCACTGCTGGAAGCGGTCGAGCCGATCTGGAAAAGGTGCGGCCATTGCGGTATGGTAGACCCTCTCCGTCCTCTCTGCGACGTCTGCCCAAGAGTACATCTTTTCGACTGCTTCGTGATGTGCAGCGGGATCATGCTTGCCGGATCTAACGTGCTCGATTGCCGCATCCATAGCATGTACGACGTCTGAAAATGGGCAGCAGGCTGCGTTGTGAGCAACAGCACGCCAAGTAGACATCACACGTACGGACGACGTACCGTCTTCGTCTGGTATGGCTAGCACTCGCATCCACGGAGGAAGCACTTCGGGGACACCACCTACGCTCGTGCTGACAACGTACAAGCCAGCGCATGCAGCTTCGATGATCGACGTTCCGAAGGCTTCCGTGAGACTCGTATTGAGAAAGATCTGACCGCGGATCAGATGCTACGCGACAGGACACAGCATTTGTTCAGCATCACAAATTTGGAGAGTGGAGGCGGGCGGCACTCACATCGCGGACGTCTCCTTGTCGGATACCTCCTGAAAGCTCTACCCTTTCGTGCAACAAGTATCGCTCTCGCATTTGTTCCAGCTCGATACGTTTCGGGCCGTCACCGCCAATGACAAAGCGGACGTCCGGGTGTCTCTCGCAGATTCGAGGTATGGAAGCAATGAGTAGATCAATGCCCTTTCGATACATTAGGCGACTCAGCACGACGATTGTCACTGTTCAGGAAGCGCGCGCCTTTAGGATCTTCGACTAGTCTGTAGCCCGCGGCTCTACGGTAGCCGATACTCACGCCCGTCACGAGCCGATCGAGTGGGGCCGATGGTGAATTGAGAAGCCACCACCGCATTCGGAATGACTGACACCTTACGTGGATCCAAAGCTGCTCGCAACACTGTGTTCTCCTTGCTAAGGAGTCGCAGGCAAGCTCTGATCAGTCGGTCGCCTGATACAGTACGCCTAGCAGATAGGGACTCACCCGACGTGGCTGACGCAAATAACATGGTCTACATCGCTCAGCGCGAATCGGAGCAGCTTGTTGGTCAAGATGCTCGCGGCATCGGCGAATCCAAACAAGCTGTGGTCCGTAAAGCAAGCGCGGACGCCCAACGTACGAGCGTGCAAGATGCCCTCGTGAGCCATGCTCGACAAGGCTTGGTGCCCGTGCACAATGTCGATGCGTTCGCGTAGGAGAATGCTGCGCAGCACGGGAAACAGCGCAAAGAATTGCGGCAAAGTGTCTTGCCGAGCGATTACTTGAAATGGGATGTGATAAACCTTCAGGCCAGAGGTCAGATACCTCACCCCTGTGCGCTCCGGGTCATATGCGTGCGTGATCACGATGACCTGCCAGCAAGACACCGCTGGGACACGGGTCAGCCTGCCACCTCTGTCCATCGTCAGTAAGTGCACGCTTACCTTGTGTCCGCGCGAAATCAAACGCTGGCTGAGCATGTATATGTGACCTTCTACGCCTCCAATGTTCGGATAGAAAAAGTCTGATATCATACTGCGAGAGATGCAAGCAGGTGTATAGATTGCATGAGGACGGTGTTCTTGAATCAGTCCACAAATCTGGGATCGCTTTTACAAGATGCGGCTCACGCAATTCGGAGGCGCGGGCCAAGCGACGACAGCTCATGATCTTGCAAAACTTGCTGCTGCGCAAAAGCTTCCAATCTCGTGCCAATTCCAGCTTGCGCTGCAACGCGCAGCTCCAGGGCAGATGCGTGATCCAGCAGTGTCGAGCGGGGATGAGTTCCGGTGCGTGCCAGGCTCTTTCGCACGGCTTGTGAAGCCAGAACAGATCGGAGAGCGAGTGTGTACTGCGCCGGCGTAGTTGCCTCGACCTCATCCGACACACGACCTCTCCGCGAGGCCAATACGGAGCTCACGCGTTCTAAGACGGCGAGCTGCTCTTCCAAAAGCGCATCAGCACCAGCAGATTCCGGTGGCAAGGCGCATTTCGACGCAAAGCGTGCGGCGGTCTCGAGGTCATAAACGAGCTGTCTGTACAGGTTCGGTGCCTCCTCAGCAAAAAGGACGCTGTGAGATGCTGCACTGACATGCAACTCATGCTCTAAAGATCGTAATGCAGTTTGTAAGCCACGTCTCCTCAAAGAGAGATTGCACCTGACACCACATCGCGACTTACGTAGTCGATCTTCGCTAACAAGCAAATGGCCCCATACCCATCGTTCCCACAAAGACGACAGTGTCGTGTTGGCGTAACGCTCGTCCATCCAAGTCCATGCGCGCTCTGCGCTAGCGAGGCTGCCCATTCCCCAAGACCGCGCGCGTCTCATCGCAGCATCAAAGATCGCATCCACGGTCGGCAAGTTGTCGTCGTCAGCAGCGGAGCCGACAAGGTTCGTGAAGACGTCAACAGCAGTATCCCGGATATTCTCGTCGTCATCGCTGAGCATTCTGATGAGAGCTGTGCGCGCCTCAAAGACCGCCTTGCTTTGCTGTGCGCTGACTGCGATAGTACCATCGTCAGCTGGACACTGCCTGCTGAAGAGGGCTTTCTGTATTAGGGACAGTGATTGCACTGCAGCGATCCGCAAGTCGAGCGCCTGCGCATATACAGAGGACAAAACATAGAGGAAGGTGGATCAGCTTGCCTTCACGGAGTAATGCCTGCGCAACATCACACCAGCCTCACCTGACGTTCTTCCGAAAAGGGGACAATGAGTTCGCAAACGTTCGCAACAGCTGCAGAAGCAGTTGGACCCGGCAGCTCGGCAGCTTCGCTGGCCAGGCTGGCCAACGCTGGTAATGCCGCTTCTTGAAGTGGCTCTGCAGCATCTGCTCGACTGAAAATACTAGACACCCGCGCCAAAGATCCGGGAGAGCCTGGAAGATGCCTTCCTGCATTCCGAAGGCACCAGCGACTCAGCAAGCGACCGGCGGCACATTGAACCCAGACCTCTTCCGCGCCATTTGTTAAGATGTGCAGAACATTCGCAAGCACACTGTCGGTGAGATGAGCCGCATGATCTGATGTTGCCAAGCTTTCGATGGCAACGAAGCGCACGTCAGACGATGAGTTCCTGAGAAGGCCATTCCGTATCTGAGAGGTGTTGCCGGCGGACAATGACTCTTGGGCGACGAAGCGTGCGCACTGTTGAAGCAGGCGTGGAAAGCCGGCTGCTCTCTGTTTGCCAGCGTGGCTCGACATAGCGCCCTGCGCCAGCATGGCACTAGCGAAGCTGGTCATCTTGGGAGACTCGAGGGGCCCCAATTTAGTTGTAAAGGCGAATGCAACGCCCATGAAAGCAGCTTGAGTCGGTCCGCATGGATTGCTTTCCAGCCAAAGAGGCACGAGTTGATTGAGAGCATCACGCAGTGATGCGACATCATCCGGATCTTGGCCTTCGTGAGTGATCAGCAGTCTTTCTGCCGCCAGCATGCTACCATGGGCATGATTCTGATCGCCCCTTGAACATGTGAGCAGTATCCTGGTGGCTGCCCTCACATGCTCGTCTGACGCAACACAAGAGCTATAGGCCTTGGCTGCAATCTCGCGAAGCTGGAGGGGGGCAAGATGGGGGCATCAGCTTTGCACTGCGCTCTCACGCACAACTTGATCACTCACCATCCAACGCGAGCTGCTCAAGCAACGCTCTACAGCTGCTCTGAAGGTGTCTGGGCTTAGCGTGGCACCGCGTTGTATGCTATCGACTTGCAGGTTCGACAGCAGCATCAGAATGGCATACAAAGCACTTTGGCTGTCACCAACGCTACTTGATACCGTGCCATTTTCGAGTGGAGTCGCGAGTCTACTGAGCCGTCCAAGCTGGCCCTCCAATGCGGCTTTCAAACTTGGATAGTGAGTGAAGAATACCTGAAAGCGTACACGAGCCTCGGGCGCGTCCAGATTTGGTGTCCGTCTCGGCAGAATGCGCCGCATGAGCGCGCTGAAGAGCATCATGGCCGCGTTCCGAATGCCCCAATGCTCCGAGCTGAAACGTTCGACAACGACTACAAGCAAGTTGCCGTTGTAAGATGCAAGCCGAGAAGATAAAGCAGCATCGTCAACGAGAACGCGCGTAATGTTGAACGCGTGCGTCTGTGCCTCTATATTCGAAGCACTGCTGCCTTTGAGAAGGTCGACCAGTCGCTGCATGGTGGCCGCAATAGTGTTGTCATCTTCCGGAGGCACTGCACTGAGTAGAGCCAGGACGGCAGAGCCGATGCCCGCACTTCTTCTGGTCGTTGAAAGGCTCTTTCCAGAGTCTTCTATCAGATTGACAAAGCTGTAGAGCCAATGCTGCGGCAACGCACTTGCCTCCGGCCACTTCCGCAGCTTCCGTAGGCTGGCTGCTGTCTGAGCGAAAGATGGTGCAATCGTACTGAAAGCGCCTCGGTGACGCACACAAGTCATCCACTCCACAAAACGCTTGCCGACATTCTGCAGGTCTTCAAGGCTTAAAAGGGCATCTGCTGCCGTCGTCTCCGGGTTGGTGGCCAGCTGTACGAGCTGCGCAAGCAGCAGAGAAGCCTCCTTCATACTGCGCCAGCAATACGACAGTAGTGCCTGATACGCCGGAGAGGTACCTTCAGTGGTCTGGTCGTCTTCTTCACCTGCCAGGGCTAGCGCACGTGCGTTCTCGTGGTCCGGCTGTGAGGCCGCGGGGCCTTCTGGGGCATTGTTACACAGGACTGTTCGAGTGATGGACCAGACACGGTCGATGATAAACAATGCTCGGCGGAAGACTGCAGCACTTGTTGTCTGATTCTGCTGGAGGTCACTGCTTGCTTCGCGGAACAAGGACTGCAGAGCAATCAGAGCGCCATGCAAAGGCCGATTATATGCGACTTGGACCAAAGCTTCCTGACCGGCTTGAGCTTCATCAAGCAAGTTGGAGACCAGCTCTAGGTGTTGGTCGATGAACAACACCGACAGCCCTGCTCTTCCCGCTTCAGGACCGGCACTTTTCGATCGAGATTCGGATGGCAAGCGCAACGCACCCAACGCAAACGCTGAGATTGGTCTCACTGACCACAGACACCTTTGCACGTACACCCTCATGAAGAGCGTAGATAAGCTGGCAGCCGCAGTACTGTCTGCCTCTCTGGGTCCTAATATGAGGCGCGCTGCACGCGCTAGAATGGCGCCTTCGGCTGCGTCTATCGTCTCCATCCCAGGTATGGGAGCTGGGAAGCGCGCCAACAAGTCCATTGCAATCGCCTGAATGCCGGGATATGTACTGTCGATGCACGTTAGCAGAGCTCGCGCAAGCTGGGGTGTGGTCAACTGCAGGTTGAAGCGAAACTCCGCGAAAGCGCTCTCTCCTAGATGTTTCGGTGCTTTGGAGGCAATCACTGTATCTTTGGAGGCAGCGGTATCCAAAGCAAGGAGATGGTCCAGAAAGAAGAGCGCCATAGAGCATGCGTAGAAGGGGCTTCCTGGATACAAGGCATGCTGCGATCGAGCAGCTAACCAGAGCAGAAAATCCTTTGAGCGCTTCAAACCATTTGACAATTCCTCGCGGCGGCGCTGAAGCGCGGCCGAGATGTCGCTAGGATGCAGCGCCGCGATCCTGTTTAAATCCCGGGTTGCGCCAAAGCAGCTAGACTGCAGCCTTGCCATCATCCTCGTGACTGTACTCTGACCAATACCTCTACTTTCAGGACCTGTGCAGCTGAAGCTTTGGGCAAGGAAGGCCCTGACTACACGCAATTCCCTCTCGGCGAAGAGCCCTGTTCGTGACCGCGAGTCAACAGCTAGACTCAATGCAAGCTGTTGCAGCTCCGGCGAAGACGAAGCAGCCGCATCTTGCAAAATGATGCTCGGCACTTCAAGTGCGTCGTTGTCGCCATCGTTGTCGCCGTGACTGTCGCTTTCGCCGTCGCTACGCTCGACGGCCAACAGGCCCAAACTTTGAGCAGCTCTTAGGACAGTGAGAAAAGTGTGCAAGAAATATGGCTTCTTGGCAGAGGTGTTGTTCAGATGCTGTAGCAGAACACGAAGCGCAGCGGGAGCGACTTCGAGAAGAGCAGTGACATGAAAGATACCCGTATCTTTGCGAGCTGCTGCTGAACCTGTCGACAAGGCTTCTGTGAGCGGGGACTGCCAGCTTTGACACCATCTCGACCATTGCGCTTCTTGTGTGAGATGCGACGACGACAGATCGCAGTCGTGCTGCACGGCCAGCTGTTGCAGGAGATACCTTCCGATGCTCGCCTTCTTCGACGTGGAAGCATCGAGGTGCGAGTTGCCGCTAACCAGCAAGTCGCTGTACAGAGTCGGCGCTTTTGCCAGGACCCAGGCAGCGTCGTGAGCTGCAAAGATCGCGAGCGCAGCGAGCGAAGCGCGGTCTCCACGTAGAGGCACGCATCTTCCAATGAAAGAGTCGAGAAGGAAGCAATGCGACGGGAGATAGTCCACAACAACAGCCAGGAGCTTCGCGGCACTTTGCGATGTCGCACGATGAGTCGATCCCAGGCAGGTCCACAACACTGGCGCCAACTTCTGCTGCTCGTCGCTCTCCAACAAGTCTGTAGAGCTAGATGCAGACGCGATTGTATGCTTGGCGACTTGTAGCGACCAAGTGAGGCAATCGAGCCCTTCTCGGGTGGATCCAGACTCGATATGGGCACCTCCTTTGTCTTCGCACCACACTGCGTTGATACATAGCTCTAGCGAAGCATGCAACAGTTCCACCAGTTTTTGGCGAGGGGAAGACGCCTCGGCGGAGTGGAGTGAGTATACATCCCTTATGCCTTGAACAATAGCTTTTGCTTTAGACGACGTGACTGAGGCTATGGATGGTAGCTTTGGTGAGCGACGGTCATTGCGAGACATGCTAGACTTCTCGGACTGCGTGAGAGCCGTGTGCGATCTGGCAGATCGTCCCTAGTCCCGGCCTGAGGCGGGTTGATCGGAGGTGGCAGGACAGTGCAGCACGTAGTGAAACGTTGAAGTGAGGTGAGGGCGTGGCTGGCAAGACGAGCGACTGATGTGACTTAATTAGCAAGCCCTTCGCGATCAGACATTTTTGGAAGCGCTGCATGCAGCTCCTTTGATCAAGAAGAAAGCATCAGCTTCTGCATACACGATAGATGAAGCACGCGCGCGCGCGCCTGCGTGCACTCATCGTGGATACCGGGCATGCCTGCCGTACGAGAGTTGCGGGCGCTGTCTCGCAGGCCAGTCAGAGTCGACTTTCCGGCCATCACGGCGTGCCCGCCCGCTCCACAGATCCTTGCCGACATTTGCGATTGATCGAGCGACCATGCCCTCGTAAACTCTGCACTCAACCTCACAGACTGGGCCCGTACAGCCTCCACGTTCATAATTAAAGTCCTTCTAAGGAAACATTTGACGAGGCCAGATCGCAAGATCTGCCGTTTGATTCACACAAGGACGCCGAGATGAAGAGGGCAGCCGCTTTCCAGCTGACCTCGGGCTCAGGTGATGGCGAGGAGTCGGAAGAAGGCCAGAATGGATCCGCTGGTGGCGCGGGCGCATTGCAAGGTAGCGGAGCTGACAGAGTGTGAGTGATCGCTCTGTTGTGGATAGAGTGGAGTGGCCGGAGCAGGAGTACTGCCAACGATGTTTGCCTGCCGAGTGGGCGGAGATGCGGCGCATCGTTTGTCGTCACTTTCATGATGCGGTGAAAGCTGCATGGAGTCACTCGGCGTATCGCGGCTCAGAGCTGATCAGCCTCCACCACCGCAGCATCAAGGGTATGCCTAGACGGAAAGGAAGCGGACCCCCCGGTGCGGCAAGTTCAGCGTCAATAGCGGCACCGTCAAGTTCGGCGCCTGGTCGAACTCCTTTCTCTTTTGGTACAGCAGCATCTCCTGCGTCAAATGCTTCTTCCGTACAGGGTAATGCTTTTGGTGCTTCAAGCGGCATTGCATCCGCTCCCGCGACTCCCGCTACTCTCTTTGTGAGTACTCGAGTGCAGAGGGCGGCGAGGCCACCCTGGCGCTCTGAGCTCTCGTAGAAGGCGCTGATGAGGGCGGCATGGAACTTCCACTGACACTCGTGCGTGCCCTTCTTGCGCTCTTCGTAGTCATTTGGCTCTTCTTCAACGAGCAGCGCAACATCCCAAGTCACATCCTCCACTTCTCGACAATCATCCGCTGAATCCTACTACCTGAAACTTAGAGGCCTTAATCACTCCCTTTCTAGCGCACTGGAGGGTGTCCTCAAAGCTGATCCGTTCGCAGACCTCACACACGTTCTTGCTGAGCTAGCGAGTGATTACAAACGGCATAGGAGCAGCACCGATGCTCTTGCTGGGCCGTCTGCGTCCGCAGCAAGATCAACAGAAACGAGTTCGACGTCTCCTGCAGTGCCACCATCTCCCACAGTCTCGAACCCTGCGACGCCTTTTGTCTCCTCACGCCAGGCGAATACTCTAGTAGGACCCCCAAAAGCACCTACTACTCCTTTCACGTTCGGAGGAGTACCTGCAGGTGCCTCTCCAATCACACCGAAAGCAGACCCCAAACCCACACTACTTCCAGGGCAGCCTACCTTTTCTAGCCCATCAGGCGGCTTTTCATTCGCAGGCAAGAGCTTTGGGGCGCCTGCTGAAGGTGATGCACAGGCAACCAAAAGCGTCGCGAAAACACCTAGCAATTCTTCTTCAAGTGCCTCATCATTCGCCTTTGCGCCTGCCGCAGCAGCGAAAGAGGTATCTACGACGATCACGAAGGGCGATGGGGATGTATCACGGGGGGAAGGCAATCGGGCGGAAGGGGCAACCAGCACCACCAGAACCCAACCAGCTGCCTCGCCTTTCTTTGGCTTTGGCCAAGCACATGCAGGCAGCATGAAGGGCGTGGCCACTCCCCACTCTAAGAGTGCAGCTGGCGACTCAAACGTTCAAAGCACGTCATCAGACAAGCCGAGTTCTAATGGAAATTTCAACAAGAGCGGCACGTTTGGATTTGGATCCTCGAGTACCCCTGCTACCCATGACTCTGCAGCCAAAGATGCCGCAACCAAACCGATATTCGCCTTCGGATCCGCTCCAGCAGCGTCATCTACTCCGGCGTCAGCAGCGACCTTCGGCTCTGGCTCAGTGTCGACCACCAATCCTGTCAGCACTCCGTTTTCGTTCGGCGCAAAAGCCGCTAATGCTGCGGAGTCTGCTTCGGGCTCGAGCGCCAGCAAACCTGCGGCGGCTTCTCCGTTCGGTTTTGGCTCTGCATCAGGATCGTCCTCGAGCAACAATCTGCGCTTCTCGTTCGGTTCCTCCTCCGCCTCTTCTACGGACCCCTCAAACATCAGTACGAATGCAACACCCAATGTGGGAGCGAGCAAATCAACATTCTCTTTTGGAGCGTCCAGCAGCCCCTCTGCGGGAGGTACTGGATATGCGGCCACGGGCAACACAAAACCCGGAGGATTCCAATTTGCCTTTGGCAAACCATTGGCTTTTGGAGGATCTGAGCAAGGCTCTGCCGACAAGAAGGATGGCGATGACAAAGCGGATGACAAATGACATTCGCCACGCATGCCTTCCTCTCGAGACTTTCGAGGCTGTGCCGATTTGCGGATCTCGAAGCTCGTTTGTAGAGTTCGTCTTGCTCCGATGTCGATCTACCAACACCTACGCGGCCACCCACTGATTCGCTCTCCATCCCTCGTCTGTCCAGCAGACTGACGCTTTCTGCAGCCTCATCGCTCAATGCATTCGTGGCGCTAGTGTCTTCGTTGATCGTGCGATTGCTGATGGTCTCAGTCGTCCGCGATCCTTTGAAGGAGAGCAGTGTGGATGTTGCCTTCAACTTCACGAGCTGCTGATCTCTTCGCGATTCGCGATTGGAAGTGTTCCACAGTTGATCTTTGAGTCTTGATGAGAGTGAGGTCGAGCAGATTGAGTCACGTGGCGGGCTGATTCTGGGCACGAGCTTCGAGCCGTCGCCCTGCATGCATGGCAGCTGGCAACTATACATCACGCAGCAGAAAGGGCGCTAGGGGGGCTCTGCAGCCGAAGAAGCAACCCCGCATCATTATGCATGAAAATGCACACACACGACTCACTCACTCGCGACTCGTGACTGTGACTTGCCAGCCGTGCGTCTCGATCGCGGTCCATGCTGCAAGCTCATATGCGACAATAAGCTGCGCCAAGGGACTCGCAAAGCTGGCCGTTGATCGAAACGCCGGCATGAGATGGTGCACCTCGCAGCTCACAAATTCGAGTGTGAGTGATCTGCGTTCTGCATTCACATTCGCAGGTTGCAGCAGCGAGAGGCTACATTCCAAGATTTGTTAGAGGAGGATCCGAGCGATTGTTGATTGAAGAATGGTGCAGGCTGCTGATGGGCATCCAATCACGAATGCGAATCCCTCTGTGGAGGAGTGGAAACGCGGGTGGGCACGACACCTAAGCGCGTCACAAAACGCAGGGTGCGCCTTGTGTAGTGCGTGGCACGTAGCAAACCTCAAACCTGACTCACGACTGTTACTGAGCCTTGCAGTTTGAATGTCCATCTTCTGACCCTCCAGCTACCACCCTCCTGATCACCCACGTTCGTCATCATTCGTAGCGCTATCAAGCCTTTCAGCCTGCGTATCACGTTCAATTCTTTGGTCGCTTCACGACTCATCGCCAAGCCGATAGCACCCTGATCTTCACACCTCGTTCGCCCGCTTGCGCAGCGTTTTACTCCAATCCCAATTCGACTCAGTCTGTGAACCATCAGCTGACCGCTGCTGCCCATCGACATTCTTGCGTTCCGCTTCGGACTCAAAAGCTTCTGATCTTCGCCGGACCGTACGCGCTCGAGAAACCCACGACAAAATGGCCAATCCAGCTCCTCAGTCCAAGAGGGGCTCCGTGACTTCGCTCGCCACTTCAGAGAATGCGAATGCACCTGATGGTGAGTCCCATGTCGCTTCATTACTTCCCGATTCATGAAGACGGTTGGTGTCGTTCTCCTGGCTTGAAAAGCGCGCAGGCTGGCGAGGTAGTCGTACAGTCAAGTCCCGCAGTCATTCTTGTGACTCTAGGAAGATGTAGAGCGACGTCGAGCCATGTATTTGGTCGAGTCGTGCGACCCTTTACTGCGTGGGGGGCACCTCGAGCGAAAAGTCCGTGCAGGAGCCCGGGCCCTTCAGGTGTGCACGCTATGTGTGCCACGCACTGTTGTGTCAAATCGCACTCGAAGTCAGACGCTGCTGGGCTTCCTCATTCTTCGTGAATGGCAAGTGCCTCGACGAGACTTGATCGTCCCGCAGCATCAGCCACTCTTGTTGGGTGGAGAGGCGATCAGACCAGGCGGAGTTGCGGCTCATCAGCTGCATGGCTGCAATCGTTGATCAGCATACCAGTCTATTCCGCGTTGTGACATGGAGCCCCCGAGACTCCGCTGGGCCGCTGAAGAAGGGCCCTATATAGCTGTTGCTGTATCGCCATCGCCCATAATAGACACGCAGCAGCTGCTGGGTGCCGTTGCGCAGGTTTCCCGCAATCTGCACTTTAACCTGCGCTCAGAAGCGCACAGCAGCTGGGCTTGATCGAGGCGCCGAGCTGTGCGGAGTGCGTCATGCGCGAGTTCATCTCACCTATATATACCGCGCGCGGCCATGCGCACGCAATTAGGCGCGCGCGTGTGCCAAAGGAGCGTATAGCGAACCGCGGGCGTCTTCGTGCTGCACCATGCGCAGCTTAAACATGATTCGAGATTTCGACATTATTGGTCAAAGTCCAGAGTCTAATTCCCGATTCGATTTCAGGTCCCGCAATTTGTATTCCATGGATGTGGAGTTACTAAGCCCAGACCCGCCCATCGTACTCGGCCTCGCGCGGGCGTAAAGCTCATGCTTTGCTGCTGCATGGCTGCTGCTTGCTGCTGCTTGCCTCGCACTGCATCTTATTTTGGACCGATTTGGCGCGCACGGTCTGCTGGACCCGGTTGGCCCTCTCGCTCGTCAGAATGCACGCATGCGCATATCCTCTCACCAAAACGCGTTCGAACCTCGGTGCCGTCGGCAGCAGCGCGACCATAACACCTTCGTGGCGTTGGTTTGATCGCACTGTCACTGGGTAGGCTCGCGGTCGAGGTTTCAAGTCTTCTTCTTCTTCTATCCAATCATCCACACTCAAGCCGCCCTACCCAAAGTCGCACACCAGCTGGCTGTGCTGCGGCGCACTAGAAGGGGCAGACAGAATTGCTTTCACCTCGTGAAACGAGCGTTCAGTGTGGCATAGCCTTCTTGCACCATGCCAACGCTGCGGTCCAGAGCCTCTTCAGGCTCGCTGAAGCTGAAGCGCGCAGCTTCTGACGCCCGCCATCGCGCCATGTCATCCGTCTCTTCGATCAGCTCAGTAGCCCGCCTGCCGTTCTCCCAGACTGACGAACCCGTGCCTGCTGTCCCTCCCACCTACTCTGCCGACACTTCGATCTCAAACGCTTCTATGGACGATGAACGCATGACCGGAACGTCGTTTCCAACGCGAACTGATGATGACGCCGCCGGGCCTTCCGTACACGATTCATCATCATCGTCCACTCGCGACAAATCTCCATCCAATGGCGTTGCTGGTCCGCGTGCTTCGCGCGCCGTCTCTGCAGTCAACGAGACTGTTTACTCATTCCGTTTGCTGGAAGCCCTGCGTAGTGGTGAGTTGACGTCTGTGGCAGGTCAGGATTACTGCCGCTACAAGCTGATAGGCATTGCCCATGCGCGTTTCCCTGTCTTCAGGAAACCAGACCGAGCTGCACCCTTTTCTCACCAAGGGTGCAGCGCGAGGCGCCGCTGTCAAGGAGCTCACTAGTCCGCTACACCTGGCTGTGCGATGTGCCGAATGTGAGTCACGTTCGTAAATGCGTGTGAGGCAGGTCAAGACAGCTCACGCTGCATTGCATTCTTGATAGACCCAACCATCGAGCTCTGCCTGGAGTACAAATCGGCGACGCTAAATGCAAAGGATTCCATCAATGGCAACACGCCCCTGCACCTTGCCAGTAGCGTAGGAAGGGCAGACGTCGTGCAGCTATTCTTGGACCAAGACGATGTGGACGATACCATCACGAACAATGAGGGCAAGGAACCTATGTCTGTCGCCAAGACGCTTGAAATTGCGCAAATATTTCAAGGTGTGTCTGGCGTCGCCTTTATTGCTGGCTGCGAAGCATGGTGGCTCATCAGCTCTGTATCCTCTTCCCTTCACAGTCTCGCGGGCTGAGCTTAACGTCAAATACTTGCAGACTCTTGAAGCATTTGAGCGCGATCAGGTGGGATCAGACGTACTGCTCGCCTTGCTCGATAGGCCCAGGGTCAAGGCCATCGACTTGAACGCGCAAACCAGACTGTCTGGCACTACCTTGCTGCACGAAGCTGTTCGCAGAAAAGATCCCAAACTCATCGAGACGGCGGTCCGCAAGGGTGCGGACATCTTCTGCCGCAATCGAAAGGGACGCCGGGCGGTGGAGACGACCAAGGACGAGAAGATCAGAGCTCTGCTACAGCAGCTGTCGAATGCGGATGCTGCGCGGGCTGTGCAGCAGTCTGCAGCAGGTTTGCCACCGATCTTCCGCGGCTACCTTGCCAAGTGGACGAACATTGCCGGCGGATACAAGACTCGGTGGTTCGTCCTCGAAAACGGCATTTTATCCTACTACCACACGCAGGAAGAGGAGGGCAAACAGTCGAGGGGTTCGACCAATCTGCGATTCGCCAAGATTCGCGCGGACACCAACGACAAGCATCGATTCGAGGTGCATTCCGATGCGTCGCGCGGATCAGCTTCAAAGCTCTTCTTGCGGGGTTCGCATCCTGTCGAGAGAGCTCGATGGGTGCAGGTGCTTCAACAGACCGTAGACTTCTTCGAAATGGAGCGCGCTCCCAGCAGATCCGACTCGCATAGCGCTCAAAGCGTTCGAGGGTCGATCAGAACACCCTCCACGACCAGCTTGCTGGACAACACTTCTACATCCCACGTTCCTGCCGGCACCAAGGGAGTGCCAGGGGGAACCGTGTCAGTGCCATCTAGGACTGGCACGCCATTCCGCAACATCTCCATGGCGGCTACTCCTACGATTCCGGAGGGCGGTCAGCCTGCTCTTGTGGCGCCTGTGCCACGAGCAGCTCCTGCAGGCGGCATCCTCGAGCGCAGCGACTCGAGCACTGGCGGTCGTGCGCCCTCCGTTCGTTCCTTGCAGGTCGGACGCACACCCAGCCTCGCCAGTCTAGGATCTCATACACCATCCGACGAGAAGGAGGCGGAGCTCAGCAACGAGGTTGACAATGATGATCGACCTCGTGGTATCCCCTACGAAGATTCGATTGCTCTACTCAGCACCAACCTGCGCACCCAGGTCGAACTCGCGCACCAGCTTGCGAGCAGCTTGAATGCTCCTCCTGCAGCATCGACCACACAGCCGCCCGACCGCACGAGCTTCATGTCGACACGCGCGGCTTTCCAAGCTAGTCCGGAAGGCGTGCGCGACGCTTTGCAAGATGCTATCAAGAACAGCGCTAGCCTGCTAGCTCGCTACCAAGAAATCGTATCAGAGCGAGAAGCTTACTTGCTGCGGCGTTATGAACAAGAGGTGAGCGGAGATGCTGATCGCGTGCAAACGCTGGGTTCGTACTCACTCAATTCTTTTGGTCCCACAGATACAAGCCAAGCGGCTGTGGGAAGAGAACATGCGCGTTCTGGCGCAGCAGCATGCGGATATGGAGCGCCAGCTCTCGGAAGCTGTAGAGGAGAATGCTCGACGCCGCAAGGCGCTTAGGGGCATGAGGGACGTCATCGCCAGCTCGCCCGCCGGCACCATCTCGAGCCCACGTGGTGGGGTCGCTTCTCCTGTCGGCGCAGACACGTTTGCATCGCCTCAGGGCTCTTTGGCTCTTCGTCGGCAAGGGGCTGAGGGCGCTCTCCAGCTCGGCGAGTCGGTGCCGGCGCCTCTTTCGGGCCCAGCTGCTACCCTGGACAGCCTGCTTTCCGAAGACACCGCGCAGGACGCCGATGACGAATTCTTTGACGCGATCGACAATGACAATCTGCCCGGCCTTGTCGTGGAAACGCCTTTGGTGTCCGCAAAAGATGCGAGACAGGATGCGACGTGGCCAAAGGAGTTCGATTCGAAGCGCATCGATGAGGATGCTTACGAGCCCTACAAGCGCTTGCGCACAAAGCTGCCCATTGGCCACGACGAGAGACCTAGCGTCTCTCTGTGGGCTGTGCTCAAGAATAACATTGGCAAGGATTTGACGAAGATCACATTCCCCGTCGCTTTCAATGAGCCAACATCGATGCTCCAGCGAATGGCGGAAGACCTAGAATTTCCCGGCTGTCTAGATGCCGCGGCCTCTTCATCCGAGTCTTCGAAGCGTCTCGCTTTCGTAGCAGCGTTTGCAGCATCAAATTATTCCAGCACCATTGGTCGCATTGCCAAGCCGTTCAATCCGATTCTGGGAGAGACTTTCGAGTATTGCTCAGCCGGCAGCAGTCCATACCGCTACGTCAGTGAACAAGTTTCGCACCACCCACCTAAATCTGCATGCTTGGCCGAAGCACCGCTATGGAATTATATGGGCAGCGTCGACGCGAAGTCCAAATTCACTGGCCGCAGCTTCGAGATCACGCCGACTGGTGTCGCTCATGTGGAACTCAAGCTGCCCACAGAGTACTGCAAGAACGCGATCAAGCCACTCCCAGCTGCAAAGGGTATGGTCGAAAAGCGCGTGGTGGAACATTACAGCTGGAGTAAGGTCACGACGGTTGTGTCTGGCTTCTTGACCGGCTCAATTACCATCGATCATGTTGGCACACTGGCGGTCAAGAACCATGCAACCAACGAAAAGTGCGAGCTGAACTTCCGCCCACGCGGTTGGAGAGGAGGCAACGCATGCGAGATCCGTGGAGCAGTTTACGATGCTGCAGGTCAGGTGCTCTGGGACATCGCAGGCAGGTGGAGCACCCAGCTCGTTGCTCGTAGACGTGCCGCTGGGCAGGCGGACCTGAATCCGGATGAAGACATCGGACATGGCGGTACTGGAGCCGAGTACGTTCTGCTCTGGCGCAACAATCCGAAGCCTCCTGCGGCCTTCAACCTCACCGCATTCGCTGCTACTCTCAACTCCTTGCCTAGTGGGCTTGAGACGTGGTTGCCACCTACCGACTGTCGCCTCCGACCAGACTTGTCTGCAGTGAGTTCTCGAAATCGGCTTCATGCAGGCTGAATTCGAGCTGATCGTGTGTGTCTCATCTGATCTGCAGTTCGAAAGCGGACGGTTCTCGGAAGCTGACGTGCTCAAGGGCAAGCTGGAGGACCACCAAAGAGCAACACGTCGCAAGAGAGAGGCTGGTGAACTACCACCTCACAAGCCCCGCTGGTTCAAAGAGATCATCGAGCCAGACTCGGGAGAGTCAATGTACGAAGCTTTGAGAACTCAAGGTGCCAGTGGAGAGCCTGAGGCCGAGTACTGGGCGGAACGCTCGCGCGTCGGCAAGGAGCGGGTGAGCGGCGACAAGGATGCTGCTTGGAAGGGCGCCGATCCCATCTTTGGCGATCTCACCGCCTCGCGAGCTAGACCATGATAGCCCATCCATTGTGCGCTGCGCGGAAACGTGCGGGACTGCCCCCCAAATGCTCTTGCGCCCCTCACACGCCTCTTAATTCGCTTCTGGAATGCTTCATTGAGATTTTGGCCGAGCGCCTCGCGTTCTTGTCCCTCTATACCTCTATATACACTCGGTGCCAAACGCTCTGTACGCGCTTTCAAATCAATGACGCTGTGACTAAGATTACAGCGCGCCGCTGCTCACAATCGGCGTGCGCGCAACGCGGAGGTGAAAGTGATCGCAATCAAGGGCGAGCGTAGATCAAGCATCGTGATGAAGCTTCGCTAAGCTTCTTGATCTCCTTCATGATCGCGGATTGAATGATGATCACCATGCGACGATAGGCCCGTGCCGGGCATCAAGGTCCGAGAGAACCAAGCTGATGCAGCTAGCTAGCCATCCCCCTCTACAGGCATGTAGGGATTCAGCAGCATTGATGACTGATTCATATGTACCTATGCGGCTCAGGAACATTCGCAACCTCAACCATTCGTGATTCGTTGCCTGTTCGGCCTGCTGGCTCTCCCTGCAATGACATATACTCAGGCACGGCCTCAGATTGACTGAGGACGAGGCAAGTAAGTGTTTGGGGGGGGGGGGGAACACAAGACGCACGCAACGACGCGATTGCGCTTGAGTTCGCCAGGAGCAATTGCCCTATATTGTTGCGCGAAAAGGGGCGCGGGGGCGCAGACGGCAAAACGTCAATCAAATGCATTCGTGAGTTGATTGTGCCGTGAATATGAGCGTCAGCTACGATGCCGATGTCACTTCATTCATCTGCGGTAGCGCAGACGAGGGGGAGCACGGATCTCGTTCGTAGACGGATGAGCGGCGGCGGAGGAGCCAAATATTGTCCGTGTTGTTGTTGCTCTTCCCCACCAACTCGCAAAGACATGCACAGCACGGGCGCGGTGCGTTGCGGCGTGGCGTTTAGCTGCATGTGCGACGTCCATTCCATGCATTCATCATGCAGAGAAGATCTCGACGTGATTCTGTTGCACAGGGTCAGCCTACGGCCCACAGCAGACTTGCTCCAACGGGCACGCGGCAATGACAACGACTTCGATGCCGTGCCGGCATAGGTACCGGCACCGCAGACAATCATCAGCACTTGCTGCATGATGTATACCCGCTGTGAGTATACCGACACCCGCGGAAATTATAATCAAGCGATCGATCTACCTTGCAATAACGAATGCTCCTTCGCGCTTCAAAGAGCGTCACAAAGGCATCCGGAGCAAGTCTAAGTAAGCGCTCAGCTTTGCAAAGTCAGAGCGGCAGGGGTTCGTTGAGCGGCAGGGGTTCGTTCTTTTTTTTTTTTGGGTTGGCTCGCACTTCGTGCTGAAGGGTGGTGGCACAGCTGTTTGTATGTGGTAATCGCGCGCAGACTGTCAGAGCAGCGATTCGGTGTGCGGATCACCTCCTACGTCGATGCGACCACCAACGTGGACGGGTCCATCCAGGCGAAGTCACGATCGAGCCTCTTCTTCATAGCATCACTGATTGGAGAAGTGATCGTCAGGATCTCCATCAAAGCTCGTTTCACTGCTGTTCTGTCGATATCGTTACATTAGACAGCTCAGGCTGTGCTCGCTTCGTCATCTCAGGCTATCCGAGCAGCCTCCAGCAACCTCTGGAACGTTTCAACATGCCGCCTCCACGAAACGCAGTCCTTGCACTGCTGGGCTGCGTGCTCGTCGCGGCACATGCTCAAGCTGGGAAAAGGCATTCCGCTGAACTGCACCGTCGATCAACCGAAGACGTGAGTCTCACTTCCCTGTTCGACAAGCTCGGCATCAAGATTCCATTCTTGGGCGCCGTCCCTTCTGGCGGAGACCGCGATTCCCTTTCCTTCAACTCCGACAACTCCAATGCCGCCGACGTCGCCAAAGTTGCACGGGATGCGCTTCGAAAAGCGGAAGAGGCGCTCGAGGGAGCGGAAAAGGAGCTGAACGATTCGCTGCATTTACCGTTGCGCAAGCTTTCAGCCAGCCATCGCATCGACGCATCTGCCCTGTCACTGCTCCATGCACGTCAACATCAGCAGAGCATCGTGGCGCCCTTTGCCGACGGAGGAGCTGGATGGGTCGAATCTTTCAGGATAGCGCAAGACCTCGTTGGCAAGATGACGCTGGAGGAGAAGGCAAATATGACGGCGGGTGCGAATGGCCCGTGCATCGGCTCTACCGGCTCTGTTCCCCGTCTCGGCATTCCTTCGCTCTGCTTCAGCGACGGACCCACGGGTGTGCGTCAAGCTTTGAACGTCTCCCAGTTCCCAGCAGAAGTGACTGTCGGGGCTACTTGGGACCTTGATCTGGTTGGCAAAAGAGCCACGGCAATGGCTGAAGAGTTCAGAGATATCGGCATTAATGTCATGTTTGCTCCCGTCACCGGTGGACCTCTTGGTCGCAGTCCGCAAGGAGGTCGTAATTGGGAAGGTTTTGCTACGGATGAGTATCTCACCGGGCGGGCTTCTTATGTGAGCGTCAAGGATGCCCAAGCTGCCGGCATCGTGGCGGGAGCCAAACATTTCATCTTCTATGAGCAAGAAACTTCTAGAAATGTCAGGACCATCTTGCCAGTCCTTCAGCAGCCTATCGACTCTGTGGTAGATGACAAGACGGCCCACGAGCTCTACATGGTGCCCTTTGCTGAAGCCATCAGGGCCGGGGCGGGGCAGATCATGTGCTCGTACAACAAGATCAACGGCACCCACGCCTGTGAGAGCTCGAAGAGTCTCGCGGGGCTTTTGAAGACCGAGCTGAATTTTCAAGGTGAGCTCGTGAGCGATTTGCACAGGCCCAATTCTGCACAAATCTGACACCACAGCCTGCCTCTAGGCCACGTCGTCTCTGATTATGGAGGAGCATGGAGCGACTCCACCGTAGGATTGGACGTTCTCATGCCAGGCGATGGCCTCTACGGAGTTCAACCAAATTTCTTTGGCTCTCACGGCTCGAAACTGATCGAAAACGTCGAGAACGGCAAGCTGACTGAAACGCGTTTGGACGACATGGTCATTCGTCTGTTGACACCCATCTTGCAGTACCAAGGTGGTGATTTGAGCAAGCTTCTGCCGAACCCCGATCAGCTCAATGTCAAGCCTACCGGCAATAAGAATGTCCAGGGAGACCACCATCAGATCATTCGCCAGATTGGAACTGAAAGTCTGACCCTCTTGAAGAACACCGTGGATGGCAAGACTGGGTCTGGTGGTGCTACTGGATTGCCGCTTGACCTGAACAAAATCAAGAAGAGTAGGTTATCTGCTCTGTATGTCTGGCGCTCGACTTGCAGCTCTGCTGACACGAGCCCGACGCCCGGCTGTGCCCAGTCGCGGTATCAGGTCAAGATGCGGTGTCCTCTCTGGACAATCGTAAAACCTGCAACAAGTGAGCCCAGTTGTCGCGTGCGCAGGGACCTGGATGCAATGTGGTATAGGCTGACACTTTCACCTCTCAAGTCTGGGCGAATGTGTCTTGAAGGATTTCCAAGGCGTTGTTACTACTGGCACGGGATCCGGTTCCACCACTCCGCCCTACATTATCGATCCGCTAGCTGCCATTCGGAGCTACATCGCCAAAGCGGACAAGGACAGAGCAGTGACAGTCACTAGTTCACCCAACCCTTTCGTCTTCCTTGGAGCAGTGTGGGAGGCGAAAAATGCGGATGTCGCCCTCGTCTTTGTAAGCGCCACGGCTGGAGAGGCGAGCGACCGTAACGCGGATCTCAAACTCGACCACAATGGTGAAGATCTCATCAAGGCGGTTGCCGCTGCCAACAATAACACCAGTGAGTGTGCTTCGTGTTGCTCGCCATGTCTTTGCTAGTGTGGTTCGACGTGTTGATGTTGATGAAGCGTGCTGTTGCGTAGTTGTGATCATACACGGTCCAGGTCCCGTTATTGTCGAGGATTGGATTGATCTGCCAAACATTCGCGCCGTCTTGTACGCCTACTACCCTGGGCAAGAAGCCGGCTCATCTCTCACACCTGTTCTTTTCGGAGATGAATCGCCGTCCGGCAAGGTGCGTGAAGCTTCACGCGCGGCATAGCGCAGCCAGCCTCACATGCCCTTGCCTTCTTTCGCGCACGGCAGCTTCCTTTTGTGATGGCGAAGAAAACCTCAGACTGGCCCGCCAACACCCTTGTCAAGACGTTGAGCCTGAACCCCCAAGCGACGTTTGCTGAAAAGCTACTGATCGATTGGCGTTGGCTGGACGCCAAGAACATCGCTCCGCGCTTCCCCTTTGGCTTTGGTCTCTCCTACACCACCTTCTCTTATGGGGAATTGCAAGTTAAAAAGCAGTTCAAGGCGGACTCGACATCCATCCAAAGGACAAAGGAACCCTTCGTCAGCTCAGTTTCGCCCGGCGACTCTCTGTACGACGAGCTCTTCAGCGTGAACCTGCCCATCACCAACACGGGTGATCGCACAGGTAAAGAGGTGGTGCAGCTCTACTTGTCGTATCCCGCTTCTGCCACACAGCAACCTCCTCACGCGTTGCGCGGATTCGCAAAAGTGCAAATCGCGGCAGGCCAAACTCGAACCGTCAGCATGCAGCTTACAAGGAAGGACTTGTCCATCTGGGACGTGGTGCAGCAGAAATGGGTCATCCCGCGAGGCACCTTTACGCTCTTTGCAGCAAAGAGCAGTGCCGACTGGACCAACGCCAAAAAGGCCAATTTCACTGTCTGAGTTGATCTCTGATCATGCTCGTCCGTCGAGTGCCATTGTTGCACTGCTCAGTTCGCTCCATACCAGTTGCCTTCTTGCGCTTCTGTCTAATGCATACATTGCCTCCATCGTACTCCATCAGTCCGCTCCGAAGAATCTTGAAGTGACCTAGGGATGTGCGCTCATCTGTCAATTCAGCTATCATCTCACGTCCAGCGGCCTCGATTCAAGACTGCTTTGGAATAGTTCCGATTCGAATTCCGATGAGAACAAACGACAATCTACTGAGGTGGAGGAGCGTAATGATAGGGCGATTGTTGCTGTTGGTGATGACTTGGAGGCAGAGAAGTCTGATGCGGGTAATGATGACCGGAAGGCGGCGGAGGAGGGGCGCCGTGCTGTTGCGGGTACATCTGTTGGTGCGAAGCATGGGAGTGGGGTGGAGGCGGATGACTCTGCAGCTCATGAGATGGTGGATGAGGAGCTGCATATACTGCTCCAGGAGGCGGAGTAGGCGGAATGTAGACTCCCGGGGGGGCTTGGACGGGCAGACCTGGCGTCGGAGCACCTTGAGGTGGGGGCGGAGGCCAACTTTGAGCGCTGGGTATCGGAGGCTGCCCATACATGTACTGGCCCGGTGCGGCTACGCCACTCTGTGTACCGTACTGGGGTGCCTGTTGAGGCGACTCGCAATCGGGAGAGAGGTGAGCACAATGACTTCGCAGCGAATTTGGGCGCCAAAGAGCTCACCGAAACGTAATACTGCTGCGCAGGTGGAGGATGGTGATGTGAAGGGATGCCATACTCGCTCGGAGGAGGTTGTGTCGACGGAAGGGGCCGATGAGCCACAGAGGGAGGTGAAGAATGAGCTGGCATGGCGAAGAACGATTGAGGCGGTGGCGGCGGGGCGTAGATGCTGCTTTGTGTCGTTGAGTGAGCTACCGAAGGTGACGGCGAAGGGGCACGCGGTGGCGGAGGGGCGGGAGGTTGGCTCAGATGCGTCGAAGACTGATAAAGTGACCTGCGAGTAGTGAGAGCTAGATGTTTGTGGGAGAGTACAGCGCAACGCACCACAACGTCAGCGTACTCACTGTGCGTTGACCACAGAAGCTGTTGGCGGTGGTGGAACGTTGGGCAAAGCGTGGTAGCTTGCCGTGGAATGAGGACGAGGCGCAGGAGAGGGTGCTCTAGGCGGTTCATAGCCTTGCGAAGGCTGAGATGGAGGTGGAGGAAGACCAGCTTGAGGATGATAGTTCGGATGCTGCTGTTGCTGCTGATGTTGCGACGGCGGCGGTGCGGGTGATTGCTGTGGCTGCGAGTATCCGTACGCTTGAGTATAAACCTGTTGCGGCTGTGGTGGGTCCTGCAGGTAGGCATGACCCGGAGGAGCCGAAGAAGGATGTATTGGTGGTGTTGGCGCTACGGGTGGTGGATATGCGTATGCCTGTTGAGGCTGTTGCGGAGGCCCAGGCTGGCCACTGTACGCGTACGGCGAAGGTGACTGTGGCGGGGCAGGTGCACCATGCGGACTAGGCGTCGGTTGTGGCGGGGCCCAGTGATTACTTGGCGTGGGTGGTGGCAAGGGTCTCTCAGCTAGATTCGACTGACTACTGAAGCTCATCGAGCTCATAGGCCGCAACAGCTCATCGGCCAATTCTCCTCCCGGCCAATTCTGCGCACCAGGTCGCAGGGTCGCTGTAGAGCTCGTCGAGGAAGGATGACCGCTGGCAGAGTAAGGGATGCTGCTGATGGCGTCGCTTGAGTTTTGTTGAGCGTGATGGCTGGCTTTTGGTGGCGGATAAGAGCCGGTTCGTAAGGTAGCGGAGGGATCCTGAGTGCGTGATGGAGGCGCAGGCGAGGGCGCTCGCATGGTAGATGGCGCGTATGGGGGCGTGTATGCGCTGATCTGGGCTAAGCTTGAGCTTGGCCTCAGGGTTGAGGGAATCTCGTCAGGGGTCGAGCTGAAGGAGCCAAGATCGCCATGTGTCCTTGAGTGGCTCATGGTGGAAGCTGCACTTGATTGCGCCTCGTGACCAGCTCCTGCTCCGCTAAAGCTTGCCCTGCCCGGACGCATGGACGATGGAATTGGGGCGTGGCCGCTTGGATTCGCTGCAGCCTTCGCAGGTAGTCTAGGAGCCACCTCAAATTCGTCGTCAATGTCTGCGACGAAAGTGCCAGCTCCTCCATAAGTGCCGTTACCAGAGACCACTGGCTTCGCTGCCTTTTTCTTTCTAGGCGGAGCGGCCTGCAAGGCGCGACCCGAAGTCCCAGTCAGCATCGACTCGACTGCAGCTTCCTCTGCTACGCTCTATGGCACTCACCGATGAATAAAACGTAAGTTCGAGATAGACCTCTCCCGCATACCGATCTTTTGCTTTGATGGTGACCCATTCTGCCGAGTTCGTGAAGCAGCGTTGATACAGCCGCATCAATGAGTATAGATCGCTCGTGCGACTCAACTCCAAACTAGCACTTGCCAGCCCGACTCACCATCAAATTCGCCCGTTTTGAGCGTTTCCGTCAAGTCTATCATGCCCTCGCCAATGAACTCGGGCTCGTTCTTGTCATCAGCATAGCAAGTCACTTTGAGCGCCTTGTTGGTGGTCGCTTTGCCCTTTTTGGCTGCGGAAGTCGACGAGCCCGCCTTGAGCGTAGCATTCGCGTCTACATCCCCGTCTCCCGCAGTCCTCTTCAACATATCTTCCACATCTTCAAATATCTCGAAATGCAGCTGAGAATCCCAGACCGGATGTTGGCCTCCCTTCTTATCGGGATCGGTCTTTTGAGTTTCTGAGCCCAGAGTCAAGACACAGTAGGGATCTTGCTTGCCGATGCTCCGCTTGTTTGGAAGATTCTTGGCCTTCAAGACGACGCAGACCAGCGTCCCGCGGTGTCGAGGCTCCGCAGCCGATGTCATCTTGAAACGAGTTTGGGGAAGCTGGTGATCCGTGTACTTGCCGATTCAGTCGGCAATCTGGGCCAGAGCGTTCTGATGAGCGTCGAGATGCAGCTGTTCCGATCTCCCAAGGCGGCAATCGAAATCCTCCTTCGTGTGAGTCGCGACGCGAGCTTTGCTCTGCTACGTGGCGGCCTCCGCGGAATATCAAGAGCTCATTCGTCGAGCTTAGATCAACCTGGCAGCGGAGGTGCTGATGGGAGTATCAGTCCGCTGGGATTGGGTACAGTGTAGGAAGCTTTGTGGGTATTCTGAAGCGACGAGAAGGCAGGCTGAACGAATGCTCGCTGCAGAGTCAACACACAACAGTCACGAATGACGTCCAAGTCCTTCGATGGTCCGCTGCATGGTTGGTTGGCTGGCTGGTTCACCGCCGCGGGAACACAAATCCAACGCGCGCGCGCGTATGTCAAGGGGCTGTGTCGGTTCACCAACAGGCATTTATGAAAAGAAGTCAAAGGCTGTAATCCACGCGTTGAGTGCATTACGACTCGACTTCAACGCTCCTTCTAATCAAATTCTATGCGACCTCAGATCTAAGTCCCCGAACATCCAAAGCGTGCAGATGCACGCACGGCACGCCATCGTTGCCAAGCCACACGAGTCGAGCTGCAGCAGCAGCAGCGCCTCACCACAAATCCGCATTCTGTGAGCGCCCCGCAATGATCAACGAACGCTACTGGGGGAAGCAAGAAGACCATTCTAGTCTTCAGAGTCAAGTCTCGATGAAAGTTGAATTCGTGAATTTGGATCAGAAGAGTCGCGAGTCTTGATGAGTTTGAATCACAACCAAGAAGTCACGATTATAAGTAGTCAGAGTCTCCAGAATTGCAGCATGAAGGGCGGATGCACGAATGCCGCACGGCGCACGTGAGCTCATGAAGGAGCGCACGGGGCGCGGTGCAGCAGCAAGTCGAGGAGCGCTTCTGAAATTACCGGTACGCTGATTGTGATTATGAATCACGTCAAGAATCAGAATCCTGAATTGAATCCAATCGCAAGTAGAAACGAATGCAGGCGGCTCAATCCCTCAAACAGCCAAAGACGACCGACCATCTTTGACGTGATCAGCCGCTTGATCACGACCGCTTGACCTCGTACGACAGCTTTGGAAAGGAGTTCGGCTGATCCACACGTTCAAACCAGGCGCAACTACGAGAAGAGCGGATCTATCATGTCCGATGCTGGTCCCAGCACAGTGACGCTCCCTCTGCTGCATTTCAACGACGTCTACCGGCTGCGTCAGACAGACAAATCATTGGGTGGCGATGGTCGTATAGACGCTTCTCAATTCGCACGAAAGATTCACGATATACGCAAAGCTTGGGATGGCGATCATGTAGGGCAAGGGCAGCAGGCCAACGACAGTCGACTGAACGGCCTTTGCCTGTTTTCGGGAGACGTTTTCAATCCCTCTGTGGAGTCGAGCATCAGCAGAGGCGAACATATGCTTGAGCCTTTGGCTGCCATGTCCATCGATGCGGCCTGCATAGGCAAGTGAGTTCGGCAGTCCGTCATACAGTCTCACTGCCGGGAATCCTCTCATCGATCTCGCTCGCTCTCTTGTTCTTGTCCCTTGCTTGCTGTAGCCATGACTTTGACTTCGGGTAAGTGCTCATGTTTACAAAATTTGCAGACGGTGCGCCAGACCTGACGTGGTGTGTACTCCCGTAGATTTCCTCATCTACGCAGCTTGATGAAGCGGTGCTCGTTCCCGTGGCACCTGTCCAATATTGCGGACACATCTGCAGATGAATCAGCTCGCGATGCGATATCCGACGAGCCTCAGGAGGGGGATGCCACTGTGCCTGGTACGACAAAGTTCACCATCATGCCTGTAGCAGGGCTTCGCGTCGCGATCATAGGTCTCGTGGAGAAGGAGTGAGTGTCTCGATCTCGCTCTGACGCATGCTCGAAAGGCTGGGCTTCCACTGCTAATGTAACTACCTATAGTTGGATCGAGACCATACCAGTTTGGCCTGCCGAGTTCAAGTACAGGTCAATGGCTGCGACAGCAAGAGCCTTGTCAAAAGAGCTACGAGATCCAGAAGGGCCACACAAAGCCGACCTCATCATTGCGTTGACGCATAGCAGGCTCTCCAACGACATTGCTTTGGCCAACGAGGTGGGTGCCACGCGTGGTGAATCGGATGAGCATGGTGTGGATATCATACTTGGGTGAGTCAATTGTCTGTAGAGCGTAGCACTGCACTAGGAGCTGGCTGATAGATCAGACTGTAATCCAGAGGCCATGACCACATGTACTACATTGGCAAAGGAGCTACCAAGTTTGAGGGTCAGGAATTTGAACGTCCAGGAGGATCCGGAGCGGACAATGATACCTTCATAATCAAAAGTGGCACCGACTTTCGTGATTTAAGTGAAGCCGCGCTTACTATCAGTGCGCCACGAGAGAGCAAGGTCAGGCGAAGGAGGATCACCGAACTCAGTGGTGGGTGTGGCGCACCTTTGATGTCAAGCGTTCAGATTGGATGCTAATAGTCCGGTGCGCGGCCCTGCAGTTCGGCGGCATCGCACGCAACCTTCGGATCCGCCTTTGCCAGAGCTGCGCGAGACTATCGGTCATTTACTTGCCAAGATAGATGAGAGCACAGGTCAGCCGGTAGCATACACGCTTACGCCATGGGACACTAGGGCAGGAGAAGTAAGACTTAAGGAGTCTGCATGCGGGGATCTGTAAGTGACCTACAAGCTCTTCCCTCAGCTTCGCTTTGCTAAGCATTCCACACTGAAACAGGATCGCCGATATCATGAGAATATCTTACGAAAGCGTCCTTCGCGATCGAGATCGCCGAGGTCAGCTCGACAAAAAGCGCAAAGAGTCATCGAGGGAGGTGGACATAGCTCTGATTTGTGCGTCCTTGTTCGCCAGCCATTGACTTTGGCCTCGGGTCTGACACCATTTTCTTGTGCTTCTCTCACAGGTGGCGGTAGCTTACGCGGCGACTCGAGCTACGGACCTGGCAGTTTGCGACTTCGAGACATCATGGAGATCATGCCGTTCGACGATAGTGTAGTGTGCTTAGAGCTCACGGGAGCTCAGGTGAGCTGACACTGAGTGGCTGATCGCTGAGAGCAACTCATCAAGACTTCCCTCGTCTCTATTGTAGATCATCGCTGCTCTAGAAAATGGCTTCTCCACGTATCCGAAACAAGAGGGCCGCTTTCCTCAGATTTCTGGAGCTCAGGTCTTGTGGGATTCTACCAAGCCGCCCGGCAAACGTGTAGTAAGCGCTACGCTTTTAGAGGATGGCCATCTATTCCCCACAGACTCAGAAGGCAAACGGACGGCGGATCAGCCCTTCACGTCGTATGATTTCGAGAAGCGCGAAGGCGGTGGGTATTCTGTTGAGATTCACCGCCCTAGGCTGAGGCTAGGCAAAGCACTTCAGGACGACAAAACCTATCGTGTGGTGACCAGAGAGTGAGTATTACGTCCTGACGCACCAGCCTGTACATCCACTGACCTCATATTCTCTGCGGCAGATTCATGGCAGACGGTCATGACGGGTACGAGGTGCTCAAAGCTGGGAAGGAACTCATCGGTCACGAGGAAGGCAGCCTAATGAGTGCGCTTGTCAGAAGATACCTTTTAGGTGCATCGATGCTTTGGCGCATGCGCAGTCTACACGATGCAGCAACGCATGGTGATACAGCCCGGGACGACGGCGCCGGAACTACGGGAGCAGTCGCGCAAGATGCAGACGAAGGGAAACGAGGACCCGCAGGTCTATCTAACAGCGAAAGGACCAAAGCTGCCATTGAGCGAGCACGATTGTTAGGCTCGAGAGGCACTCAGGGAGCAGCTCCTTCGACACCTGCCAAGGGCCGCAATGCGTTTGATGACAGGCACATGAGATTCGTCGTTGATGCCTCACCTTCCGGCATTCGGGATGCGCTTCACTTGTCCGCGGCAGAACATCACTCGCAGCACGACAGAGGTAAGAGGGGGACCATTGACGGCCACCTGCGTATACAGCACTAAGGGCTCAATGACTTCTTTCCGTGGCCTTTTCAGTGACTCGACATCTTGCACAAGCATCCGGCAAATCACCTCGAGCGAGCTCCAGCTCACCGCCAGAGAGCCCATCGCGATCATCTGTCCTGCATTTACGGGCTCAACGACGGCGCTTGCAACTCAGCCAAGACGCATCGGAAGATGAGCATGTCGGAGACCTCTCCGCCGACACGACGATAGAGAAGCAGATTGAGGTGAGCGCGGATGATGCGCAAGATTTGAGAGAGGCCAGCGCAGATCTCGCCCTCGTTGCTCCGATAGTGGACGGAAGGATGCAGGACGTGGCGACGCAAGCTGAACCGCGCGGCAACAAGCATTAATTGGACGGAATGGGAATACATGCGTTGGCAAAGGCTCTCTAGGTGTGGTACAAATTAGTGCGAAGTGCGAGTCTTTGATCGGCCATCAGAGAGCAAGGAGACGGTTTTTGTGGTTCTAGAAATGCAGGATTCGCTTCTATACGGGCGAGAGGGCGTAACGACTCCACGATCGTATGCGCTTTCCGTAGACGTAGAAGGCGAATGGGATGATGGTCATGACAACGGACAGGAAGCCGTAGAAGCTCAATGCCCAGTGAGTTCCAATGCCTGCAGAGATTCCACGCCGTCAGCCGAGGCGGACCGCGTCGAACTCCGGATCTACGAGGCATGCACTCACTCATAAAGAGGGGACGTGTCCACATGATGCCGCCGCCGCTGACAATGTATCTGCGTCAGGTCAAACAGTCGAGCAGCTGTAAGCTTTTGTACGAGGTCTGCAAGAGTAGCGAACCTAATTGCTCACCTCAAGAAAGTCAGGCTTCCCAAAGCGCTAGCACTCCACACGTTGTACACATCGATGACGTATTGATAGCTGGAGATGAAGATGGACAGAACGCCAATTCCCCAAACAAGACCTGCGACGATGCAGGGCCAAGGACCGATGGATGCGTACGCTGTCCAGGCTTGCCAGAAGAGACCGACAGGCACGAGCCAGCTCAAGCACATTGCAAGAATTAGTCTCTCCTCTGGCGGCACTTGCAACGTCCGTGATTTCTCTTCTTCGTCTTCATTCGTCGCCTTTTCGAGTGAGGATTGCCGCAAGGAAGCCTGCACACGAAGATAGCGCTTGTAGACCAGAGGAGTTGGAGTCGCTGCGATACCGATACCAATAGCGATGGCGATGAATGTCAGACCAATTTCACCCGGATTGAGATCGAACGGCTCAAAGATGAGAGGGTATGCTTCGAAAGCTCCAAAGAGGACAATGTAGACTACCGTCATGTACAGCGCGACGAAGAAGACGATGGGTTCCAAGAAGAGCAATTTGAAGGGCATTGCGAAGGCGTGACGTAGGTGTTGAATGAAAGGAGTGTCCTTCCTGGCTCTCTCAAGCGCTGTCGTGTACCGCTCGTCGCCGGTGGCTTTTCTGATCTGGAGTGCCTTCATGCGCAGCAAGGAAGGTGCGAAAGTCTCGGGCATGAACAGAGCGACGAGGATGACGATCGCCCCTCCCCAGATAGCCATGAGCCAATCGCACCACTCTTGACCAACTTTGTAGCCCAAGTAGCCACCAATGGCAGGACCCAGACTCGGACCGAGGAAACCAGCGGCGGCAAAGACCGGAAAGACAAAGGTGCGTTCGGTAGGACCTACAATGTCTGCGAGTGAGCCACCGGCATTCGAAAGCGGCGTGCTACCAAAGAAACCAGCAAAGAAGCGAAGAATGACGCGCGTCTGAATGTTGGGAGCCAATGCGCTGCCCACTTCAAAGAGACAAAAGGCGCCTAGTGTGATGACGTAGACGGGCAATCTACCGCCAATCTCGCTGAGAGGGCCCAAGAAGGGAGCTGCTACGCCGAAACCGACCAGAAAGATGGCAGTCTGAAGCTCCATGACCTCTTCCGATACTTCGAAACGAGCAGCGGCTTCTTGGGCAGCTGAAGAGTCGATGCCTGCCGCCACGCCTACGATGATTGCTATTTGACTGACCAGCAATACGATGCTCCACTTCTTGAACCAAGACCAGTTTTGAGGATTGAGCGGATCTCTACTTCCATCCCAATCCACCAAGAACTCATCCTTGCCATCGCTGCTGGATTTCTCCTTGGCCGCGACTCGCTCCTCGTCGACTTCATGTGCCGCTGTGTCTCCCGCGCCTTGTGATCTCGAATCTTGCAGCTGTTCCTTTTCCGCAACTGCGCCGACAGCAGCACTGTCTGACGTCCTCTTGCCACCGGTGGCAACATCTTGTTCCACCAAGGTGGAGGCTGCCCGGGAGGGTCCGCTTGGCTGCTTGACGTTGCGAGTTGATAACCTCTGCACATCCGCAGATTGGCTAAACGCCTTGTACTGGATGAAGGATTGCAGCACCATGGTGAATGATGAGCAGCACCGTTTGCAGGCAAGAGAGCCGGCACGAGGGTGTTGATATGGCGCGAAGCGGATGACTGTAGCGGTTGGGTGGAAGCGCAAGCAAATTTGGAAGAAAGAAGCCCCATATATATGCGCCAGAGTTGGATTGCTTTAATCTTCTGGCCAGACTGGCCATGCAGCTGCATGGAAGTGTGTATGCAGTCCCGATAAGTGGAGCTCCGATCCTTCAACTCGGAGATGCTCCAGCCTGCTACATCGTGAATGCATGCTCGCTCCACCCTCGTCCCGTTGCTGCGCAGCTGCAAAGTCAGCAGCTCTGAGCGGTCAGCCATGCGACTCAAACACTGTCGACTCAGCTGCTAGACACATTATTGAACAGGAACCAAGATGCGCAATCGTGACTCACATCGTCATATTGTGATTCACATTCGCGTTTCTCATTCGTTCATGCCGCCGATTGCTCGCCAGTAAACGCGACGATCTCTTTGCAAGGATTGCTCAGCTCGTTTGCGTTCGGGCTTTCACGCATGCAGCAGCAGCCGTTCAACACAGACGCAGCGAATCTTCATCTCGATCGCGATCGTGATTACGCCTTTTGTTTCAATTCATCAAGGCGGACCGCGGGCAGCTACTACAGACATTGAGCAATTGAGCAGCAGGGTGCTGAATGCCAGTCAGCGATCGGTCAAACCAGACGCTAGGATCTATAGCGGTCCAGCTGCATGCATGTGCATGCTCACACTCACAACCCTCGGCCGCCGCTCCAGCATGCCGCCCCACAGACGTCAAGCATGAATTTGCCACTACACAGTGAGCCTGCTGCATCGTTGGTTGAAACGCCGGCCGAAAGCAAGAAGCTGCTGCGTCCGGCTCGGCGACAAGGCGTGGTCAGCCACAACGTGCATGCAACGACACATCTCCTTCCAGTTCTGATCGAGCACCATCATCACTCTTACACCTGCACGCAATTCTGCTGGCAATTCGGGGCAGGTATCAAGAATCGGCGGAGATAAGAGACAAAGATCGTTCTGCGCAGCATCAACGTCACACGCACCGAGTCGAGATGACAGATCAGCAATCAGCCTTTGAGCACGCTCTTCCCTGTCCATATATGCTCCTCGAACCAAGTCCTCGCGGGGAGTCTGTCTTTTGCCTTCATGTGCTCGTCTTCGTCCTGCTAGATACACTCAAAACTCGCGCATCGGGCATGCAGGAGTCCGACGAGACCAGGTTCGTTCCCGATCCGATCGGAGTCGATCTGCCAGTCATGTGCGTGCGTGCGTGCGAAACTTCGCCACCGCTCCCCTTGCCTGCCTGCGCAGACAGCCCGATCGGATAGCCCGTCCCCAAAAATCCGACCAAATTCTCGCAATGCTTGCTCGCAGGGCCACTGATTGTTTGACGTGGCTTTTGACGACCGGATCAGGCACATTGCGTTCATGAGTCAGCATGTTCATCTACTCCGACATATACCTGCACTCTCAATGCCGAGAGTGACTAGCAACGCAAAAGCCCGTGGTGCGCAGCGGGCAGCCGCACGGGTCCTAGAAGTGGTTCGCGCAAAGCTTTCAGCTTGCGTCAATCCATCGTGTTCGGATGAAAGCGCTGTTCGTGACGGGATGAACTCCACACTCAGACTTGCCCGCACCTCTACGTCCCAGGTAACAGCATGATATTGGTACGTGCTCCGAGCGCCTGATAGCCAAAAGTATGCGTGAGACTTCTACGTGATGCAGAGGAGTAGTGTGCGTGCGTGGCGCGACGCGACGCCCATTCAGAAGCCTTTCGCGCTCAAGTGATCCCCTTGCAAGAGGGGCGGGCGCAGCGAACGCTTGAGGTCCGACGCGAGAGACTTTGCAATCTTGGCACATCAATCAAGAAGCTTCCTTATCATAAAGCTCCTTCAACAGCTGGTCCTTGATCGCGTTGGTATTTTTCTCCTCGTCCGCTGCCGCATTCTCCTGCTCCTGAGCAGCGCTGGGTGATGAGCCACCTTCGTCGAGAATCAAATGCTTGTCATCATCTTCTTGACCCTCCACCCGATCAGCTAGACGCAGCTTCTTGGCGCCTAGCTTCAAGATGTGCTCCTGAAAGCCGCGGCCGTACGTCAGCTTCAACGCTCATAGTTTCTATATCATCAGCTCTTCTATCACTTACATCGATGGTGCCTTTGCTAATAAGCCGCGTCACTGTGACAGGTCGATGCTGGCCGATCCGGTAGCATCGATCAGAAGCTTGTCGATCCTGCCAATGAAGCGGAAGTAGCGGCAAATCAGCAACGCGATCTGCAAAGAGTAGCATAGATCAATTCTCACATTTTGCGGATTGAACTACGTCCAGCATCGAGGCAGATTTCCGCGTCAGCAAGGGTCATCAGGAGCCACCAAGCGTGCCTATCAGTGAAATCAGTAGACTTACGTCAGAGTCATACAGGATGACATGATTTGCAGCTGTCAGATTGATGCCGACTCCTCCAGCTCCGGTGGACAGTAGAAACACCGTAATGTCCTGATTGCGCGTGAATTCATCCACAATACTTTGCCGCTCTGTGACTTGAGTGCTGCCTGTGAAGCCCGTGTACTTGATGGTCATGATATCGAGCGCGCGACAAATGATATCCAGCATCTTCACGAATTGGGAGAAGACGATGACGCGTTCACCTTTTGCTTGTGCTGCCCGGATCAGACGCTCCATCGCTTTGATCTTGCCCGAATCCAGCCAAGCTGAGTCTGGTACGTCAAGCGGCCCACCGCGCTACAACATCATGACACGTGTCAGCCGAGCGTCTGCAAATAGGCAGTGTCTAATGGAGAACTCACTAGCTTCGGAATCGCCGCTACAACGCTATTTGCCAACTCAGCGTCTGAGTTCTCGGCAAAGTCTTCCCTTGTGTGCTGGATGTTCTCGTCCGGGTGGACCTTGATCCACTCTCGCGCCAGCTTATCGATCCGAGCTTGATCGTAATATTCCCGAAACATGAGCGGATGGTTCGCAGCTTTGCGCAGGGACATGAGCACATGAGAGCTGTCAAGCTTGGTCGCTTCTGCCTTCTTGGCCCCGCCTCCACGACGCCCTCTCGCAGCAGTCTTCGTATCGGCCGCGCCTTTGTCCTCGGCATCGGCGGCAGCCGCAGCAAGCCTTTGCTCTCGGGTGCGCTTGAAGAGGCGAGCCCAGTGCTTCTGCTGCGTGTCTGTCATCTCGACCAGCTCTGCTCGCTCCGTCTTAGTTGGCAGCTCTGGTAGAACGTCTGCTTTTCGACGCCGCAGAACAAAGGGCTGCAGCATCGTCTTCGCTCTATCCACGCGCTCACGTGAAAGTAAATTCTGCGAATTGGCGCTCGTTTTGAAGATGCCCTCGAGGTCCGACTGGGCATGCTCGAAGTAGCGGGGAAGGATAAAGCTGAGTAGGGACATCAATTCCTGCAAATTGTTCTGCAATGGAGTGCCTGTCAAAAGAAGGCGCCATTCAGCGCCGATCCGTTGCAGCTGTTGGTGCTTGGCAGACTTCCTGTTCTTCAGAACATGGCCTTCGTCGTAGACCGCAATGTCGAACTTGAACTTTCGGAAAAAGTCGAAATCTTGCTTGCTGGTGACCGTCTCGTATGTGGTCAAGACCACGGGAAATTCGCGATCTTCGCCAGTCTCTTCGGACGTCTCTTTGTCTTCCTTGAGTTCTCGCCTGAAGCCCAGACGCTCCGCTTGAGGACCATGGTAGACAAAAGGTTCGAGATGAGGAGCGAATTGCTGAAATTCTCTTTGCCAATTTTCCAGAACCGAAGAAGGTACCACGATGAGATGTGTACGTGGTTTGCGCTCCTGTGCAAGCTCGTGCGTCAGGAATGCAATGACCTGGCACGTCTTCCCAGTGCCCATTTCGTCGGCTAGAATACCACCCAGTCTGTGCCTGTGCAGCAAATTCAACCAGTTGACGCCGCGCAGCTGGAAGTCCTTGAGCGTCACACCATCATTCAAGTCTTCTGGCTGCTTCCTCAGGTAGCTCGCGGGCGCGTTCTTGCCGCCATTCGAGTCCCACGAGCCCATCTCCTTCTGCAGCTTCTTGCCCGTATTCTCGCATCTAGAGATTACCGAGTCTACAGCGTGATAAGACGCCATGAGCTCCTCGCAGTTGTCGTAAAGCGCAGGGCGCACACCCTTTGTGCTTTCAAGCTTTCTACGAACATCAGAGGGACTGTGGAAAGGTCTCAAAGACAGGATGATATCCGCTTCTTGGGGCTTACAGCCTGTGTTGGATGTGCAGTGCGTCAGCTTTAGCATTCTATTTTGCTCGCCCTTGCGCGGCAACCGAGATGACTTCTCACCCGTGGTCTCCAGCAACTCGTCTCTGGTGCAATCTGCAAAGTACTTGAAAGCGTTCAGCTCTCTAGCTTCATCACCAGCATCGCTGTACCCATCATCGCCTGACCCGCCATCGTCGGAAATGCTGATTGCACGCTTGGACTGCGCATTACCAGCTTTGCTATAAGTTTGTAACTTGGATTTAGAAGTGCTAGAGGCCGGTTTTGGAGACCAGCTAGCTCTAGCTTGAGCATTCTCGCTGTCTCTTTCGCGGTGGTTCATAGTCCCAGCTGGCGACTTGAGCATGAAAGTGCGAGAAGCGCTGCTTGTGCTCTGGGGCGATTGCGAGACGAAGCTGGTGGTGCGCTTTGGTGGCTCGACTGAGCGCGGAGAAGGCGCAAGGCTGCTGGGTGCGGTGCTGGTAGCAGCATTACGATCGCTGCTACTGACCACGCTCTCCGCAGCACTGACGAGAGAAGCGACACTATCCTCTTCAAAGTTGCCCAACACTTCCAAAGCCTTCCTTCCCTTTTCCTTCAATGCGGCCAAAGTAGCAGCAGGGTTGTCGTAATGCACCAGCAGACGGTAAACCTCTGCCTGCGTGACCTTTACATTCTCGGTTCGCATCAAGTTGCAGACGCGTTGTGCCACCTCTTGTGTCCTAGGATTTGGTTCCGGCGTGCTGGTGTCAGGAATAGCTTTCTGAGGAGACCCACTGGATGATGCAGAGTCGGCGCGCGGCCTAGCACCCAGCTTGAAGCGCCCTTTTTTGGCTGGCGGGGGAACATCCTTTGACTGTGAGCGCAAGAACTGCACGCTCCCATCGTCATCGCTGTCTCCCACATTGATGGGGCTGGAGCGTTTGCCAGTGTGAGCGCCGTTGCTACTAATCACAGGCTTGCTAGCCTCCGCTCCTTGATATCGATACCTGTCCAGATTCTTCAGACCATTCGCACCTCGCGAATTCAGCTGCGAGGAGAGCGAAGAGCCCGGGCGCGACTCTTTTTCCGGCGAGGCGGATGCCGAAGTGCGAAAGTCTGTGCGACCAGCGGAGTTGCCCATCGCGGCTGCCAGCCGTGAGGAGCCGGACGATGACATCCTATCGCCTTGAGCAGCAAGGAGCAAGCTGCGATGGCGTTCGCCTAGGAGGACCGGATGTATGCGCTCGATCTCGCCGGACAAGAATTCGCGAGCTTACGTAAAGAGCAATGGGGAGGATATCTGGGCGGATTCACGAATGGATGGATGCTCAATCTTGAATAGAAGGTACTTCGGTCTACGATGAACCACGCGATGTTGACAGCTGAAGCATGGAAAGTGAGAGGGGAGTCTAAGTGGACTCAAGACTGGCCGAGCAACGAAACCTTCTCACTGACTTGAGTGACTCGTGAAGGTGAGTCTCGTTGTCGCCTTGAACTCAATGACTCCCAATTCAGAAATTTCAGTTACGGTAGAGGCGCCCTGATCGCGTTTACGCGTGCAGCAGCGGCATGCAGCGCCCGACGCGTTTGACTCGAATGACGCGCGCACCGCGGCGTCGAATCTACTCGATCACGCGCTGCTGCCCGCCCTTGACGCTTTACGCACGCGGTTGCGATTTTCGATGGTAAATTATGAATTCATTTATGGATTCAAGATTGGAAGTCGTCAGTCTATAGCTTTGGCGCCCTCGCAGCATAGATCAGCTACAATTACAGATCGCAGCTTTCGCCTAGCTGATGGCGACCCGTTGGAGTGAAGTGCGCCACAGCCAGACCAGCTCGAGGTCAGAGGCAGATGCAAGCCAAGCGTACATGATCGCTGCTCCTAATGTGCGCGGCTAGACCGGGGTGCAGGCTGCGCCCAGGACCAACCGCGCTTCGACCAACGGCTGCTCCAACTCTACATCTGGCACAGACTAGGATGTATCGATGACCTAGTCTGCACCCGTGCGCAGGACATGATTTGTGAGGGCACGTCTGCGCATCAGGTCAGAGGACACGATCGAGAGCTTGAGCAGCGTGCGCGCGATGTAAACATCGTGATTTGCAAAATATCTCATGAAAGGCTAGATGACGCCCCAAAAGTCCTCAAGGGCACAGCAGAACTAAAAGGCGATGAAGGGCGCCGCGTTTGATCAGTCGCTAGTAGATGCGCTGACGCAAAGCTCTAAGTGGTCCTGCATAGCTACAGGCACGAACAAAGACTCACCTTGCCACAAGCAACACTTGCGCTCAAAGAGTACTCGCTGATGCTAATCTTTTCATCGACGATGCTGTCCGCAAAGCTGTCCTTGCCGTGTGCCATAGCCCCAACGAATACCGCGATCGAATGATCGGAGGGAATGCCGTTAGAGAGATAGTTGGAAAGTCTTTGAACCGGCGCATCGAACGACAAAGCTGCACAACAGGTTGGATTGCTTGTCAGCAACGCAAAGGAAACGTCAAGCGTACATGCCTCTGCATTGTTGAGGCTTGGGACGCACTTATCTTGCGGGTGTTGGGTGGGAAGTAATCTGTCACGGGATTTCGAATGACTTTAAGAAGCTTTTCACTTCCTTTGACACTGCGGATCGATAATTTATGAAGCAGTTGCACTGAGCAGCAGGATAGGATCGGTCAGCAATTGTTGGGCTGGGGCGTGGGGCCCCCCGGGCCCCATAGGCTAAGTGCTCACCCATTAGGCCACTGAATCTCTTGAATGTTCGTGGAATTCTGACGTGCGGATTGACCTCGATCAGGACACCTCGCGCGGTGTGTATGTAGACTTGCAGCAATCCCGCTTTATTCAGAGGCGAGTCCAGCAGCGTAAGCAGACACTGGAGAATGTCGGCAAAACCGTAGTGATTAGTGTCACCAGACTTGTGCGTAGACGCATGACGCGCTCTATTCCAACAGCACGTCCAGTGCGTTACAGAATCCGATTGCTCTCACAAGAGGCTCACCTGATGTGTAATGTCTGGCCGAGCTTCAGCAATATCTCTACCCATCTTGGCGAGCACCCTCTGGTGGTCGTCGCAATTCAGTAAGGCGTACTTGTCTCCTCCTTGGTCCTTGCTTCGACCACGACTACTAGATCCGCCCATGGCACCACCTCCGCCATAGCCCCCACTGCCGCCGCCGCCGCTACTGGATGGCCCGCTGCTCATCTTGTACGTCTCCAAGCAAGCTTGTTCCAGCACCACGATCAAGTGCGGCCTGGCACTTTTCTCTGCCAGCGTCTTTGGCACCTTGGGAGCCTGCGGAACCAAATCAGCTCCCACCCTCACTCGCTTCGGAGAGGCGGTCTGTGTCATCGAGGCAGGTGTCACGCCGTTGGCTGCGGTAGCTCCTGGTGTTCCGCTAGTTGACGGGAAAGGTGTGGGCACATTTGTGCCTGGTTTCGAAGGCAGTGCATGTCGCACGCGAGAAGCGGATGGACCCCCTGAGGAAAGCGCAGAGGGTACAAACTCCTGCGCGGCTGGATCGATGACGCCTCGAGATGGTGCCGATGGGGATGAACGCGATGGTAAGGAGGCGATGGGCCGATAAGAAGTGGATGGTTTTGTCGGCTCTGGTGAATCGTCCTCTACTTCCAGCTTGATGCTCGAATCTGAAAGCGCAACGTCCGAAGAGGAACTAGACGGCGACACGGATCTGGAGTTGCCAGCCATGATGGCGATCTTTAACTAAGCAGTCGGGCTCGAAAGGGGTGGCTCTAAGGCCGTGGCGATCTTCCCCTGCGAGTCCTGATCAGTGGCAACGGAAAGCTTGCGGTGGTAGATGCAGCGTGAGACAGAAGAGTTTGGAAGGGGAGGCAGAGCTGTGGAGATGGCCAACAGGAATGGATGACGGGTTGCAATGCCATGTGAACACAGCAGCAACCTTGGGCAGCGGAAAAGTGCTTCTTCAGGCTCACGACTTTTGCACTCACACAATTAATCCACGCCAGCCTAATTCGGCGGAGTTATTCGATTTTTTTGGATTCAAGATCCACGATTGTAACGCGTGACTCGTGACAAGCGCGCGCGGCTCTTCTTCAGGCGTCACTGGTGGTCATAGAGCCACGTGGCCTGGAAGCTCACTTTCACAGTTATATTATACACGCGAGTAACTTAGCTGAGGTGCAACGAACAAGGATGCATGCATGCAGCAGCAGCAGCACGCGCATCACGCATGATCAGAAGCGCGCGAGTGTTTCGCCGCGGTCGTGCATGCTGAATTTCAAACGGGTTAAATGAAAGGCTCGCGCGCCGAGCGCTCACTCCCTTGACTGCTCCGACGCCGAGACGCGCGGGTGTCGGGCGCACGCAAAGAGACGTGACTTGCTTTGCTCTCAACCGTGCAATTCGGAACGCGCTGCTGGGTGTAAAAGCCGTGTTTACTTCAAAAGGGGTGCATTTCCCTGATACGCACCCTTTCTATACCACCACCTAAAATTCTCCCTTACACCTCCTTTACGCGCGATAAATCCGCATTTCACGTCTCTCGCTGGCGTGATCTCCTTTGCCTTTTGCTCTACAAATTTCGTCTTTGCGTGTCGATCAGAGGTGAGTTACTCGCGCACTAATCGTCTCGCTTTGAAGGCATTGACCCTCAAAGTCGCGACTGGCTTGCATCAAAACTGAAATCGAACATCAACACCTCTTTATACATCCACCCACAGCGTGACACACGCGACGCGACGACGCGTTCCCAACACTCTTGACTCCAGACTTCAGCCTCGCTGCGTTCTCGACACCTTTCGCACACCCTGGCTTCGCTGCCTGCGCTTGCAGACCTCGTTGCTTGTCATCACTCACCACCTCACCATCATCAACATCAAGCATAGGTGAGCCAGAAAGCGTGTCGGCCAAGTCTGACTCGCGTCGCTGACCAGCTGTGCTGTCTCGCTCCGTCTCAGTCAGCCATGGAGGGCTATAATAACTGGGCTGTGAGTAAGCTTCCGACACCACCATTGCAATGCATCGCGATGACGTGCACAGACGAATTCCCTGTCGACCGCTGAGCTCATTGCTTCATCTCTCGAAATCCGCCTTTGTCGGCCTGTGCTCTCGGCGCGTCGTCCGCTCCTCTCGACGTTTGTGATCTCTAGCTCGGAGTTGCGCCCCCACCTCCGCATCACTCCTCCCATCATCAGCACCATCAAGGACACCCTCACGCACAACACCCTCAACATGGCGGTCATCAGGTGAGTTGAACATTCACTCCACCCGCACTCGATCTTGGCTGACGTCGCTCCACCAACGCATGTGTGACTAGAACTATGCTCTTGATGCTGGCCAGCAGGAGATCGCGCAGGCGCGAAGTGCTATGATCGAATCCGTTGCCCACATTTCGTCTTCTCTGCGAGCCGCTGCAACGCAGTGCGACTCGTTCGTCAAGATTGTGGCCAAGCATCACCCGACGTCTGCAGCAGCTGCCATCGCCAACATGGGCAATGAGTTCCTGGCTCTCGCTAGCAGTGCTGGCGCAGGTGCACTGGCAGCTCAGACTGGTCTTAATGCTTCTGGTGTTTCTGGCCAGTCTGCTGCACCTCCCACAACGCCCGGTCCAGGCCATGGAGGACGCAGACCTCTTAGCAAAGAAGAAAAGGCAGAAGCCCGCAAGTTGCGCAAAGCAAACCGTGATCCGAAGGCGCCCAAGAGACCTCCCAGCGCATATCTGCTGTTCCAAAACGAGGTTCGAGATGACATGCGAAAGAGGCACCCTGAGCTCACTTACGCTGAGATCTTGAGCAAGATCAGCGAGGCTTGGAAGGCATTGACAGACAACCAGCGCCAAGTAAGTGACCGTTGACGTTTTCGGGACGACAGGATACATCGGAAGCTTTAAGCTCACCCTGCTGTTTCGCGATTTCCTACAGGTATACCACGATAAGACCGTCGAAGCGATGGCTCGTTGGGGAGTGGAGAAGAAAGCTCACGCGGGCGACACGTCGGGCGCACCTGAGTCTTTCGGCGCTGAGTATGGTACTGGTGAGAATGGCTACGGCGGAGACGACGCAGCTCAGGCAGCATCCCAAGCCGTTGGTGGCATGGACTGGAGCTCTGTGCCCACCTCTGCGCTGTCTGGTGAACAGATCTCATCCAAGAAACGAAGCAAAGAGGAGAAGCAGGCGAAAAAGGAAGCGAGGAAAGTAAGTTGCCTGTCCAAACGGGTCAGGGTCACCTTTGAGAAGCCGAGTCTGGCAACAATTGACTGTAACATGCTACTTGCCTTCTTGGACAGCAGAGCAAGATGCACAAGGTCTGAAATCTGCGCTGCTCTTCACCTAGCCGAGCAAATACCTTGCAAAGGACCAGACTGTTTTGTGCAAGACTGTGCTGCTACTGTTCTGTTTTGTTTCTCGGAACTCATGAGACGACAGAGCGAGCATCTGCTTTCGCTGTACGTCTCGCGCGTTTGCTCTCCCTTACCGCTCGTGTACTGTGTATCTCTTGTCTCTCCAGGCCCAAGAATATGAGAAAGAAACCCATGCTTTTGTACGCTGACACTTGGCAAGCTCAACATGCCAGAGTGAACAGCATCGAGACGAGCTACTGCGCATTTGATTTACGATCGTGAACTCTTTCCGCGTTCTCATTGTGTCGACAGCATCACTCAAGTCGCTCTGCCTCATCACAGCTCGTGAGGAAGGCTCATGGATTGGGGACGCGCGTGTGACTCTGACTCTGTACTCGTGGCCGATTGATTCTGTGAAAGGGGGCTGATGGTGGAAAGAGATACGAAGTGAAAGAGAAGAAAGCCAAAGAAGCAAAGAGAACAAATTTGAAGCATGTTCCACTCAAGCTTCCTCTCCTTGTGCCCTGTTAGTGGTGGACTGGTGTACATGAACGCTGCGCGGCTGAAGTGGCGGGTCAACTGGTTCATCGTCTCTAGATGCTGGAGAAGTGCGGCAGCGTGGCAGCACGAGGAGCACTAGAGCATGCCCAGTTGCGCTTGCAGAGTCGCGTCCCAGCACAGACTTCCGTGGCCATATTGAAGGGAATTAGAGCTCGACCCGTCTACATGGCCAGCTCAGCTTGCAAAGCTCTCAACTCTGCATCATCGTCATCCTCCACGGCTTGTCTTCGATTAGGCTCGGCTTGTGTCCTGCTAGGACCCGCTGCGATCGGCGATGGATTGTGCACCGGCGCTCTGTCCGCGCCCACCAGCCTCTCGTTCAATTCTTGCTGCTCCAACTCTTCCAATTCATTCTTGAGCTCGTCCTGCGTGAGGTAGGGGCGATAGAAGCCAAGTATCAGTTTTCGACCCAAATCCGCGCCAAGCATGTGGCTGCGACTTGAGTTGAAGCGAAGCACTTACCTCGTCAATATCATTGCCCATGCCGACAGGGTTGGAAATGGCATCCGAAATTTCTTTGCCGAGGTCCATCTGCTCGCGAATAGAGTCCATTGTGGAGTCGACCTTGTCGATGTTGCTGATGGAGAGGATGCGACCAAGACGTCAGCAATCACTGCCTGTTCCAGACACAACGCTGTGACACACGAGCTCATTTACGCACAGGCTGCCGTGGATGGACCGCAAAGCATCCGCTCCTTTGCGCATAGCCGTCATCGTTTCCAGATTCATGTTTGCGCTCTCGATGGCATTCACTTGGGTCTCCAGAGTCATCCGCGTCCCCGCAATTTGATCGAGCTCGTTCTCGTATGCCTTTTTCTGACGCAGTGCCGCCTGTGCCGCTGATGACGAGCACATGGAGGTGGCGAAGGTGTCAGCTTGGGGTGCTTAGTGTCAGACTCAGTGCACATCTCCGTGCGGATGCACCAGATTAGTGATCCGAAGCATGTGTCAATGAGCTCGGGTGATCATCGGGAGGAATGTCGCGTATATGCGAGCGACGATCCAAATGTGCGAACAGGTTCGGTTCCTGACAACTGCAGCGCGAAGCGCTACTCACCTCGCTTGTTGGTCGTGACGTGCATCCTCGCCTTTTTTGTCTCATCCTCGATCTTCTTGTTCAAGAACTCCTCCTTCTTATCGAGCATGATCAGCTGGGAACGCAATCCCACAATGGCCTCTCTCGCCGCGTGCGGATTCTCCTTTTTCTTCCCCACCAGCCATGAAGACCAGCTCGACATCGTGTACGCTGTTTCGTGTGGAGACGAAGAGGGTGGGTGTGGGTTGCGGCTGAACGCCAAGAGTGAGGACCAGGCCCAGTAGCGAGCTTGGTAGCGGAGTGTGACTGACAGCTAATGCCGCCGCAAATGGCTTCTGCAAATTTGATGCGGCACGGATTCGGTAGGCGAGAGTGACGTGGGGCTAGCTTTGCTCTGACCAGCTCAGCTGAGGCATAGATTGACGATCCGCGTGAGACCGAACGCAGAGTGCCAAGCTTGTGCCACTAATGTGTGATGCCCGCAGAAAGTAGATGGACCCAGTGGTGGATGCTTCAAAGGTCAGTCTCGATCTGAAGTTAGGACAGAGACTGATGTTTATCGTGGAGGTTGTGGTAGGCGCACGTCAAGGCCCGACGATCTCGCCTGGCGCGGATGCACTCACCTCCCACTCACGACTGCTGAGCTCGCGCGCCTCGATCGGTCTGCTGATCTTGAGCGGGCGCGCCCGCGTGTGGAGTTGCTTGCGCGCGCCCACATATTATAAGCAGCAGCATCAGCACTCGTGACTTGATTCACTCGATCGCGTGCCTGCGCGCCACAGGCGCAGCTATATAGAGGTGGCTGGCTGCATGGCTCAGCGCCGCCTCTGTGCCATTCACGATTTCCTTACAATCTGAAATTACTCCACAGCTCGTCTCGACGACTGCCGGTGTATTTGCCTCGCTGCTGCTGATGATATACGGTATGCATGCTGAGCCCTGCTGCCTTGCAAGCAAGAGGCTCATGCCTGAAACATGTCGCGATGAGCAAAGAGACTTTCAAATCGTGAATGACAAACCTTGAGCAGGGAAAGAAGCAAGGATCAATGCAAGCCTTGGCTTTTCGGTCGAAGAGTGCTGTTGAGTCAGAGGTTTGGGTCTTGAGTCTTGTGTATTCCAGTCTCGAACGAGCACAGCAGTCAAGAGTGTCAAAGGTCAAGAGTCAAGCAAGAGTCTTGAGTTGCTAGTCTGATGAGTCTTGATCGACAATTCAGATTCAACATTCGTGATTGAACACAATCGTGAATAAGGTCGTGGATTCGTGGCGCATAAAGCAACGTCACGATCGATGCAAGCAAACCTTGCTTGATTGGTCTTGAAATCTGCGCTGACGGATGACAGTCGGACTGCATGGACTGCTCGTTGTTGTACTTAATTGTTTAGGTCAGAAAGCACACCTGAGACTCAAGACTCATCAAAATGAGTCAAGATTGCTGCCATCTGCTACCACATCATTCAAGATTGCACGACTTTGACTGCACGTACGGCATCATCTAATATCAATTCAATTGTATGCAAGTCCGTTTTGCATGTTGGACCAAATGGTTGAAGTGACACTTATTCAACATTGACTATCGTGTCACAGAGCATTCCAGACTCTTCATTTGATTACGTGTAGCCAGCCGCTTGGCCGGATATACATCTATACACCGCTGCCGGAGCTGCAAAGATGCAGATCAAGGATGTCGTGCTCGTTCAACTCAAAACCAGACTTACTTGGCTTGATTTGAATCAGATTCAACGTCTCGCTTATGTACACCGTGCATCGCTTACCGCTCTTTCGGGAGCGCGCACTTGACGATGTTATTGCATGGTGATATGGGAGCGCAGCCCCGGCCTGAATGCCTGCAGGCCTGCTTGCCTGTCCCTCGGCGTTGCTACCCGTCCATTTTGGTGCTCTGCTTCTGGCTCATCAGATCATGACGGTCATATCCCAGCAGTCATCCAACGTCCTCCAGCCGATCGGGAGGGTCCTTTTCCCAGTACATTACTTTTCTGCCCTACGTTCCCACACCTCCACAGGATCCCCAGCGATCGCAGCCAGGTTGGAGCTCATTCAAACTAAGCACAGACATATAGCAGTCTGCGATTGCTGACAGCAGAAGCTTTGATCCTTCATTCAATCAAAAGCGTACCTCTGGCTCGTCTGCGAAGAGCCAGCCTAGAAGAAAGTACGATTACCCGGCAGCGATAGTCACAATCTGAACGTGGGGCCATCGATCATCGAGCATGTCGAGCCGGCCAGCACCACCAGCTGGAGCCGGGGCCCCATCATCCTCATCAGCCCAAGCCCCCTTGGCTCGCATGACGGATGCAACCGCTGGACCTGGACCTGGACCAGCATCCACCAAGCTAGCCGCTCTCTCCATCGACTCTTACCATCTCGACTCGCCGCCTTTCACAGGCACTGCCGTCGGTGGGCCTCCCCTGGCAGAAGCTGGTGCGAAATTAGCAGCATCACGAAATACCGAGACACCAAAGGAATTGGCACAACAGCGAGTTGGCGTCAATGGACAGATCACTAGCGCATCGCCTTTGTCTAACGAAATTGCCAGCACTTCCTCAGATAGCGCAGCGTCGAGCGGCGGGCACGAAGATGAAGGCCAAGGGCACGATGGCGATGTGCCTCAATGGTTGCTAGACAGTCGTCGACACTCCGTCGAAGCGGGCGACTCCTCTCAATCAGCAAACGCGAGTCCATTGACCATTCGACCCACTTTTCCTTATCATTCCGCATCTCGAGCGTTTCAACCTAGCACATCCACAGTCAGGGAATCATCCCCTCATTCGTCCAGCACCACCACACACACAGCAGCTTCTAGCGCTAGTCGTCAGGCCGAGGCAATGTCCATCACCACTGTGCTCTCGCAGCAAGAAAGGCAGGGACGTCCAGCATACGCTCAAACTGAAGACGTCGATGGGATAGGCCAGGAGTCAGCCAGTCATCCGGCTGATGCGTACGACGAGCTGGATGTCGAAGAGCTAGGTGTCGCTTCGTACGGAGAGGTCCCTCGTCAAGCTCAGGGCAAGGTGAGCGGACTGTCTCCCGGCTTTTTTGGGTGCATACAAGGGCGATGTGACTGATCAATGCGGACCGCCGCCCCTTCTGTCCATCAGGCCGATTACGTGTTTCCCAGGCATCGTCTGCCAACGCGCATGCGTGACGAGTCCAAGATCCCACTTGTCATCGTAGCCTGCGGAAGCTTCTCCCCTCCCACTTATCTGCATTTGTGAGTGGGGAAAGGCGCTGTCTGGTATGATTGCAAAACGTCTGCTGATTCGAAAGAGCACTCATCAAGACGCATCTTCGAGATGGCAAAAGATCAAGTGATCGAGGAGGGCAAGTACGAGCTCTTGGGAGGCTACTACTCTCCAGTGTCTGACTACTACAAGAAGGACGGCTTAGCAAAAGCTACGCATCGAGTGCGGATGTGCGAGTAAGTATGCCTTTACCTCGCAATGTCATTCCACTCATGCACGATCGGTCAGCTCAGATACTATCCTTTCAAACTGCAGGCTCGCAGTCGAGAAGACATCGACCTGGCTAATGGTGGATGCTTGGGAATCTCTACAGGACGAGTACCAAAGGACTGCTGTAGTGCTCGACCACTTCAACGAAGAAATCAATGGAGGCGCCGAAGGAGGAGTCATGCTAGCTGACGGGAGCAAAAGGAGAATAAGAATCATGCTTCTTGCAGGTGGTGATCTAATTCAAAGCATGGGTGAACCGGGAGTCTGGGCCGAAGACGACGTGAGTGAAGCCTCGCTTTGGGTTCCCTTCTCATCGATTTCACTCACTTGGCGTTCCTTTGCAGTTGCATCATATTCTTGGGCGCTACGGCTGCATGATCGTGGAACGTACCGGAGCAGACGTCTGGTCCTTCCTTCTCTCCCATGACCTCTTGTGGAAATACAGACGAAATCTGAACGTGGTCACCCAAGTCATCTACGACGATGTCAGCAGTTCCAAGATCAGGTTATTTATTCGAAGAGGAAAGAGCATACGTTACCTCTTACCTCAAGCCGTCGTTCATTACATGGCCGAAAATCAATTGGTGAGCACCTGAGCGCCGCGAAAGTGCTCTTGCCTCGCACCACTCGTTCCCATCCTGTATCTTGCCCCTGCGCACCACTGACGATTTGTTTGCCGTTTGCGCGGCCCCCTCCGCACTCAGTACCGCTTGCCTGCAGACGATATTGGCGAGCCGGTCGACGCTGACAAAACGTTGACAGAGCACAAAGCGAAGAATGGCTAGGTCAGGAGGTACGGGGGTAAGTGAGCGCATCGTCGGCGGGGCATCAAGTCGCTGGATCATCGTTGCCCTCTCACTAGCACATCTCAATGGACATCTCGTGTCGCTGCGTATGTAATGTATTTCGGAAATGCCTTCCAGACCTCCAATGGATGACTTGGCCCCACTTGGTGCTGCGGCCGGGCTCATCCCCCCAGTGAGAGACACTGTCCAAACTACAAGCGCACGCTCCGGGACGAAGAGATCCTCACACTCATGCCAACAGATTCACACGTATACATTGCACAAGCGCGTCCATGTTCCAAAGGGCCTACTGCTAATCCAGCAAAGCCCAGGAGAAGAAGACAAGAGGGGAGGAAGAATCTAGTAGACTTCCAACACGTACCTCTCCTCCTCTTTCAAGCTCTCAATCTTGGCAGTCGCTTCATCAGCGGGCATGCCTTGGTCCGTGAAGCCATCAATCAAAGCCTGCGTCACGTCTGGTACTGGCCACGTGGGTCCACACAAGCAGGCATAACCTTTGTCTGCCTCGTTGGACGCAGTCAGCAGCTTGGCAATGGTCGCGCTGTGCTCCCTGATACGGTCTTGAATGTAGCTGAAGGGGCAGGGCAAAGCAAGACGTGGGGTGCAATCGCGTGAATACGCGTCACGGAAGGGAACTACGTCAGGCGACACTCACATTTTGTGCTTTTGGTCTCGAGAGAAGGCAGTGAGCAGAGTGATCAGACCATCCCGCTCATACGCCTTGAGCTCCTCGCCGTACAAGAACTCGCTAGCCTCGTAACGAGAACCGAAGCAATAGATGAGAGGGCCAATAGGCAAGCCCTGCTTACGCTGCACATCTCTAGCCTGAATGTATGCTCTGAAGGGAGCAGCACCAGTTCCCAAACCAGCCATGATGATGGGCTGAGTGGTCAGAGGTGGCAGCTTCATGATGGACGGCTTGAGAGAGACGGTCACTTGATCTCCCACTTTGAGGTTGGTCAAGTAGCGCGTGCATTGTCCAAACCTGGGCGATCCGCTCGGAGTGAGCCAGTCCACCGTGACGACGAGCAAATGAACACTCTCGCCCACAGCTGACTGAGCCGAAGCGATGGAGTAGTGACGAGGCTCGATGGGCGAAATCTCGGTCAGGAGCTGCTCCAGGGAAGGACGAGCAGAGGGGAACATGCGAAGAACGTCCGCATACGTGACAGTCTCGACTTCGGACAACTTCTTGAATGTCGCATTACCCTCTGCTGCGGCAATGAATTTGAGCCAGCGAGCATCATCTCTATCCTTCGCGACCTGGCCGAGGAACTCGTAGAAGCGTTTGCCTGGTTTGCCGAAGATGTCCAGGCGTTGCTGCAGCAGCTGGAAGACGGTGCGGGTCTCGAAACGAGCGGGATCGTTCAAGCTGGGAATGCTGATCACCTCTTCTCCCTTTGCTCCGTACCACTCCAAGAATTCCTTTACTTCTTGCTCATCGTTCCAGCCGTGCACACCGAGGGCCTCTCCCACTTCGTACTTGAGGTCGGTACCTGCCGTGCTGAGCTCCATGTGGAAGACGTTGCGGTCGTAGTCGACCGGTGTCAGACGACGATTCTCTGTCACCTTGACCACCCATGTTTGCTCGTGCAGGTCGGGTCGCAAAGACTTGTCGTCCAGACCGTAAGCCTCCGAAAAGAGATTTTGCCAAGCCGGGAGGGCCCAAGTGGCTCTCGAGGTTGGAATGGTGCCGTCAGCAGCAGCAAGAGCTGCAGCGTCCAAATTGGCCGTAAAGGAGTTGTATCGTCCAGCAGACGCCCGGCCCGATGCAGCCGCACTGGCAGTGGCGTCGGCTGAAGTGCTAGCCCAAGCTGCTTCCTCGTATTGGACAGGTTGCACTGCTGCATGAGCTGCTTCGACAAGGGCAGGCAGTCCACCAGGTCCGAGAGGCGCAACGCCCAGAATACGCTGCAGCAGGACAACAGAGTCATCGAGACCGAGTCCGCTGTGGGCATTGAGGTACACAGCGAGGAGCACAGCCGCTGCCACCTCTTTGGTCAATGCTGGAGACTTGGCGCCGCCAGCCAGCTTGTCTGCTGTGGCAGTGGCGTCAACGAGGACAACTCGCGCACGCGCCGATGCGAGGGCTTGCAAGTCGACGGGCGACAGCTTCGTGGGCACCTCCTCCACCTCCCAGCCTGGCGCATTCAGAATGACCGTCGCGCCGGAGGCCAGGTCACCGAACGCATTGACACCCTTCAGACAGCTAATGTCGCCGACTACAAGAGCGTGAATTCCTCCTTCTGTAGCCAGATGAGCGGGGAAGATGTCATCTCCAGGATTACCGAGGACAACATCCGAACGTACTACGCCTCCAACGCTAAAGTTATCGAAGCGAGAGATGATGCGACTACCTTCGCCAGTCGTGCGAGAGCGCAGCGCACGTGCGAGCAGTCGACCGGTGTAGGATGTTGGAGAAGCGTCGCCGTCCAAGAAGCTGACGACGCGCTGAGCACCAAGTAGACCCGCTGGTGTTGCCACGCTTTCAGCGAAGACGGTGGCAAGGCTGCTGATTGGGCCAGATGCAGCCGCCCGGAAGAGCGAGACCCATTGGCCTGCCGAGATGGTCTGTCCAGCGGAGAAAGCAAGAGGCTGAACAGCGCGAACGATGCCGCTGGTAAAGTCATTGAGCAGAGCTGCCTGCACATCGTCGAACAGAACGCCAGATGCGCCTGAACGCAACTCGTCGACAACAAAGACGCGCTTGACAGAAGCTGGCAAGGCAGCCAGAAGGTCGTCGTCGCTCCAAGGGCGCAGCACACGAACAGCAAGGATGCCAACCTTCTCTGCTACACCGCTCCGGGAGAGCAGAGCACGAGCGGCGCTAGCGTGAGAGCCATTTGGCATCACAATCACGGACGTAGCATCTGCAGCGCCGTAGTAATCAAAGTGAGAAAGACCACGACGGCCAAGGGCTGCGCTAATGGAAGTTGCTGTTCCGCTTCCAAGGGTCGGCTCGGACAGTGCTGCTACTTCGCGAGCCGAGTAGGCGCCATCGAAGACGTGGACAGCGTGCTCTTGCGTGCCAGCTTCGTAGATGGAAGCAGCGACGTCGACGGCTTCTTGACGGCCAGCAGAGAGAATGACTGCAAAGTCCGGGGCGCCCACGGGGCTGGCTCCCGTAAGAGCAGCCGTGGCGCCGAGCACGCTGGCGTAGTCATTAGCCACCCGCAGGTTGTCGTCGTGATCGACGGCCTGGGAAGCTGCGCTGGCGTGAATGACGAGCCTGGAATCCGATGGTGGCAGCGCAGCGAGTGTGGGAGCCATCGCCACCAAGCCTTGAGCATTGGTCAGGGCACTGACCACTTTTTTCAATGCTGCTGGTGCGCCGCTCGTCGTTCCCTTCTCCGCCACATAGCCAGCGATGGCATTTCCGGCACCTCCACGGGTCTGCAGACTGAAGACACAGGGTCTGCCCGCCACCCAGCCTTTGGCTACCGCTTCTTTCGCCTCGCGCTCAGCCCACGCTCCAAAGCCGGCGTTGGTGGCTGACTCGTAGACAAAGAGCGAGTTGGATGAGCGGTAAGCCAGCTGTTCGATCAAGCCTGCACTTGTAGCCTTCAGCTCGGCCTGTGGCAAACCAGTGAGCCATACTGGAGCGTCGGACTTGGAGGCCACTTCTTCGGTTGATTTGGTGTCGGAACCGCTGAGGTTCATACGTGTGTCGAGGATACGTGCAGCATCTTGCGCGGGTCGACTGTTGGGGACGACGCCAAGCTCCTGGGCTACGAGTTTGGCGGGCTGAGCAGCCTCTTCTTGTTTGCTCAGCGCGGGCTTTGCAGCGTCGGCTCCAAACCTCGTAGGGTCCACGTCGTCCAACTTGGTAGTCTCATCAGCAGTACGTGCGCTGCCACTACCGAGCACTTTTGCGGCTTTGTCGCGCGTGCTACGGGTGACTTTGCGGCTTGGAGCGAAGGATGCTCGAGAGAGAGCAAGAGCACCTCCGATGCCTACAGCCAGACCACCGGCGAAGATGGCTGCCGTGCCAAACGGAGCGTTCGCATGTACCGTGGCCATCGTGATCTTGTGAACGCGAGGCTGAGGTGAGGAGTGATTTGACGTGTGTAGGGGATGAGGATGGAGAGGGAGCAGTGGCTGCTGGTTGATGACTGAGCCCCAATCACACTCTTGACTCCAGGTCACGCGCAGCGAGAAGAAGTCGCAAATTTGGGCGCGCGTGAGCTCATCTGCTGCTCGGCCTTTGCGGGAAGCCGCTCTGCGTCTTTTCCTTTTTCTTTTTGCCAATTAAAATTCCATTCAATTCAAGATCGCAGCTCGTTATTTGTTGTTTGGTTCAACGCTTCAATAAGCTGCTGCTGTCGCATGCATGCGCGTGTGGCTTTTCTCGCTCGGGTCCAATCGAGCGCGCGGGAGACCGGCACAGGCTGCGCTAGCACGCAATATCACGTGGGCATACAATCGACATCTAAGAATCTTGAATCAGAATCAAGAATCATCCGCTGCTATACGGCGATAGACCATGCGGCCGTGATGTTCTTCTGGGCCTGTGCTTCGAGGTGAAGAACAATCAACCTCCTGATGAAGCCTTTTTGCAAGAGCTCTGGAAGTCTGCGAGTATCCGGAACAATGGTGGATGGTGGATCAAACGCAAACGATGAGAGCAATTTCTCAAATGTCAAGCAGCCCTGTCCGAATCACGCAGGATCCTGAATGGACACGCGCAGCGTCGTTCGGTACTACATATGTGACTCCGTCACTACGGTGAGAGGCGCCCAAAGGCTTTACCCTGCCGGTCGCGGAAGGTCAAGAGTCAGAGCGCCCATGAATTCGAAGGAAAATCGGTAGGCTGGGCGGGTGTCTCTTTGCGGCACGACGCCGTACTCAGGCCGTACTGGAAGGTGCTGAAGGTGGTGAAGAGCAGCACGGTTGCGTTGCCAACTCGATTCTTTGCCCCGCCCAATCCGCGCGTCTTGGTGTCCACGCCACAAGCGCGCACCGGGTCTCGCCACTCGCTTTGCCGCCTTGCCACTGGCTGCCTCCGCCGCTCAAGCAGTCGTGCCTGCGTTGGTGTTTGTGGAGTGTCGCATTCAATGTTGCTGTGGCGAAGAAGACACCACATCAATTGGCGTGGCAAGTGGGGTGAGCATTTGCTAGTGCTGCGACCGCTGCGACCGCTGCGAATCTGTCAGTCGTTGTGAGGCGCTGCCACACTTGTTGTGGCTAAGGCATAAGCAACGCCTGCGCTCCCGCTCCTGGACAGCGTCTCTTATAAGCTCTCCTCTTTACCACAAACCACCAGCTCTTGTCTCATACTTTTCTTCCCTGGCATTCGAGGACGCTATTCAGCAAGCTGGCCTTGCACATTCTGCGTGTCCTCTCTTTATGGTACATCTTGCGCAATGCGGCGTCAAAGTCTCCCTCGATGGAGTCTTGCTTACCGTAGCTTTTTGCTAGCTACTGCTCTCGCAGCTGCAGCAAGTCGGCCCTGCCAAGCTATCTCGGTGGATGGCGATGATACGCTTCTCTACAAACGTGGTCTCGAGGAGATCCTAAGCAACGCGCAAAGATTCGGCCACGGCACGCCCGGCAGCGATGCGTCTCGCTCTGCTCAGCTTTCTGGCGCTCAGCTACAGGATATTGGGCGGCCTCAGAGCGGCTCAGACCGAATACCCTCCAGCTGGCCCATGCAGCACGACTCTACTTCGTTGCCCCGCTCTCACTTGACGGATACTGATCAAGGCACGCAATTCCACCATCCCTTGACCTCTATGGGGAATCGCCACAGCGATGCGATACCAATTCGCGACGCTCCTGAGGCATATGAGGCGCTTCCACGCTTTCATGGGCTCCAAGCCGCTCCTCGAACCGATCGACAAGCTACTTCTCAGATCGCCTCTTCGTACGTCTCGCATCCACACAGTGCAAAAGATGGCGGTGCAAGCCCGTTGGCCAGAGCACCTTCCCATGCAGGCCTCACCTCTGACGAATCTTGGCAGCCGCCGGGTGGTTGGGGCAGTGTGCGCCCAAAGAAAGACTGGGACAAGCTCACCGAATGGGGCAAAGTCTTTCGGATTAGGCGCTTCAGGAATGCTGAAGCCGGTATACGCCCCGTACGCTCTGACAGACCAAGAAACAGTTCCTGGGCCTACGATGAACACGGTGCTCCACGACCCAAGCGTGACGATGAATTAGGGCCCTACGCGCGTTGGCGCCGCCAAAATGCCGACAAGGTGGCCGCATCAGTCGCAAGAAGTCTTGAGCGGGCCAAGGAGAATGTAGTTCGCGCTCAACAAGGACTACCACCCCTCCCCCCGGGCAAGAGAGGTCGCCGACTTTCAGACAAACCACTGAGTAGGTCGGGCACGTATAGGCGCGCACAGGCAGGACGAGCACTACCAAATCACCCGGATCAAATGCCAGCTCCAGATGTAGGCAGGACTGCAAGAGCGAGAGAGCGGAGATTGAGACAAGAAGAGGACATCAGAGCTCAAGAGAGCTCCGACGGCTCCAAGAGCCCTCCCTCATCGACAGCGCACCCGCATGTTGAACGTCGTTCACTCTCCGGATGGCAGCTTTCAAAGCGTGGTCCACCGGTATCTGAGCTCGCGCACCTCTTGGACTCAGGGGCCCCTCAGGCACTGCACGCCGCAGAGCGTTTGAGTCCTACTCATGAGGCTGGCCCTTCCAGTCTTATCCAAAGCGGCGGTGCTCCCCGAAAAGTCTTGGACTTTGATCTCAATGAGGTAGGTCTTCTGGTGCGATGTGGGGTCTTAACAGCACTGACACCCTCACCTTCGCCTGGACGTCCAGCTGCCTGTCGAGGCTACTCATGTTCCATCTTCTCCCTTACCAATTAGCCCTCAGGGACCCTCGCTCTCCCCGCAAAGTGTATCAACATCGCGTGTTTCCAAGGAGGTCCCTCAGCAGCCAGAGGAGATCGTTGGCGGCAGCTACCGCGGCCATCTTGGAGTCAGTGTTGCTTCGTGCGGTCTTGTCGTCTCAACGCACACTCACGGCATTCCCTTTCCCCCAACATCCACAGACTCCGATGGGCTACAAGCACAAGCCCTTCGATCAGCTGAGCAAAGCGCAAAAATGGAACCGACTGAACCCCGAAAAAGCGCTGGATACGCGCAGAAGATGGGCTGCAAAGCGAAAAGAAACTCCGTCAGCCCCTAAGGCTGCTCGACCCATTGACCCTCGGCCGTTCGAGAGCCTTCCGGCATCAACGCAGTACAATCGTCTGCATCCAGAAAAGAATGTGCAGTACAAGCGAAGGCGAATGCTGAAGCAGAAAATCCTTGCAATGGAAGAATCTGGCAGTGCAAATCCCGAAGAATTGGCTGAAGCTCGTGCAGCTCTAGCGTCGGAGCCTTATTTACCACAAGGCGTGAGTGCAAGCTGTTGCTCGCATGCGAGCGTCTGACGGTCGACGATACAAAGGCCACGTCACGCTGACGATCTCGCCTTTGTAGCGCCCTGTTGGAAGTAAGAGTGTGAACGTCAAGCCCTTTGAAGAATTAAGCGCTTCTGGCCAGTACAAGCGGCTTCATCCGCAGAGGACGGAAAAGTACCAGGCTCGCAAGCGTATCGACAAACCGCTGCCTAATGGTAGTAAGGTCAAGTCGTACGAAGAACTCTCGGCATCCGGCAAGTATAATCGGGACCACCCTGACAAAAGCTACATGTACAGGCAGAATCGGCGCGCCAAGTTCCTTGCCACCCACACGCCTTTGCCGCCTGGACCCAGACCAGGGAGCAAAAGAGTGGCACGGCCGAGCTCCTCCACCACCGTCTTGGAGCAGCGAGCCTATGAAGAGGGCCATCTGGACGATTTCTTCGAGCACGGCTACCACCATCTGGTTGGTGGGCCATCCTCGCCGCTCGCAAAGACGCACGAAGTACTTGACTATTTCGACCCTCCACGAGCAATGGAATCCAATAGTGCGCACGCATCTCAGCACGTTGCTCCTTCTTCGCGCGAGCCGGTGCGTGCGGACTGGACAGATTTCGAGTTTGCATCACGGCAACTACTCCTCGTTTTGCTGATGCTGTCAGCGCCTCTCGCTCTTGCAGTCATCTTCGCATTCCGAGGGGCAGCGAAGCCGCATGCACGATGATCATCACGAAAGTGATCACACGGCGCAAGTGCAAACACCAGAAAGTTCTACAAATGGAGCAGAGTCGAGTGCAACATCGGCTCCAGCTCGAAAGCAAAATCGCTCGTACGGCGGCAGGCCTCGCGGACGACCACCGAAACTGAGCACGATGCCAGAAAGCGATGAAGCCAAGACAAGGCGTTTGCAGCGTAAATATGCTCACCCATTCGAGCCGAGACCCTTGAAGAAGGTCACGGACATCAACTTGAATTCTTCGTATCAGCGACGTTACCGCGGTGGTAAGAAGCTGGATACGGTACTGCAAGATATCGAATTTTTGAAAAAGAATCCCGAACGCCACGAGCACCTGCTGAAGAACGCGCACACAAGAGCTCAGCACTTCTTCAGCCAGACTAATGGTCCGGTTGGAAAGCGGTGGGAGGTTCCTTATCGAGCAGTTCGCATGACGCCACAAGCCCTCATGAACTTGGGAAAAGAGGGCCGTTACTATCATGTCAGAAAGCTCAGACAGGCCGCAGCAGAAGCAGACGAGCGTGCAAAGTATCTCGCTGAGCACCCACTAGCCACAAATGAGGTCAAGAAAATGGCCAGAGAAAGGGCGGAGTCCATGGCAAGCTTGGCGGGACACACCTACAAACCGCGGACAAACCCATGGACCGCGGGCGACTCGAAGTCGGTTGCCTTGTTACCAAAGGCAACAGCAGAAGCCTTGGCTACCTGGCGCCAAAGTGTTCGCCGTCCTTCTAATGGGTCGAAAGATGCAGCAAGCTCCTCTGCGCCTGCCTCGCCATCTGGACCGAGTGCTGAGTGATACGCAAACTCAATGTCATCGCACAATGAATTTGGACTTCGAGGTCTTCTGCGATGTGACTTGTTCCTAGGTGAAGCGTGTGTCTGATGCTTAGCCTGCCATCATGAGCATCACCTGGTGACGCTCTTGGTCTCTGGTCTTCCAGACAGCGTGAGACACGTTCCCAATTCGTGAATGCATAGTGTCTCTGTCGCTTCACCTGACTTCCATCATCTCGACATCGAGCGTGGAGCAGGATGACATGCTTCAATTCAATCATTTTGGAATTGACGTACTGGAATGCATGCGAATACAACAGGCCGCAGAGACGACTGCAGGAATTAGGTGTGCGCACTGCACTGCCACTTTTGAAGTATCTGAAATCTGGCCATGTGCTCTCGGAGGTGCTGCTCTCTTTCCTGCACCTAGAATTTGCTTCACTGCCCTTGATCTTGCTGTAGCTTGTTGAGGCGAGTTTTCCTGGTTGCTGGCGTGCGTGGGTGCTTGACGCCCTTCATCGAGTCGCTCAAATCGGTCATGAATGCCTTTGGGTGCGCCTGATAGTACGGTTGGTTCCTGGCCTCCCTAGAAGAAGCTCCGGTACTGTACTGGCCCAAGCCCCCAGAAGTCGGATCCTGCAGCCGCGACTGAATCATGGAGCCGTGACTTCCAGGCAGTGCGGCGAGCTCGCCAGGCTCGCCATATATCAAGTGGTATCCTTTCGGTTCAAGCTTTTGACCACGACTGGTCGTTCCATCCGCTGGAATGCGAATGCGATTTCTGTCGGCGCTAACCCTTGAAAGTGAGGAAGGGGCTCCTTTGCGCGCCCTTCTTTCCAAGACCTGTAAACCTGAGCAAGGCCAGAGACCAGAAGGAGCGCTCTCAGCGTCTTGTCCGTGGCTTCAATCTCCGCAGCCTTATTTATGAGTGTGGACTCACAGTGAAGGCCCGCATGTCAGGCATATGAGTGTCTCGGTGCCACTCCAGAGCTGTCCGAATGTCTTTGTTCCACGCATCCTTCGGGTCGCGCCCGCGCCAGTTTATTTCTAAGCCATTTTCATCAGTTACATTGTTCTCATCGTGCTGTCCCTTTCGCAACGGCATAGAGCTTGAGCCAACGGTAGTTTTCAGTCTCTTCTGGGGGCGCGGAGGGAGGCCCTCTTGAGGATGTGAAGATTTGCCTTCTTGATGGCGCAGAGGTATTTCCGCTTGAGGACGCGAAGGTTGGCTTCCTTGAGGAGGCAGAAAATTGTGCTCTTGAAGATGCGGAGCATCATTTGGCAAGTGCACAGATGCTGGAAGGTCTAACATCGCTCGAAATGGGTTGTGTCTCGTCCGTGCAAGTTCGACCAAATGTCTAGCTGTTGCATGTCCATGTGGATCGGTGGTCGAGGTACTGTGGAGACGCTGTACAAAATTCGAGGGAGGAGCTTCAAATGATGCCAGATGCCCGGCCTCTTCTCGCAGAGCTGAGGGATTCGAGCCTTGAACATGGCCGAATGGCTGATGGCTGAACGGCAAAGAGTTTGGACGCCATCCTGGCATGCCCCGCTTTCGCAGTGCGTATGTTTCTGACCTCGCGAGATGTGTAGCATGTGCGCTACCCATTGAGTTCGCTGTACACTCGACAAGCAAGCTCAGCGCGGCCGCACAAAGCGTGAAGGCGCTAGCGTTGGCCTCGCGACGCCAGAGCATCACGGAGTGTGGTGGCAGGACTCAGAAGCGGAGACGCTTAGAGAGACGATTTTCCCCGATGGTAAAAGCGAAGACGAGGTGACCTGCGCAGGCTGTGGATGTGGAGGAACGAACTAAAGACCAATGGCTGGTCACCGGTTTCATAAGGAAGTTTGATCAGCGCCGTAGGTGATGGGCTGGAGCCGCGCCACGAGAGCGTATGCCAGCTGCGACATCTTAACGGGTGGCGATTCAGTCTAGTCGGGCTTCCGTCCGAAGCAACACAGAGAACCTGACCTTATGAACTGTACCGATGCCAATAATCTGGCGACAAGTGTTCATGCGGCGGAGGACGGAGACGCGGCCGTGGTGGCAAATTGCCGCAGAGTCGGGTAGCAGAGACCAGATCTCCAACGCCACTCCGGCATCCTTCGGCTCAATAGGACTCTGCAGTTACTGGCAGCTAACGGCCGTTGGGTTCGTGCTGCTTTGCACACGTAATGTGGTCATCGCATTTCGTCTTGCAAGATCGCACGACCCTCTGTCATGGCGGCCGATGCCACGAGAAGCACCTGAGGGTACGAATGCCGTAGGTCTTGCGGATGGACGTGGGTCTCATGGCTGTGTTCATCTCTTCCTTCCTTGCGACACGCAGGGGCTAATGCGCGAGTCTTGCTGTTGAATCCGCTTGGTCGCGCCTTTTGCCTCGGCAAGGCTTGTTGGGCGACACCAGTGCATCACAAAAGCGCACTTGACATAACACAATCGCGAGTGGGTTTGTGGCGTGAGAGAGGGTGTTGAACTCTCGACCCTTGCCGTTGCGCCATGTCGAGCTGACACTTCGTCCGCCTCGGCCAGGCTTTGACCGAGTCTTGCCACCTTGTGGCGCGTAGACTGTGTTTTTTGGAGCGTGGCAAAGACGCCGCGATCACTTGGTCGGCCGACTGAGCTTATGCCTCTGCTGCTCGAGAATCGCGAGGTGATTGCTGACACTGCACTTATGGCCAGACACATTGCAGTATATTCGTCATTTGCTCGTTGCTGCACCAGCAGTGTCATCCAGAGGGTTTTCTAACGCGCCTTTGCCGAAGGACGCATTGAACTTGAGCAGAGTGTTGATGTCTCTGACCCAATCATCGTCTCCGCGCTCGCTGTGGCTAGCTGAGCTGAGAGGTCGGTGTTCTTCCTCCGCTCTCCGAGCTCCATTGGACTCTATAGCCTCGTCCAGAAGCGTCGGCTCCTTTGAGCGCGCCGCGGCGTGCGGACCCAACGTGCCGCTGGACCTGTTGACGCAAGGTATTGGGTACGGCGACATGGCGACTTGCAGATACTCGCCCGGAGAAAGCACTCCAAGGTCTTGACCATCTACGATGAGCTCAGCAGGCGAACGTGAGGTCTTCGATATCTGTGAGCGGAAACAGCTGCTAAGCTTGCAGAGCGACGTCGTGAGCACCATCCACGGCGCAAGCTCACCTTCAATTGCACGGTGGAATCACTCGGCAAGATCACCGAACGGAAGCTCAACGAGCGAGGGCAGATAGGTGTGAGTACCAGGCTTTGTGCTGATGGGTGTACAATGGGACCACCTGCTGATAGCGAATAAGCAGTGCTCCCGGTCGGGGTAGCAATGATAAGACCATCCGACTGTGGCCAAGCGGCGGTCCGGGAAGCGAAATTCAGCAACTCGGTGCAGTACTCGTCCAGAGACCCCATGAGTGAACCTACGATTGCTTGTGTCAAGTGTCGTCCGTCGACGAAGGCGTCGATCATCGTCAAGTGAGGTTCTCTACCTCTGTGTAGCGCCACTTCATTCATGAGGTGGACTGTCGTTTCGAATGTGCAATTTTAGCGCTTCAACACCGAGGTGCGTGAACGCGTGGGGTTGACAAAAGAATCACGCACCTTGCTGTTTGTGTGGCCGTCTCGGAAGCTCTTGCCCATTGGGTCCATGCACGCTCATTTGCAGTCGCATCCGCAGCAAGAGCGAAGCCTTTCCCGAAAATAGCTCTTGCAGGGCGTGCTCGAACGCGCCAATATCTGCGGACCAGCGAGTGGAGCAGAAGCGTGAGGAGTGATCTTGGCAGCTCACGGAGACAGAGTGCGGAGCACATACGAAAAGGTAAAAGGAAGCCCAGTGTCCCCATAGAGAAGGAAAGCACGGGAGGCACAGGAGCGTCGTCGAAAAGCGATGATGCATGTAGTATGGTCCCATCACCACCAAGAGTGATGATGAAATCAACCTTTTTAGCCAGCAAGGGCTTTTCGGCTGCGTAAGATGTCAATGAAGAGCATTGCGGCTGATCGTCGTGAAACGCTGTCCGTGGAGGCTCACCTGGAGAAAAGGACAGCAGCTTTGGGAAGCGATTTTGCATCTGGGCAAACACGTCTGCATCTTCGACTATCACGTTGCTGTCTGGATGGAAAGCTGTCAAGTATCTTTGATGCAGTGGGATCGGGACATCAGCAAGCAAATCAGAAGGGCTTTGTGAGCAGTGAGACCTACTCTGCTATCTTCGATGCAGCAGCATTGGCAGCTTGATCTCCTTGTTTCACAACCAGTAAAACGTTGCGAGGCAAATGCATCCATTCCAGAGAATGATTCCCTCTTTCACAGCCAGAAAACGCAGCAATCAGCAGGCCAGCGATGTGGCCGACATCCTTTCCGATGCATTGACTTACCCAAAAGAGCTTCCCACCCGTGTAGTGATATGATCCGACGTTCTGGGCTCGAGCACCTTCGACAACCTATACGTCAGACTGACTCCGTTAGGGACTATGAAGCTCCTTTCTCTTTGCCTCTCGGGTAGAGACCTTGGTCTGCGTCTTGCTCACCTGCCAATCGGGCCGGTTCGTACCTGAACCTTGTCCGGCAACCTTTCCAGTCCATGCGCAGCTGGACTGCTCGACATCAATCGATACCCAGCGCCGTAGCATCGAGCTGCCCTGAGAGAGTCAACTTGCTGATGTGAGGCCCCCCCGAGCCGCAAGGGACCTGCGCGGCCCCATGATGCAGGGATCACTTGCGTCGCGGAGATCCTTCTAGCTAATTGGCCGGTCGCAAGCCTGCAGCTCTGAAAAGCGCCGAACGGCGTGCCAGTGCGGATACCTCTAGTGAGCCTCATGGCTTTGGAGATCCGTCGAATATTGTTCGGTTGCTGGGCCGTCGCGACCTCAAATGATGTTGGAGGGTCAACTTGTTCAAGAGACGGATCAAGTCGACGCCGTGAGGTAACGGAGGAAATCTTCTGAGCGGCTACCGACGCCTTTTTCCAGGTCCGCGATGGGGTGTGAGCGCTGCTATGATGTGGCTTGCACGAGCCCCTTCCAGTCAAAGCAGTGCTGACGCAAGCGATGCAGAGTCCAGAGCAGACGAAAGTAAATCGTCGTAGGCAAATGATGTTCGGCGAAGGATGTGCATGAAGAACAGAAGTCGCTTGTTCCACTCAGCAGTCAGCGAGGATGCTGGCCTTAGCGCGCGCGCTTGATTGTGGAGCGAGGTGCGCCGGCCGCGGCGTGCTGAGCGCGCATGCACTTCACCACTTGTTGATGGCGGCGCATGATGGTGCACGGTGATGCTGCAGCACGCTGAAGGGCCTCGCGCGATGTAAAGATGCCAAATCATACTTCTTTGCCTTCACCCTTCCCTTGGCTTCGCCAAGTGCTTTTTGACAACGAAGCTCGATCACAGCTGACACAACGTCGACGTTTGGCTTCACTGAGGTTCGGGGAAGACAGCGCGCCCCGTGAAACAGGACACACCGGAGCATACAGCCCTCTCCCCTGCTCCTCAATCAGCCACCATCGCGCTTCCAGCATGGAGGTCGACAGGCCATCTGCAGCTGCTGGTGGGGCGTCCAGCCAGCCTCGTTTTGTAGTCAAAAAGGTGAGCTCCTACTGCTGAAGCTGGTGAGGTGGCCGCGGCTCATTCCTTCGTTTCTCCCTCACCTTTGCAGTGGAACGCAGTCTGCCTCTGGTCATGGGACATAGTTGTAGACAACGTGGGTGTCGAAGTCATCAGCAATCGCGTCTTCTCTTCATTTGACTGACATGCGCTTGATCATTTGATTAGTGCGCTATTTGCCGCAACCACATCATGGACCTCTGCATCGAATGCCAGGCAAACCAGGGAAGCGCCACGACTGAGGAGTGCACAGTGGCTTGGGGACAGTGTAACGTGAGTGGTGCTCTTTCGCAGGCTAGCTCAAGTTTGGGACCGCTCGGATGTGGAAAAGGGACTGACGTTGGAGGGGAGTGGAAATCTGCGAAATGCATTGCGCGCGCCGCTTGCGGAGTTGGCATTGCTCTCAGGCTAGGCTACAATAAGAGAGCAACATGTCCAAGGGGAATGAAGTGTTGGGCTTCGATGGGCGTGTCGCCGATATGCTACTAATTTGGTCTTACCTTTACTTGCGAGCATACTTGCTGCTGCTAATACTGCTTGAAGCCTCGCTGGGTGGCCATACCCGGGCAAAGACCAGCGCTGACGACTTGCTGCGCTCGCCATCTCGTAGCACGCTTTCCACTTCCACTGCATTTCGCGCTGGCTCAAGACTCGTCAAGTCTGCCCTCTAGACAATCGAGAGTGGGAGCTTCAGAAGTGAGTACAAGATATTGGCGTCTGGTACACTGCGTGGGCCTGATTGCGTGTGATGATTTCGCTAATTTCTATCACTTGCTCAGGTACGGACGCTGAAAAGTCCACCTCTCCAGCTCGGCTCCTCGTACATTAGTCCGCGCGAGCTTGCAGCTGTTCGAGCCACAACCAACAGCAAAACACAGCTCGCCTCCTCCGATATGCCCTCGACCACGTTCATGTACAACACGCCAACGACGAAGAAACAGAAAACACTGCCAAGTATGATACGTACCTTGACACTTCTACAGAGTCCAACAGCTTTGCCAGCCCGCCAGGTAAGCGAAGGAAGATTGTTCATAAGAACAAGTGTGGATGGAACGAAGTCGCTTCGGCATGATTACCAACCCTGACCGCCTTTGACGTAGTCGCCAAGGCCAGGCTTAAGCTTGGGTTTGGTTCCGGTTTCGTATTGATACAAGTGGTACTTCCTCCACATCTCGTCTTGCGACTGCTGCACCTTCTTTATATCATCGTTCTGGTGGTGGACAAGAAGACCAGCTCCTGTCAGCAAGCCTGCGGTAGCGCCCCTGTTCATTCGACGAGGCTAGCAATGGTCAGCGGGATGGACAAGTTCGGGAACGAGGAGCAGAGTCAACTCACACTCCGAGACCCCACTTGCCAAACTTTTTGAATTTGCTCAGGACCGAGCTCTTGGGCTTCTCTGCAGTAAGCGAATTAGGTCCTTGCACCGCCGCATGATCACGGATGTGCATGCCGGAATGCTTCGAGAAGGAGGGCGCCTTTGCCAGAGTCTTGTCCGGCTCGATCAGCGATGGGCTCTTATCGAGCGTTTCAGGAAGTGCCGGTATGATCTCCGACGTCTTGGGCAGCGTTGGCTCGTGAAACGAAGGACTTTTTTGCAGCGCCTCCTGGGTCGCGGGTACGATGTGCTTGGTCGAAACCTCGTGCTGCGCTATCGTCGACGGCTTGTCGAGGTCCGAGAAGTGTCTGGTCAGCTCAGACACCCTACCATTGCTCGTTCCGACTGGCAACGAAGAGTCCGTCACACCTCGAGCGAACACGGCTTGGTCCGTCCAAGGTGTCGTCAGACCTCGCCACTGCAGGAGCGCTGATGCATCGTCGCTCTGCTGCGAGCCTTGCGAGAAGCTTGGGCGAGCTTCTCTGCCCTGGGCCAGTGCAAGCCAAATGAAAGCTGCGGAGCTCGTTTGCGCCAGCTTCATGCTGTCGACTTTGACAACAGGGCTAGGGACGGAGGTCGTCGTACCCAGAAGTTCTTCGGAGGCGAGCTTGGCGAAGCTGGAAATCGTAGACTGTGCAGAAAGATCTGAGACTTTAATGAGTTTCGGGTGGTGCGAATGAGACGGTTGATCTTCGCGACGTGCCTGGGTCAGTGATGGCAAGAGGCTGCGGATTTGACGGGGTCATCGAAACTCAGTGACGTGTCCTCTTGTGGAGACCAGCTCCGAAGGGATGTGGAAGCTCGCGAGAGAACTGCAATGTGAAGGCCAGCTTCGCGGGGATCAAAATGCGAAAGGCGAGGGGAGCCGTACACAGTGTCATGGCCTTTTAAGCTGAACGGTACGTCATACACCCTACATCGATACTTTATCTCTGAGGCCGCCTGCTTGTCTCGTGGCTCGAGGCGCTTTGAGAAGCTTCTTGCGAGAGCTTTCTCCCTCACCTCCCTGCTCCTCGTCCAGAGAGCATCTTATTCGGATCAACTGCGGCGTGCGTACAATATCTCGAACCGGAGGCGTACTGCTTCTCTCAACGTGAAGATCGGTCCGCGTTGGCGCTCACTTTGCCGGCTTGCGAGATCAGGCGCCCGCGAGGGCCGACAGCCCACTGCGCCCAATCTCATTCGCCTTGCATCAATCAGACGGCAATCACGAATGTTGGATAGCTTGGCTGACACGAAAGCACGAAAGACGACAGGCCCACTTCATATCGGATCTGCACTCGTGACTGATTGTCGTTCACGCGCACTTGATTGCGACAGTAGCCGCGGCCGACTGTCCTCTACAGCTGTCACTGCGGATCCATCGCTGGGTCGATCAAAGTCACGATCGAGCGAGGCCAGTAAAAAGCCGAGAAAGCTTAGCATCATCAGATTGCGACTGCATTGTAGGCCCTTGCAAGGCTGAGTCGCATCCCGCCTGTGCTGGGTGAGCTTTGCGAAGAATGAGCGAACGAACGGCAGCGCGGCTCTCGGCGTTGGGCGCTCGGCGTTGGCGCGAGACGGCGGGGCGCCACGAATTTTCAGTGGTGAGTGTTGGGTGGGACGAAGGAAGAGGATCGCGGGATGTTGTGATGCTGTCGCGGGGTGCCGAGCTACGGTGTAGCGATATACACTCGTGACTCGACACCTCTGAGGAGCGTTTCCGAGACTTGATGAGGATGAATTCGTGCAGTCATAGTCAAAGTGTGGGTGATTTATTGTGACGCTAGGATTCATCAAGATTGCGTGCTATCATCACATACCGGTATTCCTGAGCCTATACAGTCAAAGTCGCGAGTCAGTCACGAGAGTATGTGTTGGGCGCGATGTGGAGCGCGCGAGATCGCGACCGTGCAGTCGCGAGTCAAACAGTCGCGCGCAGCACGCGTACATGCCGGAGCTCGCAGCCGATCGATCAATTCAGTCACGAGTCACGAGTTGTGGCGATTAGAAGCCCCGCCCTGCTGCTGCTGCCTAGCGCAGCTATAGGAGTCAGAACTAGTCGTTAGTGTGATGAGTGTGAGTGCGAGTCAGTCGCGAGTGTTGATTGCCGCTTTTGGCTGCTGCTGTCTGTCTTTTCTTCAAATACGGTACCATGCCGGCACGAATGCCGATCCCTCTACCCCTTCACATGTCAAGCCCCTCGCCTCACGCAGCATCACGGATCGAGCAGGGAGGCGGATGCTGATGTACGGGTAAGCGCATGCACCTGCATCTTGTAGAGGGCGGGTAGTCACAGCACTCTGTGGAACGCCATAGGTGGTGCCCTGCTCAAGAAGATATCTGATGGTCCATCATGGAGACGCAAGCCGGCGACGAATGGCTGGCAGCCTATGCCACCTACATTCGAAGCAACGCAGTCGCCTTGGCCGGGCAGTCGAGCTCGCAACAAGCCCGAGCCAGCACTACCAACAGCGCAACATCTTCCAGTCCCTCCACCTTGTCCTGGTTGACGCTGCCATCGGCTTCTTGGGTTGGCCTGCAATCGGCCAGCAATGCGCCCGAAGCTCGACAAAGAACCGCCTCAACCGCCTCTGGAAATCATGCCCCATCTGACTTGCAGGCTTCGCGACCACGTGCTAAACCACAACCGACTCCAAAGGCGCTGCCTTTGAACACGCATCATCTGTACTACCTTTTGCTACGCTTCGAGGCGTTGGGTCTCCCGGTCGGATCTTTGGACGTGAGGATACCTCGATCGGCCAGGCCTGTCAGCTCTTTCAGCTATGTATCGGCTCATGCTCAGCGAGGTGGCAGAAAGCCTAGGGATACCGATACGATGAGCGTGGGCAGCGTCAGGAGTGCTTTGACGGCGCTCAGCGGAGCCAGCACCTTGACTGGTTGGTGGTCGGGCAGCAGCGAAAAAGGTGATCCCTTGAAGGATGTCAAATTCATCTACTCTGCATTCACCAGTGAGTGCGCGCCATGCGCGGCATATACTTACATCTGGCCTTTGCCAGCACATGGCATGACATCTCTGCCCCTGCTTGAATTGATGCTGACGAGTGTTGCCCTGATCCTTCAGAGGTGCCGAGGTTGCGGCTGGGGCCGCTCCCGATCAAGCTGATCGAGTCGTTCGAAGACTCGCCCGGCAGCTCTTTGGTGCCCCTAGACGTGTTCAAAAACATTCAAACCTTGGAATTAGACGAGATCGACCCCAGCAGCCTACTCGGGTGGGACAGGCTCAGCATCCAACTTCGCAGCTTGACGCTAAGAAACTCTGGGCTGGAAGATGTGACGGATCTGCTGGTGGATGCGGTCAAGTTGGACGTGAGAAGACGCAGGGGGGAGCAGGTGAAACCTGCGCAGCGTCGCATACACTCTCCTGCCCCAGTAGATCAGCCACCAGTGGCGGACACGCGACAGCAGCCGGGAGACTCTCCACCCTCTACAGCGAGTTTGGGTGGTCTCTCGTCAGTTGATGATGCTCATGCATCTGGTCAAGCTGCTCTTCCTTTCTTGTCCTGGCACTTCTTGCGACATCTCGCTTTGCCGGACAATTCCCTGACTTTCTTCTCCCCACCTGCAGACCTGCTCTCAAATCTCACATCATTGGATCTCTCGTCCAATCTGCTCATCTCTGCACCCCCCTCATTGAACCTGCTTCCCAATCTGAAGCTGCTCAATCTCGAGGGCAACCTGATCGAGACCGTCTGGCACATCTCTTTGGCGATACCCAATATCGAAGCTCTTAATCTTGCCAACAACAGATTGGAGAGTCTTGCGGGAGCTGAGGACCTTAAAGAGCTGCGGCGAATCGATTTGCGCGGCACAGAGCTAGCGGAGGCGAGCGAGGTGGGACGGCTTGCGGTCTTGCAAAACCTCGAAGAAATTTACACCAAGGGTGCTCTGTTCATGGAAGACGCTGATCCGCGCGTGGATGTATTTGTCGAATTTGCGCGAGAGGGAAGGGAGATTGCTCGGATCCGACTGGACGGTGAGGCACCTGGCTACTTTGAGAAACAGCGCGTGGCGGAAAGAGTACCTACCATGCTAGCTCGCATAGGCCGCGAGTCTACGCCAGCTGCGGAGGAGCTCAGCGTCGAGGAGGCACCAGTACGCCTGGAAAGCCAACAGGCTGAGCCGCCTGTAGTGGCTGTGCGACATCGCGTAAAGGATCCGAGCACCGCATCTGGCCTAGCTAAAGTTCAAAGCGCAGACGGGCACCGCCCCACCTCTCCCGCACCCGGCACGACGGCCAAGCGGAGGGCAAGGAGGATAGTGGAGCTCGGCCAGGAAGAAGAAGTTGCGCCGCTGACAGCAGCGGCACTGCCCACTCCTACACCTCAAGAGATCTCCGACTCTGATCTAGTCAAGAGGGCAGCGTTGGCTGGCAAGCTCGACGTTGCCCTCGGCGAAGCGGAAAAGGCGAATGTCATCCCTAGCCCAAAAGGCAAAGCTAGACAGCTCGACGATGTACCAAATGATCTGCCTGCCGCAAGACTGCAGGCGCGCACAAATGGCAATGACGGACCACGCGCAAGGCCTCAATCGTTCCTTGCGCCTGGTACTGCGAGTATTTCTCGCAAAACTGGTGCTGCCGCCGCATTGCTGTCTCGCGAGTCGAGCGGAGATGCGGATGGTGCCGGTCGACCTCGCGTGCTGAGCTCCGCCTCCACACTGGGTGCAGCTAGCGCTTCATCATCGCGACACGCGGTTCTGCCAAGCAGGTCACAGACGCTACAGGGGCTCGCAGGCATTTCGACCCAGGGGCTACCATCGAGAGTAGCTGGGCGATCCGTGGACGACGCTGCCATACCTAGCGATGCTTCTTCGCTCGATGCCGATAGAGTCGTGACGACTGCGCGCACAAGAGCTGGCGGACGCTTCGACGCCGCCTCTTTGACAGCTCGACGCAAAACGGTCACTGCAAGTCTTTACGACCCCAGTACGACTTCTTTGGGCATCCCGGAGCCGAGCGGAGCGTCGCTTGAAGCAAGGTCTGATGATGCGCCTGCTTCCACAGGTCGCGTTTCGCAAAGCCAGTCAAAGAGCGCAGCTCAGACTGGCAAGGATGATTTTAGAAAACGTATAGAGGCTATGCGAGATGGCATGGGCGACGAGTGGCTCAGGGCTCTTGCGCGAGGGTCGGTCTATCTAGACGAGAGCAGCGAGGGTTGATTCTAGCGCCGGTGCCACGAGCTAATCAGTCACGATCCCCTCGTCACCTAGACTCAAAAGCTACTTTTTTTTTCGCGCATAATGATACATTTCTATTTTGATGCGGCGGGGGGCGCGACGCTACATGGTCATGGTCTGTTCTGTAAAAGTGGTGTTGTGTGCTGAAGAGTTCTATTTACGACCAGTCTTCAAATTCAAGACGCGGCGAGTTCCGCAGCCAACTTTGAAGGTCTATTCTCCGTCGAGGGTGTAGTGCCGGGTGGGGTGAAGCCGTTGGGTGGGCTGGCCAAAGGCGAGGGATTCAGACTATTGCCTGGCATGACGAACGGAGCTCTGTGAAAGTTGTCCGCCGGACTAGCAGGTCTAGAAGGAGGTGTCCAAGGTGGCGGGACCGCACCTTCTTCGGGATCAGAGGGCAATCCAGGAGCAGTGGGAACACCTTCCAAAAGTCTAGCTTCCGCCTCTGCCAATTCTGCCGTCGTCCTGCCGCAATTGCAAGTGTTGTGGCTGGACGAAGTGCGGGGCGGTAGACCGGAAGAAGCCCAGGGATAGGAGGCGGGCAAGGATCTGGGAGTGCTGGTACCCGACGAAGGCGCAGTGGAGGTGGAAGCGTACGTAGGGTGCGCATTGGCATGGACGTTGTGCTGAGACTGTCCAGAAGAAGCTGCTGGGTAATTCTGGGATGGCGCTGCTTGATGAGCGGGTGTGAAACCTTGCAACAATCCCGCTCTGCCACGAGATCTGTGCGCGCCATGGTCGTGATTGGCCTGAGCGGTGTTCTGCGGAGAGTTCAAGCCACTGGCATTCACATCGCCCGAAGACCGTCTCTCAGGACTGCTGTTGCGCGACCTGCGTCCATGACCGTGCAAGAAGTTGCTGAAGCTGCTTTGCCGCGAATAGACCGGACGCGTGGGTGATACGTCCCGCGATGAGGGTCTCGAAGAGGGCGCTGAGCGGTACGAGCCCAAAGATGAGCCGTGATGAGGGCCCATGGCGTTTGGCAGAGCTGCTCGGAGAGTCTGAGCAAGTCTTCGATGTTCGTGGTCTGTATGATGTTCTCCATGCTGCGATGCGGCTGCCGAGTTGGAGTTTGCACTGGCCCGCGGAGGAGGCAAGTGTCCGTTGACCGGTGACCCAGCAGCAAAACCCAGCGTGGGGCTGACAGGTCTGCTCCCGACTGGGCTCTCTAGCGAGTAAGGCGGCAAGTGGATCGTGTCGAAAGTGCAGCAACAGCTGGGCACGATGGTCGCTCTTCGCATGCTAAACACCTGCACTTTGGGTTTGCCCAAAGATTCGCTATTTTCGCGATCGTCGATGACGCTGAGCCGCGAGAAGTAGACTTCGCAACCCAAATCGTGGGACACGCGAACTTCGGCTCGCGAGCCCTTGACAGTGGATGGGCGAATCGTGTTGTCATCGGGGAGGCGAATCACCGACTTGACGCGATACCCGCTCCTTGCGTGATCCTGGAGGAAGGATGCCTGGTTGGCAGGTATGGTTGGAGACCCCGATTTGCCAATATGCCCAGGCCCACCTTCCGAGTCCGAGATCCAAAATGCATCTTCCGGCGTGACGTAAGCATCGATCTGTTTCGCCTTGTACGGCATGTACCCGCGCTCCCACAATCTAAACTTTTCCGTAGGTATCTTGACCCATCCCTTTCTGACCTCTGAAAATACCTCCACATTCTGTTCCAAAAAGACCCGAATGACGTGTACGTTGAGACCCGGCGGAGGGTCGGGATGGTAGACGCTGAGATTCGCGGTGCCTCCGACTGTGAGACTTGCAGACGTCAGCGAGATGCTCATGGCACCCAGCGCTTCGTGCACATCATGGTACTGCACATCCAGCGCGGCGGGTCCGCCATCCGTAGAGACGTGGAGCATCACAAACACTTCGCGAGAGGCGATGATTGCGCTCCTTCCACGCCCTGCTCCAAAGGCGGTCGCAGTGATCATGTACCTCACCCTGCCGTTCCGATGCCTCTCGAAAGGAGGAGAGGTGGAAGGGATGATGAAGGAGAACTCGAAGCTGGGGCCAGGCACAGGTAGCAATTCTCGGAGACTGGTCAGCGCTTAGCGACGGCCTGTGCGTGATCGCCTTGTGATGTCTCACTTCGGCTTGATCACTCACCCGTGCACTCCCTTATCGAGATGTATGCCATCCTCTGCGGCGGCAGCCTCCGTGGATGTAGTCCCAGCTGCTCCACCCTGCTGGTACTGCATCGCGGCGCTCTCGCTATGTTCCACGCTCGGACTAGAAGCGCCCGAGCTCGTTCCAGAGGCAGCGGCAGCGGCATGACCCGCACCAAAGCTCAACTTGTGCGCTCTCTTTCGATGGTGGTGATGCTGCAAGCCACCGCTGCCATCCGAGGTGATCTCCACAACCTTTTCCATCAACGTCTTCTCCTCGTACCTCGTCGTGTTGATCGTAGTACCCAAAGAAGTGGTCAAGGTTTCGGGAATGGCCAAAGTCTGCTGAGATTGCAGCGTCACTTTGAGCTTGTCGATCGTCCGTTCCGACTGGCCGCGCAGCAGCGAGCGAGCGCGGCGAGGTGTGGTGTGGTGTGGTCAAGTCAGCTATGCGGCCGAATGCGCACGCTTGGCGCGGAAGCTGCCACTCACCGGGCATCTGAGCTCCACCACGCCATTCAGAGTCTTGTCATCTCCCGGTATGTCGCCTGCTGAAGGCGGTGGTGGGTGGATAAAGATGTCTTCGCTGACCAAGTGCAAGCTGAGATCGCATGGTGCGCGCACCAACGAGTTGATCATCGCAGGACGCTCGCCTCGTAGGAAAAGCGAGTCTGCTATCGATCTCGCACAAACGTCGATGCTGCTTGGGGCGGACTGCTGACCAGAGGAGTGGGGTGAAAGACACTGCAAAAGAGGGATAGCTTGATCGCCGGTCCTTGTTTGGCGTGGCGGGTTGCAGAGCTGAGAATGCAGCAGAAATGGGGGATCACTGCTCTTGGATGCGATCCAGTCCGACGTCGAGCCGATCAAGATGTTGCGCAGCGCAAGGTAGGGATCAGTCGTCGCAGAGTGGGAGAGGGAGTGCGTGTCAGTATGTTGTTGAGCGCGATGCAGCCATGTGGCTTAAATCAGCTCGTCGCTGGTAGAGCGAGATGTGAGTGGAGGAGTGAACCAGGCCTGGCCAGGTACGTGCGACGGATGACCAAGCTGGCGCAAAAGATTAGAGAACGAAGAGGTTCGCTTCGAGAGTCATCGCGGGCTGGAGTACGGAAGGAGCAGCAGCAGCAGCAGCAGCAGCAATCGAGTCGGACTTGATCGGCGTTGTGGTCACAGCGATCGCAATGTGAATGAAGTCAATTTCCACTCAGACTCGCTTTAGGTTGGATATGACCGCTTCATTGGTCACTGCGCCCCCTGCGTGCTGGCCGACATTGTGGTGATTCGAATTGTTCTGCACTGGAGACTAAGCAGCATTATTATTATTATTAAGTCTCACTTGCGTCCGCTCGGTGGTGCCATTTGAGCGTTCAGTCAGCAGCATAGCCCATGGCAGCCATGATGCAGCTGGAATCCGAGTAATCAAGGACAAGGCACGCGATGTGGCTTGAGGTGAGACAAGGAGCTTGTGGACGCGCGCCCGCATGCGTGTTGTACAGACCGCGTTGAGCGCTCGATCGCTGCTGCGCGTCGATACATCGAGCACTACTGTCACGCACGCACGCATACAGCTTTCAATCTTGTCTTCTCACCCAATTGTCCAAGGTTCGTGAAGGCTGGTCGGACCACCGAATCTCTTACTTGCAAAAAAACAGCATCCAACTTGTCTGGCAGCACTTGGAGTCCCAATCACGATTCGTATAATTCACGAATGTTGGCGTGCATGTCTGCGCGCGCGCGCGCGCGGTGCTGCTGAACTCAACATCAGCCTGAGGCTCGGCGGTTGTTCTGCGCAGAGATGCGTCGGCGAATTCGCTTTGCAGATCATCGTGCAGCGAGATTCTCTGCAGCGCGTTTCAGCAAGACGGCAGAAAAGCCGAAGAGAAAAAGACCTTGCTGCATGCATGCTGGCGCTGCGAATGATGGGGCGACGAATGCGCGTCGGCGCGATGAGCGCGCCATGCACAAGACCCGTTCGACGCAGCAGAAGCGTCAGCGCGTAGCCTCGATCGATCACTTAATAACAGACGTCCGCCTGGGCTTTGTAACCTCCTTTTCAGGCAGGCAGCGATCAGGAGCCGCGCGTCAGTGATCAATGACGAATGTGCAGCATGCGAGCAAGCTCAAGACAAGACACGAGGCAAGACTCCAGGTCGAGTCACGCGTGCTGCCGCGCTGCTGAGCTCCGCACTGCCACAGCCCGGGCCTGCACACGCGTGCACGCCGGACTGACTGACAGCTTGCATTTCATTTCACGCGGTTCGTCCGGTCCACATCGCGCTGACGCGCATCATCGGTCAAGCGTCGGTCTCTCGGTCTGCTCCTTAAGATTTCGACTTTGGAAAACATATTCTCATCGGATCACTCAAGCCAGCCCGCGGGCTTCGCCGTGCCTGCATCCTCATGCCTAAACAGCGAGTCGAGTGAGCCTTCTTCCGATTGGAGCTTGGCAGCACATATCTTCGCCCTCGTCGGCCGTCGAGCGCCGCTCCAAGTCGAACAATCACGTGAGCCATCCCGTTGCCGCATGCCTTTCTCGCTTCCCCAGTCACTAGCCTGGCGTAATCAATTCTTGACTGATCGAGCAAACCCATCTCTGCCTTTCCTGCCCGAGCACTTCACGTCAAGGAAGCACTCAAGTGACACACTCTCATGCACCAAATCGCCAGGAGCATCTGGACACGTGTGACATTACAAAGCCCCTCAGAGCACTTTGAACCTCCCCATCAGATGACGTCTAGACTTCCCCACCTCCACTTCGAGCTTCTAGCTGCTGCATAATGTGCACCTCTCCCTACACCGCCTCCAAGCCAGTGTACTCGCTCTGCACCGGCGGTTCGATGAATGCCGCGTGTCCCAAGACCAGTATAGCGCTGCTTCCCACCAACCAGAAGAAGAGGGCAAAAGGTGACGCGATCCAAAGCAAGGGCAAGCCTGTGGGTAGATGCGATTGAGTTCGAGCATACTTAGTGCTCATTTGAGCATGCAAACAGATGCTGAAAAGCACACACGCTACTCACCGATGACGAAAAGCGCAGTGTAGAGACCTCTTTGAGTGATGACGTGGTCGCCCACCTGCATGGGCTCCGGTGCTTTGGGGCGCCAAGGCAAGAGGATGTAGGCATCATATCAGCTGCTGGAGTTCGGTCCCCTAGACTGGCCTCAGAATCCTGGTCTGAGCACTCACCAAATCGATTGATCAAGACGAACCCTCCGACCAGAAAGCCAACAGCAATGAGAAGAAGAGGAGAGGTGATGCTGACGATCCCGCGGGGATTCCCAAGAGTCAGCCCGATGTCTTGTGTATTCGGAACAGGCATTGCAGCGAGAAGAAGGAGCAACGCGACCCAGTAAAGACCGCGCACCAAGAGGTCTCCCTCCTTCTAAGCCCGCTCAGTCCTGCACACTCTGCCGCACTGTCCGTGCTCCAAGCCTTTTCCTCATCCTCGTTTAGGAAAGCAAGGCCCACTAAGCAGTGGTCAAAAACCAGCCAACGTCCTTTTCGCCAGGTTTCTCTCGCGGGTGAGCCCTGCTTCTCCCCGAACCCTAGAGCCTCAAAACGCTTACGCACAGACCATAGACTGTTAGGATGCCCACGACTACTGCATAATTTCCAGAAAAATGCCTCGTGTTGTAAGTGATCCGCTGCGGAACGAGGCGGAAAGAAGCGTCAGCGAGAACTTCGGAAAGCGTGTTCCATATAATGCGCAGCTTGGGAGCGGCGTGGCATGAGAATTAAACGACGCCCCCCCCCCCCAAACCCTTCGCTGCGCAATGAGAAGCTGCAGGTGGTGCACAACACCTGACAGCGATGCTGAGCGTACGTGAGATCGAGATGCAGCCCAGCTGCAGACTAGGCCTGGCCCTATGTAGCTGCCATCTTGTCCCTACTCTCTCTCTCAATCGCTCCTTGTCCGCTAGAGCACGTCGATTCATTCAGCTTTGCAGACGCTCTTCCTCCTCCTCACGGCCTTCCATTACCAATCATTCGCGTCGCTTCCCAACAGAGCTCCAAGGACGAAATGTGCCATCTGATATGGCCTGTATGACACGTCCTTCCAGCATCCACCGAGACTGTTGGCAAGCACGTACCTGGGTGGCCTCGTTGAGATCGTTGGGCTTTGAGATGCGCTGATGGTCAAAGAATTCGTTGAGCGGTCTAAGATGAGACAAGCGTTCTTGCCTGAATCCCTTGATCGTCTCGGGAACTGCGTGAAATGATCGGAAGAGTCAACGTCCATCGCATACGCAGATGAATGGCACAGGACGCCCCTTCCGTTGACTTACTCTTCAGTGCAATCTCGAGGAATTGAGACATGATGAAGCTGTAATGATCGCTAGCTTTTGCGAATGATCGTGCTCGGGGACGGCGTCGTAGGTTTCGGGATCGTCCAGCTATGCGATCTTGCTATGAGCGTCCGCAGAGAGTTGCGTTGCTTGCTTTGAAACGTATATCAGTAGTGCGTGTGTATGCGATGATGGTGGGTGTCGTGTATCGTTCGAGGCCTGCGAATGCTGGGTCGATGCCCCCGACCTTGCACGACTCACAACTGCTGCGCTGTATCATCGTTCCCGTGGCTGCGCGTGCATGCCTGCGCCCCCTTTGGTGTAGCGAACTCCGCCCAAAGCGCGCATTGGTGGCCGCTTCTCGCACGATAGAGGGTCATGCAAACGAGCCCGGCCGTTGCTCGTGCTTTTCTTCTCGGATGCACTCACGAGGGAGTCGTGAGTCACGAACCGTTTACCGTAGCCTCCACAGCGAAATTTCATTGGTGATTCCCGAGTAATCACGCTCTTCACTCCCGCCTCTGCTGAACAGGAACTCATCAGCCGTCACATTCGATTCATCCGCTCGCTCAAGCCGCAAGGCCAACAACCCACGATCCGCCTTTGTACGAGCGAGCCGCCGCCTGCCCACATCGCATGTCTCCATGACTGCCCCATCAACGAGCAGACTCCCGGCCTGGCAACCGGGTCCTTTTCCCGAGGCTCAAGCGCAATCTTCGTCAAGCGGCACCCAGTCCTACGACTTGCCTCCTCACCATGTCTTGGCAGACGGAACGCCCGATTACCTTCGACTGACGCTCAGCGCAGACGTGTACGATCTAGTCAAATCGACTCCGCTCCAGACCGCTACCAACCTCTCTAGCAGATTGGGCTGTGATGTGTTCATGAAGAGGGAAGATCTACAACCTGTCTTCAGCTTCAAGCTTCGAGGTGCTTACAATATGATGAGGAGTCTGCAAGGCGAGAGCAAGTGGAAAGGCGTCATTGCGTGTAGTGCTGGTAAGTCTTGCAACTCGTCCAGCGCGCCCGCGGTGAGGTCCAACCATACTCACTCCTCCGCGCGCCTCATGCACCGTGTGCTGGTGCAGGCAATCATGCTCAAGGTGTCGCGCTATCAGGTTTGCACTTGTCCATCCCCTGCACCATCGTCATGCCGATGGGCACCCCATCCATCAAAGTGGACGCAGTGCGCAGACTGGGCGCCAAAGTGGTGTTGCACGGCACGGACTTTGATGGAGCTCAAGCGGAATGTCGGAGGCTAGCCACGGCCTACGGGCTGACCTTGATTCCTCCTTTCGACCATCCCCTGGTCATTGCTGGTCAAGGCACCGTCGGCGTAGAGCTTTGTAGACAGACGGACATGAGCCGGATAGATGCCGTCTTTGTCTGCGTGGGTGGAGGTGGCTTGCTGGCAGGCATTGCAGCGTACGTGAAGCGCATTGCCCCACCACACGTCAAAGTCGTTGGCGTGGAGACCTATGATGGAGATGCGCTCGCTAGAAGCTTGGTCAAGGGGCAGAGGGAGTTGTTGAAGGAAGTCGGTCTATTCTCCGATGGAACAGCGGTTCGACTCATCGGCGAAGAGACTTTTAGAGTGTGCGCGGAGCTGGTGGACGGCATCGTGCGGGTCGACACGGATGAGATTTGTGCAGCCATTCGCGATGTCTTTGAAGGTGAGAGTTGGCCGTGAAGCTTGACGCAGCTTGATCTGTGACTGGCACTTAGTCCTCTCCCCGCCCTTCACAGATACGCGATCCGTGCCGGAACCAGCAGGCGCTTTGGCAGTAGCAGGCATGAAGCGATACGTCACCGAGCAAGGCTTGCACGGCTCAGGCAAGCGCTTTGCAGCTATCGTAAGCGGGGCCAATATGAACTTCTCAAGGTTACGGTTCGTCGCCGAACGAGCCGAGTTAGGAGACCAAAAGGAGGTTCTTTTGATGGTGGACATTCCGGAGGAACGTGGCAGGTGAGACTTCTGGCAGCCTCTGTGAAAGCTCTTCTCATTGCGACACTGACAATCTCGGCTTATTCACACACTCTCTTCTGCAGCTTCTTGAAACTCTACGCGCATATCCAGCCACGCAATCTGACCGAGTTCTCGTACAGAATGGGAGACACGAACAGAGCTCACATCTATCTCTCCTTCATGCTGAGTGGGAACAACACCGGCGCTCTTCCAGCGCCTGCAGCTGCTGCTTCGGCTCACGGTCCCACCGCGGTGCACAGAGAAGTGCCATCAGGTCGAGGTACCGACAGCCCGGGACGGGCGCCTTCGCCACACCAAGCCGGGTCTAGACAGCAGAGCAATCCGACGACACCCACCACATCGATGGAACCCGTGGCTCTTGAGCAGAGCAGGGCAAGGCACGCAGAGCTCGACCCCATCATGAGAGCGATCGAGGCGGACGGCACCATGCGCGCGACGGACATCAGCGATAACGAGATGGCAAAATCGCACGCTAGGTACATGGTCGGAGGTCGGTCTGGAAAGCAAGCGGAAAATGTGCGACTTTTCCAGTTCAGTGAGTCTACCCTTGCTTCGTCCCGCCGGCGGCTCGCAGAGCACTACATTTGCTCGCTACGAGGAGTGATTTGACGTGTCATGCTATTCTTTGCCCTGCTCGCAGTCTTCCCTGAGAGACCAGGAGCGTTGAAGCGTTTCTTGGAGGGCCTGCACGCAGGTTGGAACATCACCCTCTTTCACTATCGTAATCATGGCAGCGACACTTCCAAGGTGTTGGCGGGACTACAAGTGCCGCCTGAGGATGCGGATGCATTCCACGCTTACCTGGACGAGCTGGGCTACACTTATCAGGAAGAGACGGACAATATCGTTTACAAGCGCATGTTGGCGTGACGATGGTAACAACATCAATGCTGTGTAATTCTTATTGCTGCTACAAAGCGTGTCAAGATTCGTGCATTGGTGAAGTGAAGTGGTCAGCGATGGGTGCTGTCGTTGTGATGCGATCATGTTGTTCGGAGCTCTAGGTTACACGCGGTTCATGAAAAATGAGACTTGGAACGGAATTCGACCGTCATGATCACTTGCTTTGCTTTCTGGATAAGCGCTTCGACTTGAATTGCCAGCGCTAGGATTGGCGAGCAGCCTTCCACGCTTTCCATTCCTCGTACGTTCTCGACACCTTTTCGCTTCTGTACCTCCTCACGCGTAAGCTCTCCCTCACTTTCTGATCAATCTTGCCACCAAACCCAGCTTTTCGGATAGCATGATCGATAGCCTCTTCTTTGTTCCACCCTTGTGCCGGAATCACATCCGGCAGGAATGTAGCCGTCAACTCGTGCCTCGAACCGTTCTGCATCGGCAGGTGGATGTAGATGCCGTGCAGGCCTACTTGCCAATCTTGCCAGTCTGAGCATTCTTCGAAAGCTGTGAGCAGCGAGATGCTGCGTCACGGGGTGACATCGCGGCCATAGTGCGCAGGTTGGTTTGTCAGGCTGATAGGGTATTCTGACCAAGTAGCTGCTTGCTCACCCGCACTCCAGCGTCGGAAGCTCTCGCTCGCGAATGGGATTGAAGCGGGTGTCCTCGAAAGCACTGAGAAAGACGGGCAGCCCTTATAAGCATTGTAAGATGAGGCCAGACTTTGAGTATTTCAGCATTTCTAGCCTCACCTGATTATCGCATACTCTGCGAGCCCCTTCGCCAAAGGTTTGGCAGCAAAGGTGCCAATGCATCCTCTCAGCCTGGTCGACCCGTCCTTCGTCGTGTTCCAAGTCACAAAGATTGGACTGGATGTACGCCCGTTCTCATATCAGCCCTCTGTTTCAATCGCAACTGTGCGGCACACCACGATAACATCGCTTTCTACACTTACAATTCCTTTTCCCCACCGTCGAAATTGGGCTTTGCTGTCGATGTTCCCTCCAGCAAGTCCGACGCGAGCACATCGAAACAGTAAAAGCAGTGCTCTGGCAGAGCTTGGCTGGGATTGGTCATGATCACGAGGACTGCGGAGCTGCGCGATTCACCTCCTTGATTGTCCAACTCGAGGGCCCAGGGCCTTGTGGGGACGTTCACGAGGCTGGCCGATGAACGATGAATATGGATGGTAAGCTGGCTGCGACCCTCGCGCTCAATATTGCCTCGGTGCGCTTCATAGGATATGTTTGGCGAGTCGAGCGTGGATGACTGTGCGATCTCTGCCTTTGTGAGCGATCCTTGCACTGGATATGTGGAGTCATAGTTAAAAGGCAGGGCTCGCGACTACGGACGGCAATGTCACAAATCATGGTGGCTCTGAACTCACGACAGGGCTCGGGCCACGCCCTTGGTAGTCACGTGAACGCGCCTGAGGTTAGCGGGGTGCTAAGCGCGTCCCCTCCTTCCGTTGGTTGCTGCGTGCAGGGAAGCTGCGGGGGGCGGGCCGCTCCTTTCAAGATTCTCTTTGCCCGCCAGCACTCAGACGGCAACACCTGCTGCTGGTCGATCGTGATGAGTTGTGTAGCATAGCTGTCAGCGATTAAATGAGCACCCATAACGCTGCATGGTCAAGTCTTGTCACAGACAGAAAAGCAAGGCGTGGGTGCAGCAACGCACAGATGCCCGGGATAATCCCATCCCCGCTTCAGCTTGTCTAGCCAGCCCACCATGACGTTGCTGGACAAATGACAAGCCGGCCGGCTATTGAGCCACCTGTAGGCCCACCACGTACCTTGCTGCAACATACACGTCTGCACAACTGCATTCGGCTTCTTTCTGCTCCACGCAGCCGGTCCGTGACTCGCGGACAGATGCACGGAACACTCTTGACTTGACTGACTGACTGTTGCAATTGGCCCCCCCCGAGCGCGTCCGGATATCCCGTGGCCATCCTTCGCTAGCGTAGTGCATTCACCGCTTCGCTGAGCAAAAGATGATCTACAAATTCAAGATTACTTGTCACCAGTCATGAGTTCATCGAGCGTCTGTGCTGCTTATGGTGGACAAGCTTGTTGCTGGCTGTAACAGCCCTCCATTGCTGCACACTGTTTGACTAGTGGCCGAGTCATCTCGAGTCAAGAGAGACAGACCTAGTCACAGTCTGGTACGATCAAGGCTGCTCAGGCGCGCTTGATTCACTATTGTGACTACTTCACGCATTCAGGATTATCAAGCTCGATTTGCACTCCAATTAAACGGCTCACGAATCGCACGCTGTCTCGTCTCGGCAAACAGCTAATTTGAGCTGCCGGCATATCCACGCGCGGCCATCGTCAGGAACAGCCGCGGTACCTGATGCTGCTGCATGCACTTCATGCTAAGCTGAGCACGAACCCTTTCTTGACCTTGACTATACTGCGAATACTGTGCACACTCAAACTGCATGACACCGGTGAAGTCAGAAGATTTTATTGCATGCTGAGTCCAGCCTGAGTCAAGAGTGCGCGCGATTCACGATTCGATCCTCAACTCGTAGGTCCTTGTGCACAAGGAAACTATCATAAGATTGTTCCTCGACCGCATCGTATCGCGATACCTCGGACAAGTGGTGAGAGTCTCAGCATAATTCGCAGCATAGCTGAGACCTACGGCCACTTTGCAGTCCGGGTCAGAGCACGCATTACGCATACGGTCGAACTCCGGACATTTGTGCTCTGCTCGCCATGCATCGCCTCCTCGATCGGCATTTTGTCCGGTGTATGTGTGGAGCAATTCGCCAAAGGACGTGCGGGACAGCCTCCAGTCACGATCGACCGATTGAACAATCAGAATCTGAATCGTGAATCGTGGTGAATGAGTCGCCTTTCGCGACCAACCATCGTGAGCAGCTATATATGCATGTAGGCTAGCCTTGCGACGGATCGATGTTAATTATGGATGTTGCTTGACTCATACCATCTGAGTCACGAACGCGGCGCGGGTCCAAGGCGAGCTGATCGAGCAAGTCTCGATTGATTCTTTGGTCGTAGTTGGGCTGTTCGTTGTGCTCACAATTGTAAATCAGCGAACAAGGCTGATGCTGGGCACGCTGCTACTGCTCTTTTCAGCGTGGGCGGCGCGGATGAACATCATGGCCTTCCTATTCGACCTTAATTGCGATTATCATGGTTGGGCCGCTATATACACGCAAGCAGCTATAAAAAACGGCTGCGTGTGGCTGAGAGGAGGTCCATGCAGACCAAATCCGTGCAGACAGACAAGACTACTGATGCAGATCTTGAATCCTCACTGCCCATTACCTCGTGTAGTGTGACTGTGGGACTCACGACTGTACATGATTGCACCCACACCTCTGCGTGTTTCCCGGTTCAGCTGAATGCCACAGCCGGACTGCCTCTTGCTTCATTTTGCGCACGAGCAGCCTATTCAAGCCGCTCGCTCTGGCGTCTCTCTCCGTTGTCCTACCTAGGCAGCACTTGACATGCATTCACATTGCTTATTTTGCATCCCAAGAATTGTCTGCTGCTGTTGCGGCCAATGTTGCATGCCTGCTGCACAGCTTGAGCTTCTTGGAGCTGAGTTGGACCGCGCACCCGACGACAAGCTGCAGCGCCGCGCCTATACAAATTCGAGGCCCGCCGTCAAGCGGATCGTGGGAAGCAAACGCGGCGACTCCTTGCTGCATCGCTGCTGCTGCTGCTGGATGTGAACCTGTCAAATCGAGCGAGAAGCAAGCGGTCACACACAGTCTCCCGCCGCATAACCTTGGCATGCGCTCGCATGCGCCGTTGCTCCCATCAGTGCCATCGCCGGGGTCCAGATCGGATGCCCAGTTTCATCGAGCTGCTGATGGCGATGGCAATTTGTATGGAAGAAGTACAGTCCGTGCGACTGACAGGTGCATGATTTTGTCTCATGACTCTCGCTGATCAGCCTGACTTGGTCCCTTTGTCGGACGCAGGACTGCTTGCTGCTCTGATACGCCGGGCGGCTTCCACGGGACAGCCTTGCATGCAAGGGTTTACACACCCACCCCGGCTTGGTCACGATCGAAATCTTTGCGACCAAACGTAATTCGCAAGCTCGTAGCTGGACGACGTGCTCTTCAACGGTCCAAGCCACTCAGCTCGACCCCTCGCAGCTGCGGGCCCCCTCGTTCTGTTCCTGATCTCGCTCCCAACACGGACTCCATCCGAGCTGATACCGCCAGCGCGGGGTCCTTCGCTCATCACCTCAATCTCAACCCTCTGTCCCTGTCAGCTATTCTGCTATGCAACAGCACAAACAAGGTAAACCTGTTGCTACTACTCACGACTGCTGCTGCCAGCGATCGAGACGTTGCTCCTTGCGTCAACCCTCCCCCCCACGCTCGGACGCGCTGCTGCTTGTCTACTCAGACTCGGCACAGCAGCTGCGCCCAACGTTTGTCACCCTGGAATTCACCAAGGTTGCCCAATACGAGCCGTGAGCATCCTTTTCGTCCTCTTCCGCCGCAGCCAAAAGTGCAATTCAAAGACGTTTCCCGGCTGACAAGAGTATTCTCCAATCAATCGCATATTGCTCATAGTAAAGAATCACAACTCACTACCCGCGCGACAACAAGCCACTGGAGACATTTTACGCACATCGCCTCCTTCTCACGCCTGCCGACACGCGATCGACATCGGCCGTCAAGCCTCGGTTATCGCGCGGAAGCACGAAAGTGTTTGATCGATTGATTCATTGAGACGCACTTCGCATTCGCGACTGGTTTGAAGCCCTATTCAGCTCATCCTCTGCCCTCCTTGCGTCCGGCGTCCGCGACCTTTCCGGTGGCTCCTTGGTAAGAGGTCGCTCCTGCGCCGCCGCTGCAAGGGAAAAGTACCACCGGCCGTCTGCGTTCATCGATTCAAACCATCCCGGAATTCGACATTAGGTCTCCGAACATCGATTGAATCCTTGATTGCCGATCAATCAAGCGTTGTTGGCGCTTAGCTGGAAAAGGCACCTTGCACGTCAAGCAAGCTGGCTGGCCCGCAAAGTGTATTGTATACGATTCGGGAAGGACTCATCATCGAGCTGGCAGTTGGAACAAGCTTACGTGCTTGCCGCTCTTTCCTACAAGCGGCCATCTCCCCTTTCTCCGCTAAAAGTTCCGACCTCACCCGTCCCCACGACTTTGCAACTCCGAAGTACCTCCCTTACAGCAGGGACCCTGGACGCATCGCCTCCTTCGACACACTTGGCAGGCCTTTCCTCTGTCTTTCGACGCGTGCGCATCACAACATTCGACGCTAGAGTAGCGGCAGATCTGGCGCTAAGGCAGGAACACCGTCCGCTAAGGATCGAGCAACACCGAGCAGCTGCTCATCATACACGAAGCTCGGCACGGGACTGTCTCCTTCTCGCCTCGAGCATCTAGTCATAAAAAGAGCAGTGACGCAAGCTGTAGAGCTTCGATCACTCACTTTCACCTCCTCTTGCTCGTCCACAAAGCATCCATCATCCATCTGCCCGGCCACCCTTGCGACGCACAGCAAGCGCAACCGACCTTCGCTCAAGGTCCGGGAAGCTTGCCACGACAGACCACTCTTGGCTCCACCGAGGACCTCTCTAGACACAGTTCGACTACTGCTAACTCGCCCCTCTGAGCTACGACATGGGGCTGTACGAAGATCCCGGATTACCTGCTTACGTCGACACGACGAGTGAGTGCGCCAATCTTCATCTTGTCATGCTGGAAGCTGATCGACGTGTCACTGCGACGTTTAGATGTCACGGCCATCGCCGAGTACTATCTGACGCATCCAGTGCCACAGCGTCTAGTTCCAGTCATCATCGTCGCTAGTGTGGCAGTGTCGGTCCTTGGATCCTACGCTACTCTTTTGCTGCTTGGCAAGAGGACGGGCAACAAGGGTATCCGCAATGTCGCCTTCCTGCTCATGGCCGCAGTGACCATGTCGAGCGTCGGCATTTGGGGAATGGTGAGTCGAGGGAGACAAGCATTTCTGTCTTCTCCAACGGTCAACTTACCCGGCAGCACTCTGTTGTAGCACTTCATCGGCATGCACATGACGCTTCAGCCCATCAACGGCATCAATTGGTACTTCTCCTATTCCCCGGGTTGGACCGTCTTCTCCTTGTTCGCACCCATGCTTGCCCTCGCCGCCGCTTTCCTCTTCCTCGACAATGCAGAATCAGCAACGGGTGCTCTGAGCTACACTCGCATTGCGCTTGCTGGTGCAGCCGTTGGTGGTCTCATCGGGCTGATGCATTTCAGCGCCGCACTCTCTGGCAACTTTGGCGTGTCGTACGCCATTCCGCAGACGATCGGCGCCGTCATTCTTGCAATGGTTGCCACTATCGTGGCATTAGGGAGCTTCTTCGCCTTCAGAAGGCAGTGGCAAGACAATTGGCTCAAACGCTTGGCATGCGCGTCTATTCTCGCCACTGGTGTCTCAGCCATGCACTACTTGGCAGTTAGCGGCACGAGCTATACTGTACGCGCCTCGAGTCTCGGCCACGAGGCGGCACTGATGGCCGGCAACAGACGCAACAACGTAGTCACGATCGCCATTGGTGGTGAGTCCCTCCTTGATTGCCCGACGAGTGTCTTGGGCCTTGATAAGCTGACTCGTCCGCACCGTTCCGACAGTCATGTGCTTCGTGATTGTGTGCTTCGCCACCGTCCTCGCTGCCAGTGACATCAATCTGGCACGTGAGGTGCGCCGTAACTCCAGAAAAGTCGTCGTCGCCTCCGTCGCTTTTGACAAGAGCGGTCGACTTCTGGTGAAAGCTGACGGCAGTCTACCGATGGTCGTCCTCGAAACCAAGCTGAAAATGTCTGAAGTGATGGATGCGCTCGACAAGAGACAGACCACCTTCCAGTGGCTCTACGCCATTAGCTGGGACTGGAACATTGTTGCACCATTCCTTAAAGCCATCACTTTGCGTTTCTTGAAGCAAGCGCAGGTGGATGCCCAAGCTGGCACACGCGACGCAAAAGTTCGCGGCAGGCTCTCGAAGCGCGCCAGTCTGGATGTGGACCAGGAACGCAACCGTGGACCTCCAGCGTTGGCAGACTTCCGTGACAGCGTCATCGATGCAGCCTCGCAGATTGCGCGCGAGCTCGAGATTCCATTCGAGCAGGTCGGTGTCCTCTACGACTCGGTGCTCTCCACGGGTACACGCAAGGCAGCGGCTCAGCAAGCAGCAGACAAAAGGCAGTTGGGACCATACAACACCGAGCGAAATCCCCGCGCTGACGACGAAAGCTCTATAGTGGCCCCGAGCATCTTTGGGGACGGTGAGGACGAACAGGAAGGTGTGACGCTATTTCTGGTGCGCGAATTGCCTACCAGCTCTTCCGCCGCTGGCGTTGAGAGCGCTGAGCGATACCGCCAACGCGGCTTTCGTGTCACAGAGACTCGCTTCTTGGCCGGTGTGCTTGCAGACCGTTTCGCTGTCCTGAAGCCCGACATGGAGACCCTGCTCGACTCGCTGAAAGTCTTTGCGAAGCGCGGCACTCGCCCAGTCGTCCAGCCAGGCGGTGTGTACGCCGGACTATTCGGCGTCCGACCATCTACTAGCAGGCAAGGCGGCCTCGACGTTCTGGTGTACAACTTTGCACGGCACCAAATCCCTGCCTACCGTCTGCCGGAGGTGGCATGTGTTACTCCGGAGATGCGCGAATTTTTGCGCGACCTCGATCAGCTCACCCTCGACGAGGCTGGCAAGGTTTGTGAGCGCGAAGCCCTACGATCAAGCGAGCGCAAGAAGCAGCTGCGCCTGGATAATTCGACCATCAGTCTGGATGACCCGGAGCTCATCGACGAAGAAATGGCCATCGAGCTGATCATCCGCTTCCAGACGGCATTGTACATTGCTCTGGACGCTCTGCACAATTCGGTGCGCTTTTACCCCAAGCTTGCCACCACCGCACGAATCAGCGCAGAGGTGCTCGAGGTGCCTTCCAGTCTCGATGACTCAACGCCGCCCGCCGAGATGATCTTGGTGCAGGCCGTGCTGCCCGAAGAGCGAGCTGTGCCGGCGTCGTTCTCCTCCAACAACGGTCTGCCTTCGACGGTGATTCCATCCGAGACTCCGAGCTCCGCCACGCCCTTTGTTTTCACACCATACACTTTGTTTGCCAAGTCGCAGATGATGCTGTTGCGTGGCCGACAGGCCGACGACTTTGAGCATGAGGTCTTGCTGGACCTGCGACGCCGCTACCCTTCGAGCCTCATGCAGGAGGCGGAGGAGAAGGCCTTGCCCCATCCTGCGCTCAGACGTCACGGCTCTGTTGGTTCCGACTTCCATGTGACGAGCTCAGCTGATCTGTTGCACAAGGACAAGACTGGCAGCGGCCGCTCTATTTTCAAAGCCGGACCGGCGACGAACTGGAGACTCATGCCAGTCGCTATCCGCCGCTGGGCATCCAGATTCAGCTCGAGGCACAGCGCAGTCGACTTTGACATGTCCGAGGGCGCACACAATCAGCAGCATCGTATGAGCTTCCATTCTTCTCGCTCTCGCACCATGCGTCTCGACTCTGCGACGGACAAGGACTTTGAGAACGGCAAGCTTTCCGAGGTGGGGCACGACAACTCGAAGTCATCCGAAGCTGGGCACGAAATGTCCGAGACGGGACACAATACTGGCGTGCTTCCTGTTCTGCGTCGGGGCGACGAGCGTAATACTGTCCTCGTCTCACCTGGCTCCACGCTAGTCGCCTCGGAGACCACCAGTCCACCTAATTGTGGCAATGCCGCTCATGCTGCGGCAGACGCGTCACCACACCGTCACAAGTCTTCGCAGCGTCCCGACACTGCGAACACAATCGCTTCTCTTGGCATCAGACGCTTTACGCAAGATGGCGGAGCTGCCGCCTTTGCGGCTAATTATGTTACGCAAACCAGTCAGAGCAAATTCGCTCGAGCACCTGAGGAAGACCAGATCGAAGAAGAGAGCTTCGAAAGCGGACATAATTCGGAGGCTGCAAGAGGCCTTGCTGCTCCTCTCGAACTCACCACCATCAATGCTTCTAGCGCAAGCTCGCCTACAAAGGCAGATGTTTCCCCATCGCCATCTGTCGACGTGAATAGAGCCGCGGCAATCGCTTTCAGCACGCCGCGCGCTGATCGAATCGCCACTGCAGAGTCGCCGCTACCTGCTGTGCCCAAGACTCCCACCCGTGCGCCAAATAGGCGTGTACATGGATCCGGCCAACGTCCGTTCACTGCTCCCGCCAGTTCCAGAAGGCCCAGCTCCGCTCGTCCACACACTGCAGACCCGTCCAAGAGCCCGGTGCTGAGCCAACGCCATGCTGTCAACTCGACGCATCAAAATGAAGCTTCCATGATGGCACGACTGAGATCCGACGACTGGGCTCAGCGACAACTTCGTTGCCTGGAGCGAGGCGCTAATGCCTCTAATCTCTTGGGCGTCGACTACTAAAGTCGTAGTAGTCAACCGTGACTTTGTGGGAGACATCTTTTGTACTTTGCGTGTTCGTGCAGCCTCGACACACACACACGGTGAAGTGGCCTCTTGACTTGATCCTCTTTTTTGAACCTGAACCGATCATCTCGGCTGCCTGCAAACGCGCATCAGCTGTACCTGTGTATTGCTATCATCATCCGTCACCTACTCGATGCGAATCAAATAAGCTATACTCTATGCAGCACACGACAGAAACGCTGGTCAATGACCATAGTCAAGTCATGAACTGCTGAATTTCGAGAGCGGACAGTGCACTTTGACAGCACGCTGGAAGATGGGAGTCTTATTGACGAATGTGCTGTAGCGGACCGCGGAACTCGAGCGGACAAATGAAGAGGGGACCGGCGTGCGGGATACATGCTGAGGGATCAGTTGTCTTTCATACGAAAGGGTGTTCCAAAGTGCGTCGGAATTGGTCGCACAGTGCCGATGAAGATGCGAAAGCCACGGTATGGGCGAATGAGGGGATGGCAAGCGGACTGCGCGAACACTGCGAATGGAGAAAGCCAAAAGACGAGAGGAGTCCGAGTATAGAATAGAGTGTCCGATGGACATTCGCCGAGACGGATCCGGCGACGACGCGGACCAGCGATCATCTGCGGTCGTAGTAGTCGGGATACTCCGCGTATCCTCCCGAAGCGCCGGAGTATCCTCGCGCGTAGCCGCTCTGATGTTGCCACTCTCGATCCCGGGCCTCATAGTATCGATCGCGCTCGTACATTTCTCGCTCGCGATCCCAGTCCCGCGCGCGTTCGCGGTCGTGCTCATGGTGCCATGCTCGATCGCGCTCATCTCGCCAATCGCGCGCCCGCTCCCTGCTGCCATACCAGGCATCACGGTCATGCTCTCGATCCCGCTCCCGATCGCGACCACGCTCCCAGCCGTGCTCTCTTGACCTGGTTCTGTCTATGTCATGCTCTCGCTCTTGGCCGTAAGAGTCGCGACTATGCTCCCGCATAAGCTCATCGCGGTGACGCGGATGAGGATACGGGTGTCCTACTTCATGGGGATGTGCATGTGGATCTGCAGAGGGCGGCCGCCGATGGGCGTCGCGATCGTTAGGATGTGACGAAGAGCTCCCGTTATGTTGGCGTTCTGGAGGAGACGCACGTGCTGCCGGCCGTGGCGAGTCGTTGGCACGCGGCAGCGCACCTGGCTTGTTGTACGGTGACCCGTGCGCCGAATTTTCGAGCGTGCGAACGGATCCAGCGCGACTACGGTCTTCTACAGTGACACTGTTTGTAGCCGCCACGGTGGTGGCCTTGGGATCTTCCCCTCTCGTTGGAGACGCTGCAGCTGCTTGCGACTGTTCGGGAGCCTTGTGATCCGACTTCGGCGCACCATTGACAGGGGAAATGCGGGGCTTTTTGGCGCTAGCATCGCTCTTGATAGCCAAGGGAGATGGCACATGAGCCGCATGATCTTCCGAAGGACGCTGTCTTTTCTTGACGGCCGGAATTACCGCAGGTGCTGGAATTGGCGATGCGGCGACGTCGCTGGCGCCCGTCATCTTGCGGTATATGCCGCGAAGCTGGGCTGCCTTGACTGGTCTCGGCCAGAAGAAGGCCGCCCAAGCCCATAGATGACGCCGCTGTCTAGCTGCCGCTGAGGCTGGCTGATCTTTGAAGCGGGTAGCGATGTTCTGAATGCAGCCGCCGATGGCCGAGAGGCTTTCTTTAAGCACTACGACCTTGTCTTCGCGCGACATGGTTTCAGTCTCCTTCAAACGCTTCAATTCCTTCCGGCAGGGTCGCATCAATTCTTTGCAATCCTCCTCGTCCATGCTGGAATAAGATGATTTATCCTCTTCCTCCGTGTGCGTGTCCTCTGGTTTAACGGTCGCAGCCGGTGATCTTTTCTTTGGTCTACTCAACTTGATGCCCTTCGCCTTGCCAGGCGCAGGAGCGGGAACTGGGGAGTCGTGGCCGCTGCGTGCCTCGCTCGTCTTTCGCGCCTTTTTGTTGTGAGGTGCAGAAACCGTCTGCTTTTCGGCCGCGAAGGCAGCACTCTTGGCTTCTTTGACATCCTTGCCATTCTTCTGCTTTGTGTCGCGCAACTGCCTCTGGTGCTCGTCTACAAGTGGGTGCAAAAGGTTCAGTCTAGCACACGTGAATTCGAACCGACTGCTTGACTTTGTTTGACTCACCTGCGTCGAGCATTTCACGGAGCAAGTAGTCTCCGCGGCGTACAAGGTGGATAGCATTGGGAATGGGACGTGCGGCCATGGTCGGTAACTTGCGCTTGGGCTTGCTCTCGACTGCCTGTGTCGCGTTTGCCTGTGTGGCGTCGTCCGCATGCGTTCCCTCAGCACCAGCAGCCGACTTCGGCTCGATGATTTTCTTTCCTTCCTCCAAGAAGAAGTAATTCTTAAGTCCCAGCGAGTCGTCGCCCTCTATCTGCTCCCAGCAGCCAAAGCCGTGTTTGAAGATTCCGACCAGCAGCCTGGCGTCGAGCTCGTCGCCCCATCCATTCGCCCAATTGGCTGTGCCTTTCAGATGCTCGACGGGCACGCTCCACTTCATGCGCTTGTCTTCACTGAGCTTATGCAGCTTTTGAAACAGTAATCGAAGTCCGTGGTGACGAAGTAACGTTGTCTCGCCGTTGGTTGAGATACCACGGACTGTGACCATCACAGCTTTCTGCCTCAAAGCGGCAGCAGCCTCGGGGCTGGTGGCAGCAGCAGCTTGCTTCTCTTCCTCATGTGCAGCTGCCGCCTTCTCAGACTCGGCGATGAGGTCATCCGAGAAGCTTTCTAGAACAGCTCTATTCTTCGAATGCAGCCTGCCCTCGCCGGCGATGGTGTCGTAACGCCAGCGTATGTCGCCCCAACGTTGAATGCCCCGGATGAGAACTCGCAGATCACGGTCCGAAAGATCCATGGATCGCTCAGCGGCAGACTTGCGCTGCTTTGCCAAGCGCGCCGCACCCCCAGCACCTCCGCTTTTGCGAGCGCGCTTGCCGCCAGCCTTCTCATCGTCGTCATCCTCTTCATCCTCGTCATCATCCTCGTCTTCAACATCTTCGTCCGAGCCGGTAGCCTTCGCCTTGGCAGTCTTAGCAATGCCATCGTCAGCGGCTGTGCGCCTGCGACTTGAGCTTGCAGCGGCCGCTTCATGGACTGCGCGCTGCCGCTCTTCTTCCTCGGCCTTTTGCCGTTCTTCGAGCGGCACAATGTCATCCCAGTCGGTATCACCAACCTTTATGTCCGACACGTTGAACAGCTTGGCAAAAGCTTCGCCACCCGTGGAAGTGTGGGTGTCGCCAGCAGTCTCCAAATCCACGGCGCTTTCCAACAGTTGATCGAGATCGAGACGGGACAGCTTGGTGTTCTGATCATCCTCGCCTCTCTGGAACAGCGTCTGAGCTCCAAGCTTCAAGATCTGAGCAAGCTCGTCACGCGACGGGTTGTTGGCGGATTTGGACGCCTTCGCAATTTTTCCAGCCTCGTAGTCTGTACCTGAAGTGTCGAGGTTGGCAATCACAGCATGTTCGAGAAGCATCTTTTGACGAGCCTTCTCGAGGACGCTCTCTTCGATTGTGTCGGCGGTGACCAAGCGGAAAACGGAGACGTGGTGCTTCGATGTGAGTCGATGCGCACGCGCCATGGCCTGCAGGTCATTTTGAGGGTTCCAATCAGAGTCAAAGATGATGACGGTGTCTGCCGTCTCCAGATTGATACCGAGACCGCCGGCACGCGTGGAAAGCAGAAAGGCAAAGTCTGGCGAATCAGGAGCATTGAAATGCTCGATGCTCTTGCGGCGGAGCTCTGACGAGATGGTGCCGTCAAGCCTCTGGAAGATGTATCCGCGTAGTGACATGTAGTCAGACAGTATGTCCAGCATTCTCACCATTTGACTAAAAATGAGGACACGGTGACCGTCTTGCTTCAGACGCGTCAACAATTTGTCGACGAGGACCATCTTGCCGCTGTGCATGACCATATTCTTCAGGGTCTCCTCGCGCTTCTCCGACGGGACCTCTGCTCCTTCAAACAAGTACGGATGATTCGACGCCTTCTTGAGCTCGATCGCGATATTGAGCAGGCTGAATTGAGCTGACGACGACTGGCTGAGAAGGGAAAAGTTGCGCGTCAAGATTGCCTTGTACATTCTTTGCTGCATGGAGGACATCTCCACCCGCAGTATCTTCTCTGATTTTGTCGGCAGCTCTTTAACGACATCCTTCTTAAGTCTTCTGATCATGACGTTGTCGAGCTTCTCGTGTAGCGCTCGAACGGATGCAGGGTCGACATTTTCGGTGTCGAAGTCGACCTCCAAAGGAAATTCATCCGGGCGCAGAAAGTGCATTAAGGCGATCAATTCTGAGATGAAAGGGTAGATCGTAAACGTGAGCGACGATTGCAATCCCGCGCAAATGCGCCTTCACAGCACATTCGAAGCTCACCTTTGATATTGTTCTGGAGTGGTGTACCAGTGATGAGCAGCTTGTTTGCAGTGTGGAAAGACATCAAACACTCGTATAGCTGCGCACTTGAATTTTTCAACCGGTGCGCCTGGAAGATGAGATGGCTGATTAGCGTTCGACGTACTTGGCATAGCTTGACGAGATTGTCTCACCTCGTCAACAGCGAGAAATTGCCATTTGATCGAGCTCAAGTCGGCTCGGTCTTTGAGGACGAACTCGTACGTGGTCACGAGAACGTTGATTTTGAGTCGTTTTTGTGATCCAAATTCGTAGCCGCGGATGATCTCACGGCTTTTGGCGCTGCCGATGTAGCTGACGACGTTCATATCCGGTGCCCACACCTCAAACTGCTGCATCCAGGCCGGGAGCGTGGACAGGGGAACGACTACGAGGAAGGGGCCGTACTGATGCTGAGAGTGGAAGAGATAGGACAAGAAAGCAACGGTCTGGACTGTTTTGCCTAAGCCCATCTGTAGTGGTGAAGATGCACGAGTCAGCGACGACCCTTGAGCTCATTCCGCGCACCCACGCACCTCGTCTGCCAAGATGCCGTTCTGGTTGTTAGACCAGAGGTATGCAAGCCAATTCAAGCCACGCATTTGAAAAGGCTTGAGCTCCCCTCCTGGCGAGATGTATGTCGGCTGCTCCGTCATTCTAGTGTAGACGGGTCGACCTCGGTGGTAGGCTTGGCTGTGTTCAGGCTTAGTCTTGCAAGCCACTCGTTTCAAATATGCTTGGATGGGTCTCGAAGCCTCATCTTTGATATCTTCGTTGGCTTCCCAGGTGCAGTCCGCATAAGACAAGCCCTTCCATTTGCAGAAGTAGGCGAGGTGTGAGTATGGATGATCCTTGCTGGGCTCATTCTGGCGTTGGTCCAATATCCTTTCTACCACTTTGAACCCCTCGACAGCGTCCTTTTGCCGTTCCTTGTCAATGTGGAGCAGTTCCACATCCTCTCTGCTTGTCTCTGGATTCTTGAGCAATTCAATTTCAGGTCGAACGATTTGCCGAATGTAATTCTCTAGCCGCTTCAAGCCTCCGTAGCCGCTTTTGATCAGAAAGTCGTAAGTTTCTTCGGTGTCATGGAGATGAGAATAACCCTGCCATTTGATGGTGTACACCATGTTCTTTGTTGGAAGGTCCTCCTTGTCGTCGACTGCAAAGCGCGAGGCGGCGGATGGCTGTCACCGCGTGAGCACGGAAAGACAGACGCAAGAACATAGCAGCAATACTCACGAAAATCCTGAGCCCGGGTGTGGCCAAAGACTCCCTCGATGGCCTCCAGTTCTACACAGATGTCGCAAGTGCAAGGGCGCCGCCATTCAGCCAACGTGGTTCGTCGCGTCATTCGCGTGTATTCTCCACTCACCTCCATCTGGCAGCGCCTGCATGTACGCTGCGTTTGCTTCCGTCGCCCGGTCCTCAAAGGGATCGTCATCAGACTCGAACGACAGACCCAGCTGGTCCTCGTTGTAATTTGGCTTGCGGTTCCCTCTAGAGGGTATCCTCGCAATGTCGGCGGAGTCTTCGTCTTCGTTAGGCGAGGGACGTTGATTGCGATGCCTGCCCACTGTGCGGCGCGTGCCAGCTTTGGGCGCCCCTGCCTTCCGATGGGTTCGCTGTGCATAGTCGTCTGAGCTCTCCGAACCATCATCTCTGGCTGCACTGCGAAAAGTTTCTGCAGGACACAGCGAGAAGCCTCGTGAGCAAGGAAAGATGGTACTCGGGGCATCCAGTCGTCACCATGCTTACCCCTCGCTTTCGACTTCAGTGCGGCTGCACGTTTCGCGGACTTCACGTTGCGCGACGCTCTGCCAGGAAGAGCATCGCCGCTGTCGTCATCCTCGCCACTGGAGCTATCGATGTACTGTACGTGGGATTTGAGATTTAAGTGTCAGCTCGTAGGTAGAGTCAAGGCCGCTGGAAGCGTTTGTATGCTTGTGACATGCCTGCTACTCACACTTTGCTTTGTTGCGCGACCCTGGAGATCGCGGTCCGATGGAGCAGTAGCAAGAGTGTCAGTACGTACTAAACAACAAATTCGAGCTTATGAAGCTCCCTGACCAGCTCGCTTCGGATCAAGCCCCAACGCCTCGGACCCTCCGTCCACGAGGACTGTGAGATCTCCGAGCTTACTCACCGAACGCCTCAGGCCATACAGCTCTGGATTAGCAGCTGCTTCGTTCAAGCGCTGCGCAGGTTTGCGTGGTTCGGGTCGAGACGTATAGGAAGGTGACCTTGAAACAGAAGAGACGCTTCCCGACCGCATGGAGCCCTGTGCTGATGTTTCACCTAGCGCAGCGATATGTGGGCGCCCACTGTTCGGCATCCGAGACGGCGAAGCAGAGCGGGAGCTCGAAGAAGAGGAAGGGGCTTTTGGACCAGGAGAGTCGGACGCAATCGAGCTCAACTCCGACTTGATAGAACCAGTTGCATCGCCATCTTCATCGCTGAAGGCTGGTGGTGCCGGTCTGTGGCACAGGACGAGTGAAGAAGACTGCGATTGCGACTGCGAGATGGTGTCGGATGACACGGGTTTGGGCAGCTCAGCAGCTGATGACGGAATGTCCGCAGCAGCGCTGCTCAGAGAGCTCATGTGGGTATCATTGATGCTGTTCATGCTGTCTGTACTGAGTCGAAGCTGGCAAATTGCTCTTCTTCCTCCGGCGACCTCGGAGCTAGAATTGGGGTGAGAGCAGGTGCCAGGAGACGAGGCGCGAGGGAGGTTGCAGCGACAGTCCGCCCAGTGAGGATTTCGCGAATAGAGGCACTGATGGACTTGATCCAGGGACTCAGAGCAAGATTATGAATGAAGAGTCTAGCAAGTGAGAAGCCAAGGGACCGCAGCACAAGCAATAGGTAATGCTCGAGGGAGATTGTAAGAGCCCTCTGCGAGCGGTGCGCGGCTCAAGACTTGATGTCACGCTACGCTCTGTGAAGAACGGAGCAGACGTGACTGGAGTCTTCTGAGACTGAGTCCAGAGTGAGTACGCAATGCCGGATGATGACTGGGTGTGGCATGCGAGATGAAAGAGGACAGAAGGGACACGGCAAGCGCGCCGCGTGATTGAGAGTCGGCACGAGACGCGCAAGGCGACGACGACGGCAATGCGCAAACATCGGCAAAGCCGTCAACAGCGCACATGGCAAATTGAGCATAGCTGCTGCTCACCGAAGAAGCCCGAACGGGAGCGTTCTCACATCAGTGTGAAAGTTCCGTGCTTGCTTATGCAGTGCACAGCTATCACATACGACGACTGTGATCAAGATGATGGCATTGATAGCGATGATACAGCGACGCTTGGGTGAGGACGAGTACATGGAACGTCGGCTATGAGGGGATCGTGATTCCTGAGGTCCTGAGCCACCGTAGCATGTCCCGAACGACCTCTTTGAATGTCAAGAGTCACAGAGTCGGAGGAAGCGCAAGAGTACACGAGGCTCCGTGTAAAAACGGCGGTGACAACGAGAGGCTAGAGTGACGAGAGACAGGCTCGGATGAGGGTGTCAACGTCGGTCGACATGCAGATGCGAGCGCCAGCTTGGATGGGACAGCAGCGATCGACCAACAAGGATTGGCAGAGGCGACTTATCTGCTAAGCGGGAAGCAACGGACTGATGACGCACAACGCTCCCGCAACGACGACCAAGGGCTTGGCGGCGAGAAGGTGCCAAGGAGCGACGGAGATGATGTTTACTGGAGAAAGTGATGATGTCCAAGCTGTCCACATTCAGAGTGTGGGTCGAATAGAGCAAAGAGTCTCATGCCAGGGGAAGGGGAACAGGGAGCAATGTCGGGTCGATTGTGCGGGATCTGCGGAATGGATGGTGGATGGAAAGGTAACCCACATCCAATTTGGTTACCTTCGTGCTGCACTTTGCCTCACAACGCTGCGCTGAGGGGTCCGTCGTCGCGATGCAAGCCAACTCTCTCGACGCGCGCCCCCGGGCGCTACGCCGGTGCGCTGCACCTCACGCCTGCGGGCGCGTGTCTCTCTCGAAGACAGGGCGTGTGCCGTGATGCTCTGCGCACGCCGCGCTGCTGCTCGTCCTGCTGCTCCTGCTGCTCGTCCCAGCTGCTCCGGCACGGGCGATCGAGGCTCATCACGCGCGCGTCCAAATTAAGTAGGTCGAACGCTTTCAGAGGGAGACCACGTGGGCACTCTTCTTGCCGGGCGTGAACATTCACCTATTAGCGCCAGTCGTGAGTCTCGAGGTAAAAGATGGATAAAGTGACGATCGCGCTCAGAATTGCCTTCAAGCTATCGCGGTGTCGGAGCGACCCGCAGGCAGCATGTTCTGGATGGCGCTTTCGCAACACTCATTGGCGAACCACAATCAGGAAGGTGCTATCTGCGACGCAGGGGTCGGGAACTACTGAGATTGCACGATTGGCGGGATTGAACAAGCAAGCAGCGGCCATATTCGCAAGTGCCGGCCACGAGTACAGAAAGATGACTGATACGAGAGACCCGCTCAGTCGGCGAGCAAACATGGCTATGAGTCTAGTCAGGACCACAGAGAGGCGAGGATAGCTGCGAGAATTCACACGAGAAAGGAAAATGCGAGGTTAGGCTGTGGACCCACACTCGCGCCCGTAGTGGCCTTTTGCTTTTTCTGGCTGGCGAATGATCTATTGGTACAGCTTTGGCTTGTAGTCGTCCGAATCATATCTCTGTATCTGCAGATGACTGTTTGGAAGCTTCAATGGTATAGCCCAATCGCAAACGCTCCTCCAGCCTCTTGACCTCTTCGAGAGTAGTAGCCCTGTCTATCGCTTCCTCCAAAGCTTTTCTCTCTTCTGCGCTCATCAATCTGCCTGCTTGACCCTTCTGTTTTTGGGTAAAGCCTGGTTCAAAGGTGCCTGATGCGCCATCCGTGGCCTGCATCGCCAATTTAGATGAAGAAGCAATGGAAGCAGCAAGCGTCGAAGGTCGGCCGTCCTCCGTCTCCATGAGCGACTTTGCCAATGCCCTTTCCTGTAAGGACAACGTTTTTTGCACGACGGCCGCGTTCATAAGGTACAAAATCCGACGCGGAGCGCGCCAAGCTGGATGTTGCATGTACTCACTTTCTCCTTTACCCTTTTGAAATCCAGCACCCTCACGTGTTTGCACCGCGTTATGACCCATTCCCTGTAGTGCGGCTTGCGCGTGCAAGGATTTCCAATCAAAGTGAGATACTCTAGTCGCGGAAATCTCGCGAGCGGCTGAAGAGATGCTAAGGCGTCGAGGCGGTTGTTTGTAAGGACCAGGGTGATGAGGCCAGGTGCTGCGTTGGCGATCTTTGGGGCAATGCTGGTGATGACATTGTTGGAGAGTACGAGCTGAGTGAGGCGAGGGAGCGATGGGAGATTGCCCAGCACACGAATATCATTGTCTGTAAGATCTATCGAGTCATTCTGGTCCTATCAAGAGGAGAGTAGCAGCGTTTGAGCGCATGTGTCCTTCCACACCACCATGTGGCCTCTGCACTCACTCTGGTCACACCAAGATTATCGATAGCCGGGATTTTGAGACCCCGAAGATCCAGCTGACAAGCCAGGAAGTGAGCTTCGACATTTCTTCGCCCGCACGACATCTTTCAAGGCTCACCTCGCGATCCTTGAGCGGCGAGAGCGTCGATTGCGAACGCGCGACAAGTTCCGGCGTCAGCTTCATGGCAAAACGATGCACCTGCACTTGCTTGTCCGATTTTTGACCGTTTGTCCTAGTGTTCAAAGTGTGGGCCTACACATAGGTGCCGATGATGGACAGGACTTTGAGCCTTATTATGTCTTCGCAAATCTTGCAGGCAAAAGGCCGCCGCTAGAAATTGCGATGGAGTCCGTGAGGCTGTGATGCGAACGCAGCGAGTCAAATTTCGGGGGTGTATGCGATGCGCAAAAGAAGAGGCAGTGGCGAGAGCCTTCCGTCAGCAGGTGGCTCTGTAGGTGCGACGGGTAGTTGACCAGTGGGTTGTGGAGCAGCAGTCAAAGTGTTCGGCACACAGGTCTTGAATGGACGGAAATGTGAATTACGGTGCAGGAAGATCCAAGATCCTGATGAAGCCGTACGTTGCGAGTTGCGTGTCTCGTGACCTCAACCTTCACGATTGGTGACTTGCGCGTACCACTCTTGACTCAAGACCGCGTTCTCACTCACGATTTCACTCAATTAGACTCAAGACTCCATGCAAACTTACCGCGCCCGACTCGGCAGTCGCGCGCGCGCGCCTAGTCACGAGTCAATCCGAAACGCGACTGCCCGCCCGCCCGCCTTTCTAGCTGCTCTAAATTGGGAAGTGCAGCAGCGCACCGCCGCCAACGGACGCTGCCATGCATGGGCTCATCGTGCAACATCAGCCACAAGCGGCACCAGCACCGCACGGGATCGAGGCAACTCGTGAATACTGGGGAATGCGCGTGTATAGCGCTTGGACCACCAGCTCAAGTCAAGAGTCAAGATCGAGTTCAACCAGGTCCAGGCACATCTCGCGCCTTCTGATCATCCAGTTGAATGCCAATCTGACTGACCATCCTTTCTACTCCACCGACCAAGCGGTATACACATCAGGAGATTCACCAAGACTAGACTGCCCTCCGGTCCCTTACCTCTTGTTGCAACGTTTCAGCATCCTAGCCCTGCCCATCAGCCTCAAGATGGCGCTGCCGAACTCTTACGCGCAAATCCTGAACGATCTTAATCGCGACGTCGTGCGTTTCAGGCCGCTCGACCCCCTTCAATTCTGCGCCAACTGGTTCAATCAGCGACTGGAGAATGAGCGCAAGGCTACCTTGGCTCGTGGTGCAGATGGCACAGCAGCAGCAGGTGCTGTCGATGCTGCTTCGCCTCTTGCCTCCACTGCCGGCGGTCCAGATGATGTGACGATGACTTCTGCCGGTGGCCCTTTCTCAAACGCCAATCCCTTTGGTGCTAGCTCCAGTGCTGGACCCGCATTTTCTTTGCAGCCACCTTCGCGCGATGGGTCCATCGTATCGCTTGCTCAAACCACAGCTTCGTCGGAAGATGATGATACCCTTCAGCCATTCTCTGCTCCTTCCGCAACGTACAACCTTGGTCGTCGAACCTCTGTCAGTGCCGAGTCCCTTGCGCCTCTTTCGAGCGCGGGTGATGAGGCCCCCGCACCAAAGACAGTCATCCCTAAGAGTTCCTTGCAGCTGGAGCGCATTCGCGCTTCTATCAAAGGCAACTTGCTCTTCAACTCCCTCGACTTGGAGCAGGAACAAGACGTTGTCAATGCGATGAAGGAAGTTCGCGTGCCTGCGCACGAGTGCATCATCAGACAGGGCGATCAAGGCGACTACTTCTACATCGTGGAGTCTGGCTCCTTTGAGATCTACATCAAGCCTACAGGCGCAGCGTCGAGCGCCGGTGGTTCCGACGATGATTCTGCGAATGGAGGTAGACGCGCTGGGGACACCCTCGATCTGGGCGACAAGAAGGCTGTGTGCGGGCCCTCTTCCTACTTCGGAGAGCTCGCGCTGCTCTATGCCCAACCACGCGCTGCCAGTGTCGTGAGCACCGAGCCTTCAATCGTCTGGGCACTAGACCGCATCACATTCCGCTCCATCGTCATCGGTGCCAACAGCCGTCGTCGAGCACTCTTCGAGTCGCACTTGAGAAAGGTCAGCTTATTTGAAACGCTGTCCGACGCCGAGCGCGCAAAGATTGCCGATGCGCTCGAGCAACGCGAAGTGCCAGCAGGTACTCGGGTAATCGAGCAGGGCGAACGTGGCACCGAGTTCTTCATCATCCTCGATGGCCACGCCGAGGTTCAAAAGAGGCGCGAGCAGGATGGTGTGGAGGAAGCAATAGGCAAGCTTGCTGAAGGAGACTATTTCGGGGGTGAGATTGCAGAAGATGAGCCTCTCTGGTGTCTGAACAAAGTGTTGACCTCTTCTTGCACCGTATCGGTTCCGTCCAGAACTCGCTCTGCTCAACAACGCACCCAGAGCCGCCTCAATTGTCGCTTCGTCTCCCGCATTGCGTCTGGCCACTTTGTCGGAGTCTGCTTTCAAGCGTCTTGTAGGACCTCTAGCTGGCATCATGGCGCGCCATGCGCATGATCACTACGGCGCTGGTGCGAGTCGTGCTACTCGAGGTGCGAGCCCAAGCTTCAGGGCCAGCAACCCCTCTCGTGGCGGATTGAATGCGCCTCCGGCCGTTCCATCAGTTGGCCCCCACGAGAGTGCTAGCTCTGGTCTTGGCGAAGGCACTTGGGTCGGTGGCATCGGCGCCTCGCCGTTTGGTCATTGAGACTTCCACAGAAAGATCAAGAGACGACTTTTGAGGCACTTTTCACCTTAGAGACCCTAGAAATGTGCACATGTGACCTCGGAAGAATCTCGCGCGAACTCGAAGCTACCCGACGTGTTCCCTGCCCTTGCATGCTCATGACCTTAGGTCCATTGTTCTGTTACCCCACACTTTGACTTTTGAATGAAGCGCAATCAATAGCTGGTTGCCAAAACATCGCTTGAAGCATCGGTATTCACGAGTCTGAAGCGCGGAATGTGAACGCCTGGAATTGGCATGCGTCGATACGTGCATACATGCCGTTGTCATGAGCAATGACGATACACAACGTCCCGGTCTGAAAGTGGGCGACAATACCTCACAGCAGCGATTGGCCAAGATCACCAGCAGCCTCTCCCTCTCTACTTGAGGATTCCATCAGCTTTGAGCTGCTTCTCCAACTCTTCCTTCTTTGCCTGCGTCACCGAAGCATCCTCCGCATCATCCTTGAGAATGCCGAGTCTCTCCAGCTCTGCGCGATCGGGGCGCCTCTCCAACTTGCCCTCCAGACGATCCTCCAGCTGGTGCTTGATCAGCTCCGCCTGTGCTCAGAGCGGTCACGTTCGAAAGAGGCAAGGTAGGAAGCGTCAATGCGAGTCTGAAATATCGGTAGGCCAAAGCACTTTTGGGATGGCCCTTGGCTTGCAGTCCCTGTCACTCACCTGCGCAGCCTGCAAGGCGGGAGCAGCAGTGGAGTTCTTGAGGATACCCTTCTCTTGGAGCTCTTTCTGCGAGAATGTAGCAAGGAAGTGCATGGTGTGAGCAGTATTCACGATCGCTCCAATGGTGGGAGGGCCCTGTCTCCTAATGTCCAGGCACTCTTATGGACTTTGAAGTACGATCACGTCACTCACAACATCGCTGCGACCTTGCAGCAGCTTCTCGAGCTTGGAAGCTTCTTCGGCGTGGTGGTTAGGGTTGGATGCTGAGGAGTGGCGCGTTTGCAAGTTGGACAATATCAGCTTGGTGCGTATACACCAGCAGGCCCTCGAAGCTGGACGCAGTCACAGCTTCTACGAATGCACTCACTCATGTTTGGATATCCCCAATGGCTTGTCTCAATCGAGAATACCTAACTGAGTTGTAGCACAAGATCTTGCGGCACAGGTGTGGAGACTGCATTCAAATAGTGTGAGAGATGAGGTTGTGCTGAGTCAAGTCGGGCGGGACGAGATGAGTTCAAGAGTCACGATCGTGAGTGCTCCTCAATAATTCACAGACTCATCGAACACTCACGACTGTTGTACACAGCCTCACTTTCACGGCTCCCGGATTGGCAGCTATTATACTCACGACTCGATCGCTGCTGCAACGCGAGCTACTTGCAGTAGCGAGTAGCATACACTCGCTACTGTATGGAGCCGGTGCTGCATGGTTGCAAAGGGGCTCGTGCACTCACGACTGTCTCTGCGCCTCATTCTCTCGAAGCTGCGCTGGACATAGCTCCCACGCACACCACTGCACTGCCTGCTCAGACTACCACTCTTGACTAGTATAGTGTTCCAAAGTACACCACCCATCAGACTGTTCCAGAGTAGATGAACAGTCGCGACGGGCATCACATACATGCTCTCGTGGGTAAGTCACGCTCGCTGCTGCTGCATGGAGGTGACTGGCCTATTCAACCCCGGCCGGGTGTGGGGCAAACGACCAGTCACTGTGCGGTCCAAGTGATTCCGCTGCCCCGTGCATGCGTGCTCCGCTGCTGCTTTGACGCCTGCTTGCCTACATCTGCCGCACATATGCCTATACCGCCTTGAGCGAATGAGTGGTGCCTGCTGCTGAGTCTACGCTATCCGCGACCGCTGCCTAGCACAACGTGCTGATGCATGAGCACGGCGCGCGCGCTTACCTCCACACAAATCACGTGACGGGCGTGGGCGTTGGTCTTGCTGCTGCATGCGTGCGTGATGCATCACCATGCACCGCCCTGCATGCGCGTAACGAGCTGAGGAGCGGGAAACGTAGATGTCGATCAACATGCTCGCCGAACTCGACTCGAACTACACAACGCCCGTGGCTTGCTTGCTCATGCTTGGCGGTCCACCCTCGGTAGGCTTCCTCTCGCTTTGAAGGCCAGCACTTGTCAATCCCAGTATCAAGGCTCAACTTCACCGACGTTCTCCTCATTCACCATCAACAATTTCCTTCTGAGATCCTCAACACATGTCATCCTCGTAGTCTCGTCTTGCTCCACTAACGCCTTCGTTCCATCACGAGCGGCTTTCGGCAACACCTGCAAATCTTCCATCACCACGCAAGAGACGGCGCTCGGCGTATGCGCATACTACGGACACAGTACTAGGTGTGACTTCTTTTGCGCCTCCTCGCGGCCTCTGGGATTTGCGTGAAATGGATGGGTTGATCCTGACTCAATCCGCTTCGGAATGACACTCGATCCTCCAGCACTTGGCTCAAAGAGCTCCCAACCCGCAAGCTGGGGCGAGAGACGATCTAGGGTAGAGGAGCTGCTAGCAAGTGCCCCAATCTTGGATGTGGTACGATGCCTTCGACGCGCGCTCCGAGCCGAGGGCAAGCAGCTTGCCGTCCCCTCGCCCGATGACCCCTCTGAGGATTTGGATCTCGCGTTGGCAGCGTACTGGCCAGTGGAGGGGACTAGCGCCGGTGCTGCCTCAGACACTAATGTGGTACGTAGAAGAGCGATGCCTCTCTTGAAGGAGCTCGCAGCGACGACCATTCAAGAGAGGAATTTTGCCAGCGAGACCGCTCTGGCAAGGAGCTTGAGTCGAGGTGGTGGCGGCTTCTGCGAGGTAACGCGATCGCGATTCGACAGGAAGCTATACGTGGTCAAATCTGCAGTCAAGAGGACAGTGGTCGCATCTTTCGGCACTTCCAACCTCTCTCCTTCTCTGGAGCGCCACATCCTCAGCCTCGCTCGCACCTATGCAGGGTCGTCATCGTCCGAATTCGAGGGCGAGCTACCAACGCCTCGCATACATGCCGCATGGTGCAGTCGATCGGACGTCTTCATCGCGATGGAGTACTTTGCAGCGGGAGATCTGGACATGTTGCTCAGCAGCGCTGGAGAAGCAAAGTGCTTGAACGAAATGTCGGATGAAAAGGGACGCATACACGAGCATCACACCCTGGCTTGGGGCAGAGACATGGTCGCTGCCGTCAGCTGGCTCCATTCGGAAGGTTTCATGCACCGGTAAGCAACCAGTCACACTCACGCGAAGCGCTCGCAGCTGATCTTCAGGATATTGTTCCACTCTGTACAGCGATATCAAGCCTGCAAATTGGCTGATCGCAGATTCAGGTCACCTGAAGCTCTGTGACTTTGGTGTTGCGGCCCCCTTCTCTTCCTACGGTCCCACCAGGAAGCGACTAGTTCGCCGATCTCACAACGCCATCACTGGCACATCAGATTACTTGGCCCCTGAGCTGCTTCATCTACGACTTCAAAGGGCCGAAGCAGCTGAGCTGGCCGAGGCGGCACGGAGAGCGGAAGACTCTTTCGGCTCGCCATCCTATGATTGGCAGAGTCCTGCATCTGTGCGGCATGACGTTGTCTCAGACACTGCGTTTCCATCTGCGGAGGGAGACTATGGTCCGAGCATCGATTGGTGGGGCATCGGCTTGGTATTGTACGAGATGACGTACCGCTACCTGCCTTTTGTCGGGACGCCTGCCCAAGTCGTGGAGCAGAAGCTCAACTTCCACCAACACTTCAGATTGGATGAGAGCCTACCCCGCGGATCCGAGCTCCAGAGCCTCATGCGAGGTCTAGTAGCACTGGACAGCGAGAGATTAGGGCGAAACAGCTCAGAAGAAGTCAAGCAGCATCCTGCATTCAAAGGTACAGACTGGTCAAAGCCGTACTCGCACCCCTCACCGTTCACACCCAAGCTTGCGGCGGAGAACGAATCTGGCGATCAAGCCGTTTCTGTGATCCACAGCCCTCGCGGTCCTGACCGTCACGTGCAGTCGGAGAGCTTGATGTCGCCAACGGTCAGCAGCTTCAACGTGAGTCAGCACTTTGCTGGCATGCATCACATTCCGCATCTTGATTCTGTAGAATGTGGCTCTTCGAGCGCAGCAGACGCATGGGAGAAAGCTGCTGAGGGCAGCTGGCCTACAGAGGACGATACTAGCGTCAACGAGTCTCAGACCGCTGTCGCGGCATCTCCGGCCTCTGCCGCTCTAGCAAGACGTATAAGCCAGCGCGACACGCGTGCGGATGCTGCGTGGTCAGACGTAGACATGTATTTTGTTGGTCTATCAATGCTGCCAGAGAACAACGCTTTCGCCTCGGCGGAGGCCATACACAAAGGAGACGAAGAGATGCTTGGCGAAATGCGTCGTCAGACTCGGGTACGGATCTCGGATCAGCTCGAAGTATTGAGCTCGCCGCCAGAACCCACCAGGGAATCGAAGCCAGCTTCAAGCAGTCAGTCCACTTCCACGCCATATTTGCGACACGACAAGAAGTCTGAGGGGCATCTTGCATCTACGCCGTGGCAGCCGCACGGACAGCGTTCACTTCACCGCCATGCCCTCGAGACAGCTTCACGAGTCGCGAGCGTAGCGAAGTACGGACACTTGCTGCCGTCGAACGCACCAGGCGCCTTCGTGACACCCATGCGGAAAACTTCAATGCCCAGCTTTGGCAGTAGATTTCAGCAAGAGGCGCACGCGCAACACGGTCACAATGATCATCTACTCTCTGGCACACCTTCGGCAGCACCGTCCGCCTCCCCGTACCCCTTCCCGATTGCATCTGCTTTCAGACCTAGCACAGTGGCTCATCGAACCGGGTCAGGCAGCTACTTCGTGATGAGGACGCCAGGCGTCGATGCGCACGGGACCGAGTCGCAGACTTCAGGAGGTAGCAACGCGCGCCGCAACATGAGCGAGCAGGAGGCTTGGAATGAAATGTGGTTGGCTGCTGGTAGCGCCAGAAAGCCCAAACGAGCGGCTACCCTAGATGAGGGTCTGCAGCGTCCCAAGAGATCTTTCAGTGTCCTCCAACCCGGCAAGCGAAGCAGCCGAGGTGAAATCGTTCCTGCGTCGCGTCGCGTAGCAAGAACGCGCTCCACTACTAGCGCGAGCGAGGCCACGGCCTGCGGTCCATCCGTTCGAGCTTCGCAGGCATCTGAAGTGGATCAGGATGGCTACAAGGTTCCGAGACCAACGCGCAGTGCTTTGGATACGCTGCTGTCAAAAGTAGCGCAAATCAGAGCACAGACCAACGACTCGAGGTCTGCTACCTTCTCCGACTCCGAGCCGGACTCTCCCGTGCTCGCACAAGGTGGGAAACAGCAGCAGAAGAACGAGATGCCTGGCATCGACCCGTTGCGTGTGCTTCCCATTGAGCTGCGTGATGCGGCCGTCAACACCTCCGCTTCGCTCGGAATCCCAGCACAAAATCAAGCAAGGCTTCAGAAGCGTCGGAGCGCTCGCCAGGTCTTGTTGCAAGCACAAGAGAGAACCACGCCCACGAAAGACTCGCGCTGCTCGAGTCCGCTGCTGACTGCAAACTTGTCCAACCTCAATATCGACCCAACTTCGGCACCCATCAGTGGACCGCTAAGATCGGCAGCTCCCGCGCATTCGGCCTCTCTCGAGCGAGGTCAATTGCCCATCAGCGCCAGAGAAAGGGCTGGGAGCAGTTGCAGTCTTGCGTCGGTGCATTCTGTGCGTTCTGTGCAGGATGCGCCGCTCCGAAGCGCACCTCTTCTTGGCGCAATGCAGCCGCCCGTGATCGGTACTAGACGAAGCAGCATTCTAGACCCGAGGTGTTCAGAGCTGCGCGAACGAGACAGACCCCACCTCATGCGCCGACGAGACAGTAGCCAGATGCTAGCAGAATTTCGGCAACGGAGGTCGCCAGATGACGTAGATGACAGCTTGGAGTTAGGCCAGCCTCTGCCCCCCAAGTTGATGGTGCCTACAGCGTCTGGCACTGCGATGCCTGGCAGCAGCCCTAGTATGCCAAGCCTCGCACCTACTGCGGTGACGCATGACCAAAGTCTTCGTCCTGCTTCTGATGCAAAGGCTCAACGTAGAGCGTCCATGCAACCTATGCGGCCCCCCAATCCCAGATCTTCGAACGCGCCCGCGTTGCTCAAAATCCGTCAAGCTGAACAAACACAACTCCCTCGGCGTCCTTTGCATCACCAGCTCCTAGGCCGTCATTCCAGCTCGATCCTGTCGACTCAGACAGACGAGAATCAGCCTCCCAGGAGTCGCACGAGGCAAGTGTCGGCGGAGGAGCAGTGTGCGAAGAGTGCCACAAGAGCGTCCAGCTCAAGACCTCCTAAGAGCCGCAGTCGACAGAGCTCGGCCGAGATTCAATTCGCCAAACGTCCTTCAGAACTCGACAAGCGCGCCTCTCAAGTTTCCCTTCGACCCGTCAAGTCATCGTTGCTCAATCAGGGCAACGTCGGCTCAAGACGCGCCTCGAGCGAAGTGACACTGATCTCAACCATGTCTCAAAGGCACGCCGAGCTTGAGTCGGACTTGAAAGGCGTCGAAAGCAGGATAGCCAGCTTGCGCTCGCTGCTGGACAATCCTTGAATGCTTCACGTCATGCATTCGATGGAACGGGGACGCGCCTCAACTCTGCATCTTCCTCTGCTCCATTTCATTCCCTACACCAACTATCATACATTCGTTTCACCCTCTCAGCACATCGCATGACATCTACTTTGTACACCAGCACAAACAGACACGGAACGATAGCATGTCTTGCAGCAGCATCTGTATCTGGTCATATACCCACATTTCGCCAAGAGATCCTGTCAGAACCTCGCCTCGGTCTCAAGCAATAGACGAAATCAATGACTCGTTAAGAGGCATGCGTGCATGATCCACTGGGTGGTGCCCCGCTCGTTCGAAGGTCTTGCTTTCGTCATATCTTGTATGATCGGATGCGACCATTCAGAGCTTCTCTTTGCCGTCCTTTCTTACCCTGACCACGGCTTTGCCCCAAGTCTTTCGTGCCATTAGGTCCTGCAAAGCTTGGGTCAAGCTCTCCAGGCCCTCGTAGATGTGCGAGTAGACGACGGCTTTTGCTTTTTTGCTCTTCAATAGCTCCAAAATGCCATTCCAGGTCTCGGGGACCAGTTCTGGTTGTTCCACGGTCATTCGACCCCAGAAGAGCCCCATGATGGAGCATTGCTTCAGCAGAGGTAAGTTCATGGGAACCTTTTCGATGTCGCCTGCTGCGAAGCCAATTACGACAAGCCGGCCATTCCACGCGATCACCTTCAAAGATGGAAGGATCATGCCCACAGGGTCGTATACCACATCCACTCCGTGCGAATCGGTGATCTCTGCAGTTGGTCGGAAGCGAATCAAGAGGGCATGCATAGGCTCAGCAGCGATTTTAGCTCTCAGCTCTAGCGTGTCTCCTGCTTTCAAATCGCACCTTTGACCTTGTTCTGCCACTCCTTGTCTCGGTAATTGACAGCATGGTCCGCTCCGCCAATTTCGGTGCAGACTTTGAGCTTCTCCTCACTTCCTGCCGTTGCAATCACTCTGCCAGATTCAAAATGGAGTTAAATAGAGTGTTGGGTGAGCAATGACCGGCTCTAGTCTCGCTGTTACGCTAGCATGATCCGAACTCACTTAGCACCCATCGCCTTGGCGATTTGTATTGCGCAAAGGCCAACTCCGCCTGCGCCAGCATGCACTAACACCCATTCACCTGGCTGAACCTTTGCCCTGAAATGTAGCGCAGCGTACGAAGTTGGCCATGTGACGTAGAGTCCTGAAGCCTAACCAGAGAAAAGCAACGTGCCTCAACGTGCATTCGAAGTGCCTAGAAGTGAAAGGATATTGGGGCCGCCTGGCCGCACTCACCTCTTCGAACGTCATGCCATCAGGAATTTCTTGAAGCTGCGAAATTTCTGCCTCGACCTCTGCGAGAACATAGGTATCCAGCTTGATCGATTTAGTGGAGCTGCCAAAAGGAAAGCAAGTCGGACAGGACCGAAAGGGCGACCTACTCACGCTCCGCGTACGATCCATTGGCCGATCCAAAGACTCTGGTCTTTCCAGCAACCCAATTGCAGCCTTCAGGAATCGGCGAATTCTTGGCAATGACTCCTGCAATCTCTGCACCTGGAATGTAGGGAAAAGGCTTCTTCATCTGGTATTTGCCGCGAACTTGGAGTTGGTCGAAGAGGTTCAAGCTGTGGCGCAGACGCCAGATCCCAAAACGTCAGCTTGTATGCACCCAATCACGCCGCATCCACACGCGCCGCTTGAGAACTCACGAAGCAGCATAGACGTCGACAAGCACTGCCGTGCCATCAGCATCCACCTCTGGAGCTTCGGCATCAGCCCGCAGCTTAGAGGGAAGCTCGGACAGATCCTTGATGTCCTCGTCCATGATGTAGGCCTTCATCTTGTATGCGCTGTTTGGATGATGCAGTTCGGATCTTGGTCAAAGGGTTCTCTCACGATCGTAGATGCTAGAGTACTCGCCGGTGGAACATGGTCGATTGGTCGAGTGGAGAGCGATGTGGCTTCCCGACGTTAAAGGCATCCCTGCCGGCCGTGGGCCCTCGATTCACATTGGGTCTCCCCCGCACCGGTCAGCACCCGGCCCGGCTGATTCACGTGATGCTCCGGCGAATCGCAGAGGTCACGTGGTGTTCATCGTCGAAGGGCTCGCGGCTTAGCGCGCGCATCATCGATCGACGAATCAATGGGATGTGCATGACGGGCGTGTGGAAGCAGCGTGTGAGCGCGCATCGATCAACCTGAATCGATTCCTGCTATATACTCTCGACCTGCCATCGCTTTTAGCGCAGACAGAGCTTGGCGATGCTCTCGAATCTTTTGTACATCTAACGCAGGCGAGGACGTCGTCCCTGTGCCTGTCACTTGCCAAGCGCGGACACCACGATCAACCAGGTCTCAACTTCAACGATCAGCATTCGTTGCTCTTTGTCATTGCAAGCGTCATTGCATGCAGGACAATTGCCCGGAAATCTATCTTTAGCGGACTCGAGCCACTGCTCCGGTTCCACCCCGAAAACACAACATTGACTCGACACGAGGATCATTGGTCACCTCGCTTGCGAGGTCTGCCAACCTTGGAAGCTCGACAAGAGCGCATGTGCAAGGCCAAGACAAGCTAGTGAAGCAGCTTCAACCAGGTGCTAGACGCCGAACGCCATCATCTCCGACTCCCCTTGGACACCTTCGAAACTCTTAGCAGCTCCTCTTCTCTGCTTCTGCTCCCATTGCATGCATTGCCGAACAGGGCTGCAAAAGATCGTGGGCGGTCAAGCTATCGGGCGGAGGGAAGCGCAGGGAGCGATCTTTGGCTCGACGCTGTCACACTAGCGCAGGTACCTTCGCCCTTTGACAGATAGAGAGCTGGCAGTTGGGTGCGGAGAGCCATCTTTGTAGCCGGCCTTGTGGGCTTAGCTGTCTTCGCCATGAATGGCGCAAGGTCGATGGGGGATCTCGCCCCCGGTACGAAATCCTATGGCTCTTCCGCGCCTCGATCTGCTGGACAGCCCATCAAGCCCGGATTGCCATACCCACCTCCGGATATGCAGACGGCTCTTGCGCGGCCAATGGCAGGTACTGGAGCACATGCTCCTCCTCGGCAGGATGACCGCACGTATATCAGGAATGGTAGCGTTCAGGATCGCGAAGCTGCCTCGTACGCGCCGCAGGGAGGCTCAGCGGAGCAGAGAGAGCTGGCCAGCCCGGAAGCGAGCACAAGTGCGGTGCCTCTGGGCGCTTCCGAGGAGAGCACCGATCTTCATGTCCTCAGCAAGGATCATCCGACCCAATTCGGCCAGCACCTGCTACGGAGCGAGAGAGCGCGAAAGAAGGCGAGGTTGAGGGAGCAGCCTGGCGTGAGCGTCGAAGCTCTGCAGCAAGAGCTACTCGAAGAGACAGATGGCCTCGTTCCGCTGGGTGCCATCGTCGCTAGACTGGCGAATTATGGGTTCGAAAGCTTTGGCAATTTGGCGGAGACGTGAGTTCGCGGTTGTTGGAGAGCCTCAGCAGACCTGCGCGAGAGATGCACATAGAGATGCAGGAGGTCGAGTCGGAAAAGCGTGGAGATGCTTTCATGGTTTCGCCAGGGTATTCTCGAGTCGGCCGTCAGCTAGGGTGGTGGATAGGGTCACTTGAGCAATGCTGCTCTGTGAATCTGACTCCAAAATCGGTACGAGCAAAAGGAGTAGTCGCAAGCTTGTGTAAAGCGCAGACGGGATTTGGCACGAGAGCGATGTTCGGCGCTGACGTGGACAATTCCACCGGTGCTTTACAGTCTCCCATCACTGTCCTCTTCGGAACGCAAAAGCAAGATTTTCGACACCGCTTTGGATGTCAGAAGGCAGCTTGTCAAGCTACTCGTCCTTGTTCGGTGGAGTCGAGCTGCACCGGATTTAATGATGGCCAGAGTGAGTTCGCATCCTGACCTGCTGAGCACGGATATGTCTCATGCTCGGGCGTCTCCTTCCTCATACTTAGAACCTCGTGGGGCTCTTGCGAGCTCATACGATACAAGCAAATGATGCTACTGATGCTCTTCGAAAGATGCAGAGCGAATTACCCGGAGCTCGGTCAGTTGATGGAGGATGCACACTTGGATGCAGATGTCCGCAGCTGCTGAATCTGCTTCATGATTCGCCTCGTGTAGCCTTCGCAAAGCGGATCTTGTCTCCGCCACAGATATTCTCGGGACCGGGCAATATCAAAGGCTGCCTTCACACATCAAAGACTACATCGTCCCGCCTCGGGAGCTTACAGATCGCCAAGCTTTGGACGTCATCTCGGACATGGACGCTGCCCTGAGAACAAGGCTGACATTATCCGAAGTTGTACCTGCACCGCTCACTTCCTACTCCATCGGTGGGTGATATCGTCTTTCCTGCGCATTTATCCTAAGGCTGACAAGTAGTTCCACCATGACTCTCTCCCCGCAGAGGATGGTCGAGTGACTTTCGAGGTGGCCAAACTCTTCACTGCTTCCATGACGCTGTCTGGAAATTCACCAGAGGATCGCTGGTTCATCCTCTCCGCTAAATTCGATTTTCGCATCACTGGTGCGGGCGCAAACTGTGAGTGCTGCACTTAGGCCTACGCTCGAAACGCTCATGCCAGATGCTGACGAGCTTTGCTGCTCTGTGATACACCTCCAGTATTCCCAAGACGGCCGAGAAAGCGGGCTCGTACAATTTTGATCTCGCAAGCAGACTTTGAGCTCGCCCCCCGATCTGTCGCTCTCGCTTCGGAAAAGGATGGAGCCGCCGTCGCCGCCGCAGGAGGTAGAGATGCTGAACAGCTCGAGGTGACCCATCCAGCGCCAGCCGAGCAGCGTGACGAGTGCCAGAGACGGGATGCCCCGCTTGTCAGGGCGTATAACTTCCTTCGTGAGTTGTCTATTCAGCCCGAGATTGACGCCTCCTGGCTGAATCTGATGCCTTCGATGAGCAGAGAGCCAAGCGCTGGAGTATCAGCTTGACATTCTGCACTATCAATCGGTTGAACTAGCTCGAGTGGGCTGGGCTCCAACGATCTCTGCAGGCTTCGAGCCCATTCTTAAAGCTGGCGACCCGAGAACCTTGACGGTATCTTACTGGCGCAAGAACCGATCGGAACGTGCAGGCACGGCAAGCAGGGGTTCCGCTAAAGCTGCGAAGCCGGTGCTTGATCCGCTTGCTGGAACCAGTATCAAGATTAGGGCTGTGGACCGCTCGCGCAGACCTGCAAAGCTTGTGGCGCTTGACAGGGCCCTTTGCAAGGATCTTTCGGCAATTGAAGCGGTACCAGGACAGAAGCTGAAACAGCAAGACCTGGTGGTTGAGTGGGCGCTTGATTCTGCACTCCGAAAACACGTGGAAGACACGCAGCTTGTCGTAGTAAGTATCGAGACGCTGGTGCGGTTCGACACACATGCTGATGAACATCTCTATCATGGTCAGAACGCCCTCGACCTCGATATCGAGAAGCTCCTTCGCCACGCGGTCTCTTTGCACGCGGCGGCGGCTGTTGCAGAGCTGCGTGCAAGGCTATCAGCAAGCTCGCTGCGCGCCGCTGTCGAATCACCCGCATGTTCGTCCACAGTCAGTGACGAAGGGGGGCGCTCGTGCCATCTGCTTCGTCTGCCGCTGCATCCGAGGCTGCTGGTTGTCTTGCGCATCGACACCATGTCGGGTCGGATACAGCTTGAACACTCTACTGCTGCGTCGACTGAAATTGTCGCCTCGACGCCATCAAATGACGGCATATTTAACCGACTTAAAGAAGCTTCCACGCAGCTGAATGATGATCCGACTTTACTGGTCGAGATTTTGCAGCAACAAAGGGCCCTCGCCATTTTGGAAGGATTTGAACAGAAAGCATCATTTCTGGGGCTTCATTGCACACGACGACTGCCGATTCGAAGCACTGAGTATACTAGACTTGGTCCTGAAACGTCATTGTTGTTCGTTCCCTTGGCCCAATGTCCAAATTACTACGTCGTGCTGCGGATAGGCGACGATTCCGTCAAAGTAGGGTTGATGTGCACCACTGCGTTCTTAGATGGCTTCAATACGGTGCTGGGTGTTCACTCGGTGGAGTGGCTGGATCGCGATCGGCTCGCCAAGGGCGGTGCGTTGGGCAAGAGAAAACGAGAAGAAGTCGAGACTGGTGGGCAACCAAGGTGAGCTCGTCCGAAGGGCTGCCATCTTTTCAATTTTTGTGAACCAGCTGACATGAGTCGGCGCAATTTCAGCTCGGAACTTTCTCTGGAAGAGCTTTCTCTCTTGCACCACTACAGCGTTGCACTCGTCTGCTACCATCAGATTGAGCAGCAGCTGCGCGTGCGTGGCTTGCCCTTTGTGCATGTGCGCTCAGCGAGCGAAATCTCGTTGCCTCCAGCAAGCGCGGCCGCCCTGCGTTCGACACGGTCAGAGGTCGCCAAAGATTCAGCGCACACCAGCATGGTTCCGAGCTTGTGTGTTCGGGCAGACAGTCTCCTGGGCGCTTCCTCAAGCCTGGTCAGGCGCAATGTCTCCATCGAGCTACGAGACTGGAGCGATCTATTAAGTTGCTCCGTCAAGTTCACAGTACGACTCCGACGGTCACTTAGCACGAGCAGCCGCAAGTTGGTGCTCAACGAGGCGACCGGCGATGTGCTCGAGCTCGAAAGCCAGCAGTCAGCGCTTACCTTCTCTACGCGAAGCATCGATGGCTGCGTGGCGCTCTTTCTCGATGCATGGGACCGAGTATCAAGGATCATGTCGCTGGCTCGAGAGGTTGCTAGCGCTAGCAGGGCCGACAAGCTTGACGGTCTCGAGGTGCGATCATTTGATCTCCAGGAAGTAGTATTTACATACGAAGGTGGCCTTACAGCGTCGGTAAGCCTACAGGACGACCCCCAAACACCACGGGGAAGCTCCTACAGACTCCAACTCGCCTCGAGCGCAGGCACTTCTCAGCCGAACCCACACGAGGTGATCATCGACTCGCTTAGCCGCATGCTCAATGGACGTTTCGATGGTGCGCCAACTTTCTGGCCGAGCTTTTTACAGGTGAGTCAAACGCCTTTATCTCGCGAAGTTTTAAGCTTGATGCTGACTGCACCGCGCCCCTAACAGCTTCTACATGACACGCTGCCGTACCTACGAGTGGTGGCTCCGATAATGGATCAATGTCTTGAGGACGTGCTGGCGCCTGAGCCCGACGTACGTTCCGCTACATGGCTACGCTTGACATTCATCGATAGGTCAGTAGCCACGTTACTCTCCGAATCACACACTTAGCTGATTGCTTTGCCATTCACGTTCGCAGTTTCGTTCTCGACGTACGATTGCTGCGGGGTTCAAAAGTGCTGATCCTCGATGGGGCAACACCATTAGAACCTTCGACGGAGCTGCAAGGTCACGAATCAGGGTCGGAATCTCTGGAGAATTCCTCTATTGAAAAGCCGCAGGACCAAAGCTCGTTCGCAAGACGTCGATCAAATGGTGCTTCCCACAGTGCGGCGCTACTGGACGGCGCAGTCTCGACGCCAATTCCAAGCTTCTCTGAGATACTTCAAGCAGTGATGCGGGAATTCAGACAACGCAAGCGCACTACAGAAGCAGCTGAAGCCGAGCAACAGGGCTCGACAGCGGATCCAAAGGTCAGATTTGCAAAGCCGACGATACGGCACACGTCCGACCCAGCCGTCATCGATTTGGAATCTGGCCTTGTCTGCGACGCTGCGGACCACCTTGTTGGACCATTGTTGTCTGCCGTCATCGAAAAGATCAAGCAGCGCATCGCGAGCGAACTCGGCGAGTAGCTTGGCACCCCGTCTAAATCCGATTAGCGCCACCCACTTTACAAGTGTCGCAAGATGTGCGGGGGCGTTGCCTCATCTCTTCGAAATCAAAGCCCTCAACCTATGGGGTCCCTACGCCGATTACGCCCTCGCACTGTATCATCATCAATCCTTCTCGCTGTCTCTCTCTCTCCCTCTGATGCAGCGACGAATCAAAAGTTGCAAGCTGAGCGTCGAGCCATAAGGAAGTTCGTGAGTGTGGCGAAGGTCTAACGCGCTCCTCCGGACTGAGCTGGCCTAGCGCAGCTACCAGAATGATCTGCGTTTGGCTGCACCACTCCGAGACAACTTCGCAATCCCTTGGCGATGAGATATTGGCCGTCATTGCTGCTGGCGGTGGCGGGCTCAAGTCATTGATTGAATGGAACCCTTGACGATGCTCTCGTGTCATACCAACAACCCAACGTTTGACTTCCCGCACTGGCAATTGCCTCACTATCCCGCTTGCCCCGGTCTCAGCTTGATGTCCGTTCATGCCCTACCTAGGAGGTCTACCGAACGCTCCGGTAGGTGGAGGCGTGGAATCGCGAGCCTCCTTGCCCGTCTGCCACTGTACAGGTGAATCGTCTTGATCTTGCGCTCTCTAAAGTTGAACAGGGAAAGTAGGCGCGGTCAATTTCGAGCGGATAAGATGAGCTGTCCACGACGATGGGACTTTGGGAGCTAGAGCTACCGGATGCGACTTGCACTTTTTCGATCTGCTAGCGACGCTTCATTGACATGTGCCCCCCCCCCTTTTTTTGAGCTGTGCGCTGTCTACTTACGTGCGCTTGTTCGGCATAAGCTGCTTTTCGCCTGGCTGCGTTTCGTTGAGCATCTACGCGAGCCTTGAGCTCCGGAGAGAGTTTGTCGTAGAATTGCTGCTCGTTTGGCGTAGTCGCTACTCAATTAGTCGTGGGTAGTGAGGCGAGGTAGAGGCAGCGCATCGAAAAAAGGAGAATAGAGCGATCGATTAGATTGGTGATTTGCAGTGGATGAGCGTGATGCAGATGGATCGATGGGCTTCCACGCCATCGAACTTGTAAGGAGCTACCTTCCCCAGCCACACCATACTCACCTGCCATGATTCCCCATCCTGCCGCTACAATCACAGCACCGCCAACAAATGCTCTCACAAGCGAAGGTTTCCCAGCCGACATCTTGCTTCTTTGCCTCTCCTTGAGCCTCTTGAAGCTGGCAGCAGTGAGAAAAGTGTCCGTGATGCCCTTTGGCGAGATGAATTGAATTGGGACGGGAAAAAAAGTCAAGACCACCTTTGGAGCGGGTGATGTGCCTTGATGTGCAATCGATCAGCGTTTTCTTTTTGCGGCCGCCAAGAGGCTTGAGCTAGCAGACGAATGGGGATTGCGCGATGATGCTCGATCAGAGTCTGGATTAGTGATTGAGGGAAGGATGTGATGGAGTACGAAGATCGAACAGCAGCTATAGCTGAAACGCAGCCGCGCTCCAGGATCGACGCATGGGTCGGTCAGCATTCAAGATTCTCTCTCTATACTCACGACTCTCGCTCGCGCATATCTCTTCCGATGCACACGTAAATGTGGAGTCAAGAGCGAGAGACAATCACAATCAAATGAAGGGTTAAGCAAGCAAGAAATCCTCATTTGAGATTCGAGATTTCAATATTCAAAAAGCTCACGTCTTTTGATGAAAGTCAAGTGCACAACGATTCAGATCTGCATTTACCAGTAGTCCTTACTCGGATCATCACAACTTTATATTAGATCAATTGGCTAGTCGCGTGGCGTGATGTTGATTAATCAGCCACTCAAAGCTTCACGTGACGCCCATTGAGATGGCTCGAGCGCGTCAATCAGGCAGACCGCACGACGCGGCTGCGGATGCGGGGAAAAGGCCTGCCGGAATTGCCGGAAGTCACAGTGGTGCAGTCGTGTAGTCGTGAGTCTGAATGTTAATTGAATGGCTGGCTGGCTGGCTGGCTGGCTGCAATTTGTGGGGCACACACGACATTCAAAATTCGTGACTCGCAGAGGGTCGGGTCAGGATCAGGCGTTCATGCATCCTCGTGCCAGATCAGCTCAGCCGCTCGCCTACCTGGTGGACGTTGCTCTGCTCGTACATCATCATCTCGAGTGAGACATTGATCTGTTAGAGGCGATTATTGGAGTTCTGCTTAATTGCAACACAACGGACCAAACACAACGTGCTGGAAGGATTTATGCAGAACAGGCAAATGTCTCAAGGTGCAGCTGCACCTCCCTCAGCAGGCACGATGAGGGCCCTCGTCATCAAGGCCCCATACCAGGTGGTTGTGGAGGACAGACCGATCCCGGTGCCAGAAGCTGAAGAGGTGGTGGTCAAGGTGGAAGCTGCTGCGCTTTGCGGTAGCGATCTGCACATTTGTGAGTTTCGAGCAAGGCTTCGCGTGAGCCTGGATTGCCTGCCAGCCAGCCAGCCAGCCAAGGCAAAGGTGCAAACGTGCGTTTGATACTCGGCTGACTCGAGCGTAATCTTTGCATGCGCGTCTTGGCCCATGACGCTGCCTTGCGCTGCCTTGATCCTCCAGACAGGGGCCAGTGAGTGGAGCCAATGAGCATGTCGTCAGCTTTGCCTTGGCAAGCATCAGGTCAAAGGCTGACTGACATTCGTGTGGCCGCGCGCCCTTCCTCCCGCTCTTTGATCGCAGTCAGCCCGTGGCCAAGTACGACTTTGTGCTAGGACACGAGCTGACAGGTGTAGTTCACTCTGTAGGCTCGTCCATACAGAATTTCAAAATCGGTCAAAAGGTGGTGTCGCCTTTTACAATCAATTGCGGATCCTGCTTTTTCTGCGAGAGAAAGCAGACGGCGAGATGCGTCAAGAGCAGAGTGTATGGAAGCAATGCGATGGAAGGCGTTCAGGCTGAGTACGCTAGGATCCCATTGGCGGACACTACGCTGTTTCCTGCTCCTGCTGGTGTGAGCGAACAGGTGCTCATCCTCATGGCCGATGTGAGTCTGAGTCACAGTGGTCGCGCACAATTAAAGCTTTAATTGCACTCGTGACTGCAGCGTCTATAGCGCGTGCATCACATGTCTCGACGGCATGGCACGTATATGGCGCGACTAGATTGCTGTGAGACGGCATATTTCAAGCGCGGGCTGAACCCCTTTCGAGCATCGTCACGCATATCGACACATCAGATCTTTCCCACCGGTGAGCGCGAGCAAAGATCAGACCCTCACTCAATCGACGACCCATACCGTTCAAGACTGACACGCTTTGCCTTGTTCTTGCAGGCTTCTTTGTCGCTCAAAATGCAGCCAAAATGCTCGGAGAGGCGGAGCGCAAGGATACGACTGCCGTGGTGATCGGTTGCGGACCAGTAGGCTTGTGCGCCGTCACAGCAGCCAAGCATTTCTTCGACGTGCGTCATATGCAACTCGTGACTCGATCGTCGCGTTCGCTCGACCACGCCCTGACACTGCTCTCGTCGCGTCGCTTCGCAGCACGTCTACGCGATCGATAGCGTGCCTGCTCGGCTAGACCAAGCAGCTAAGCACGGAGCCACACCTCTGCACCTCCACTCTTCCGATCCCGACGTGACGAGTCGCATCAAGCAAGCGACGGGTGGCAGAGGCGCAGACGTGGTGCTGGAAGTGGTCGGCAACCCCTCTGCGCTGGATCTGGCCATTGGGCTGGTCAGAAACTTTGGAGTGATCAGCAGTTGCGGTCTGCACACCCACGAGTTGAAGTTGAAGGGACTGGATCTGTATAGTGAGTGTAGTCACAAGTGATGCGCTCAATAGCGTCACCTGGAGTTCGCATACTCAGGTCCTTGAACTCGCCTTTTCTCACGTGCTTGTGCTGCCTTCCAACGTCAGACAAAGTGAGTCGGCCTTGCCGTGAAGCTGGGCAAGCTTCACCCGTAAGCTGAAGACGCTCTGTCTGGTCTTGTGGACGTCAGAATATTCGCTTCCAATTCGGACGTTGTTCAGTCCGCGCCATTTTTCCGGAAGCTCTCGAGCTGCTGAAGAAGAATGCTGATCTGTGAGTGCCGCAGATACCTAGCGCGAGGCCCTTCTGTATTGCTTGGGAATGCCTTTTCCGACTCATGAATTTCTTGCTCTCTTTCGAGCCATCTAGCTTCGAGTCCTTTGTGGAGAATACAGTGTCGATCGAGGAGGCTCCAAAGTGGTATGAGCTGTTTGAGCAGCAAAAGGTACGTGTCATGCAGTTCAAATGCTATCCATTTTCAGCCCGCATTGGTCATGTCTCCATTCAATGTGACTTGCCGCAAAATCTAACCCACCCCTGTTCGCGGATCCAGTGCCTTAAGACTGTGTTCACCTTCAGCAGCCCGTCAGCCGGATCTGCTGAAGCTGCCACTGCGGCCACGGCTCGTACAGACCAAAGCGTAGCAGCATCGTCTGCAGCTGCCGGAACGTCAGCAGCAAAGGAGTCGCCGGAACACCCTGTTCAACGATCCGATTGGCTCCAAGCTTATGCCCCTCCCAGAGCGCGAAGCGAGCATCCTTTGCGTACTGTGACAGCTGAGGAGCTCAAAGACATGTTGCAAAAGCAGGAAACGGCTCATGGACACGCAGCTCAAAAGGCGCTGGTCATTGACGTAAGAAGATCCGACTGCGAGGTGAGTGCAGCGAATGTGACACCTGAAGTCGTCTGTGTTCGTATCGAGTCGGCACTCAGCTGACTGCATACTACTCGGCGGTCTTCCTTCACAGTCCTTGATCCCCACCGCTATCAACCTGCCAGCTCAGACTTTACCGCTCTCGCTGCCATCCCTCCTCTTGCACCTCTCCTCTGTCCCACTGGTCGTGTTCCACTGCAAAGCCTGCTCGTCGCCAACGAGCAGGGGCGTGCGCTCGGCCGGATGGTACGCCGATGCGCTGCAGGACAAATTGGGATTGACGGACGAGCAGACGGCGCAGAGAGTGGCTGTGCTCCAAGGAGGCATCGTAGCTTGGGAAGCAAAATTCGGTGCAAAGTCGCTCGACACCCGAGGGCAACTTGCATTGGAAGGCTGGGAAGCCAGACAGCCATGATCACGCTGAACAGTCCCTTCATATTACGGCTACCACTCTCCTCACTGCTTCTTGTCGTAAGTCTCACGCGCCTCATCGCTGCGTTGTGAAAGACGGCTACGGAGCGTGGGCATGCCAGACCCGTCTCTGTGCACGCTTCGGAAACATGATCGAATTCGCGGCCATCATACTGCAGGTCTACGTGGCCTGATGAGATCTGCGCTGCCCGCTTGAGTCGAGAACACCTTCAATATGAATTACGCTTCGAAGAGGTAGAGTCTTGCTTCGAGGGGACCTAGCAGATGACCAGAGGCATTCTGGGTAGCTAGCGCTGCCTCCTGAGTTTGATCAACCTCGACGCGCGTCAAATCCAATTTCACCTCCTCGAAACCCCAATTGCCCAGATAGAGAGCTTTTTTGTCGCCGAGCACCCTCTCGTACGCATAGACGCTCTTGTGCGCCCTGCTCTTGTTCTCCTCCGAAGCGTCTTGTGGCAGGATGTGCTCTACCTCGTGCATCTTGAAGGTGCCATACACGAGCACGGGATTGGCTTTGCGTAGAGCCAAAGCTCGTTTCCAAAAGTTGAGGACGGAGTTCGGGTCGCTGGACTGCGAAGCCGCATTGATGTTGCCCTGGCCTTCTGCAAAGTCTGGATTGAGAGGCATCCAGGGTCTTGTCTGACTATTGGCGGGCGAAAAGCCACCTGTGGGAAGCGAGCCATTCCAAGGAAATGGTGTGCGCGAATTGTCGCGCGCTTTGCGCCGAATGCTGCGCATGAGATGGAGCATGAGAAAAGGAGGATTGTTAAGAGTGACGAGCTCGTTGTTTTCCCGATAACGCATCGCTCACCCTCCCATGACATCGCTCATGTCCACCTTGGCGCTGGGGTCGCCCAACTTCGCGCGCCGTGCGGCGAGTTCATTCTTGTAAAAGTCCAGCGACAGCTGTACAGCGCACAGTGGCAATGTTAGTATAGCACTCTGCGGGATACACACCCTAGCAAGACACCCACGAGATCGCGATATTGTTCAATGTCCCATTCGTGTGGAACATTCGTCATTCCCAACTCTTCGCCCTGGTAGACAAACAATGTGCCGCTCTGACTAGCCTGAAACAGGGCCAAGAGCTTAGCAGCTTTGACTCTCCACTCTGGCCTCTCTGCTTGTGGACCCAGGAAGTTGGGAATGGCTCGTGGAAGATCGTGGTTCGAGACGAAAGTTGAGAGCCAGGATCCGTGTGAAATGAGAGAAGATTGCCAAGTGGCGATGGTTTGTCGCATCTTGGAGTGGTCTGGAGCTGTGTGTGGTGCTGGCGACAGGCCACCGTACAGGTCTGTAGGGTAAAAAGGCGTATTCGGATGTGAGAGACAACCCAACGGTGCGAAAGAAGGAGCGACTTGAATTGATCGAAAGAGATGTCGGCACTTTCTACGCACCTACGTGCTCGGTGCTAAAGACCATCTGAAGCTCTCGATCTTGTCGAGTCTCCCAAGCCGTGTATGCGATACTCTGCTCAGGCGTTGTGCCCCACGCTTCGCCAACGGTCATCGTATCTGGTCCCAGAGCTTCTTTGTAAAGCTGTGTGCTCGCGTGGGCATCAAGGTCAGGATGTGCTACACCCGTAGCTGCGAAGGGCAAAACGCACCTCTTTAAGGCACTGATGAACTTTGGGTCCATGCACGTAGAGCTTCGTCGCGTCCTGATATTTTGCCTGCGAATCGACGATGGGAGCATCGGGGAAATCGCCTTGCAACCTCTTGCCGCTCGCGTCCAAGTGCTGTGGCTTGCTGATGAAGTTGATGGCATCCAGTCTCCACCCGTCCACGCCGCGCGCTTTCCACCTCTTTGCCATTTCGTAGACTTCGTTCCTCAACGTTTCCGATTCCCAATTCAGGTCCGGCTGTTGAGGAGAGAAGATGTGGAAAAAGTATTGCCCCCTCTTCTCGTCCCAAGTCCAAGCCGAGCCTCCCCACACGCTCGCCCAGTTGTTGGGTTCTCTTCTGCTGCCATCTTTGGGGTCCACGATAGCGTCTCTCCAGATGAACCAATCGGACCTGTCGTCATCACGCGATGAACGCGAAGCTTGGAACCACTCGTGTTGATCGGAGGTGTGGTTGACGACGAGGTCAAACATGACCTTCAAGCCCTGTTCGTGCGCCGCCCTTAGCAGATCCTCATTGTCCTGCATCGTTCCGAATTGCGGATTGATGGCTTCGTAGCTGGATACATCGTAGCCATTATCTACTCCAGGAGATGCCCAATGCGGACAGAGCCAGATCACATCCGCTCCCAAAGACTTGATGTAAGGCAACTTCTCGATGATGCCGCGCAGATCTCCGACCCCGTCACCATTCGAGTCGCTAAAGGAGGATGGGTAGATCTGATAGACCACCGCCGACTTCCACCATTCTGGCTTCTGCGCAGGTAAGAGAGCCATCTCGTACGTACTCCTTGAGCTTCTGAGCAATTTGCTGCGATGGACGCTTCCGTTCGCACGCACCCCTTCCAAGTCGCTTGTTCACTTTTGGGAGATGGATGTGGTCATAAGTCAACCAAAGCTGCATGCCGCGCTGGCCTTTGAAGCACATCGCACGTGTCAATTCACATCGACCATCCTGCCCCTTTGCTCATTTCGCACAGCTAGCTACATATCAGCGACAGAAGCGCGACAGCAATGGACAGGCACAACCGTCTTTTGTGATTGTCCTTCTGAACAGATGCGGGCAGAGCGCGAGAGGCGGAACTTGCGCGGTGGGTATACGGCGTCTCGTGCGGGGCCCCGCTCGGTGGTCGCTCGGTCAAGACTCTGCTCCACTCACCATCGCAGCATCACCTCGTTCGGGCTGCGCTGAACGTATGATTTTGCGGGTGCACTCCGCTAGGGGTAACTCTTTCCCCGCAACACATCAGTCTACGCCAAACCCAGAAAGGATTCGAGCCGACTACAACGGCAGCAGAACACCAAAACAATGCAGTCGTTGAGCTGGTCTTGGCAGGCCAGTGCCAGACAAAAGTCAGGCCTGCGTGTTCTGCCGAGAGGAATTATTCGAAGCGAGTCGGACGCCCTTGGCGTTGAGTCACCTGCAACGACTATTCATTGCGGGCGAAGCTGGTGAAAGCCTGGGTTGATATTAGAATTACAACAAGAACTCCAGCCTGGCGCATACAGGCCGGCGGACGGGACCTCGTAGGGGCCGTCTAGTCTTGCGAGAGCGTAAAGAGATGTAGGGGTAAAGGCCAGCGATGCGGCATAGGAATAAGGTTTGGATCGAATTGTGATCAACTGCGGCGCCCGTTTGTCAGAATTGCTAGCGATCGAAAGCCCGACGAAGTCGACTGACGTGCCGCCCTCTCGTGAAGGCACAGGCGTCAGACGAGCCTTGAATGCTGTTCCGAAAGCGCAATTCACTGATACGAAAGAGGAAGCTCCGACCATTTATTGCACTTCAGCAAGAGTCGGAAGAGCTTTCCATCAGTCTCGGGGCGAGCGACACACGGACAACATCGTACCTGAGCCGCAACTCACAATACAATGGTTGGACGTCGCTCGTCGCGAAAGCAGCCGCACAGTGTGGGCATTTGCGTTGTCTTGTCTGGACTCGAGCATTTACGCACTCTTCGCAGAAGGTGTGCAAGCATTTGACAAGGATTGTGTTTCTGTAGCGATCGTTGCAAGCCGAGCAGCGAAGAAGAGACTGCGCGTGACGAAGGACTTCCTCGTCAGTGTGCGATGCATGCTACAGTGGTTGGATCGATCAAGAAGCTACTCACGTTGAGGTAGTCGACCTGCATGCCAGTGTCCGCTGTCGAAGACCTGCGGCCTCTGTTCGTGCCAGTTGCGGCCGCGGCAGCTGCGGCCGCTGCTAATGCTTCTGCTTTCTCGCGTTGAGCTCTCTCCAATTGCCTCTCTAAGCGCTGTCGCTGCTCGAGCTCACGCGCAGCTGAGCGGGCATCCTCAGCTTGTTGTGGAAACAGAGCTGCAAGACGTGCCTCAGCATGTTGCTTTGCTTTCAGCGCATCTTGCTCTCTCACGCGAAGCAGACGTGCTTCTCTATCTGCCTCGATGAGCTTCGTAGTCTGGTCCTCCATCGCTCGTTTGCGCACAGCAGCTTCTTTCTCAGCTGCCACCAATTGAGCGCTCAGTACCTTCTCAGCTTCCGCATAACGCTCTAACGCTTTGGTCTGTCGCTCAGCCGTTCTTAGCGCCGTTCTGCGCTCATTGTCGAGCGCATCTTTGGCGCGCATTGCAGCGAAGTATTTGTTGTCTGCTTTCGACTTCTCGGTTGTGAGACGCAGCATCTTGTCTTCCAGCTTGGCGACATCGTGGACGTTCTTTGCAGCCAACTTCTCGGCATCTGCGAAAGCGGCGCTGAGTCGGTCCACCTCGTCACAGAGCGCTTTCGTGGCTTCGCTTGATGCGTCCAACTCGAGACGGATTGAGGTCGTAGCTCTCTCCTGCTCTTCGAGCTTGCGCTTCACTACATCACCATCGCCGGCCCCATCTAGCAGCGACCTCAGCGCATCAAGTTCGCCTTGCAAAGCGGAGGCCCGGACCAGCATCTCTTCTTCTGTGGTGCTGGAGCTGCGTGCTTCTAGTTGTCGTCTCAGATCCGCGGAAGTTTGCTCTGCAGCCCTGGATGATCATTGATAGATGTGACGTCAGTCACTTGATATTCAGTCTCGCGATGGCTCAAACTCACTTCAATCGCCCCTGCAGCTCCTCAATTAGCGCCACATCATCTTCATCAGATGCTTCTCGCGCTTTGGCTTTCTGGAAAGCCTCAGTATCGCCAGCACGAGCGGCGATGATCATATGTACGCGTCGCACTTCAGATCGCAAAGTCTGGATCCGGGCTTCACGCGCGTTCAGCAGCTCCTTCATCTCTTCATGTTGAGAGGACTTTACCCCATCGCGTTGTCGTCGCTCTGTGAGTTCGGCTTGCAGATCGTCTCGCTGTCCACGAAGCCTAGCCACATCAGCTTCGTTGCCTTTGAGCAGGGTCTGAAGTTCGTCAATCTGCGCGGACGCGGCGTCCTGTGGTTGCGGTACATTCAGCAAAAGGATTGCTTGGATCGAAGCTCAATACATGCGCGACTCACATTGGAAGAAGTGCTTTGATCTAATAATTGCTCGCGAAGCGTGAGGTTTTCGGCCTCGACTGTAGCCAGCGACTTGCCCAGCCGCTCGGCTTCTTCACTGGCAGTGGTGAAGTGAGAGTGAAGGTCCCTGTACAGAACGCTGGCCAGTACACGCTCATCAGGCACTCGTTCCAGCTGAAAGTGCAGGGACGACAGCGTGAGCTACAAAGGCTGGAGCTTAAGCACACGACTTTGACTCACTTCTGCTCGCAGCTCTTCTGCAGTCTCGCGTGTCGAAGTCAGCTCCGTGCGCAGTTTGTCAGCTTCGTCAAGTCTCATCATAGCCTCAGCAAGGGCCTCTGACACCTCTGCAGAGTGAGCTTCGCGCTCAGCGTCAAGCTCGTGTTGAGAGATGACGCCAGGCAAGCCGTTCGGCACCACCTGGTTGTCTTGATGATGCTGAGCCTGAGCATATCGAAGTAGAGTTGGGCTCCAATGTCAGCATTCCATAACATGACAGATTCCGGCCCCGCATCGAGCTTACCTCCGCGGCCACGCGATCAGCTTCAGCCCTGGCTTGCGCATCCTCAGCGGCTTGTCGCCTGCGCTCCTCCTCTTCCCAATTAGGACGCTCGACTCTGCGCACAGTCAGGCTTGCAAGTCTGTCTGCCCGCTTCTCAGCTCTCTGGAGAGACAGCTGAAGCTCGGAAAGCTGGGTAGAGAGTCTCTTTCCTTCCAAAAGCGCGCTAGTCAATTGAACTCTGAGCTGAGCGCTCTGGTCAGGGAGCTTTCAGGTCAGCATCTATTGAGCATCTAAGGTAATGTTGTCGCCATTTCGACTCACCTCCGCGGCCAAAGCATCAGCTCGTGACGATATCGAAGCAGCCTCAATTCCGTTTTGAGGGTCACGGGCAGCGATGCGCTTGAGGACGCTGTGAACGGCATCACACCGCACTTGCACCGGTGCCAGCTGATTGTGATCGGTCGGCGGGAGCAGTACTGAGAAACACGCATTCATCTGGTGAGTGGCGGCCTGTGACACTCCTTGCGGTTCCGGACTCACCTTCTCGTTCTGGCCCCCATTCCTCTGCACTGGGTTGGAACTTTGTCAAATCCTCCACAAGCTGCGTGAAAGAGAGACTTTAATTAGCGTTGCGCTTGGACATCCAATTCACCAAATTGCTTGGCATATCGGAGCTGAGTGTGGGCTCGGAGCCGAGGAGGAAGGCTCTCCAGAGGTGCAGAATCAATGGACTCACCAGAGTCCAAAGCAGCTGCCAGTCTTGAGCGATGCGCTGACTATGCTCCCACGATTGAGTAAGGCTGGCCGCGCGCTGCTCAGCTCTTCCCAAGTCGCGACGAGCTTCTAGCAGCCTCCTGTATATCGCTTCTTTGCGAAATGCCTGAATGTGAGTTGGGAAAGGGTGGCTTTTTGTGAGATATGGCATCCACCGCAGTCATCACGCGCTCGCAAGTTGGACAATGACGATGGTGCTGGGAACTCACTTCGAGGCCTTTATACGCGGGCTCGTCCTCTTCGGCATCCGTTGCCAGAGGAATGTCGGCCACGCCATTTGAGGAGTGCTTCGATGTTAAGGTAGGTCGCTTTGTCGAGGTCGCATCTTCAGAAGAACTGCCATCCAGAGCTGAGAGGGGCCTTTTAAGTGCCTGGTGCATCCCGGCAGCGGGAAGGAGTAATAGCGATCAGAGGTCGGGAAGCGGTGCCGTGGATCAAAGTCGTCAGTGAGAGCTCGAATCACTTCTCTCGAGGGACTCTTTTGAGGTCGACGGCTTTCGCGTCGATGATAGGCGCAGCCGGAATGTTGTGCACACAGCCTGACACAGACAGCGCTGACGCACGGTGCTCGTGATAGGAAGACAAGGACTCGTTGCTGAGCATGAGCAAAAGAGCCTTGACATGGAGTATTCGAGGTGTGGGTGACTTGGCTCAGGGTCAGATGTAATCCTTCAGATCCTCGAACTGGCGATGAAAAGTGAGCACAAGACAGCGAGCAAAGACCTGCACGTCTGCAAGAACATTCTCGAACTAATTTGACGCGGAAGCTTGGGTTGCTTGCGCTGGGTCCGCGCCGCGTCGGCTGCCTGCACTTCAGCATCCAGGCAGGCTGGACCTCGTGAGATACGTCAAGATCGTACTTTCATGCCCATCAAAGGCGGACGTTGATGGAGCTTCCTTGATCAGCTTCGGCGGAACCCACTCAAGAGGCGTCAAGGTGGTAAGCCTTGAAAGCCAGCGGCAATCCGACATTGTATTGGTAAGGTCTGTAGGGCTAAAAATACAAGTGACTAGGCGAGGACATGTGCTCTGTGCGAGAAGAGAAAACAAAGATTCTCGCACTCAAAGAGTGGAAAGGAGAGTGTGCCCGATGAGCGATGCTTGAGCGTGCACTGAAGGGACTTCATCGACGTTCCCAAGAAGCCAGTGAGGTATGATGTGCAGGGTGATCAGCGTCCGATGTTCAGTGCAGGGAGCTTTTCAAAATGATCCTTCGCCTGAAGTATGTTCAGGCGGACCGCAGCAAGCTCCACCCGAGGGTCCGAAACAACCACCATGATGTACGTGTTGGGCGTCAACACATCAAAGATCGCAGAGAAATTCTCTGTTTGGACCTCCAAAGCTTGGAAGCCTGCTTGCAATTTCCTGCGAAAACAATGGAGCAGCAATCAGCGCTCTCACGCTCAAGACTGCCGTCTCCCAGAAATTGGCGAATTCAACACTTACGAGCAAGAGGCTTTGAGGCTCTTGACGAGTTCAGAGATCTTCTCGAATCTCTCGGGATTGAGCCGTCGTGTGTCCTTGCCGCCCGCATTGTGATCTTCCGGAAAACCCTCTAGATCAAGGTTTGGCGAAGCTGGGAGATTGGAGGTGGTGCGTTCGCTTTGCCCTGAAGCGTCGCCTATCCGACTGGTCCTGCTTATGACTAGAAAGGTGCTGCGCTCAAAGACTACGACTTCTGCTGCGCTGTTCACATCGGCGAAATGAGCTAAATGGTGTTCGAGCACACCGACCTGTGGTATCAGTGTGTGGATGATTCGAGACCACGCCTGGGGTTCGCCAAGAAAGGGAGCCAGGTCAATGACACTGGCGTACTTGTATTATCTTCGCAACCAGCTCACTGCTCACCCTGTAAAGCGTTTCATCCCAGATACTTGTGGCAAACGGCGAAATCGCAATGTCCTCGCTCTTCCGTCTCAGTTCGTTAACTCTTGCCGCGTAAACGCTCTTCCTCCGCGTGGCGTCAACTAGGTCCATCTTATGTAGCAAGCAGAACACCTTCGCGGTAGGGCTATGCACCTTCAAGGCAGCGAGACAGTCCCTAGAGCGGATAGTGAAGCGAGTCGATTTGAGGATGAATTCTTGGACGCTCATGGCGATGCGGAGCAGTGACGAGCGCACATATCCTGAGTGGGAATTGAAGTGTCTCCAACCGGACTCACTTGTAGTATCGAACGTCTTTGTCCCACTCCTCACTTCCATCGGGATCGTCACCACCGACAAGATCGAAGACGTAGATCAAGACACCTACAGACGAGAACACCTGATGGCGCTGGCTCTCCAAGTATGAATCCATGTACGCTTGCTGACCGCCACAGTCCCACAAATTGAGGGACAGGTTGCCGAGAAAGCGGACATGAGAGTGCTCGACGTCCAAGGTAGAACCTAACCTCCGAGTGTCCGAAGGTCGGTAGGAGGAGCTATGGATGCATAGAGATTTTGATGTGAGTTGAGGTCACCTGGCACTAAGAAGCTTGTGCCAATGTTTCCACTCACAAGACCAGCGACCTCATGGACGTTTTCCCTGAGCCTGATCGGCCCATCAGAAGTATCTGAGAGCGTCGAGCGGATTGGGTCAGTGCGCAGCGGGGAATCTCTTACTCTAAGAGCAACCAAAGCATCAGAGACCCGACCCTCTGAGCTGCCGCAGCTCTTGCAAGTCCACCGGGTGTGATATGGCTGACCTCCATCGTAGGCTGTTCGTGTGCTCGACTCACCTTTTTCTTCATCGTGTTATGACAATGCTCCCTGTACCCGTAGAAGGCGCCAGCAGTACCCCTACTCAGGTCTGATAGGGTGTGCACTCGTGTTAAGGTATCGAGAAGATGGCAAACGCGCAACGGAGACCTCGAGAAGCGTGTCGCGCAGGATGGTGTAGTTTCCTGGAGTGCGGATCACCGAAAGTGAACTAGTCCTGTCATCATGGGATCTGCTGCTTGTTGTGAATGAAAGGAGCAAAGCGTTAGGGTCGATAATGCAGTACTTGTAGTGTCCGTGTCGTGTGTGGTGGAGGAGGTCGGGCTGAAGTGTATGCGCGCTGCGTCGGCGGAAGTCTTGAGCGCAGTAAATGACGGTGTTCTAGGAGCCAGAGTTGTGCTAGGCTGGCCTGCGGCTTAATTGTCATGCACGACGAAATTTCGGGGGGAAAGCTCGTCTACTCTGGCAAGTATGATTCAAGGTAAGTCCTAATCGGTGTGAACATGTTAACTATCTTGATGGTGCTGTCGTCGGCGTGTCGGTTCGTGAGTGCGGGCGTTGGTGGACAGGAACTTCTCACTCACGACTGATGCCGTGTGCCATGCAGCCATGCCTTGGTCAGGATCGGCAAGCTCATCGTCTGCCTTCTCGCACACCGTCACCGCGCCCTTGCAATTCGCGGGCGCGCGGGGTGTGGCACACGCTGCACGCTCCGCAAGGGTGCAGCAGCAGATCGCGCTCTGCAGACCAAAGGAGGGCACAGGGCCAGCAGCCAAGCAGGTGGCATTGGTGCTGATGGGCGATAAGGGCCTGCAGCTGAGGTCGAGATAAGGAAATCCGCACCATTTCAATCGATGTACGGTGTACGTGTACCACACGCAGACAATCTCCTCGAGTTGATCCGGTGCAGCCGGTCAAGAGATGCCGGCGCCATTCGATGGCCTAACGGACGTGGGAGTCGAGTGAAGATCGATTGACATTCGAGTGATTGACAGCGAAGGCCTTCATGTCGTATGACAGTCACGAGTGCAAGTCGGTGTCAACACACTCTCTACTGGCGCTGGACTCCCCACTCTCAACTTCGTGACTCAGCATGTGCGACTCCCAGGGCACCGTGAAAGCGGTGACCCATGAGGCGATGATGAGCGCATCTGACCGCAACGAGCCATATACGAGGCTCAAAGCAGCATGATCTCGCGACAGCGAGCTGACCTGGAGGCGAGGGGTGACTCATACTGGCTCACTGCGGCACCACCGCTCAGCTCGGCTTTATGAGACCGATTGCGAACATGCTAATGGTATGCTCTGTGCCTCAACCATTAAACCTGAACTTTGGAACTTATCATTTACACTCGATAAGCCAGCGTAAAGGACGTCGACAGGTTGGGACTGGAGGTGATGACAGCGTACGAAAGGAAGACAGCGTGAGGAAACGAGTGTGGTGGGAGGTGCCCCAATACGAGAGCATCGAAGACAGAAGCTAGGTAAACGGACAAACAGCAAGATATGAGCAGGGTATATGGCACCGGGCTGACGGCGTGCCTGGAGTACGGGTGATAGCGACGTGGCGGGGCGTGTCTTCGTGACGGTCTACCTTTGTCAACAAGAGGAAGTCTGGGTCGCAGACAGTCCCTGCCTACTCGTCGTCGTCATCCGAGGCGTATTGAGGTGCAAATCCTCCCATGGCGACGACGGCAATCTTCGTCCAGCGACCTACGTCGCCTTTCGCGGACTCGCGGTGACCGCTTCGTGAGACAGGCCTGCCAGCGCGAGATACGGGACGAGGAGGAGCTTCGCGCTGCATTCTTCGAGATTGGTCCTCTGCAATGTAACCTCCATGTGTAGGGAAATGCTCCGCTTTGGGGCTAACGCCATCAGCCAGGACTTCCTGTCCCTCCTCTGTGGAGCCATGTCGAGACACGGATGCGCCGCCGTGCAAAAACTTGTTCTGCTGTCCAAAGAATCCACCGCCGTTGGAGAATTCGGAATTGGGAGATGTGGCCAGACTGAGGCTGTTCATGGAAGGATCGGCAGGCGTTCGTGCTTTGCCAAAGATATTCAGCCGGCCAAGCACGCTTCCAGACCGCTTCACACCGCCAGGTGTTCCGCTAAAGCTGCTCGGCGTAGCCAACGGTGTTTCGCGCTGGCTTCTACTGCGCGTGAGACCTGGCACTTGGCCACCCGCCATGCTGGGTTGTGTCTGAGAAGACGGGAGGCGACTAAATTGTCCAGGAGCTTTCGCGGTCGTGCTTCCGAGTACCTCGGCAGTTGATGGTCTTCCTTGAATGCGAATGGTGGGCTTGCGTTGTGGGTCGATCGACATCGGAATACCATCGAGAAGATTGGCAGAAGCACGTCTAGAACGTTGTTGTGAAGCGATGGACACGCCAGGCGGGAAAGACGTCTCTGTGGCTGGAGCATCGTCCAGATACTCCGTCTGCTCGATCGCAGCGGCAGCGATATGCGCTTTGGTTGATGTCTCTCCAGCGCCGCCCGCGCGTCGCGAGCTCGTGGATGTGTCTTGCTTGTCCTGCTCCACTCGAATGTTCTCCAAGCGCCAGTCTAGGTAGGCAAGCTTTTGCGCAGAGTTGAGGGTGCCTCTGGGAGGTTTCGGAGTCTTTAAATCTTTGCTATCCTGGAGGCCTTTCGCAGCGTCAACCTTCTTGCTTTCATGAAAGCCAGAGTCGGCCAGTCCTCTAGTAGAAGGCACTGCACTGTCGGATGCAAGAGTGCGGCTCATCGTGGGTCGGCTGGCACTATGAGGCATCCTAGCAATGGAAGCAGCCGTAGGATGCGGCCTTGTGTCGTACAGCCCTGCACGTGCTGCCTCTTGGGCGTGTGCTGAGCTCGAAGCCGCTGCGTTGAGCTCTGTCAGAGTTTGGCGAGAGCTAGTGCTGCTGAAGGTGGGCGCATCACTGGAACGCTTGTCGAAGGAGTGGTCGAAGCCAGCCGCGTGATCGAAGCCGCGCGAGTGCTGCTCATCGCGAGAGGTACCAGAGCGAGCGGTTGCGTTTCCCACTGAGGGCGGGATCGCATCGCTGCGGGTTCTGCGGGAGGACTTGAGCCTCAGACCGCCGAGGAAGCCTCGTTTGTTGGAGCCAGACGTCTGCTGCTGAGAGGAAGCGAGCATCATGCTGGGCGAGTGAGCCAAGGCGTGCACCGGAATGCGCTTTGGGAGAGTCGAAGAGCGGGTCAGACTTGACACGCGGAGGTCTGACAAGGATGGGATCTTTGACCGATAGGTGACCAGAAACAGACGCGCTATGTACTGAGGGGGGATATTGGATACACAAGAGACGAAGCATGGACGGGGCATAAAGGAGATGAGACGGGATCCCTCCGACAAAATTGGCAGACATGAGCTGTACAAGTCGTGAGTCGGTCCTGCACCGGACATCTCTTGGCAAGCGCATGGCATCACTACAGTCGCCGTGTCTGCACGCGTGTTGCAGCGCTCGTCCCCTGGACGAGGTTCACCAGAAGAAGCCTCTCTTCTCAGACGAGCGAACCTTCGGATGCAGCCAACAGAGCGGAGCTGGTTTGAGACCCTCGGTCCGCTTTCGTGTCGAAGGGGAACACTGCTCTGAACCTCGCGCTGAAATCTTCAAGAGAGGCAAGGCAGGGACGCAGACGACTGCTCGCGTGCATGGCGCTCCAACGATCGCGAGGCGACCAGAGCTACACTCGCGCTGAGCGCGTGTGATCTAGACTCGATGGTCCGGCACTTGAAAACGCACCGTGAGATCCTTTCTAAAGTCGGATGGAGCTCGAGGCTCGGCCTTCGCCTCAGGCGGGTCGGGCCTACCACTCTGTGGAAGGCGCTCTACAGGCCCCACACGACGGCAGCAATTCACGAATCAAGGCGTTCCGATTGAGCTGGGAAACTGGCTGGCCCGCCGCCCAGCACATTTAGCTGCGGAAGGAGCCCAGCCTGCAGCCGCTGCTTCCATCGATCATGCATGCGGCCTGCGGTCTGGGTAAATGCGCATGCAGCACCCCCTCAGCTCCGGAGAGTTGGGTGTCGCCATCTGGCCACTCCCCAATCACCACTGAAAGTGCTGACTCACGAGTCTCATGCCTTCGCATTCACAATTGGTGTATTCACGATTTATGTGCCTCGTGTGCCTCGTCTCGCCTTGCGGTGCATCTTGCTCGGACTCGCCGCCTTAGCCGCAAACGGGCAAGCGGGCTGCCGAAGGCTTTCGACGATGCAGGCACGAACCCAACGGCTTGCTGTCGAGCCAAAGGCCTGACTTCCCCGCTTTTCTTTGCGATGATGCGGATGCTTAACGCCAATCGGAGAATACGCTTAGAGGTCCCTGTGATACTTTTACTTGTACGTAACAGGTGTCGGCGACCCGGCTGATCAGCGTTTGCCAGCGCATTTGGACGTTGTTGCCGGTGTACAGCAGATTCTTGAAGTCCACCATCCTCATTTCGTGATTGGAGAGCCGAACTCATGATCAATTTCTGCCTGATACCGCGTGCTCGTGCCGCGCTAAGGTGAGCTCTCGGCGCGTGACGTGCACACGCGCAGCTGCTTACGTGCTTCGAAAGCAGGCGGGACACGTGCCACCGCTCGCGCGATACGGCCGTGATGTGCTCCCATCTGACAGACATCCATGTCGTAAATCACGAATCACGTGAATGGTTAGTCGTGCATTCGTGATTCTTGATTGAGTCTTGAGTGCTTGACTTGACATGACGTGCATTCGCCAGATCTGCAACGAGTAGAGGCCACGTTGGTGATCGAAGGTGTAGAAGTCAAGAATCAAGTCCTTAAAATTGAAAGAATCAAGTCCTTAAAATTGAAAGATTCACGTGATTGTTGGTCTCAGCTTTACCGAATTGGGTGATTGCCGGCATCGTTGCTGCCAATTGATTCACCTAATGTGCAAATCGGGCTGCGAGGTCGAGAGCAGGCGATTCCCCACGATCTCGAAATGGCAGATTTGGACTACTTGAGCTTCGAGTCGGGACATTCATCGAAGTACTCACCCGGTCGCCGCGATGTACTTATCCTTCAGAACTCTATAGTGTCAAGATCGAGTCAAGAGTGTTGCCTCAACTTACGCATGAGGAAGTCGCGCCGTGTCTTGCTTGTGGCCTGCACCAGACTTGGGCGAAAGAAGGGGGCTGAATTACCCTTTCATGCGCTTCTCGCCCTCTGACCCAAGGCTCAAAGGCGTAAAAGTATGAGCTGCCTGAGGCTCCTCGATCGTGAAGGGAAAGCTTGACAGCCAGGCATTCTTTAACGGTGATTGACAGAGCGCCACGACTTTATCCGCGCGTCGACGGGCACAGCAACTCATGCCGCGGCTACTCGGGGGAACAGTATACCGGCGTTGTACGCACACATTCACGATTTTTATAGCAGCAAAAGAGCGAGCATACCCACATTAGGGCTCTGCTCAGGTATTTTCCTGCCGTGAGACGGACGGTGAGTCACCAGTCATAGGTCAGTCACGAGTCAGGCATGCATGCAGCGGCCAACGGTGATGCTTCACGATTTACGATTCAAACTGACCGACGACCGATGCAGCTCGTTCAAGGGCAAGGTCTGACAATTACCACTCACGATAGGGATACGCGTGACTCGCGATCACGAAAGGAGCAAGACAAAAGAACAAGCATCACACGCAGACACGCAAAACGAAAACAGCCTTGAGTTACACAAGAATCAAGAATATCATCGTGATCTTCGACTCGTGCTGACCATTCTGAGCACCCAGGAAGCCGGCTGTGAGTGAGGTGTCCCCCCAACCAATCCCTCCTTGAATTGTCGATTTAGTTCTACATACTGGGAGCTCAGTTCGCGCTAGCATGAAATTGCTACATGAACATCAGTCACACCCAGCTTGACGGGCATAATGCGGGTGAAAGGCTCATTTGGAGCTGCTCACTCATGAGCATTACATGGCTTTCAAAACGCCGGACATCTGAACGAGCTTGGGGCCATATAGGAAGAATGCCAGCAGCTAAGCGCCAGTCGTGGGTTGACAGTTGCCCACTGCCTCAACACACGGCACTCTTCGCTTCAGGTCTGAAATTTTCATCAGTCAGGCGGGCGCCATCTTGGCGCAAGCCACTCGCCTTCAACAAGTGCGCTCCACTCACCAGTGTATGATTATACTGTAGCACATGGCTCATAGCTAGATGCATGCTGGTGGCAAGTGCATGCCAGGGAGTCTGCAACGCAAAGTGGTCAAAGGAGCTCTCGCGCAGTTTGACCTGTACATGGTCGACCTGCCTTTCCCGTCGCACTCGGAACTTTCGCTCCAGCCCTGTCGCCCGACACCGTTCGCGCAGGACTCGTCCATATAAGTTGAGAACACGGCGGTGAAAATGTGGCGCAGTGGGCGATTTGGCGGCAAAGACTGGATGGATTCGCCTAGCTGCGACCATCGAAGGAAAGAGCGATCGAAACTCGCTGATTTCCTGCAGGGATTCCCATGGGCCGCCCGCAGCCGCTGTGGTATGATGAGGTCGCATATGTATTGCGCCCATAGCAGAGTTCAGACCCCGCAGCTTCATGTGCGCACCTTTGTCCTTTCAGAACCTCGACCACACACTCCGACTCAGCCACTCGGAAGGGCGTGATAAACGTGGATGCACCACTATACTTGCACAACAGAAGAAGGCACACTCATTAAACCCGATCGTAACCTTGATTCGTGTTCTCAAGAATACGGCCCTCATTTGTGCGGCAGCAAAATGCTAGCCCCCCAAAACAATTGCCATCCTTGAATCAGAATCGTAATCTACATTCGTTATCGCGAATGAAGCATAAACAAATGTCGGAGGGCATTGCTATGCTCGGTCTTCGTAAGTGGAGTTGGAAAGGTTATTAAGGGTGTTGGAGATGCTGATTCTGATTCTGATTCTGATTCTGATTCTGATTCTGATTCTGATTCTGATTCTGATTCTGATTCTGATTCTGATTGCCTTACATTGGGTTAGGATAATTGTTGCTGTGAAGCGCGTCTTCGGGCGAATGCCTTGGCTATCTATATGCTGCTGATGGTTGCATGCTCTGCGCACAGCAGCATATGCTCCGTCACCAGCAGCTAGGCAGCCAGCTCGATATCAAATTGCCGAGCGAGGGCGGCCAGCTATGCACGAATGCGCCGAAGCGGGCGGCCAATTAAATTAGCGATCGAGCTATGTAGACCATCATGCGCAGCAACAGCAGGGCTGGAGTTGAGCAAGAATGGACGAATGGCTGCTGATTTGTTTGAACTCTGGGCCTGCTTGACTGCTCGAATCGACAACACCGCGTTAGACTCGTTTGACTGCACTCGGTTTGCTACCAATTAGGATAATCCCAGATTGAATTGAATTCAGTGCATACCTTGCGCGCCGCCACTCATCCAGATCGTTGCTTTGCGGATGCACCGCGCATGGCCCCTCATTTTGAATTTGAATATTTCAGCGCGTCGTGACGTTTAGCGCGAGTGAACGATTTTTATATTTCGCGAGTGCGCTAGTCCTTATAGTGGCAGTTATGCATGCAGCGACCGGCCCCGGATAGGTCAAGCCGCCCCTCGTGCAGTTTTCTCCCCATACAGCAGCCGCCCAATCAAGCCGCCTTACGCTCCTGCTGCGCCGGTGCATGCAGGTGGCTGCGCGCACTGCAACGCTGGGGGCAACCAAAAAACTGTGAATTTCTGCCCACCTCCTCTCGCCAGGGCGCCTTGGGCAGTCAAGATGAAAGCTGCAGCTGAAGCACGCCCGCAACGGTGAGCGAACCTTCTGGGTGCAGTGTGGTCCTGCCATTGCAGCCTCCCTTATTGTGTACCGACGGTCCAAAGACGCTCCCGCCACTTGCTGTCACGGCGGCAACTACATACATCAATCATTTGGCAATTCATTCACAGTTCTGCTAAATGACTCTCGCTTGCTAGATGTCAGCACAGCATCAACTTCCAACCCTCCCTCCCGCCCACCTTCGTCTCCCCTATTGACTTCTGCGCTTCCACCACCTACCTTGAATCGTTTCGAGATCTGTCTGGCCTGCCACTGGATTTCGAGGCAACCGGCCTCTTCAGCTTCGTCGACACTTCACGTCTCGCAACTGCTGTCGCACCAGCTTTGCCTGCGTCTGGAGCGCATACATTTGCTTACGACGAGTCGCCAATTCGTGAAGCGGCTTTGATCATCAGCACACCCGGCTTCTCGGCCACGCCTCAGGCCAAGCAATCGTTTGGAGGAAAGCCGCTGCCCATTGCTTTCACCGCTCACTTTGTCAAGGAGCGCCAGACATAGATCCTGTAGGATCACATTCGCGCATTCTTAACCTACTCTTCCCACTTGACAGAGTTCAGCATGGGATGCGGACCCGTGCGTATGATTTCTGGATTCCGTGTCACCGAAGTCCCGTCCAAGAACCTGTGGACTAGCATGCTGACGCACCATTCAACACGGGCGGCCCCTGCCTTCCCTCCCACGCCAAATTCGTTTGTTTACAGTCGAAGCAGGACCGCGAGGGTCAGCTGCGTAATCAGCAGATTGAAGAGGAATTGAGGAGGGAGCGTCAGGCCCAGAAGAATGAGATCAGTGAGTGCTTCGGGGGAAACGCATGGGATGCTCTTTGATGTTCGCCGAACGATGCGCTGGTCTCTGGCCAGGTCTCACGCTTCTAGCTAGCGCTACCTGAGGCTGCGGACCGCCCTGACTTCGCAAGATGGGACGCGACTCGGATCTCGGCGCTGGCAAGGCTCTTGCGAAGGAGCACTGACTGATTCCGCCTCGTGTCACCGTGCCTAGAAATGTTGCTGCTGGGAGCTGGAGAGTCTGGGAAATCGACAATTCTGAAGCAAATGAAACTCATGTGAGTGCGGCTGCTGGATCTGCTGCAGAATCTTCGCTGACCATTTCGTTGATGTGTGTACCATCAGCAATCACGGAAGCTACTCGAGAGACGAAAGGGACGCATACAAAGAGATCATCTTTAGCAATCTGCTGCAGTCCATGCGAGTCATTCTCGATGCTATGGAAAACTTGGACATCCCCCTAGCAGAAGGAAACAATGCGAAGCGAGCCGAGATCATCCTTAGCTTGCCTGCCCAAATCGACGCAGACAGCCTTCCGAATCATGTGGCGGATGCGGTATTTGGCCTCTGGCGAGACCCCGGAGTGCAGGCATGCTTCCAACGTTCTCGCGAGTACCAGTTGAATGATTCGGCTCAATAGTGAGTGCTGCTCCAGTCAGGAAGACCACCTCCGCAGTCCGCAAAATGTTACAAGAGCTGACTGTGACAGTGGTAAACAGCTACTTCGACTCCGTGGAAAGGATGGCTCAGCCGAACTATTTGCCCACAGATCAAGACGTGTTGAGGTCGCGTGTTAAGACTACCGGCATCACGGAAACCCACTTCCAGATCGGCGAGCTGAACTATAAGCTTTTTGATGTCGGAGGTCAGAGGTCAGAGCGTAAGAAGTGGATTCACTGCTTCGAGAACGTCACCGCCATTATTTTCTTGGTTGCCATCTCGGAGTACGACCAGCTGCTGTATGAAGATCAAAATGTGGTAAGTGGCACCCCCGAGTCGGTCTGGAAGGGTGAGCTAAAGCTAACGACGTGCCACCCTTTCATCTACGCCCCCTGAAAGAACCGCATGCAAGAAGCTTTGACACTTTTCGACAGCATCTGCAATTCGAGGTGGTTCGTGCGGACGAGCATTATCCTCTTCTTGAACAAGATCGACTTGTTCCAGCAAAAGCTTCCCATGTCGCCAATGTCCGACTACTTCTCCGACTATACCGGTGGTTCTGACTACAAGGCAGCATGCGAGTACATATTGAATCGCTTCGTCAGCCTCAACCAAAGCGAAGCCAAGACTGTCTACTCCCACTTCACTTGCGCTACGGACACCAACCAGATCAAGTTCGTCCTGAGCGCAGTCAACGACATTATCATTCAAGTCAACCTGAGATCTTGCGGTCTCTTGTAGAACTTGACTGTCATTTTGCATTCGCGCCTCAGATGGCCGCGGGATGGCGACACACCCCCATGCCACCAAGACCACAAATCTGATTGCGCGTGTCGACTAGTGTCGTCCGGCAGTCAAGGCTTGACATCGCAACGCATCCCACCTCCCGCGCGCGAAGACCAGGGACAGGTTCTCGACGCGGAACAAGGCCTAGCTCCCACGACTTGTACAGTCATCATTTCACGACTATTCCCGTATTTTCCTATTCATTCCTTTCTGTTTTGAATCCGTCCCGAGCACCTCGTAGGATCTCGACTCCAAGCAACAATTCACGCATCAACTCGCTCAGCATAGTGAGACAGAAGCACTGATCGGAGGGGAGCATCCTCGTCCAGTGTGTGTGGTTTTAGGGCGAGACCCTCATGCACACACACGCCAAGTTGCTGTGATGACTGCATTCTTTGCTCCAGCCAGTATGAACACCGCACAGCAACGACGTTGAGCTGAGCTGCGAGCTTCTATCATCTAGAGAAGAGCCTTGTGGACTGAATATGATGATGAAGTATCTAGGAGGAGGCGGGTGCTAGTCTCTTTGAGATATTCCGCGTCGCCTTGATCACGAAGGGAGCTGCGCTGGAAATGTGCCACCTGCCCGATGACAAGGCTGCTGCGTGCCCCCACCCTGGCAGGTGCTCCAAGTTCGAACATTGTACGGCATGGCCTCTGTGTGCGAGACTTGATATGCTCTGTCTTCCTTCCGTTAAGACAGATTCGTGATTATTCGTCAAGAGTGCTGGAGGCCCCCCCGTCTTTTGAGTGCGCGACAGAGCCCCGACAAGTCCGGCTTGTTCATGCCTGCTCGCGTATACAGTACACCGGCATCCCCGCAAGCAAGGGCTACTATAGTATATAAGGCTTGTCACGGCGGCGCGCCGCGCAACGCAAGACGTACTGTAGTTGAGTCAGAAGTGGATAAGCCGTGACCGTGAGCAAGATCCGACACTTCCGGAGGCGCGGCTGGCTGCGTTGGCATCATGTGCATGGATGGCGAGCTGCTCACGCTGTACATACACATACAACATGCAGCGAGGCAACCCCGAACCCGCCGAGATGCGATGCATGCATGCAGGCCAGGCGTACGTGTGGCTGACTGGGACTCACGACTGTGACTGATGATGCATCGGCGGGCTGTGCATGGATGGCTCGCTCCACTTTTGATGCTTTGATTCAGATGGACCGGGCGTCTTGTAGCTGGATGGATGCTGTTGGTGCTGCTGCTGCCGGATATCTGCGAGGTCCCCACATTCGTGATTTACAATTCCGGAATGCGAACTGCTGATGGATTGCGTGGTGATTGCCGTGGCCGTGGGAGTGCGACTCGATTCACCGCCGGTCGATGCCAAGAAGATGCGACGACCCTGTGATCCTCCTGCCTCCAGCCAAAGTGGGCCGCGGCATGCAGAGAGAGGTTCATCCACCTACCCCTCCACACCTGGGATCACTGCATGGCAAACGTTGCGGAACATCGCTTAAGAAAGCCCGGCTGAGCGACCCTCTCCTGCTGATTCTTGTCTGCTCGTTTCTGTCTTAAAAATCCAACGTCAGTCGTCGATCTCATCAAGCCCATCATCGTATCGCACGTGAGAGGTGAATCACACTTCGCTTCTTCACACGTGCCAGCCGTTCGCTGCATTCCCCTCCGGCTGTGGCAGGAACAGCATGTCGCCTTCCGCGACTCAGGCAGTGGAGCAGTCCCCTGCAGCTCCGCCCACTGCTCAGAGACCGTCTGCTCAAGATGCCCCAGGCGGTTCCACATCGCAGAGCGGCAAGAGAGCAACGAGGAACACGCAGATCTCGGTCATTGCAGGATTGGGCAGAGGAGAGCAGGAAGCCAAAGATGGTGGAAAGACGTTTGAGAAGCAGGTCGACTTGCCCAAATTGCCCTTTCCGGAGCTGGAGCATACGTGCAAGAGGTATCTGGACAGTCTCGAGGCTTTGCAGGTGAGCAAATGGCGCCGCGCGCGCTCCGGTGAGCCTGTTCATCGTTCGTCTCCGCTCAGCTTCTCCCCCCTCCTCTGCACAGTCCAAGGAGGAGCACGAGCAGACGACAAGAGTGGTGCAAGGGTTCCTGTCAAAGGAAGGTCCCAAGCTTCATTCCGAGCTGCAAAGGTACGCCAGCGCGCGACCGTCCTACATCGAAGAGTTCTGGGACGAAAGCTACTTGACCGCTTCGGAGTCTGTGGTGCTCAATCTCAATCCATTTTTCATCTTGGAGGATGATCCCACGCCTTCGCGCGGCAATCAGCTCATGAGAGCTGCGAGCTTGACCCTCGCCAGCTTATGTTTCATTCACGACCTCAGACATGGCGTTTTAGAGCCCGACAACGTTCGCGGCAGTGAGTCAGCGCACCTCTTACCTTTCAGCGAGATCAAAGCTGACGTGGCACACTGCTCGCAGCTCCCCTTTGCATGTCGCAGTATCCAAAGTTGTTCGGCACCACGCGTATCCCCACAGAGAATGGGTGCAGACTGGAGCACTCGCCCGAGTCCAGGCATGTCGTCGTGATGCGTCGTGGTCAGATCTACTGGTGAGCACTGCCTCTGCGCTTCCGAGCAGCTGCGCTCTGAAGAGATGCTCACTTGCCAAGCCTTGGTCTGCTTCGTATTGCCGTGCCACAGGTTCGAAGCCCTGGATGAGGACCACAGACCTTTGCTGACGGAGCGAGCGCTTCTCAGCAACTTGCGAGCAATCTGCAAGGATGCGGATCAGACAGCTCCGCGAGATGTTGCCAAGGGCGCTCTCGGCATTCTCACCACTGAGAAGCGCAAGACGTGGGCTGGAGTGCGCGGTATCCTGAAGGAGCATCCTCATAACGCAAAGTGCTTGGAAGTAGTGGACAGTGCGCTATTTGTCGTCTGCATGGACGACAGCGAGCCTCAAGATCCGGCGCAGCTTTGCTCCAACATGCTCTCGGGAACGATTCAGCTGGATCAGGGTGTTCAGGTCGGAACTTGCTCCAATCGGTGGTACGACAAGCTGCAAATCATCGTCTGCAAGAATGGCGCAGCCGGTATAAACTTCGAGCATAGCGCTGCCGATGGCCACACGGTGCTTCGTTTCGTGGCCGACATTTACACGGAGCTGATCATGCGCTTTGCTAAGTCCATCAACAGTGCTACAAAGTCGCTCTTCCATGCAAAGACCAGTCCCCACGCCAAGGGCGCTGGCGGCGTGGGCAAGGCAGCGGATAAGCAGAAAGACTTGGCAGTAGAGACAGACACTGCACCCAAGAAGCTCGAATGGAATCTGTCTCCTCCCGTCAGCGCTGCTATCCGCTTCGGAGAGACTCGACTGAGCGACCTGATCCATCAGCACGACGTGCAAGTCCTAGAATTCAACGATTGGGGCAAAAATTTTATCACGAGACACAAGTTCTCGCCAGATGCGTTCGTGCAAATGTCCTTTCAGGCAGCTTACTACAAGCTGTACGGCAGATCTGAGACGACGTACGAGCCTGCCATGACCAAAGCGTTCTTTCACGGTCGAACAGAAGCTATCCGCACAGTGCAGCCGTACACTGCAGACTTTGTCACCGCGTTTGACGACAGCAGCGTCAAGAACAAGGCGAAGCTGGAGAAGCTCCGCACAGCTTGCGCAGGGCATGCAAAGCTTTCCAAGAATTGCGCAATGGGCTTGGGACACGACAGGCATTTGTACGCCATGAATTGCTTGGTCAAGAATCTGGTCGCGCAGGGCTCTGCCGAGTTCAACAGCATACCTGCCATCTTTCAAGATGCAGGCTACGCCACTCTGGGTCATACCATCATCTCGACTTCTAATTGCGGCAATCCAGCTTTGAGATTGTTCGGATTCGGACCTGTCGCACCTGACGGCTTTGGCCTTGGATACATCATCAAGGATGACGCTATATCTATCTGCGCTTCTTCCAAATTCCTGCAGACCGCAAGATTTATGCAGGAGATCGCCGCCTATCTCAAACAGATTGAAAGCATCATCATGGAGTGAGTAGTAGCGATCCCTTTACCTGTTTGCGAGCTCGGGCAGAGGATGAGGGAGTGGAAGGGAGTAGCTGAAACCGACGCTGATGTGCTCTCCGCTCCTCGTCGCGTCTTGCAGAGCATATCGCGAAGCCAATGTGCACACGACGAGCACCTACATTGACCATCAAGGCAGAGAGTGCGACGTGCGAACAGGTCTGCCCATCGGATCCAACCAGAACAAGGGCAACGGATATGCCGACGACGACTACGACCAGCCAGGCGCTGGCTACTCTTTCTACGAGGAGCAGAGCACCAAACCCAATCAGGACGATGCCGACGGCGTCAAGTCGCCCAGGAGTAGGTTGGCTGGTGTTGGTCGACGTCTGCTTGATGTCGCTTGATCCGAATCCTGAACCTGCAAAGCAATTTGGACGTTGTGACGTCCATGCCCGCATGTGCACGACCTCATCCTTCGCTCGCTGTATTGTCACGACTTGACCGCAATTGATGTCTATCCACTCAGTCGGCACCCATGAAAGATGATGCAACGTTTGATGCTCACCAGAATAGGTCACCGCTCGGGAAAGGAAGTTTCCTCGCACTCGCGCAGCTGGCTAGATTGGTAACCGCATAATATGATGAAGTGATACAGATCGACATCTGGAGGCGAGAGCTTAGTGCTTGCCCCCTCTTCCAGGCGCCTTGCCACGTAGTTTCGCTGCGACAAAGTGCAAGATGTAGCCCAGGGCAGCCTCGGCTTCCTGGGCGGACGGCAAGATTTGCGTGGCAGGCAGCAGGCTTCCGCACCGTAAAGGGAGCCAAGTAGTGTCAGAGACGGTAGAGCAGCGCTTGACTGCGACAGAGCAAGCGATGACTCACAATCCGTGCTCGCCTTCGTCGCGCAGCTCCAGGTTGAAGGCTAAAGGAGCGCACCATCGGTCAATTTTGGCGAAAAGCGTGGGTGCATGCCCGTCGAGAAGGTCTTCACTCACACCACTTGATACCGCTATCGTACGCAAAGTCGACTGCCTGACCCGTGCTTGCATACAGTGTCTGGGAGACACGGCACTTGATCAGGCCTGCTCGCCACGCGCCAATTCTTCGCAGGCTCTGGCGCGAAGAGCGAACTCACATCGCATGTTCTGCCGCTCCACCACGTCCGCCCATGCACACGACGCGCAGCACTGGCTGCTCCGATGCTCAGCTCTTCCAAATCCTCCTCGTCTCGATTCGGAGCGTCGCACGACCAAGCAGGAGGGTATGTGAGCTGTTGGCCATAGGAATGCAGGCTGCAGCAGAACGAGGTGTACTTTCAGTCGATGCGCACAATAGTCGCAATGCTGCCGAGGAGGGACTACACTCACTCTACGAAGGCGACCACCTTTCCTTCGTCTGATTCTGTGGCCGGGCGCAATAGAGAGGCGAGTGCGATGGTCTCGTTGGCAGCAAGCGGCTCCGACCCGGAGTAAGACTCCGAGCAGGGATTGTAGGATGAGGCGAAGTGCGCAGGCTGGTAAAAAGATGGTGCATGAGCCACTACAACGGAATGCAAGGCCACCGACTCCCGAGCCCCGCTCACAAATCCTCTGCCGATATCGATGCCTTGACACCCAATGACAGAACCCCTGGTGCGCTGCCTATTCTTGCGCCAAAGACGAGCGTCGAGCATCGTAATGAGAGATGACGAATCTCGTTCGTTCACAGCGCCGATCCCGCTCCAGGTGTGCGCATACCCGTCAGGATTGAGTAGAGGTACGAAGACGAGATCAAACGTCTCCAGCAAGGACCGGTGTCTTCGCCTGCGGGGAGTAAGCTCCGAACCCAAAGCGCTTTCGGGAGCATTGGACAGAGTCTCGAGCAGACTATGCATCAGCTGCAGAGACACTGCAGGTGCGATCCACTGCAGAGCGCGAGAAATCCTACACATGGTGAGTATTTGGCGGGCTCATCACAACTCTCACCCTCACTGACCTCTCTGGCGTGCGCACCGGCCACCACAACCACTCGTGGTTTGACCACCGCGTGCGGCTCCAGCGGTCGTTGCTGTCCAACTTTGCGCTTCCTTCCCGCACTGATACCGGCCTGCTCGTATTCTTTGCGGTTCCATCTCAGAGAATTTCCAAAGGTGGACTGCGGAACTGGTCTGCCTTCGGACTCCCCGACGCCATTTCCTATCCCGCCCGAGTGGATGGTCACGCTGCGTATCCTTCGGCCTTCCCAAGTTTGTCCAAGCTGGCGTAAATGTACGTGACTCGGATACTTCTCGGCAAGATGATCCAAATGCGCATCGATGCTGGCAGCGAACGTGAAGATGGGGTGGTGGTCAGTGCCATTGCAGAAGAGGTCTTTCGCGACTGAGGTCCCCAACTCACTCCTCGACTACGTGGTACTCCTCGAGCCATTCCTCTGGATACTCTACCGACTGCGTCTGGCTCGCAGCTGCCTTGAGTGCGGGAATCTGTGCGGAGAATAGCTCGCCTAGATCTCTGCTGAGGATGCGACATCGAATACTTCGTTCTTCCCCTGACTTGGTGGAGTCTCGTAGCTGGAGCATCGAGGCTGCCATCTCGCATGGAGCTTCTTCACCATGCGTGACGAGCCTTAGGTCAATGCAGCCCTGCAGCGCACCACTTGCATCTTGCGAATGAGCTGACTCGCAAGGACTCCTGAAGGAGTTCCAGACGTCCAAACCGGCATCTTGCTCCGCTATCCGTGCCAGGTCATGCACTAGATGAGCTGATGCTGAAATGCGGAGCAAAGCATGGCGCAACTTAGATGCAGGCTCGTGCCCCGAATGGAAGAGTGTCGGGTCTGCGCGAGTCTGGGAAGGCAGAGCCGAGAATGGAAGCTGTGCTGCGCGGGCAGAGAGGGTGATGATCGATGCTACCATAGCCAGTGCCTTCGCCAGAGCGCGCCGCCGCCTGAACACGGACACTGGCCCTTTATTCATGCTTGCAGTCGAGGAAAACCTCTCAGAGCGAGCTTTTTGCGTGTGGGCGAGACGTCTTGAAAGGAGTTGGCCGGAGAGGAAGCACAGGTTTGAGCTGTGGAAGTGATATTGTTGGATTTGTGGCATGCCGCACTACATACAGCCTGCGTCGCGCTGCCTGCGCCTCGATTCAAGATTGTGTGTCTTGCGCGTTGGATGCGTGGATCGCGTGATGGTGTGCACGGCGGGTAAACAAGCCACACGAGCGATAAAGCGTGGCGCGGTCACGCGACCTCCGTCGCCTCGACCCAGCAGGGATCAGCTGGCCTGCCTATCTCGACGAACTTCACACAGCTTGATCCACGAGTCATAATCACTACTTGGTCGCAGTCACCCGTTGATGAGCATTGATTTTGAATACGATATCGGCAGATAGCACACCTCTTGAGCACCTAGCTGTCGTCGGCACACTCACCGCCAGCACAGAAAGCAGCCGCAACCGTCGCAAAAACATCGATCACGAGTCACGATTGTCCGACTCTCGAATCTTGAGCAGACGTTTGGAAGCTGGTCGCTTTGCACCCGAGATCCCATCTTTGGGCTTGAAGTGACACATACTGGTGATCGCGATCCGTCTTCCGATCGGGGTAGGTGGAGGCAGCGACCAAGTCGCTAGTAGTAGTATCAATCCAGTGATTCAGGGCTGGCTGCAGGGCCATCACGACGTCCATCATTCGGTCGAACAATATCGCGATCGTGAATGAAGGACATCGTGAATTTCGATTCCAATTCTTGCCAAAGCGCATGTCTGCCAAAGCCCTCTCAGGCTTCCTCGACACCAGCGAAGCGTACATGACCCCCGTGTGCTGGCTCGACGCTACGTACCCTCTTGGGGTTGTAACGTGTCATATAGATTCTAAGCTCTCTGCCGCAAAGCTTTCGTAGGTGCGTGGGTCCACCTGGCTTGGTATGGCTTTACGAGTCGCGATTTTGGAGCCTCGGCGCGCTCATAATCTCGTCGAATCGCTCACGAGTCACGAGTGCAAGACGCCTTCCAGCACGAAAGGGAAAGAGTCAGAGTGCGAAGCCAGGCCTGCGATACGATTGAATCACGAGGCAGCAGGACGAGGCATCTTGCCTAGCAATCACAATTACCCATACTCACGACTGGTAGCGGATGAATGTCTACCGCCCAGGAGTCGGCGCCCACAGTTTATGACCGCTGCTGCATGACAATCAGAATCGTGAATTTGAATGTAAGATGCCGCACTCAAGGACTCTTCACGCTTCAGACCGACTACTCAAGACTCAGACTGTTCAGCGGAAAACGGCAGCCCGGTACGGTACGTGGCAAATGCAATGCCAAAGCTTCGCACGCTAAAAGCTGCAGGACCGACCCTTCTTGCTTCCTTTCATTCTTGATTCTGATCACCTTTCCCATGCCTCCTAGCGCTACACTTACCTGTGCCCGCCTTCTGCCCCCCTTTCCATGCAGAAGCACACTGATCCCAAAGACCCCCCCCACCGTTGACTTGGTGGCATCAGCTGACGGCGCGGTCCTGGCGTACCGACAGCTCTTGCCTGAGCTATATGTATGAGCAACCTGATGTGTCGGCTCAATAATTGCGCTCTTTTCTGCTCGAAATGCTGTGACTGACTGACTGACAAGCCAGCTGAGCTGGTGAAGTAAAGGCAAGTCATGTGTGCCTGATGCATGCAGCTACAAATCAGCCACTCGAGACTCACAAGACTCACATGCAGGCACGCTGTCGTACTGTAAGATGAGACTACCGTACCGGCTGCCTGCGTACGTTGTGCTAGATCCTTTACGATTTCGTGTCTGCAGAATCTCAACTCGTGACTGCAGTCAAAGAGTCTTCAGTGGCACCATGCACGAGCCAGGTCAGCATCGAATTGAATGAATGTTCATAGAGCATTCTGACGGCCGGCCTATTGTGCAATCGCGACAGTTGATGATCAACAGTCACGAGTCCCGACAGCCCAAGTCTGGATCCGAGGGTGCCCGTCAAGCTTGACTTGGCGCTCTGCTCATAAACTCATAGTCCTAATTCGCGAGTTGTTTGCGCTTCATCGGAACGCTCTTGGCTGCTCACAGGTCGATCACTTGGTATCGTTCCCATGGTCAAGGATCAATCACGAAGTTGGCGCGCTGGACAATTGAACATCTGTGACGTAGACCAGACCGCGTCGCGCAAGCCTTTCCAGCGACGCATGCTTATCAACGCTCCGCGCAAATGACTGACGGTGGTCAATGAGGGGACAAAATATCGAGGAAGAGATTCACGTCGAGCCTAGGAGTGCTGGTCGTGCTTCGAGGCGTCGTGACCTCTGCGGTCCACCTTCGGGGCCGCATGGCAGGTGCACGGTCACGAGGGAAATAGGGGGCAGAAGTGAACCCAGGTGACCCACGCTTTGCGACTTTGTGCAGACTCCTGTGGCCTGTGCAGCACGAAGTCATGGCGGGCAGGACCGTAGCGTGACCGAGCCTAATCGATCGGTATTGCAACCGGCGGATATATGGTCTCAAGGAACAAGAGGTTGTTCTCTCGCTAGCTTACACGACAGGCTGCGCTGGTCCAATTTGAGCAACAGATACTTACGAAAATTGTGAGGTGCAAGCTCGCTGGTCCGCAAGTGAAGAAGCCCCATCAAACATTCCAGCGATCGCGCACAGACCCTTAGAGCTCGGGCCTGCGAAACTGAAAATCATATCTATTTTTGGTCTCTGGGCGATCTGGCGCGGCTTTTCAACGTGGTCGAGTAGTGATATGAAGCGTCAGATCAAACCTCAGCACTGACCCGATTAAGGATCTTGACCGTGCTGACGACGGAACGTCCGTGCAGCTGGACGTCGTTTCCGCTTGCGGCTCTCCATCGACATGTTAGATGCGATCGCCAATGCTCCTTTCCGAACCACTGCCAAGGAAGGCTACTCGGTCGCCGAGCTAATAGAGCAGGCAGGGCAAGCTTGACTCCGACGGTAATGATCATTGGAAATCTGTTGATGCGAGGAAGGGGAATCTCTCCGCCTTAGCAAGGTCGCACATTTCCTGCTGAGCCTGAACCTGCTGGCCAAGAGCCCCTCAAACCTGGGCAAGAGTTTGAGTGTGATGCACTGCCTTGCGAGCTGCCCGTCGCAGTAAGGAGCATCGCGGTCAGGAGTTTCGATCACCGCACCTAGGTCGTGAGTCCCAAGACAAGCGTGAAATCAAGTCTTGAGTTATGAGTGTCAAGTCAACAACAGTCTTTCGGAAAGTCAGGTTGAGGGGGTCTGATCTGTGAGTGTTTAATAATGGGGAGATGGAAGTTAAAATTCGAATCAGACCCTCGAGAGTCTTCAATGCGACCACATTAATTCTATGGTGACACGTCACTCTGGGTCTTGAGCTTCAGGCTTCATTCAAATCAGGCTCACTCAGAAGTCATCATATGCAGCAGCCTTTTTGTGTGAGTCTCGCAAACGCCGCGGTCTTAATTCCGGCCGCGCACGCGTTTATCTGCCTCAGTCAGAATGTGAATCGAGGGGTTCCTCGTCTGCGGATGCTGCTGCAGTGCTTGCTAGTCTGCATGCGTGGCGTCTTATTCCGAACTGCGAAGTCGAGTGCACCGCTGCACCTACAGCCGTGCAGGCATCAGCAGCATCTGCACAGAAAAGCATGGCAGGGAGATCGCAGGCTAATCCGCAGGCCCCCCCAAACGGCCGGAGCACGTACCGGCCTCGAGTTGGCTGCCCCCTCCATGCAAGAGCAATTCGCACGCACACGCGCACACCTGGCAGCGGTCGTGAGGCGTGGCTAATCCAGCTGGTGAGGGCCCGTTCCTTGTACCTCACGCGGCTCCACAACTCGTGACTTCAAATCGAGATTACAAGGTGTGGTTGCCTTGACGCTTTGCTGCTCTCGCAAATCGTGTATCTGACTACTCGACATATCGGTAACTTTGGTGTAGTCCTCTTCCTGCCGCGCATCATCCTCGTCTGGAAACACTTGGCGGATGGTGCCTCTACATTAGACAGCATCCTATCCAGCAACGGGCTTCTTGCGACCCAGCTTCGACATTCCACAAGGTTCCCCATCGACCCTTACGGGCAAAGCGGCGGTCTCAGCAGCTCTCAATTGTCAGCACGGCTTCCTCAAGTCAGGACCTTTCTGCTAGAGTGGACATCACTCCCGGCCTCACCATCCAATCTCACCTCGTGCTTGGCACTGCTCGGACTTGCTTCAACTGATTGAAGTGTCTGCACGTTCCGAACGCCCGACTTCAGCTTGATCGACCAACGGCGCGTCAGTGATCATCCCCGGCAATCGAACCGCAGTCTGAACACTGTCCTTGACACCACACGAGTGTCGGTGCTGTTCTCGATAGGCCTAGTGTCCCACTGCGGCAATACCTAGCGCCAGGAGGCCTCCGCTACAGCCTTGGCAAGGTCTCGTCGGCAGGCATCTCACGTGTCTTCGACAGCCTACAACTCGGCCACACGGTCACGAATTGTCAAGGTGGGACCACACCATGACCTCTGTAGCTCCCTACACAGCCTCTTCATCGGCTTCGATGAAGGAGGCCGCTGCTGTCGCTGCAGCAGCCGAGGAGTACGGAGACCTTTTCAGCGGCTTCTCAACGCCTCCCTCCGCCTCCACTACTGCCATCTCCACGCAAAGTCAGGCGAATGGTGATTTCGGGCCAGGCGAACAGGCCGTGTCATCCGGGATCATGGCCATATCACCTTCTGCCGCCGAGACAGCGCCAGTCACAGCGCCACCAGCAGAACGCCATCAGGCAGGTATCTTTAGTGAGGGGGCAGAGTCATTGGAAGCTTCCGAAGCACGGAGAGGCGACCGCAGTCAAAGCACGAGCAGTAGTGCGGCCGCACCCATCAGTCCTGCTCTGAGCACTGCCGGTAGCGTCAAGGACAAGAAGTGGAAGTCAATGCTCAACAAATTTGGGTCCATCGGCAAGAAGGGCCCCGGCTCGGATTTGGCTCGCTCCACCGACTCTGACGCTCACACAATGCCGAGCTCACGTTCCGTGAGCGCAAGTCGAGGAGCAGGCTCTGCGTCAGCGACGTCGCACAGCTTCCAGCCCATCGCCGGCAGTACCGTCGTGGCGGACCCCAACTCGCTCTCTGGTGACTCTTACGAGGGCTCTATTGAGACCCCTGGCAGCTCCACACGGGACGTCAGCCGTTCCGCATACAACACCAGCGCTACGACAACAACGCCACCAAAGGAAGCCCGCTCACACGGCGCGGACAAGTCTGAGTCTTCGACAGGCGCCTCAAAGCTAAAGCCTGCAGTCGATCTCGCGGATGGTGCGGTGCTAGAGGATGACGGGCATCTCACCCTACCAGGTATTGCACAAGCTGGTCCTTCCAGCCCCAACGGCAGCACCACCAGCGGACACACAAATGGAGGCTCGAGTCCGGGAAGCAGAAACGGTAGTGGTTTCGCCTCCAAGTTGTTGCGACGTGTCTCTTCAGCACCAGACACCAACAAAGTCGCTGCTGCTCAAGCGCGGGCAGCGGCGGCTGCCGCCGCCGCCGATGGGATGCCAACTACTCCCACAGCCAACAACAATCTGCTTTCGCCCAAGAATGGCACTTCTGGTCACGGTGCGCATTCTGTGTCTGAGAGCGGGGCGCTAGCTCCATCGACACCGCAGGCAAGACTCGCCCCTGGAGTAGCTCATGCCGTCGGCGATCGGACAGCTCCGGATGGTTACTTTCCCAACTCACCCGTCCGAATGGATTCCAATGCGACGTCTTTCTCCTCCAAAGATTTTGAGAAAGGGGCTCGATCGGTCTCAACACCCAAGCTTCGCTCTGGGATCATGTTCCCTGGCTCGGGCAAAAAGGGTGGAAGTGCGAAGGCCGGCTCAGGCGAAAAACATCGCGGGCCATTGAGCCCGCCAATGTCAGGCAACAAGCTGGCCACGTTGCAAGCGAATGGCGAGCAGAGTCCGGCGCCCTCTGGCAGAGCCAATTTCAGGAGAACATATTCTAGCAACAGCATCAAAGTGCGCGAGGTTGAGGTCGGCCCGAGCAGCTTCACCAAAATCAAGATGCTGGGCAAGGGGGATGTCGGCAAGGTCTACTTGGTGCGCGAGAAGAAGACTGATCGCTTGTACGCAATGAAAGGTAAGCACCGCAACTGCAACGTCCAAGGCGCCTTGCATTCCGCTGATCGTGCTCACTTTGCCTGCGTGCAGTGTTGTCAAAGAAGGAGATGATCAAGAGGAACAAGATCAAGCGGGTAATGGCCGAACAAGAGATTTTGTCGACCTCCAATCATCCATTTATCGTCACGCTGTATCATTCCTTCCAGTCCGACGACTATCTCTATCTATGCATGGAGTATTGTATGGGCGGCGAATTCTTCCGCGCCTTGCAGACCAGACCAGGAAAATGTCTTCCGGAGGAGGATGCCAGATTCTATGCGGCAGAAGTCATCGCCGCCTTAGAGTACCTGCACCTGATGGGCTTCATCTACCGGGACCTGAAACCAGAAAGTAAGTGGCAGTCTGCACCTCATCACGCTTCTGTGGCTCACGCACCCTTGTCGCAACGTCCAGATATTCTGCTTCATCAATCTGGCCATGTGATGCTGTCTGACTTCGATTTGTCTGCAAGAGCCACGAGGCGAGGAGGCGCTCCTGCTATGATCCGGCAAGCTACCCCAAACAGCGCGCCTCTGGTCGACACTCGCTCATGCATTGCAGACCTGCGCACGAACTCGTTCGTAGGTACAGAAGAGTACATCGCACCAGAGGTCATCAAAGGGTGCGGGCATACCAGCGCAGTCGACTGGTGGACCTTGGGAATCCTCATTTACGAGATGATCGTGAGTGCAAGCCTTCGCGCGCCTCTGCCAGCATCGAGCCAGCTGACGCTTGAGGCGATTGTTCCAGTTTGCGACTACGCCGTTCAAGGGCTCCTCTCGCAATGCGACCTTCTCGAACGTGCTGCGAAACGAACCTGCATTCCCCGAGTCAACGCCTATCTCTTCTCTCGGCAAGTCGATGATCCGCAAATTGCTCATCAAGGACGAGATGCGACGACTCGGATCGCAGTCTGGTGCTAGTGAAGTCAAGACGCACAAGTGGTTCAGTCCTCTCTCATGGGGTTTGCTAAGGCACACCACTCCACCTATCGTGCCGGCCTACTCGAATGGGCTTGACGCCATCAATTTCCGTACCGTTCGAGAAAGCCGCAGCCTCAACCTCGACATGCAAGGCAACAGCACTGCAGGCGATGACGCTCCTTCTTCGAAGCACAAGGCAGGAGATATGAAGGCTTCCGCGGGCAAGAAGAATGTCAAGGATGAGGATGGAGACGCGGTGGCGGCAAATCCCTTTGAAGGTTTCAATAGCGTCACTCGTGTCATGGAGGTCTAGCGTCATGACGGAGGCGTCGATACTTGGTACACCAATCTGCAGATTCTTCATCGGCCGTCTGGCTTGAGTCGAGCCTCACCGCCACCCATCATCGCTTCACTGATTCTGATCACCGACATTCTCACCAAGACGGTCTCACAAGCCACGTTTCATCGCTGGCGTCACTTGTCGCACACACGACTCGCCGTCGTTCGGGTCGTGAAACAACATCCATCCATCCAGTCCCCTGTCCCTACGCATTCCATTCTCGTGCTTTCGCCCCAATGCTCTCAGAATCCGCATCCCAACCCTGCCTCGACTCGACCTGATCTAACGCGACAGCCAAGTCCCCACGTCTCGAATCATAGCTGTCGCACTTCTGCATGACTCAAACTTTTCCCCTTTCTCAATTACACGCTCCTCGATGGACCGAATGCTCAGCTCATCGACGATACTGTTGTGAGATGGCGAGAGCAGCAGGCATGTCGTTGTGGAGGCCCCTCGCAGAGGGAAAACGCCACAAACTCGCTGGCCTCTTCGCTTCAGGATGTAGCGTGGGAGCGAGCTTCGTGCGGGAGACGACGCGCTGCGAGTCTGCTGGACTGGGGTCGCGGCGCGCCGCTCGTCTGTCCTTGCCTAGCTGTGTGAGTGCGCAGCCCGATGCAAGATGTCAGCCTGCGCTTTTGTCGACGGCCCAACGCCGGCCCAGGTCACCTTGCATCTGCCTGCTGTGCAAGGTTGCGTGCGTGCCCGGGACCTCAATTCGAGTCACGGGTGTTGCAGGTTACGATGTGCAGCGATCGCACGACGACCCCTTACTCGTGACTTGGTGATAGCAGTCAAAAGTCAAAGTGCTTCAGTCAAGAGTGTACCGTCCAGCTGATTGATGGGATTGTGATTGCACCATGATGGTCAGTGAGTCTCAAATTCTGTCCAGCTCTCTTACCGAGTGGTCCATTCCCGAGGCGAGGCGAGGCGAGACAGAGGCCTTGTCGCACTTGACATTGCTGCCCACCATGTGCACGATTCAACCATTGTGTACCAGAGAGTAGCAGTAGTAGTAGCAGTACTGGCAAGCACAAGTGCACAATTCACGATACAGTACGAATCAAGACCAAAATTTGAGAACGCAAAACGCGGGCGGGCGAGGTTGCTTCTCCTTGCCGAGCGGTCCGGCCGAGCAGCGGATGTACTGCCCCGCCCTGTCACGCAAGAACGGTGCATGCATCACGCACAGCATGCAGGAGGATGTATGCGCTCGCCTGCAATCGAGCATGGGCCGTGCTGAATGCAACACCAAGATCCGCTCCCTCTTGACTGTGACGCTCATATTCCCACCAACGAGGACCCAGCGATAAGCCTACACAAAAGCGGTGTGAGCAAATTGATCAGCTACCATACCGTAGCCAGGGTCGATCTGCTTTCACGCGCAACCGCCTTGCCAGTGGCCGTTTCACTCACACCCGTCATTGCTGTATCTAGGGCTCCCCCGCGCCTGATGCACATTCACATTTGACCTCCACACAACCCCAACGGAAGCAGCATACAAGGTTGCCTGGCACGGCCGGGCTCGCAACCTCGCTCATTCCTGCTCGAGAGTCTCATGTCGACGAGTAAGGATTCGCCACTCACCTCTACACAGATTCACCTAGCTTCCCCGATCGTACCCACTACTCAAGTCTGCCCAAGTCCTCGGTCGGCGCGACCAGGGTTAGTAGAGCTACATGGCCGTCACGCGCTGAGCCACCAATCTTGAATTCTTGACTCGGAAGCAAGGGAATCGCTGGAGGGTAGCACTTACGATTAGCAACGAACGACAGCCCCCGGAGTCGCGAGAAAGCTCAGTAAAGACGCAGAAAGGCACGATGATTGACCACCTGCTCGGTAGACCGTCTACCAGGTTGAAGAGGTTGCAGGTGCTGCTCGTCATTGCCTTTTGGTCCTGGGTACTCAAAGCTGGTGGACGAGATGGACCAAAGCGGGTACCGGGAACCTTGTGGTTGTCCAAATGGGGACGTGAGTGTACGATGCAAGCTGATATGGAGCTGTCAGGTGCTGGCGTGAAGGAGTGGAGCATCACATCTCGCGAGCCACATGTGCATGAGATGTCCATAGAGCGCGGGTGTCTGTGAGCCAGCAAGTTTCTGAAAAGCATGCTTTACTCCATTTGCAGGGCGGTGGTCACCCTGGCAGATTATTGTAGCGACCCTAACGTCGGTGTACGCCATTCGACATCTCGATGCTCTCTTTGGCTTCGGCGCCCCAGAGCCGCTAGCTAGGATGGTAAGTTCCAGTGGTCGCAAGGGATGCAATCCGGCGGAGGCGCTGAAGCTTAAAGCGGCACATGCATCATTTGCTAGTACTCTCGCTCCTTTTACCGGGTCACATGGATCGTCACGGCACTAGGTGAATATGAGAATGAGTAAGGCACAGCGATTTTTGAACACTGACGACCCTACTCATCACCTCAGACGCTGGTTTCGCGACCGCCATGACCATCAAGCCTGTGTGGCTGAGAGTGAGCAACGACTCTCGGGTATCGTAGTTACTGCAGCCGACTCGTAAGCTGACGGGTGCTTCGAGCCGAATCAGGACATCGCGAGCATTCTTTTCTCTCTGTACTACATTGTGTATGCCAACGAGGCCGACGAGAAGCTGAGGAAGTTCAGAGCTTTCTGTACCATCGAGATGATTCGCGCAACCTGGCACAAAGTGAGTGGGCCCGCCATCAAAGCGCGAGCGCTTGCTTACTCCGCTGACATGGATGTGGAGTTCTCTTCACATCGTACAGACTACTAATCCATACATCCGAGCCTTCACGGTCGTCCATCGACCGAGCCTGGGCATCGCGAGACCACTGTTACTGCCCAGACCCGCCCTTGGCGCGCATGCAAAAAGGCCCACTCGTGCGTGGCTCTTTTACGCCGGGACAGAGAAGGAGTTGCGCGAAGAGGAAGAGGTGAGCGCATAGACAATCAAATTATCACAACATGCGGAAGTTGAAGCTTATCTGCCTTTCCATAGCTCTTGCTCGACTTTCCCGGTGGCGGATTTGTGTGCATGGACCCGCGCCATCACGAGGAGAGATTGCGACAAATGGCCAAAGAAGGCCAGCGGCCCGTTCTGTCGGTAGATTATTGCAAAGCGCCGGAATTTCCATTTCCCGTGAGTGGTGTCTCGGTGCCTAGGATGTGACATCGAGCTCATCGTTCGCCCTTGATCTTGGAAACAGTACGCTCTAGAGGAATGCTATGACCTCTACCGCACGCTGCACGAGTCAGGCGGTAGTGTGATCGGCATGTCGGGCGCCTCCCAATTTCGAATCGTGTTGACTGGTGATTCTGCTGGTGCTAATCTGGCGGTGGCCACCCTATTCAAGGTGCTTGAGTACCCGCAGCCCCACATTCAAAGTGCTTTCGCAACCAAAGCGGCAGGCGGCCCAGGGAGCAAGCCTCCTGCCCTGCCGAAACCTCTGGCGATGGTACTTGCATATCCCAGTCTCAACTTTGGCTTTTCCAGCTGGATGAAAGTGAGTGTTGGATCTCGTCACCTCCGCTGCAAAGTGTCTGTCATCGTTGACACTCAGTCGCCGCACAGCCCGACCACATTAGGGTGCTCCGGCAGCAGAGTGAGGTCAACCTCGAGTCTATAGCAGGCGACTCTGTCCATGCCGTGAAGAGTAAGGGGTCGCCACTCAATCCAGCACGATCTCGATCACGCTCACGACGAGGTAGCCAAAGCTCAACCTCGGTGCGACGGCCTTCTTCGAACATGCACCTGGATGAAGCCAAGGGTCGTCACGAGAACGCTGGCTCGCGCAAGGGCGGCAAAGGCAAGGAAAAGCCCTCTGTGCCCTCAAGATATGAGTCTCTAGCTTCTCAAGCAGAGCTGCATCTAGCAGAGCGGGCCTCGTTCACCGCGGCTGAACCGCAAAGTGACGATGGCGATATGTCGCCCCACCAGCCTGGCGGAACGGTCTCTGGCGACTGGGACAAAGACTTGTGGATGCGAAGGCACCCGAGCGATCTCGAAGCTGACGCAGCAGCGGAGGCGGAAAGAGCTGCGATCGTTGCAGCCGAAGAGCAGCAGCGGATTCTAGAAGCTGCTGCCTCCAAAGCTGATCAAGAGATGAGCGACCGACAAAAGACGTCGAGGGTGAATACTCGCCTGACGATGAGTTCCATGGCAGGCTACTTTCAAGATCGTATCTTGACGCAGTCGATGATGAGAGCAATGGCGATTCTTTACGTCGGCCCGAGGCGCCAGCCCGACTTTGATCACGACTATTTCTTATCCCCAATCGTCGCCCCGGCACGACTTCTCGCGGAGTTTCCACCCTGTCTCTTCGTGTGCGGAGAAAAGGACCCAATCTGTGAGTCGCTCAATTTGAGCCACATGTGCGGGGCCATCTCTTGATTCTCAGCTAACTGGCTCTCTTGTTAGGCGACGACACTGTTGTGATGGCTGGTCGCATTAGAGAGGCCAAGCTGGCGAAGCAAGCGGAACTGAAGCGTCGCAGGGCTGGCGCTTCTGCAAGATTCGGAGAACAGCTTCGCATGTCGCTTGGCGGGTCTTCTCACGTGCAGCATGATCCTATTGAAGACGAGACCGTAGAGGATTGGGTTCAGATGCGCATCATCGAGGGCTATTCACATGGTTTCTTGCAGGTAAGCACAGGTCCACTTGTCGCCTTGACGTGATCTGGCTACAAATTGCTCAGCCCATGTTTTGGACTGTCTCGTCTCCAGATGTCGAGCTTGCTTCCGGAGGCGAAACAGATAATCACCTTCATTGGCCTGTGGATCACTGAAAGCTTCGACGACCGCAATGACGAGCTCGACGCGATAGCTGCAAAGCAGCAAGTGTCCGCAACCCAGAGTGCTCATGGAGAGCACGGGCTGCAAGCGGTGTCCAGCGCTGCGAAAACCATTCCGTTGCAGCTATCAGCATCTGCCGCTCAGGGTGATGACGATGATGACGACGAGCCTCTTAGCTTCACCCCTCGCTCAATGCGATCCCCTACTACGAGCACTGCCGAACTGCCTCCTACGAGCCCTTCGCAGACATCTGCACCGACCCTTGTCGCCAGAGGACAGCCTTCTCCCAGCGCCACTGGGGCGAGCGAAAAGCTCCGACCACCCGCTGTCGCTGCGCTTGCTCGCAATCATCGACCATCGTCGTTCAGCGGCACCAACACGGCGGACAGGCCCAAGCAAGTATCGGACCTGGCGGCTGCCCAAGCGGAGGAAGCCGACTCTCCAGCCAGCCGCAGGCGACTCTCGGATTCCAGCAGCTCCCTGGTCGCTTCCCGCAGAGCGGCACGCGAAGCCGCAGGTACCGCTTTGGGGTCACGAAGGTACAGCAAAGAGCCGAATGGTGCAGGAGGTGGTCCTTCTAGCGCGCTGTTGGATGAGAAGTACCAAGCTATGCTTGTCAAGGAGAGCAGCTTGTTGCAGCGTCGACGCGAGGACGCCTTGGCCAGCATGACTCAAGGTGACGCTGCAATCGAGAATTCGGCGGTCATCTCGAGCGACGAGGAGTCGGAGGAAGACGAACAGGAAGCATCAAGGGGCAGAACTTAGCACCTTGCTTCGAGCGTGGCGCCCAGAACATGATCCCTTTAGAATGCCAAGCGCCTTGTCAGATCATCTGGCATCCCCACGCAAAGCATACTCGCAAGGTCTTTTGACGTGCCCCATGTATTTTCTAGCATTATTAACAATGCGCATGACCGGATCTCTGTTTCACGCTGAGCCTAATGAAGCGGCTCTTGCTCTGGCTGTTCGCATTTTGGGCCTCTATCCAAGCAGACTCGTGTGGTCAATACCTGCACATGATTAGGAGAATCACGACCTAATGGTGGTGTGAGTCGTCAGCAGTCTTACGTGGGCGCGTCGCCGCATGCAGCGGAGCGAGTGTGAGAAGGGTTCCGAGTACGTCGCACTTACATCTTGTACTTCATACCAGACCTCTCGTCCCTATGCTGCCAATCGATCTCGATGTCCAAATCCCGATTATTCTTCTCGTTTGGTTTGCAAGCAAAGTTGCCTTGGATCTTGTCGCCCGCGCTGACGAGGAGCATGCCGGGAATGTAGAAGACGGTCTGCTTCCAGTGCGTGTACCGACTGTGCGGGCCCGTGCTGAAGCGCACTGGCTTGTGACATGCGTCAAAGGAAATGTCGAACCATGCGAGGAAAGCGTGAACATCTACATGCGGCAGAGCAAGTGAAGCGTCGGGTCAGCGGACTGTCGAGAGCGCGTTCGAGCGGCTCTGCGGTTTGGCTGTCCTTGCTGCGTATTTGTCCGCTTGCACTCACAGTCGTTCCTGGTAGCGGTCAGCTGGAAGCTGGACTTGAAAGCCAAATCCTCCTTTGTGCACTTCAACAAGTCCAAGTGGAGCACTTTGGCAGGGTCGCAAACAACGCTCTTGAGTTCCACAGTGTCCACTAGAGGCTCCTTGAGAGCAATGTCCTTGATGCAGCTGTAGTCGAAGCCGTACACATCATCCCAGAAACCGATTTTCTCTTCCTTGTATTCTTGGTCCTCAATGGCGGAGAGGAAGAGAGTTGCACTGTCTGGCATGAGGATTCCGCCTGGGGCCTGAACACAGCGAAGGGATAATTGAAAGGAGTGCGATCAGGATGCCGAGTGAATGAGCGGAATGAGCGATTGCAATATTCGAAAGTGTATGCTGTGACTCACAAGGTATTTGTCCCTTGCCAACAGCACGGTGTCGAGCATCGACTCGTACAATAAAGCGTAACCCATCTGGTTGGGTGACAGAAAGACACAGCGTGGAGCTTTCTCATCAGCGATGACTCGGGAGTTCTTGTTCGAAGATGCCGTAGACTGACCCATTCGGAGATGATGACGTCCACCTTTCCGTTGGGTCCCAAACCCAAGTCCACCTCCTCCAACTTGCCCTTGACGAGGGTGATGACTGCGATGCACGAAAGGAAGCGCGAATAACATGAGGGTGAGCATGAGCATGCTCGCGGTCTCGACAAAGGCACGGTACATTGCAAAACCACGCTATGATGTATGCGCGCGCGCAACTCACCATCGCTGAAGCCATTCTTGTCCACGATGACCTTGGCCTGTTCGATGATTTCGCTCATATCCACGCCCACGACCTTTTTTGCGCCAGCTTTGGCAGCAAACATGCAAAGGATTCCCGTCCCGCACCCGACGTCCAGCACCGTCTTTCCCTTGAAGAGATGAGGATTGTTCATGATCGCATTTCGATACGAGTCCGTTCGGACTGTATCTTTCAGCATCTCTTCGTGAATGCCGAAGTGAGCGTAGGAATCGGCGTAGTAGTCCCGAGATGTCATCTGCGCTGATCCGGCCGCGAGGGGCGCCGCCGCAGCATTCGTGGAGCTCGACATACCGAAAGCGGTGGAGAGTGTCGAAATGCGCTGCCTAGAGACTCGTGGACGCCTCGAGGGGAAAGCGCTGAAGGGGTCGTACTTGCAAAGTAGACGAGAGCTGAGCCTTGCTGCAAGAGGTCGGGCGAAGAGAGGAATGTCGCTGCTGGGCGCGCAAAGGCGGACGCTTCGTTGTAGCGCCCCCGAGGTATTGCAGAATGAAAGAGGTTGAGCTGAGGGTGAGAGACGAGCTGCTGTTTTTAAGAGACAGTGTCGGGGGGATGTGAGAGTGGAGATGCGTGAGTGACAGTAGGCGTACTCAGTCGAGGTTGGAGCTGGTCTGATGACAGCAATCGAGTGGTAATTACAATCGTGAATGTGAATGGCGCACCCATCATCAGCAGCTGCCTGCACCTCGCCAAACTTCACAGCTTTGATGAGCAGCAGCTCAGCTGCACTCGTGACTTTAAAGCTGCAGGCGCACGCAGATCGCCGCGCATCGCCAACTTTTTTTACTTCGCAACTATAGGTATACCTGTAGGTATATACCTACATAGTCACGAGTACCGTCACGAGTATATATAGCCAGCAGCAGCCTCCCGGCCAACGCCCGCCCGCGCTCGCGCTCGCGCTTCTGCAGCGATCACAATCCTGAGAATCTGAATGTGAAGCAATCAAGAATCTTGAATGGAGTGCTCGGCCGCGCGTCGTACGGCTGGCATCCACCGCTCTGTATCACGGTCAAGTCAGGAGCTACACGGTACCGCATATACAGTCTAGTGTATCATACACGTATTCGTCATCGTCGACGTGCTCTGACCCAAAGATACGACGACTCTCCTTGCGGGTGGGGGTCCAGCAGCTAGCATGCATCCTGCAGCAACAGCAACAGCAACAGCAACAGCAACAGCAACAGCAACAGCAACTCGTCAAGTCGATCAAAGAGACACGCGAGGCTAAGCGCTTGCTATACGCTTGGAAGTGTCCAGCGTACAGTACCGCGCAAACCCCTGAGCACAGCAAGGCAGAGTGAGAGTCCCAGCGCGAGCACCTAGCTTGATCGAGGGCGATTGCACGCGCATGCGATTCAAGTGAGGTGTGATGCGTGTGTATGTGTGTGTGTGTGTGTGTGTGTGTGTGTGTGTGTGTGTGTGTGTGTGTGTGTGTGTGTGCGCGTGAGCGACTTGGCATACATGTTCGAAGGAGTTACTAGTCTTGAGTGTGAGGTCTTGAAGCAAGTCGAGAGTGTGGTCAAGAGTCATAAAGTGCATGAAGCCTATGCATGCAAATCACGAATGTGAATGTAGGAGCCCTGGGTGATGCTCGAACGTCTGGGGTTTGATCATGGCACGTCCTCGCGACCTAATGAGCTGCTTTGAGTCGATGTTGACCCCAATTTGAACACAACAGCCATTGGCCATCGATCGCCCTTCCGATGAACTCCCTCTCAGAGCCCCGCGAAGAGGATGAAAGGTGAGAGAAGGGGAGAGGCCAGGACTGCTGGGCTTCGTGTGGGGTCGTCTGGATGGTGTGGATGGTGGGACAAGGGCTTCTTCGCACGCTGACCGATCAGCATGCGTCAAAAATGAAGAAAGGAGAGGCGAACACGGCAGTCTAATGGTTCCATTGCAAAGCACCTCGTCCTTCCGCCTTGGTGCGTTGGCTACGTGCGGACTTGTTGGGATGATAGATGGTGGTAGAACAGGAAGAACGCTGACGCCCCACCGCTGGATGTCTGCGAGAAGAATGGCCGCGCCAAAGCTTTTTTCTTTTCACGCGTTCGGTGTTGCAAGACACGTGACTGTGCATCAAAGCGCGCGACATGCAGTCTTGAGTCAAGAGTCACGAGTCTTGAGTCTTGATGAGTCTAATGAGCAGCAGCATGCACAGGTGTTGACATCAAGCGCGCAGGGATCAACAGCATGCATGGCGATCGAGGGCGATGAGGTGAGGTGACGCTCGCTATTCAGCTCAACCACCCAGCCTCATGACTCCAAGCATCGAAGGCAGATTGTGAGGACCGCTCAATCAATACACTCGACCGACACTCCGATTGTAGGAACAGCGTGAACCCATCTTCAAGCGTCGCGTTCCAAAAGCTACGGGTGTCGCACCCACGCACCAGCTGTTCCCAGCTCCGGCTTTAGCAAGAAGCGACCATGTCATCGACGCTTCAAGGTCGTCCTCTCTCTCGCACAGCTTCGTCAAGCGCGAGCAGCTCACAAGCGCAACAGCAGCGCTCGACATCGAGAGGGGTCGTCAGCTCCAGCAACATGCACGCAAAGACGTTCGACAGTTCCAAGTTGAAAGTTCAATTGCACAAGGTGCTGCACTCCAGATTGGCCGGTGTCGCGTGGGAAAGGGACAAGGAAAAAATGAAGGCTGTCAATAGGGATATCGCGGATAATGTAAAGAGCAGAATGATTGGTGAGTTTGGCAACTTGCTTGCAGGGCGATCACTACATGAGGCGTGCGCAGTAGGAGGTGAGACGGGCTAGTCTACAGGGCTCCGGACGCAGCGCCGAACCATATGTTGGGCGCAACACTGCGAGGGCGCAATCCCAACATTGGGACAGCAGACTAGTCGACCCTTGACGAGAAGGCTGCATCTGACGATTTTTCCACCTGCCGCTGCTGTCTCCCCGATTGCGTCTCCTACGCCTCAACCTCATTTGGCTGCGTATCACTCTACAGAGATAGAACCAAAGGGTGAGCCGGCACTGACCACCCAGCATGATCAACCTGCGTGTACACTCACGCGTTTGTCCCGCTGAGCAGGCTTCAAATACCTTGTACAAGTGCAACTCTCAGAAAATAAGGGTCAAGGGGGCAGGTGAGCTTCGCCATGCGTCGCGCGATCTGCCGCGTGGCACCAACGCTGACCTCTGAAAGTCCACGCATTTCGCTTGGCACATTTGCGCTACTCAGAGGTGAGGCAGTCCGCATCCTGATGCTCGCATCTCGCGCATCATCGCTGACCGCATTGCTGATTTCCTTCGCCCTCGCACCTCAGCCGATGCCGCATACCACTGGGAAGAGGGAGATGTCGTGATTCACGAAATGTACGCTAATAACGACCTGATCGCCACCGTCACCGCCTACGCAATCCGCACATAATCTTTCTGCGTGCACAAGGCACCGACACGGCCCGCACTCCAGGAGGCGTGAAAGAGCGCAATCGCTGGCTAGAGTGCCGCGGCGCGGCGTGCAGTCACTGCACCAGGCTCAGAACAGGTATCATCGAGGTGGGGCATGAATGACTGGAGGAACGATGTTGAAGCGACTTGGTGATGAGAGCAAGTGTGGAAAGACAGAACGAGGTGGCTATGCATTGCGGCGTGTAATTACGAAGGGGGGGACAGAATTCGAAAGTAGATCACGGGAACCCAATATGCCAAGGAAATGCGGGGGTTGGGATGCACCCACCATCAGTCATTCACGAGAGGTGGCTCTCGACAGGTTTGCATCAAGCGTCACCGCCTTCGAACACGAAGAAGCCGCGTCGGAGCTGCTGCTCGGCTCTTTTCTGGCGACAAGACCTCATTCCAGGTAAAATGCTTTTTGAGCAGCGCAAAAAAGCGCTTGTCGGCCTGTGCAGCGGTGGGGCAGGGGTGGAAGGAATGGTTGATGCAGGAATCTTTCAGCACCTTGCAACCCGATGCAGAGCTCGACTTTTGCCAATGGATGCTGCTCACCTTGCGTCGCTGCTGATAGCAGAACTACACAACCCATTCGACGTGAGCCGCATGGCGAAGATGACGGTCAGCGCGCAACCGATGTGGTCGTATTCGACAGCAGCCGACTTACCAAGATGAGTGTGTCGGAGTTGCTAAGCTGCACCATAGTGTCCACGAGCGGCTGAAAGGCCGACTCGAGGTATACACAGTCTGTCACGACAAATGGGTCCCACTGTAAGATGTGTACGCACTTTGCGACGCCGTTTTGTCCACTTCACGCACCTGCCAACAGCAGGACGTCGGGCTTCGAGGGGATCGAGGCACTTGCAGGAAGGCCCCAATCTAGTTGCTCCACTTTACAATTGGTCACCGCAGCCTGATTCAAGGCGTGATTGAGGTCCATGACGTTCAACATGGCCCTGCGCGTCCCCAATCCCAGCACAAGGCCGTCAATGCTTTAGCTGCTCGCCGCCCACGCGCTTGAGGCCTTGCCTAGAGGACCTGCTCGCCTGCACTCACTCTTGATCCGTCACCCAAACTCGAGCTTGAGGAAATCTCATAGCAGCCAAGAATCCCACCAAGCCGGTTCCGCTTCCCAATTCTACGATTGTACCGCTCCTCCAATCTCCGTCCTGTGCGCCCTGCAACATTTCCAGCTCGTCGCTCGCCAAGTAAGCGCCAAGCACTTCCGCAGCTGGCCATATCCTCCCTCCACATCCCTCCGTCACATTGATTCTGAGTTTGATACGTATCGCATCTTCTTCTCGCCAGTCATGTGGTGCTGATGGCGTATCAGCCGCTCTTGCTGCTGTGCTGACATCCTCCACCGAGTGAGAGCCGTACTGCACCAGAGGTCTAGAGCCGTCCCTGGGATAAATGACCAGAGCAGGTTCGTCGATCTCGTTGATCTGAGCCGAAGCTGAAGTGCCTACCAGTGGAGAAGAAGGTGGAGAGGATCTGGGAGTACCCGGCACGTCGTCCTTGAAGTCGAACCCTAGTTCTTGCCCCAATGCCGGTAGCGTCGTCATCGCCACGTCTCTCACCACCAAGGTGGCCATGCTGTCCCTAGTAAGCTTTCGAGTCTGGAAAAAGGGATTTGGGCTTTGAGCCCAAGGAACAGAGAATGTCGGTGCGAGCGGACTGGACAGCTCGCGGATCTTGTCGAGGGAGGCAAACAGCAAGGAGTTTGCGAACGTCAAGGCTGCCGAATGTACTTGTGCTCTCGTAGATGATCCGAGCTGATCAGGTAAGGAGGAGTGAGTGCAGTAGTGAATGTCGTGGGTGCTGTTGCTGTTGCTGTTGCCGTTGCCGCTGCGCAAGCCACGGGTGCAGTAGGTACGTTGCATGCACAAGTCTTAAACATGCGCGCTGCTTCTCCACACCTTATTGATCCAGCTAGATCGCTCGCGCGCGTCGAGCAATCCCGCCTGCCCACATCAGTCTGTTTCATGAGCACGTCGCACTAACGCCCTGCGCCATTCACAAGCATCCTATCGATGTTGTTGGACCTCCATCCTTGGGTCCACTTCAATCCTGAACGCCTCTTGCCCGCCACTCGTCGATATGCTCGTGCAAACAGCCGCTCTTCTCATGAAGGGACGTGCGCATCGGGTATCATATCCGCATCCACACAAGCAGCGACGAGTCTATCCCACTTGCACTGAGCGAGACACGCACCAATTGCGGCAGTGGCTTCACGCCCTGCGAAACAGGAGAGCGCAAATCGCACAATGTATGCATTTCGAGTGCGCATCTCGATGTGTCGGGCAGAGATGAGCAGGCAAAGAGGTGAAGGAGATGTGGTGCAAATACTTGTGGGGCTGACGCTTTGGTTCATGATGGTGTTGATGAGGAAGAGTCACAGGCCGACGAATATGAGGTACCCAATATCAGCACGATCGGTCATATGGTTGTGGCCGCTATGCTCTGAATCAAGCATGAGGTGCAAATAAAGAAGGCAGCTAGAAAGTGTAGGAGAGATGATGCTGTGGACCACGGCAAAGCCCCGACGAAGTCCAATCGCATGCGCCCACATGACCTTTTAAAGCAAGATTGCCGCGCCAATCAGGACGCTGACGAGAGCGACAGCAGAAGAAGCAATGGGCCGAATCGAAGATGCACCGCTAGATCCGCCACTGGTGTTGCTGTTGCTGGTAGTGTTGCTACTGGTGTTGCTGTTGCTGCTCGCGGAGCTGCCGGTGGGTCGACTGGAGGAGGAAGTGGAGCTACCGGAAGAGCTGTTAGAGCTGCCAGACGATCTAGTTTGGCTAGAGCTGTTGGAATTGCCTCCAGCGCTGGCATTACCTCCAGACGAATCAGGACTAGAAGCTCCGTTGACCAGCTTTCCCTCTCCCCACGGAATAGAATCTCCCTCGGGTTGCTTGTCGTTAGGAGGCGGAACGGTGCTTCCGTCTGCCGAAGCGATGGTGAAGCGAGTGCACCAGGTGGGGTTGGCCCCGTCAGAGTCGGTGAACTGGTAGAAGTAAATGGCGCTGTACGGTTCGACCTCTGGGCATGTCCACGAGAAGGAGGTCTGCGTGGTACCGTCGATGTTGGTCGCAATATCCTCCAATTTCGTCATGTGCTGGTTCGTGCCCGTCATGACTGCAACCGTGGGCAGGGGTGAAGTGTCAGCGAACCGTACTTATGCTTCTATAGCGGACATATTCGATGTGGCCCAGTCCCTGCACGCTCGCCCCACGCAGGCAGTCACCCGTTGCCTCTTCTACCCCCCACACACCAGAGCTGCTCCTCATCTACCTCCCGCGTCAAGATACGCACGACTGATGGTCATCTTCTTCCACTTGTTGCCCGATGCAGGGCTCCACTGAGTCGTGCATTGGTCTCCAGCCTTGAACACGTCGTTGGGTCCAGGGCTGCTTGGTTCGGCAGCGCTGCCAGAAGAAGGGCTACCGCTACCGCTTGCGCTGCCACTGCCGCTCGATCTTTGTCGGCGCATCAGGGCTTGGTGGGGCGATGTAGCGCCATCGTGAGACGCCAACACGCTTGCAGCGCAAGAGACGGAGAGGAGGATGCCGAAGAGACTAGAGCGCATCTTGATGTTGAGAATGAGGACTTGAAGAGATGATGCTGATTAAAGCAGACGTGGCTCTGGATTGCAGTATTGTTCGATAACGAGTGTGGGATCGATCGACTCGGATTGAGGGCGTGATGAGATGAAGAGGTCGGATGAACGTCAAGGGATACTCTGGCGAGTCGAGAAAGGAAGGGCGATAAGATCGGAGAGTGGACCAAATACGTTGCAAGTTAGGAAGGGCGGGGTAATTGGAAGGGGATTGGCTTGTGTGAGCGGAGTGGATTGGCGGAGGAGTGAGTGAATGTCGAAGGGAGCGAATGCAGGCGGCCAGCGTACGGGGTTCAGCCATACGCCGTAGCTTGTTTGTCGCTCATACGACAATTTCCAGGCCCCGTTGCGCGCCGTTGAGTCGGGCATGCGCTATATCCATCACGCCTGATGCCCACTCCTTCTCCTCGATCGCGACTGCAGAGCACAGCAGACACGCGTAGGCATGCACCCACGCACACAAGCAGCGCTCGAGAGGGGTCTGTTGGCCATCTGAGCGCAACACGACAGGCATTTCCTTGGTCTATAGTTATTGTGCCTCGAGCGGCGCCCGGCTTGGCTTGGCTTCAGCAGCCAGCAAGCTGATGGCAGCATCAGCAAGCGCATCCTCATAAGAAGCTAGGTTGCAGATTCGGCACTCAAGCAGCGCAGCCGCGAGCGACGTCTACATATACGATTTGTGCGAAGTTATTTTGACGCAGCCCAATGCTATAGATGCACACCTCTGCTGCGTGGCGCAGCTGCCAGCCTAGCTGCTGATGGCGGGTCGTCTCGTGTCATGCATCGCACCGCATACCATCAGCAGCAGCTAGCAGGTCGTGAGTCTTCCCCTCGCTCGTACCCCTGCATGGGCTGGACTCAAAACTGCATGCATGCGCGCGACAGATGCGCGACGCCTGCATCTGCGCGCCTAGCACTTGCTTGCTGCTCTGTGCGAGCAGCAGCAGCAGCAGCAGCAGCAGCATGCGCTTTAGCTCCACGGACTCGGCACTTTTTCCCTCTTCTCCGCGGCGGTGTTGTAATAATAATAACCCCTGATAATAATAACAACATAGCATAGCACAAGGCAAGACGGGGCACCGACGACGCTCTGGTGCTCCGCAACGCGCAGGAAGAATTTTCGATTGGAGGCTCGGCAACGCAGAAGAGCTCAATTGCTCAGGCTTGCTGCAGCTAGCATCCCCGCATGCCGGTGCACCCAGGACTCACCACCCGTGACTCAAGCTGTAACATACGCGCAGGCTCAAAACCCAAGATCTCAAAACACGAATTCATCAGTCAGAGTTTGAGTGCGTTGTGCATGTCAGACCGTGACCATCAACCAAAGACTGCTCGTGACATGAGATTACAGCACTTAGACGAGCTCCGTCCATGCAGCAGTGGCTGATTGAGCTGCATCGCATGGTCCGGTCAGTGCCTCGGCTCACACTTGATCCGGTCCCAGATCATGCTTAGAATAAGCAGTCCAAGCACTCGGCGCAAGCAATATCCTCGAGGCAGCAGCAAGCGCTATACAGAAAGGCACATGAATGGATGTGAGCGGGCGGGTATTGGGTGCGTACTGCGTACCATAGAGATGTTGGAACTCACCAAGCACCAAGGCAGCAAGCGGCGCTGAATTTGGATCAGTGTCGACGGGGCGGATGAGATGAGCAATGTTTTGCAGAAGACGCAGTTTTGGTCTCTCACTCACCAAGGTCCGCAGCATCCGTGCTGCATTCAAAGTAGCGAAAAACAAGGAAGGGTTCAAGGCGGATCTTGAATCAGATGCGCACCCTCTTGAAACGCTGCGTATCCCATCGACTGACCTTGTCTGAAGGTCAGACATAGTCATGAGAGCACCATAGGTCAGTACGTACGCTTCGTAGAGAAGAAAAGGAGGGCGTCGAAGGGCTCTTCTACTCACCACGTGCGGATGCTTGTTTCTGTTGCAAAGGCGACATGCCTTGACCTCCGTATGCTGCAGAGTTCCAAGAGTTCAGTCAGCGTGAGCCGTCATACCGCCTTGTGAGATCAGAATCCGCTCCGACTGCGTCCAACCTCTTCGAAAAAAAGATCTAGTTGTGGAGCACACTGAAGACTTTCGGCGGGCCCCTGCCCTTCCAACTGCGCACTTGAGTTGCAGTCACCACAGGGCGCACGCTTCCCCTCCCGTTTCTCCACACTTCGCGAGGGAAAGCATACACGCACGCTGCTGCATCATGGGAGGTTGTCCGCCATATCCTCCTGGCTGAGGGTATCCGCCCTGCTGTGGGTAACCGCCTTGTTGAGGGTACCCGGGTCCAGGACCGTAGCCTGGCTGACCTCCTTGAGGAGGATAGTACCCCTGAGGTTGTTGGCCGCCTCCGTAGTACTCTTGAGAAGCCATCCTTGATTGGGGGTCTTGATCAATGGGGTGATAGAGCGATAGATGCTTTCTTGTCGTTTACTATACTTTGACGAAGGAGAGGATGGTGGTCATCTTAAGCTGCGCAAAAATCGAAGCGTGACTCACAAGTCACCTAAGTCAGCAACGCTTGTTATTGCCAGATATACCGATTCAGCCCAACCCTGATGAGACACGGCAGACTGATGGGCGGATCAACAATCGAGACGTTCACTCAGCCGGTGCCGTCCGCGAGCACAGTAGCAGCAGCACCACCTATCTAAGCAAGACGGCGGCTGTGACTCTGCTGATGACTGGCGATCGGAATTCAGATTTGACTGTCGCTTCGCTGCTTCTGGCAGATGTATAGGTGATGCATTCAACCTGCAAAAAGGCGGACATCGACCTAGCGCAGAATAGACACGAAGATCTCGCGATCAAACGTGGAGGAATGTGCGTGTGGAGGCGGACAACTCACTCTGGACTTCCATGAGCGGTGCAGGTACCCGAGCGGTCCGCCGAGCATCTCGCAGCCTAGCTCTGCTAAGTGCATGCTGCATCGCGGACCTTCCGTCGCTCCGACGCAAGCTGCGTCGATCGTCTCATCAGTAGTCACCGAGCCTCGACTTGCACTGCTCTCGTCCACGACCTTGAAGGTCGGTTGCCCAAATCGCACGTGCCTCTGCTTCGGAGTCGTCTCAGTCAGACAGTCAACACTGCGAGTCTCGACGACGACGTCAGTCACCAAGGTAGCCCGCCCGCATGTTTTTGATTGTTGTTTTTCTCCAGCAGTCCGCTGCTAGCAAAGCGGTTTTACCCACGCATCAGGGTTCTCTCCTAGCTTCACGTCACGAGGATAAGTTTCGCCGAGGCGTGCGCTCGTCAAAGTCTCGCATAAGCGATCGAGCAATATCACGGGTGGGAGCCCCTTACGATGTGTCAAGTCGTGAGTGCAGGTCATGAGGAGAGTATCGCCGATCCACAACGTGCGATCCACGTCATTGAGTGTCCTCCGGTTGCCAGAGCTTAACCAAAGCGAGCAGTCGAAGTGTGTAAGACAAAGTGTGAATAATTGTGCCGTACATGGTGGCCCGGCATACGATTCGTGATTACTCGTGACTGCATGTATGCATGACGAGCTGCAAGGATGCCGCCGGTCGGCAAGTCGGAGCTTTTGACCCATCTGGGGTTTTGCCGGAGCAGAGTGTGAGTACAGTCTTGAGTTCACTCTTGGGAATGTTCGAGAGCAGCAAGGTGTGAGCGTGATCGGATGGAGAAAAGTCTGTGCGCCGAGTCACGCGGATCAATTAAGCTGCACCGAATCACCAATCTTGAATCTTGAATCAAGATTTGAATCAGCGTCACGAGTCAAAATCAAATCATGAGGTCGTGAATCAGAAATGAGCTTGCAGCGATCACGACATGCGGAAGCAGTCAGAGTCACGAGTCACTGAGTGTAAGTCATGATAGTCGCCAATCAGATCACTATACTAGCACCCCCATGACTCGTGACTCGTGACTTGGCGAACCTTGTGTCGTCCTTCACTGGCAAGCCAGTCACCACCATCATTTTGAACCTCTCGATCTTGATCCTAACACTTCTCTGGCTACATAGTGAGCGCTGTCGACCCTTCATGACTCAATGAGTGCAGCACGTAGGATCATCTTTCCTCCTTCAACTCCCTTCGCTCCGTTGATCAGCAAGCCTTCGTCTTGCCTTACCAACCTGGCTGCATCACATCTCAAGCGCTCCATCATGACGTCGGCGATCGCAGCTGAATCGAGTGGTATTTCGCGTGGACCGCGCACACGCTTCACCGAAGTATCTTCTCGCATCTTCGAAGAGTACAATCGAGGTCCGGATGTCTGGTCCATGTTCAATCCTTTGGTCTTTCCAACTGCCAAGAACTTGGGTCAAGGCTTCATGAATTGGCAGCCGCCTTCCTTTGTTCTCGAAGAGTTGAAGAAGGATGTGGGTGAGAGGACGGACGTGCATCATTATTCGCACCCCAAGGGTAGGCCTAGACTTAGAAAGGCTCTCAGCAAATACCTTAGCAAAAGCCTTAGGGTACCGGACGTCAGCAAAGGCGACCTTTTCGACCAAGGCCAACTGCCGCAACTCCGATCGGAATCGGATAGACTGCTGGACCCGGAGACTCAAGTTCTCGTCACTGCTGGTGCAAACGGGGGCATGTATGCGGCCCTCAATGCGTTCCTCGAGCCAGGTGATGAAGTGATCGTTTTTGAGCCTTTCTTTGATCGTGAGTCGAAATTTGCATGGCATGCGTGTGCCGGCGCGCCGCCCCTGGCTGTGCCAGCATGAACGCTGGACGGCCATACTGACCTTAAGTTGGTACATGCGTGTCGGTAATTGGTCAGAGTACATCTGTGAAATCACCTACTGCGGAGGCAAGCCAGTGTACGTGCCATTGATCCCACCATCCAAGCCAGGAGGCGGCAATGCGGGAGCAGATGAATGGAAAGTCGATTGGTCGGCTCTCGATGCCGCACTTGCTTCTGGCAAAGTGAAAGCCATCATCTTCAACACGCCCCACAATCCCATTGGCAAAGTCTTCGAGTTGGAGGAGCTGCAGCAGTTGGCACGCCGATGCGTAGAGAGGGACCTGCTCGTAGTTTCTGATGAGGTGTACGACTGCCTTACCTTTGATGGCAAGGAGCACATTCGTATCGCCGCGCTGGAAGGAATGTGGGATCGCACTGTAACAGTCGGCTCGGCCGGCAAATCTTTCGCTGCTACGGGCTGGAGAATAGGCTGGGTAGCTGGCGCAGAGCACCTCATCAAGCCCACGCTGGTCAGTCACACCAGAATAGTGTTCACTTGCAACTCGGCAGCAAGCGAAGCAGCGGCAGCAGGTCTGGAATACGCCATTCAATCCGACTTCTTCGACCAGCAAAGCAAAGAGTACGAGGCTAGGAGGACAAAGTTGACAAATATGTTGGACAAGCTCGGATTGCCGTACACTTTGCCTCATGGCGCTTACTTCATCATGGCGGACATGAGCCGCCTGCAGATTCCGGAGGGATTCGAGTTCCCCAAGGACGTGGCTTCGAAAGCGAAGGATTTCCAGCTCGCTTGGTTCGTTGCCAAGATCGCTGACGTGGTGACGTGAGTCTTGCGATGTTAGAGCTGCATCGCCAGGAGCCGATTTTGGCCAGTAATCTGCAGCGAAAGATTCGCACTCTGCGAATCCGCAGCGAGGCAAGGACTGATCTGAGTTGATATGCCCGTCTTGACAGAATTCCGACCACCGCTTTCGTTTCGGATGAACACTGGCACTTGTACGAGAACTTCCTTCGCTTTGCCTTCTGCAAAGACGGAGGCGAGATCGAGGAGGCTGCCGTCAGACTCGAAAAAGTAAGTTTCTGTACCCACTTGTGTTTCATGACCGAAGCGCAATCGTTTCTGCAGTGTTTTAATGGCTCGGCGTTGAGATGCACGGCTGACAAGTCACGTTGTTTGTCCGCCGCAGCTGAGGCCTTATCTCAAGAAGTAAAGATCTCGGCAAGCATGTCAAAATGATATAGATGACACCTTCCGGTCGAACGTTGTCCTGGGCTCGCATGAATGGTACCCTCCACTGATGAGGCTACGGCATTGCAAAAGACACGCGCAAAAAGTTGGGTAGATGGTAGTCCTGTAGACGAGAAGGATGAGTCGCTTTTAGTGCAGCAGGCCCTCGAGCATCTCATGTAAGCCTGGCACCGAGCTTCTGCGCTCTCGATTCTTTCAGCGCCGCCATTCTCTGTGAAGGCAGGATTACAATCAGGCGAAGTTCAGGAAAGAGCTGCCGATCGCCCATTCCTGCGATCGGAATCGTTTGCTGATTTGGAGGAAAACGGAATGACTCACCGCTCTTCTCTCCTGGCGTTGTCTCTCCATTTCCGCTCGCTTTTCGTCTTTACTGAGCGGAGTCGCTCTAGCTTGCTCGCCTGAATTCTGATCCGTCTGATCACCAGGCGTCTCGTTCGGCGCGTCATCGATACCACCCCAACCATCTTCTGCTGGTTCTTTGGTCTCGTTGGCGCTCTTCGGGTCGAGCGCACCGGGCAGGGGAGCGGAAAAGGCCGCAGCTGCAGCTGCAGTCGCTGCGTTTGTCGATGGAGTAGAAGCGCCCGAGGTCAGACTGGCTGTGGAGGAAGTCAAGTTGGTCTTGGAGCCGGAAGCCCCATCGGTGCTTGGCAGCACTGCTTGACTTGGGGCGTTGTCCGCCGGATCGCCCCACGCGTCCTCATCCTCGACTGGTTTCGCGACACAAACGAGATCAGCGATAGACTTTGCGCACATGGCGACGTTGGCCCCTGGGCACTCACACGCGTCCTTGACAGCCAGACTTGTCTTTAGCGCCGAAGAAGGGTTAGTAGCGGGCCGAACAGTACCTAATCTGCTCCCAATCGTAGTCGCACTAGTAGAAGCCTTGGGTCTGCCTCGTTGCGGCCCCAATTTTCTCCTTGGCACTTCCGTAGGCTTTTTGACGCCAACTTCGAAGCTGGACCAATCTCCGGCGTCATCATTCACATCGATCAGATCCTCTCCCGCTCCCCAACCCACAGCTGCAGCAGCGTCTGCTTGGTCGTCCCCGGCGGGTGCGAAAGTGGAAGAGGACGTTGTGCCATACGAAGAGCCAGAGTAGGATCTTTGCGGTTGTGCTTTGGCTGCACTCATGCCTACCGGGGGTTGCTTGGAGTGGGCAGTGTCGAAGCCGAGCTTGGAGCTGCTGGACGCGACGGCTGATGGGGCGGGCGAGGCACCACGTGGTGGAGCGAGCTGATTATCCATCGAAGTCGCATTCAATCCGCTCGGGTCGATCTGTTTGGCGAACGCAGACATAGTCCAGCCAGCAAGCACAGACGCGGCGCCTCCTGCCGTTGAGGCGAAGCCTTCGGGAGGCTTGGCAAACGGCATTGGAGAGGTCGAGGCGCTCGAGGCGGAGCTGTTTCCAGCCCCAAAGCCTACCTCGTCGTTGGCAGAAGGCAGAACGGTGTCGGGCATCGAGGCAACTTCTGCCTCGATGCGCTTAAGAAACATGTTGACACCTTGTTTGGCCTGATCTCGCACCACTTTTTCTTGGTCGACTAAACACGGCGCAATAGCTGGCACTATCAGACGAGCCATGTCGTCTCTCTCATAGCTTTCGCCGGTAGCCATCAAAGCCATGAGACCAGCCATCCTGGCGTGCAAGAAGGGGTCCTTGAGACTCCTTGAAAACGCAGGCACGAGCACCTTTCGCCGCGTGTTGAGAGACAGATTAGGCGAAAGTCTTCCCAAAAGAATCGTGGTGTTGGTCCTGATGCCAGGTTCGGGATCTACCTGAGTCTTTGCAAGCTGCCTTAGCAGGTCATTGTTGAGGATTCGCTCGCTGAGCTTCGGAGCCAAAGGTAAGATCGCCTTCACCGTTGCCTCCCTAATAGCAGCTGCAGAGTCCGAGAAACCTGTGATGAGGTTAGGCCACACCCCATCGACAATCCTCTTCGGTTCCAGTCTCTCTGAGTACAGCTCCAAATTCTCCAAAAGAGCCATGCGCACGCCTCGATCAGGACTTTTGTAAGCTGCCAAAATGGGAGCTGTTAGGCTATTGTTCCACTCTACATCCGTGAGCGCTGAGCCGAGCTGCAGCACGAGCGGTAGAATCTTGGTAGCTTGAATCGTCGATGACCCCGCATGCTGCCCATTGGACGCCAAAGAAAGGGCATGAACAAGAGCTGGCAGAACTTTGTACTGAGTGAACTCTGGCGGAAAAGAGTCGGAGTGTGATTTCAGTTGCCTACGACAGGGGGTGGATTAGCAGAGGGGGGGCAAGACACAGCGTGAGCGGAGAGAAGGTGACTGTGAAATTAGCACAAAGCTGCTACTACGTCTCACCTCATCACCTCTGCTCGCTCTTCTTCTCTCGCGAGTACGAAGCCATCTAAGCCAATAGCGACCTTGACCAGTCTATTCTCAGCAAAGAATCCTCCTGGAGTTTCTCCGGCAGCAAGGAGCTGTCCAGAGGTACCTCTAGCTTTAGCATTGGGGACCATCATACGCTTCACTAGGGTGTACATCTGAGGCGGCACCTTTCCTGCTGGCGGTACGGAAGAGCCGGTGATTGGGGGTAAAGACCCATTGTATGCTTCCAGAATGAGAAGCGCGAACGAGTAAGAGTCCAGCGCGTGCGTCTCAAGTCTGCGAGAGAATTGCATACTATTTATCAGCATACCTTAAAGCGTCACACTAATATGCCCAATGATTGGGTGACCTGAGGTGCTCACTCTCGTAATGGACCCCAGCCTCCTTGCTTCACCTCAGGAGGAGCAAAACGCGACGCATCAGGTAGCAGTCCACCGAGGTTCTGTTCGAAGGGTGTGACGCTGAGCGCGGCTCTGACAGACAGGCAACCGAAATTGGGAATAACACCGAGCCAAGCGAAAGATGCGAGGATCAGGTACTCACGTACAACACGGCGCCCTCATCCTTTACCGAGCTCAGAACTTCGAACCCGCCTAGCCTCCATTCTCCAGATGCCGAAAGAAAGATAGAGTCTAGACGGACATTGCCGTGCGTAGAGCCTGCTGATTCGTTGATGAAATGTAGAGCGGTCTGGAGAGGGCACCAACGAGATGCCGTGTGTCAGCGTGCGAGGTGATGGTTCCAGAGCGAGTTGCACGAGCAATTAGAGCGAGATGCGAGCCAAATGCGGGCGCGCGAGAGATAGAGGTGCATTCACAACATAAATGTCTACACTCACCGCGACGCTCCGGATCCCCCAGCCGATCCACTCTTCTCGGCCCTTTGCTCTATTCCTCTGATCTTCTATGGCTTTGCCCAAAGGCCTGACCTTCTCCACCGCGATATACACTGCTTTCTCGTTCTCAAAGCTATCGATAAACTTGAGCACATCGGGATGCCTCATCGTTCTGAACTTCCTGCAAGCATTTTTAGCAAGTGGTAGCAGATTTCTTCGAGGATTGTGAGCAGGCAAGGTGGAGTCGAAGATGAGGATGGAGCACGGAGAATTGTCCTCTCGTTTTGTGCCGCTGTGAAGTGACCAGATTGTGCGTGCTTCTAGGTACGGTTCCCTCTCCCGTATTGTGAAGCCTGGAAACGGTCCGCCAGCCTGAGAAAGGACAGCAGAGGCCGCCCGCTTGAAGTAGTCCATGCTCGGCTTGGTCGGCAGCCTTGCAGGCCAAACCACTCCTCCGCACTGAGCTTCGTCGTTGGTCCTAGCTTCGCCCCTCGCAAGCTCGCAATATGGCTCGAAGCAGCTCACGTGAAAGATCGTCGAGGATCGGTCAGCTCCTGCACTTGGTGAATGGTGGGGTCAGGAGTGTGAGCGCGCGCAACGCTTGCGAGATGAATGTTTGAGCGCACGCCGTGATTCTTCTGACCTTTCACCAGATTCACGCTTCACTGGTGACTTTTGACTTGTTGCCCTGCCCTTCTCTGTCGCAGCGCGTGTTATGCCTCCTCCGCTCGCGCACGGCTGCTGGTCGATCGCGTTCGCAGGCAGCGACATGCCTGCTAGCTACAGGCGCTAAGAAGACCCTCAGCGAGCCATCACGTGATCAGGTGAGGATCGATGTTGCTCTCGTTTGTTCGAACACTTGGCTCGATACTCGCGACTCATGTCTACTTCTAGGGGATCAGTCAATTGCCTTAGCACCAGACATCCTGACGCCGACATCGCTACATCAATCGCATGCCGTGGCACGGGCTACCAGGGTTGAGATTTTGATCATCATACAAATACATAGGCTGCAGCAAGCGGCGGGCCCACAGGATCTATCCATCCTAGAAGAGCGTATCTTCATCTCGAAGATATTCACCAGAATCGCTGGTTGCAGTTGCAACAGTAAGCGAGCGAGTCAGCGCCCATCTGTAAGGGAGAGTAGCCAGCGCGTGGAAGCTGCGCCGACAGAGCGAAACTTACGATTGGTGGAAAACGATGATGCTGGTGGGATCCATCTTGCGCGTGTCGAGCGTCGATCTGGCCGTCACTCCGAAGCCCTGAGTGGGGATGAGATGGATGCGGATCAATCTTGGCTCCTACGCCAGGCGAAGATGCATACAGCCGACTCTCCCATCTCGTTGCGCAGGAAACACTCACCAACGCCATCCCGCTCATGCTCAGCACTACCACTCCTGCATGCTCGGGTGTATCATCCGTGATTCTACCCAAGTGCGCCTTGACCACATGATTTCCGTAAAGGAACGGCAGCTCTCCATTGGGTTTGATCCACACCTGCAACATCCCAGACATGTGAACGCATGTGAGCCACTCAATTCGTCCTCCGCCAGAACCCCGCACAGGAAAAGCTCACTTTGTACTTGGCGTACTGAGTGAGATGATCCAGAGCGGTGATATGCAGTCTGAACTTGCCAGTCTTGCTAAACTTGCCAAAGCAAGTGCCTAGAGATATCAAATTGGGTCTAGCGATAGAGGTAGCCGCTTTCATGCAAGCCTGTCCGTCGCAATAAGCAGCGCAAAGTGATGAACATCATGTGAGGGTTTTGGACGAGAGCGCTCGACACCACTTGACCCGGTGTTCTCTCCAGCTGGATTCCTCCTCCCCTCGATCAGGTCCCCAACACGCGTGCTTGCAAGGCTTCGGCTGTGTTCTCTGTCGATTGCGACTGGCCCAACTCACCTCGCTAGCGTAGTACACCCTATCCCTGTGCAACCTGAATACATGCGGGTCATCAGGCTTATCCACCAAGTGAACGATGTTGGATCCAATGTAGTGCGAAAGCTTGGTGAAGAGCGTTTTCGTCTCTGTGTCTGTGAGCGGCCTCATCCTTGCTGGGCTAGCTGGTGGCCTGCGTCACGGTCAGGTGAGGCAGAAGGCGGACTCCGTTCGGAACCTCTTGCAATGGCGACTAGACTGCAACGCGTCACTTTTCGCTTGCCAGATATGCAGATGACGTGGATTGATGAGTGGGCCTGAATAAAGCGGAGGTCCAATGGGTATGCTCAGGGCTGTGGTTCATCAAGCAAAGGTTGAGCAAGCAGCGACCCTCTCACAGCCAAGGTCTGTGTAGAACCAAAACTTCAAAAATATAGTTAGGCCCACGCGCATTTTTCTCGCACGATACAAAACGACGTCTTCGCCAAGGATTCCCGAATTTTGTGGCCCCACGCACCGCGGCAGTCGCGACGAGGCCAGACATATGCAGCAGCAGCAATCGTGAATCACAATGTGAATTCCGTCCATGCATGCAACAAATACGCGCAAGTCCATTGAAAGCTCTGGATCTGTTATTTCGCCCATTCATCGAGGGACTTGTTGTTCGCGATCTCTCCAAGTCGAGATCTTGAATCCATCCTCACCTTGTAGCTCGTCGACGGTTGGCTCCGACGATCAACGCATACCCCGAGTCAACACAGTCACGAGGAGCGATACGGGAGACGACTACAGACGACTGCACATACAGGTCTTGGATTTTTGATGGCATGCCCGTGTCCAAGACATTTGAGCGCATACATCCGGCAGCGACTTCCTCTTGAACCACAATTGCGATTCTGTAAGCAGCTTGCTATTCATCAGACGTCAAAAGCCAGTCGTACTCCTAGATCAGCGAGCAGTACCCGTCACGTCTGCTGCCCTATCACCGCTGGCACCTCGCCCAGCGCTCGTCCAACATGCCAGGCGTAAATTCCATCAAGCTATTGACGGGTGCGTGAGGTGTGCTCGTAGCGTACCCCATGATGGCATCTACCCGAACGCTTCCGATACCATGTGGTCGGTTTGCCTCCTCGAGGCGCCGATAGCTGACTTGTGAACAAATTGCCCCTGGACGCAGGAAACTCTCATCCCGAGCTTGCGCAGCTGGTTGCGGACAGGTGCGTGAAGAGCAGGCTACGCACACATCACTGCCCCGCCATCATCTGACTAGGGTCTCCACCCATCAGGCTGGGCATCGAGAGGACACCATGCATCGTCAAGAAGTTTGCTGACCAGTCTATCGACGTTCGAATCGGCGCTTCGGTGCGAGACGAAGATGTTTTTGTGCTGCAAACCTCCAACTCATCGGCTGTGGATGCCAACGACAGCTTGATGGAGCTTCTGATCCTCATCAGCGCCTGTCGGACTGCTTCAGCACGACGCATCACTGCAGTCATCCCCTGCTTTCCCTACAGCAGGCACGACAAAAAGGACAAGTCCAGAGCACCCATCACGGCCAAGTTGGTGGCCAATATGATCAGTGTCGCTGGTGCTGATCATGTGATTACCATGGATCTTCATGCGAGTCAAATTCAAGGTTTCTTCGACATCCCTGTGGACAATCTGACTAGCGAGCCTAGCGTCGCCAGGTGGATCAGACAGAAGATTCCAGACTTCAGAAACTCCATCATCGTCTCGCCCGATGCTGGTGGTGCCAAGAGGTGCGTAGCGACTGCGCGTGCAATACTTCATGAGCTACTTGATTTGATTGACTGATTGCGCTTTTCTTGCTAGGGCCACATCTTTGGCTGATATCCTCGGCGTGGACTTCGCCTTGATCAATCGTAACCGGAAAAGGGAACAGAATAAGAGGCTGAGAGCAGCTGCGGCTAACGCCTCCAGTCTGAATGCCGGAGTCAGCAGGGCATCGTCCTTTTCTGATCTGCAAAGCGGACTCAGCACGCCAATGACAGGAAGTTTCATGATGGAGTCCACTTCTGGAGTTGCGCACCCCAATGGCATCGCAGGTCCTACCACCCATGCGGATAGAGTCAAGCACGAGGCGCTGGGCACCGCTGCAGTAAGTTCCGTCCGCTTTGAAGCCCTAAGACGAACCGCGCTGATCGTCCACCTTACCATGCCCGCAGCCGCTTAAAGATGTCAGTGACCAGCTCTCCAGGCTCAGTGTCGGCGCAGAAGGCAACGCAAATTTGTCGCTTTCTGAGCGCACGCCACGACCTGAAGGCCTAGAGCCGGCTTTCGAACCTTCTTCGGGACCCATCGATAGCCTGAGATCCGGACAGCCGACCATGTTGGCTTCGTCATCCTCGTCTGCACTCACCACTCAGGATGATGATGGAGAGGAAGCAGAGACGAAGATGGAGATTCTGGTGGGAGATGTCGCCGGTAAGGTGAGCAGGTCAGGCTTGGCGAGAAATTGGCGTGGCGCCCTTTCACATCTGACGTGTTGACCTTCCTATACGTAGGTTGCCATTCTAGTGGATGACATGGTGGACACTGGACGGACGCTCGCGCTTGCTGCTAAGACTTTGAAGGATGCAGGCGCTCGGGCAGTCTACGCGCACATCTCTCACGGCCTCCTGTCGGGTCAAGCTACGAACCTGCTCAGGCGTCTAGACCTGGAGAAACTGGTGGTGACCAATACCATCCCGAACAGCGACAAGGCGGAAAAGAGCAACAGCAAGTTGGAAGTGATGGACGTATCGGCAGTCATCGCGGAAAGCATTCGTAGAACTCATAATGGAGAAAGCATAAGGTGAGTAGACGGGCTGCTTCTGCGCTGGGCGCGAACAATTTTGATTGACGCCCTCCGCATCCTAATATCTCGCACACCAGCATGCTTTTCGATGCAAACCTCTTACTTTGACTTGCCTCTGGATTAGAAATGATCATCTCGCTGTCGTACTATAATTTGAATATCAATATTCTTGGCACTCTTCCAACTGTACCCGCAGAGATTCTTGCACCGGGGCGCACGCCGAAGCGGTCGCTGCGCTTACGCAGAAGCCGTGACAAAGCTCTTCGGTATGGGTGGTGCTGCGAAAAGTGTAAGAACAGCACAATCTTGAACGAAGTTGCTGTGGTGCACGAGTCCCTCAATGATGCGTCTAGAATTTCGACTTTGTTCTTTCAACCTTGTCGCGCTTCCAGCAGTCAAGTTTTGGGGCACTATTCAGCTCCTAGAATTCAGTTCCCAGAAGGCGAAAAAGGTCAAAACGCCAACGTGAAGATGAAAGCCATGCTCGTTCTTGGTCCTTCACGCATGTTCAGAGAAGTCGCTGGCCAACCCCGGTCACGTGAGTCAGTTGTGCGACGCGCATTCATCCCAGGATTCACGATTCGTGATTGATATCCTTGATCTCTTGGCGCAAGCATGCCAAGGATCATGGCGATGCTGACCTGCATGCGATGTGTGCTCTGTGCCACCACCGCCATGTCGGCCACGCAATCGGGAGGCACTTCATCGCGAAAGCATGGCCAAGTGCGATAGTCGACCTTCGCGTCCCGCCTCCTCGATAGAAAGCATTCGAGGTATGGCGTGAACAGGCGATTCGCTGGCGCCAGCGTGAAGACCTAGCCATATTGGCCTCCGTTACTTCCATCCTTCCGGGCCAAATTGCTGTCTCATCGTCTGATTCAGATCAGCAGTCCGTCTTCAGCAGTGCAAAAGTATTCCAGAAGAAATCGCAGGCGGACATGTACGTGCACATTCTACCCACCACGGGAGCCATCTCGTTTCAGGATTTCTTACAATCGGGCACTACCTTGACTTCGGAGCTGGCAAGGACGACGGAGCTGAGAGCTTCTTTGAGGTCCATTCTCAAGGAGCAGAGGCATGAGAAGAAGGTCAAGGTTGAGGACAATGATGGAGACGAGAGGGAAGCGAAGGTCACGGACAAGGATTGGTTCAGAATCGTCAAGGTAAGCTGATCCTTAGCAACAGGCATAGCAGCAGCATAGGAAGGAGCAATCTAAGCTCATCGACTTTGCTTCGTGCTTTTGAAGGCGGTGGACGAGTATCTGCCGCATCTATTTGGCATCTTTAACTGCGTACAGACGGATGATCTCCTGCTGAGGCACGAGCCGCGTGAGTGACTGGGCAGAAAGAGGAGCCTGGGCGATTCCATGAGCTCTGGGCTGACGGAAGCGCTGATATTCTTGCTTTCAGAATTTTCATGGAGGACTACCTTATCGTCATCCTCCTTCATGCGCGATGCTCCACGAGTAACTCTGCCCGGCCTGCACTATGAGCTGTGCTCAGTGCTCTTGCTGTCCGGCACCGCGCTATCCAACTTGGCGGCCTCGTATGTTGCCTCACTCGGCGATTACGAAAGAGACAGGCTACTGACCACAGAGCAGCGCAAGGCTAAAGACGAAAGGCTCAGGATAGCTGCTGATCTTTTGTGCAAGGCGGCGGGCATCTTCGAGTACCTTGGAGAGGACCTAATACCGCAGTGGGAAACGGTCGCTGGAAAGATCGACGGCAGACCACCTGATGTGACACGAGAGGTCACGCTAGCTATGAGCAAGTGAGTTGATTCACAACGGGCCTTTCAGATGCCTGCTGCTAGCACAAGTCGACGCAGCATACACATTGTCCGCTGACAAGGCTTTCGTTTGCGAAGGCTCGCAATGGCAGATGCAGAGTCGTTAGCCGTCCGCAAGCTCCTTTCGCCCTTCCTGTCGACATCACTGGACACGATTACGCCTGGTCCGCCTTTGCCAAAAACCCATCCTTCCGCGTCTCTGTTGGCTAAATTGAACCTGAACGTTTGCCAAAGATACGAGCAAGCCAGATCCCTGGCGCAAGTAGTGGGCAAAAAGCCGAGCATGAAGAATGTTGATAATCTTGCCTCTGAAGCAGATGGGCTGCGACGGCCTGAACTGCGAGCGGGAAACGCAGCTTTCGGCAGCGTTGGAATAGATGACGACGCTCGACTTGATTCGGCTGTTGGCGGGAAGGGCGGACATCAAGTCGGCAGCAAATTTGGAGGAGGTCTTTTGGGCAAGCTGAAGCCTAGCGTTTCGTCAGATCGACCCTCTTCAGGCTCGGGGGGAGGTGCATTCTCACTTGGTGCAGACGAAGATCTCTCCGTTGGGTCTCTGCTGCTCAAATATCTCGCCACGCGCGGCTTGTTGGCCAAGGCCAGGGCGTACAAATGGTTGGGCATAGATAGCGGCGAAGCGGGGAGGTATGGAGACGCCATACCTTTCTTGCGCACAGCGAAGGAGATACTGGAAGACGAATTGAGCACTATACGTCGCTTTGCTCATTTCAGAGACAAAAAGGGCAGAGATGCGAGGGAAGAGCTCAAGAAGGAAAGGGAGGATGAGTTTGCCATTGTCAACCATTGGCTAGCTTCGTACATCAAGCTAAACGATACCGTGAGTCTTTTCAGAGCGAGCTGCGCTCAGCGCTGGTCAGTTCGATCACGGGAGCAAAATGCTGCTCGTTCGCACGTGGCTCATCTCTACTTCGCGCATCTCACAGGTCGCTTTTCAGCCACTGACAAAGTCCACAGAGATCAGTACACGCATTCCAGCCGGTCGATCGGCCCTCGTCATAAAGCATTTCAATCCTCCAGTGCCTGCCTTCGGTCCAGGCTCGCCAGGCTACATCTCTGAGAACATGAAGCGTCTGGGAGTGGGAAATGAGACTCAAGAGTCACATGGAGCCATGCTTGCTATTGACAGATCATCCGGATCTCCTTCTGAAGACAACCGTCTGGACTTGGGGGAAGTGGTGGGTGTCATCAGACCCAAACCTAAAGATCAAGAGAGGGACTATGCTCATTCCATGCCGGGATACTATTAAACACAATCCAATGCGAGTCTTGTTCGAGCATAACAGCGGTGTATTGCACATGAAAGGAGGGCTAGGTGGACTATAAAGCTATGAGGCGGTGTGGCACGGAGTGTGATGGTGTTCTTAGCAATACAGATGCTTTGCATGGCACAGAAGAGGGAACAGAGCGAGATACTATAGCACGTGGGAAAGCTGATCGAAGAGCGAACATGCTCCCAATTGAAGAGATGGGTGGCAAGATAAAAGAATGCTGAACTGTTGCGGCATGATCAAGCACCCGCAGGTTTAATAAAGTAAGAGTCTATCCTGCGTTTCTTTTTGCGGGCAGCATACCGAGGGTCAAATATGGGAGCAAGTCTGGAAGTGCCACCGTTGTCTCGACCGGATGCTTCTGCGTTTGCACCGGTTTGGCAATCTCCGGAAAGATGTTCGTCGAGGGCCAGAGCAGCTTGGCTTTCCGTCGCTTGCATCGGCCAGCGGACCCACATGCCGCAAATGGGGCACTCGCCCCCACCCTCTTCGTGCTCTTCGAGCTTGACCAAGTCAGAACGCATCGAGTTTGAGTCGTCCACCAACAGTTCATGCTTTTCGCCTCTCATGTCGCGAATATCTGGGCGATCTGTCTTGATCTCCCGCACTAATCCTGCTTCGACGCTGGGGCCGTCCTCTGGTGAACGATCCTGAAGAGAAGCCTCAATCGCCAAGCGAAGCTGCCTCTCTTCATCTTCAATCAAACGCTCTTGCTCTGCATGACTTTCCGCCGTGGAATATGAGGGTGCAGCCTTTGCTCGTCTGAACGCGTTCTCTATGCTTCCCGCTGCTTGGCTCTTGCGCAGATCGATTAGCGTTCCCGCCTGGTCAGGTGAAGATGCTTTCAACGCGTCAATAGTCAAACGGGTAAGAGCTGTCCAGAGTGATTGGACCACTCACTCGGACCCCGATCAGTCTCAGAGTCAATTTCCTCTCCTTCAGCTCGGCTAGCAACAGCTCCTTTGTGATCCGGAACAAATCGTCCGCCTTCCACACTCTGTGTCCCAAGGTCAGGTCTCTCGTAAATCGCGTGTACGAAGAGGTTTTGCAGGTAAGCGTGACCTTTTGTGCATGGTAACTTTCTTCTTCCAGATCAGATTCGACTTTGTCTGCGCATCTTCGAAGCTCGGACAGAAGCTCCTCCAGGTTCGAAGTAGGGGTGAAGGTGTGTTCTCGACCCACGCTTCGACGCCAGCCTGCACAATTTGGGACCAATCGTCCAGGTATCAGATGTGGGAGCGAGACGGCGCTGTTATAGGTGCCGATGGGTGTAACGCGTCTATGCGAACTTCCATCACTCACCGCGTTCGGTAGGAGCGACTTGCGTCTTACCGAGTCCGAGGTAAATAGCTAAGAAAGACTCTGGGTGTCTCAGAGTCAAAGCTAGCACGACCCTCTTTTCCCAGATGTCTCCACATGTCTTGGCGAGCCAAGGTTGGTTGCATAATCAGTGGAAGCACTTCCAACTATGGATACTTCTCAGACCGGACTCACATCAATGCCTAGAGCTTCAAGGTAGCGCTCAGTGACACGTCCAATACCGCTGACTTTTCGTACTGGCAGGTCGTGCATGAAATGCATAATGTCGGTAGCGTTGGCGGGAACCAAATACTGTCCATTCGGTTTATTCTTGTCACTGGCAATCTTGGCTGACGTATTGGCGAGTTGTACACAGGCCAAAATGAGTCACGGATTGAAGCGAATAGGCCGCGGTCGCAGACTCCTCACCCAATCTGCAATTAGCTGCAATACCGCACGAGACCGTTAGACCAGTGGCCTGCTTCACATCTTCTCTCAACTGAGATGTTGCCAACGTCCAGTCCAGCAGTGTCTTAGCACAGCCCTTCATGTCGATGATCATTCCACAAGAGCGCACTCACTCTTGCGACAGCCTCATCGGCATCCACTCGGTTTGACTCGCAGTACTCAGTGATGTCCAAGTAACTGTCGGCAATACAGGATAAGGGAGTCTTAGACATTCCACCCACTACCAGCACTGCTCAGAGACACACTCACGCTTCATCGAGAGACGCTTGAGCCATAGTTGGATCGTACTCGTGCATGACGGCCATCACCTTCTCGCTAGTCTCAATGTAATGTTTCATGTCGTTATCGACGAGGATGATGTGAGGACAAAGAGCCTTGGCAATATGCTGGGTTGCAGCAGAGAAAAGGGCTCTTTTGAGCATTTCGTCGGATTTCGGACACTCTAGTCTCCAGCCCATGATGGTACACTCACTCCTGCCATACCGGAACGCACTCCAAACGCTCTGGCTTCGTACGAGCAGGTGACGAGTACCCCGTGCCCTACGCCGAAACATTTCCCCGACAGACTTGGGTCGCGTTTGAGCTCGCATGCCTATGCCGAGCCACAGCCAGACACTTCGTTAGTCCAGCCCAGCTGCGCGGCTCTCGAGGAGCGCGTGTGCCTACTCACACCGTAAAAGAAGTCCATGTCCGCATGCACCACAACTCTGCTCAGATCTCTGGTCGCCTCCAGATCCCTTCTCATGACATCAACTTTCTTCTCTTGATTCCTCCACTCTACACTGTCAGGAGGTACGCGGCTCATGATATCATCCTTGTCTGCTAACATGGATTCGATCTGACGCTCTATCCTCTCGCTCGTCTCTTTTTCCTTCAGAAAGAAGCGACTGCCTTTGGAAGCTTTGTAGATCTAAGCAGGAAGGTAACACTGCTTATTCAGCCCGTCTAAGCGCATGTATGCGCAGGACAACGATGCACACTCACGATTTTGTTGATCTCATCCTGGTCCTTGGCCAAGCCAGCCTTGCCGCTAGAGGCTGAAGAGGAGTGGCAACCACACAAAGAGGCACGGTTTTGCAGTTCAGCTCGCGACTACCCGTGAGGGCAGGCCCAATCTGTGGCAATCATTATTACTTACGGCCGGCCATGCGCTTCCTGAGCCTAGCGAGCGCCTCCTCATCCTGCATTCTTCTTTCGTCCGAGCCTTGCTCCGTCTGACCCGCCTTCTGAGCCTCGGAAGTGCCACCATCCTCTCCTCTGTCCTTGCCCTTGCCCTTCAGCGGAGATCTGACGTGCGAGCTGCCGTTCCCTGTGCTGGACGAGATCTTCTTCTTTGGAGAGAGGTTGTGTCTGCCTGGAAATGTCATCGCGAAGGCGCTCGGCTTGAAATTGGGAGGCAGATCTTGATCTCCATCTGATTCTCTCATCGGAGATGGAGCTCGACCGGCGGCTGTCAGGTCAGCAAGGTCCCCTGCTTCGCATTGTTGGGTAAAGATCCGCGGCGTCCTGAGCACACGTCGCCGTGTCTCGTGCAGCAGATGATTTAATGGACGCTCAAAGTCTACGACTTTGCTCTTGTCGACAAGCCGAAGCGGGCGAGGGATGAGGCATTCGAATCACGAATCGTGAATGCCAGGTGCGAATATGCAAATATATACCAACGTTGAGCTGCGACTGATGAGCTTCCCCTCCGCCATATCACGTCTCGCTCCTTACGCTTCGTGATTTACGCGCCTCGCCTCCCCTCCAAGCGCGTTTCTGTGGGGGGTGAGGCGCGCACGTGACGCGAATCACCAACACTTTTCTTCCACCAAGGTCCCTCGAACATATATGTTCGATAGGCGCGCATTGATCTCTTGATTATCTCCACCACTCCGTTATCATCAAGGCCTCAGTCACACCCGTGCGAGATGAGATCCAGCACATTCGAGTACATACACACACTCTCTCTTACATCGTCGCGTCTATGATCAGTTGCAAGCGAGTTCAAGGTTAAGGCAAGACGTCCGATCATGTTTCGCTGTCAGAAGTGTGCGCAGCGGGCTTGTACTACGCTAGCTGGGCAGGACGGCCCAGGTGCAACGAGGAGGTCTCAGTCCGCGGTCCAGCGCATAGCTTCGATGCCACGGCTGTCTAGCAGACTTGCACACGTGCAAGCTCTTGCGTACTCTTCATATCACCCGGGCAAGCTCTCGTCCAAGCCTACAAGTAACGCATCCACGTCTCGTTTTCGATTGCAAGAGACTAGCAAGAGTCCGGTCAACACACCCAGGTCTGAGAGAAGATGGGCCTCTTCAGGTGCATCAGTGCCCGACGACGCCGAGGATGGATCGCTATCGATAAGCGCCGAGGAGGTTCGGGACTTGGCTCAAAGCGCAAAGTCTGAAGGTGTGATGACGGTCGGCGGCTTGCTGCGCAGTGAGTGTGTGTGTGTGGCGCACAGCGATTGAGAAGCAGGAAGCAGGCTGATGAGCTACGCTGCGGTGTCGCGCTCTACCACCCATCTGTGTCGTTCACCAGTATATCTGACCCAAAGAGGTCGTGCCTCGGAATCGGGTCGATACATGATTGCGCATGACGGCCACCGAGCGATGTCCCTTTTTGAGCTTGTGAAGGATCATTCCTCATCCAGCCTACAGTTCCTTGACTCGACTTACCCCACTGTCCGCGACGCAATCTGGAGGACTGCGGCTTGGGCGATCGCGGCTGCTCTGCTGGAGGTGAAAGGCAGGCATGTAAACATCGCCGGCTCACCTGGGCTGCTTTCAGAAGGGAGCGGTGGAGATGGCTTTACCCTCTCATGGGTTGGAGACGAGACAGACTCACGAACCCCCTCCGGCTCCACTCGCACCCAGCGTCCCTTGGAAGATGCAGCAGAATACGTCAAAGGTCTGAGTCCGGCGAGGGTTTTGAGCTCACAGGAGCTGAGTCAGCTTGCGAAGCGAGCGAGCAAGATGTCGGGCAAATTGGAGCTGCTGAGCGTCGATTTAGCACAAGCACGCCAGCTGCTAGCTAACAATCCACTCAAGCTGGAGGAGCTGGCAGCGAGGGGCATAGAAAGTGGGAGAGTGGAGCTGATTAGGCTGGCATCTTTTGTCGATCTTGCACCCTTGCCGGGACAAGCACTACTTGGGGAGGTGCGACGCGGCTCGTTAGCCATCGAGCTGACCGACTGTGACACGGCGACTTGGGTGCCGGCCACGTCTGGTGCATCGGTAGAGCGGTCGGACGTCCAAACCCTTATTCGAGTTCGTGGCATAGCTTTTGAGAGCAAGGAGGAGCTCGCAGCGTACAAGGAGAAGATGAATGCTGCAGCTGAGGCTGATCACAGAGCTATAGGCTCGGCACAAGAGTTATTCATCATTCACGACGCTTCGCCTGGAACGCCCTTTGTCCTACCGAATGGCACTCGCTTGATAAGAAAAGTGGAGAGGGTCATCAGAGACCTGTATGCATTGTGGGGCTATGATGAGATCATCACGCCTCAGCTCATGCGCAAAAGCCTCTGGCAACGGTCTGGACACTGGGACAACTATAGGGCCGACATGTTTGGCGTGCAGGGCTTCGTCGATGTTGACATGGTTGAGCGCGAGGGCGCTGCACACACTTCAGCGCCAAACACCAGCGCGACGCTTGTCGAAGATAGGGCTTGCTGCGCTGCTCATGATCAGCCTAAAGCAGCCTCGACCTTGTCAGATGCCCAGCATTTTGGACTGAAGCCCATGAATTGTCCGGGTCACTGCCTTGTCTTTGCTTCGAAGGAACGATCGTATCGCGATCTGCCGATCAGGTATGCAGAATTTAGCCCTCTTCACCGGTGAGTGCTTCAGGTTTTGCCTCAAGTAGCTCCTTGTGCTTTTACTTTTTTTTTTTGCTTGCTCTCACACAATTTTGATCCGGATTTGTCGATGCTAGAAACGAATCTTCAGGCTCTCTGTCTGGACTGACGCGTGTCCGACGCTTCCACCAGGACGATGCGCACGTGTTCTGTTCGCTGGCGCAAGTCTCTGAAGAAATCACTTCGATGCTGGCAATGCTCTCTTCGGCTTACAGAACCTTCGGCTTCGAGGGCAAGTTCGAGCTCGTCCTATCCACCAGACCTGCAAGCTTCATAGGCAGCATCGAGGAGTGGGACCGGGCAGAAGCGGCCTTGGAAGAAGCGTTGAATGCGTCGGGCCAGAAGTGGAGCTTGAACGAAGCGGACGGAGCTTTCTACGGGCCCAAGATAGATGTCAGGCTGGTGGATGCTTCTGGCCGTCGACATCAGACAGCCACGATTCAACTAGATTTTCAATTGCCTCGTCGATTTGAATTGAAGTACACCGATCCGAATGCGCTCGACGGTAGCGGCCAGTCGACCCCTGTGATGATCCATCGAGCCATACTGGGGAGCGTGGAGAGATTCTTGGCGATCTTGATAGAGCAAGGCAAAGGTCATTGGCCCTTCTGGATCAATCCTAGACAAGGTATGGTCCTTCCTGTCAAGCCGGACGACTCTGCACAGCTGGCTCACGCCGAGCTGGTCAAGAAAGAAATGGCTTTGGGACACGCCCACGCGCAGGAGGACAAGAATATGGGAGTGGGCCTGGACAGGCCTTTACCGCCTAGATCGATCCAGGTGTTTCACGTTGATCTGGACGCAACCAACGCCAGGTATCCTAAACGAGTCGCTAAGGCGCGAGCCGCGCGCTTCAACTTTGTGCTCACGGTCGGCGATCGAGAAGTGAGGAATAAGACGGTGAACGTGACGGCTTATGGTCCTGGAGTGACTGCAACTGCGACAGGAAAAGTGCCGGGCGGCGAGGCGAGCGATGCGGAGCGATTACAAGACATTTTGGACTCGCTGCAGGCTGGCAAGAGACCAAACATCTCAAATGACTTGGGCGAATGGAACACGAAGAATCTGAGGAAGTTATTCGAGGCGCTCGACTCGTACCACTGTTGATGCGAGTTGGCTACTCGCTTCCTTCCTTGCCCCTCATGTCTCACCGCCTGCGGATCGATTTGTAACTGCACGCACGAAATTCAGTCTGCAATGCGAGTCACTTGGACGCGATGAGCAGGTCGCTAAGAATTTGACAGGCTTTTCTTCCAACTTCATTCCGTGATTGCAAGTGTGTTGCTGGGAGATGCTTGCTGCGGTAGTCACATCAGAAGTCATTCCGCGCAGCATACGCGGTTTTGGTTTGGGCTTTGGCAGCCGCGGCAGTAGTGAACCGAAACTCTGAGCTCGCTCGTGCACGGACTCGCGACTCGCCGCCGAATGATCTTGATGCATTCAGCGCATGGGGCTTCTCGCATTTCTTCCCTTCCATTCTCCACCAGTCCTGGTTCAAATTGCACAGCTAATTGCAGCAATCACCCCTCCAAAGAAGCAACACAGCGCAACAAGCAGCTAGACTCGCAAGTATGGCTGCTACCACCAGCAGTCATCCTGCAGTTCGAAGCTCGTCCCACCTCGACATCTTTTTAAACTCTCAGGTTCTGAATACTAGCGATGCGAGGGCAGCGGAGAAGAGGTGGATAGCTGATCGTGCTGCAGCCGCTGGACCCGTGGGCTTCGATGTGGATGCTGCAAGTAGAGTGCATGCAGATCGTCAGTCGACAAAGCAGCGAGCGGCTCTGGAGGAAGCGATGAGGATAAGGAGAGCAGAGACAGAGTGGATTGCTGAAGCGAACAGGATTGTGAGTCTTTCACGTCATCGCTGACTCTCGAGACACCACACTGAATCATCGCTTGCAACGTGCGCACCAGTATGCGCACATCACATCCCTTCTGCTCTTCTTGTCGACAATAAGGCGCCCTTATTTGGATCTCTCTGGACGCTCCGGTCCGGCTTACCCTGCTCATGGTGCTGACGACCGTGATGAGTTTGGCAACGATGCGGAAACCAGTATCAGCGGTGCTGGAGGAAATGCTCTCAGAGGCTTTCAAAGATGGTCCAAGCTGGGGACTCTCACAGACGGTCAACGGGACGAGATCGATTTTGCGATGAGGAGCATGATTCAGGGTGCCATGGGTCGAATACGCGAGCTGGAAAAGGGCGAAGAGGGTGAGTCTTGTTTAACGTGGAGCTTGGCCGTCTTCCCGATTGATGACTCGAGCGTCCTTTCTATGGCCTTCGTCGCATTTAGTCAGACAGCGCACAACACCAGCTCTTTCTGTCAACCCGCTCTCTCGACTCCTGCGCGCAAGTCTGCCCGGAGAAGATCAATTCCCAGGCCGGTCTCACCCTTTGTATGCCAGTACGCTCACCATGCATCGGGCGTCCATCGTAGCCTCTCTCAACAGCAGGCTAGCAGGAGCTAGTTCGCGGCTGAAGGATTTGCAGGAAAGACGACTTGCTGCGGCCAAGAGGGCTCAGCGGGTCAAGGCTGGCGCGAGTGCAAGGGTAGCGCTAGGCGAGGAGAATTCAAAGCAAGAAAATGGAAGTAAGAGAGAGTCGACTGCTGCAGTAGCTGGTGTGTCCGGCTCTCTAGGCTTGCCAGAGGTCAGCGCAGCTCAAGCACAAATGTACGACTCGGAAGCTTCAGCACTCGTGAAAACTTTGGAACAGGATCTTTCGGCAATTCAAGCGGCGGAAAGAAAGCTGGTGGAAATTTCAGACCTCCAGACTCAATTGATCTCTCACTTGTCTGAGCAGACAGAGTTGACTACGAGACTGGGCGATGAAGCTTTTGAGCATCAAAGCGAGGTGCAGAGAGGAAATGATCAACTGAGAAAGGCAAAGGAGAGCAACAGAAAGGCTACGCAGTGGTTGGCCATGTTCTTGGTAGGCAGCGGACTTGGCCTACTGTTCCTGCACTGTGAGTGTGAAGTTAGCACAAGATGCTCGAGGTTGCGCACGCGACAACAAGGGCTGATCAGCGCAATCATCCCTTCTTACTGCCAAAGGGATGGACTAATCGCCGAGGTCTTAGCTGAATCCCTACTGAGGCGGGAGTACGCACTCTGCGCGCATGTGGCACCCAATCACCGTCGACTCGCACATGTGTAATCACGCAGGCCGTCGTTCGACTACCCATGCAGCATCAGCCCATGTCATACATCCATTGCATCGAACTCTTCATCCACTTTGGAAGACTCTTGGCCACCCATAGCCGTGACCAGCTTCCTCGTTCTGTCTCTAGCGGCCACATCCAGCTCGTGTGCCAATATGCTCGCAGCGTCTTGTGCCAGATCTAGCATGGCTAATGTTGCTTCGAGCGGTGTCCTATCTTCCGATCGAGCTAGCACCACTCCGCCAGTATTTGCGAGCAGGGCCAGCGTGAGCGAGGGAAGAGATAGTGTCTCTTGATTTGTCAGGTCGAGAAGAATGGCGGATGGAGAGAGGTGGTAGCCTAACGTGAGAGAAACCACTGGAGACGATAAAGCTATTCCGGCGTCTTGCAATGCGAGCGAGGTTGCGTTGATGGCGCAAGGCAGCATACCTGGTTCACGGCGTAGGGAAACAGAGGTGAGGAGTTGAATGTGATGCGTCACAAGGACTGACCCACACTAGCACACACACTCACCTCCATCATCCACCTCTACCAGCACATCTATCGCGATCTCGGAGCGTGGGTATAGATGCGTGTGCACGACTGGTCCAAAGACTGCGCTGATAGTATTCGCCAGCTCCGTCAAACGTCTTGGCAATTGTATGGGAAGAAGACATAAGCATTGACAGTCTCCTTTTGCCGCAGCTGTTGCAACTGTAGCGCTGAGCACTCACCTGTCTCCCTTCGCTCTCCTTCTCCGCTCCTTTCCCGCATGCGGGTCGATAGCAAAATCAACATCCAAATGAGCCTTTTGGACTGAGCTTCCCATGCCAGAAAAAGTCCCGCTTCTCCTCTCCCTAGGCCCATGTACCTCAACCAATACGCTGGTCAGGCCCATTTCTAATCTTGCCGATCCTGATGGAGATGCGCTCGTGAGATTTGATACTGGCGCTAGAGAGGTGTTCGATGCTGCTTGTGCGGATGAAGAGGCTGAAGGAGAAATGTGGACGGCTAAAGAACGCAGCTCTAACGGCCTTCGGGAATCTAGACGCAGCTGACCAGCCGAAAGAAGCTCCAATCGTGACTAGAGCGAAGTACGATTGCGTTTAAGCAGATGCGTAGTCTGCACAGCTGACGCTCGGCGCTGTCGTTGACTCACCATCCTGATGAGCGATCCCAGACGAGGACGAGGACGAGCAAAGCGGAAAGAGAATCGCCAATGTATCTGGCCCTGCAAGCCTTCGCGAGGTAGTTGGGCTGCTGCAAAGCCTCCTCTTCTCTGTGGACAAGTGAGTGAGACCAAAATTAAGTTTCCCACTCTATCTTTCACCGGGCTTGTGGGCTTTCAATATGGATGAATGTGCTGAGTGGAGGTAAATAGCAGGATGGACAGTCTGGTGAAGGGGGCGTGGGCGTGATCGGATTGAGCAGCTGCTGATGGATGGATGCATGCATGCACCCACCTCACTGCGAAGCTTTGTTCGCGTTGACGCGGTGCACTTTTTTTGCGGTCGTGTGCGTCTTCGCGCGGCCGGGGGCTGCAGCAGGCCATTGATGTGAGAGAGGACATTCACAATTGCCTGACCGCCCTCCATCAGAAAGGGGGCTGGATCCGTCAGCACCAAACCTTGCATGCTCCCCGACATCACTGAGACCACTTTCAGCTCCTTCGCTTGCAGCTGAGGCCCTTTCCAACTTCTCTGCAGCCTCTACTCGAATATCGTACGAACGCCTGCGGCCCCAGCCAGACCTGAGGACAGTTAGCTACCTTCGCTACAATCCGCAGATCTGTTGAACTCGGAAAGGCCGCATCAAAGCGGAGCTCGAAGTTTCAGTGCCACAGCAGTCCTCCTCCATTCGTGAGGGGTCTCTCCTCGTCTGATTGTAAGGCGTGAGGAGCCAATATGCCAGCATCCGCATCTGCTAGCTCTTCGAGGAAGCCTTCGGGCTCCTCCTCCTCCAAAATGTCAAGCGGAGAGATCAAGCTGTACAAGACCGTCATGTCGAATCCTGACCATGTGAGTGGGTCCGAAATGAGTGCCTTCCACTCCATCTAGAGTGTTCCGCTGCCAAGACTTCAGTTAAGAGGGCGACTCAGCATCGAGGATGGCAGATACTGGGGTCCTCCGTTCGCAGCCGGAGCTAGCCCCCACAATCTGCCAAAAAGCTTGCCATGCTGACCAAATTCCTCACAACCCTTACACCTCCACAGACGATGAGCGATGATCAGCTGGAACAGTCTGTCACGCTTCCTTTGGACCAGCTGATGGAAGCGATCAATGGCCTGCTGCGCAAAAGTCTTCTGACCATCTCCAACGTCAAAGGCAAGCAGACTTATACGGCCATTTCTCGCAGTGAAGCCAGTCTAATCGGATCCTTGGATACGGACGAGACGATTATCTATCAGCACATCAAGGAAGGCGGCGATCGAGGTATCTGGACAAAGTCCCTGAAAGCCAGGTCAAACCTGCATCAGACTGTAATGACGCGCGTCTTGAAAAATCTGGAGCAGAGGCAGTTGGTCAAGGTGGTCAAGGATGTCAAGGTAAGTTGGAGGATGGTGGAGCGCGCTGCGACGAAGCTGACCGGAGCCTACCTTTCCTTTTGTAGACACCCACGCGCAAGATTTATATGCTAGCCAACCTCACGCCTGCAGCGGACATGAGTGGAGGACCTTGGTACACTGACAACGAGCTTGATACTGTCTTCATTGAGCAGCTTTGTGGAGCTCTGCATCGACACATCGCACAGGTCGTGAGTGAACTCGGTGAGCTTGTTGTCCTGTTCAGCATTGACCGCATGTGCCCTACAGACATGGCCCCAAGTGGATAACAGTACAGCCTCTTTAGGACCTCTTCATCCTGCATCGCATTCGCGCTCACTACCGACTGCTTCGAGCTGTCTGAGGTGGCTCAAGGCGCGCAAAGTCACCGATATCGAGCTGGATGTGGAACATGTCAACACATTGCTGCAGGTACTCGTTTACGACGACAAGATTGAGAAGATTCCTTCAACCGGTTTCCCCAGCTTTTCAAGCGTTAATGAGCGTAGAAAGGATCCCAACGCGGAGTGGCAGGACGGTGAGGTGTCTGGCCAAGAGACTGCTAGCGAGAGCGAAGACGACGTCAGGAGCGACAGAAGCGGAGGCAGCAGGAGCCGTAGCAGAAGCAGTAGTGAGAGCAGTGCAAGTGGGAGCTCGAGCGCTGCGTCCGACTCAGACAGTGGGAGCGATTCGAGCTCCTCAAGCGCTACCTCGCGCTCTCGAAGTCGCAGTTTGTCAACCCGTAGCGACAGCGGCAGTGAAGGAGGACCTCGACGCAAACGAAGCTCTTCGAGACGCAGCAGCTCCGGGAAATCATCTTCCAAAAGCAAGAAAAGGAAGCGAAAGGAGCACAAAAGCTCCTCCAGGAAACGCCATCGCGATGACAGCCGCAGTCGGAATCGGCCCCGATCGAAATCTAAATCCCACTCGGATAAATACCGCTCTCGATCCAAGTCCAAATCAGGCTCACACAAGAGTTCCCGGAAGAAAGAGAGTGAGAGTAAATCAAGCAAAGATAGAAGAGAGCGATCGAGCACCTCCAAGCCTGCTTCTGCCGTCAGAAATGCCGCTTTAGCAGCCATACCTGTGAACTCGGACGAGGAATTCGAAGAAGAATTCAACGTGGGCGGTGAGCTCTGGGTGTACAGAGCCATCAAACCATTCAGTGTGCACGTCGCCTGGACCGAGACTCCATGCGGACACTGTCCCGTATTCGACTTTTGCGAACCCAAAGGTCCCGTCAATGCGGAAGGGTGCGTTTACATGGACGAATGGATATACCGGGCTGGGCAGAAGGAAGAGGACGAAGATGGAGAGGACGATCCTATGGATGAGAAGGACGCTGCAACACTTCGCTGATGCTTGGAACTAGTCGGGTCGCTGCCTAGTCATTTGTTGGAGTCCGCCACAAGTGGCGTTCGCCCGCACAGACTCTGCCTTTTCGGTGGCGAAAGGGTCGGCTCGAATCACGCCACCGCAACGAATACTCATCCCATTCGTGCCCCGTTCTCAAAAAGAATTTTGCAGCCTTTCGAGGACTGCCAACTTGGCCTGCGCCTAGCAGGCGCCTGAATCTCATGCAATCAGGTTGCGCTTGGCAGCGCTCTTGTCCAGTTCTGCGCAATTGTATACTAAGTCCAGCTGGCACCACTCGTGGCGTGATTGCCGGCGCCTTCAACGACCGCTCCTGAAATGGTGATGCTTGGACGAGTATCTGATTGTGCACGAATTCTGCAGCTAGTAGTGTCGGTCCTGGCCATGGCAATTCTACGAGCGTAGTTGCTCTCGATCAGCAGGAAGCGCAATACGGCCCCTCCTTTCGCAGGTCTTGCTTCGGAAAACGCGGCGAGCAATGGTTGGGTGATGAATCGATCGCGTGCTTGTGAAAGCGACACGTCAGCGATTCGAAGTCCTGCCTCTTATGAGTAGCAAAGCATGGGAAGGCGGCGCCGGTACATTTGAGATTCCAAAGCGAAAGCGTACATCGGACTACAGACCGTCACCCATCAACTTGCCCTTGGCTAGGATGCCGCGATCGTCTTCGACTATGATGCTATTATTCGCCACCACGCGTGGCGCATCGGTCTGATGGAGGCTCTTTAAAAGCATCCACCGCGTCGGTCTAGCCCTGATATTTCCTCCTCTCCGTCGTAGAGTTGCTGGCCACTCCATCATTGACTCTTCATCTCAACCTTTGCACCCTCTTCAACCCAGGATGGTTGTTCTGTCCCAGCCCCATCACTTCAAACCCTTTTTGCAGCTGCCCCTTTTGGTAGCCTTTGCGGCATGTTGTGTCGCCATCAAGCCATTAGGAGAATGGACGCGGGTAAAGACTAAGGATGTCAGGGAAGTCGAGCTGATCAAGAAAGGACCTCGACTTGGCTTCAATGGGATCAAGAGCGGCAATATACAGAGAGGGATGGCGCACTCCGTTCGAGACCATTTCGGCACAGAGATGCCCCCGGTCGTGCAAGTGAGTATTCTGGAATCTTGATGTGCTAGCTTGGAGGCGTCTTGCGTGGAATTTCCAATCTAAAGAGGTGGTTCTCTACCTCAATAAGGCTGTGACAGGATTTCGAAAGTCGAACGAGATTCCATACACGCACTTCCGAGCCAAAGTATGGGACAGGAACATCAAGACCAAGACATGGGACGAAGTACCTGGGACAGGTCCTGATGGTACTCATGTCATTGCCTTGCCTCACAATCGGGACTTTACCACTCCAGAAGGCGCTCTTTTCACCTCAAAGGAGGTTGCGCGCTCATACGCAACGGTACCGGACACAAAGAAACCAACACTGCCGACTTGGATCCATCTCAATAAGCTAGATCAGCATGGCGACGTCGTTGGCGAGGTGATCGCTGCACCGCCAAGGTTGCATACCGGAGGCATCAGGTCGAAAAGCAAGCCAATGATGTGGCACGGGTACGAAGGCGAGCTCGCCCAGACGCACCGCAATCACTTTCCCCCCATCACCAGAAGCGCAGTAGGCAGCCGCCTTCCTCACGTGCGAGAGATTGCAAGGCAAACGCGTCTCAATCGGACCATCTCAAAGAATCGTAGCGGTAGCACCATGGGTCCTTTCCTTGGTGTTGGTCACCGCAAGCTGCACAATCGTGAGAAGGTCGAGGAAGCAGCGTGGTCGCGGAATAGTGCTGGCGCGCCATCGCAGAGATCGCCTGCCAGACAACAGGAAGACCCCACTGTTGCCGCACACAGCAATCAGGGTGCAATTTTCCCGCTGCAATCGGATGGCACCCCAGCTCTTTCGGAGTTTCGGGCTGGTCCTTGAACCATGTGCTCAGCAGGCAGGTATCGCTCCCATCGAAGTGACTATGAACAATGTGAATGCCAGGATGATGTACAACCAAACAAATTTGTCTTGGCATCGTTCGTTAAAATAGTGATGCACGCCAGGTCGAGGAATCCACCCGGGGTGCTCATGTACTTGTAGATGCGACTCTTGCCCACGTGTAGGTCGCACCATGCGCCTCCTGACTCAATGTCGAGGCTTCAAAAGGTGGCTGGCATGCAGATCTGTTTACACGATTTGGAGACTTTTCGTTAGACCTGATAGGCAATGTAGGCATAGCGGCCTTGTTCCCGGCCCAAAAAGCCATAACCCTGAGGCAGATGAAGTGGAATTCAGCTCGCGGTGTGCCAAATGGCGAAAATGTCTTGCATTCGTCGTACGTACCAGTAGGATCTCGCACTTGAGGCTGTGCCAGCCAATGTTACCGGGAACGTGGCCTGCAATGGAACATAGGCGTTGTACCTCGTAAGTCCGGACACGCGACTCTCTCGTGCGATCAAGACTTACCATTGGCAGCCGCTAATTGCTGCAGGACTTTTGCTCGTGGATGTTCAAGAGGCAGACCTCTGACAACTTCATTCCTGGGCTCGACAATCTCTGGCTCAACGTCGCTTGGCGCCACCCCGCGAGCCACCGCTGGTCCAGCCTGGTCAAAAAGTGAAGGGGTGGTCTCATCTACCTGGTCCGCAGCTACAGTTGTCGATGCCTGGGCCACAGATGAGACTGCGACAGAAGTCAAGCTCCGTTGCGCATCCCCGCCTCTTGAGTTGGCTCTTCGCATCGAGCCGGAACGACTGACGAGCGGCGTCTGCCTTGCTCTTCTAGCAGGAGAGGGCGAAAGAGTAGATTTGCGCGTTAAGGTGGGTGGCGTCTCAGGTTCCCAGGAAGTGGCTTTCGCTCTACTTTTCCATCTCAAAGGCCTGCCTCTAGTCTCTTGCTCCCCTTGTGCTTGCTGAGCCGCCCCACCGCCTTCCTCATCTGGCTCCGCAAGCGCCTCGTCTACGGCGTCCGGGTTGGGCCCAGCAGTGCAATCTACCAGCCAGCCTCTACGTCCAGCGCCAAAGATGGCTTGCCATCCATGATACCTGCCAAAGCCTCGCAAAGGTCCCGAAGCGAGTTCCACCACACGAAGGTTCGTTTTTGCCCTCTGAACAGGCGCTGCGTTGGGCTGGGCACCGAGCAGCTGTGGTAGACCCATTTGAGCCAATTGTTGGCTGAGCGTCAGTGGCGGAGGGACAGCGCAAGGACGCAACAAGCTCTCCACAATGTCCATTGGTGACAAGGCGCCCGAGCCTAGAGCACTGCTCGTTTCGGGAATGCTGAGCACTTGCACATTGGGAGCCTTGGCGATCAAGAATTCCGAAATCTTCGACAGACTGAGCCGAGGTAGTGCTCCGAGTCCCAGGTCGAGTAAGCAAGGCTGGACGTGTATCTCTCCAAGGACTTCTGCCACCGGACAGCTTGCCAAATCGAGATATCGCATAGCACCATGCAGCATGCAGGGAGCTTCCGTCAAGATGGCCTTCATATCGAGCGCATCGATCGGCGTGGGCTGCAAAAGCGTGCCTGCCAAGGAGAGTTCCGTCAAGCTGTGACAGACGGGGCTGTCGACGAGCAGCCACCTTATTGACTCGCTCGACATATGCGGGCATTTAGCCAAACTGAGACTATGCAGATGCAGGCCAGGCTGAGCTCCAAGCGAAAATAGCGTCTGCGGACCTATCTTGGTGCCTGTCAGGTCCAGATGGATTAGGCGAGGAAAGGAAAGAATGAAGGGCTGCAGCAAGCTTTCCGGAAAAGTGACGTAGCTGAGGCTCAGACGTCTAAGAGACGGGAAGCGCGTGGCTCGGGCTGGATGTGTGGAGGGAGCCTCGTCATCATCGGCACGACTGTACCTCGAAAGGCTTCGCTGCACTTGTTGACTAGATCGAGCTGTTCGTACCGAGCTCGATCTCGCAGAAGACCACTCCGAGGTGCCCGTGCGATGCGTGCTTCGACTTCGCCCTCTGCGATCTTCTTCTTCCTCTACCTGGGAATCGTCATCGTCGGCGGTGGATGTTTCGGACTCCTCGAACAATGTCGATGTGGGTCTTCCACTGGACTTGTTGAGATGACGGTCCACAAATGTCTGCAGGCCGGCTTTGAAGGCATTGCTGATACAACCTGACAGATCCATAGCCTGCAATCTTCGGCGCTCGCTTCCTTCCCTCCGTGCTCTTTCCATGGAAATGCCTCGTATCCGCGATGGTGGGGTAAGCTTGCCGTCCCTAAAGAGCTGCGGGCGTCAGAAGGGAGAAGCTCAGAGACGTCAAAACGATATATTTGCTCTCATAGCGTCTGTGCTCGACGTGTGACACTGACCAAAGCCTCGAGGACAGCAACGTCGATAGCGCTGTCCATGCTCTCACAAAAGCCTACGCTGACTAATGCGTCTGCTGCCGTGATGAGAGCGAGCAATCGAGCTGGCGTGATGAAGCGCGTCTCGCCCTGACCCAAAGATCTTCGCATGCCTTGCGTCTGACGTCGATCAAAAAGGGTTTTGTGAGCGATACTCTCACTTTGTAGCTGTCACCTCTTCATACTGACTGTAAAGGTGGAGAAGTCGAGCACCCTGGGATAGTGATTGGCACCGCGAGGCGCGCGACTAAGAGACAAGGAGAAGAGACCCGCAGTTTGCTCTACAGCAAGCATTCAGCCAAACGAATCGCAACACGATCAGGTCTGTTTCTGTCTGCATCCAGACCGCGACATGTATTACACTCACCGATCCACACCAGCTGCATTTCAGCTCCGCTCCTCTCATCTGCTGCACTCTCAGTAGCAGTAGCACCACTTGGTGCTGTTCCTGATTGCTGAGATCTGAGCAATCGATCTCTGCGATCTTTCTGAATGACCAGCTTGCTACCCGTGACCCTCGCAAAGCCAGCCGCAGCAACCATAGCGCTGAAGCCCAATTGCTTCTTTGGTCCTGTCCGCACATCCGATCTTTCCAAATCAGCGCTGCCTCCAGCCCCGGCATCAGACAGTGCCTGATGACTTCTACTTCTGCTCCGAGGCGGACTTTGTGTGGAGCTCCTTCCGTGCTCCCTCACAGGGCTCCGACTTGGTGTTCGATGCGCGCGATGGGCAGGTATGCCTTGGTCTTCTTCCCCCCTCGAGCTTTCCTCCTCCTCCGAACTGGTGCTCGCAGCATCGCTAGTGAAGAAAGCCCCTTCATCCGTGCTATCGTCCGACGTTGTTGGTTTCCGAAGTCTTTCGTGTTCCTCGTACGCCTCTGCTAGGTGCGCAGCTCCCAGAGTCCTCAACAGCAACAAGAAGCTAAATGGCAATGTGATTTGCAACCTTCGAAAAAGCAGGGGTCTAGCAGCGGCATGCAATGCCTTGTTGGTCCTCGAAATGCTGAGCAGATCCGATGTGGCTTGCCTGCTCGTACGGGAGATGAGTCGTCCATCTTCGTAAGCTGATGGCAGACCATGAGGGTCCAAGCAACGGAACACGGCGCGAGGGATGGAGTCGAGGTAGATCAAAGAGACGATGTGATGCAGAAGCTCGGGCGGCAGGTGCGAAAAGGTTGTCGGCTTGCTGCTAGGTTGGCGGAATTGTGCTTCGTGCGTGGGCGGGTGAGATTGACTTGTCGAGGTGGTCATCGCGGCCATCGACGCGCTCCTATCGCAGCTTCCGTGGCTGAACGGAAGCTCAGCTTCCGCGTGGCTGAAGCGCGCGTTGCTCTCTGAAACACTCGACAGAACCTCGAGTTGCCAGCCGCTATACAGGAAAGAAGTGGTGAGTCGTGCGATCGCGATTGTGGCGTGAGGCTGAGTCGAACAAGTGCAATCAAGGAACGTCTTGCGGTCTAGGCGAGCGCGGTATGAAGATCACAAGGCAAGTCTTGTGTCGGAAACAGAACCCCAAACAAAGCTCTGCACCAAGTTGTATAGCAGCAAAGCTAGCCAGCCGGTCCCTTGATTCGTCCGCATGGCCATGGCAGGTCCGCGGAGGCCCTTGCGGACAATCGTGAATCAGCAGCAGCAGCATCGTCAACAACATGCATATGCTGCATGCATGCATCAGCATCAGCTAGCGGCCACACCACACATCCATCATCCGCGGTGTGGCAAAGCTCCGATCAAATCGCCGCCCGCCGACGACCCGGCGGGGCCAACAATAAAGAGCGGCGGACCTCGCCGTGCGCGTCGCGTCGCGTTCGTGATGCTCCTTGATCAAGGAAAATCTTCACGCCATGTCATCATCTGCAAGATCATCTGGATAAGATGATACAGTCAGCAGTCGTGAGTGCCATGCAGTACCTAGCCACACAAAGTCGCGAGCACAATCAGTATCAATTCTTCAGTCTCGACCTACCCTGATTCTTCTCAAGCAGACCACTCAAAGTGGAGTATCATCGGCATGGCAGGCGCCAACACCCCAAGCAACGCTACGACAACCTCAAGCTTGTTTAGATGATGCTGCTACATTGTCCAAGCCGCGTAGAGCGTGTCATCGTTCGTAACAAGAATCGGAGGGTATAAATGTCTGGCGGAGAATAGCGTCAAGTGGCAGAGCTCATCATCGAGGTATCTCTATGCTGAGCCTGACTAGTCGGGTGCAAATGTTCGAGAGCATGACTAGCGCCCAAGCTGTCCGTCGAACAGTTGCTCAAAGATCTGATGAGGCTATCCCCATTGATGATGCCCGTCGTAGCGACCAAGAATCTCCTGTTCTTCGTCTGACTTGACATGTATCTCAACGCAGCAACTTCCGTGTACGTCACTCCTCCCAAAAAGAGCACAATCGTCGTCGTCGTCGTCGTCGGCACAGAGCCGTATTGTGTCGAGCCACTCGCGCTGATGGTGCTCGCATTCGACGTGCTTGGCAATTGCACCTCATCAACCGTCGCGCCTGGCAATGCCGATACCGCATCTTCAAATCCTTGCCAGCCAACGATCGGGTGCGCATCGGGTACTCGTCGAGCGTTGTTGGGCCTGACTGACACGCGAGCTCCACCAGCCAGCTCATTGTCCACATCTCGGGGCGCCAAAGGCTCCGAAGCTTGAGCGACATTCCTCTCGCTGGCACTCTCAGGGGCCAGTATCGCTTCCTTCTGCGCGACTGCTTGCACAAGTCGACAGCTCAGCGGAGCATAGCCAGAGTATACGTACGCGATATCCTTCGGGTCCCGCTCGTCCACTTCGTCGTTGATGAGTCTGAGCTGACCGCGAACGGCGGCTATGCCCTTGATTGGGGCCCCTCGACGAGGAACGGCAGGCGCAGGGACCAGAAGCCCCACTTTTTGCAGAGCTAGCAGCAGCGGCAAATGTGTGTATCCATACGTTTGTAGGACGTCGCGGATGAGCGCGTCTAGATTCTTCTGCTTGATACCGCCACCGACAACAGAGAGGAGGCACAGCAGACGCAGGATCATCAGCAGAGGAGCCTCGCTGGCAATGAGCGCCTCGATCGCCGAGAGCTGAGCGGGTAAGTCCACACCAGCGACGATGTTTTGTTGTATCTCCAAGGAAGCGTTGAAATGCTCAGAGGCAGTGATGCCCATGATGCGCTCCGTCAAGCTGGTATGTACTCGCAGCCCCAAATGACTAGCTTGTAAACCTCCCAGCTTGCCCACAAAAGCTCTCATCTGTGCCACAGTCTGCGCAGCGTGTCTGCCCTCGTAGTCCGCCGACAATCTCTGCGCCGCTCGATGAAGTACCTCTCCCACCACTGCAAAATTGCAGTCTCGAATGGAGGAAAAGAGCGAGTCCGAGGCGTTGTCTAGCCGGTGCTTCTTCTTCTTGGTCGGAGAGGTCATTGTCACTCGCAAGGGCGTGCCACTACCGGATGCTGCACCGCTCGCGCTTGGGCTTGCAGGTCCGTTTGCAGCGAGCAGAGAAGAGTCGACCTCGATGTGTGCTGTGGTGGATGGATGCACAGCAATCAGACTGAAAGGACCGTGTTGTGCTGACGCTATGACGATCGAAAGATTTGAAACCTTCGTCATGAGCCAACTCACCACTGTTGATGCCGAGCACTTCGTCCAGGAGACCTTCGTAGGTGAGCTGGGTGCACAGCGGAGTGACGAGATCTGCGCTCCTATCCAGCACGACGAGACAGTCCACCGACTGACTTGAAGCAGTGAGGGCAGCATTCTTCGGATCTGCAGCTAGCGCTTCTTTTCTTTGGCGAGTCAAGAGCGTGGCAAAGCGCTTTCAGAAGAATGTAGCGCGTTAGTCTCGCCGCTTCGACTCGCTGATGAGAACGTTCGGGATATCTTTGAGCAGCATCATCGCTCAGCTCACCTGTGCAGCGTCACCCTTTCCAACGATGCGTGGAAACGTCCCCCAAAGGTGTTGCAGGGTCATGCAAGCCAAAGCAGTCTCGTGCAAAGTGCCCAAGTCTCCATCTTTACTGCATCTGCTCCATGCTCTAGGATCTTCCAAGCTCAGTAGGTCTTCCTCCAATGGCACAAATTCGAGAGGAAGGTCGTAGAGATGCAAGTCGGCCAAGAGGGATGAAGAAGAGGATGCATCGTCGACATTTTCCGCGCTCGATGAAGGAGATAGTTCGCTGAGAAGATGTAGTGACAGCTCCGTTCGACGAGGCGAAAGCAAGAGGTGATACGTGTGCGCCAAGGACTTGGGCGAGGCTCTACGATCCGCTAGCACATGACCTGCAAGCACCGAGGAGCGGAGGCATGAGCTGGCGTCTCTCGGTACAGTAAAATTGATGAAACACCACAAGAAGTGTACGTTGGCAGCTCATGCTCGATTGTCAGGTGAGGTACAGCCTAAGCAGTGAATACTTGGCCGCCAACACAAATCTCGACTGAGCAGCAGCGCAAAGCAAGAAGATGCCCAAAGAGAGCATCTGCTGCGATGCAAGCACGCATGCTCTGGAAATTGCTCGATGTACGGACGCTGACTGACCCGGCAGTCCCTTGTGAGATAGAGGGCACTGGGCTAATTTGGTCCGAGCGAGCTGAAGGGGGCAGTGCACCCAGATGGGATCGACACAGGTGCAGCTGTGCCGCTCGCTCGATTGTGGTGGTGGTGGCGCGTGCTGCAAGTTAGGCGCTCCACTTACCAGCAATGACTCTTAACCATCTGCTCTCTGGCCTGCATATATACACGACAGCTCTAGTAGGTGCATTGACCGGTACAATGTTGACCTTCCTCTTGCCCTTATCCGTTCGATCTCGTTCCTGTCCACCAGCCTGCGATGCGCTCGCATCAGTCCTCGGAACTTTGTTGCCTGTATGCTCTTCCAGCCAAAACATGCGTTCCACACCATGTTGCCTGAGTGCAGATACATCCGCTACCAGTCCCAAGGGCCCAGCAAGAGCTGGATCTAAGAGCAACGTCTTGCCTTCTGGAATCGCGTCGAGAGCGGACAAGAGCGAGCGAAGCGCTAGCAGGCGGAGCGGGTGAACATCTAGCGCCCCAGGTAGTGGTGCTTGCGAAGCGGAAGCGGAAGCGCCGCTCCCACTTGCTTGAGTGCTCGCCATGTCGCTCAAGGGTGCGATCTCGCAGGCACTTCTTCCCGATCGGGGTGATCGGCGTTTGACTGTTCAGATCCGCGATGAGAGTGCAGATTCTCGGTACGTGAAAGGGCAATCGGCTGCACTTGTGCTTCTTTCAATGGAAAGGCGAAGCGGTGAGTGGACGCAAGTCAAAGCTGGTCTCGAGTCTCACATGTGTGTGCGGTGGAATTTCGAGCAGGCGGCTAGCAGCTGTATGGGCGCCTTTCTTTCGCTGCATGGCCGTGCGTAGTTGCGGATGGAATATGGTCACGTGTCAGGCGTCGTTCGTCGCGCCATGCATGCTCATCAGCGTGTATAGTCAGTCCATGTGCATGGCAGCGCGTACTGTATATACGCGTTGAACGAGCTCGAAGGCGCGCGGCGGGGATGTGTACCGGTAAAGGTGGTTTCGCCGTTTGTCATATCATAAGCGACTACACAGTCAAGTCGTGAGTACCTATATACCTACCTACACGGCAAGAAGTCACGAGTGCGCGTGTGCGATCGAGCAAGCCACGCCCGATCTCTTAATTTTGTCTGCGCCAGGTGAGTACTCGTGACTGAGCACCATCGCATCGTCGTCATGCATCCATCCACGCACTCGTAATCTGCACGCTCAGCATCTCAATCACCATCCCCGTCGTCTAGCAGGCTCCTTTGTCATCTGAAAGAATGAGTAGCCAGCAACGTGGGCAAGGACACAATGGGTCGGGCGAAGCTCTGCAGCAGGTTTCGCTCATCATCGATTCCGATCCTGGAGTGGGTGAGTCGTCGAGGGGTTTTGGAGCGCAGCTAGGTCACGTCCGTGTGTTGCTTTGGCTGAGCAAGTCTATTTGCCGCATTCGCTTGCAGATGACGGTGAGGAAATGCGTGGCGTGGGGGTGATGCTGAAAACGTTCACATCCAAATTGACATTCTTTCGCATTGACCTCTGCACGTGCAGTGCTCGCCCTTGTCCTAGCGCTGGCCCTGCCGCACGTCACTGTAAAAGCCATCACACTGACATTCGGCAACACTGAGCTCGCGCACGCCTTTTCCAACGTCGCACGCACCTTCAACGTTCTACACGCTCATCTCTCCTCCTCCTCCTCCTCATCCGCTCCCACATCCTTCAAGGCTCGTTTCTCGCACTCCTTGGGTGAGGGCGCGCCGAGCATCGAGCTGGCCAAAGGAGCAAGCGGACCTATCGGCGGCAAAAAATTCACCGCTGGTTATTTCCACGGCAAGGATGGTCTATCGGGAGTTTCGAAAGATGCGAGGTTCCCTGCGCAGCCTGTTCCTGCCCCTCTGAAAGCCACGGACGAACCAGCGCACAAGGTCATACTGAAACACCTTAGGGACAATCCCCCTGGCACCATCCGCATCGCGGCGATTGGTCCAGTCAGCAACCTCGCCTTGGCTTTTCAAGAAGATCCAGTCACTTTTGCTAGAGTAGCCGGCATCTCCGTCATGGGTGGCGCGCTCGACGTGCCTGGCAATACGTGCGCAATGGAACCCCGTGCAAGCCCGGCAGCCGCAGCGAGAATGTATGCTGACCATCGATTCGTGCAACATTTCCAGATCCCCGTTGAGCGAATTCAACTTCTACGCCGATCCTTGGGCCGCTCGAGCTCTGATTGTGGACGCGCCTAAACATCCTGTGCTAGCCAATGGCGACAATGCGCTGGGTTGGCGCCGGTTGCCCATCGATCTGCTCTCTCTCGACATTACGAGCAAACACTTGGTACCCTTTGGTCGTCTTTGCAGCGGTCAAGGTCCTCTCGGTGACTTGTGAGTTGATGCGACTCATTTGCGATCTCACAACGATGAGGTGGAAGCGCTCGCTTGACTCACCCGACCTTGTTCGCCCCCCAATCTCTCTTCTTCTTTCTCGCGTGTGATTTATTTCACCCCCCTCCTCTTGCGCCCTGATTTTGCGGGCCCAACGCCTAGCATGGCAACGATACTGAAGCGACCCAGACAGGTGACCAACTCATTCGCACCTGCCGGAAGAGACTTTGATGCGAGCATCGACGATATGTTCGTAGCGCACGATCCCATCGCCGTCGCACATGCTTGTTTCTGTTCCTCTTCAGGATCGGCGTCTCGCAACGCCTCTTCCAAAGAGACGCGCAGCTATGCCTCTCAAAATCGGTCAGAGTTCGATGGGGAGTGGAGCATGCAAGTCAGAAGGTTCGGTATCGAGTGCGAAGGGGAGTTGACCAGAGGTTGCTGTGTGGTGGATAGAAGAGCCAGCGTGAAATCTGCGCAGGGAAATGTGGATCCGAAAGATGCCAGTCTGGGCAAAGATGAGGAATTGGATGAGGATCAGAAGAGACCCGATACGAGGGAAGGAGATGTTCATATGGTCGAAGTGAGTCGTGGCATTGCATTGGGACAAGCAAAGCAACACTGCTCGGCTCGTATCCAATTCCTCTGACCCATCCACGAACCTCGCCTCATCTCAGCAATCTCCCGGATGCGCATGGTTCTCCAACGTGTTTTGCGACGCTTTGGGTGTTTAGCTGTTGGTCGTGCCGCAATGTCTTTACGAAGTGGGTCGCCAATTCAGCCCACTGTAGCCGCAGCCAGCTTGCGTATGGACCTCTTATAAATGGAATCGCAATGCACGGAATCGAAGCTTTGCCATGCAGTGAGAAGCGCTATGCTGAGAGTTTCGTGATGGTACATTATGGGTAGCTCAGGAAAGATGAGTCGTGGGTAAAAGCCCAGTGCCGCAGGCGAGACCGACGAGGTAGAGAGCCGTGGCACATGAACGCCTGAACGGTGGCTGCTACCGGACGACGTCCGTATACGCACGCGATACTTCGGGGCATTCGTGGTTGAAGCACCTGACGCCTCCCCTCACAAGGCGTCTGTGATGTCTCTCCGTGGCCACGTCTCATTCCTTCGCAACGACTGTGCGCGTTTGCCCGCTCATGCTTGTGTGGGATGGGGGATTTCATGTACCACGAATCACTCGATGGGTACCTCTGGCATCGTCGAGGCATCCTATGCGGGCGGGGTCGAGATGAATGATGTGATGTGTCAACCAGGGCATGGGTCACGAGGGACGTCACACGTAATGTGCTGTTCTTTCGCCTTGCAGCTTCAGCCTCGCGGGATCCCGAATCGTTGCGCGCTGCGCTGCTCTACCCTTTCGCGCTTCCCTCCGTCAAGCACGACTCTCGAACTCCTCGACTCTCACCTGTTTGCTCTCTCCACCTTTAGGCGGTACGAAAGCCAGCTTCTCTCCAACCTTGTGCACCTGATCCTTTAGCTTCTGTGCCAATCCTTCCCTCTCCTCCGTTCCGTCCGCATTGCTGTTCGAACCTGTCCCTTGCCTCGTATCGGACTGCGAGGCAGCAACGCAAGCTGAACCCGCCTCCTCGGCTTGATGAGCTTCGACCTGAGCTACCCTCTTCTCTTCCCAGCCCGGGGGTCCTTCAGGAGATGCGCCAGGTCGAACGATGGAAGCGGGTGTTGTCGAAGTCTGACTGGTCGAACTGTCCTTTTTGACGTGAGACATGGCGCTGCTAGCTACCGATTGGATGATGCAGAGACGTGCTTTGCGAGTGCTGATGATGTATGCAAGCGATGTGCTGACTTTGCTGTGGGGAAAAGATCAATGAACGAGGCGTGCGTGCGTGCGTGCGTGCGTGCGTGCAAGAAGGGAAGGATGATGGTTGCGAGGCGGATATGGGAAGAGATGGTCGCAGAATAAATGATTTAGGATCCACACTCTCGACTTCTTGCCATTTCAAGATGATTGATGAGAAGGAGAAGGGGAAAGGGGGAAAGGTCGCGAGTTGAGCAGGCAGCTGCTTGCTGCTTGTCCAAAGTTTAGGCCTGTCCGACTCACTCAAGACGCACACTCACACTGTCGACGTTTGATGAGGGCAGCAACGAGTGCATATGCACGCATTCGACTCGTGACACCCGACTGTTGTGACTTGTGAGTCAGGAGTGTGCTTCGTGAGTGGAGGCGGGGGCATTGCATTCAAGATTCAAATTCCTACACAATCCTCCACAACTCCCCTGCGATGCTGCTGGTGGATATGTACGCGCTTGATTCATCAGGCGCACCGAGGTCATGCACGCTTTGCAGGCGGCAGGGCCCACAGCGACGCATGAGCCCCACAAAGCTGAAGGCAAAAAAAGAATGCGTACTCAAGACTCGGAACTCACGACTCGATGCATTGTGATTTCTGGTGATGCTGCGTCGCTCTGCCTTGGAGGAAGGATTGACTCATCGGGCGCTCGGCTCGAGGAGGCTCGCGGCATGGATTTGCCAAGCCAGCAACAAGCACGAAAGCATGCCTTTCCCCCCGCACCTCTGCTGCACTAACGATCATGACTGCATGGTGGCGCACTTGTGTGCGAGTCATCAAGCTCCCGACAAGGGTTCCTGTCAACACTCCAAGTCAGGTTCTACACACTCAGCTGCACGCTGAGCTGTGCATTTGGGCGTGTGTTCTATCTAGCAAAAGCGCATGACGCACTGCAAATGTCCATGAAGATTACGAAGCAGGCTGCGAACAACGCCGGTGATACAATCACGAATCGACAAGAGAGTCGAGTCAAGGGCAGAGATGAGTTGCAATAGGGGGATGGCATGAGAAGCAGAAAGACTGTCAACAAGTGCCCCTTGACGGCGCTTGCAAAGAAATGCAACCAGAAAAGCAGCACGTTCTACAGAGCATCGGGATGTAGCGCTCGTCTGCTCGCTTGGTACTCGATGGCCACAGGCTGCGCTCTTCTCTGTCTTTCTTCAAACGCATCCCGAGCTCTTTCGCCCAGCATCTGCGTCACCCTAACAATATCGTCTCTCGTTCCGAGCCTCTCTTGCACGCTTCGCGCCTCGCTCCACTCTTCCTCCTCGGGTAATGCTCGTCTCAAGTTCCAAGCTCTGCCGCCCAAGCTGTTGATGATGTCACCCAGACCCAGATTTTGTAGAGCCGAGGAGATGGTGCTGGCAGGACAAGTGAAGGATAGCGGGCGAGTAATGGTAAAGGGAATGGCGACGCTCAGAATCGATAGTCTGACATCCACCTTGAGCGTGTACTGTAACCGAGAGCGTCAAAGATGTCAGCGCAGAGATCACCTTCTTTTCCGCACCACTCCCACTCACCTCGAGCTGGCCGTTTCCACCTCCTCCTCCCAGACCACACTTGGAGATGACGTCCTTTATAATGGCAGAATTTCTGTCCTTGGTCAGATCGTACGCCAGCTGGAATGGGAAGTGAATGGTGGTGTTGGAATTCGCTTCGATCTTTTTGTTTTCGATCGTCCCTCTGCCGACGTCCACATCGGTGTTGACGTCCTTATTGTATGCCTGCGCGATGTAGATGGGAACGAAGCCATATGAGCACAAAGAAGGCCAACGTCCTCACTGCATACACCACTCACATGCGCCGTCAGCTTTGTGATGGTGGCAGAAATGGAATTGGGATTGGATATGGCAAAGTTGATGGAGCTATTGAACGTCACGCCCGAGGCCTGAACGGAGATGTCGTCTGAGCTGGGAGGATTGATGCCAGAAATGGCCACATTCGGCGGCCGTGCAAACTGCATCAAGCAATGCGGAAAAGGCACTCAGATTGCAATGCACGCTTGGGTGCGAGGGAAAATGCCCAACCAAGAGCTGACTTACCATAACGACCAGGCACACGATCGAGACGATGATGAGTATGGCCCAGATGATGATGCATCCGATCGATCTTCGGGCGCAGGAGTTCAGTTGACGAGGTCAAAGAGCGAGCAACCATCACGTCTTTCATTCTCACCTGAAGATTCGCACAGGGACGCTCCTGGCACCAAAAGCACCTTTGTCCTCTTGTGTGAAGATGCCCTTGCTGCCGTATAGTGCAGCCCCTCCCGTCCCAGAAGCATAGCTGGGTCCATAAGGTCCTTGACCCGCATCCTTTTCCGCCTCTCTAGATCGGCTTTTCCCAGCCGCATCCCCGCCATCCGAATTGTACGAGAATCCGGTGTCTGTCCTCTTGTGAGTGCTTGCTGATCTGTACGCGTGGGGTGCCGCTGCACTTTGACCTGCACCTTGACTTGAAGAGTAGGTCTCGTAACCTGTTCCACTTTGGTAAGGCGAAGGACTCTTTTGAGCCGCATATGAGCTATTGAACGGGTAACTCATAATGCCGTGCCAACTGTTGCTGTTCGTCGAAGGACCTGCGTGCGGCAATGCACCCGAGCGAGACGGCGTATTGTGAAGACTCGAGGGACTTTCCGATGTCTGGATGTGCGTAGCTGTCAAAGGCAAAAGGCTGTCAAAAGTATCAAGGTTGTGCCCGAGTGGTGAATGCAGCTCAGCTTGGGACAGTCGGTACGAGCGCGAATCGGGTGTGGATGTCAGCATTCAGATCTCGGGTGCCATGAATGCCAGATCGTGGATTCACATCATGCTGTTCGTAGCTCACCCCACCTCAGCAGCAGTCAGCATCTTGCGCATACGCGCGCGCGCGGGTGGAGTCCACAAGTTCGCCGCCAAGCCGTGCCGTACGCGTTGCGGTGTGCGGTGCGCGGGTGTCTGCGCGCGTGAGGCTGTGCGAGGCGAACAAACGACGGCGTTTAACATCTCCGCACAGCATCATGATGCATCTGACCAGCACCGTGCAGCTTCACGAGATTCTGGCCACTATGGTCGGCAAACCGCCACGTGGCAAGAGACCGATCCAAACCCAGCAAGCGTTCGTTTTGATGATCCACGTATTCACGATTTCAAGCAGCTGATGACTCAGGACCAGCAGTCTTGCGTGGTCCTGACAGCATCTGTACCTCGAACCCAACGCACTGCTGGATGTCGACGGAACTGATTCGATTGCGCAGTACAGGAGAGAAACGTGTGATGGGTGACATTTGGAACATGCTGATGAAAGGAGTTGATGGGAACAAAGCGGAGAGAGAGAGAGACTCGGATAGACCGTGCAAATGCACCACTTTGGGAAAGCGAAGGCGCATTTGTGACTGCAAAGACTTTGTGCGCAGCTGCATTAGCTTTGGAGAGAGGCGAACCACGCCGTGTATGCACCCTCCACGTCAAAGAGCATCTGATATACGGAGCAGCAAGGTGCTCAGATGATTGCGGAGCTGCTCAAATGTGCACTAAGCGCGAGCATGACTCACCTGCCGTGCTTCCTCATCCGTAATCTCGTCCGCCGCTGCCATCTTGTTGAGCTTGATGAGCCTGTAGCATACAGCCAGCCCAAACAGTAGTTTGTAAGGACCCGATGCGTGCTCGCACGCTCGCACTGCGCAAGGACTCACCATCCGAGCACTTTCGCTCTAGCTTCGTTGCTTGTCCCCTGTTCTCCACCCGCTCTAGTCCACGCGCCCATCAAATCACCCAGCAGAGGATGCAGTTGATCCTTTGCTCTCATTTTCAACTTGACTGCATCCATAAAGGTGATGAATCCTTGCGTCGTCTCTGCTATGTTCTTGCCCCTCTCCCTCGCATTACCATCGCCCGATGAGCCCGAGGATGATGCGTGCTCCACCGTAGCTGGTACGCCAACAGCTAGACGGTGTGCAGCTGCCGTGTGGTGCATCTACGTCTAGTGGGCGTCAGATAGCCGCTATAGATGCCCACGGTAGAGTGAATCTCGACTTCTCACCTTGTACCGCTGCATGAAATCAGCGACATCCCGCACGGGCATGGGTCCATCCATCGTGCCCCCTAGAGGTCCGACGCTATTCGGGGATTGACTCTCAGGCACAGCTACGAGCTTCATGAGGGTCTTGAATTGAGCAAGCAGTCGCTGACATGCGGGCGCGTATCTGGCGTGCTCGAGAGACGGAGGCAAGTGTCAGCCGGAGCGAACCCACAAGGTTCATCACAACCATCATCAGTCGAAGATGTTACGACTCACGTCTTGTCGTCCACGCCATGCCTAACATAAGCTCGCTCTAAGTATTCCAAAGATACGATGATGGAGAACAAGGTGGCCATACTCTCCCACGCATCTCTCGTCGCTGCCGAATGAGGCGAGTAGAGACGCGCTTCCTGCAGAAGCAGAAGGAGACCGAATGTGAGCTTTGGCTCACAATCGCCGCTTTGACAGGAGGTGGTGCACCTTCAAAAACGTCGTCTGCGCACCTCATAAGGATTGATATCTTGCATCTTGCCGAGTAACACCACCCTAGTCCTGCGCCGTTGCTTGGTCAGCCTCTTGCCAAAGTACCCCCGTGCCTGGCTGGACAACGACGAGAATCGCCCGTCAGAGAGGAGAAGCGAGAACGCAATGTAGGCACGACTTGTCCTGCGAGAGCTAGAAGGTGGCCTCAAGTCTTGAGTCGCAGTCGTGAGCGGATGTCTCTTCGTGGAGCTTGATCGCAATCTTGAATGTTGACTCACGATTCAGATTGGCAGCACAGCCCGCCGACAGCAGCATTCACGTGATTCTTGATTCGTGCGCGTACTGAACGGGCGTGGTCAGGTGATCTTGATTCGTGATTTACGGGGTCGATTCACGATTCACAGATCGCACGTGAGCCAATCCTTCGGCGGAAATCGGCCGTGTGAGAATTCTGGAGGACGACTGTGGCGAACATAGCGCGTCGGAAGCCGGCCGAAACTGAGTGCTCGAGAGCCAAGCTGAGCTCATCGTGTACATTACATTAATAATTGAGCACGGATCGATGTAAGATTCACAATTGTGATTTGCCTACCTGGTTACAACATCAGCTAGGCCTCTCAGGAGCAAGCACCGCCTGAAAAGAGATTGGCTCCGCGTAGCCGAATCAGCTAATGCGAACGCGTTGAACCTCGACGGGTCCTGAATCACGATTCAAGATTGAGATGTGAAAGCATTTGGCGGAGATGCATCATTTGTGATGGTGTGATTGACCATGCCGACGAGCCTGATGAGTCTCTTGTGAGTGTTCTGCGTCAAGCGCGCAGATCTGATTTGATTTCGCATGCCCTGCAAATCTTTGAATGATACACAGACCCCTCCTCCTCATGTTCCGTATCAGAAGCCGTGCAGCCCCTTGATTATCCAGCGAGGCCCCACATGTTTGTATTGTACTACTACTGTCTGTCAGACTCAAACAATACCCGCGACACGGCACCGCCGCGTGCGTCCCACCATCAGCAGAGGGCGTCAGGCAGAGCTAAGCTCCCGCGGCCGTGGCGAAGCAAAGGCTTCTGACTCGTATTCATTTCGATTGAAGATTCTTGATTGAGTAGTATTATTGATATTGACGCGATTAATCTTGCTGCTGCTGACTGCCGGTGCGCGCGCAAAAAGGCACGTCGCAATCGGTCACGTTCGTGCAGCAGCGTCGCGAGGCCCCCCCCGCGAGGAAATCAAGAAATTTCGACCTTTGAATCTTGGATGTCAAGGCAGCACGGATCCTGGGATCGAGAAAGCACGCTTAGCGCGGAAAAGAAGGTTTCCAAATTGAATCATCGAGAATTCGCGGGGCCTCGTTCGTGCCTTTCTCATCTCACGCTCAGACCTGCAGCAATAAGGCTCGTCTTAGCTGATCAGCACAAATGAGCTAACCTCGCGTGACCGCGGCATTTGAAAGCCCGAGCTGGGTCTGCATTCAAATTCAAGTTGACATCCCTATATGTGTGGTCGTGCATCGACATCACAATCAAATGGATCATGAATTCGATATTCTTGAACGATGTTGATGATTAGGACGCACGCGGGTCTCATGTAATTTTTTTGACAGCTGATCGAGATGATAATTCTGAACATATGTATAGTCAGCGCCCATGCAGCATGCAGCAATCGCGAATTAAGGGAGCGGCTGCGTGGCCATCGCAGCGGCAGCAGACGCCGCGGGAAGCGCTTCCTCCGCCGCACCGCGACAGACGCGCGGCGGGCGCATAGGATGCGATGCCCTTTCAAATTCTGCACATTCACACACTCAATTCCGAGCAACGCACTCACGATTTCCGTCTTGCATTTGTGCATGACCATCCCCATCCAAGCTCCGCGACTTGCTCCAACCTCTTGCCCTCAACATCATCTCTGGTGCATCGCATTCCCACCTTTCGCTCAACCACACCCATCGCTCCCTGCGCCCCTAGACAGTGAGCGAGGCCGAGTCAGCTAGCATACACACTTCCGAGCCGACTGACCCAAAGACCGGTTCTTGCCGTTTTAGCTGGTCTTTGATCTGGTGAAACTCAAGCAAGATGCCGTCTACGGCTGACCTCTTAGTCCTGGGTTAGTTCAAAGAGCCCATTCACGGCCAGCGCGGCACCCACAGCTGATGTGCGCGCTGTCCTTCCTTTGCACCTGGACTTTCCCAGCTCTGATCGGCCTTGGTGCCGTGGTGTATCTCTTCAAAGACAGCATCTTTTCCAAAAAGATCGACACTTCCGCGAGCAAGCTTGCGCAACCAACCTCCTTTGACGAGGAAGGAGGAGATGATTTTGTCTCCAAACTAAAGGAGCAGGTGAGCACTCGCGCGCGCTAGCATCGAGGGTGTCTTTGGGTCACGCAGCGACGCATACAAGAACGCTTGGCTCACACCTGAGCTCTGTTGGCCTCATTTACGGCTCAGAAAAAGCGCATTGTCATCTTTTGTGAGTTTGCGCAGCATCTCGAGATGCGCTGATCCAGCTTTGAATAGCGCAAAGTTCTCACCGCCTCTTGCCTGAAAACCGCGTGAACGACTTTCAGATGGCTCTCAAGTGAGTACGAGATCCAAAAGCCGCGCCTCTCGTCTTCCTGACAATCAATTTCTTGCTGGCAGACTGGAACTGCAGAGGAGTATGCAGTGAAAATCGCAAAGGAAGCAAAGGCTCGATTCGGCACCTCTTCTCTCGTGCTCGACCCCGAGGAATATGAGTTCGACAAGCTAGACGCTCTTCCCGCGGACGCAGTAGCAATCTTTGTTATGGCCACCTATGGAGAAGGCGAGCCCACAGATAATGCTGTGAAGCTTGTAGAGCACGTTGCCGAAGAGTCACCACAATTCACGCAGGGCGACAATCTCGAGAGTCTCAAGTACGTCATCTTTGGTCTCGGCAATCGCACATACGAACACTACAACAAGGTCGCCCGCGATCTGGACTCACGCTTGCAGGAGCTTGGGGCAACTCGCGTCGGCGAGCGCGGAGAAGGCGATGATGACAAGAGCATGGAAGAGGACTATCTCGAGTGGAAGGATGGCATGTTCGAGGCTCTTGCGCAGGAGTGCGGTTTCGAAGAAGGCGGTGGCGGTGAGGTGGAAGATTTCGAAGTTGCGGAAATCGATGATTTCGAAGAGGACCGCGTGTACCAAGGAGAGCTCTCTGCCCGTGCTTTGCTTGGAACCAAAGGAATCCACGATGCCAAGAACCCTTACCCTGCGCCCATCATCAAGGCGAAGGAGCTATTCAGTCTGAGCGGCGAGAGGTCATGCGTGCACATGGAATTCGACATCGATGGATCGGGCATCTCGTACCAGCATGGCGACCACGTTGCTGTCTGGCCCAACAATCCAGAGGTCGAAGTGGAGCGCATTTTGGCTGTCCTGGGTCTCACCGAGAAGCGCTTCACAGTCATCGATGTCGAATCCCTGGACCCAACGCTCGCCAAGGTGCCCTTCCCCGTGCCCACTACTTACGATGCCATTTTCCGCCACTATCTTGATATTTCAGCTGCAGCTGGTCGTCAGGCAGTAAATTCCTTTGCAAAATACGCCCCCAGCGAGGCTGCCAAGACCGAGCTCGCGAAGATCGGATCGGACAAGGCGTACTTTGGCAAGAAGGTCGCAAACCGCTCCCTCAAGCTCGCAGAGGTTCTGCAAATCGTTGCTGGCGATGACCTTCGCGCGGAGCCTAGCAAGTCCACCCCATGGCAAATCCCCTTTGACAGAATCATCTCTGCGATACCCCGCGTCGGCCCTCGATTCTACTCCATCTCTTCCAGCCCCAAGCTGTATCCGAAGGCCGTTCACGTCACCGCGGTCGTCCTGCGCTACCAAGCTGCAGACGGAGGAGAGTACATCCATGGACTGGCAACCAACTTTATCAGCACGCTCAAGCAAAAGTACAACCAGGAGCAGGTTGACGCTCGCATCAAGTCTCCTTACTACAATATCGAGGGACCTCGAGGCGCGTATATTGCGGGAGGTCACCTTCGCGCTCCTATCCACATTCGTCGCTCCACCTTCCGATTGCCCACTTCCCCCAAGATCCCAGTCATCATGATCGGCCCTGGTACAGGTGTCGCGCCATTCCGAGGATTTGTGCAGGAGCGCGTAGCTTCTGCGCAAAAGGCGATCGAAAAGAATGGACCAGAGGCGCTCAAAGATTGGGGCAAGATCAGATTGTTTTACGGATGCAGAAAGTCGAACGAGGATTTCTTGTACAAGGAGGAGTGGGAAGAGCACAAAAAGGCCCTAGGAGAAACGTTTGAGATGCACACAGCGCTCTCTAGAGAGAAGTTTAAGCCGGACGGATCCAAGCTGTACGTGCAAGATCTTGTTTGGGAGCAGCGCGAGGCCATCGCCAAGGACATTCTCGACAACAAGGCCTACATTTTTGGTGAGTGCTCGCTAGCATGCCCACCTCGCAGATTCTCTTTGTGGGTTTCGTTCTCTGACGGCACTTGCAATTTGCGCTGTCTGCTCAGTCTGCGGTGAAGCTGCAGGCATGGCTAAAGATGTTGAAGCGACCCTCGTTCGCATCTTGTCCGAGGCCAAGGGAAGCGCCGAGGATGGCAAGAAGGAGTTGCAGCTTCTCAAGTCCCGCTCGCGTCTCTTGCTAGACGTTTGGTCATAGACTGTCTCACCTACAATTCAGATGTCGCTTCGATTGTGCTGTCCGGAACTGGGGAAATGATATGGCATGGCTGCGTCTAAATTTTAGCCATCCCTCCAACGCACTCCCGTCATTGGACCCCCACCCCTCTCTTCGCCTCGGTGCGATCTCCCTCCCCCTTTTCACCTTTTCACTTCGAAGCTATACCGGTCGAGTCTCCCCTCTACATGTGACTTGATCGCCTTCTAAGCTACCAATCTTGCACCTTGTCCGAGGTCACACGAAATCGCAAAATAAATTTTACAGAGGCTTTGGGGGGCGGGGAGCGCTACCTCGCCTCCTTGGGATGATCAAAGGAGGTCGAGGTGAGTGTTTCTGCCAAGAAATGCTGACAGGCAGTCTGACTGTCACACGAGCAGCTATAGGATCAAAGCAGCCGGCGAATGCAATGTGAAACGATGAAATTTGTGGCGCTCCAACGAGCAGATGACCCGGTTCTGATTGCGTGAGGCTTGCGTGACTCGTCTATGTGCGCACGTGCCAACGACTTCGCACGATTGAGTGTTGCTGAGGCCGCGAGGGGAGGAGGGGCGAGAGGCAAAGAGGCGATTGTACATCGAGATGGATGAGTGCAGGCAAACCTCGGGGCTGGAATGTAGCGAGCTCAACAATACGTCGGTCTGCTAACGCGATGATAATCGAGCAGCTGAAGGGCCGAAGCGTAGACCACGTGCAGAGGTACTTGAAGCTCTGGCAAAGAATCGACTGGTGCATCGTACGATGCATCTTGCCCTCCTTGCGCATTCAAGAGCACACCAGCATTAGGACCGGTCGGCTGCGATTGGCTCAACGCTTTGCCTGGCTCGCCGCCTGCTTGAATGTGGGAGAGGAAGGCGACGAGTCGGGAATGCATCGTCTCTAGACGGGCCACCAGCCCGCCGTACCTCAGATCCAATGTTTCCCAGCCAAAAGGCTGAGCAGGCGAAATGGATGCGAACGACATCAGCAAGAGGAAAGCAAAGTCCAGTCGATCTGTCAATGCTGCAAGATCAGCGCCTGTCGACTCGCCTTGTACGTAGAGTGCCACATGGTGCAATGATACTTGTGCAAGCGCTGCACAGCAGCACGTAGACGGCTCATTCGACTGACAGGTTCAGGTCCAGCCAAAGCGTACAGCTCCTTCCAATCCCTTGCAACATAAGCCTTGTGCAATCTCAAGCGAAGAGCAGCCTTGAGGGAAAGTGCGCTCGCGAGCAGCTGGGGAAGACGCAGCCTGGCATTCAAAGGATGATCGGCTATGCTTCGAGCAGGCGCACTGGTTTCGTCTGGCGCGGTGGATGCTTGCGTGGAGAGCCGAGCTGAGAGATAGGCGTCTAGCTCCGTGTAGTGCGTCTCTAAATCTATTCCTGACGCTTCTACACTGGGAGAGATGAAACCTAGAGCTGGCTCTTCCCACAAGAGCCACTTGCTAGTGTTGGGCGCGCTACGTGAAAGGGGGAAAAGGGAGGTGAAGTGTGGACGCGCACGCATCAATCAGCTCCCTCTGCATTGAAATTGAGGCAAGAGCGATGTGCAACTTACAAATGTATGCGATCATCGATGCTCTGTTCTTCCGGATTCATATCGTCAAGCCGAGAAGCCATGACGTAGTCGTTGAAAGAAGCTCCGACAATCCCATCAAAACGAGCTCGCATGCGAGGCAGATCCACCTCTTCCGTCTTCTCGTAGCAGTGTTCAGCATAGTAGTGCCAGGCAGGTAAAGCAGACAAAGGGTCTTGTTCGTTCCCTTCGTCTCCCCAGCACGTCACCATGACGTGCTTGACGCCGCTGTTTGGTGCCTTGCTGGCGTTCAGGTTCGCTTTGCATGTAGCGAAGGAGAATGGAAGGGCTGTCCAGTGTCTGGTCCAAGTCCAAATACCAGCTGCCATCCAGGGACTCTTTCGAGCCAGCAGCTTATGACTGTCTATGCGATCCGAGTAGGATTTCTTGCTTGTATGATAGTAGTCCCAATACACCAGATCCACATTGGGAGGAATTCCATCGACGGATGTGGGTTGAGCAGAGTCGTAATAGCCCAAGAGGGAATTGTTGCGCGCAGAGAGGCAAAAGAGCATGTCTGACCAGATCATGGGTTTGAGTCCCAATCCCAATGCCAGAGCATTGACCTTTTGCAAATGCTCCACAAACACCCTCGTCGGTTCTTTGTAGTTGTGCTGTCCAAAGATCTGATGGTAGCGTCCATGCGCCAAGCCGTGCGTCTCATCCATGCCCAGGTGGACCCTCTTCGAACGAAAAGGAGCCGTAGCTGCGTGCAGCATCTTTTCCAGCATGACGTACGTCTCTGGCCATTCTGCCAGCAGCACCTCGGTCGTGTCTCTCAGTGCCAGGTATTTGGGCCACTGAAGCATCTGGCCCAAGTGTCCCAACGTTTGAATGCACGGAATGACCTCGATGCCCAAAGCGAACGCATAGTCGTCCACCTCCTTTAGCTCTTCGTGCGTGTAGCCGCCTCTCAAGTAGCCAAAGAAGGGTTCTCCTTCAATCTTGTACGTATCTTCCGTGTACAGCTGCAACATGTTGTAGCCCATCAGCGCCAGGCTACGAAGCATGAACTTGATCGACACTACTCGAAGCACACCATTTCTTGAGCAATCGATCATCGTGCCCACGGTCTCGAACGTCGCGCTTTCTTGCAACGAGAGCTTTTGCACAGCCAGCTCGGGGTCGAGGGCCCACTGCTGAGAAGTAGCATCGAACAGTCCGGTCGGAATGCTGCCCGCACCGCGACGTTGGAGCAGGTGCTGCGCAGGCACGATCAGGTCCCGCGTCACGCCCAACACGTGTCCCAATCCCCTAAAAGCTTCGCTAAGTCGAGTGTACGAGATCAGAACGACAAACGAACTCTCCAGATCCGGTGCGCCGGACGATGTGCTTCGCAAAAAGGTGCCATCGTTGGAACAATTCACTTTAAGCCCACCGCTGGGCAGAGTCGAGTCGTGCTGGAAGCTGCGCGCCGCGGGAAGCATGAGATCAGCTACGAGCCTCAGCCAGCGCAACGATAAGAGGGATTGCGATGGGCACGCCCTCGCATTCCTTCTTCCTCGCTCTTCGAATGATGACCCCCTCGTAAAGAATCACACTCACGCCACATTCCACCACCAAGTAGCACCGCCACGTGTCGTGCGACTCGAAGTCTCGATTTTCCCTGAAACAGGTACGAAGCCCTGATCTCTATGCTGTGCGATGTGTATGTTCTGTCTTGGCGTGTTGCTAGCAATCTCTCGCAGACCGGCAAGGAGATCCGTCGGGACATTTTCGATCGGGATGTGCAAGGAGATGGTTGGGATGTGCACCGAATGGCTCGTTTGCACGTCCCCATCGAGCGAGGGCAGTGCGGGTGTTGCGGACAGCACATCGACTGAAGTTGCTGCGGCGGACATGACGAGTCCAAGTGGGGGGTCAGTCTGACAGACTCGCGCGCGTGCGATTTGAGATTCCGGACGGAGCGTGAAGAGGATGGGGGATGGGGATGGTGGCTTGCTGAGGGCGACACGTTGGCAACGTTGGAAGGCGGGAAAGAGAAGGTTGGATATCCGATGAGATTTGCAAGTTCGATCAAAAAGGTGAAGAAAGTAGGTCAGGATGTCGTCCGTGTCGATGGAATGAATGCCATTGATGGACTTGACCCAATTCGAGCAGTCGTTCGTGAGTTGCGAGTCGTGATCGAAGGATCAAATCGTGAGCCTGCTGAGAGTGTGTTCGCGGTGCGTACTTTGACTGTTCCATGTGCATGCACCATGCACCATGCACCTTCTCCATCAGCACGCAAGCACGGCGACTTGCGAGTGCGCGTTCGAGTGCCCCGCCTCTTTACAGCTGCACCGTGCCCATTGTGATTGGACCCATGGAATTTACCGCTCAGCAGAGAGCTTCTCGCCCGCTCGCTTCGATGCGCCTCTTCCAGAGATCTGCTGGTGCATGCAGCACACATCATGCACTTCCGGCCGGCCGGCCTCTTGATGCGCTCGCTCATGATGGCATTCGTGATTTGTGCAACACTCCGCCGCATGAACTTGATCTGCGCGTCCGTCCGCGTGCGCGACCCCAAACCAAAAAAATAGGGCTCGCAGACCGCAACTCGCGAGTGCGCTCACACCTCAGCAACAACTTTTGACTTGTGTTGATGTCGCAAGACGGCAGCACGAATCGCCTGCTGCCGATGCGTCAGCCGAGTCCAAAATCTCACATGCATCTTCAACGACTTGTCCAATCCTCTTGCACTCGCTGGACACTGCGAGATCAGGCGTCACGGGGAGGGAAAGCAGGTAGATGATCGTCCGCGGTGATCTGATGTGCGAGGGAGGGGCCAAGTACGCTACAAAAGCAATGGTTGCAATGCAAGGAGAAGACGAGGGAGGGATTACAGAGGCATCGAGAAAGGCGCGCTGAAGAAGTACGAGAGGGTCCTAGGTGCTTCAACATGATGAAGGTGGTTTGTGCTTTGCTTTCTTTTTGTTGCGTAGCTATGGACTGACCAGTCGAACCGACGAGTCGATCGGCGCGCTTCATCGTGGCATAGCGTCCGACAAAGCAGAATCCATGGCCCACCTGATCGGCCCGTCACTTGGTCGAGATGATCCATTTACAGGGTCCGCGGTGGGCGGGATGGGAGCCGTCGCGCTCGGTGGTGCCGGGGGACGTTCGAGAGCTGGAGCAACGGCACTTCCAAGCATGGACGCGTCCGTAGGCGGGACGCTCAGCTGAGCAAAAGCGTTCAGGTAGCTGGATGATGGGGGCGCGCGCGCGCAAAAACGGTCTGTGATCAGCATCGCGATTGCGGACATTTCAAAGATGGTCAAAGAGGTCATGATGAACTCACTCGGACTGGAAATTAAGCCAAGGGAATCGATCTTGATGCGCCAGGGGCACAGCACCCATATACTGGTCAGCTGCACGGAGATAAGATTGCGCGTCCGAAAAGTCGTTCGGACTGCCCATAAAGGGCGCCTGCGAACCGTCTTGCTGCGGCACGCTCCAGTCTGGGCTAAAGTCGATGTAGTCTTGGATGAATGTGCGAGCTGGGCGTTGGACTGAAGATGCTGCATCCGGAAACGCAGCTGTGGTTGGAGCGCTGGCAAAATTCGAGCTGAAGCTCTGAAAGCCTGTTGAGAAATCAGGAGGTCCTAGCGCTGGGGCTAGTGGCATCTGAGCGAGCACAGCGCGTCGAGAGTGCTGTTCTGGCAGCGACACTAGGGGTGCCGGCTGAGTTTTGCTCTCCATCGGCTCGAGACCTGAATCATTGGCCTCGCGGGGCACCGACTGCTGACCAGATGCGCGCTCTCGAGCGACCCCATTCTTCGCCTGACTTTTTCCAGCGGACTCCTCGCTCTTGCGCTCCAACAAAGCTGCAACGACTTGACGATGATGTTCCGCTGCACTCCACGACTTGCCCATTTTTCCCAGCCACCGCAGCGTCTGTTCTAGCTGTTGCTTGGCTTCCGCGACCACGACGGGGTCGGGCGAGGTGGTGTTTGCGAGGGAGATGGTTGCCGAGGTGTACAGCACGTACACGAGCAGAGTCGACGACTTGCGTATATCGAATGTCTCTTCGTACAGTTGGAAGAGCTGGCATATATCGCGAGCACTTTCGGAGCAGACGACGTGCGAGGAGGGCATTTCGCCGTCGTGCTCCGGAAACTTCGTTTTGATGTAAGGCCGATGAAGCACAATCATGATGGCCCTCCACCACAAATATTGACTTAGCAGTTGCGGCATCTGATTCTCGCTTTTGCTGATATCGAGACAGCTTGGCATTTCTTCTCTCCATCTTACCAAATCTCGATGACAGCGCGCTACAGCTTTGCCGGTGGGCTCGCGTTTCGCTGGATCGACCTTGCTGTGAATTGTGTTGTACTGCAGGCGCAAGGGAAGCTTCAAGTAAGCAAGGCCCTGCTCGACTGGTCAAACAGCGGTCGTTGCGATCATATCTTACCTGAGCGATTACGCCTTCCGCACATTGAGCCAACTTGGCTCCAGCAACTTGAAAGGTGATGCTTCGCGGTTTTGCATCCCTGAGCTTCCACAGAGTCGGCGGTTTGAAGAACATGGCGGCGCCAGGTCCATCCGTCCAGAGCTCGTTCTCGTCTGGAGAAGTCTTTTCGTCCGCCGATGGAAAGGGGCAATCCGTCTCGACGTCACGCAGGATAGGCGGGCGACCCAGTTGTAAGCTGAGGCATTTGTCCATCATGTAGCAGCCCCAAAAGAGGCGACGTCTGCATTGATCTTCGGCGACGCTGTACGAATGACCCAAGGCTCTGGAGACGTCCAGGTGGCGGTGCAGACCAATGTCCAGGCTCATCCTGCTTGCTGCACCAGAATACTGGGCACACTGCGACATTCGCCCCGCGCCGCATTCGTGCAGAGCCATGAACATCAGAGCTGCGACATTGGAGAGAGACGATTCGTGGTTGATACGCATGAGGAAGTATTTCGCTCTGATAAAGAAGATGGTGCTAATCTCCCGCGCAGTCACTGGCTTGAGAGAGTCTCCGCTGCCATTGGCCAAGCCTGACGCTTCGCTTGCGGCACGAGCGGCCTGATCTTGGAGCAGAGTCGATTCCGTCTCGTCATCGATGGATGCGCTCACCAATGCGCAGATGGCATTAAATAGCAGCGGCTCCTCCTTTTCGCTGATCTGGGGCACGCCGTTCTTCACGGGAATCTTGGGCTTGTAGAGCAAAGGCCAGTGCATGGCGCAGGTCATCCAATATAAGGCAAAGAGCCGGTCGATGATGATTTCCGGAATTGTCACGTCCATGATTTCGTTGTAGGCGAAACGTTCCTCCATTCCACAAATGTCTGGGCCCGTTCCTATGGCTTCTGAGAGCCGTTGAGATCCTCTCAGGTCGCGAATGGACGCGAGGTACTGCGGCAAGGGATTAGCAGTCAATCTGGGTTCGCGCGATGACATCAATTTTGCCCCTCTGCGCTCATTGTGCCACCCCTCCAGAGCCGCATCCGCGAAGCGAGAATCATCAGAGGTCTCAGTCCAGTGGAGATAAGGGCGATCCTCTGTCAGTGCAGTGGATGCCGATGAGTATCTGTTTCTCTCATCACCTCGCGAAGAAGCGCCTTGCGAGCTCTCAGTGCGAGATCTCGAGCTTCGCGTTGTGGTGGCCGCGTCGTGCAAGAAACCCGTTGACTCTGAAGCGTGGTGAGGCGGACCTGCCCAAGCTGCTCTACTTCGATTCGTGCCTCCCCGCGTAGATGCGTCTGGACCCCACTGTCCCATGTCCGGGATGCCATCCCGCGGCGTGTGGCTCGTACCAGCACTAGATGAGGAGCGCAAGCGAGACAACTTGGGAGGCGGCAGATACGGCTCGAACGAGCCTGATGCTACAGCCATGCCGCTAGTGCTGCCGCGATATTGAAGATGGGTGGTATGGGCTGCTGGGTCGAGGGGTCTGATAAAAGCACCTTTGAGGAAAGGATCCTGTACTGAGCGCCTCCTTTCGCGTGACTGGTATGACTCTTCCCGTTGCCGAGAGCCTAGGCTTGACGGCGATTCGACGATGCTATTGGTTCGTGGCTGCGCTGGTTCGTGCTGCCCATGTCCATCGGCCACTTCTCGTGCCACCTCGTCGGGATAAGTCCCTCGGAATGGAGGAGCGTTCTTAGGTTGCGCCTCGGAGTGGTCCAGAGAGGATCTATCTGCAATAGAGGTAGCGTAGCTGTCGGCTGATGGGCGATGCCCATCGCTGGTATGAGCGAGACGTTCGGACCTCAAAGCGGTGGCGCGGGCGCGAATGGAGCCCTTGGGTGGACCACTGCGAGCAGTTGTACGCATTGGACGCGACTTGTGAGTGACATCGAGACGACGCCTGCTCGGAGCTACTCCATACCGACTCACCGTTTCTTGGCTTGTCCGTACTCGCAGGTAGCGTGCGTGCGCACACAGGTAGCGCATGGCTGTTGACCATCGCACTTGACCCGCTTAGCGCTGCAGAGCTGTTCACGCAGCAGACAAGGCGGGCGAGGAAGAAGGGAAAAAGGGTCAAAGTCGCACTTGGCAGACGCAAAGATGTTCCCATAGACACACCTTGCAAGCCTGTGGTATCCGCCGCTTTTTGCGCGTAGGGGTCGCAAAATCTTCGTATGCAGGTGACGAGGCGCTGGTTCGTCTCGAGCCTAAAGATGAACCGGCTTGGCCCACACCTTCCATCTGTGGGTGTTGGTGGCTGTGAGCCGGATGAGCGAAATGGTCCATGGCAGCGTTGGCCCTTGGTCCTTGGCGCCTGGGCTCGTCCTGTCAGGAGGTCGATGGCTTGGTGAACATGTCTCCAGCTTGATGATCTCGAGTGTCGAGTGGAAGAATATGGGAGCATGGAGAGGTACGCCATCGACCTAGGATCTCCGTCACGAATTTACCGGTACAAATGCTCCTTGCGCGCATTTTGCGGCTCACGACGCCAAAGTTCGAAGCATACACGCATGCAGCTTATGATGCATGCACTCACGCCTTCAAGCATTCGCAGTCACGACTCTTGAGTCACAGTCGTGAGTGCGTGCATGCTTCTTGTGATGCAAAGCAGAAATGCACCGGTAGGTACATGCAGCTACCGCATACCGGTACGGTGGTATCGGTACAGTCTGCGAGTCACGTGAGTATGCTGTGCCTCGATCGCTGCCGCCCTTACGTCCGACCCGATACGATTCGCACCTTGATCAGCGCAACGCGCGTGCGGGCCGCGATAAGCACTCGTCTGCACTGTGACTACTTTGACTCTAGCCCTCCCACCTTTAAAGTGACTCGTCAGTGTGTGCCTCAGCATTCACGATTGCATTCGTCACCCACAACTCGAGCTGCGACGACGACACGGTACCCGTCTCTGCGCATGGCAGACTACGCAGCAGTGCATGGTGGACAACGGCTGAGACGCGGGACGCGCGACCAGCTGACCTTCATGTATACAGACTGCGCTCGTGCCGACAGTAGCATGCTGACGAGTATAGTCACTGCTTGAGTCTGGTGGTGTAAGTGAGACATTCGCGATTCGCGATTGGAAAGCATGTTTTTGATTTGATATCATGCAGCGAGGTCACCTTTCTTTTTTGAGTCATCACGACGATGTCGTGCGTGGTGTGCGCACGCAGAAGCAGCAAGCAGCAGCAGCGGCAGCAGCAAGCCTCGACTGACGACTAATTGCCGCGCAAATTTGAAATCACGACGAATGTCGGTCATATGTACCGGAGTGAAACAAGAAGGTAGATGGATGTCCTGGCGCGTGTGGAGGGAGCAAGGGTTCGCAATGAAGCAGCAGGGATTGCATGCACGCTAGCGAGAGCCCCGCTGCGCATCATGCATGAAATCGTGAATCGGAGGCGCAAGGGTTGCATGATTCATGATTGCTGCTCCTGCTGCAGCCGGCATTATGGTTATTGACAGCCTAGCTTTGCACGCGTTTCAGTTGTGATTGGGTATAGCTCAATCCTTGCCCGTATCACTGTGCTGTACCTGTAGGTGTTAACTACCGCGGGATACCCGCCTGATTGTTGGGCAACACAGCGCAAGTCTCGGTGCGCTATATATATGAACAAGGGCGGTCGCGGTGGGTCGCGATTCGCGCGAACATGTATACGCGGCCGTAGTATACTTGACCATCGATGCCAAGCCGAGCTCCCGCTTTCTTCATTTCCACGCTTGACTAGGCTTTTGACTCGGACTCTTGACTATGAGGCTTGCGCTGCCAGATGATTCACAGCTTGCTGAGGTTCTGCGCGGATGTGGTCAGAGTTTGAAGCACCGCAATCACCTTCCTCTCCCCCTGAACGTGCGATGTTTGATCTACAATCACAATACCAAGATCGAACCATGCGGCGGCGGCTGACAACACTTTTGAATCAGAATCACAATGGCATGATAGCAATTAAACCGCAAACCATTTTTGATTCGATCGCGTGGATCTGTGGTAAGTGGATCATGATGATAATAAGCAGCTCATCGAGGGTCTCCTTCACTCGTGACTTGGTTTGGGCACTCGTGATCGAGTTGTGCAGAACGCACGTGCTTGTTGACGCAGTCACAGCGATGGCGGCGTGGGAAGGGCGGCGAATTCAAACCATCTTGCATCAAATGGACCATCTCACAAACCCAAATTCCGATTGATCTCGGTGTCCCCGACACTTCTTGAATTGCGAATTCATCCTAGCACTCAAGACTCAAACTCAACTCAGTGACTGTAGCCATTTAAGATTCGAATACGTGATTGCGATTCAAGATTCAAGTGAGTCACAGACGTGAGCACGTGATCAGGTGCTTAGGGGCACGCGGTTGCATGCATGCATGCCGATGCATGGGCTGTGTTCATCATCCATCATGAAATATATTTGATTGGTGATTCTTCTGTTTGTGATTACCTGTATCAGCTATAGGCGATCCTGCTTGTGTACTCGTGACTTGTATGAGCAACGTCAATCTTGGATTTGTGGTTCGCAATCAGACTTCAAGAATAGCCAAGGTTCAGAAACGCTACCCTTCCGCCTTCTTTGTGGATGCCGTTGCATTTCGCAGCTAGGACAAGCCGCGCAGCAAGAGAATCGCAATCGTCAAGTGAATCACGAATGGAGCGGACTGACAAGGCGCACATCCCGCACACATCCGGTGGCTGCGTCGTGAGACCGCCGCCTCATTCTGCTCGCGTTTGTCTGACAGAATGAGTGAAACATCGGTGCCGCCTGTTTTGGGGCAGGCGGATGCGGAAAGGCAAGAGAGGCAGACTATGCAAGAGCTGAATGGAGGCACGGTCCGACCTCTGCAAGACCTTTGCGGCGCATCTTCACAGCCAGATCCATCCGCAGTGGGTCAGTCGCGGTCGAATGCCCAACAGAATGATCCTGCTGGTGCTGCTGCTGCTAGTCTGGATGCTCCGCTTCGTCCGGAAGACGTCTTGCAAGATTGCGATAGCGAAGGGTTGGAGATGCTCGAACAAGCTGGTGAAGAGGTGAGACGCACAGGGCGTCGCTCTATTTTCGGGGATCGTGGATGCGCGCGCGCTAAGTCAGCACTTCGCTTTCCCCTTGCGGCTCTCCGTCTGTGATTTTGAAGGAGTCCGAGAACGAAGAAGATGATGCTGCGTACAACTCGCTACTGGATGAAGGTGCGCTGGAATACCTCTCATGGCGCATCTTTTCTCACACTGACGCTAGCACCCGGCTGCAACGCTGTGTGACGGTCACGCAATAAGCCGAGCGACTGTACCCCAACGAACGTCAAGAGAGCATCGTGGAGGATTTGAAAGAGAATGGTATGGTGCATTTCGTAAAGACTTACCTCTCGGAGGCTACCACATTGCACCAGCTGCATCTCATGATCATCGGCTTTGGTACCATCCTAGTGAGACCCTTCGCTTGCACGCTCGTCCCATCCCGTGGCACACTACTAATGCAAGGTGAAGCCTCTCGTATAGCCGAGGAGTATACGTTTGAGCCCCTCCAGAGCGTTCGTCGTTGGCGTGTTGAAAGCGATGGCCTCTCGCATGTGAGTCAGCCTCGATCGCAGACACCTTTGCATCGCATAAACAACTTCTGGCGCGAAGTAAGCTCACGTCGCAGCTCTTGCCAGCCTTCGAAATCGCGAACGACTCCAACATCTCAATACTGTGGACGATGTTTTGAGCCTGCTCGCGAATGCGCGCAGAGTTGTGGTGCTCTCTGGCGCAGGCATCAGTGTCAGCTGCGGTATACCTGGTGCGTGTCTGCCGAGTGTTAATGTAGGGCTCTTTGTAAGTGTCGCTCATAAAGTGCACCTCGAGCGCTGTCACAGATTTCCGCTCCAGAGACGGCATCTATGCTAATTTGCTGCGAGAGGGCAAGTACGATCTCGCAGACCCCCAAGACGTGAGCATGGGAACCTCTTTGCTTTACAATCTGCTCAGAATGTGTCGAGCCATTGGGCTAACGCTCGTCTACACTGGCTCATCTGGACAGATGTTCGACAAGGAGTTCTTCATGCAGGATCCTTCGTGCTTCTTCAGCTTTGCGTGAGCAGTTTGCGGGTCCTTCGTCGCAGCCTGCGCGATCTGGTGCGCTTCGCTAAATTCGCGCACTTTCACCAGCAACTCCATCTTCCCTTCAAACTTCGTTCCTTCACCGACGCATCGATTCATCAAGCTCCTAGAAGACCGGAACGTTTTGCTGAGAAATTACTCTCAGAACATAGACACGCTGGAGCAGCAGGCAGGCGTAAGCATGACGACCGCAGCTTCAAGATGTCGCTCTCCCCATGCCAATCTGACAAAACGATTTCGCAAATCTCTTGACTCGTTGACGACAGATCACGAGAGTTCTGAATTGTCATGGTTCCTTTGCTCAAGCGACTTGCACCAATCCGGCCTGCGGACATTCTGTGGATGGGCAAATGATAAGGCCAGATATCTTTGCCCGAAGAGTTCCTTTTTGTCCCAAATGTCACCCATCGCAGACACAGGGATCTCAGGCCAAGAAGAGAAAGAAGAGACAGGGCAAGGACTGGCAAAGCGATGATGAGAGCGACGAGGAGGACAAGAGGCTTGATGCTCGACCAGCTGGATGGGGCGTCTTGAAGGTGAGTCGGAAGAGCCGAGGCATGGATACTCGAGTCGTGAGTGATCCTGACGAGCGCGAGGGTGCGTGCGCCTTGTCCGAATAGCCGTGCATCACGTTCTTTGGCGAGAAGCTGAGCGACGACTTTGACCGATGTGAGCAGCGTTCATGCCATGATTGCGCGTCGATCGATGGCCATCATTCGGACGCTGAACTCTGACTGAATACTCTGCTCTCGGTTATCCGATGACCGCCGCTCAAGGTCTTTTCCGAGATCGCGAGTCGGTGGATCTGATCCTAGTGATGGGCACATCGCTCAAAGTGGCGCCGGTTTCCGAACTGATAGGTCATATGCCCCACCGAGTTCCCGTCGTCCTGATCAATAGGACTCCCATACGACACATGGCGGTCGACATTCAACTGTTGGGAGATGCAGACTTGATCGTTGCGCACCTGTGCGAGCGGCTGGGATGGGATTTGCCCCCTGCTTCTGCTGCGAGCAAAGCACCGCTTGCCCAGATGGAGCGTGTGGGTGGGCTTGTTCCGCAAAGAATGGGCACGAGGTGAGTCGTCGCAGTTTGCGTTTGCTAGAGGTGATGAGCGTGAGCTGCGAGTGGGTTCTGGGCATGCACTGAAATACTGATTCGGCCTAATGCACAGTCACTGCTGGCTTTTCCCTGGCGCTGAGCCGGGCAATCTTTTGGAGTTGCTCGACGACGACGAGGAGGAGGAGGAGGAGGAGGAGGAGAAGGAGGAGGAGGAAGAAGAGGAGGAAGAGAAGGAGAAGGAAGAGAAAGAGGAGAAGGAGGAGAAGGAGAAGGAGGAGAAGAAGGGGGAGGAAGTGTAGGATACATCCCAGCATCAGCCAGACAGGCACTCGTACGCGATCGAAAAAAACACGAACGAGACGCGCGCCGGAGCAAATGCAGCTGCCTACGAGTAAGAACGTCGATCGATCGAGCGTTCGGATGAGGAGGAGGAGGAGGAGGAGGGACATCTGGGGAACAGAGCAGCATAGACGCACCCTCTAGAAGGTGTTGCTTGGAGGTGGAAGCCGCATCTCGCTGTGCAGAAGGTGGAAGAGCGGAGTGTCGTGGAGGATGAGAGAGCGGGCAAAAGACGACGAGTGGGAGGAAAACCAAAGGCGCGCGGGATACGTTGTGCTTGGTCGATGACGTATGGCAGAAGGAGCCAATTCAAAATCTGCCAGAGTCGAACCTCGATCGACCCTACTGATCCAAGCGCATCGCATGCATTGCAAGACGATCCGTAAAATACGCTCTTCATCTCGCACCAACAGAAGCGATGGATGAGACCCTCTGCTGCTGCTGCTGTGCTGGCACTTCCGAAGCAGCATTGTTGTTGCTGCTGTGTGTGCTAGCCAAGGCGGTCCTGACATGAAAAGTGCAAGCGCTCAACTGACCCGGATGAGGTGAAGTCTCGCCCACCACACTAGCTTGCACTCCCAGTCGCGCCAATGCTCCTCGAACGATTCCCGTAGGATAGGCGAGGTGCTTGAAATTCAAAGAAGAAGAAGAACACGGGAGATGGCCGGAAAGACAGAGAGAGAGGGGTAGAGGGGGTGTCAGCGCATGGGTGATGAGTGGGGAGAACGGGCAGGTCGAGCAATCGAGTTGCGAGAAATACATCACCACCATGCAACTCGAAGCTTGGGAACGAAGAAAACGCACGATTTTGGCTGCTTGGGCGGAATCGGAAGGACCGAGCGGTGCGCTGATATGCCGAAGAGTTTTGAAGTGGTTGTCCTGCAGCACATAGACACCCTGTAGCGCGACACATTGGTCGAAGGGCGGGTTTAGAGGGGATGCAAATCGGAGTCAGTGCCGGTCCAAAGGTGGAGCAAGGGGGGAGAAAGATATTTCGTGGACTTGCTTGGATCACGGCACAAACGGAACTTCTTGCGTCTTGGCCACGACGCAAACGCACCTTGTGGTTCGTTCGCAAGTGATCCACCTGCTTTTCGAAGCTGGCAGTCCAGACTTCTTTGCAGACGAATTTGAGCACTTCCAAGGTCGAAGAGGGAGGAGGCTGTTGTCTCTCGAGCAAGAGTCTAGGTTCCCAAGCGTTTCGTAAGCGGGCCAATCGGACCAGTCAGAAAAGTCTCTTGAACTTTTGCAGCAAGATGAAGTGGGATGCTTGGACATACGAAGACTCACTTGTCTGCAAAGCCGTGCCCCGCACTAGCTCCTATCCCCTCCAACCTCCTCAACAACTCCGTCTCTTCCGTGTGAATTTCCTGATTGACGACCAGTCCCGCTTCCCTCATATCCTCAAACACCCTGTTCCTCCTCTTTCTTGCGATGATTGTAGAAGCGGCCAAGACGGATACCATCTCTATGCTCAACGCTGACAGGCAAAAGTAGTCGACTTGGTGAGCCATGCCGTTGGACTCGAGGGATGACTTGGGAGCTTGACGATGCGCGTCAGATTTGAGGAGCGGTAGAGGTGGTCGAATGGGATTGGAGGCGCTGGAAAGAGAGGCTGAACGTGCTGGGTGCGTAGATGATGGACCGGCGCTGGTGCTGGTGCTGGCATTGGCGCTGATGGAAGTTTGAAGCGCACCGGTAGAAGCAGAAGTGGGCACAGATTGCTTGATCGATCGAGCGGCAGCGCTCTTATTTAGCCCAGCCAAGGAGGAAGAGGAGGCACCTCCGATGGTAGCGAAAGAAGGATCTTTCAACATCAAGCCTACAGCCGTCTCTGCAGCGCTCCGCATCGATGCTTCTCTTCCAGCCTCTGCACCCTCACCCTCACCCTCACCCTCCCACTTGCTCACCACGCCCAATCGAGATTTCTCATCGAAAAGTCTGGCAGCACGAGCGATGGATGCAGCGACCAGCCTGCCGTGCAAATCTGACCCGCTACCTTCTGAAGAGGAGAGAAAAGCCTTGAGAGCGAGCAAAGCTGCTGCTTGACCCACTTCTTCAGGCGATACCTCTTCCCTTTCCCCACTCCCACTCCCGCTCCCACTCGACTCATCTTGAGATTGCTGATCGATCGAGTAGGCGACAACTGCGGTTTGGACCTTTTCCACGCTCTGCAACAACTTTCCATCGTCCAACTTGGATGCCAAGCTGTTCAAGCCGCTTTCTCCGCGAGTCTGTTCTTGAATCCACTCGGCCACCTTGCTATACAATGGCAGTACCTGCTCTTCGTTCGTGGCATTGTAGATGCTCTGAGCTTGAGCGGCGATTTGACCTGCATCGAAAGCAAAGGGCACACTGGATTGAGCCGATGTGCCCGCAGTGCTGCTGCTGCTGGACGAGGAAGCGGCGTTCCATTGTGAACCGCCTTGAGGTGCTACGGTCGACATGACGGACCGTAGTGTAGCAGTCAAAAGAGTAGGCGCTTGAGAGAGGAAAGCAGACCAGAGTTTGCTTGTAGGTGAGCAAGGAAATGAAGAATGTGAATGCGGGAAGGGGTTATCAGGTGAAAGTGCCAGAGTTGCATGGCTGCAATTAAGCGAGCGGCTGATCGGTGCAGCGGTGTGATCCAAGATACACGATTCAGATTGCGTGGCCGCGGTGCTGCGTGTGAGCAGCAGACGCGCGTGTGATGAGATGGGAATCTTTCGAGCAGTCACGTGATCTTCAATGATTCTTATATCCCTTGTTACCCATACCGCGTACTCTTGATTCAAATTCCTTGATTCAGATTCGAATTCACGATTCCCCCGCCCTTGTTCTGGCTTTGTGGCTACTCGTTGAAGAGCAGGCTGTTTTGCGTGTTCAGAGTCTGATGAGTAGAGCCACTGGGCGTGAGTCGTGAGTCGCGAGTCGTGAGTCGCAAGCATGGCCGTGACTCACGACTCTTGACTTGCATTCGACGCGAATCTGAATTCTTGATGCAATAATCACGAATTGAATTACTCCATCTGCCTGTCTGCCATGCAGCTGTGCTGGACAAGTCTCTTGACTATCAAGTATATAGATGACTCGCCCAGCAGGCTCTCCTGCATGTCGTCTGAATGAAATGACGAATCTTGAGCGTGCATTCGAAGACGAGTCATGATTCGATCGCAGCGAGATTCAAAGAGTCACGCTGCAGTCAGAGTCACGAGTGATGTATGTATGCCCAAGTCACCCGCGCGCAAATGTGGGCGCATGCTGCACGCGCGCCTGACTCTGACGGTACCGGTACCGTACATGACTCATAATCGCGTTCATCATGCGCGCGGCGCCCAAAAAAAAAAGGAAAGAAAAAAGTAAGTTGCGCTCAAGACTTACCGCGGTACGATGAAGATGCGGCGAGGAGGATGTGTAATTCTTAATGATTGCCATTCAAATTCAAATTCAGAGATTTCCAGCATTCAGTGCAGCGTGAGTGCAGTGCGGCAGTGCAGTGCAGCGCAGCGCAGTAGCCAGCCAGCCAGTTCGCTGCACGACTTGCGCGCTCGCAATTTGAATCAAGAATCGTGAATCCAATCCTTCGCTCCACTCGTGACTCCCATGCCACTCGACTCATCATTCGCACGCGCACGCATATCCCTCGACGACGTTCGACTGCCAAGCCATCCTGCTTCCTCAAGGTACAAATACAAGCAGCGCCTTCAATCCACATTCAGCAAAACGCAAAGCGCTTTTCCCCCCACTCACGACTGAACTTTGGGAAAGGCTCGATCAACTCCTCTGATAAGCAACCAGCTTTGCATCACCCACCACCCCTCACACTTGTCCCTCTGCGTTCATCATCTCTCTCACCATCCATCCAAGCTTCCTCTGAAGGCGCACCTCCTCGACTCAACAGTTTACGACATAACCTCCAGCACATTCCCCCACTCTCCTCACGCCCCCCCCCCAAACCCACCCTCAGCATACACGCCATGGCCGTACGTTGCCAATTTGAAAACTCCAGCGAGATTGGTGTCTTTGCCAGGTGAGTTTGGGTGGACAGGGGGGGAAGCAAGCAGCTTGGACGTCAGATCTCGCTTCGCCAGTGCAGCATCTCTCGCTCGAATGGGGGGGGGGGGGGGAATACGGGCGGCAGAACGCCACAGCAGTGTGTGTGGGGGCCAATCGGCACGTCCCACTCTCGAGAAGCACCAATAGATTCTCTCCCAGCTGATACAAAATTGCTCCGGACCATTCACCTCATTCCGCGGGCCCTCCTGCTCTCTGCAGTCTGACCAATTCCTACTGTCTAGTAGCAGTAGGCGGATCAGCCAACTTCGCCTCCACCTTTGAAGCGGAGCTGCAAGATGTGATACCGGTCATCTTCTGCACCATTGCCGGTACGCGTCTAGTGGGTCGATTGACCGTGGGCAACAGACATGGTCTGCTCGTTCCCAGCACCACGACGGATCAGGAGCTGCAGCATCTCAGAAACAGTTTGCCTGATCAGGTGGCTATTCAGAGAGTGGAAGAGAGACTGTCGGCTCTTGGAAACGTCATTGTTTGCAATGGTGAGCTTTTTCCATCTTTTTGTTTGTTTGTTTTTGGGGAAAATGGAGAGAGGGGAGAAAGCGGTAGGTGGATGGATGGATGGGTGGGAGAGTGCGTTGGAGGCGGAATCGACCGCATGGGCCGGCATCAAGTCGGCCGCATAAGCCAGGCGGCCTGCACACTCGGTCCTACACGCCAGCGAGCACCTCAAAACTAACAAAGTGCCCATCCCCAAATGTCGACGGCCAGATTACGTGGCGCTCGTGCACCCAGACCTGGACAGGGAAACCGAGGAAATCATAGCAGATGTGCTCAAAGTGGAAGTGTTCAGGCAGACTGTCGGGTGAGTGTCACTTTGCAGGGCGCGTGAGACAGATAGAGAGAGTGTGTGAGAGCGTCGGAGAGAGAGCGTTTGCATTGCCCCTCGCGCTTGTGCCTGGAACTTCTTGCAGCTCTGCCCCTGCTCAACCCCAGCTTCGCTCATGGCTGATCGCATCCGACACGTCTTCTCGATCTTGCCTTGCCCGCAGCGACAACGTCCTCGTAGGTTCCTACGCTTCCCTGACAAATCAAGGCGCGCTAGTGCATCCCAAGACATCGCTGCAAGATCAAGACGAGCTATCCTCCTTGCTTCAAGTGCCCGTCATTGCAGGAACAGTCAATCGAGGATCCGAACTGATCGGAGCTGGATTGTTGGTCAACGACTTTGCAGCGTTTGCGGGATTGGATAGCACGGCGACGGAATTGTCCGTCATCGAAGCGGCCTTCAAGATCAATCAGGCGGGCGGAAGCGGAGTGGTCGACGAACTCAGAGACGCGCTCGTCGATACGTATGCGTAGCTGTAGTGCGCAGAGCCCCGTCAATGAGAATCTGCTGCTACACAGTCGAAGCATTGCGATTGGCATTTGCGATGCTGCTCGGGGATCCGTCGAGTGTTGTTGGCGCTCAAGACGCACAGACGAGGATAAGGGGCGGTTTCGTTGTTCATTAACATGGCCGGTGCTTGGGATTGACTGGAACAGGTGATGAATCGGATGAGAGCACGATTACAGATGAGCTTTACTAGAGATTGCTGAAGCGCGATCGAGGCGAGTTGGTGGCATTGCTACACGGGATGAAGGTAGGGCGAAGGGGAGGGGGGGAAGGGGTTGGCGAGCTGAGCAAAGGCTTACCAGCATACACGAGCTCACCCTCTCACCCACACACACACACACACGCACATGCCACTCACCCATTCTGACTTTGCAAAAAGTCATCCATACCTTCGTGTTCGCCCCCAATCTTCATATTATCGCGCACGAGATCCTGCCAATCTTGCGGGTCGATGACGACGCCGCCGCCTTCTGCGCCTCTTCCAGCTCCGGCTCCAGCTCCAGCTCCATCGACCATGTCCAGTTCGCGGAAAGCGGATAACCACCAGCCGTGCGTCGTTGCGTCGTCTGTTGAGCGAACCTCTTGCCAGGTGGATTGCCAGGGCTTGTCGAGGATGTAGTGCACGTTTCGCACTTCTGCATCCACCCACATCCGAGGGTGCACGTAGCGCAACCTTGTTTGACGTCGTCGTGCGAGTCAGGCAACGCGTGCGTTCGAAGACGCGAGGGGGGGTGGGGTAAGCGGTGACGCTCTTCGAGAAAAGGGGAAGACGAGAGACGGGCCGAATGGCGTGCTCACGGCTTGAGGGCATTATACGTCCAAGGCAGCACCTGCCACTTGGACTCGAACAACGCAGCGAGGAGGTCCTTGAATTCGATTCACGCAAAGGTCAGATCAGGTCCGCAATTTGAGCGCTTTGACAGCCGCAATGATGATCCACTGACCTGATCAGGGAAGGACCAAGCCAGCACGCGCGGATCGGTACCGAGCATATGCTCAATGTCCTTCATGGTATCCAGCGAAGGCTTGAGCACGACTAGACCGCTGTTGAGCAATCTATGAGTGGGTAGAGAATCTGCAGTGACCTGCAGTGGACTCGTGAGGCAAGAAGGATGTGTTTGCGGAGTGAAGCCGCAATTGGCAGGAACCCTTGCGAGCCCGACCGACCGCGCGTTCTCACAAAGTCAGCCATGAGCGCACCTGTTGTCCCTCTGCATGTACTTGCCCTGGCATGCAACTCACCAATCCGCAGGATAGGTTGGCATCTTTTTGGGATTGCAAGTGCAGGCGAAACTGCTCGCTATCTCTTTGCCATCGTCCAACTGCAGATCCATCAGCTCGTCCATATTCCTCCGTACCAACATGTCGCTGTCCACCATGACCACTCTCTCATACTGCGTCAGCTCAAATGCTCTCAGCTTCGTCCACACATCTCCAAAGCGCTCGTACGCAAGATTCTGCGGTCGATGCCGTGGCAGCAGCAACAAAGGGTGATCAGCACACTCAACACTACCAATCCGCCCCAAATGCAGCGTCTACTTTGCGCCTCACAGTGCTGGTCGATGTCGGTCTCAAATCCTTCACCTCCACGATTTTGCATCCCAACGCGCTGACCACCCTTCTGGCCCTCTCAGAAAGCTTTCCAGTGACGTACACGACGAGCGGATATCTGCTCTTGTGCGTCTGCAGCAGGCTCGTTGCGAACACGACCAGACCTGGCAGGTACTTTTCGCCAGTCATCAGAGTGGCCCAACACGCTTTGCCATCTGCTTTCTTCTCGTCCGCGTCTTCCTCAAACGAATCTGCAGAAGAAGTGGAGACGCGAAGACAAAGTGGGTCAGATCAAGCGGGCGGAATTATCATTGAGGACGCTACCAAGACGAACGAGGGAAGGGTATTCGGGGGGAAAGAGAACGATGTGGACGAACAATGCAAAAGCGAATCGCCGCAGCTTCACGCACTCATGACCACCGGAGCGGCGGCGACGCCCGGTGTTGGGCCTGCCTTTTCTGCACCATCATCGGGACTACCTGCATGCCTGAGGATCCAGCTGAAGGGGTGGGCGATGGTAGTGAAACATTGTGAGCCTAGGGCGATCATCCGTGTTGTATACCCGCACACACTTACTCGACATTGTATTGCAAAAAGTGGACCTATCGAATTCGAGTGCACATGGTGAGGCGCGAGTCAGCGTCAGCATCCCATCGCATACGCAGCGCCCTGACAAGACTATGCATACCTTGTCATCGCCTTTCTCGTTGTGACCTTCGTGAAAGAATCCAGGCCAGCTCTTGTAGTCCTTGTCCGAGGCGTCCAGCTTCTCGTACAATTCCCTACTGGCCTTGGGCGAAGTGACGGGATCCGCTTCTCCATGTGCAAAAAGCACCGGCAAGTCCTTGGGATAGTTTTTGTACCACTCGCTCACCAACCTGGGACCTCCGAGCAGAGGTCCGGCAATAGCTCGAACGTAGACGACGCCAGAAATGAGAGGATCCTTCTTGTTCTCCGCAACGACTGCTGGGTCGTGAGACAGCTCTGCGGGGTTGACGGGCGCGTACCACATGACGTTTGGGAAGGCTTTCAAGAGTCTCGGGGCGAGCCAGAAGAAGGCGCTCGGTGGAGGCTGTGGACTCAACAAGGTGGGTGTATCAGCCCGCGATCGCTGCAGCGCATTACCTACGCCGCCCAACTCTCCCGGGGCCATGGGCATGGGCGAGACTCACGTGCGTCAGACGCAGCCAAGGACTCGAGACGACGATGCCCTTGATGAGCTTCTTCGTCTCTGCTTTGGGCGCCCCCTCTTCCGTCTCTGGTCTCGCAAAGAAGCCAAACGCCAGACCGCCTCCCTGCAAGTTGCGAGCGTGTAAGATCAGTCGAACCGTTTCCCTGCCCAGTCCGTCCCGACATGACCTCTGGGCACGAAGCTCACCATGGAGTGTCCATACAAGAACAGAGGCACCCTTCCCTCTCCATGCTTTTCATCCAAAGCTTTCCTCTCCTGCACAACGATGCTCTCGATATCCTGAAACAGTTGAGGCCAACTGGTGTTGGAGTAGTTCTTCTTTATTTCCTGTTTTCCATACCCTCTTTGAGAGAAGGTCAAAGTCTGAACACCTTGCGAAGCCAAAAAGTTGCCAACGTGCTGATAGCGATCGTGATGTTCGATGAAGCCATGCAGGAGGATGACGGCAGCTTTGGGCAACGAAAAAGCTTCGACTTTGGGAGTAAATCGACGGGCTGGTAAGGTCAAACCATCGTACGAGGTGATGCGGTACTCTTCCACGCTCGGCTTGACCGAGTCTGCGATGGGAATCGTAGCTGCCATTGTTGCTTCCGAACCAGGGTCCACCCCGCTCCACCTGACGAGTGAGTGCCAAGTGGGTGTGTGTATGATGGTGAAGGTCAGTGAGTACAAAGACGAATGACAAATGGCCATGCAGTCGTGAGTCGTGAGTCTAGAGTCTGTAGCACAAGCAGGCAAGTCCTTCTGCCTCATCAACTTGACCTTCTGCTGCTGCTGCTGCTGCTGCTGCTGTGCAGAAGCTAGGGAAGCAATTCGTGATTATTCTCCGGCCGTCCTGCTGACCGCCGGGCGCGTGCGTGTGCGTGTGCGCTTACATGCATGCATGCATGCATGGCACGGGTCCAATTTTGGTCGGCCCGGCATCACGTTCCGTCATTCGTCATTCTCGGCGGGGGCGGGGGCGGGGACGGGCACAGGATCTGCTTAATTGCTGCGATCCCAAAAGATTCTTGATTCACGTGATTCTTGATTCGTCACAACTCACCACTTATCACGTGGCAAGTCACGAGTTTGGCCGGCTGGCTGGCTGGCTGGGCGCACTCAAGACTCAAGACTTCAAGACTTTCTTGTTCAAAACTCTCACCATACAACAAACTCTTGGCCGAGGGCAGGCAGGCTGGGTGGGCCTCACACACGCAAAAAAAGGAAGAAGCAAGAGCCAATCAAGCTTGAATGAAGCACATGATCCCAATCGATGCAGCACGAGATTGCGGGCGGGCGAGGCAAAACCTCAAAACGATTCGATGCGCAAGCAAAGGGAGCATGGCATGCAAGTGAACGACCTCAGCAAGTTGCACCCAGCTGCACACTGACTCTCCAAGTGCACTGCACAGCCGGCGGGCGGAGGGGGGACTACTAAGCCGCGCCTCTCTTTCTCTTTCTCAGCGCTCTCGCCTTGCCAATAGCTCCTCCTACCCAACTTTTGCCATCCTTGGAAGCGCCGCTCAAAGGTGCGCCATTCGCACTCTCCCTCGTCGTCGAATCTTTGCCGTCGGCGGCGGCGGCGGCGGCGGGCCTATCAGCAGCAGCACCAGCAGCAGCGCCGCCGACGAAATTCTTGCGCGTGCTCTGATTAAAGCGTGGCGAGCGCTTGCCCTTCTCCTCCGTCTTTCCACGCCGCGCTGCCGAAAAGTCTGCTCGGCTAGGCCCTGCTCCTCCTCCTGCTCCCCCTCCCCTGCCTCTTTCCCTGCTCGACGCGCCCCGTCTGTCCGAGCTGAAAGTGTCGCGCTCATCGTCCGTTGAGCGTTCCTATGCCGCGAAAAGCAGCTCAGCAACGTCAGCTTGCGTCCAGTCAAAGAAGAGGAGAAGCAAAACCCTTGCGCTATTCCCCCGATCCCGCTGCCCGTCTCACCTTTCTCTTTCTGTCTCCGTCCTTTTGCTTGGCAGATTCGTTCCTCTCCCTCCTCTTCTTTGTCACCGCGCTATTCTCCACCGCAAATTCGGCCAAGATCAAGCCTCCTCTTTCCGCTTTAGCCCTCTTCGCATCTTTCAGCTCTTCCATCCTCTGCCTGATTCGTTTGATTCGCGTTTCCCTCTCCGTCTTCGTCGCGTCGCTTTTGTCCGCATCCTTCTCTCCAGTCTTGTTCAGCAGCTTGACAAGATCTTCCAGCTCGCCGACCAGCCATTCGTGAAGCAGCTGGGAGACCTTGGTAGCATTGATCCACCTCACAGCCTTGAGCGCATCGACCAGGCTCCTCATCTCCACAAACCCATACCCTCGACTTCTCCCCTTGCCAGTGATGGGATCCAATCTATCCATCTGTCGAATCACCTTGGTCTGAACCACCGCCGTCAATCTCTCCCCTCTCCGTGTCTGGATCTTGCCGTCCGCTCCGACAATCGCAGCGCTCAGCGTCTTGTCTTCCTTTTCATCCCTTGTCAGATCCGGCCTCTTGCCCTCCTTGACTTCCTGATCAAACGATCTCACAGCGTGCAGCGCCAATCTTTTGAGCGTCCGATCAGAGACGTAGAGCGGAAGCTGTCTGACGCTCAGTCTCGTCTTGCTGATGTAGAGCGCCGGATTCGCTCCTAGCTGAGCTTTCCTTATGCCGAAGTTGTTCAACCTCTTTTCCCTCTCTGATTCGCTCATCAGCCTGCTCAGCTCGCTGTTTGGAAAGGGTACGCCTTCTCTCATCAGGTGCGTGTTCCTCTTGTCGCTCCTCTCCCTAGCCGCTCTAGCGCTCGCTTCCAAACTGCTAGCTTCCTCCCTCGCCACAGCCGACACGACGGAAAGCACTCTTCCATGCAGGCTAAGCGAGGCGGTAAGAGGTGCCGAAGCGTCCGCAGTCAGCACCGAAGGAGCCGAGAAGGGATTTTTGGCGCCCGCAGCTTGAGGTGCGCGCACTTGTTGACCTGTGCCGGACTCCGTCTCGACCAGCTGAGCACGTCGAAGCGCGGCATCCGCGGATTCCGTCTGCCAAAAGCAGACAAAGGCTGTTCCTCGACTGCGTTGCGTCGCCTTGTCCATGACGATGCGCGCGTATCTCAATGGTCCAAAGTGTCGGAAAAGATCCTTCAGCTCATCCTCTGTCGCTTGATAGGGCAGATTGCGAAGAAAGAGGGTGCATCCCTGATCGGGCGTGGGCAAGGTCGGTTTCCCAGCTGCCTCGCCTTCTGCATGTTCCAAATCTTCCTCTTCTTCGCCCTGCGACGAGTTCGGGTCGCTTTCGTCATCCTCTTCATCCAAGGGAATAGGCTCCAGATCAGTGTCTCCCTCATCGGTCTCCTCCTCGCCATCCTTTTCGCTTTCACCATCCTGCTCATTTTCCGCATCCGTCTCCACGTCCGTTTCTTCCGCTCTAGCTTCCCACTCGGATCTCTCGAGCGCCCAATCCACCGCCACCACTCTCTCCGCCTGAGCTTCTGCGCTAGTCTGTTCCAATGCAGCCTTCGCAGCTTCTCTCTCCCTCTTGCCCGTAGCAGCCTTCAGCTGCGCCTTCTCGGCAAGGCCGCGCTGGAGCGACTTGCCATTGATGCCAGACAGAGCCTTTTCCGCATCGCGTCGATGCACCATCCAGACGAAACCGAATCCGCGTCCTCTTATCTTTTTTGGCACCTCAGCAGCTTCGTCCTTTTCGCTATCCACCTCCATCTTTGAGTCTGCCTCTCCCTCGTCGCCCGCGGCAATCTTGGGCTCGGCGGCCAATTGAGGCAAATCGATGCCATAGACGGGCCCAAAAGCGGCAAACGTAGCTCTGAGATCCTCCGCTCTGATATCAAAGGGCAAGTTCCTGAGGATTAATCTGCTCTCTTTGCCCACATGGCCCATCTTTTCTTGAAAGGTCAACGCTCGACCGACCGCCTTTGCTTCGATTCGAGCAGCGTTCAACAGCCTATCCATCAGAGCTTGTCGCTTCAGCTTCGTTTCTGGCTTCATGTGCGCTTCCAATCGAGCAGCCGCTTCTGCCTTCTTTTTGAGCACGACTGAAAGAGGTGCACCCTTGAAGACGTGCGAGTCCAGCTTCTCCACTGCCAGAGCGGCATGATTGGGAGTTGCAAAGATGGCATGCGCAACATCTGCCGAGGCTTGCACCTCGTTATTTCCGCCTGTCTGCGCGCTCAACGCCAGAGGATCAACGGCTGGGTAGATGACCCTTTCCACGGGTCCGATCTTTCGGCATCGCTTGTACAGCGTCTTGTCGCTGCATGTGCTGTCGCACGCCGACAGACCGCTGATGATGACTGTGCGCGTAGCGTCCGCCTCGGAAGCCAAAGTAGCGCCATTTTCTGCTGACACTTTGCGTTTCTTGCTCGCTGGTCGTTCGGAAGTCTGATCCGTCGCATCTTGCGCAGCAGCGACAGCTGCTCCATCCGTCTTCCCATCTTCGACGACAGCAGCAGCAGAGCTCTTCTTTCCCATCTTCCTCTCTTTGAGCGTAGGTTTCTCATCCGCCCAAACGATTTCAATCTTCCTCGACTTGCTGCCTTTACCACCATCCAACGTCTTGCCCTGCATCTCTTCCAGCGCCCTTTGCGCATCCTTGGCATCCGCAAAAGTGACGTACCCAACACCTTTGGAAGAACCTTTTTGCTTATCCGTCACCACAAATGCCCTTCGGAGAGGTCCGACATCGCTGAAGAAAGTCGATAGGTCTGTAGAGGTGGCGCTGAAAGGAAGACGAGAGACGAAGAGCGTGGCGCGTGCTCGCGTTGCCGAAGCTTGATGAGATGCGCTCGCGGGAATTGAAGAAGCTGCTTCTAGAGCGCTCACTTCCGCTGCTGCAGCGGCCATCGATGCGCTCGTGCTGGCATCGCCAGCGGACTCGTCAAAGTAGCGCTTGCCCGGCATCGTTGCTGGTGTCTAGCGTCGGCAGATGCGCTGCTCTTGTCGAGAGCGATGCCGCCGTGTGAGGACGAGCGCTTGAAATGCCTGCTGTAGAGCTTGTTCTGACTCGCGCACCCGCGAGTCACAGTCAGAGTGTTCGCGTAGACGTGGAAGGATGGCAGGACCCCAATCACGAATACGAATCGAGCGTGTGAATCACGAATGTGCGTGCCTTGCCGTGGGCCCAAAAAGTCACAAACGAGTTGCACATATATGCGCTCAAAAAACTCTAGATTTCGAGCTCCGCCATGAACTGACGTCTCTATCGTACGAGTGATGTGAGGTCAAGGGAAATATCACGTGCAAGCACGCAATTTGGAAGGTTTGTCACGCACGCATATCAAGTCAATGAGTAAATCAGTCAGTTCCTTGCCTGTCTGCATGCATGCAGCCTGCTAACAGCATCCCCAGCCAGCCTTGCAGCAGCAGAACGTCTGAGCGGACATGTACACAGAGCGATCAGCCGAGGAGACCATTGGTAACGGCAGATGCTTGGCCACGCAAGCAAACTCACTGCGACTGCTGCTGGTGCATGCGATCGATGATGGATTATGCTTCTAGCTGATGCACAGGATGGGTGTGTGTGGCGTTTGCTTGAAGACGCAATTCGAGTCAAAAGTCGCAATTCTTCGTTCACATTGTGATTGCGATGGCAGCGACTATTAATTGCGATCACACAGCAAGCATCCACAATCTTCTTCATCAATATTGCCACCACGATAAACAACCACCACCACTGCTTAGACCCCCACCGTCATCCCACTTCCACTTTCACGCAATCAGCAACGCCAACAACCCTCCGACTCGTTGCCCAACATGACCGGAACTCTTCGTCTTGGATCCACAGTGCCCGACTTTGCCGCCTCCACCAACAAGGGCGACTTTCAGTTCCACGACTACATTAACGGATCTTGGGCCATTCGTGAGTTAAGCGCTTTTGCTCCCCATTGCCAGCTCAAGCGTATCGTTGCATTGCGCTCGCATCAAGCTTCACAAAAAGTTCATCTCTTACTCTTCCCCCTTTTCCGGTGCTTGCTTCCTCACAACAGTGTTCAGCCACCCCGATGACTTTACTCCAGTGGTGCGTGGCACCTTTGTCCACCAAATGCATCTCTTGATCCGTCCTCATCCGCCGTTCATTTGACCGCATCCTTGATATCGCAGTGCACCACTGAGCTCGGAGAGGCTGCGCGCCAGCAGGGAGAGTTCGACAAGCGTGGAGTGAAGCTGATTGGTGAGTGTTTGATCTTACGAGAGGACAAAGAGGTAGGGCGAGACGGCAAGTGCAGCCACGCAGGCAGTCGAGCCTCAGCTAGGATTGCAAACGAATGCCGTTTGCTCTCCCCCCCCCCGCCCGCGCGCCGCCTTTTCCACCTCTTGTGCATGTCGTCTCTCCACTTCCGCATGATTTCACGTGACTCGATCTCAGCTGACGCCGATTCTTCGCACGCACTATAGGTCTCTCCGCCAACGACATTGACTCGCACGACCGTTGGATCAAGGACATTACAGATGTCAGCAAGGCCAATGTGACTTTTCCCATCATTGGTGACAAGGATCGCAAGATCGCAACCACTTTTGATATGCTGGACCAGCTGGACGAGACGAACAAGGATGTCAAGGGCTTGCCATTGACTGTCAGGAGCGTATTCGTCATCAACCCCAACAAGCAGATTGTCACCATTGTGAGTATGGTCCCTGCTCGCGCAACGCGCTCCACCTCTTTTTTCTTTCGCGTCACACACCACCATCCTGCTCTCTTCGCTCAACTGCTTCTCCTTTTACCCCTCCCCCTCGTCCTGCCCGCCTCGTTCGGCAGATCACCTACCCCGCTTCTGTCGGCCGCAACTTTGACGAGATTCTGCGCGTCATTGACAGTCTTCAGCTGTCCGCTAGCTTGCAAGGCAAGGTCACCACGCCCGTCAATTGGCGCAAGGGAGATGACGTCATCATTGCACCTCCCGTCAAGGATGAGGAGGCCAAGCAGCTCTTTGGAAACTTTAGAGCTGAAAAGCCTTACCTCAGGTTCACCCCTGACCCCAGCAAGAAGTAAGCGAGCGAGCGAGCGAGCGCTAGGCGCAATACCGACGCACGACGGAAAAAGTGGGGGACCACTTCCTTTACTCGTTGGAGATCAAGAAGAGAAGAGCAAAACACATTTCTGATTTGGAATGAAGGTTATCATATCGTGTATCTCAAATGTGCTGCTCGTTGGTGAGCATGATGAACGCGGCATTGGCTTCGTGAACAAGGCGCTGCACGTATGTACTGTCTGTGCCCAAGCACGTGGAAGTGGGGTCTCGGAGAGGATTCGACGAGCAGGTCAAAAACTTTCTTGCACGTCATCAGCCCTCCCCCCGTCGCTCGCTTCTTTTTCTCCCATCAACATTCTCCCCGTGCTGCCTCCTCCTGCTGCCCCTCTTCTCCATCCTCGTCCGCATCGAACAGCTTTCTCCTCTCTTCTGCTCGCCTCATGCTTCCGGCCGTATGCCTGGTCGACGCGCGGGTCTCGACGCTGCCCAAAGTGTTCCACATGTCCATCACCGAGTTGGTGAGGGATGCGAGCGTGATGGAGTTGGCAGGTCTTGGTCGGACATTCGATTTGAAAGAGAGATGATCCAACTCTGCCTCTTCTGCTGCTGCGTCTCCGACCTCGGCGCGACTGTGACTGAGGCGACTCTGATCGCCAAGGGTGGAGCGCGAAGCAGAAACGTCGGGATAAGCGTAATGCCTGAGCTCACGTGACCTTGACCGCGACGCCGGTAGAGCAGAGGCTGAAGGTCCCGAAAGGCTCTTGAAATGCTCTTGCTTGCCTTTCAAAGAATTTGTAAAGAAAGCTTCGATGATTTGCAGCACGTCGAGAAGCTGTACGGATGAGCATGGGGATGGATCACGAGCGGATCAGACGCAGCAAGCAAAGTGCGTCAGGGCAGGCCTCTGGAAGTGCGGAGTCTTGCCTATTGGCGCAATCGCTGAATAGCGAGCTCCTAGACTCACATTGGCCGACTTTGGCAAAGCTACACGTATCCGCTCTGCTGCATTCCTGTCTTTTGAGACGTGCAAGACCTGCTCGCATCTCTTTTGAGCGCAACGCAGCAGCAAGATGTTTGACAAAGCTCATATCAGCCACAAAGGGCACCAATCGGCCTCGTGTGAGATCCTTTGCACGCCTTTGGTCCTCACCAGGGAAAGTTGTCTAGAACGTGCCTGCGCCCATCGCTCGAGTCGCTCCTGCACTTCGACGGTGAAGGGCAGATGCGAAGCTTGGTGTGCGAGGGCCAACAACATAGCTTCCTGCACCTGATCTACAAAAGGGAAGTGGGCAAAGATGCAGTAGTGTGAGCGAATGAAGCAAAACGGCCATGAAGCTAGTCTATCACCCGTTTCGGATGACTGACCAAGGTCGGCATGTTCAAGCAGCCCAACCAATGCCTCGCAAGCCTGATGGTCCGTCGAGGCGTGCGCGACGGACAGTGAGGCACACATGAATGTCCCGCTTGCAAAAGAGGACAGTTGTGTATCGGCAATGGTGACCTCAATGAGGCGAGCTGATATGCCTCTGCGATCATCCGCGGTTCGGCCTATCAAGGCCTTGCAGACAGCTTCTGCCAGCTCGTGATGTGGGCGCATGAGAGTTGACAGGGATTCTGAAGCTGCTTGTAAACATCGCAGTGTCTCAAGTGTGGTTGCAACAAAGGCGTCGCAATCGTTCGCGCTTGCGTCTGAACGACTGGTGGATAGAATGACAGAAGACACTTCGACACTTCGCAGGGTCAGAAGCTTGGCAGTCGGCGCATCCGTCGCAGTCTTCAAGGCTTCCAGTATGCCATTTTGATGTTGTGTCAGTATGGTGGTATCAATCTGGTGTAGGAGACGGAGCGTCTAGAAGTGGCAGGCAGCATCGTTAGTCCAGCTCACAATCTTGCTTGAGCTTCCTCAAAATCCTCGCCACTCACGAGTCGCCTGATCGTTTCATCCGAATCGCACAAGCCGCTCAGCAAAGCTTTCCATTCCTCTTCTCCCTGTACCAGAGGACTGTCGCCTCCGTCTTGCCACTTCAAAGGTAGCAAGGCTTCCAAACTCCTGAAGGCCAGAGCTCGCAAGTTGGGTGTTCTGGATCGAAGATGGGAGCTGATGGTGCTGCCAAGTGCGTTCCAGAGCTGCGCCTCGGTCTCTGAGCTTGGTCCAGGTCTGTATGCCGCTCCCAAAGTCTGCGCAGCGGCAAGTAGAAGTGCGAGCGCAGATCCACCTTTCGATTCGGCAGAGGTGGCTGCGATTGGGAGTGTGGTCGCGCAGATTGATCGTCGAACATCATCCGAAAGTTTTCGCTCGCAGCACAACTCCAAGCTTTCTAGCACTGCTATACTCAAGGCGAGCGATATCGCGTATCCGTGCCGTTGCAGACAGCTCAATAGGAGCGCTGCGGCCTCGTCCACCTCGATAGACCTTTCCAGCAGCATTGCCTTCACTCCCTTGACTGCGGCTCTTCGCACGGACAAGAGCGCATGAGACGCCAATCTGTCTCGTCGGAAAATTGACGGGCTCGCAATCAAATCGTCTTCGCCCGAGCGGGAAAGTCCACCTGATGAGTGCGCTGGCAGCGCTTGCTTGATCAGCGCCCACAGTGCCCTTTTCTGGCCTTCGTCCGCATCCGCAGCCAGCGCGATCAGCGCATTGATCGCCTTGGCCCGTTCCTTCTGATCCTTGTTGCTAGTGTCTGCAATAGCTAGCAATGGGCCCCAAAGAGATGTGACGGCACTGGGCCCACGTATCGTCCGGGCGCATATAGAGGCCAGAACAGCGTTTCTTCGCGCCGTCAAGAGTGAGGCTCTAGGTGTGTGGGCGCTGGAGCTGGTGCTGGGGGCAGCGCGCTGACGTCCTTTACCTTTGGGTCCGACTATAGTCGCGCGAGCTGTGTTGAGCAGCAACAGTACTTGGTCCGGCACTGTCTCTTCTTGAGTCTGCAGGATAGACCCCGAAGGGGCAGACTGTCCGAGTGAGCGCTGCAGCAGCGACGCTGGTCGCAGTACATGGTCGAGTATTGCATGCGCGATGACCGTCTCCCGCACGCTCGAGTCGGATGCAGACAGCTGCAAAGCGGGAAACAAGAGCCAATCGATGGGCGAAGTAGCGCTCAGTAGATCTGGTCTGAGCTGTGCAATGTGCAACACGTCGAGAAGCTGGGCGGGCAGATCTAACTGCGCATACAGGCAGCAAAAGGTGAGCCACAGTCCTGGAAAGCAGCACTTTCCAGTGTGAACTGCAGCGATTCTGACTCACGAAGCTTGCCGCCCACGTGCTGGAAGAGCGTTGTGATGTTGCTGCTCGAGCGTCGAGCAAAGCGTGCAGGATAATGTCCTCTGCTTCTGCTTCGTTCTTTGCCGTTTCAAGCGCCTTAATAAAGGCAAAGTGGACCCGAGGAGCGCCCGATTCGAGCAAGGTGACGTCTTCCATGCCCGTCACTCGTGACTAATGATGCGGACTCGCGCGTAGGCTGCAAGAAATTGGTGTGGGACAAATGATTCATAATTGTCCAAAGGGGCTGCGGTCGTCAGAGATGAGACGCAGATAGGTGAAGGTGTTTGGGGACCGGATTTCATGACACCTTCACGCAGGTCTTGGCTGTGGAGTTCATCAACTTTGCACAGAACGGACGGTCACGTGCTCGCACTTGGCCGGCTGCAGCGCGTTCTGTGTCAATTTACGCGTCGAACAAATGGACGCGTCTTGACGCGTCTGCGTCCCTGGTCCTTCCCTTCTCCAGCGCCCCCTGCATGGTCAGCGCAAACGGGGTGCTACCCGCAGACGGGGTGCGCTCCGACGCCTCTGCGAGGCAAAAGAACACTCACAACTCGAGCGTGCATCCCCTCCGCCTCACTGCCTTGCTTCGTCCCTCTACCATCTCGTCCTAGCATACCGACAGCGAGCCACCTGCCCGACAGCGCACCAATCTCGATACATCATGGACATGCCATCATCTTCCGGAGGGCCCTCCTCCCCTCTGGCCCGAGTCGGCGGTGCAGAGTCCCGTCAACTTTTCGACCCGCTTGCATTCGACGCTGGTCAGCAGAATGGCGGTGCTAATGCCAATGGCTTCTCGCTTGGTCGCGATGGTCGATCCGCCTCTTCTGCGTTTGCGGGCGACGATGACGCCATGTCTGCGATGAACAATGGCTCTGCTGCCCGACGCGTCAATGGCGAATCGTTGGACTATGAAGAGACGCCCGCTCCCAACAGGAACGCCAGACCGAATCTTAGGCAAGAGGATGACGCACCCCCCGTCACTGACGAGACTGGCGAGCGAGTGCGAGAAGGCTTTGCAGACTTTCTGGAAACGTGAGTGGTCGGCACATGCGCTCATGTGTCTGCGTCCACATCCCGCTCACCTCTGTTTCTTCCGCCACCTCGCACAGCTACGTCGACACCACTCTCGCCGACATCACTCCCATCAATGGTCAGCAGCCAGCGACCTACGTTGAGCAGCTCTTTGCCCTCAAGGACTACAACCGCACGACGCTCTTCGTGGACTTCACTCACGTGCTTAGACATGAAGAGGTTCTGGCCAAGGCCATCAGCGACCAATACTATCGGTGAGCTTTGACTTTGAAGGATTACTGATTGGCATTCGAATCTGACTTACCGGATTTGCGCGATCCACGCAGCTTCCTGCCGTACCTCAGGCGTGCGCTGCTCGATCTCGTCAGCGCATACATCCCGACATACTTGTACCTCAACTCTCACGCAGCTTCGACAGCCTCTTCCGGTCTTGTCCCCCGCGACTTCTCCATCTCATTCTACAATCTTCACTTGACCATGGGTATCCGAGACCTTCGCACAGACAAAGTCGGTCGTCTTTTGTCCATTTCTGGCACCGTCACTCGCACATCCGAAGTTCGACCCGAGCTACTCTACGGCGCGTTCACGTGTAGGAGCTGCAGAGCGCAGGTACGGGATGTCGAGCAGCAGTTCAAGTACACTGAGCCTCCACTTTGCAAGAGTCCAAACTGCGCCAACAGAAAGGACTGGCAGCTCGACGTCGACCAGAGCAGATTCACCGATTGGCAAAAAGTTCGCATTCAAGAGAATGCCAACGAGATTCCAACTGGCTCTATGCCCCGATCGTGAGTCGCTGTCAAGTACGCCTATCGCTCCCAAAGTGCAACGCTGACGTTCCCCTCTCCCTATGTAGCCTCGACGTCATACTGCGAGGAGAGATTGTCGAACGGGCCAAGGCCGGTGACAAGTGCACCTTCACTGGATCCTTCATCGTCGTGCCAGATGTATCTCAGCTAGGCGTTCCAGGTGTTAACGCGCAAATGCAGCGCGAGAGCCGAGGCAGAGCACAAGAAGGCGTCGCTAATCAGGGCATCACCGGTCTGAAGAGTCTCGGAGTGCGAGACCTGACGTACAAGACAGCCTTCCTCGCCTGCATGGTCCAGAGCGGCGAAGAGCGGAAGGGCGGAGACGTCCGCGAGGAGGGCGAAGAAGCCGATCCTGAAAGGCTGATGGACACGCTCACTAACGCTGAGCGCGACGAGCTCGAAGCTATGGTCACTGCCGACAACATTTATGGACGCCTCGTCCAGAGCATCGCGCCAACCGTCTATGGTGAGCTGAAAGCGGCACTGTCGCTTCGAGGTTGGAAGCTGACATAGCCAAATTGGTTTGTCGTAGGCCATGACATCGTCAAGAAAGGTATCCTTCTGCAGCTCATGGGTGGTGTGCACAAGCAGACGCAAGAAGGTATCCATCTGCGAGGTGATATCAATATCTGCATCGTCGGCGATCCTTCGACGAGCAAGTCCCAATTCCTCAAGTGAGTGAAGCTTGCGAGGCGTCCGCGTTTCGACTCCCTCGCTGACCCAATGACCATCCATAGATACGTATGCGGCTTCCTGCCTCGTGCTGTATACACGTCAGGCAAAGCGTCGTCTGCTGCTGGTTTGACAGCTGCTGTCGTCAAGGACGAAGAGACTGGAGAGTTCACAATTGAAGCGGGAGCTCTCATGCTCGCTGATAATGGGATCTGCGCCATTGACGAGTTCGACAAGATGGACGTGAGCGATCAAGTAGCCATTCACGAAGCCATGGAACAGCAGACAATTTCCATCGCCAAGGCCGGACTACAAGCGACTCTCAACGCTCGCACTTCGATTTTGGCCGCAGCTAATCCGGTCGGCGGACGCTATAACCGCAAGATGACACTGAGAGCAAATGTCGCAATGTCTGCGCCGATCATGAGTCGTTTCGATCTCTTCTTTGTTGTGCTGGACGAATGCAACGAGGCTACGGATCTCAACATTGCACAGCACATCATCAATGTACACCGCTTCCGTGACGCAGCAATCACTCCGGAATTCAGCACCGAGGCTATTCAGCGTTACATTCGTTTCGCCAGAACCTTTCAGCCAAAGCTGACGCCGGAAGCAAGCGACGTTCTAGTGGAGAAATACAGACAGCTGAGGCAGGACGATGCGGGAGCTGGTAAGAACTCTTACCGGATCACGGTCCGCCAGTTGGAGAGCATGATTCGACTTTCCGAAGCTATCGCCAGGGCGCACTGCAGGCAAGAGATCACACCCGCATTTGTCAGGGAAGCGTACGCCTTGCTCCGACAGTCCATCATCCATGTTGAGAAGGACGACGTGGACTTTGACGATGATTTGGAAGCCGATGAGGCGGGTGCTCCTGCGGCGGCTGGACAAACCAACACGGAAGCTACATCGAGCCTCAGCGGCCTTGGAGAGTCTATGGAGGTGGATGCTGATGGAGCCGCATCGACCGCAGCCGACAACACGCGGTCATCTACGGCGCCCGCACCCACCCAGAGGGTCAAGTTGAGAATCACGTTCGACAAGTACAACGAGATGTTGAATCTTTTGGTATTGCGCGTTGCTGAGGTCGAGTCGATCCCTGGATCTGATGGAGCAAAGAGATCAGAAGTGATCGAATGGTACTTGGAACAGCGGGAGAGCGAGATCGAGACGGTGGAGCAGCTGAATGAGGAGAGGACGCTGGTGACCAAGGTGCTGGCTCGTCTGGTTAGGGACCAATACTTGCTGGAAATCAGAGGACCGCAGCCTGGAGACGATGACGAGGAGAGCTTGCCCGCGCAAGCTGACGGCTCGGCCAGCACGGCAACTCAGGAAGATCCTCTGCTCCTCACACACCCTCGAATCGACATTGAGAGCTTGGAAAACTCCATTGCGTAGGAGGGGCCGTCGGACAGTTCTTCTCTTCACCACTTGCCTTCCCACCTTGCTCCAGCGCTACAGATCTGTATGTATCCTGCTTGCCTCTTTCGCGTGTCATGAGCCTCGCCAAAACGAATTGAGATGCGTTGAAGTGAATATACTGCATCGATTGCATCTTAGCTCCTCGACCATTTGAGGTGCTAGCGTATCATGCTTCACATCACCGATGCGAGTTCGATTCACAACCAATTGTTGAAGCTGTCGAGTGTTTGATCCGTGATTCTCAATTCTTGATTGAGACTAGGGCGTCGACGGTCGCAACCGCTCAGATACGTGCGCATTTACGCATCTACGCAAAGCTTGATCCGGCCGGAGGCGAATGACGGGGAATTTCAATCCGCAGAAGAGGCGCGCGGGGAAATTGTAGGTGAAGCTTTTTCAATGTTAATCGTGAATACAACTTTATTCAGGAATATCAATTTGTGTCATACAAGACAATCTTGAGTCACCCATTCAAAATTGAGAATCAAGTCAAAAGTGAAGGAGGCACACGACAAAGCTGGAAGCGCCGTGTGATGTTTTGTGAAGGCGCGGTCATGGTGCACAGCTGCCGATTTGATTCACATTCATTGATTCGAATTCGTAATTTACATTCCTTCAAAATCTGATTCACATTCAATTCTTCTTAGACATCGTCTTCTTGATCGGCAACGGGCCCTCGTACAGGTACATTCGTGATTCATTGAGAGCAAGGCTGCTGACACGAACTCAGACACTGCTTGGTCGTCGATACTCGCTCTTGTGTGAGCCTAGGCTTTGAGCATTCTCTCAGAGCCAGCTTCCAGGTCTCTGCTTCAAGATGGAGGCCGCAGCGCCGTCGTCGCCGCTCGCATCACCGGCAGCTCAACAGACTGCCGCGTTCATCCCCACAATGGATTCGCACGAGGAGGCAACGACGAGCAACAGCGCTGCCCCATCCACAGAAGCTGCTAACGGTGGCACGGCAGCACGCCCAACGTCAGCGGATGTTTCAAGTAGCGCAGGCTCAGCTTTGACGAGTGCAAGATTGCACGCTTACTCTCCATCGCAGGCGAGTAGACATGAAAAGGTCATACTGCTCGGTGTTGCGGCGAGGGATAGAAAGGCGAGAAGCAAGCCCATGAGCCAGATTCTGAATCGTATCATCAGCAACAAGGAAATCGCTTGCCAGATTGTAAACTTCGGTGACAAGGTGAGTGAACGGGCGAAGGGAACAGGGCAGAGTGTGCTAGTTCGACTTTCCACGCAGCTCAGCTTTGAGGCAGCGCTTCTTCGAAAGAGCGAATGTATGCGGTGATGAACGAAGATGAAGCCAATCACCTGCTCGAAGAGACAGCTGATCGCTAGCTTGTATGCGCTATCCTCCTTCTCCTCCTCTTCAGGTGTTGCTGGACGAGCCGCCCGAGTCATGGCCAGTGGTGGATGTACTCATCTCCTTCTTCTCGGATGGCTTTCCTCTGGACAAAGCGATAGCGTATGCCGATCTGCGCAAGCCAGTACTAGTCAATGATCTGCGGTTCCAGGCCGTGCTGTGGGATCGGCGCGCAGTGCTGGCCATACTGGACTCTGCAGGCGTTCCGACACCCAGACGTTTGGAGGCGGACAAGGACGGAGGACCAGTGTTGGACAAGAAGGTGTTGGAGGATGTCAAGAAGCGGCTCGGGCTCGAATTCAGAAAGAGACCAGTAAAAAATGCGCGCTTGAAGGAGAACGATGTGGACACGCTGATCGTGGGCGATCAAGAAATTAGTAAACCTTTCGTGGAGAAACCGGTCAGCGGCGAGGATCATAATGTGCACATCTACTTTCACTCCAGCAAAGGCGGTGGTGGCAGGAGGCTTTTCAGAAAGGTGAGTTCAGTAGCGCTGGAGAATTGTGGCCGCTGCATTTGCTGATTTGGCCCTTACGTGGCACCAGGTTGGCAACAAGTCTTCAGAGTACGATCCGAACCTCGTACAACCGCGCACAGACGGCTCGTACATCTACGAAGAGTTCATGGATGTGGACAACGCCGAGGACGTCAAAGGTTTGTGGCGAGATTCGTAACTCGGTGCGCATGCCTTCTGACACTTTCGCTTGCTCGCATACAGTGTACACAATTGGACCTTACTTTGTGCACGCCGAAACCAGAAAGTCGCCCGTGGTTGACGGCTTGGTGAAGCGCAATCCGGACGGCAAGGAGATCCGCTACATTACCAAACTTACAGAGGCTGAGGTCAAGATGGCAACCAACATCTCCAAGGCATTCAAGCAGAATATTTGCGGCTTTGATCTGCTTCGCGTGGGAGACAAGAGCTACGTCATCGATGTGAATGGCTGGAGCTTCGTCAAGGGCAACGACTTCTATTACGGTGAGCGTGTAAAGCCACTCAAGCCCCGCGTCGGATTTTTAGTGCTGACTTTGCTCCTTGCTTTCTGGCTCCGACTTCAAACAGACAAGGTAAGTCTTCGCGTGCCCCGCTTTTCCTCTTAGTACGCCTTCGACTGACTCAAATTGGGACCCTCACAGTGCGCCTCAATCCTAGCTAGCTTTTGCAAGATGAGCGCGCCCAGACGCTCCGCCAGCCTGGCAAGCAGCAGCTCGAGTGTAGGATCTGCAATCGACGGTCGTGAAGCGGAACAATCAAGCTGGACCTTGAAGAGCAGTGCGACCGTCTTTCGGCACGGTGATCGTACGCCCAAGCAGAAGCTCAAGCGGTCGTTCAAGCCCAAAGATGCCTGGGCCGCTCCCCTCCTGGCCCTCCTGCAAGGGCGCAAGGAAGAGATCATCCTCCGATCGAATCTGGACATGGTCTCCAAGGCTGCGACCGAAGCTATGCAGCTTCCTGGAGCCAAGAAACATGATCTGACCTTGGTCATCGGAGCGATAGAAAGAAAACAGGATTTGCCCGGCACCAAGGTGCAAATGAAGCCGAGCTTTGACACGGATGGCAATCTCGAGAAGATGCAGCTCATCATCAAGTGGGGTGGAGAGGTGAGTAGCTGCGCTCTCTCAAGTGCGGTACTATGCTAAATTTCGTGCTCTGGGCGCCCGGGCGTAGTTCTCGCATGCGGCTCGACATCAAGCACGGGACGTGAGTGCGACGTGGAAGTAGTTTGCGGCGCTCTGAACGACGCTCCAGACTGACCTTGTTCGGTACCGGCTCGTCAATCACCAGCTCGGCTCAAATTTGCGCCGCGATATGATAGTTCAGAACGCAAACGCGTTGAGAAACTGCACTATCTACACCAGTAGCGAGCGCAGGGTCACGGCTTCTGCAGAGACGTTTGCTTCTTACTTTTTGGATGAGCCAGAAGACCCGCAGAAGAACCCGTTACAGCTCGTGATTCGCAAAGGTGAGTCGTGAGAGAGGGGTCTGTGGCCTCTAGCGACAAGCGATGTGAGGATCTGAACTGTAAATTTCTGGCCTCCCTAGACCTCTTGGACGATTCTAACGCTTCGAAGACCGAAATGGACGTCGTCAAGAAGCAGTTGAAAGCAGTCCTCAAACCGGATGGCGCGCCAAGACCTTCAGACTGGCCCGAAGATGCGCCTTCACCGCCTGAGCTCTGCCAACAGATAGCACAGACACTCAGGAGTCTGCAAGCTACCATGCTGGAAAACTACGAAAAGATGGACGTGAACTCGATCAGCAGGAAATGGTGTACTGCAGAGTCGCCCGAGCTTTTTAGAGAGAGATGGGCCAAGCTTTTTGCGGACTACGAGGTGAGCCTGAGCCCGTACAGTAGACCCGAGACTGCCGCATGCTTTGATCTCAACAATTTGGTGCCATGCCTTTTAGGACGATCCCTACGATCCGTCGAGAGCCAGCGAGCTCTACGACATGCTCACTCATGACGGTGAGGCGAATATGCAGAATGTGCCGCTTTCTTTCTTGCCGCTGACACAGCAAGGGCTACCACGCACTCTGCGCGACTGTAGGTCTGCACAACAGGACATTCGTAGAGACCATCTTTGCCGCGCCCGACGTGCCTCAAGAGAAGCGATTGGACAGACTTCACGAGCTGTATCGACTGAGCTCCACATTGTTCTCATGGACTTGGTAAGTCGCGAGTCCATTCTGATTCCTCTTTGTGAAGGGGCGTTGCTGATTGCTCAAAAGCGACGTTTGATGCAGTCCGGCCGAATACGGCGTGACTTCAGAGCAAAAGGTGAGCTTTCGCCAAGTCTGGGCCTGAAGTGCCGCAGCTCAAGCTGATAGGTCTTTTTTCGATGCACCTAGGAATCAATCGGAGTCCTCACGTCGATGCCGCTGCTTATGCACATTATTGCTGATCTGAAGGCGGCGGAGAGCAAGCCTCTCTGCGCGCTCTACTTTACAAAGGTATGCGTGCTACGTGCGGATGCTGGAATGTTGGTTTCCAATTGGCTCCTTCCCCTCTAACGCAGATTTCTGATCCATCCCAGGAATCGCACATGCACACTCTTCTGAACCTGATCCTCGCTTCGGACTTGCCAATCTTGACCAACAAAAGACCACCTTTAGACTATCTTAGCTGCATTGCTTTCGAAGTGTACGAAAAGACGACGACCACGGGAACTGCAGCAAACAGCCCTCGGCCCAGCTCTGGCGATGGAAGCAGCAACAGTAATAGCAGCCACGGAGCTGCTCCAGCTGGCTCTAGCGGTAACAGCTCGGCGCCTATGACTCCTAATCCTAGCAACACGCCGCCGACGCCACCGGAGAGATCGCTGCTGATCAGTGTTTCTCCCGGTGCGCATTCGAGCGAACCTTTCTTCATCAAGCTGGACGCTAGACATTCTTTGAGCCCTCTGCCCCGGCAGCCTCTCACTAGGCACATGCCTCTAGACGAAGGCATCGCTGCGCTCAGCAATCACAAAGCTGTCGAAGCCAATCGGTGCGCATCACATCTTGACGTCGAATCTCTCACCAGTCTTGACGCATGACTGACCATTGACCTCTCTGTCTCATTTTCGCAAACGCAGCGGACAGGTTGAAGGAGAGACCGTCTTCTCCGGACTGCCTCATACCGAAAGAGGACTGCTTCATATCAAAAGAAGAGGTAGCGATGTGTCTAGCCGAGCCAGCGTGGCGGGATGATGTTCGTAGCGTATCCTTATATCTGGACCTGAAATGTCATGGGAATGGAAATCGACTTGCACCGTTGGTTTGGGTAGTCCTAGGAGCATCATACGCTACCCTTCGCTATTGATTTCAGATCCGCGCGCGCAAAATCGAAATGGAATCCATCGGCTGAAACATTCAAGGGTGAATTCGCAGTCAGCGACGTCGAGCAAGGCAATCAAGCAAACAAGGCTAAACATTGACTGACGTCTGGACTGCTCAGCCGTGATTATGCCGCAGCTTCAAGAGTCTGATTTTGCTTGAGCTGAAGCCAGGGCGCTTGCACCTGACTGGTGACTCACGACTCGATCTTGACGGTTTGATTTGCTGCTGATGATGTCGGTCGCCTCCGCGGGGCGTGGCCAAACTTGAAGTCAGCGAGCGCAGTCACGTGCTCGGGCCGCGCGTCGCGCACCGACCATGCTCTGGCAGAGCTACCACGGAGCTCGCATGAGCGTCAACTCCCATCCCTGGGCTCCATCCGAGCTCTCGAAGACACTCCTGAGTCGTGCCTCTGCTGCCCACCATCTCACGTGCTCTATACATCGCTCAGAATCGGGCCAAAGGATCTTCCTGGCCTCAACAAAACGATCCATCTCGCGCGAAGCCAAAAAGTCGGTTCCATCAGGCCAAAGCTCGAATCAATCTGACTCTTGACTCTCGCGCTGCTCCCTCCCGCGAGGTCGACCAGACACATTGAAAGCTACACCGGGATCTGATACGGCAACATGGCAGGTGTTGGACAGACCTGGTCGTCGCAACCATATGTGGACCATATCAGTGCTCCGCCTCAAGGGCACGCGGCAGACGCATTCGAGGATGCCAGACAGAGGACGCAGTGAGTAAGCGTGTGTAAAGGCAGAGACGAGGAGCGAAGGGGCGGATTGTGTGGAAGGAGTCACATAAGCGACCTACCAAGCGTATACATATCCACTGACTCAAATCGTCGGCCTGCTGCATCACGCTTAGACAACCCATCGTGACCGGTACATCCATCCTCGGCATCAAGTGGTCAGGAGGAGTGATGCTCGCATCGGACACTTTAGCTTCTTACGGCTCCCTCGCTAGGTTCATGGATATTCGTAGACTGGTAGAGGTCAAGGAGAGCAAGGCCGTCATTGGCGCTAGCGGCGACATGGCGGACTTCCAGTATATTCTGCACGAGATTGAAAAGACTGGGTGAGTCGAGGTCAGCTCGACCAGCGTCCTCACGTCTTTGACTGGTCCAGCTTTCACTTGCTCCGCGTTGCCACAGACTTCGTGAATCGACAGCAGGAGACTCGCACAACCTGACTCCCTCGCAGCTCTACGCTTGGCTCACGAGGTTGATGTATGCTCGTCGAAGCAAGATCGACCCGCTTTGGAACAGTCTGGTGGTGGGAGGACTGGAACCGAGCACTGGCGCTCCTTTCCTCGGATACGTCGACCTTCTCGGTGTGACATACACAGCCAGCACCATTGCTACTGGATTTGGTGCGCATCTGGCACAACCTCTACTCAGGAAGGCTGTGGAAGGAAGAGAGTCTACCTTGGATGAGGCTGAAGCCAGGAGCATCTTGGAGAGCTGCATGAAGGTCCTTTGTGAGTGACCTGAGCCCGAAGACGCACTCAATCTGCACGTGTGTTGCATTGTCCTAACTCTCACCTCCTTTGGATCTCGCGGGCAGTCTATCGTGATGCCAGATCTCTCAACCGCGTAAGTGTCAGACTCAAATGATTCAAGTTCTGTTCATCTCAAACGTCGTTTCGTCTTCGCTTACCTCTCCACCCCAACACTTCACTCACAGTTTCAAATTGCCACAGTGACCAAGCAAGGTGTACACATCGGAGAACCCAAGAGTGTAGAGACGGACTGGAGCTTTGCCGAAGGCCTTAGAGGCTACGGTCCCCAAACTCAGTGATTGCGCGCTCTAAAGAAGCACTATGCGCTCATGATATGATTTGACATCGTACGCAAACAGTCCGAAGCGAAGACACTTGCCCAGCGAACCTGATGAGTCGGCGTGATTGCTCAGGCTCGGATCAGAGCAATAGCCAGCCTTAAGAGGGGTCAGCTCATTCGATTGATTGCATGAAAGAGACCAGTGTGGGAGTTCAGGTACATTGTGATAAGGTGATATGGATCCGAGGCGTGAAGGAAAGAGGTAAAAGAAGATAGTTGGATATGGAGATATTTTGGGGGGCGTGTCTGTAGATCTATGATGCGGTCGCTTGATCGGAGTCGAGGCGTCGCGGCAGTATGTATGTACGGACAGTCACAGTGGTGCGCGGTGTAGATGAAGCAGGTGTGGCTTTGGCGCACTGAAGCGATCAGACTCGTGGAGCGGTAGAGTCGGAGGATCGTCTGACGTTGGCTTGTGCTCCAAGCCCTGATTCTTCGGAGGAGTGAGGAGCAGCTCGAGGGCCTGTTCCAGCGACATTGCCGTACGCATAGCCGCTTTCGCCGACTTCTTCCTTGCCAGTATGATCGGTTCTGTCCTTGATGGGTCTCCTCTTGCTCGGCAGCAAAGCGGAAAAGAAATCCCACAGAGTGACAAAGAAGAGGAAGATGATCGGCAGACCAGTAATGACGAGGACGACAAAGCCTACAATGACTCTGGGAATCGTTTGCACATTTGCTTCTTCCGTCAACGCGATGCAAGCTGCCCACGTCAACATTCGCAAAAGCGTAGTGATGACGTAGAACCAGTCCGATTTTTTGTCCCTCCCTGGTCTCAAGATGAGCAACAGAATGAGGAAGATGAGCTCCCAGGCTAGCAGTCCAGCTGCTTGCCGAAGGCCGTGACCTTGAGCAAAAACGATGAAGCAAGCTCGCACCACGGACCACAGCACAAAGGCAAAGGCGAACCAATAGAACTTTGGTCGGTAAGGATGAGCTGTGTGGCCCCAACGTTTAGCGATCAAGGTGCCCTTTTCTGGTGGTTCGCCCTTGGCAAAGTAGAGGTCGTCGGCGCTGCCACGTCTCGCGTACTTGATCATTGGCACCAAGAAGACTGCGCCGACGATTAGGAAGAGCCCAAACACCAGACCAGCGACCAGGTGAGGTGGCCACGAGCTTCCGTAGTTCCATTGGTAGAATGAAAAGATGGTGAGAATGGGAAAGACGATGAGAAAGTATCGCGAGAGCATGGAGAGCGTCACGACGCCCAAGAACTCCCTGGGCCTGGTGATCCTGTGAGACCAATGCGAGACCGCGCCTTTGCCGTTGCGGTTCGTGAGGATCCTGGCAACCAGCGCGACGATGTACAGCACGATCAACGCGCCGATCAGAATAGCCAAGAGGATAGCAGCCGACACGAGCACAGTGAGGTACGCGTTGCCAGGCGCCACGTTTTGACGCTCCGCAAAACGACCCAAATCTCCGCTGGTGGTGTTGCCACCGACGACCTGCAGTTGCACGCTGTTTGAGTTGGTGACTGGAAATCCGTTTGGACCTGTGTTGGGCGCATATTGATCCCGCTTCATCAAGCCGGATCCCGCTTCGACAAGCCTTTGTCCAAGAATCTCGACGTGTGAGCTGATTGGTTTCAATGTCAACGCGTCATCTAGCCTGCGTCGCAGTCCGATGCCGCCCAAGATTGACCGTCCGAGCCCACCGCCATCGCTGCCGCCGGACTGAGGAGTGCTGCCGCTGAAAGGATTGTACTTTCTGCCGACCTGGGCAGTCAACGCTGCTCCAAATGTTCCCGAGCTGTAATCCCCGTATCGCTGCCTCGTCTTTGTGATGGATTGCTGCAGCGATGGGATGTTGACCAGACCAATGGCCCACGCAAAGTTGGAGCCGTACTTGAGAAAGACGATGGGATAATTGAGCGAGAGCAACGAAGTGACTGCAGGGTGTTGGATGACCATCATCACATCCACTATTCTCCATTGCGCAGCGCCAACGCTCTGAGCCATTGCGGTGTGAAGCAAGCAGCTAAAGAGCGCTAGAAGTGCGAATCCGACAGTCGCCCACAGAACGGCAGGCTGACGTGCAGTATGACCGTTGGAGAGCGTCGCCTGAACGCAGCCTACAACAGAGTTTCTGTTCGTGTCCGTCAGCTCCAGCGTGGCCACTGCCTCGAGATCCGGAATGGTATATGCGATCGTCGGAATGTCCAAGTTGAATTGATTGGGTATGGGGAATACTCCGCCTCCGCTGAATTGATATTGGGGCAAGGGACACAAAAACGATCCTCCCAAATCGCAGAGATTGAGGTTGGCATTGAATACACCCAGTCCGTATGCATTCACCGTCAAGGCGATGCTGACATTCAAGTCGTCCTGCGTGGACGCAGCTGCGATGCTAAACTCGAGCGTGCGATTGTCGGGAAAGAAGGAAAGCTGCAGATCGGTTACGAGAATGGCGATCGGATCGCTGCAGTACGCAACGGATGATGTGTCTGCACAGCGCGTGAAGCGGCAAAATGAGGCAGCGGTGAGTATCGGACGCCCGCCGAAGTTCTAGGTGCGTGCTAAGGAAAAGAAGCAATCGCCGTAGCACCGCGCTGATCACTCACAAAGCTCTCGCGCTCCTCCAATTCCCTTGGCGTCTACAACGCTCGTCGCTGCACCCACAAGGATGGCCAATGAGGCCGCGCTCCTCAACCAGCCTCCTCGGCGCCTTCTCCTGGAAGTCCGAGAAGGGGATCGAATGGTCTCTTGACGACTGGCATCATTTTCCCCTGCTCTCCTCAGCTCCTCATCAAAACTTGTGCAGCTCCGTGAAGAATCGACTTGGTTTTTCGAACCCATGGAACACTCTCCCCGAGCGGCCTCCCCCATACTGATAGCTGGCCAGGACAGCAAGGAAGCTGACAATCGCATGATGCTGAGCTGCTCTTCCGCTCACAAGAGCCAAGGCGATGGAGTCCAAAGCAGTGCCGGGGAAGACAACGCTTCTTGAAAGTGTGATGGAATGTCGAAGCACGAAGAAAGAATAGATAGGCTCGAGGTGTAGACGATCGCGATGCCATCGAGTAATCAACATTCTGAACTCTAGCAGCTAGGCCAGCTCGCCAACGATCGCGGAATCTTACTTGAGGAACCCGCATTTGGGTCCCTTTGGGCCGCGCTGCCTTCGTGAAGCAGACGGCTTGATCGGCTCTCACTGCTTTGTGAGCTGCAAGCCATCCAACGTGCTGCCGCCTCGCTTTTCCCCTTTGACCTACAGTAAAAGCTGATTTGAGCCGGTGCAAGTTTCCAACACGGATCACTCACGAGTACGACTGCAACTCCTGCGCTTCTGAAGCAGCTGTACCGGCAGCCGTGTGGATGTGCATCTCCGATGACGCATCGACGCTTGGCCCAACAGAAATGATGACACACTCTGACTGAAGGTGAGTGTCCTGACGCCTGCCGGCACCGTCAACTTTCAACTCGCTCTCGATTAATATCCCTCGATTCATGCAAGTTCATGCATCTGTACATGTACGCACATGCTATGCATGCATGTCACTTCGACCTGTCCGTCATCAAGCGCTAAACCATCCAGCAGTGGCTGTGTGGCTGCATCTTGCTCCACCTTGCCTCGCTTCTAGGGGGGAGTTTGATTCCTAGTCACCGAGGAGCCAAGAGCGAGCCACGAGTGCTGCTGCGTGGTGCGATTGCCGACGCAACAAAAGTCACGCCACGAAGAGAAGAGCGCAACGGACCGAGCCCGCGCTCCTCTGAGCGTCAGTGGCTTTTGTTGATCCACATTTGCAAAATCTCAGGGGGGTCCCCTCCATCAAATCCCACCCAGGTCTCGCCAAGTTTCTTCATTATGTTTGACTTGGCCAAAGCGGGAGATCTTTTGTCTGGCAAATCAATTGCTCGCGCGATACATTTTTGTTTAGGTGGCGGAAAAAGCGCGTATCAAACGACCGCGTTTCAGGGTCCGCGATGTTTAGAGCCCTGCAGCAGAGCTAGCTGAGCTCATCTGCGCTAATTCGTGCAGCCTTTCGATTCGGCGGGCACATCAAAGGAGGAGAGGCAGTCTTTGAGTGTTTGACCCTACTTCGTTCCCTCGTGCGTACAGACCCGTGACCGTCATCTCTGCACGATGTGAACTTGTTGCAATAATCATCCTCTCCCCTGGTTCTGCAGCGGGAAGCGAGGATAGGCTGGCGAGGTGGAGGTTGAGTCATAAGCAGCCCCCCGAACTTGCGTCTCGTGCTTATCTCGACGATTTTGCCTCGGCACACGCTGACATGGGCGGCGCACAGTAGATCGCAAAGCAGCACGCGCGAGATTGACATTGCTCCATCGATGTTACTAGGACAGACACCCATGCTCTCCAAATAACAACGCTATTTTTGGAACTCGAGTGGTGGTCTTGTCTCAGAAAGGCAGTCCCGGATCACCGATTGTCCGTGCTAGCTCGATGGCGGAAGCGCACGACCCAAATGGTCATAGCGTGGAGGACACGTCGGACCATCTTGCGTGTTGCATCGCAGCGCTTAGATAGCTGTGCAGTAGTGCCTTGTTGATGTCCCCGCACCAGCCGTGTTCAGACTTGCCTCAGAAGGTCGCCTCAACAAGCTGTCACACGTCGCGCGGCTGCGTCGCAATCGTGAACGTATTCATCGGTCATTCACTTTGGTCTTCTGCAACATGACGAGGGAATTCTGAGGGTTGGTAAGCGCGGTGTACGCAGCAAGTCAAGAACGGCATGAAAATGTACAATTAGCAGCTCGCTCGCGTCGCGCGGCCAAACCTCGCGCGACGACAGACGGACCGGGTGGTCACTTCCGCTTGTCGGTGTTTCAATCACGAATTGGGGCTCCGCCATCGGTGGGGGTTGCCAAGCTCTTTCTCTGTTTGTCACTACTAGGCAGACGATGCGTAGCACTTCTAGTCGTGGTGGAGACCACGCCTGTATCACACATTCTCATTCGCAACGAAAGGGGGCTAAGGATGATAATCTATTTGATGAGATGTAATAATATGTGTGGCAATGGAGCAGTTTGATAGTGGCGCGAGTATGTGTGAGAGAAGGGAAGATGGCTGGACGGAAGGCTACAAATATTTACATTGCCGATGCCATGGCGAGCGCGACAGCCGCGATTGTGGCAAGGAGCTGCCATTTGGCAAAGGCCTGGCTCGAGACTGAGGCTGTGGAAGCGTCCGTCTGATTGTCGTACTGCAAGTTTGTCGCTTGGTCCGAAACAACAGTCTGGATGACTGTGAGCACGGCTACTCTGCCATCCTGAGCATTGCCGCCAGGTGGAGCGACATCTGGGTGGTTGATACCTTCGGTAGTATCGTTGAGAAGCACGCCAGCAGGGATGTACTCGACAGTTGCGCGGTAGTAATTGCCTCCCCACGTGGTTCCGTTGGACCGCGTGGCATTGCCAACTATGATGGACGACTGTGTGAGGTTCATTGTCCTAGAAGACGTTCGGTAGGACCCAAATTACTCACCGATCTCATCTCGACCGAGATTGTAACCATTTGCGACAATGTCGTGCTGCGTGCTCAACGGGCCTTCGAGAGATGCGCCCAAGAAGTAAGCTCCGCTGTTCGCCTCCCTGCCATCTTGTCTCCACCACCTAAAATGATTGCCACCCTGAATAGTCTCTCTACAAGTGCCAATATACGCATCGCCATAATTCCACCTCATCACTCCATTGTCTCCATTGCCTGTACCTTGCGTCTTGTTGCCACCTCCATCACCCAAATTTGCATTCTGCTGTGTCCCGTTCGCTTGTCCCAAGCACGAGACGCCAAAGTTGATCGATCTGGAAAGCGGATGCAATAATTGCGCTGTCAGACATGGTATGCCAAGGAACAAAAGACGATGTCTGAAGAGCTCCTCACGTTGCCCAGAGTAGGAATCCTTCTACCTCCAACACCGTCTTGGATGATTTTCCAGAGATGATGATGTTCAAGGGCTCGCCTACGTCTAAATCCGGAATGATCTGTCGTGCCAGAGACAAGAGGAGGAGGAGGAGGAGGAGGTGACCGTGCTGAGCGACACGACTGGCAAAGTGGTCAGTCGCGTAAGTCTAACTCTACTCACAGTGGTCATCAATCCTCCCGTCTTGTTCAGCGGGCTGTAGTAATCCACATCGCCCCCAGGCGGCACATCCCTCCTGACGACGTTTACAGCTGAGTTGCGTGCCTGCGCTCGTCCCTCGACACACTCTGCTTGGACCTTTGTGTGCTCGGAAGGATACGCTTCCACCGTTGTGAGTGCAAGCAAGACCAGCAGGGCAAGAGAGAGGAGCGCCGTCCGTGCGGCAAAGAGCGACATTTTCGATTGACTCGATCAACAAGTCATACGTTGCGTCTTGCGGAGTACGAGAGGCTGGACAAGAGATGGGATCGATGGGGGTTTCGAAGTTGCCTCGGTCCTGGCCTGTCAAGAGGAAGCCTAGAAACCGTTGAGTTTGTCGAGGAGAGAGCTGGGCGAAATCGGACGCTAGCGATTCTCCATTCACTACTCCAAACTCCACCTTTTGCTTTCATTCGATTCACGCTTTCCATTCGATCATTTTCTCACTCAACCCAACCGACCCTCGCTCGCTCGCATAATGTTATGCCTCATTCATGCCTTCTCTTGCCTTTTCGGACCAAAGCTACGTGATGATGCAGCAGAGGGCAGCTCAGGCAGGCAATTGGCCGCCCGCCACTCCCCTCCCAAACTCCGATGCCGAGGAAAGCAACAAGCCCCCGTGACGGCAAGTCGTGCGTGCAGCTCGCGTGCAGCTGTTGTGCATTCACACAGATCCACAGCTTCGTGCTTTGCAGCCCGCCCAGCAGACTGAAGAGCAAGGGAAGCCGAGGCGACGAGACAAAAGGTCGCCGTACTTGCAGCAGAGGGGCGAGGCGGGCACGGGCACGGGCACGGGCACGGGCATGCAGCGCCCAGGAGAAAGATGGGGCCAGATCGTCCGTTTCTCAAGTCACAAGTCGCATCAGCTGCTACGCAGCCCAGACTGTAGCGTGCTGAGAAGACCACGCGACTCGGTTTGGACACGAAGAGTCGAGCTACGATCACACACCGATGAATGACTTCATCCATGGCTTTGGCCGAGCGGACAACATCGAATCACTTGAAGAAGCTTGTGCAACCTGATTCGTGTAGGTATTCAAGTCTGTCAGGGGCAGGCACTTGCCTAGCTATGTGCGGCGAGCAAGCATGCTTCGAGCAGCCCACCTGTAGAGGTAGGAAGATGCATACAGCGTAATCTCTCCGTCTACACGTGCGTATATACATTGCGACTCTGGATGAGGAGTCTTTTGAGTGTGATCGGTGGATCGCAAATACGACAGAGGACGAGGGTCAAGGCAGCGAAGCACCCCTCGACTGAGAAACACTTCATCCCACCGAGTTTGTGGCGCGCATAACCTCTTCGCTCGTCATTGCCGGTCGCACTCGTGACCTTCCCTCCCCCTTCGTCCGTCATGGTGGAGCACAATCTCCCTATGCATCTCCAGCAGAGACGTTCGAGGCTTCATGACAGACAAGACAACGAGATCGCGACTGCGCTGCTCCGTCATCGACAAAACACTAAAGTCGATGCGATAGAAAGCTTCTCATCCTTGATTGGAGCCAAGGATAACAAGGTCAACGCACTGTATTGATCCAGTCTGGGAAGTATCGACCATTTTCACGCAATGCGCATCCAACCGCGCGCAAGTAGCGTGCCCGCGCTTACTGAATGGTCTCCTATCGTGGGTCGGCGAAGCAGACTGTCATCTTCCGAGCTCCAAGAAGGCAATCCATCACACCGCCGAGAATTGCGTGACTAGTCATTGCTGTGGAGAGCTGCATTTGATGCTACACCGCTCACGTAATCGCAAGCTAGAAGTTCATCGAGGAGCTGCGCGAGCAACATCTCGCTGCCCAAAAGCTTCTCGAGCGCATTTCCCTCTATACGATGCTCTCCAACTCTTTTGCGAATTGCAAATTGGAGATGATCGTCGCCTTCTTTGGAATGGCATCCCTTCCCTGATTCGCGAGCGCATTCGCCTTGTTGACGAAATGCACAGTTTGCGTGGTAGGATTGATTTGCCAGCCTCTCTGTGAACGTTGGCAAAGACGAGAGCGACGGTTCGATTTAGCATGAAGCTGTGTCAGATTCGATGCTCCTTTATCAACCCACCTCGTTGGCGAACGAGCTGACATCGTGCATATTGTCGAAGAAGAGCAGCGTGGCTGCATCTGCGAGCGGCAAGCTGTCGTACGCCTTCTCCTCGCACGAGGCGATCTCGTGTCTGAGCGGGGCGTGCAAGGCGTCAGTATGCTGGCGCGCAAGCTACAATCCGTATCACCATGCTGCATACACACCTGATAGTGCCCATCAAGCCCTCTACAAAGAATGCGTACTCCTTCTGAGGAGCTTGTTGCCTAGCTCTCCACACTTTAGAATAGCTGCCTTCCATCAACCATCTTTCCAAATCGATGGGATGTTGAATGTACTCTGATTTGGCCACCAACTCTGGCGGAAGCGTTTCGAGCGCAGTGTGGAATGCTGCGATGGAGTTAGAAGAGAGAAGACGCAGCAGTGAGAGACCCAAAAGAGGTTCGTGAGAAGCAGAAGGCGGCAGGAGGGAGCTGCGATGGAGAGCAATTCGGTGCCGGTGATGCGCGATTCGACAGAGACGGTATGAGCGACGAGAGAGAGCATGAGCATGAGCAACAATGGTTGCGAGCCTCTGCATCATGCCCACCCACGACGCACCTGTAGTCATCCCAGAACACCCTGAGCAGCCCAATGTACCTATCGAAGCCATTCAGGTCTCCCGCTCTGATGGCAGCAAAAGCTCCAGCTTCCAAGATATCCCTCGCTATAGCCAGATCCTTCGAGTTGGCATCGGGAGTAGGACAAAGGAGATTGTGCACTGCTAATTGAGCCTTGGCATCCGCCAGCACTTTGGGACTGGGATTGGATTGAACGGCCGAGAGGACGCTGGAAAGGGACATTTTGGCGGCGTATGTGTGCACCGAGCGGGATGTCGGGCTGGACCTGGGCAGCAAATATTCACTGGATTGTGTGCAGACGAGACGTCTTGATCGGATGGGGTTTGCACGTGCACGTACGGATGTGGACGCCAACAGATTGCGAGTCTGAGTCCTTGTGAACGAAATGCAGGTCTTGCCCAAAAGATGCCAGACTCCGAATGCAACGCTGATGAGATTCTAGTGCCTTGTTCGACACCTCGTAAAACGAACAAGTCGCGTGATTCACAGCAGCGTGAGGTGTCCTCCTTGGTCGAACTGGTGCTGGAGATAGATGTGGACAGCCGGCAAAGAAAGGGAGAGAGAGTGTGTGAGAGGGTGTGTGTGAGTGATCTGCATCATGATCGAGCAGGTGTCACATCGAACAGGACGCGCGTCGTGGGGTTTGGCCGGTTGAAAGCACGTGACTTGCGCACCGACCATGCGCGAGTCGAGCGAGTCAATTGAGTCGACGCGAAAGCGCTTCTCTGCACGGCCGCGTCAGTCACCATATCCAACGCCATTCACAAATTGCGTGAATCGCATCCCTCATCCGCACCCCCCACCCCCACCTTTGTACAAGTCAGAAGCGCAACCATCCGGGATTGACACGTCTAGCACTTCAATCTTCCACGGGGACAAGAAAGGAAGCAAGACTCCTCTCCCAACAACTTGACGTCTCCGCAGACATCCGGGCACAATGTCGAGATCCTACGATCGTGCGCTGACCGTCTTCTCCCCAGATGGTGAGCTTCCAAAGGCCTTGGTCCATCTCCTCCTTGACCTGTCCCTCACGTCGCCCCCTCTCGCACTCTGCCCATCTTAGGTCATCTCTTCCAAGTAGACTATGCCGCCGAAGCCGTGCGAAAGGGAACTTGCGCCATTGGCGTGAGGGGCAAAGATGTGGTGGTGCTGGGAGTGGAGAAGAAGAGCGTGTTGCAGTTGCAGGATGCCAGGACTATCAGAAAGACGGCCATGCTGGACGATCACATTTGTCTAGCTTTTGCTGGTGAGTGATGACCGGCGTGCGCGGTTGTTTTTTGGGAGAATCTGGAAAAGCAAAAGTGCTAGCGCTGCCAAGATGGCCAACGGGGTATCGGCGGGCGAGCGCATACATGGTCCCGCTCGGCCTCGTGCTGTAGAGTGACTTGGGAAAGGGACTCGCCTCGGGCCTATCTGCAGACCGGAAGCTTCGAGGGCTGAATGACTTCCGGCTCGACTCGCTTGTGCGATCTTTCTGACGATTGCTCTCCCGCGCTCACTTCACGACCAGGTCTCACTGCCGACGCTCGCATTCTGATCGACAAGGCGCGCATCGAGTGCCAATCACACCGACTCACAGTCGAGGATCCGGTCAGCGTGGACTACATCACGAGGCACATTGCAGGCATTCAGCAAGTCAGCAGCCTTCCCATCTGTCCTTTCCCAAAGCTCTAGCTGACGGTTTCTCTTCCTCCTCCTCCGCACCATCTCGCAGAGGTACACTCAATCCGGCGGAGTACGTCCATTTGGTTTATCTACGATTCTGATCGGCTTTGATCCGAACGAAGCTGTTCCTCGACTGTACATGACCGAACCCAGCGGTATGTACAGCGCGTGGAAAGCCGTGGCTATCGGTAGGAGCAGCAAGACTGTGCGTGAATTCTTGGAAAAGAATTGGGCAGAAGATCTGGACAAGGAGGCTACGATCAAGCTGGCCGTCAAGAGCTTGCTAGAGGTTGTGCAGACTGGCGCCAAGAGTGAGTGGTCATGCACACCCGGAGTCTGGCTGCTCTTCCCATTCCATCGCTCACTTTGGCACGCTACACAGACATCGAAATTGCCATCATGGAAGGATTTGGAAAGGTCAGAGTGAGTTTATGATATCAGCTTTGGAGCTCCCGCCGATCGATCGTTGATCTAGCTCACGGTGCTGTCCACCTCGCCTCTTCTTTTCATTCCGCGCCCACAGAACCTCGAGCTATCAGAGGTGGAAGCGGTCGTGACGCAGATTGAAGCGGAGAAGGAAGCGGATGCAGAGAGGCGTCGCACGAGGTTGGCAGCTACCGCCGGAGCTCAGGCTTCTCTTGGTGCAGGTGCAGGTGCGGGTTCTGGCAGCTCATAGAAGAGCGTCAGGCATACAAAGACCTGCGCGCACACACAGAGGCAATACATGACACGGCACGTGAATGAAAGTTTGACCGCTCGAGCTTCCGTTCTACGGCCCCGAGTGAGACGACTTTTCTGATGCTCGATGTTTGTCTCGAGCGAGTCGTCATTGGGACGGCGATGTGCACCCCTCGCGATGCGCTGGGGAGAGGCGCGAGCAAGTCTGACGATTCACCTCGGAAAAGACGTCCTTGGTAGGTGTGGTGGGACTTGCGCTCAGGGGATCCTCTTCCCTTCGTGTGCCCGTCGTTCCCACACGAAGGGGCTTGGTCGAGCAGCTAGATGCACTCGGTAGGGCGCTTTGTTTTGCGAATGATCAGCTCCAACGTCTCCATTCGCGACTGATCGAATGCGTGGTTTGGGAGTGTGCGACTTGCGTCTCCTGACGGATGATCAGCGATTCGTCAGTCGTGAGTCACGAGTACGACGTGCACTGCGCGGTCTCGCTTGATTGTATTACCAGGAGTGTGGCTGGAGCATTTAGATCGACACACCATGCAATTTTCCTCCAGAGCTTCGGCAACGCATCTCGTGCGGTGCGACACCTTTCTCCTGCCACAAAAGCTTCTTCCGACTTTGAAGGATGAACACGTGGGGAGGCGTGAATGCTCTCGGATCAGATCACAATCACGATCGTGAAGTCATTGCTCCGTCCAGGTCGCGAGTGGGCATTTCCATGCAGCGACAAATCATTGCGCGGCGCAGAGAGGCCCGTTTGTGAGGAGGTTGTTGGCACCTTTACCGTTACGTGCTGCTGCTGTTGCGGCATGCGGAACCGCGATGCAGCAGCAAGTTAAGCAGAGCAGAGCAGCGCAGCGTAGAAAGCAAGCGAGCAGAAAGGAGAGCGCACAGCACAGCGTTATGGGGAGCAGTCACGAGTGTCAGTCGTGAGCGTGCAGGGCGTGAGAACTGTGTTTTCGGCTAGGTAGGTGCCGTCACAGCACATGCGTATAGCCGCATGTCGTAACTGCGCGTCTGGGTGCACCGTGAGTAGATCTGCCGGCATAGCAGCAGGCCGGCCTGCTGACCGACCAGACCCCGGGCTTTTGAAGGAAAAGGAGGAGCAAGACGACTCTGTCGAGTGGTGCGTGTGTTTGGCCAACGATGCGACCAGACAGCAAGTCACAGTCATGAGTGTAGTGAGTCGACATTTTTCATCCTCCCTGCTGCTCGTGCGCACCACGATCACCTGCGACGGCCACGCACATCCAGCTGGGGATTCGTCTGCTCAATAAACAACATGATAGCTTCATCGAAAAGGAGCCAGCTTTACGGGGCGTGTCTGCTCGCAGCCATCAGCCTGCTAGCAGGACGCGCATCCAGCGAGTCTCCTGCTCCCTCTTACTTCCTCGACGAAGCTCTGATCAAGAGGGATTCCATCCCGGGTCTGCGCGCACCGTCACCGCACGTCGATCTCAGACCACCTCGGCATGCCAGGCACGGTTCTTGGGAGAATGCGGTCAAGAGGAGTCAGCAGAGAGCAGAGAGGAGGAGGAGAGTGGGGGCTGCTTCGAGGGACAGACCGTCGAGCAGCGATGTCAACATGAACGACAAGGTTCAGGAACTTGGGCATCTTGGAGAGTGAGTCGAGCGCTGCACATTTGAGCCGTGCGCTATTCAGAATCAGCTAGGAGCGTGCGATTGGCATTGAGCGCCTTGGCCTGCGCAATGGTCGCTCCCACAGCGCAAGGGCACGCCAATCGAGTCTTATATGGCAAGCTTACGTTCCATCGTGCCTTTCTGCGCGCGACAGTGCATACAACGCACCCGTAAACATGTCGAATCCGGCTCAACTGGTATTTGTGGAGCTGGACACTGGCTCTGCAGATTTATGGGTCGTCTCATCGTCGTGCAACAACCAACAGTGTCAAGCGCAAGATCTGTTCAAGTTTGACGAAACGGCTAGCGGGACTTATCGTCAACTTGCAGTAGGATCCAGCGTCAATGTCAACACAACTTCGGGCAGCACAAGTACTGCATCCAATGGTACTCTGTCCAATGGCGAGCAGCGTGCAGCGCGAGCAGAAAGCGAAGATGCTCCGACTGGAGACCGCGACGATGAGGGCTCCGAAAGTGTGCAACGCCGCGCGCCTAACCGGCGTCCTGGTCTTGGCTTGTTGCGCATGTTTGCCGCCGCTCCAAGTAGCAGCGGCAACGCTGTGCCCTTCTCAATCACTTACGATTCCACCGAGACGGCGACGGGCGTGCTGGGAGTGGAGAACATCACGCTGGCCAACCTGGGCGTTTCTCAGCAGATATTCGGTCTGGTGAACAGCACCAACATTACGCTGCAAGAGCAGGGAATCTCTGGAGTGCTGGGATTGGGATTCACTAGGAGCAGCGCGATAGCTAGGAGCTTGTTCAATGTGACGGAGCAAGTGCAAGGAAAGAGCACGCCGTTGATGACTTCCTTGATCACCTCCTCCGACGTGTCATACCCGCTCTTTTCGCTAGCTCTCAATCAGAGCGGGGGTCGCTTGACCGTAGGCGCCATCGATACTGCCTACTTGCCCGACAAGCAAGCAAGGCTCGATGTGGCTTGGTACGATGTGGTGCCTTTCCCATCCGGAAACAGAGCCGCGCCAGAAACGTCCCTTCCCAACCAAGAAGCTCGAGTACTCGGATCGTACGCGTACTGGGCCCTGCGGCTCACAGGTGCCGGGGTCAATGGCACGAGCGTAGATATTAGTCCGACGTACAGTCAGGTAGGAACGGACCCCATCGCTCTGATCGATTCGGGCACGCTGGGCATCGTTGGGCCGTTCGATGCGGTCGGCAGACTCTTTGACCAGATATTTGGGGCTAGATACGTCGGCGATGGTCGATGGATCGTCCCGTGCGATACGACTGTCCGCATGCACTTTAGCTTTGGCCCTCAGCGGAACTTCACACTGCTACCTAGCGACTACCGTGAGTGGAATGCCGAGCCAACGACGTCGTATGTCGTCGATGCTGACGAGAGTGGAACACTTGGTAGTGATTGGACCGGCTGTTGGCAATCCGTACCTTTGCTTGGCTTGGCCAGCTGCCGTTCCTGCTTCACCGGATGGTGTAGACTGGATCCTCGGTCAAGCCTTTATGCGAGCGCAATACTCTAGTGAGTCAGCGGCAAGCGCGTTACCATGATCGCACTGCGCATTGACGTAGTGATGGGGCCGTGCCACGCAGTCTTTTCGCTAGGCATCGAGGGGACAGAGCCACCAAAGATTGGGTTTTACCCTTTCCGGGCCTCACCCTCTGCTGAGAGCTCCTCGCTCTACGCGCCAGAGCCCACAGCCTCCCTCTCCTCTTTTCTCTCAAGCATCGCAACTCCCATAGCGACCACCTTGCCAAACTCTATCGTCCCACTCCTCGCACCCACCTCCACCGCCTCCTACATCTTCCTCAACGCTACCCAGACCCCTTCGTTGGGTCTCTTGCCGACCTTGGGAGCGGGATCGAGAAGCTACTCGGCTTTGATATCCCAAGTCACGGGAAACGAGGTGCCGGTCATTGCGAACGATAGTAGGCAGGTCATTCCTGCCCCTCCTAATCCCGCCGCTACAGGCAAAAAGGATGGCGCAAGCAGATCGGCCAAATTGGACTTGCAGCTGCAGCTGCTTTGTGTTGCGGTGGTGCTGATGACTAGCACCGTGCTGCTACTGCTAGACTGAGCCCGGCGCACCTCACATGTACACAGCAAGCATTCAAGCACACGCATCACAAGCCTCTAGCGCGACTCCGACGTTGTATTGTTCTGCCTTTCCCCCGCTTCCGCCGCATCCTCTTCCAGTCTCACGCTCGCTCATGGACACTAGCACTCGCTATCTTTTAGCGGGGCAAGGAGACCGCAAAGAAAGCACCGCATTCTTTGTTTCCCGCCTTGCCACTTCAATCCTGTAGAATCAATCCCGCAATACCCATTCATCTGCTTCGCGTATTTCGCAAGTCTGGAGCTTGATGCGGGATGAGGGAGTCGAATATATGCACCTTGTAGGTCACCTGCGGGAGTCCAAGCGGAGTCGGATGTCTCGAACCGGGGCCCCTTCATTTGGCTTTGGTGCAATTGAGGGTGCTTGCTGGAGCATCAGGTGCGATGTTGCCATTTTGGGGGGTAACGTGGTTTGGGGCACTTGCACCAACTTTTTCGAAATCCCGTACGCGAGGTCGTTGTCCCCCTCCTTCGTATCGGCGATTAGGCATGTGCGCGGAAAGAAGAAGCAAGATGAGCGTTCGAATTGCATGTGCAACGCATTGCCGTGGGCCTAACGATGCTGAATGTTGCTGATGATAATGCCGAAGCTCCCTTCCGCCTTTACCAAACAATCAGCAAAATGTGACCTGATCTTCCGCATTGGACTTTTGCCCCCCGAGCAAAAAGCTCCTAAGCAAGAACGCAACGAAATCTTTTTAATGTTCATGGTTTTTCCTTCATCAAAATTTCGAATTCCCCGCTTTGTACCCCGGAAGATCCAAGCGCTCGATAATTTCCCAATCAAAGGAACGAGGGCGAGGGCCTCCGGCCCGCCAAGCCTATCCGTTGCAGCGCTTCTAAGAAATCACTCACCTTGCGATCGGAAGTCGAGTTGAAGATGCGGGGGCGCACGAGACGCATCATCTGCTGAGCTTGTCCATCCGAGCCCGTTTCCCAGCGAGTGTTGCGCTATGATTCATCCAAGGAGGATCGCGCACCGAATGCGCTTCGTTCAGGTGCGTCTCGACCCTGCAGTGTAAGGGCACGAGCCCAGCTGGGGCCTCCATCCGTCGCTATTCGATCAAGTCACCGATCCGTCACAGCTCAGGTGAAGGGCGCGCGACAAGAATTAGAGATTTTGGGGAGGGAGAGGGGGGGGGGGGGGGGGGGGGGGGGGGGGGGGGGGGGGGGGGGGGGGGGGGGGGGGGGGGGGGGGGGGGGGGGGGGGGGGGGATGGTGGGACTGACGGTAGAGTTATCGCGGTGTTCAAACACCAGACAAACCCCTCTGTCTCCTCCATGCGTCGACCCAAGCTACGATGCGCTCCACATTTTCCTCTACCTGCTCCGCATTCTCGCTCTTGAGCGCAACGACGATCTGCTCGTCGTAAGCTTCGTGAGCTTCGGAAAGCACGACTTGCATGATTTCCGCGCTGTTGTTCTCTTGGATCTTGGCTAGGGGATAATTGCTGGACAAGAGGGGGGCAAAGGAGGAGATGTGAGGCGTTTGAGTCGTGACGCGCACGGCTAATCAGCGTCGCGTTGCAGAAGAAAGTTCGGACCGCTGAGACACTTGCGGGGCGGCGTATGAGCGCGGAGGAACAGCCTTTTGCTCTGAAGGCGCGCCGGCGCGACTTTATGCTATTCGCAAGCTGCGCCTTGATTGTGCGATATCCGCTTTTCATTCCCTCCGCCTGCCCGCAGCATTTTTCAACTCTCAGACGTGCCACTACGCGACACGACACACGACACACGACACACGACACACGACACACGACACACGACACTCGACACTCACCGCTTTTCGAGCCTTTCCCAGAGGATGGCGTGGTCGCATGTGAGGACGACGACGAGATCGACCCACCTTTCGGGATAAGCGTCGCAGGTATGCCAATCCAAAATCGTTCCTCCTTTCCTCTCCTTCTCCTTCTCCTTCTCATCCTCATCCTCTTGCACACTCCCACCATCCTCCACCTCCACAGGCTCAAAGCCGCACTTTTCCTCCAAGAAATCCAACAATTTATCTTCATCCACCTCAAACGTATCCCACGCCTCGTCGTAATTCAGGGTGAAATGGTTGGATTTGCACAGAGATGTCACGTCGATCTGTTCCAGAGCTGGAAGACGTGCGTGGAGCTGCGTTGCGTGGGTCGATTTGCCTACTCCTGGTGTGCCTGTCAGCACAATGTTGGGCCATGCTCGACGAGGCATTCTGTGGAGAAAAAGTGGGGAGTTGGATGCAAGTGGGCGAGCACGTATGTGCACTGGACGCAGGGATAGGTGGATGGGGTGGAGGGGTGGGTGGGAGGATGGATGGCCGCCGTGAGCGATGGTGAAGAACAACGACAGTCCAGCAACTAAAGTCTCAGTCGTGAAGAGATGGAGGGGAGAGATATCTGCTGCTGGGCCTAGTGTGAGTGTTTCGATTCATTTTGATAGAAATTCTAGAATTGATGAGAGATCGCGGCCTCTTGAATCAGCAAGCAAGCAAGAGCTAGCCTGCTGCACACCACAGCACCCTGACTCGTGACTGCTCGCGTGGCCTTGCGCGGGGAAAATTTGGGTGAGAAGCAACACCAAAAAAAAGAAAAAAAAAGCGATCACGTGACTCTTGTGCATACAATCGAATTTGCCTGCTCCGTGCGCACGTTTTCTTCTCTTTTTGGTGTGTACCGTATACATAGGTGCGGGCGCGTATATAGAGGCGTGTTGGAGCTATAGCTGCCGAAGAAATGCGTTTGCATGTGTTGATTTGATGGGTATGTATTATGCAGCGACGCCGACGCCTACAAATACGCGCCCACTTCTCACACACGACATCATTCAAAATTCTGACTCTGACCGAGACTTGGCTCAAGCATTTGGTTAGCAATCGCGAGTGAAACATTTCATCGTCAAGCGGCGGTCATCGTTTCAGTTGCAGCGCACAACTAGTCACAAGTAGTGTACTGCAGCGCCCGCCGCAGAATCGCTCTTTCCGTCATCGCTCTGCGCCAGGCACTCGACCTATTCACGTGATTCATCGTGTTCAATCAAGTCCACTTGACTACTTGACCTCCCGTCCGCACCAATTATCTCCCACATCATCATGTCGCTCGAATCCAATGTGACTGCTCGCTTGCCAAAAGTGGCGAGCCAGCTGATCGTGTACGACTTCGACTGGAGTTTGGCAGATCAGGATACCGACCGGTGGGTGCACGAGGTGCATGCTCCGGATCTTAGAAGAAGGATCAAGGAGAGGGACGGGACTGTTCAATTCACCGATCTTTGGTGAGTGCCTTATCCCTTTTCCCCTTGTTCCCTTCTGCCCCCAATAGGCATGATGAAGGAGCTCATGTGATTTACTCGTCATTTCGCTCCTCGCTTCGCTTCGCCGCGCTGCGCTGCGCAGTGCGGGACTGCTAAGGGAGCTTCACGGCAGAGGAATCACGCCTGATCAGATCAGGGATGCCATGCGAGTCATGCCTTTTGTGAGTGGGCACTTGCGCCTTTGCCAACAACAGCGCGTCCCAGCTCTTTGCGCAAATGCTCCTCCTTCTTTAGCTCACGTCGTTTTCGTTGTGACGATCCACCACATCTCGTCAGCATCCGGCTATGAGGAGGGGTGTGCTGCAAACCAAGGTGGCCAGCACGCCGCAGACGACCTTTTTCCTGCTGAGCAACTCCAACAGCGTTTACATCGACACCATCCTTCAAGTGAGCGCTTTGCCTCGCCTTCCTCTAAGCCCTTGCTCTAGCCCTCGCACGCTCATACTCCCTTCTCTCTCTCTCTCTCTCTCTTTCTCTCTCTCTCTGTCTCTATCATCGCTCAGCATCAAGGCTTGAAAGAAGCTTTCACGGAAGTGGTCACCAATCCTGCCCACTTTGAGGAAAATGGCCTGCTGAACTTGTCCAGGCGCATCCCTGCGGACGCTCCTGCAGCTCAGCAGCACAAGTGCAAAGTAGGCTGCAGTCCCAACATGTGCAAAGGTACGTGTTGCGCCAGCAAGCTTCGACCTTCCAAACTCAAATGCCGGTTAATCTCAACCCTGGTTTCTCTTTCTTACCTCCCCCTCCCCCCCTTTTTCCTTCATCGCTCGCGCGCGCGACACAGGCGAGGAATTGGAAGCTTTTTTGGCTCGTCATGGAGGACGTTCGGCGTTTGAAAGGATAGTGTACGTGGGAGATGGAGGCAACGATTATTGTCCTGTTTTGCGATTGGGCCCAAAAGATGTGGCTCTCGTCAGACGCTACAGAGGACTGGAAAAGAGAATCGAAAAAGAGGGGGGTGTCGAGGCTAGCATCAGGTTTTGGGCTGGCGCGTGGGAGGTGAGTCGAATGCTCGGCTTTGAGAGCTGCTGCAGTCGGTTTGCTCATCTGTGCACATTTTCATTCTACGCCGACCCCGCATAGGTCGAGGGCTTGCTCAAAGAGCTGCGTGGGGAGTATTAGACACCAGAATGGCACAATATGAGCACGCGATGATCAATGGCATGCTGAGCATAGATATCCATCGTTTTCGAGCACAAGGAGTGCCCGGGCGGTCCGCTGCACCGCTTGCAACGTCGCTCACAAACGCCCGACGCGCATTGCACCTGCCCCGCTATAAAACATCTACCTAGCCTTTCTGGGTTCACAAAGCCCTCCCCCTTGACTTCCTGCCCGCTCCTCGTTCATTCTCGACAAGTGCGCTCTCGCCAGCAGTGCTGACCTCTGCGGCCGTTTGCTGCGCAAAAGGAGCAGCGCGTCGCTGGGATGCGGCAGTTTTGGCGCGCTTCTTCTTCGCTCCGATCAGCTCGACATTCCGTCTCTTCTTGTCCTCCTCCTTCTCCTCCTCTTTCTCAACGTCAACATCCTCCTCGCTGGACGACACGTCGACCTTGGCTTTGGCTCTGGCTTTCGCTTTGGCCAAAGTCTTGTTTGCTTGGCTCCTCTGCTTCTTCTCCTCTTCTGCTTTGGCGCCTTGGAGTCTGAGCTCTTGGACCTGCCGCATCAACTCTCTCGCCCTTTGCCATCCGCCCGAGGCTTGTTGCCCTTTCGGCTCGTGCTCGGCCTTGATCGTCTTGTTCGAGCGGGAGCGCACATCGTCCTCGTAGAGCGTGCCGGACAAACAGTACAACGCTTCCACCTCGCGCGACCATACTTGATGCATCACACCCTCTTCTCCTGGCGTTTCCAGCACCATCGGCATCCCTTGAAAGCGCAAATCGTTCATGATCCTCCAAAATGGATAGCTGAGCGCGCGAGAGGAGGGGCAAAGGGGGGAGAAGAGAAGTACGCAGAAGTCTTTCGTACGGTCAGATGGGGGAGAGATGCGCCGCGCCGCTCGACTATTGTCCGGGAGTGCGTGCGCTCTACTCACAGACCAAGCATCCCAGCTCCCACATTATCGTGTCTGTCCTTGTGCGAGCCCAGGGCGCCTGAGGATGATTGATAGGCGTGGTTACCGAAGCACGCTCACACATCTACGAGCACGACAAACGCGCTTTAGTACCACCTTCCTCACCTTTAGAGTCGTTGATGTGGATTCCCTGCAGATACTCTTTGCCCACATTGGCGTCCAGCTCTTCCAGCATCGCGTCGAAACCTGCTGCGTGAGAAATGTCGTAGCCAGCGGCAAAGGCGTGGCACAAGTCCAGACAGACGCCCACTTTTGACTTGTCAACCACCAACGCTGGCAAAAGATGGAGAGGGAGGGGAGGGGTGAGGGGGAAGGGGCAACGCGATCGAGCGGCTCGCAGCGAGTCAGACGCAGAATCATGCCGTGGCGCGGCGCGGCGCCTGCTCGTTGTGGGTGCCCAGAAAGAGTTCGTTGATGTTCGCCTCACCTATGACCTGACCCAGCTCCGTCCAGCTCTTGCCAATGACATTTCCCGATCCTGCCATGTTCTCCAAAAGTATGCGTGGACAGTCTTTGACTTGTTCGTGCGCTCTGTTGATGCACTGCGCAATCGAAGCGCATCCCTCCTCCATGCTGCATTCCCCCACTGTGCTGCCCGGATGAAAGTTGAACCTGTCTATGCCCAAAAGCGCGCATCGTTGCAGATCATCCACGAAGCACTCGTACGATTTCCGCCTCTTCTCCTCGTCCGGATTGGCCAGGTTGGTGAGGTAGCATCCATGAGGCAATACGCGAGCCGCATAATCATGTTGCGCCACCGCGCATTTGAAAGCTTGCACATTGACCTCCGCTATGGCTTTGCTAGCCCAAGCCATTTTGGGCCTGACGAACAGCGCAAACGCATTGCCTCCGATGTTCAGTGCGTTCTTGACGCTGTTCTCGATGCCTCCCGCCATGGAAATGTGCGCTCCGACGTGATACTTGCTCCCCTGAACTCGCGCAGCATCCGCCTGTTGCCCCCGCTGCTGCTGCTGCTGCTGCTGCTGCTGCTGCTGCTGCGCTCCAGCACAAGATTTCGACTCGCGCTTCTTCTTCTTCTTCGCATCAGCAGCAGCAGCAGCAGGACCACCTGATGATTGGCTTTGTGCGTCTGATGAGACCTTTGCTTCGCACGGCTCTTCCTCTGCCGCCGCCGGACTTGCTGGCGATGATTCTGCTGCATCATCATCCTGAACGGCATTGTGCCCATTCTTGACACGTCCACTGCGAATGGACGGCATTCCAGCTGCTGCAATGTCCGACTCCATCTTTACCTCCTCGGCTTTTGCTGAGCTCTTGAGACGCTTGGATGCCCGATGCTGCGACTGCTGCTGCTGCTGCTGCTGCTGCTGCTGCGTATCATTCACCTCATCCACCTTCTTCGCGCCGCGCTTCTTGCCCCGCATGGACGGTCCCGTTGTGGATGAGCTGGCTGTTCGAGAAGGGGAATTGCGATCGGCTTTCCGTCTTTCTGGCACCACCTCTTCCACCTTGACCGTCGACTGGCGCGCAGACCGACGTGGCATCGTGGCTTTGCGCTTCCTGTGCGCGCCCCTCGCGTTGGTATCGGGGATTGCGCACCTTCCTATTCCAAGGTCTTGCGCGCCTTTGAAGACTTTTGGTTGGAGGGTAAAGCCACCTCCTTTAGACGGGCGAGAGAAGCTTCTTCAAACGGTCCCTTATTGTTTAAACGGGAACAAAGAACGAGATTCACGATTGTCGCGCGACGTAGATTCGTCAATTCACAGCGGACTAGTCGTGAGGCGGGCGGGATATGCATCCTCGAGAGCGGCAGCATGGCGTGCATAAGCGAGGCTGCGGGATGTGGAGGAAGGCGCACGCACGTTGGCGGGGCGGGGGCGTGTGTCAGCAGCATATATACATACGCCACACGGCAAGCCCGGATGAAATGCAACGAACGGTGGTTGATGATTGCGAGGGGCGGATGGCATCGCATCTGCCCTCCCCTCCTACTTTGCCATTCGTGATTCTCCTCATCATCATCGTCCAGTCCTATTCAATATTCAAAGCAACGATTTTGATCTCTTCAAGCGGCGAAGCCAAGCGTGCCAGCCCAAGCGATCAGGCCTCTGATGCGACTGGTCGAGTGCATGGAAGAGAGAAGGCGGCGGATGCCGCATGGACAGGCGCTGACAACTGCCACTGCCACTGCCACTGCTCACAGACCCGACACGCTAAGAACCGGTCTGAGATACTTTCTTGACGATCCGCCAAGATGCGAAAGTGGTGGCGGAAGCGGATATAATGCGCGTTCCTTGCGGGTCGGCTGGCTTGAGCCGCTGAGCCTGAATCGCCAGCAGTTGACCGAGCGACAGACACTCAGACTGCTTGCTCTGTTCGCGCGCCCATAGTCAATCAAGCGCCAATGTAGCGCGCGCGCCTTTGCCGACTATACTCCCTTTGCCGAAAGGTATATATATGCACCACCACCAGCGCCGGCACGGTCATCGGATGCGCCGCTTATAGCCAACGAGCAGTCCAGCGCCCGAGCAGGGTGGCGATGGTAAGATGCCTTGACATGATGGGTGCATGAGCTTGAGGGTGGTTGAGCACGGCCAAGGCATCTCCATGCTCGTTCTTTCTGCATTAGCTCGCGCCAGACGGATCGACAGATCATGCGCGAGAGCTGGGCGATTGAGCTTCGAATGTATTCAAGGTGGCAAGTCACGATCGAGTGGCGACTGAAAGTATCGGCTTGCGATGGCCAAAACTTCACTTCTTGATCCTCATAATCCCCCCTTCCCCTCCACCCCCCCCGAACACCTCCTCTCTTTCACACACTTTGACCATTCTCTCGTCAAGTGAAACGCCGGTCGCTCTCCTTGACTCCTTCTTCATTTACAATTTCGCAGCATTTTGCTGAGGCGGTCAAGCAGCTATGACAGCTCGCAACGAAGCGCTAGGCGGCTCTGACAGCACTTCGCCAATCAGCAAGCAACGGCGCTGGTTCAGAAGAATGGTCTTGACAGGGCTCTATGCTTCTTTGCTTCCGCTTATCTTGTTCATTCTGCGCAAGCATGACTTATCGAGCATCCAAAAGGAGATTGCTCGAAAGGTAATCTGGGACCCTGCTCCCAGCACAGGCACGATGATGGAAAAGCGAGCGTACGACATTCATGTGGGTAGCGGAGGCGAGGCTCGACCCCCGGCCGCGCCACCGTGCTTGAATTGCTGACACTCAAGAACGTATCCACGCAACAAGGGCAACTGGCTTCCTGTGGAGATCAACTGGAACGACAGAGTGTCCCAGAGCACTCATCAGAATGCCATTACCTCTGCAGTCAATTCCTGGGCGCGAAACAACGAGCCCACCATGAAGGCATTTACGGTCAGTCCCGGCATTTGTTCCGCATTTCCGAATATGAGGCCTGAAATCTTTTTTTTTGTCTCGCAGCTTCTTCATGGATTTCGCCCTGGCAAGGGCAAACGCCTGACGACAGAGGCAGATCCGAGAACGCCAATGTTCGCAATGGGCATCGCTTATGACCATCAGGGCTATCCCCTCAAGACGCCCTTCAAGACCGCGCCTGGTCATAACCCAAAGGAATATGTGGTCTACCCAGAAGCTGGCAGAAGGTGGACATACGAGCGCAGCAATCTCAGAGTAGATTTGACTCCTGCCGGAAGACTACCCGACGGTCACTTTCCCTCTGAAGACCGTGGAAGAGCACACGACAGGCCTACAAAATTGTTCGTATCTCGCTAATACTCACTCTCCGCGCCTCTGCTGACTTCTCCAGTCCAACACACAGCCCGCTCAGGGGTCAAAGAAGATCTGATAAGAATCCGTTCACGTTGACCCACACGGGCGCCGCTGAAGGGTTCGCTGCCCAGGCGCAGCCAGCGCTCTCAAGCCTGCCTGACCGTTCATCGACTCGCCTCAGGCCCTTCAGTAAAGACGTTTCGCCTAGCAAGCAGGTTGGGCCATCTGCACGACCGCAAGTTGCGTCGCAATTCAATGACGAGGTCAATGCAAATCAAACTCCCAAAAGCATTCGGCTCTTTGGCGCTGAGGTTTCGCACGGGAGTCACAGTGGGCCAGCCGGCCCGCAAAAGAAGGTCCACGCAGCGGAGAACGATGACAAGGCCCCAGCGCCGAAGCGCATTCGGCTCTTCGGGACAGACCTGCACGCTTATGAAGGCGGTGACGCTCCCGCCCACCATGCAAACCGCCGCTCTCTCCTTGCTGATGAGAGCGTAATGCGAAGAAATGGAGCTGCGCTTGAGGAGACCGGTAGAGGCATCAAGACAGCACCCTTGCTGAGGCGCGCCTTACCCAAAGAGCTCGCTTCGGCAAGCGAACAGGCAGTCATAAGTGTGGGTAAGGACCCGCAATGGGAGGTGTCGCGCTTTGGCGTCCACGAGATTAGCTCGCTGAGCTCCAACTTCCCGCAGGAACCCGTCCAGGTGACGTTTCACCAAGCTATCGAAGGCGACTACCAAAGAAACGCAATCAGGCACGCCGTTCAGCATTTCAAAGAGAACCACGCACCAGAGCTGCACAAAATCAAGGTGCGTCAGGCTTGGTAGCGACGCGTCTAGCGAGAAGATTCTGAGGTTCCATTGCTTGGCACATCTGCCTCGCGCCAGATCTCTAGAGGTTTTCAGCGGGCTCCCTGGCTGGCAAAGTCGGGCTACAAGGATGGACAGGTGTTCGCACAAGGCCGAGCGCACAACGCAGAAGGGAAAGCCTTGCCTGGCCACAATCTCATACCGGGCGAGGGTAGGCTCGAGTACCCGATCTACTTGGCTCCCGGGCAACGCTATACCCAAAAGGCGCGCGGTAGGCAAGGCAGAGAGCTTGTGGGAACAGGCGAAGCTTGGCCAGAGCACCCGCCTGTGCCGCCCCATGAGCGGCATCCCGTCCCTGACCCTCGCGGTGGATGGAACAGAGGCTGGACGCAGCTCAGCAATCTTCAATCGGATGGCACGTTTCGGCGAGGATGGGATACTGGAGACGGACGAATCAAATGGTTTCAAGGAGGACGCAAGAAGAGGTTGGCTTCGTTGACCCAATGGGAGGTGACACGCTCCTCGCAAAGGTTGCGCGCGCTCGGAGAGTCCTCATCCCACAGCGATCCGTCTGTGACGAGCGGTCTTAACAGGAAGCGACCACTGGATCTGGATTTGAACAAGACACCCCCTCCCTCGCCTGACCACCAACGACGCTCTGTCCGAATCGAGAAGCGCGGCTTTGATGCAGCGGTGAGCTTCGATGTCTGCAGATATTCCATCTGCTACGCGCTGACGGGAACAAGCTCCATTGGGTAGGGCAACTGGAAGGACGTGGAAGTTTATTACAACAAGGTTACCGATCCTGGGCATCAAAAAGTCTTGAAAGAGGCGATCAACGCGTGGGCCAAGGAGAAAGAGCCAACGATGAGTAGGATCAAGCTCAAGCACGGCCTCAAGGATGTCCATAATCGCAGCCTTGGCTCCTTGTCAGAAGCCACCATCCAGCACGTGTATGCCGCAGGCATTGCGTGGGACGACAAGGCTCGACGCCTGCCAGGGCACTATCGCGTGCCCAGCGACAGCACCGGGACCGCCTTCTACCCCAAGACGCATTATCCGATCTACCTGCAGAAGGGACAGAATTACGACTATCACATTGTCGGAAAACATCACATGAAAGTGACTGGAGATGGGACAGTACCACCAGATCACATGCCAGTTCCTGCAGAAGAGCGTGCACCTATCTCATGGACGCCTGGTAATCACGACAGGCCCTGGCTAAAGTCTTTGTCCAAGTCTACGCCCTCTGGCAGCAAGGCCAGGCGAGAGAGAGAAGACTCTCCAACCAAGGCGGCTTTCAGAGCACGGAGAAAATTTTGGGAGAACTCGGGCGTTGCATCTGAGAGGCACGGCGCTGCTTTCAAGCCAAAGCTAAGGAAGAGACCTTTAAAGGAGCCCCAGATGACGGAGGCAGACGCGCACTACGTTCCGCCTGCAGTCGTGGACACTTCTGGTGGCGTTCCGGAGCGCCGCATAGCAGAAACACACCGCTCTCAGACGAGTGAAACGCCGTCGTCTTCAGCCACGTTGCATAAGTCGCCGTCTTTGCCGACATCGATCGAGAGGCCGTTGACGGCTTCGTCTATGGAGCTATCAGTTGAGAAAACAGGTACATCTGTGTCGAGTCAAAAGCCGTCCACCGCCTCATCGGGACAGGAGATCTCCGGGCCTGAATTCCGTAACAGAACGTCCCGATCCACGTCGCCGACTTTGCTCCCAACCCCTGCCTCGACTCCTGCGAGTGCAGCTACTCCCGAGATCGTCGATCATTTGCCAAGCGTTCCCAAACGGCCACGCACGCCTCGTTACCTCGTGGCTGAGGAGCCTGCCGAGCAAGGCCATGTGCAGCGCAGTGGCAGCTCGAGTGTTGATGGACCCTTGCGCGCCACTCCAGTCAGTCCGACTCTTTCACAACATGGACCCGACCATCAGTCGCACAGTGGCGCGCACCTGCGTCGGCGAGCGCTTCCTCACGCTCATCCTGTCGAGGATGTAAGTCTTGCGACTGGCGGGCGCTGTGCATTCGATTGACTCTTGCTCTTTCTTGCCTCCAGAATATCGCCGTACTATTTCAAGACAAGGTCAAAGGCAAGGAACATCAGCTCGCGCTCGCAGAGAGCGTACGACAAGCAGCTCTTTACAATCCGGCTATCAAACAAATTACGGTCGGTGCAGCTGAGATTCAGCATCGAGCCTCTGCCCTGTCACGTATTGCTGAATGCCCTTGTCCACTACATCGCGTCCAGATCAAAGCAGGCTTTACTACGCCTCGAGCGGAGAATGAGAGGGGCCGCCTTTTCGCCTTGGGTGCGGCCTACGACAAATTCGGTCAAAGGTTGAAAGGACCACGTCAGGTTCCGGGCGCAAATCCAAAACTTTACCCGATCTACCTCGGCAAGGATGTACCTCATGTCTACACGCCAGATGCGAATCGTGGGCTGCGCCAGCCTTTCGTCGGGACCGGAATGTACCCAACAGAGCATGTGCGATCCGGATCCACTCCTGGGGATGTTTGGAACAGGCATAAATCTGACGGCTCACAAACCGCACTGATGTTGGCTGAGAAGGGTATTCCTATCAAGGGTAGACACATGAAAATTTCTCGCAACGTTCCATACGGCGTCGTGCACGACAGCCATCCTCCCACACCTACCAAAGACGCGCTATGGCTCCAGGTGAGCTCTGCAGGATGGAATGTGGCTACATCTTATCATCACTGCACCTTTGTTGCTGAAGCAAAGCCTTCCTCCTCGCAAATTTAGCATTACAAGCACATCATTTCGGAGCCTGCCAGCAATCCTGCTGGCCAACCGAGTGCACGGGAAGGCGTGCAGCCTGCCAGTGGTGGCAAGAATCGTGATTCAAGCACTGCTGGCGATGAGGCGCGCTCAAGTCAGTCCGAGGAGCGCGCTCATGTAGCCGGTGCAAGCGACGGCGCCCGCTCCAATGCTTCCATTGAGGAGTCTGCTGCGACCGTTCACCATCGCGGGAGTAGTACCAACGAGCGCTCCGCTCCAGCTAGCGCCGGCAACAGCGCTGCCTCAGCTCACGCACACGAGCGCTCCGGTCCTTCTAGTGCAGGAGAGAGCTCTCGATCGATCCACGTTTACGAGCAACATACTGTAGGTAACACCGCCCCGTCGCCGGGTCACACGCTTCAAGGCCCGAACCTCTTGCCAGACGACACGAGAGTGCCTAAGCGAGCCCGCACGCGAAAGTACAAGTTCATTGACCTCAACAAATCCCGCGAGACTGCAAAGGCCGCTCCGGCCTGAAATCGAGGCGACCATAGCTATTGTTGCAGCAGCATTGGAGGAAAACGTGCGCATCGCAGGGTCTTCTGATCACTGCCTCCAAACCACCTGTAGTAAGATTCAAGCGAGCCACAATTGGCGAACAAATGTCTTTATTCTCGCTGCGGACCGCACACCAAGAGCGGTTTTCGTGTGACTGCAGCCAAGCCAACACGGCTCTACAACAGCCAACAGACGCGTCAAGTCAAGTTGATAAACGCAAGATCATCGTGTGGTAAATGGAGTCTTGGCGATTCGAGCCTACAAAGGTCTGCATCCACGAAAATCCTCGCATTGGGATTCTGCGCTGATCTACTTGCGGGCCGGACGAAGGAGTTGGACTCCCTTCAGCACGTCGTGCGGATAAAACTCTTTGCCCGCCATCTCCTCGAGGAACATGTGGCGGTGGTAAGGCGGACGGGTGTAGCCTTTTCCTTCACTCTTTGTCATGAGTATACCGCCCCTAAGCTTGCCATACAAACGCTCTCCGGGCATCTTCTCTTCTAGGTGCACCGCAGTGTCTCGCGAGGGAATGTAGCGGAGCCCACCATCCGGCGTGGCAGCGTAGTAGGACCCGGCCAGTCGAAATTCTTGGAGATGATAGCCTTTGGGCATGCTATGCGGTATCCATTCTTCGTCGCTGTGAACTTTCCATCGCCTCTCGTCTTTGAGCGTGTCGAGCTCCTTGTGGCCTTCAAGGCTCGCTGGATGCTCTACGCCCCATGCAGGGTGCGGGTCTTCAAGGATGCCAGGAAAGGCCAAGGCACCGCTTTTGCGTTTTAGAGCATTGGGCTTCAAGGGAGTCTTCGGGCTTGCGAAGCCCTTGCTAGTCGATGCGTCCGATTTGAAGCTGGACGAGCCCTCCGACGAATATTTGGATGAGCCATCCGACTTGAAAGTGGATGAATCTTGAGATGAGAAGCTGGAAGAGCCCGTGGGCAGAAAATGTTTCAAGTATTCCTTCTCATTCGGCGTTGGCGTCCTACGAAGGAGGGCGACGCTGCTTTCAGCGGCGAGTGGAGCAACTGAACGACAGCCAGCGGCGAGGAGCAGGAGAATTAAAAGCGCTTGGATGGCGCAGCTCGACATGTCCCCCAAAGCTAAGGTGGTGAGCACGCTGTAGATTTCCGATCGGAGCGAAAGTCTTTGCGGATTAGTGCAAGGGAGCACTTCACTTGTCGCTCGACACTGCACTCACCTCACGTGGTCTGCAGTCCGTCAGGCACTTTGACAAGAAAGTCAGTTGCGACTGCGCTTGGATGATGACTTTCTCAGCTTGACAGAGCAAAGGCGCCGATCTTTATACCTTTGGGGCGAAGTCGAGGAGAAGCTGGCAGGCATTGACACGACGAGGTGGACACCTCTCCTAAACGAAAGCCTAACCCAGAACCCAGACGGTCGGTCATGAGCTGCAACTTACTTCGGCAAGTCCACGTTTGTCGGTCAATTACATCACATGCGACACCCTTCAACGAGGATGTAATGTCTCGAAAGAGCTGACCTCGGCCCGATCCCCGGGCTTCGTGAGAAGGCAATTCCCAAAGTGAGACCCCAGGGCCTGTGCCTTTTCTCCCACCCATCCATCTCACGCTCGCTGTCCGGTCATTCAGCGGTGAGCCGAAGAAGAGTCATTCACGATCAACTCGTTTCTCATCGCTGCGCGTGACCTTGTCGCACCTCTCACATCGCTTCAGTCAGCTCGAATTGCGAGCTGGCGAGCGATCGTGGTCGCGATCGTGACGGCGACCGGGACAGCGACACGAGGCGGCGGAGCGGGACTTTTCGATCGACAGAGCCACTCGTGACTCTCCCCAATTCATCACTGCGCAAACGTGCTCGAATACAGACCCTTGCGAGCCCTGACGGCTAACAGTCCGACCTCGGCGCGCGCACCTGACTGACCAAGCAGGCGCATACGTCCCCCGGTCCGTCGATCGGCGTAAAAGGCGAGCGCCAAGCTCAATCAAGGTATCGCGACGCGACATTTCTCAAATTGGGGCCACGACCTGCCGCCATGTTGGACCTTCTTTTTTTTTTTTTGCAGATCGCTTGACCGCGTCTGTCTAGCGTAACCCCAAGGGTTTTCTCGATCCCTTTCTTTCACCCAACCAGACCAGATCTTTGTCCCGATCAACAACAACAACAACACGACACCAAAAAGCCTGCTCACGCGTGCAGTCCGCAACGTCAGGGAAGAAAAAAAGCAACGTGCAAGTCCTTTCCTCTTGTCGCGATGTTCGCGTGCGCATCGACTTGCCTGTCACGTCGACGCCTCGCTTAGCCACCCTGTCATCTTGCGGCGTTGGATCGATCAGCCAGCCCGCGGATCTGCAAAGTTTTGCGAATGAGTTCAAGTCATGATTAGACCGACACGCGGCCGTGCAGGCCAGACCGGGAGCGTCAAAACACTGAAGCGAGAACAAAATGGGGATGGGTACATGTTGCGGAGATGATGATTGGTGGCAATGCAGGTCAGGTTCAAGTCGAGTCAAATAGGATCGAGTCGAGTCGAGTCGTGTCGAGTCGTGTCTTGTCGTGTCGCGCCATAGTCAAGGTCGTCCTGAGCGTTTTCTCTTGGGTGATACAATTTTAGAAGACGGCCGACCGATCGTCATCTGCCTCGTGTGCGAGCATCGAGTTGCGTAAGCCTCGTCCTTAGACTTGCAGACGAGCGATCGATCGAGAGAGACTACTATTCTCGGGGCGCAATGCGCAAAAGAGGCTGTGCACATTGCGATTTCGCTCAACACGGTGTTTAGGAGGCGTTCAACAGAAGACCAGCTTCCATCGTCCGGGGTATGTTGGGGAAGGATTGACGACGCGGCAAAGGCGTGGGCATTTTCGTTCTGGACATTGTTCGAGCTGTCTCGGCGTTGGGAGGAGTGTAGCAAGACCGGCATATTAGGGTGAGGTCGGGAAAAGAGGCTTGTCGTCGCCCAGGCATTCGTTCCGAGCGTTGGATGCGGGTGTGTCCGCAAAAGAGCTGCGGTCGACGCGCGAGCCACACTCGACGTTACACCGTCAGCGGTGGACTGCGGTCACTAGCAGCAACCTCCCCAGCCACCTCTTCTTGAGGAGGCGTGATGTGAGGCGCCAGACGAAGCGCGCCGAGCAGTAGCAGCATCCGACTCGTCTCTGAGCATGATGGAGTCCCTATCCCTCCTCCTCCTCTCCGCCTCAATTTCCGCTTTCCTCTCGACGAGCCTGCCAGCAATGTTTACAAACACATCCTCCACCGCCTCTCCCGCTTTCGCAGAGACTTCCGTCACCTCGACGCTTTCCCAGCTGGAAAGCGTACGCCCCAATGAAGAGGATTGCACGTTCGAAGCGCCGCCGCCCGCTTCCGAAGATCCCGCGGATCCCGACGCGCCGCTGCTAGAGTTGGAGTTGGCCCCTGCCGCTCCCGCGGGAACAGCAGAAGAGGCGCCCATGCGCGAAAAGCCTATTCTGGAGGAGCTCAATCCGAGATTTCCCAGACCCAGGCGGGAAGGAGAGGCTGGCGACTGGCTAGCTGGAAAGTCATTGCTCGCGCCTCCAGCAGAAGCATCCGGTGCGGTCCAACCCGCGACCGCATCGCGAGCCTCGTCCAGGTAGACTTCCCGGTGCGCAGGAGCCAAGTCCAGCTTGGAGCCAACGACGTGAATGATGAGGTCTGAGGTCACATTCTTTCTCAGCTCTTCGATCCACGTCTTGACGTCTTGAAACGACGCCGCATTGGTAATGTCGTAGACGATGACGGCGGCGTTGGACCCTCGATAGTACATCGGCGCCATGCTCCTGAACCTTTCTTGCCCTGCAGTGTCCCACAATTGCAAGCGGACCTTTGTGCCATCCACGACGAGCTTCTGCGTCAAGAAGCTGGCGCCGATGGTGCTTGGTATGGAGGATGCTTGAAAGGTGCCAGTGATGTAGCGATGGACCAGCGATGTCTTGCCAACGCCTAACCGGTTGAAAGGGTGGGGGGGGGGGGGGGGGGGGGGGGGGGGGGGGAGCAGTCAGCCGACCGAACACCACTTTTTGCACAGCGCTCGCACACTCACCTTGTGCACCGAGGATCACGACTTTCAGGTCCGCACCTCCTCCCACCACTGTCGCTCCAGCGGCCGTCTGGCGCACATTTCGGCCCTGTCTGGTCGGCGCTCTGGCCAAGCTGGGTTCTCGCATCAGCGGCGCTCGCCGCTCGCCTTCGCCCAACAAGTTGGGTAGGGATGACGAGGCTTTGGAAGATGAATAAGATGACTGCGCGTGCCAAGATGGCTTGACAAGCGGATCATCCACCAGAGGCAGGCCGACTGCTGGTGTTGCCAGCGAAGAGGTGCCCACTGTGTGCCTGGAAGAAGATGCCGCGCGTATGCACCCATCCTGACTGACAGCTCCCAGATTCGGAGAAGAGGGCGATCCTGCGGAACGTGGTGGTGAGTCGTGACCATCCGAATGCAGCTTCGTGCTGCGTGATCGAGGGGACGATGAAGGGACGAGAGGAGAAGCTGCGCTGGAGCTGAGACTGGCGGCTACCAAGGCAGTCTTGGCATCTTGCGAGGAGGGTGATGTGAGGGGCGACGCTACCACTGTCGTGGCAGAAGTGGAAGCCAGCGATGCCGACATGACGGACGACTGCGGAGCGGAGTGGTGCTGCCTGCGTGACAGTGGATCGATTCGATGCGATGCTCCCGGCCGTCGTGAGAGCAGTGGAGCAGGATGTATGCTCGCGAAGTGGAAGCAGGATGCTCACGCCCTCGCGCGTGATGGTCGTCCACACTTTTGTAGAGTGCCCGCTGTCGTCTGTCAAGCAGCTGAAAGTGACGGCGCGCGTGCGTGAGTGTGTATGCGCTGCTAATGTGCGACGAAGAAGGACAAAGCAGGTGGCTGCCTGCGTTTTTGAGGGGGGGGGGGGGGGGGGGGGGCGTGGACGCCAGCTTGCAATGAGTCGCACCTACTCCTTTGCACAACAGTCGGAGTGCGGCCACCTTGAACGTACGCCGCGCCTCCACTCTTGGCTCGGAATTCACTCGACTGCCCTGGCTGGCTGAGCGTCTGCCAGTGTATGGCTCAGAGGCTGCTCTTCGATGCGCAGCAGAAGGCCGATGGTGAAGAGGAGAGTGGGCGACTGTCAAGGCGCAGCAAAGCACAGATGGAGTGATCGTTTGCCGTGTTATGCAGGCGTGTGCGTGTGCGTGTGCGTGTGCGTGTGCGGTCCACGCTGATCCGTCTGCACGCGAAAGAGGAAGAGCAATGACGTTGCTCAGGGCGAGTTGAGAGCAATAGCAAGGTGTGAATGGGTAGCAGTCAGGAGATATAAAGATATGCCTTGGCCCGCGCGTGCTGTGCGTATTGGTGGGGGAGACTGTCGATGATCGAGTGCAGTCCAGTGCGTGCTGCAGCAAGATGGAGCGGCGCGGCGCGGCGCGGCGCGGGAGGGCGATTGAAGCCGCGACGATCGAGTGACTAGACGATGGAAGCGAGATGTGCAGATCCAGGAGACAATGGATGAAGAGAGAGCGCGCTTGTGAGTTGGGTAGGCGTCAGTGGGGGAGCAGCATCCACAATCGTCAGAGTGCGATGCGAGCAAGCGACAAGGAGGTGAGGAGAGCGTATGTGTGTGCATAGCAGCCATTTTGACATGGCGGCAACGCATGATCGATCCACTCACACTCATGCACACCCACGACTTGCTTTGCCTGCCGCTGCCTCACAATCAAGACTGTGCAACTGCTGCTGCGCTCGTGATGCGTGAGTGCTGGTGACTCGCGAGGCTCGCGCGCGCGCGCGCACACCTCCTATTTCATCGTGGCTGAGTGTGCTGCTGACTGTCGCGTCGCCCATGTATAGGTACATGCAGCTGGCAGCTGGCTGCTTGAAGCGAACGCTGTCAAAATCTTAATCTTAATTCAAGATCAGATTCAGCTGCTTGTCTTACCCGTCTGACCGCATGCATGCAGCATGTGCGGGTGTATATACGTCTAGCGGCTGTTGCATTTACTGTAACATTCGTGATTGCTTATTGCTTAGCTCACGATCCACGCACACGCACGATCTCGTGACGACCGTACCGGTACAGGCAATCTAATCAGAATCCCGAATGCGGTTCAAACAGTGTGAGTCGTGAGTGAATGCTGGAATCAAGAATCAAATGTATCAACGTACTAATTCAGGCCCCTCAGCCTCGACTCAAGTCTCTATTCGGGCGGCGCTCGATTCACGTTCACCATTGATGGCAATTCGAATTCAGCGAGCCTTGCCATTTTCTTTCTTTCTTGCCCCATCCTCCTCCACACATTCAGATTCAAATTCTTGACTGTCTGCCAGTCATGCTGCCCAATATGCAGCCTGGCCCGCCCAGCAATCCCGATTCATCGCGCCACACAATGGAAAAGACGACTCACGACGACAGATCATCATCGCAAGCGGGTCATGTATGTAGCGATCGATGTACAACTGAATGAGTTTGGTCTGCTCTCCTCGTGAAAGTTGTAGCGAATGTGCGCAACGAAGCAACGATCTCGAGTGCGAGTAGTACAGCAAGCGCAAGGCAACTGTGACGTGGTGCAAACGCACAACGCATCATCGTCAGACTCGCGACTCTGACTGCGTCCGGATGGTCGAGTCAAGACGATGTTCTCATGCAGATAGATAGATGACTCTGCCATTTGCAATCAAATGACTGCAGCGATTTCCAGATGTGCAAACAAAGCGTACCGGCAGGCACGCATGCATGCAGTCCGGTCCCTGCTTGAGGCTGCTGGTCTGTCCGATGGAGCAAGCGTGCGGCGTAGCGTAGCGTGACATTCACTCAGACTGTCAACATTCACGATTACCTACTCCTCAACCTTTACCTACCGCAACAAGACTCGTCGACGGGTTATCGTGCGAGAGGCTCGCGCTAAGCGATTACGGGCAAGCAAGCAAGCAAGCAAGCAAGCAAGCAAGCAAGCAAGCAAGCAAGCAAGCAAGCAAGCAAGCAAGCAAGCAAGCAAGCAAGCAAGCAAGCAGCCAGCCAGCCGAAGCAAGTCCACACTCTACTTCTTTCTCGTAAATGTGACTCTAGCTTCAGCCAAGCAGCACCCGCGTCGCGCCTCCACAACATCCACGCAAACCAATCGGGCGCTATTCTCCGCAACAAGCAAGACGAATGCGGGGGGGACAAAAGCGTGCTGTACCGCACCGATACGTGTCACGTCGGCACATTTCATGAGAGTACGCACCCTCGTGCAGGTAAAGCTTATGAGCTCGCTCGGCCGGCCTTTCGAAGCTCGAGTTGAATGGCTGCTGGAGACGGAGACGAGGACGAGGCCATACCGGTAATCGCACTGTGACTCAATAGACTCTTCTACTCTACTCCGTGGACTTATGGTGATCCGTTGCACGCGCGCGCGCCTCACGACCAACTCCGCACAAGTCAGACGCGATCGAGAAGGCCGCCCGCACAATCACGTCGCGCGCATGAGCCGCGGGGATCCGGACGGACGGACGGACGGACGGCGTCCACGAATGCAGCAGCGCAGCTAAGCATGCATCCCTATCGCCGGGTACGTTCCTGGACAAGGGGGTCTCCCGTTGACGCAGCCGGAGCTCGCGGGCCGTTGGCCGGTGATGGTGGGTAGGTGGATGGGTGGGTGGGTGCTGTGGGTATCCTTGGCTAGGGCGAGGTGATAGTCTTGTGAATTACCGTACAGGCACGACGTCAACACTGATGACTCGAATCTTGGTTGATTCTCACGCCGCAGCTCAAAACGTGAGCGCCTGCATGATTCCTGTGATCAGATCAAACAAATCGAAAAAGAGCTTCTGCGCGCGCGACTTACTACAGCTCGCTGCGGATGCTGGGAAGTGTACCGGTACACGATGTGCGCCCCCATCGCCCACCCCGAAACAAGCCATTCACGATTCACCCAACACAAATGAAGTTTGCGCTGCATGCATGCATGCATGGGGACACACATGTCATTCCGGCCGGGCATACATGTTGCTCTGCTGTCTGCATCATGGGGGCGTGATCGATTGAGCCATTCGTGTTTCATGTCTGACCAAGGGGGGCGCGTCGAACAGCAAGGGAGCGAGCGATGCTTTGTTTCTTCATGCGTGTGCTGCGAACCTGCTGAAGCAAGTTTTAGACGAGGTCGCGTAGTCTACCGCCACCGCCCGACGGAAGCGCGCATCGAAGCCTAGCCTCCTTCAGAGCTGCAGACTTGACTCTCACGAGCTTGATTGCTGTGAAAGCTGCACTGTCATGTCTCGAGATCGTGGCTTGAGAGCGCTCACGTCGCGTACGTGGGCCTTAGCTACCCCCGCGCGAGTCATGATGACGTGTACTTTGAGCGATGGGGGGAGCCATGTTCGCGATTGACAAGCAAGCAGCTTGCGCTCGCAACGAAGCCGCCGCCGCCGAACTATCTCGCTTTCGTCGAGCGAAACTGATCACACCCCATGTGCGCGCAAGGGGGGGAGGGGCGGGGCGCAGATCAGATCCTCCTGCCCATCCGCCGCCCACCACTCTGACTTCCCCCCATCCATCGCGCCAAATCGATCGCGAAAATTGTCAAACACCACGAGGCTCACACCTCAATCATCTCCATCTCCATCAACAGCTTCTTCACCGCCCTGCCGTGCGGCCCAAATTTCGCGATTGCGCTCTGCTCTGGTCTGGTCTTGAACAGCCTCATGGGGCGCTAGGCCACAGGCTGGGTGGGCTACACAAACACCCACATTCGCGCTCGCACCCACATGAATCCACAATTCTCGAGCAAGAATCGGCCATGTGGGTCATCATTTGCGGAAAAGATTTTTGGAGGGGGAAAAGTGAAGAGGTGGGGGAGGGGGAATCTTGAATGTGCGTGATACGTCTAGGGATTTGGGAGAGAGGTTCACGATCACCATGGACAAATCCGGTAAGAAGAAGCGAAGAAACGAGTGAGCGACAAGAGTGAAGAAGGTCGAGCTGGCAAATGAGTGCCCCCATGAGAGTGACTTGTTTAGTAGGCTTGGTCCCGAGTGACGCGCACAGCAAGATGAGTCCGATGACGCAAGAGAGAGCGAGAGAGAGAGAGTGTGTGTGTGTGTGTGAGGCACAAGCAAAAAGGCCCGGCATGCCGGCCTACATCCCCTTCAGCTCTCCATACAAGCCTGCGCAGCTGTCTTCGCTTCGAAGTTGCAGCATGTAGATGATACCAGTGCGAGACAACTCGCCGTCACCCGCAGACGCGTCGCTGACCTCTACAGCGACGCCGACTTTGCCGACGCGTTCGACCGAGTCGGGCATGATCAGCGAGCTGACCAGCACCTTTTTCGAGTTTTCCACCACCAATTGGCGCGTCTCGTCCGGCTGAATGTGAAACACTTTCAGCCTTGCATCTCCCAGCGACTTCCACTGTGCGTGATTCTGCTTGAGGTAGAGTCTGCAGCGCATCTGGGCGCTGACCGTGCTCGTAGAGGGCCCTCTCCTCTTTAGGGTCGGGCTTCCAGGAGGACTGAAAGATTCGTGTCTCCTCACACTGGGATCCTGCAAAAATGCGCTGGGAAGCTTGGCGGGCCCTTCTGCGCTCGAAGTCGAACGCGTTCGACCCGGCGGAGGAGGCAGATCGTCGAAGCCGTTGCTGTCTCCGCGAGGACTGCGAAGGTTGGGAGCTGACGGCCTGCGCATATTGTCGCGATCTTGGGGTCGACCGGTTGGGGGAAAGCCCGGCCCACCTCGCGGTCCCGGACCGCCTGGCCCGTACCCAGGTCGCCGCGGTCCATTGAAGCCGGCATTCGGGCCAGGCCCAGGGCCAGGGCCAGGACCACCACGACCGGGACCGGGACCAAGAGGGCGACCATTTTGCCCATTGGCCATGAGCGGGGGCGGACGACCTGCTCTCTGATTACCTCCAGCTTGCGCGCCAAACGGTGGAGATGTGACTGGACTCAAAGCGCCCGGTGAGAAGGGCTGTCCACCCTGCTGGGGCCTGACTGGCGGGCTTCCATTCGCCCCATTATATTGCGGCCTGCCGTTCACCACCGGCGGTCTGCCCGGACCGCTCGGTCCTCCAGGACGCGGACCAAAGCCTGCGCTGTTCGGCGAAGGGGTTCGTGTAGCACCAGACATGGGACTCGATGTCGGTGGAATGCGAAGATCTGGAGAGCCAACGCCATTTGCGGGAGGCTGCGTCGACTTTGGAAACGATTGGACCGAGCTAAAGGAGCCTTCGCGACCGAGGCTCGAGGCGAGAGAAGTGTGGGGGGAAAATGCGTCGTTCAGAGCGCTTTCCACCGCCGACAGGTTGTTCATCGACGAAGGCGTGACCGAGATGGAAGGAGAGAGTACGGGGGGACCGTTGCCTGAAGCGCCTCCGGGCTGAAGAGCACTTCCGGTCTGCACCTTCAGACCCATGCCAGCGGTGAAGTTGAAGCACTCGTCGAACTGCGCCAACCAGTCGTCGCGGTCTTGTCTAGAATCGACTCTGATGTGCAGCGTCTCTTTCTTGAGGATCAGAATCGAGAATCCTTGACCTGCATGAGCAGAAAGGTGCAGCGAATTTAGCAGATTTTCGCCCCGCCAGCAAAAGTCGTGGTGGCCACTCACCAGACTGATCAGGTGACACGCGCAGGTGCTTGCCGGCCAGAGGAGGGTACAGCAGCCACATATCCGTCGCCGGATTGCCCGCTCTTTCGCTCGGTGTCATACGCTCGCAAATTAAAAACAAATCCGTAAGCAGGAAGATGTAAGCTCGGTGGACAACCACTTCTCTGCCAGTGGAGTTGGGCGTGAAGCGCATCATGACGTCTCCGCCCTTGCGCAAAGATCGCGTAAAGGGAAGACCTGGCGTATTCATGCGGAGTTGGCATTTCTGGGAGGGGGCCAAGCATCGCGTGAGCACGAGCGCATGAGCTGCGAACGGTGCGGCACTCACTTTGGGCCTCATGGTGAAAATGTCCAGCGTCCGTGCAGTATCCAGACGCGTCTCGAGAATGTCCGCAGATGCCCCATCGCTATCGCGCACGACATTTGGCTTTGGCGCTTCTGGTCGCGCGACGGGTGGCGATCTCGGAGCAGATGAGATGGAGGGGGGGACTTGCTCGGCTGCCGGCGCGGGGCGAGTCGGAGCGAAAGCAGGGCTGGCCAGAGGGCTCTTCGGCACGGGCGGCTTCTCTTCGCGATCACCAGAAGCAGACGTGGCCGATGACACGCGATTAGGCGTGGGAAACGTGCTGCTGAAACAAGGGCGAGGCGAGGCGAGGCGACTATGAGCTGCAGCGCTACTTTGGGCCACCACCCACTCGACAGAGAGAAGACTCACTCGTGCGTTCCATTTGTCGTGTTGCCCGTCGAGCTCTCGAGGCTCTCGCGACTGCGAGGCATGGGGCCCTCATCGAGCACGCTCATCGCGATGCGCTTCTTGGATCGCTCCAAGAGCTCATCCAGCTTGTCGTTGGCGCTGACAAGAAGGCGATGATCGCTGCGGCCCGCTTGCGTGCTCTTAAGTAGGCGAGAGTAGAGCTTCTTGTAGTACTTGAGACGAAGCTGCGGCAATGCGAACAAGTCATCAAGCGTCCACACATCCCCTGGCTTGCGCTTTCGATCTGAAAAGACTACGGGCGAGCCATCTGGCAGGGTGGACTCTGAGACTTCCTTGAGCAGCTGTGGGAGCTTTGGATTGGATTGAACGGAGTTCCAGGTGTCAAAGTCTGTGAAATAGTTGTCGCAGTATCGCATGTAAGGCGCTTCTAGGTCGTCGATCTGTTGTGCAGACAGCTAGTGTCAGCGGGAATCGACGCGCTGGACGATGGCCTCGGACTCACCCATCGCATGAGCAGGTCGCCGAGCGCTCTGGGAGATGAAGGGTTGGGTCCGATTTCGCGAAGAGACTGGGATATAGAGAGGCACGCTCAGCTTGAAAGCAGCAAGGAAGCGCATGCACGCCACGCTCACCTTTAGGAAGCCGCGATTGATGCGGTAGATGGACTCGACATTGCGAAACATGGTATCCAGTTCGGGAGGAGGAAAGTTGGAGCGACTCCATGCTGCGGCAACGCGCTGGAAGGGACACGAGACACCAGCTTAGCAACTGCCTGCTCTCGCCCGCGCATCGTACACGCGCTCACTCACCCTGATGATCTTGCTCAGCTCGCTTACGTACGCGGTCTCCGTCTCGATGAGATCAACGAGCGGATTCGCCTTTCTTGCCTTTTCCTTTTCCTGTGCAACCGCATCGCCGTCCTCGCCTCCTTCATCTCCACCGCCGCTACCTTCGCGCCGACTTTGCGATCCACTGGCATCTCCACCCGACCCGCGATCCCGCGCACCACCTCCTCGTTCGTCGCCGCCGTCCCCGAAGCCTCCTGGCGAGCCGTTCAACCCGCTGTAAGAAGCACGTTCATCCATCCCTGAGCTCATCTGCGTCAATACGAGTCCAGCGGCTTGGTTTGCGAAGACTTGCCGAGGTTCACCCAAGAGTGCAGAGGCGACCGAGGCGTGCAGTGGCCCTTGCGTGTGCTCCGAGACTGCTCCAACAGACTGCCTACCGAGCGAGCTCCTCCTCCGTGTTCGAAATGCTGCGAGTGTATGCGCCTCTTGCCCTCGCCAAGCAATTTGCGATGTGCTGGCACAATTACTTGAGCTCGAGCTGCCCGGCGCTGCTGCTGCAAAGTGGTTGGGCGCGGATGCGAAGGCTACGCCGCCTGCGAAAGACATGTCTAGCAATGGTCGAGGCTTTCGAAACGACTCTGCTTGGTGCGGCGCAACCAAAGAGGGCGAAGTAGCCTGGAAGCTAAAGCTGGGAGCCTGCGCAGAGTGTCGCGAGTTGACCGAGATCGCAGCCGACCTTCGTCGCTCCTTTGCAATCTCTGCTGGGATCGCGTAGGGATCCTGCGGACCGGACGATTCAGAGTCGGCGCCAAAGCTTCGATTCAATACAGGTCCGGGTGGCCTCCAAGTGGGTCTGGGGGCCAGCGATGGCTCGAAGCGGGCAAAGTCCGACACGGGCGGCGGCGGAAAGTGCAAGAATCCAGGTGGCTGCGGTCGATGATAGAATGTGGTTGAGCTGGGCGCAGGACGAAATACGTCGTGTCTGATGTGGTGCAGTGGTCGTGGCACTGGCGCTGGCGCAAAGGCTGGTGGTGCGGGCACAAAGCCAGGCCCTCGCGCTGTCGGTGGTGAAGATAGGCGCGGCGCTTGTAGAGGGGGTGCGTATGTCACAGGGTTGGGGTGCTGGGCGTGCTGAAAAGATGCAAACTGCGCCAAGGGTCTGGTGAGCGCCGGTGATGCAATGATCTGACCTGGCTGGAACCCAGAGGCAGGAGGCGGTGATGAGAAGGAAGGTCGAGGCGCGTTGTGAAAGGTTCGAGAAGGACCGCCTGCGGACAGGCTGGAGTGGAAGCCGATGTAGCTCGAGTCAGGAGGCCTGTGCGACATTTTTGAGGGGGATGCGGCGGGTGAGTGTGATGATGAGCGAGCAGGATATCATGCAATGAGCGCGCACGAACGATTGCATGCATGCGTGCGTGCGGGCGTGCGTGCGTGAAGTTGGAGAGCAGGTAGGATGAGGCGGTTTCTGATTGAAGACGAGCCCTGATCCAGACGACGCGGGCGAGTCTAGCTCGCCTATCGATCTTGGCATCTCGTACGCAAAATTAAACGCAAGCGCGTATCCACCTCGATACCTCGCACCGCACCGCACCGCACCGCACCGCACCGCATCACGCCACACCGCACCGCGCACCGATGGCAGCCGCTCGCTGCATGGTGAGCAATAATCCACGAGCGAACATGAAGCCCCATGGAACATGGACGGCCGCGCTCCCGTCACACGCTCGTGTGCATGCGCCTATCACAACCAGGGACGAATTTGTGCAAATGAGGGACAAAATCCGCCATGCCCATCATGCATGCGCTCCCAAGGGGCACCAAGGCAATCAAGAGGCGGGCGCGTTTCCCACCATTTCATCAACAGCGATGCAGTCACGAGTTGGTTTCACGAGTATGATGGGCACAAGACGGCGCAAAGCACCGCATGTCCCATCACTGTGACTCCTTGTAGCTGACATCGGCCTTCCGTGGCCGTATTGAAGATGATGAATCCGCCCGCCCGCGCCTTGCTCTGCTTGAAGGGGTTGTCTTGCATTCCACCGTGATCATAATTGCATGCCATCGATGGATTCGCGGCCGACGCGCGCGCGCGCACCGTGCGGACAAGCAATCGCAATCCCAATTAATTTGCAACAGTGTCCGCTTTGCGCAGTCACCATCTGGACCCATCTTGCGCGCATGCCATGAACGAGATGAATGTTCCTGCAGCTGAAACAAACGCAGTCCCACTCCCCTCTGCCACGCACGCACGCACGCACGCACGCACGCACGCCAGCAGCCTAGCTCGCCATTCACGATTGCCGCGACCCGCCAACGTGTCCATGTATGCGCTGAGCGCCTCCGTCGGCGACGAAGCATTCAGTCGCTTTCTGCGACCCTATGTAGATCGACCAACCTAACCATCCGCGATGAGCTGATCCTCCTCGCACGCGTAACCGGGACTGCCATTCACGATCGATCCACCTCATCCATCTCGTCTCTGGCTCTCATCTCGTCTCGGGCCGCGCCTTTGCAGCCCAACTCACCAGGCCGGGCGATCGCAAATTCGACTGCTACGACGAGCAAGCTCTCTGTGCGATCCGTTTGCTCGATCCTCGCCTTTCGCCTTTCGAGATTTGGCGGACCCGCCCGTTTGCGCCGGACCTCCGACGTTTGGTTATGGGTCTCGAGCCTATACACCTAGGCTTCGCTCTTTGATGGGTGCTGCTGATCCGGATCTCGCCCCGGTGCCGGAACTTGCTGATTGACGCGTAGAGCGCTGCCCCACCGAGGAGAAGAGAAAGTGGTGAGGAGGAGGAAGAGCGAGTTTCAGCGACGGCAAAAGTCGAAGTCTGAATGCTTGGAGGGTGTATGGGAGGCGGAAAGATTTCGCGTCACGATGGACCCATAGCCGCAAGTGCGGCTTTCGATCGCTTCATCGAAATCAGCCCGCAGGGACTCACTACGCTGATGTGAGACCTCAGAGACTCACGACTCCTGGCAAGCAGCAGCAGTAGTAGGCTGCTAAAACGCACGCACGCACGCACGCACGCACGCAGCAGCCGATGGAGACAAGGCGTGAGCGAGGGGCTTTCCATCCATGCGCACGCTGCAGACAGACCATGCATTCGGTGCAGCTATATGCATGGCTGTATACCTGTACAGACAGCACGCGAGCCAGCACGAGCCGCCGTAGCGCGCGAGCGCGATCGGAGCGGACGTACCAGCAAGCGCAGGCATCCATCTCTGCAGCGACCGAACCAAAGGCTGGTGGCGCGCGCGTGCGCGCGCGCGTACACGTCTGATGCCGCTTTTAGCCTTTGCCTGTGAACATGCCGCGCATTCGTGATTCGCTTCCCCTCCCGCGAAGATCTCGCGCGCGCGACGTTCTCAGATCTGAACTGAATCATCAAGCTCAAGTCACGAGTTGAAAGCATTTCAATATTCGCACCATGCGCGCCACGTTCAAACCGCGAACGCGTCCGTGTGTTGTTGGCGCGCCCACTGCGCACTCACGGCGCGGATACTCTGATTCTGCTGCATGCCGCCTCGGGTTGCTGATGCCTATCTATATATATATATGCTGCTGCTGCTGCTGCTGCTGCTGCTTCTGCTTGGACAAGGGTCAAAGAAAGCTCCATGGCAAGGTGCTCGTCGAGCAGCTCGAGATCTCGAGGGCATATATGCAAGTCGCGGCGCAGACATGCAGCAAGTCACAGTGTGAGTCATTCACCTTCTGCATCACGCTCTCCTTCTCCACTTTTTTCTTCTTCTTCTTCTCCAAACAGCACGTACAGTGCAGGCACCGCGCCAGTGTGTGTGTTTTCGTGTTGCTCTGACTTGCAGCTCGGCGGGCAGCAGCAGCAGCAAGCAAGCGTGAGTTCAGGTGCATGTAACCCTGCAGCCTAGCTGCATGCATGCATGCGTGCGTGCGTGGAGCCACTGCAAGCACCGCATGAAAGGAGAGATTCGCTCATTCGCACCGCCCACCGTAACTGCACATATCGCGGCGTCTCGCTGCCAAAAGTAAAAAGTCACGCTAAAAGGCAAGAGGCCGCGCGTAGCGGAGCGGAGCGGCCCCAGCATCCGCGATTGGCCCCTATATCCTGTACAGCATACCGTGTATATATACTGTATAGCCCGTCTGCCTGCCTGCCTGCCTGCCTGCCTGCGCAGCTCAAAGCGAGGCCCGAGTGATGGCGGCAGCGTGATTATTTCGCGTGCGCGGCCGCTGAGGCCAGCTGCACAACACGCAGCGTAGGCCCGCCCGCGCGCTTTCTTTTCCCCTTGCGATGGCGCTGCTGGGGCCTCCTTCGGTCCCTATAGACGGGTGCAACCGTCCGCTTCTTCGCTTGCAGTCAAATGTTCGTTGCGAGCGGAGCGATCTTAGCGCAAGGTCAAAAGGTGCGCAGAATCAATTTGAACGCGCGACTCGCGACTCGCGACTCACCGCTCACGACTCAGACTGTTGTGAATCCAAGATGTCGGATTCGAGCCGAGCGGTAAGTTCCGTACCAAACGACGCTCTCGTCGGTCTCTTGATGTTCTTCGCATCGGCTCCCGCAGCGGTTGCGCGAACACAAATCGTGAATGACGATGAAACGTGGCTCACGTTGCGAACAAGATTGGCACCGATTGACGGTCTCGGTTCCTCCTCTCTTTCTTTCTTTCTCTTTCTCTCTCTCTCTCTCTCTCTCTCTCTGTGTGTCACTTGACATATCTTATGCCGCCGGCTCGGCTCGGGTTCGTGCAAGGAAGCACGACGAATGTGACTGGTCAATCTGTGGTGCGCGCCAGCCCTTGCGAAAAGGCACGGGGCTTCCCCCCGGTCCGCTCACTCGCGTCTTTTTTTCAAAGTCAGACATCAATAATTTGGGATTCGATTTGCAATTGCGATTGCGATTCTAATTGGGAAACCCCGGCCCGTCGTGTCAAAAGTCGCGGTCCAGGGCCGGCCATTCTTTGCAGGTCAATCAAGCCATCAGCCTTGAGCGCAGCCATGACTTCGGCCCGTCTGACGGGACTTACCCGTGACTTTGGCCGGCCCGGCGGCAGGCACCCATCGAGAAGCTTGCGAAATCTACGGTTCTGCTTGATCGCTACGCAGCCTGACAGCATATATGTCATAGCACTTCAAAGAGCCCATCAATTTGCTGAAGGGTCTCGGAGCGAGCGAGCGCAGCGCAGCACAGCGCACCAACCACCTCGTGCGTGCATGCGTGCGTGCGTGCGTGCGTGCGTGCGTGCGTGCATGCTGGACCAGCCTGCTTGTGCAGCAGACGGCGCCCGCCGAGCAGCAGCAGCAGCAAGCAGCACGGTGGTGTGACCCTAGCAGCGGCGCACGACGCTCTGCTGTAGATTGGGACAAGTGGAGCAAGCCATTTTCGGCTACACAATGAAATCGTGATTCGAGATTGAAAAGAGCAGACGGGCCTTTACGATTCGCGTTTCCCTCCCTCGCGCGCGCGCGCGCCGCGCTCCAGGCGGACGTCTCACCGTCGTCGTGATGGCTGCGAGCCCAGCGATGGACCGCAGGTGCTCATCTTCGCTCCCGAAGCATGTAGATCATTCACAATCACCAATGTAATCAGTCAGCCGCGACAACAGTCACGAGTGAAGACAACTTCTCGATGCTACGTGACTTGTATTCGAGGCGCAATACAGAGCAAGCGTGCCAAAGTCTGTCATACGCATGTCGAACCAGCCACGCCAAGATGCGCAACTCTTCACGTTCGCAAACGCTTTGCGTTTTCAGACCCTTCCGATGATTCCCTCTTGGGGTAAGGGTGAGAGGCGCCGCGTCGATACTGCCGCGAGGGCTCACTCTCTCCTTCAGTGCAAGAGTGCGCCGAATCTTGGTCGCTCACATCGCCACGCTCGAGCTTTCCCAACTCTGCCTCACTGAGAAGGTCGTCAGCATCGAGCTGAGGATAGAGGCGCGTGCGTGCGTGAGTGGAGACATCAAGGCCTTCGTCAGCATCAGCCTCTGCCGACTCACCTCGAAACCCAGCGCGGCGGCCACCTCTTCAGAATTGTCAGCAGCGACCGACTTCTCTTCTCTCGAAGCAGCAGCAGCGTTGATGGCGGCAAAGGCGTCCAATTCGGCGTCGGTGGCACGATGAGACGCACGATCAGCGTCGTCGCCCTTTGTGAGTGCGGGTGCACGGGCATTCGCAGCTGCGTAGGCTGCCAACGTCTTCTTCGTGGCTCGATGGCGATCGACTCGCTCGTCGTCAGAGGAAGAAGGCTCTATGCTCTCCCACTCTTCTTCTGGTATGGCCGGCTTGCGAGCACCTTCCCCCGCAAGTCTGATGGGCGGCAGCAGATATCAGATGAGCGTGCGCGGCTTCAACAAGGATCGCAGCCTCTCTCGGATTTGCTCGCCAACTCTCACTTGTCGGCCGCCTCATTTCCGAAATGTCCGGCGTGTCCCTTGATGTAAATCAATTCTGGTCGAATCTCTCGACTCCTTAATTCCTTTTCCAATCTCCTGATCAGGTCCTTGTTCACCACCGGCTTGGGATCTGCGCTGTCTGGCTGCAAAACACCATGTCTGTACACCAAGCCCGACGTCATCCACCCATCTTTTCGCCATTTTCGCTGCCACTGTGTGATGACTGTGGGGGGGAAACGCAAGCACCGCCTCGTCGTTCAAGGTTTTGGTCACCAGTAATTGCGAACGCGTGTCTCACCCTTGATGCAGTACTGGCTGTCCGTGTAGATGGTCAATTGAGCTTTTGGATCAGGGCACAATTGACAAGCACGTATGATGGCCTTGTTGATGGGGGAGCAAAAAGGCTGGTGCGGCGGTTAGCGAGGCGTGAGGGACAGAGCGCTGCTGCTGCTGCTGCTGCTGCTGCTGCTGCTGCTGCTGCTGCTGCTGCCGCCACCACGCTGCAGCCTCACCATCAGCTCGGCTCGATTGTTGGTCATGACGCGGCCTTGCAGTCTTCCTGCTTCCGACAAGTATCGAAGGTCTTGGTCTGGAAAGTAAACGCCCCATCCGGCAGTGGCGCCCTTTTTACCATTGCCGTGAGATGCGCCGTCGGTGTACACCTTGATGACGCGCCTGCCATTGGAGGAGGAGGAGGAGGAACTCTGCTGCTCGTCGTAGATGGCATCGACGCGTCGCAAGACGGATTGAACGTCTGCCGAGCCGGTCTTACTTGCGGCCGATGAGCTCTCGCAGGAGCGGTCACCGCTGTGCGTTGTTGTGGAAGCGGAAGCTGAAGTAGAGGCAGCAGCCGCACCCGCACCCGCACCCGCACCCGCACCCGTAGCCGTCGCATAATCTCCATGTCGGAGAAAGTCTTGAGCTTGCTGCGATGACTTGAACTTTTTGAAGCTGGCATTGGGATACCCCTTGACTTGCTCTTCGCATTCGGACCAGCTATTGTATATGCCCGGCTCTCTCCCGCGGGCGACGGCGTAGTAGAGCGGCATGTTGGGATCCTGCGAAGGTTCAGTATCGCCTTCAAGACGCACCGCGCTCGTGCACAGCCCCCGAAACGCAATGGCTGTGCTTTGGATTCCGTCGAACTGGCTGTGATCTGCGCGATTGTGCCCCGTCGTGAGCGCGCAGTGTACCACCACCACCGCCGCCGCCTTTGAAGCCGAGGTAGCGCACAAGTAGGGCAGTAGTGGGTTTGAGGTGCAACGAATGATCGCTCTCCTCGCTACCAATTCCATCGAGTCTCGCTCCCAGCGTCACGTTGAAGCCTTGATTCATTCGTGTCAGACTACTTCCTACTAGGCTTGCCTAACATTCATATCCGGATGACGGGCGAGAGGATCGAGGTGAGGGACCCGTTGAGCACGAGGTGTACCAATTACCGCTCGTGTGGAGTTTAAAACAGCTGGGGTCTGGCGGCCGACGTGAATGCACTCGCGCACGCGCGCGTGCACGTGACCGAGCCCTGAAGGTGCGCGCCGCCCCTGAAAGCACACCGCGCGCGCGCATGCATGTGTTGACCGACGCCTTGGACGACGCAGGCGAGACGCGCGCCCCGCCCCGTCGCGCGCAAGCTTGGTGAATCCTTCATTGGCGCGCAACGGTCGCCCGCTTGCTCGTCCAGCTCGAGCACTCCTTGGCACTGTTCCCCCATCCATTACGACGACTCGAACGCATACACGCACGCATACACGCACGCGATGGCTCACAGATCAGGAATTGCTACACCCTCATCCCAAATGGCTGGCCCTTCGGATCTGCGAAGGCGCGCCTTCATGCCTGGGATTGCAGCAGCGCCCGGAGGACCGCCTTCGCCCACCTTGTCCGCCACCACGCACGCATCCACCGCCTTTGCTGGGCAAGACTCTTCTCTGCGACCTCGCTTAGTGGTGACGCGCGCGGATATGAGGGCATCCTTGTCGGCCTACGACGAGCTGCTTCAAGCCAGCAAAGCGTACACTTCGGCCATGCTGGCCATGAGCCACGCATCGGCTGGCATGGCAGCTGCCATGGAGACGTGCAGCCGCGTAAAGGGAGCTCACGAGGCGGGCAGCGGCTTGCAAGCAGCTGCGGGTCTGCACCACTTGCTGGCCAACTCTCAGAGCTTGCTGGCAGATGTGCTGTGGAGAGATTTCAGCATCCCACTGCTGGAGCACTACGATGCCTATCGCGCTGGCACTGCGGACAGGCAAGTGGCGCACGAGGCAGAGATTCGCGCAAAGAGCAAGATTTTGGGCGAAACGGAAGCTAGAAATATGCGCACGGGAAGGCGCAAGGAGCGCGACCTGAACAGCTTCAGGAGGGCGTTGGCAGAGTTGCAATCGCAAGTGGATGCGCTGGACGAGGTAAAGAGCAGCTACTACCACGAAGTCCTCGAAGGCGAAGAAGAGGTTTGGGGCTTCATCCACCAGAAGGTGAGCGGCAAAGTGCGGAGGAGGAGGGTGCGGCGGGTGCCGCGGGTGCCGCGAGGTGCATCGCCCAAGTGTCACGTGGCTAATACTGGCGTTCCATCTGATTGTCAGATCGCACACTTGCTGAGATCGCAATTGGAGATCCACGAGCGCATCTCTTCCAAAGGCCTGTCTGACCCTGTACTCGAGAATATGCTCTCCACGGTTCCGGATCCCTTTTCAGCCTATGGGCCAGCCAAGACGGAGGATCAGATTTTCAGCGTCTTGGCACCAGGCAGTCTAGGCATGGTGCAGGGCACAGAGAGCGAGAGCGAGAATGAGGTCGGGGCAGCACTTGCTGCCGGTCTCAGGTCGCCGAACCTGTTGAGCCCCAGCACCCCAGCTAAAGGCTTGCCCAGGGGAATCAGCGCAGCCAGGTCCAAGAAGGAGGAGACGTCCTCTGCCAGTCCAGAAGGCGTGAGCGCGGGTATAGCACAGCCAGTCGGGCTCGGTCTTGTGGCCGATCAGCTGGCAAACAGGGGCGGCGCTACTGGCCCGCAGGTTGCGGATGCCGAAGATGGCGACCTCTTTGACAAGGACGAGACGGAACTGGACGACAATGCAGACGTCGACATTTTCGGTGGAGCCGTGTCTCCCCGCGCTTATGCTCAAGCGCAACACGCGCACTCTACCAGCATCGCCACGCGCCTCAAGCACTCTCTCAGCATCATCGAGGAGACTTCTGCCGGTGGTCCAAAAGGAGCGACGCCAGTAGGGTCCGAAGCTGGAGGCGAAGGTACCAAACAGAGCGAGTCGGATGACAACAGCGCTGCCACGGCTGACAACAGCTTTCAAAAGTGACCCTCTACGAAATCGACGAATGTGACGTAGACGAGTTAATGACGCATGATTTGCTAATCTACACGTGTAAAGGTCTATCGAATTGCCAGTGCTGCGCGAGCTCGTGTGGCTGCACCCCTCGCCGCTTTCACAAAGGCTGCATCTCTCGCTTTTGCCTGTTTCGCCAAGGCTGCTCTGGCTTGGAACGCAGAGAGTGGTGGCTGGCTGACTGTCGGCGCCGGCGTGCTTGTGAGGGACAGCTGCACGAGCTTGGCGATGGCGTCTGAGAACGTTGTGCGACGCGCATGCTCATCCACATGCCGGGCGGTGTTTCGTCGGGAGTACAAAGGGGCTTGGTGTTGGACCCGTAGCACGCACGCAACTAGCGTATTTTGCCCTCCAAGACGCTCATTGGCACAAGCTCGGACAACACTTTGGAAAGCCAGCAAATTCGCGTCAAAGGTGGCACGATCCATGCTCTCGATGAGGAGCGAGGTGGAAAGCATTTGGAGGAGGTGCGCGAGAAGCTCTACCAGTAGCTGCAGTTGGCTCGCGTCTGTAGGTCACGAGTGCGGCAAGCGTTAGCAGTGGGTTTGTTTAGCAGCTCCGTCACATTACACGCACCTCGAGCCGGCGCAGACACGTCGACGGTGGCGCGCGCAAGGATGGAAGCCCCCTCAAGGGTGGACAGCGCAACGTCTGCGTCGTCATCCACGACAGCAAGCTCAATCGTCTTGCCTACGCACGCAGCAAGTCGAGCTGCAAAAGATGCGGTGTTGCTGACACTTGCAGTGTCGACGTGCGAAGCGAGCATGGTCAGGCTGGCTATTCGCCCGCTGGCTCGTTGGAGAAGCGAATTCGACAGGTCGAGCAGGCGATGCCGGATAGTCGGCATCTCGAGGGCGCTGGCATGAGACAAGACGGCATGAGCAAGCGTCCCAAAACCGAAAAGGGCAACATCGATGGGAGAAGCGGGGTCGAGATGCGAGGCGAGTTGCGAGTTCCCCTCGCCATTTTCGACCAGACAAGTCAGCATTTCCAGCGCTAAAGCCAAGCCCTCTAACGCGTCATCTTCGCCATGCACGAGGCTGGGAAGCACAGCACGCGGAAAAGTCGAAATCGCCTGCACCAAGGTGAAGATGATGTTGGTCAAGGTCGACGATACTTGGGGATCGCCAAAGACCGGATCAAAGTCGATGAGATCAGCGAGCGTGGCAAAGAAGGCAATGACGGCAGTGCAAACCTCTGGTCGATCCTTGTAAATTTCAACGAGGCCCACAAGAGGTTCAAAGTAAGGCGCAACATAGTTGAAGATCGGAGTGGAGCTTGTCGGCGTGATGCTGGAGCTAAAGCCTGTGAGCACGTCCAGCAGTGTCTGCACGGTGATGATGATGTCGGCTCGCTGCGCCGTCGATGCGAAAGTGCTGCTCGTCAGGGTCGATTGAAAGCGCGAATTCACAGCAAATGTGAAACGTTCAAAGAGCTCTTCCGCTTTCGTTGGGTTGGACCTAGCAGCCGCAAATATGCAAGTCGTAATGCCGTGGACCAGCTCGCCTTGTGTGTCTTCAGGGAGGCTGTGCAAGAGACTGGGCACGCCGAGAATAAGCTCATCGAGTTCTGTGGTCTGCAAAGCAGCCTTGCCAAGTCTTTCTGATCGGGCAAGGGCCGCCAGAAAGCTCGCCACTTGCAAAACGACGCTTGCATCGGAGCGGAAGCGATCCAAGGCCTTTGTCATGTCGCGCAGCATGATGGCGAGGGTGGAAGCGCCGTGCTGGCCGCTGAAATGATGTAGGATCCCAGGTGGCTCGGTGAGCAAGTATGCGCTCGTCCAGCGAGCATTGAACCACAATAACGTCTGGATTAGCTGCGCCGAGCATTGGCGTTCGGGCGCTGCTGATAGTAGATCATGTGGTAAGCTGACTCCCAATTGTACGAGAAGAGTGAAGAGATCCTCATTCTAGGGTTGAAGCCGAAATGGTGAGTGCGCGTCATTTGCAAGCATCGGGATTACGCGACTCACCCCGAGTTCGGTTTCAGAAATGGCCTCGGGCAGGCTCGCCGTCTCGCCTTGATGATCGTCCGCCAGAACGTGGCCAGCGATCAAGGCGAGCCAGTGGCAAGCTTCCCACGCAGCCTCCATCTGGGCCCAGCTCGCTGCGTCTGTTGGCTCGAATTCGCCAGACGCTATCCCGCCGAGCTGTTGACAAACAGGCTGAGCGTGCTGGAGCAGTTGTTGGCACGCTCTCCCAACGTCGAGCCGAGCGAGTGCAGCAAGGCTCATAAGTTGCGCTTCGTACATCTCTGCGTCAGATGCGCGCTCTTCACCGTGTTCCGACGGCTCGTCCTCGCGCTGGCTCAGGATTGCAGCGCGAGCCGAGTGCATCCGCCCGTCAATATATGCGGGCACGACGTTTTGGATGATGATGCCGCGAAACGCGGTGCGCAGGGTATGATTTGCGTCTGCGCTCAGTGAGACGGATGTGTTCCACATTCGTAGCAGAGCATCGATCGCCTGGTCGTACACGATCTCTTCATCCTCATCGACGAGTTCGCTGAAAGCGCGGTGGAGGACCGTCGACGTGAGCGTGGCGAGGGTGTCCAATAGCGCAGGCAAGCTCCCTGCGTCTGCCGAGGTGATTCCACAAGCCTCGCCGAGCGACTGGACGGACAATGTCGCAAAAAGGGACTCGAAAGCGGTTGTCATGAAGAGCGTCGCAGTTGCTCTGCTGGCGGTGCTCCTCGCTGCGTTCGAGGAGCATTCTTCGCGAGCTAGAGCCTGCAAATTCGTCAGCAGCGCCACGTGCCGCGCGACGCGAGTCTCGTCTTGATCTGCGCTTTCGACGGGCGCAAGACTGATCGCATCGATGATGCAACAGCGTAGACGGTGAATGGACTGCTCGCTAGAGTCTTGCTTGGCCAGAGCCTGACGATACGCTGCTGCTAGAAGGTGCACGATGTCCGGTGTCAAGAGGATGTGGTGAAAGGAGGCAGGTACTGCTCGAGTCGCACTTTCTTCTTCGAATGCGCCGTCTTCGTGCGCTGCATCATCGGCCAGGCTGCCTCTCGAGACCGACTCGCTTATGGTATCCCGCAGCAAGAATCTCCATTCCACGATTCGGGCGACGAGGGTTGCAGCAGGGTCCCCTAATGTGCTAGAATGCAGCGGCTGAGAAGGCAGCGTCGCGTACAATGATTGCAGAGCAAGGTTTGCGAGCTGGGGCAGGACGTGCATCTGCCCGTGGGAGAGGGATAGCGTGAGGTGAAGTGTTGAGCCGCAAAAAGATTCACGCGATTGTCGATGCCCGGCTGAGGGTGACGCACCTGGAAAGCGCTCTTGCACCACAGGTGCTGCTCTGCCGTCAGACCCAGCGCAGTTCCCGCTTCCGCCGCCGAGTGCTTACTAGCATCATCCTCTGAGCGCTTCTTGCTTCGCCTACCTCGTCGAGAGGGTGCAGCGGACACTGCGGTGCGTCTCGAAGCCTCTGCCGCTTCAAGTCGCGCTGTCAGACCCAGCTCGTCCACCAGCGCTGCAGCGATGCCTAGCGCGGTGGCCGATCGCGCCTTGATGGCAACGGCCTCTTGCGCGTCGGTGGGCTGCGCGGCGAGCAAGGCGTAGAGGGCATTGCTTGGACCTGATAGGACATGAGCAGCGCTCCGATGGGCACGAGACGCATCTCCCGGAGCTGCTCGCAAGGCAGCGTTGATGTGCAGCGCCAGGCTCTTCTTGAGGACAGCAGCAATGCTCTGGTAACACCTACCCCGCACGTATGCTGGCCATGCCGAGGTGGCAAGCGGTGAGGAGGGCGATGCTGTGGCCGCCGTCTCGGATCGATGGAGGGCAGAGCGGAGTAGCAAGTCGAGTGTGCGATCGAGACCGTTTGCTGTGCGCTCATCGTCGACGTCGACGTCGACGTCGACGCCAATGTGCAGACTGGGAAGGGCGAGGAGAATGAGGTTGAGGCATTCGAACAGCACGTACGGGTCGCCATCGAGGGGATGATGCTGCAGAGCGTAGCAGGCCAACCGCAGTGTGTGCTCGTGCTCGTGCTCGTGCTCGTGCTCATTCGCAGCGGCGTCCCTCAAGGCGAGGAGTGCCTGCTCACCGGCGTGGCGGAGCTGGGCATCGGAGGAGGAGAGTTGCTGGGATGCGTGCTGGATGGAAGCCAGCGCGGCTCGCAGTGATGCGTTGTCGTCGTCGCCGTCGTCGTTGCTGCTGGACATGGCGCGCATTTCCCTGCTCTTGCTCAGCGCAACGTCGTGGTTGCGTGGCAAGAGGGGCCGATTGAGGAAGGTGCGGCTGCGAGCGTGAGCGTGAGCGTGCGTGCGCGTGCGTACAACGCCGCCGTGAAGTCACGAGTACTCGCGCGACCGTTACTTCTAGCGTCGCCCCATGCGTGCATGCAGCATGTGTGCAAGCTATCCCCCGCTCACACATCCACCATCCACCATCCTGACCTCCACGCACCCCGCATTCAACCATCACATTCTCCGTCCTGACGCTTCTTGCTGCTCATCAAACACGTGCGCGCGCACCACCGCAGCGCTCAAGATGCCAGCACACACGTCCACACACAGCGCGAGCACTTCCGCTTCCACGCGGAGCCCAGTAGTCATCGACTTGGGCTCCTCTGCCATTCGCATCCATCTCGGCGGTACTCTGACGCAGAGCCCAAATCGCATTGCGCGTGGCAAGGGCAAGTCGACGCTCGTGGGCAGCGCCATCGATCGAGCTGGCGATCTGTCCGGTATGGACACTATCCGCACGCCCATGTACAGGGGTCACATTACAGACTGGGCAGCCTGCAAGGTGCTGCTCGATCAGGCTCTGGGCGAAGCGCTAGCAAAGGAGGAGACGGTAGGCAAGGGGAGTGGGAGGGACGAGGGCAAGGGCAGTGGGAGGGACGAGGGCAAGGGCAGTGGGAGGGACAAGGGCGCCCGTAGGATCTCTTCCGAAGGCAAGGGTGCAGGTAGCAGCGGGCCGGTCATGACCCCTCCCAACGCACCCGCCCGCTCAGTATCCGCATCCTCGCCCAAAGCGCGCATCAGTCAGGCTACAGATGACGGCGGCAGCGGAAGAGATTTGCCACTTCAAGGTCGCAGCGTCATTCTCGTCCAACCCTACTTTGGCTTCCCGGAAGAGCAGCAGGGGCTGACGGCGCTCTTGTTTGATGCCTATGGCGCCTCTTCCTTGTGGATCACTACCGGTGAGCGCGCGCCATTCGCTTCTGACTGGCTTTCGCGCCATCTCTGACTCGCTTTCGGGCTGACTCGGTCTTGTGGGCATGCACCCTGCAGCCGCCTTGCTGGCATCGCACGATGCGCGCACGACGGGCAGCGAGGCAAGACGCGCAGAGAGTGCGAGGCATGCGCGACCACGACCAGAAGCTGTCCTCATCGTGGACATTGGACACTCTGGCTGCAACGTGGTACCCGTGATTGGCGAGGATATAGCGTGGCATGCTGTCAAGAGGTGAGCAGGAGCAGGTGATCATCGCATCGCATCGCGTCTACGACTGATCTGACACCTCGCCTTGCAGACTCGATGTGAGCGGCCGGCTGCTGACGAATCTGCTCAAAGAGACGCTATCCTTTCGGCAATACGATCTCATGGACGAAACGCTCATCGTCGAAAAAGTCAAGGAGATGTGCTCCTTTGTCGCCAGCAGCGTGGGACGTGCTGATCATCGCGTCGCTCCTGGGCTCATCCTGCCTCCGTCGCTGTGGAGCTTTGCTTTTTGCACGGAGCTTTGCAGGTGAGTGTTCGAAGAGCAATGGGTTAATAGCCACGCGCTAGCCTCATTTATGTGCCTTGCAGGTCGGCCAAGCCGGGTGCAAATCCGCTCGCTCAGGAGTACGTACTTCCCGATGGCTCCGACGATTCGATTGGCCACATCAGGAGTGGGCCGGGTCGCGCACGGAGACCCCCAAAAAGGCGACGAGTGGAATGTGCAGGGGCGCTGGACGCTCACGACAATGGCGACGACGACGACGGCGACGACGACGGCCTCATTGCCGATTTTACGCGCGAGAGCGTAGTCACAGGATGCAATAGCGGCGATCAGGACGGCGAGGAAGAGGACGAAGACGGGGACACTGACTTTGATCCGGACGGAATAGCGCCGCCTCGCGACTCGGAACGCAAGCGCGCCAAGATATCCCAGCCTTTGCGTATCAGCGACGGCGACGACGAAGAACAAGTGCTCACGCTCTCCAGCGAGCGTTTCCAAATTCCCGAGCTGATTTTCAACCCTAGCTTGATTGGTGCGTCTTTGTGCCCATCACTCGCTCGCAGCGCACGCTCACCGCCTGCTCTCCACAGGCCTCAATCAATCACCCTTGCCCGAGTTGATCCAGCTGACGATCGAGGCGTGCCCGGCGGACATGCAGGCGATGCTTTGGTCAAATGTTTGCATCATTGGCGGCGGCGCGCACATCACCGGGATGCAAAGAAGACTGTGAGTTGGGAAAGTTGGTCAGCTACCGTAATAAAGGGAAGCTGACTACTAATGTATATCAATGGCTTTCTCACTCGCACAATTGTCAGGGAGCACGAACTGCGTGCATTGGCACCACATCACGTGCCTCTGCAAGTGAGCGCAGGCGACTCGTGAGTTTGCAATAATCTCAGCGATCGATGTCGTACCGGCTGAGATGCGATGCGATGCCGTGCGCTTCCCCTCTCAGATGCTCTGCCGTTCGGGGCGGTGCAGTCATTGCAAATGAATGGGGGACCAGCAGCCATCACGGCAAGGAGCTTCGGAGCCTCATGAAGAGCCGCTTGGTCCACCGCGGCGAGTACGAAGCAGCAAAGTCGAATCGAGCGCCAGCGTCGGCGTCTACAGGGGGCTCTGCTCAGCTCTGTGCGAATCGTTGGCACGACTGGAATGCCTCGTGAGAACACTGAATCGTCAGGACGTGTGCCCGCCACTTGATCATCCATGTATTTATGCGTCGCTCGACATGTTCTCCGAAGTGCATGTTGAATCTGGGCTCGTGCGAGGGCGTAGCAGCGTGCGGGCGTAGCAGCGTGCGGCTTTGCCTAGGGTTAGGCCCGCGCAGCGCGCGCCCGAGTATATTTGGTAGCAGGCGCGCACAAAAGCGATGGCGGTGATGCATGCGCAATGTGTCAAGACTGTCGACCAGGCATACATACACATATGTAGACACCTATCCACAACTCTCTCGCATCGATCATCTCGTGCTAACAGTAGGCGCCCGACACTCGCAACAACGCCGGTCCTCGAGCGCGGGCGTGGCGAAGTTCGCGGTGTCGCTCCAACGCTAAATCAACCAACTTTTGAATAAGCGCGCTGTAGCTGACACCTTTTGCCTGCCAAAGGCTCGGAAACATGGAAACAGGTGTGAATCCGGGTAGCGTATTGATTTCGTTGAGCAGAACGTTTTGGTGCTCGGGCTGGTAGAAGAAATCAATCCGAGCAAATCCTGCACAGTCGAGAAGTACGTAAGCTTGCACGGCCATCTCTTTGACACGCTCAGCAATCGATGTCGGCACGTCTGCTGGAATATGGATCTTGGAGCGATTGTCGTGGTATTTGGCGTGATAGTCGTAGAATTCGGCTTGGTAGGTGATCTCCCCGACCTCGCTTGCTTCTGGCCGCCCGTTGCCTAGAATCCCAACTTCGATTTCTCGGGCTTTTTCCACACCTGCTTCGACCACAATACGTCGGTCGTACGTGAATGCTTCTTCAATCCCTTGAGCCAGGCGCTTTGAGTCGCTTGCGCGGCTGATGCCAACGCTTGACCCCGAGTTCGCTGGCTTGATAAACCAGGGTTTGGCCAGGTTTTGGGTGATACGAGTAGCCATCGTATCGGAAGTCGTCTGCCATTGCTCCGACGTGATAGTCAGATAGTCAGTCTGCGGAATACTGTGCGCTTTGAGCACTTCTTTGGCCATCGATTTATCCATGCAGACCGCGCTGGCAAGGGTTTGAGAGCCGATAAAGGGACGTCCCAGCAGCGTTAAAAAGCCTTGAAGCGTTCCATCTTCTCCCAATGTTCCATGGATCAGAGGAAAGACGACATCACATGCTTGAGCCGCTGTTGCCAGCGCTCCCCAATGGGTTCCGCCTTTCGAGGCATTTCCCTCAGCGAGGGCAACTCGACTTTGTGCTGGCCCCAAAATGCCGCCCTCGCGTGTGACCACTTGCACGGTACATTCAAATCCTGCCGCTTCGGCTTCGCGCGTGACGGCGCGTGCCGACATCAGGCTCACTTCGTGTTCTTCGGACTGACCGCCCGCAAGGACCAGGATGCGTCGTGGCTTTTGGCTCATGTCCGCTCGTTCGCATACTGGTTGCAACGGTATCAGGCGCGGAGAGATCGATGTATTGATGTAAGAGGGTTTGGACTCCGATGTAGTGTACACATGCATGTTGACGCGCGTCTACAAGGAGGCGTACACGTGACAAACGGACCACGCGTCGTGGGCCCTCGGCGCATGAGCGGACCCTCACAAGACTACACTCCGAAATTCACCGATGGCCAAATTCCTCCGTTAGAATGAGGCTTCCGCGCGACGAAGTCTCTTGGTCAGGGTGGGCTTTCATGGCGACCCTAACATTTAGTGCCACCCTAAGCTCTTGGTGGCAGCAAGGTGTCTGCAGGACAGTTAGTGACAGTCAATGAAAGAGTTTGAGACAGGCACAGACGAGTTAAAAAGTCAGTATATGAGAGAGTTTTGAGGGCTGGGTTAGGGTTACAAGGGGGTCCCCAATAGGGTTTTTGGAGTTTGTGTTATAGGCAT